AGTGGAGCTGCTGGAGGAAAAGCGGAAATGCGCCGCAGAGTTGCTTCAAGTGAATTTGCATTTTCGAGCAAAACACTCCCAAACTCTTTGCTGCAGCTGTCTTCTAATTTTTTTGTCAATTATGAAAATCATTCTCGTTTCTCACGTGACCAGTGCCTCCGAAATCGTACTTGTCCTATTTCCTCCTTGATCGGATTTGAATCTTGGCCCGTTTGCACAAGCTAGTCAAGCTCTCGACTCTCCTGTTGCTTTTTTGAGAGAGTTTCGGGGTGGAGGAGCCGCATGGGCTCCAAGTGCAAAAATTAATAAAATGTACTTTTGAACTAATTTACATTTGCATCCAATCCTACGGTAGAATCGAACTGCCATGTTCAGATCCTCCCCAACGCCAGGGTTATATGACTATAGTTGGCGCCGGGCATGACCTGAACTCACCAGCGTTGAGTTCAATCCAGCCTCCAACTCGCCACCTTGCTGTTATGGTGTTTCGGTAATTTTTTTTTGGATTGCAGCTTTTTCGGCAGAAATAACTAATTTTAGCCTAGCTCTACGAGCTCAGCTGTTTTAAGCCGCTTGCGGCTTTTATCTTCATTTTAGCCGACTTAAAGCCGCGATTTTTTCTCACAGATTTTTTAGAAAAGGCTTTTTTCATGAGGATAAAAACTGATCTTTTGATGAAAAAGAAGAACCTCTTTTTGAAAGAAACTGAAGTAGAGCGAGGAAAGTGTTGGCAGTGCATTTTGAATGGCTATTTCCTGGCGCACACCATTTGAAATGGTCCTTTTCAATCAGAATGCGCATTTTACCAAGTGGTGGTGGAGCAAAGGTAGCTATTTGGGCTGATCGGCGTTCGATAGTGTCCCAGCAAGCCGCAAATCGCCCTAAATTGCAAATCCACTTTTATTCCAAAGTATTTCCAGATTTCCGCCCCAGAACTGCCAATTACGGCTCCACCAAACGCACAATAAGACATAATCGCGCACGCCATCACAATTTGCCGAAAGTGACTCGATCTAAAATTCTGGACATTATTAAGTCTCTTGTTCAAAAAAAAGCCGCGTGCGGCTCTACAAGGCAGTTGAAACAACCATCAAAAGTACACAGTAAAAATGAGAAATCGTTAATTTATGGCTGTTTCTTTCATTGTCTCTTTTTGGACTCTTGTTTCTGAAAATCAAAATGCATTGAAGTCGGCGCTGCTATTCACGGAGCTAATCACTGCTTAGTTCTTTTGGAAAATATTAATCTCATTTTACCACTTCGAGCTAATTGCTTTCGATTCTCCCAACAAAGCGCGAAATTGTTTTTTTATGCATTTCGGGCAGCACGAACAAGTGCCGCCCTAGAATAGAACAAAACGTATCCACCACCGCAATTAAACCATTTAGACTACAATTCAACACCAGTTCTCAGCGCTTCTTCTTCCAGTAAACTTCCCAAAACCTTCAATTTCGGAGATTGAAACAACGAATTTCAGAATGCGAACGAACAGTTGCAGGTCGCTAATTGTGCGCTACGTAAAAATGATACCTCGTGATTATATTTCTTGGGAGATGAATTTGCAGGGCGATGCGTCAAAGTTGGTATCGGTATGCGCCGGCGGTGCTCGAAATCGGCACTTTGAAATTATTATTTGAATTGTCAATCATTGTAGAAATTCACACCTGTTGAAAGTATCACTTTCGAGAAAACCGCCGAACCTGTGAATCTGTCAAATCCGTGAAGGAAGAGCCAAAAGAATTCGAGCAAGCGCTTTTTCAGAAAAACATCGAATCTCTGCTGAAAAAGACCTACGATTCTACAGAAGTCATCATCGGCAAATAAATATGACCGGTCTTAAATGATGAGATACAAACGAGGCTGATGCAGAAATGCTGTGAGAAAAGAAAAGTTTGGCGTACAACGAGCTTGTGGTAAATAGCGCAGATAAGTGACCATTCCCAATTCAGGTATTTATTTGATCCCATAAAGTTTGCTCTTAGTATGCAAGAACTCGCACATTCCGACGAATTTCGCTGATTTAGGAACGCTTCCGAAATAACCGCCAGATTCATCAACTTTGTTGAATGCCCACTTTTCTCATCTTTCAAGCGCTCCGTAGATTTTTGCAAACAAGAACTCCTCAGAATCTGTTGTTTAGAAATCGGAGTCTCATAGACATAATAGAAACGAATAAAAAAGTGCTTTGCTATTTCTTTTGTAAGCCTTAGTTCCTGAGTCAAGTGGTTTGGAGAGTGGGGTAGGTGGATTGTGTAAATTCCTCATTTGCGGGCGCTATAATGTCGTCTTTGATGGTACTTTTTATGTTGAAGTGTATTGCGTTTCCGGTTGCGCTCGTTGGCGTTTCAAGTGAGGAACTCGGAAATACGCCCGGCCTCGTTAGTGCTTTTTTCGAATTTTGAGAAATGATGTTTACGCCGCACTCGACGTATACAAAGGTTAATTATCCAACTAATTCGCAGCGGTTAAAATGCAATAAGCACAGGCATGCCTACCTCCCGTCACAAGAATCTTCCCGCCACACATTATCATTATTGAAGCTTTTAAACATTCTGCACCGCCTTTTCTATTTACAATATTTGCAATTTATATTTCTCACTGGATCCGGGAACGAAGAGTCACAGCTCAACGCTTGTGCCTAAAGCCAAGAGTCTTTTTGCTGGTTTTCAGAGTGGTTTGAGTGTGGAGGGGCCGCTTGGACCCCAGTTACAAAAATTAAAACTTATAAAAAGGTTCTATCTCTCAAGTCTAGCACTCAACATTCGCACATTTCGGTAGAGTAAATGACGAATATTGGACTGCCATGTTCAGATCCTCCCCGACACCGGGAGTATGTGGTTATAGTTGGCGTCGGGCATGACCTGATCTCGCTAGTGTAACGGAGGAGTCAGACTGCAACTCGGGACCCTGCTCTTATGGTTTTTCCATGTTCGTCACTGTACGAGCTGAATTGTTAATTATTGCGATAATGAAGTTTAATTATTTAGTCTCGTGATTTTTAGTTGCATTTGGCTGTTTTTCAGCATTATTATTAAGCGAAACATCATCTAGGATTTTATCATTTAATTTTTTCAACCAGCTTGATTTTGCATATGATTTTAATGGCATAATTTTCGCATTTTTGACGCAACGGAAGAAAATTTTAAAATAGTTGTATGTGCAGCTCGGAAAAATTTAATATGGTTACTGCAAGTGCAGATGATCATGTCAGGAACAACAATTGAATTTACTACGCCCGATATTTGAATTTTAAATCGAGGCACGGCAGACGTAATTCTAATCTAATCACTGCACAAAAGGTTATCGCCACAGACAGCTGCCCAAGTTTCAAACATTCATCCACTCTGTACCAAAAGACGTAATGTTCTTAGCAGATGAGTTGGATTAACCCCGCAGCACAGGTTGACCAATTTCTAAGTTGAATTAATGATTTTTTGCAGTTGACTTTTTACGTCGAGTTTTCATTGAAAGGCCGGTTATTTCGCGCTTACGGGTTAATTTTGGGCTTAATGATAGTAGGAAAATATAGCGATATATGATGGGCGATATATTTCGCGGCGGGACTAAATGATCGGTTGGATGCTGCGCCGAAATGGGCAATAACGAGGGCTATTTGGTGATAGTAATGAGAGCGCGATTTCGGTGGGAACGGGCAGGCGCGAGTAGAATTGGTACGAGCTTGGGCGCGTTAGAAGATCTGCGCCGGATTGAAGAGGCTTGATTCGAACAAATTCGCAAAGCCGCGAATTGAGACATTTTTAGCTATTTTAATCGGCAATCAGCCCCTTGGCTCATCAGCAGTACACCCGAAGTTGTAACTCGCTCTGGCACGTTGATGGAAGTAAGCCACGCGAGTTAGTAAGCAAGTCAGGTTTCACCGATCCAAATCGTGCCATATTATATTACATATTGTATTATTTGGCCTGACACATATTATTTCGCCTTACTCTTTTTAATCCGAGTGGCATTAAACGGAGAAGAATCCGATTATGGAATGTGATGCCGAACGATATAGCCAAGAAGATTCCAAACCAGCGGCAGAATAAGCTAAATAAGCCGGCCAAGAGTATACTTTCTCGAAAACCCGCTTCCAAATATTGCAATATGCGCCAAAGTCCACACCCTGACCATAACTGACCCTCTCAAACATAGCTGAGTCTGAAAATATCCGCATTCGTCTTTGTCAGCATCGAATTTTCTCCATTTGAAATCGGATGTAGCGGAATCCAAATTTTTGAAAGTCACTCGCTTCATCAGTCTTCAGTCAAGAACGGCAAGAAGATCAGTTAAATTCTCGTCGTTGATTTCATTTTTGATATCGAAGCAATGCTCTGATTCCGATGTACTGCTGATGCGAGTTCGTTTCCGGTGGCGAAGGAGTTGTCGGGTTGGTGTTGGTCCGTACCGCAGATTCTTCGCTCTGGCCGCACTTCCCCGGAATTAGTATCGTCGAGTAGCGGATTACGATAAATTGATCTCCGTCACGGCGGCCCTGTCACCAAAGCCAAAAGCGCATTTCCATTTCGACAAATGTGTCGGGAGATACCTCCACGAGCCACCATAATCAAATCGAAAAGCAGAAAAGCCGTTTTACCGCACAAAAATTCAATATGTATTGAATCCGGCACACCTACGGAGAATATACCCTTGCGGTCAGTATTCTCTCTCTCTGCCCCAATATCCACTCAACGTTATAATCTGGTAAATTCACTTCGTACTGAAATCATTATGAAGCGATTCATTATTTGTATAATACAATTCTTATTTTCTCAAAAAAAGCCAGATAAATACCTGCGTCCGAATGAAATCAACGAGGAAGGTTGCAGATAAAATTTTTAAAGGGAACCTTCAGAATGACTTGCTTGGATGGAATTAAAGTTTATTGAGTAGGAAAGGAGAGATGGACGTAAAGATCAGTTTTGGACAGGAGAATTAATTAAAGCAGTCGTTGAACAACCGGAAAGTGGAATGTAAAAATTTGAGTGAAGAAACTATTATGATTAGTGGATTTCGGCAGTTTGCGTGCTTGTAAAGCTGTTCTCCAAGGTTTCAGTGTGCTCGCAGTCGTCAAGACTTGGCATGGGCATCTTCGAGTTGCCAAGCGCCTTGACAAGTTATTTAAAAAATAGTTTCTCCGTTTTAGTACCTTTCGACGGAGCTGGTCTCTTTCACTTGCTTTGCTTCCCTTTTCGTTCGCAGCTGAACATATGCATTTTCTGCTTCAAAATAACATTCTTACCAATTGGTGTTCGATTGACTTCTTGCAACGGCGATCGTGGGTCACAGAGAATGTCACTATTCTTCTCTTCTGTTCTAATACAGAAAATAAATACTCGCTAGGAATCGATAGTTACTTCAAGGGTGTTCTGCTGACATTGTGAGATGGCGAGCGCGGATCGAAGGCATCAGCATCAGCCTTTGACATGACTGGCGTCTTTGAGCCTGTCTCAGGCTTTGGAAGAGCATTTGTATCTTCGCTCTTAGACAGCTGCTCTTTGTACCTTCCAGACGGAAAGACTGAGGTGAAGTAGTTACCCATGTCTAAACTGTCTATTTTTCATTCAAAGTAGCTGTTGCTGAAAGTAAAATTCCCCGTGTTGAACTTTCAGAAATAGAAGCTGGGAATGCATGATAAAAGTGAAGTTACATGTGAAAGAATCGAATGAAAAGAGTAAAAACAACAACGAGAATAAGGAGCTAGAGCTCGGCAGAGTCGAATGAAATCTTCCAAAAGTGGCAAGAGCCATCGGATTGAGTGGAAATGGCGCAGTCAATGTCGGTGCTAATGTCACATCCGACCACTTTTTCTCCGCAATCAATTGTAACCTAAAACTTGAATAAAGTGAAAGTGGCTTCCTTTCATACCAAATTTTGGAACTTCTGAAGGTTGTGAAGTGAAATGTGCTGGTCCATAGAACCTGCGATGAGCCATTGTCCTTGCATGGCAATACTGAAAAGAAAAATGTTTAATACCTGTAAAGAATTTATAGTCTACCTTCTGACGGCTTTATTGTGAGCTTTTTGTTGGTAAAGAGGCAGTTCAGTATTTCGCATGTCCCAGAAGGCAACAGTTCCATTTTCAGAGCCAGTAGCGAGAAAGTTCGGTTCACCAGTATTTGAGGATAGCGATTGAACAGCCAAGTCACCAAGGGAAAGAGTTTCTGTATTTTTCTGCCGAGTGTCCCACGAAACAACAGTCGGCCCAGATGTCAGGTAGAGAAGGTGGCGGCTAGGCGCAGTGATATCGGTAATAACACCTGCGTTGCTTGGCCTAGATTAAATATTATGAAATCATCTCTCAAACAGTAACTGGGTCAACGGAGATTTTTTGCTGAGAAACTGTTTCACAGAGAAGTATAAAGAGGCGACTTGGCTAAGAACTAAAACTTTCAAAATGAGTCTTTTTTAACTTCTGCTAGTTCCCTGGAAGCTTCTTCAGCAAGAGATTATAATGAATTAAATGCATTTTCGTACACTTACAAAACATATGATAGCACTTGCTCTGCAGCTACATCTGTCAAATAGACACGGCCACTTCCTGCTCCTCCAGAGGCAAGAATTGCGTTTTGTCCAGCGTCAGGCAAAAATTGAACAGCACGCACCGTTCCATCGTGATTCGTCATTTCTGTCTGCATTTTCAATCCTTCAGAAGCATTTGAGAAGATCTTCACCGCTTTATCATTTGACCCAGTGGCGAGGTAGTGACCATTGGGCGACATTGCCAGGCAGTAAATAGACGCTTCGTGAACTTTATGGAGCTCTTCGATCATTGGTAGCGAATCTTGTCCTGCGCTTGGTGGAAGAAACCGCCGTAGAGCTTTTGAATTAGAACCAACGTAGAATGTATCATCGATTTCAGTAAAGCAGGGATTTTATATGCTTCGAAGAAATTAAGTCTTATATTTCAAGCAAAAAAACAAACTCAATCAAAACCCTTATCTAAAAATACAGCAACGGAGCGGTTGTCGATCTTGAAATGATGCAACTTTCTCCATCGCAACATCTTCCCAATTGAAAATATTTGGACTTTCTTCACTATCCATCGATGACTGAGGTGACTCGAAGTTATCGCCGATCGGTTTAATTTCAATATCAGCAGGTGGAATAACTTCTTCGCGACTGTTGAAAAGATGCGCATAAGGGCTATCGTCGACCGTATTGACTTGTAGGGATTTGAGGACGCTCGGGCTTTCGCTTGCCATGCTTTGTTCAAGGTTAAGCAGATCGTTTTTCGCTTCATTCTTTCCGTTGAAATCAAGAGAGTTCACTTCTTTGCCGGTTGGTGTTGGATAATAGTATTCATCAACTGGTTCACTCGTCAGCCGGTTCACTCGTGTAGTCATGGCAGGCGTTTTGATGTCGGCAAGATCGCGACCGTCTAGCGTTGCAGTAGAAACAAGTGGCGTCGCTGGCTCCTCATCGCTGTCGTCTTTTATTGTTGCTTCGGAAAGCATCTTTACAAGAGATTCCTTACGCTTTGCGCTTTTGTTGATCATTTCTCGCACGCGGTCACGATCCTGCAAGTGCGATTGATAGTCCAGTGACGCATCCGGCTTTGGCAGAGCATTCCCAACTTCTTGAATCGGCACTGATTCTTCCTCTTCATTTTCTTGATGCTCTATTTCTGTGCTCATCTCCACCTCTTCTATGTTTTCAGACTTGTCTGAAAAAAGACTGGCGCCATTTTCTTCTGCTGCTAGTCGTCTGCAAAGGCACTCAACTAGGGGCTCCAACGCTCTGCTTTTGTGGTGAATTTTCGACGTTTTCAGCATCAGCTCATAAATCAAGCCGCTCTGGATCAGGCAGAGAGTCGGGTTCTCATAATTCTCCTGATCAGTAAGCAGAAACGGAGCTAGGATCTCGACGACCTCTTTGTCTTCATTTTCAACTCTGAGCGAATCGCATTTGCCAAAACTTCTGGCAAATTATGAAACTCGATTGCCCGCTCAGCTACTTTGTACAAGCACTTCCAGTACTCGCCACCGTACGTCACGCATTTCTCAAGACAATCGACTATTTGACTGGACTTTTTCATCCCATTGTAGCCATATTTTCTCGGATTCCAATACTCCAACATTCTATTACAGACATCATTCAGTAAGAGTCCGACTTGGGTACAACTTTAGGTAACTGTATTGGGATTTATAAGAAAAAAACAGTGAAAAAGAAGGAATGCAGCATCTTTTGAACTGATTATTTATATTTAGATATATTAACGTTATTTCCGTAAAAGTAGTCAGGACTGATTTTCGAAAATGGATAAGTGTTCATTTATAGGCAAAAGTGCCAAAACCAGATCAAAAAATACCAAATTCAAAAAGTGAAACTGAGGCAGATTAAGACATTAGTTTGGGCTGTCGAAGGGTTACAATATCCTCGTAGTTAAACTTCTCCAAATCGTCGGAAGATTGAACTTTTGGACGACATTCAAAGAAGAAATTTTTGGCTGCCCTCTTGATGGCCATTTTGGCAGTATTTTTCGTATTCGGGACTTTGCTTGTTTTCGCGTCCACCTAACATAGAGTATAATAATCCACTGTCATCACATATTCAAAGAATAGTACCTTGACGAGGCTTTCGGTGACTCTTTTGGCAAGTTCTTTGAAGTGCGATTTTTCCTCAAATTTACCAGCGTTGAAATATGGGCTAAGGAGTTTGAGAACTAGCTGACGACAGGATTTGGTGTCGTTTGGAATGTAGTCTTCTGGAGACGCAGGCGCTCGCGGGGGTTTCATCGCAGAAGGCTCCATGGCAACTTTGCCGACGACCCGTTTCTTTTTCATGTCCGGGGAAACTCCGGATTCATCGGTTTCTCGCGTTCTTTTCTTTGGTCCTTCTGGACTAGGCAGATTTAAAGCATCGAGCCGCTTGAGTCGCTCAAGACGGCTCTTCGATCCATCATATTTCGTCGAACTGCGAATTCCTTTGACAGTTTTTCCTAATAGTCCTCAATATATCTATCTGTGAAACTTTGCTTCAACTTACGGGCTCCCAGAACCGGAATCGCTGGAACGACGAAGACATGGTTTTCCTTGCTTGATTCAGTTTCCTAGATATTTTTAAGCTTGATGTTGGCCGTTATGCTATTTACATTTTCAACTGTCTGCTCATCAATACTTAAAGGCACAGGAAGTGTTTCAGGCTTTTCAGGTTCGGGCGTTTCTTTATCAGGTTCTGGCGCTTCTGTCGGCAGAGGCTCTACTTTCGGTTCCACTTTTGGCTCCGGAGATCGAGGTCTGGGTTTCAGATATTTTGACAGCAGGCTTTGCTCAGCAGAGTTAAGTTTGACTGGCTTCGATTTCTTCAGCTCTTTCAGCTTTGACATAGTGGATTTGGGCTTGACTTTCGCGAAGACTTTCGGTCGCACTCAAAACAAGCAGAAAGTCAAACGAAAGAGAGAGTGCGAGCCTTGACTAAAGGAGCTGCTTTTGATGTAGAAGGTTGATCTTTAATGTCTTCTTTGGATGATTCGTCGTCCGAGGAGGAAATAAGGTTCGCGGCACTCTGGAACATGCCTGACGCTACAGGGCAAGCTTTTGCTTTGACCTCTTTCTTCTGTTCAAGTCGGAATGCCTCGGCTAATTCAAAGTTCTCTGTGGTCAGCATTATTTCCTTTCGTCTAAATTGTTTTTAAGAAGCATATATTCTAGAAACCTTCTTACTTGTTCACAATCGCGGCCTTGTAAGATATCTTCGAACGGGCACTGTCGAAAATGAACTTTTCCAAGTTACTTGCCGCCACTCGTACTTCGATATCACAAAGCGCCGCCTTCTCGGGAGTTTCTATGTAAAAGTTCACGTGGTTTGTTTCCAGACATTCTTTGAGGGTATCGTAACAGGCAGATCGCACTCGCCAGCCGAGACCGTTAACTCTGATTTGCGGATTTAAAAATCGGTTTATTAATTCTAATAATAAAAAATGTCTTTTAGATCCGAACCTTTGGTTCGCTGGGTCAATGAGTGGAGTATCATCTGGAAAGCCAACATAAAGCAACGCCTTTTCATCCTCCTTCGCCTTTTTCTGCTCCGGGATTGACAGTTTTGCTTGAGCTGCGCGTCGCTTTTTGAACTCGTTGAGAATGAGGGAAGTCGTTCCGGTCCCGTTTTCCACCTCGTCTTTGAAAGCTTCTGAAGGCTCGTCAGGTCGTTCGAAGCCATACCCTCCACGCCGACCCCCGTAAATGTCCGGGTTATATTCTGCAAAGGCATCATTGTCGTCCTCCTCGCTGATCTTCGTGTAGGTCTTGCAGCTGCCAACTTTGCCCATGCAGTCGAGTTCCCGGGCTACTTGTGTCTTATTTGTACATCCATCGCAGTTTGTTTTGCAGATGTCCGTGTTTTCGCCGAAGAACTTAGCCATTGTCTTATGACGACAATCTGTTCCCTCACAGTACTTTGTGACTGATTCGAACTGTCTTAGCTGGATCATGATTTTCTTTTGTTCTGTTCGGCGTTTCCCGCGTCTTTCTTCTTCCAGAAAAGCGGTTTCTTCATGATAAATATGAGCGAGCGTTGTTCCTCACGTGAGTAGTACAATCGACATTTTGAGGGCTTGTTGTCTCGCCCTGCTCGACCGGACTCTTGAAGATATCCAGCAAGCGACTTCGGAAGGGACCAGTGAGCGACAAAACGCACGTTCTCTTTATCAACACCCATACCAAAAGAGATAGTGGCGCAAATGACGGGAACGCGACCCTCGGTCCAGTCTTCTTGCACTCTGGTCCTTGTTTCTGGCTTCAATCCGGCATGGTAGGGCTCTGATTCAACGCCGAGACGAGTCAGAGACACGGCGATTTCTTCACAGTCGTCCCTTCGGAAGCAATAGACTATACCCGCGCCTTCATAGCTTCCGTTTGGCTGAAGCTTGCCAATACACTCTTTTGCGAAATTAGCCAAGTGGCGATGTGGATTTGGGAGGATATCCTTCATCTTCACATCGTAATAAAGGTTCTCGCGCGTGATGCCCGTGCGGAAAACAGCGCAGTTCTTCATCTTCAAAATTCGAATAACGTCTTCTTCGACCTTTTTGGTAGCAGTGGCAGTGCAAGCGACGAAACGAGCGTTTGGGACGAGCTCACGAAGAAGGCCGAGCTTGAGATAGTCTGGTCGGAAATCGTGACCCCACTGGGACACGCAGTGCGCCTCATCTATTGCCACTAAGTGGATTAAACAGCGAGCATTCATCCACCGTGCAAGCTTGATGAAGCTAAATAACAGTTAAAGAAAGACGAGGATCAAAATAAACTACCGTTGTGTTTGGACTTGTTCGGGGGTGACGTAGAGAATACGAGTTTTAGGAGCACCAGAGTACAAATCATCCATAATAGCCTTGCGCTCCTCTGTAGAGAGTTTGGAGTTGATGGATTCGGCTCTGATGTCCTTTGCGAGAAGGGACTGAAGCTGATCTTGAATCAGAGCGATCAAGGGCGATATGACGATGGAAATACCAGGGTAAAGCATGGCCGGCAGTTGATAAATCAGAGACTTTCCACCGCCGGTAGGGAGAAGTACGAAGGCGTCCCTGATTTGTGATTTTGCAAAATTACAATAATCGAATAAGAACTCTCTATTTCTACCACATTCCTATCACCTAGACACAACTCTTTCACCGCATTTTCTTGAATAGACGACCTAAAGCCCGGATGCCCGAAGTGCTCTTTTAGGGCTACGTAAATGTCTTCTTCTTTTATATTTGTCGCTTTCGACGGCATTGGGGGCGGTGGTTCATCTCCTTGCGTGTTTGCCTTTGATTTCTTCGTTGTTTTTGCTGCTTTTGATTTTGTGGGCTGCGATTTGGTCGTTTTCACCTGAACTTTCTTTTTCTTTTGAGGTTTTTGTTCTTCGCATTCATCTGGGCTGTCGTCGAATGGATTTGGTGGATCTTCCCAAGGAAGAAGATTTTCTTCCCCATCCGCGACATAGTCTTCGTCTTCAAAGTCCGACATCAATTTCTAGTAATAAAACGCTCAGATTCAACTTCATTCAGATATTTATTTCAGTCATAGTAAAACTAGCACTGCTAGAGATAAATTAACATTCAGAAGGAGACAGTTAAACTTTGAAACCAAGATCTCTCAAACACTTCTGATGGGCTTCAATCAGTTCCTTGCAGTCTTCAGCACCGTTTTCTAGAGATAAATTAAAGATTATGCCCCTCACAGTTAAAAAATCTTACCGGAAGCCATGAAACATTCATCTCGGGGCTTTCTAGTCTCTGGACACGCACAGCATGGCTTCAAACCTTTCGGTGGACTTTTTGGCTTTTCACTATCCATTCTAAAGAAATTTCGAATGTTCTTTTGTCCAAATTGGAATGGATGAGCTCAGTCATTGTTGAGGTAATACTCTCGAATCTTCGATGAGATCTCATTGGCAGTTGAAATTCTAATTACAAGGGGATGCAGAAGTTCTGTTAATTTCTGTAATGTGCTCGTTCTTGAAAGTTTAATGATTTCTTGGGTTGGCACTTCGCAAATCTTCGAAGCGATGTCGAATGAAATCACTCCGTTATCGACCAGCGCTTTATGTCCAGCTGGAAGGACGGATGTGTCGTTTTCTAGTTTACCGATGAAGACCACTTTCTTCGTGAAGTCGTAGGGAGAAAACAAAACTCCTTGCATCCTTTATGGGCTTGATGAATGAATCGAAAGTCAACTTGGCTTTCTTCCTTGATTTTTGCGTTCGAAAGCCTTTCCTGAACACCATCAACATGCACCAAACATCGAATAGGGCTGAATGTGCTTTTCCTTCGTACATATTCCAACCTGGAATAAACTCTTCACCAAGCACAGTCAACTTTAATTTTTGCTTTGGCATTGTTCGCTTCAGCGGAATCATCGTATCTGAGAACCCATATATCGAGTTCTTGAAGCGCTCTGCCAAGCCTGCTCGCGCCATTTGACGGATGAGAATCGGATGATCGTAACCTGTTCCGAAATGAGCCACGAGAACGACTTTCTTTGAGAAACCCTCGAGCCATTCGCAAAGCTTGCCCATCGCTTTGTTCGCGGATTGGACGTGTTTGTGAACTTTCCCTCTGACTGAAATGGAATTCATCTGTTTTTTAATATAAATTTCTTTTCACTTAGCATCACTTTAGAAATCCTTTCCTTTGAGTCCTGTCTTTCCCTCCCTTTTTATCCCGTTTACTTTTGAGGCCCCTGCACTGAATTTTCTATCAGGAACCATGAGCTCATAGAATACATTTGGCCCTCGATGGTTTTGATTGTAAACACTCGGACATTCAAACTTGTTGAGCTCTTGAGCCCAGCAAGCGATCTCACAGATAGAACAGTCTCTCGCCCTCCCAGTAGTTTCAGTATCGTAATAAATGACTGTATAGTTCAGATCTTCACCGCGACGTATCGTCTTCGTAAAATTTGCAGAGTTCTTCTTTTCGGCTGCCTTCTGTTTCTTCAAAAAGGAAGTCTCGTACGATTGTTCATGGGTGATCGTATAGCAATATACAGGAAATCCAGTCATACGTGATTTGTAGTAAGCAACAATTCGAAGCAAATTCATATCCGTATCGAAAATAACGATATGCTTTGGGAGAAGATCGCCAAGAAATGTGATGATGTCCAGTAGCCGGCTTTCTAAAATGATTTCAGTTTCTGTACGAAAGCAATCAATAAAGACACCGAGTAAATTTGTCTTCGTTGATCTCAGTAGCTATATTCAAATATGACTCAATTACCATTATGTTTGATTAACACTACATTTGAATGTGTATTTTTCAGCAGCATCTTGACCTTATCATACGAGCGAGTAAACCGGAATAGAATAACGATCGGCTTGTCATCAAACAAGACTTCCTTCAAAAGCTCATTGATTTTTCCAATCTTCTCTTCCAAATTAGTCGTGAAGTAGAGTTTTACTGGAAGGGGCGTTTCACTCGCTGGAGCAAGCACATCATAGGTCTCCTCACCCTCAATCTCGCGCTTCGCGATATTAAAGTTGTGCACTTTCAGACGGCCTAGATTATTTCCAATGTCGGGCATCAAATGTTCCATTTCTAGTGTCTCGACTCGATGAAACTTGCCATTGAGTTTTGGCGACCAGTAGCCGATTCCAAGCACGAGATTACAACCAGGCTCTAATTTCTGCGAGTCGTAGGTCTAACTATTCGTGAAGAAGGTCTTTAGGATTAAGGCCCCACCTCCATCCTCAGGCAAATTTGAGCTTTGTACACTTTGAGCTGGAAAAGGGCGAAGGTTTTCTGAACCTTTCCTTTGCACATTTTGATTTGCTGCTGGTCGTTTTCATCCAAACCGAAAAGCTGCAACCCCTCCTTGAATTGCAGAAGAGCTTCCACCACAGCGACTAGCGTAGTCTTGCAAGAAACATGAACAAGTGTAAGCTCTTCCGGCTTCGACCAAATACCGGCGATCAACTCGAGAAGATGATCTTTCGTGACGTCGTCCATTCTATTAGCATTCCAATCTGAATTTTTATAATTCGTAAAGATTTAAATTTGGCCACATTCCAGGGAACCCCTTTCACATCCGCATTTCGCCACGATCGTAAAACGCAAATATAATAGGCAGTAAATACAATCATGCTACAGCATCACGAGAGGGTCAAACAGCCTCAGCTGAGTTCCACGACAAAAAGAAATTCAGACGAATCAACATGACAAAGGCACTCAGCAGAGAACAAAAAAATATTTCAAACATGCGGATAACAGTAATCGGTAGGGACGAGAGCAACGAATTATTGGGAACGACTTTCTAGGTCCCAAATTGAGCGGAAAGAGCCATTTACTCTCTCTTTTGGATGCAGAACCCGAAGAGAATTTTGTCGAAGAATGTCCAGTCTTCATCACTTCTACAGGAAGGGTTCTTAAGTAGTGAAGGCAAAGTGTTATCGACGCCTATGAGCGAAAGCCTATCGAAAATAAATGAACCATTACGAAGATGTAAAGAGCAAGAAAGGGATTCACAAATTTGCCATCACGGAAGTGTCATCAAAATTTCACAAGATCAAGAATTATGAAGTGAGGGAGGACGCGCTCAAGTATCTCTACGACTTGTCAGACTGTTTCCTTATTTTATGGTCAAATCAACACGGCTATTTGGAGGCAGTCGATGATATTTTCGAGCACCTTCGAGAGTACTGTCCACTTGTCAAAATTTTCTTCGGTAAATCAAAAAATCGAAATGTTTCCCCTAGTTCTAGTTTATAACAAAAATACCTCGATAAAGAAAGTGAAGGCTACATCCTCAACTCTAACAAATACGAAGTATCTAAAAGAATGTTGCAAGCGATATCGAGTCACATTTTTAAAAAAGACAAATTTGAAGAAGAGCAAGAAAAATAAAATTGAAAAAATGCTTCTGGCAAGGGTTGCTGAGCAAATTTTAAATTCAATAAGAGTACTTAATAAGTTTTGAGCATATCATTCACACGCAAACCAGTGCTGCCGACCCACAAAAAAGAAAATGATCCCTAAGAACCTTGAGGACTTATACGAAGACTCTGAATTTGATTTTGCCGTGCGAGATTTCTACGAAACTGAAACAAACGACTTGGATGAGTCGTCTTTCCTCGACAGCTCGCTCGATACTTCACTGGATACAACGCTTGGCTCCACTTTTTGAACTCGTGCTGTAAATAAAAAATGTCTGACTGTATAAATTGCATTCCGAATAAATTCGTTTATTGTTTTTAGAATAAGCACTCGAAAGCTTCCAGTCTCACGTGATCATGAATTTCTAGCAGATTTGCCACTTGGGCACACACAGGGTCACCATTAATTGTCACACAGCCGATCACATGTTCATTTTCATTCAGGAAAGCAGTTATATATCGGTCGGATGTCTCGTCAATGTAATGTTTTTGGGAAGAACAATCATCCGCACGAGCTCCAACTGATCGTAGGTGAACTTTTCCAAAGGAACTCCATACCATCGTCTGTCTCAACTTCGTTGCATCCTAGACAAAATATTTAAAACTTTTTATAAAATTAAACGGTAGGATCGTAAGATCACTATCATGAAGCCAAAAAAACCGTTATGTTAGATTAAAAACAGTCAAATTGTTTCTAAACGAAAGTTTTTTTTGGGAGACTAAAAAATGAGTGACGCCGAGAAAGTTCGAAAAGCTCGAAGACGGGCAATGGCCCCAGGGGATTTCGTCGAGAGAGGCAAAGACGTACTCGGACCTCAGAAGAGGTCTGGCAAGCCCTTCGACAGCAAGTAAGTACTCATGTTTATTTTTATATTTTATATGTAATTAGATCGAAGAAAGTCGAAGACAGCCTTGGACAGGCTCACGCCGCTCGACCGAAATATTCGAGTACTGTCCAGAGTATTTTGGACAGATCTGTCCTAGGGTCGGCTACTCCCCGATGGAAGAAGAGTGGAAAAAAGCTCTTCGAAGATCCACGGTTACCGTAAGTCTTTATAGTGATTTTTGCATTCTCATATTTATTAAGATCGAAGAAATAAGGATCTGACGATCGCAGATGAAATATTTAACTATTTTTCTGCCTTATACAATAAATCATTTAGACTATTTTCTAACTCTTTCTTGCAGCAAAAAACATCTATAATAAATTAAAATTAAGAGTGTATAAAATATAGAATATATGAGATGATGAGTAATAAAATTCAGTGATAACTTACCCCAGTCAAAATATGAGTAGCAGCCGCTTTTCCCATTTCTTGAGCAGCAGCCCAATGCGGATTATAACTGACGCCATCAATTTTCACGCAGTCACCGACAGCATAAATATCTTCGCAGCTAGTTTGGAATTTGTCGTTTACAGAAACTAGTTCTCCAGTGAAGTTGACTTCTTCCGGCAGAAAACTTGTTACGGGAATGCCTCCGATGCACTGAATCAAAGCACCAAACGAATGCTCAGATCCATGTTCAAAGATAAGTTTTTCGTCTTCGACTTTTTCCACTACTGATTCTGATAGAATTTCGATTCCAAAATCTTCTAGCTTCTTTCGTACGACCTTGAATATGAGTAAAATATAAAATTCCAGACGATCTTGCCTTTCCAATCATTTCTCCATAAGGAGTAGAAAGAGGATGATCCTCTCCAATGACGAGTGTCATCGATTCTAGTTTGTTTTTCTTCTTTAGCATGACAAGATTGGCGGCGGTTTCAACGCCGAGATAAGAGCCACCAACAACGGTTACTCGCTTGCCGGAGACGAGCTCTTGAAGCCGCTCTACGTCAGATGAGTTATACACTGTGATTCCCGATGATTGCCCGGGCAAATAACGGGGCCGCATGCCAGTGGCAACGATCAGCTTCGAGTATCGCATTTCTTCGAACGTCCATTTTTTCTGATTCAGATTTACAAAAACTTCAAAGCACACGGAACAGCGAACTTCTCGACAAGTATAAGTGTTCTTGTTCATTTTTTATGAAATCTTTCCTTAGGTCCACAGCCAATTTTGTTCGGATCGGGAAGGATTCGCTTCACTCTCAATAGCTTCGCCTTAGGATCAATCGATAAGACCTCGGTACTCGACAAATAGCTGATGTTTTCGTTGACTTCTTTTGTTAAAGGAACCTCAGCAAATCTCTTCGAAATGAGGGTTCTGTCATAAGGGCCAGCGACTGATTCTTTGCTCAAAACTTTGACGTAAGCTCCGGCTGAGGCTAATGACTCTGCTGCTGCGGCACCAGCCGCTCCTCCACCGATAATTACCACTAGAATGATCAATTAGTATTAGACTTTTCTTAACCGGAATAAAAATTTTCCCATGAAAGTTAGTAAGTAAAAGTACCATTTTCTGAGATGGAGTCATCTCTTTGGGTAGACTGTGGAAGTAGCTTGTCGAGGTCGACTTCAATGGAGTCGTTGTCCATTCGTATTTTGTACTTTTGAAGAGGCTTCAGTGCAGGCGCACAACGAACTGCACCACTCTCAAGATCGAAGATGGCACCGTGGCAGTGGCAGCGGAGCTCGTTCTCATTACGCTGCGCCTTTTGCATTACGACTGGGCGGTGGCTGCATACGCTCGAGAGGCACGTGATGGAGCCGTCTTTAAGCTATTCGTTTTTCGCGCGACTTGAAACGGTCTCCTTACTTTGGCGAAGAGAAGATTATGTTCGAATCCGTCTTTCTCGAGCTTCTCCAGCGTAAATCCGCCGCTAGACAATGTACTCGGGCGCACTTTGCTCTTGAGCCAATTGCTCTGCCTCCGAAGCGCGATTCGCAGCATTCTAGCGTCCAAAATGTTACCTCGAGGAAGATTTTACAGTTTATTCTTTGAAGCGGAATTAATTGAGTAACTGTAATTGTTTAAGTTAGAACAGAAGAAATGCTGGATTTGGATAATGCACAGTTTAAATAAGCGTGAGCCAATCTGGGCTCTCAAAAGGTTGTTTTGTCTTCCGTAGCTATTACTTTTCGGTGAGTTGGAAAGGAATAGAGTGGACTTATTCCTGGCCGAAGCCTTCTGTTTCGCGAATGGCAAGAAGAAGCTTTTCTTTCATTATTGCTTTGGACTTGTAGGGAGGTAGATCAAGTCGGTTAAAACTATAATTTGTTGTTTACGTTTGTCAATTCTGTTTTTAAATACCATGTATGAGATCGCGGCAACTGATCGTCTTTTCCCACTTTCTCGATGACAAACTTTTGTGGTCCATTTGATCCAATAAGTTCTTCAAAGCCGCCGTGCGGAAGACGACAAGTTCCAGTAACAAACGAAAGCAGTTTTGCTTGATCATCGTCAGAGAACTCGCGAACAATTTCCCAAAACCAGATGATCTACAATTGCATAATAGAGCATAATCATAGACGACAAGTCTTACTTGTTTGCTGCTCGCCGTGTAGTTTTTGAGGTGATAGTTTCTCTTCCAGTCGTCGATGTCGATCTTGTGAATTCCACAGAGCATCATTTCAAGCTCGCGCTCGTCGAAGTACTGTAAAAGTGTTCAATCCTGAGTGGTTGTTTTCAATTCTGACCTGCAGCCACTCAATGGGAATAACTTCACTGAAGCCTTCCAAAAACCGGTCACTCTGTTCTTTGACACCTCGCGTGAACCGCCAGTCAATCATCAGTTGTATGTACTCCAGCTATGATGAAGAATAGCTTCATGCTTATATTGAAAATATATGAAAATACCTTGTTGGCTTCAGTCACACGAATTTCTGAGCCACCTTCTTTGAGATCTACGGACTCGATCTCGCCGAGGATCTCTTGATCTGTAGAAAACCACATCTTGAAATAATGCTTACACTAGCTCATCGATTTAAAAATACCTCAAGGTCCGGATATTCTTCCAAATTATTGTCGCGCACCCAAGTCATCGTTTGGGCCCATTCTTCGTCAACTAATTTGATGTCTCTGAGACAAAGGGTTCTTCGAAGCATCTTCTTATAGAAAGGCAACGAAAACCCTGTGTCGATCAATTTTCCATGGTAAAGAGCCATCGCTATGAATCGCCCAAAAACTTAAACAAATGTCTATCGAATAACATAAAGAGAGTACCTGAAAATATCGAAGATGATCGTCAAGAATCAGTTTTGACGCTGGATTAATTTCCATTTGATAATTCGACTGAGCCATGTACTTGAAAAGACCGTAATTCGGATTGAGTACTTCTCGAGAGACCATGAAGAACCACTCTCTATTTAACGCTTTAGCTTTTCAAGGGACAACCGTTCAATTTTACCGAGCAACGCCTCCATAATCGAGACCTTCTTCTCCTTTGTAGTGAATGTAAAGACGACGGCGTAGATCATGCGCGGGGATTTTCATGATTTCCTGGAACGAATCGGCGAAGACATGCTGCCTTCGGACGTTGATTTTTACATACTATAAATCGTTGAACATCCAACCATCACACAGCTACAACAGAAATACCTGGTTCATGGCATTGGACTGGCATAAATATCGGAACTGGCCGTACTTCCACTTGAATGATTTCTTTCCATTGGAGTGTTGCGAATCGCTGCTTCCTTCTCTCGGATCCTGGAATGTAGTAGTTTTGTTTTTGTGGTCGATGAAATAGCGGACTCCTTCTTCAGTTGTCGCCAAATCCCAGCCATCAGGAAGAGGTGCCTCTCCGACGCGCCTGAATTGCATTATCAAAGACGATTTCTAGTTACGATACAGTACCCTTGGATTCGAGGATCTTCCCACTGTGTTGTCTTTGTTTTATGATTGATAAAGTAATGACGATTATTTTTCCATCTTCGTTCCCAATTTTCGGGCAGCGGACCAAGAGTGTCATCTTGCGCGGTATCGACTGGTCTTGACTGTCTTCGAGCCAATCCATCCGCCAAGTTGAGACGGTTGCTGTAATCTTGAGCGATGTCAGTCTGAGGAGGACTCCAACTCGTTCTCTGTGTGTTGTGGTCGACGTAGTAGACACGGCCGTTGTCGATCCTGCGTTCCCAGCCAGGCGGTAGCACAATGGGACGTTCCCATTGAGTCGTACGTGTGTTGTGATTCTCGTAGTAGCGTCGACCTTGCGGATCAAAACGCTGCTCCCAGCCTGGCGGAAGTGTTGGATCTCGCTCCTGGACTCTCGCCGACGCTTGGTTACTGCTGCTTCCCGCTTGTGAGCGCGGTCTCGTAGAGTCAAACTTGTCCCTTTCCAGCTTCTGACAGTAGATTCGCCGCAATTCTTCGGCCTCAAGAACAGTGGAAATGTCAATGTTTGCGCTAGTAAGAGCTTCTTTCAACTCTCGAATGGACATTTGCCGCGCTTTTTCCGCATCCATGCCACGTTGCTCGTGAGCCATTGCTCGCGCTTGTTCTGGATCTGCGGGTGGATGGACGACGCCGCGGCGCTTTAGAAGGAACGTAACCTCACGATCGCTCATGTCGTCGACTTTCTTCATTATGATTTCACGAGAACGCGATTGTGGGTTCTGATTTCGTTCCCTCGTTGTTCGCGGAGTCGGTCGAGGACCTGCACCCGGGCTGGGGTTCGATGGCCCTGGAGAAGTTGAAGACGTAGAAGGGATATTTTCTAGGCGTTCGCGGATTTCTTCGGTCTCTGACTCTTCTCGGTCTTCGTTTTGAGCGTTCTGTGGTTTCTCAAAACCAGTTAGGCTAATTTTCAGCTTTCCGATGGTGATTTGATGCGAATTTACCAGGAGCAAGGAAAAGGCTTTCGACGCGAATTCTCCATCGCTCGAACTCAGCTTCTCGGCAATATCGAACTCGCATTCCCCAATTAGCGAGTCTTGACCAGTCTTACGAAAGTTGAAAATTTTGAATGAGAGGATATCTGATCGACGAACAAGAATGACTAGATCCTCGTTGAAGTGGGGATTTTGCGATGGTTGGTGAATTTTCGTCTTGCGACTGAGATTCGTCGGAGCCGAGGAGAGAACCTTCACTTCGCAGTAAGCCTGCGGATCGGCAGAAAGAAGAACGAAGCTTTTCTGGCGAGGGAGAGTCGCATCCTTTACTAAATTCAACATTTTGAATTGAAAAATGAATAAAGATCAAATACAAATTTTGTAAAATTTTTTAAAAACATAACCAGAAGATGGCTTATTCAGTCTAATTAACGCTACTTTTGACAATGACTACTTATATTTACGGAGAAAAGGAATCCGCGCTTACTAGAGATGGAAAGCTGATGGAGCTGCTGCCTAGAGTTGGATTCCGCCATTATTGCGTTGGTGAGTCAACAAATTGAAAGGAAAACTCTGCGGGCGCGCAAGTGGCAATCAGGGCTTCGTTTTTGCGTTGAGTGTTCTGCCCTCGCCCGATTCGATCATTTTGGCGCGATTTCGAGAATCGGCTTTAGCAACAACTACAGATGCAATCTAAAGAACACTCATTCCTTATCATTCTTTTTATTTTTTTAGTTTTGGTGAATGACTCTTCCGTTGTACAGAACAGTGTCGTCAGACAGTAACAAAATTGCGTCGTCCTGGGCGGTCATCATTTCGGCGACTTCCTCATTCATCAATCCGTCGACAGCCTGGCCGTTGACTTCGACGATTTTCCATCCCTCTGGAATGCCGACCTTGTCCGCCTGGCTGTTCTCCACGACATCGGCTGTGAAGTGACGTCTCTTCGCCTTCGTGTGGATCGTGAATCCGTACATTCCGGACGAGTCCTTTCGTATAGACTTGATCACCGTTTCGCCAGAAGCACAAGCTAAGAGCCCGAATAACGCAAGAAGCTTCATATCTTTTTCTTTCTTTTTGGCGAGTCCATTTCGCTAACTTCCAGGAGCAAAGACGAGCAGGTGCCATCTTCTCAGCCAAGTTCTTATCTGGAATTTCTGAAGAAGTGAGTTAAACTCGAAGAGGCAGATAATTTTTTAGAATAATAATAAATATGTATGTTTGAATAGATAAATAATATATTATATTCTTGACTTATATTATGTAGACTTTGATTTAAAACACTTTAAATTGTGTGTAAATTAATAGATTCGTCAATAACAAGATCATTAATAAATTCTCTTTGGCCGTCTTCCAAAAGCATTGTTGATACCTGAGGAAATTGAATTTAAGTCTAGTCAGCGAAAAAAGGTACTTTTTTGTAAAATTATTTTGTGGCTCAGGGCCACGTAGCGTATTTGGACTGCTGCGGGCGAGGATTGGCTGACTGGCGCCTGAGTAATGCTGGCCGAAACGAGACTTACGAATTTATGGTGATAGTGAAAGTATTGAAAGCGCATGGGGCGATACCCATTTCCTAGCTTTTTTCAAGAGAAACCTCCTGTCCCTCAAGAACTTTGAAAAATAAGATAAGAAACATAGAGGAGAGCAACTAGAATTGGTCTTCTCCTGGAGATGTCAGTTATCAACGGAATGCCCATCATCGACAGTTTTGGGTGCAAAGTCTGCTCCCTTATTCACGGTAAATAAAGCTAACTCTTTCCCAAAAGCCGCGTACGGCTTTTACTCTAACCGAAAATGAAGATCTATGGACGAATTTCAATAAGGATTTCTGAGTGAAATCCTTACCCCCCTTTTTTATTGGCTCATCTGAAAGAGCGTAAAAAATTACCCTAGTTGAGTCGGAAAGATTGGCGAATTTTCGAACTTATAACGTCAAAGCACGTGACGGAAGTTACGAAAGTATCTAACTTTGGACGCTTACCTTTTTTATGTCGCTTGAGCTATCATGACATGCAATAAATGAAAATGATCGTCTGATCGAGATCTTGGTGTGCATTTAGGTTTCATCCCTAGAAAAAAATCTCATCCCTTTTATGAAAATCGGGTACTAGTGATAAAGGGTTGAAAGAAATTTTTGAAGGGATGAAACCTAGATGCACGCATAGCTCTCGTCGCGACGATCATTTTTCACTATCACACGCCCTGATAGCTAGAGTAGATCGAAAATGCGGAGCGTCCAAAGTTTTGGTACCTTTGGAACTCTGGTCAGGTGCCATGACGTCATTTCGAGGGAAATTTCATTCTTTTTTGGGCGAATCTAGGATAACTTTTTACGCTCTTTCCAATGAGCCAATAAAATAGGGGGGTAAGGATTTCACTCAGAAATCCTTATTGAAATTCGTCATGATCGAAAACGCAGGAGGCCTTTTTTTTAGATAAGCCGCCTTACTAAGCTACTACAGAAGGAGGATATCAAGAGTCAAAAGATTTATCCAAAATTTTTATATTAAATTTCAATCGAATATAGTTTTAATTCAAAATACTAGGATTGATAACGGCGTCTTGCTGATTTTTAACCTGAGAAGAAGCTTTGGAGCGGTGTTTAGCAAAAGTCTTGAGAATTGGATGAAATTAAATGGCTTTGAAATTTATTTGACCTTTTAGTGTTGATGCTCGGTGCGGCGGAAGATCTCACTTGCTTGCTCTGTGAGAAGATTCACGCGCTGCCGAGGAAAGAAGCTTCGTCAGAACTTCTAACAGTAAGAGCGCAACTGGAGACGAGGACGACGCAGACTTCGGATCACTCGGACTCGGAATGGAACGGCATCGTCCAAAAAAGACCGAAACGCCCTCGCCCCAGTAAGGAAAAGAGGAAGAAGGAGAAAGAAGTTGCGCAAGAGCCGGCTATCAAAAGAAAGAAAAAATCGGAGAAGACGGCGCCGGAATCGAGTCTTTTGAAAACTTGGAAAGAAGCTAAAGAAAAACTTTCAAAGAAAAACGGGGAAAAGAAGCAGAAAAAAGAGCGAAAGGCTTCTAATGAGGAACACATACCGCGGGCGCTTACCCGTCTGATAGACGGTGACAAACCGAGAAAGAAGAAGAAGTCGTTTGAAGGGCCAAAACCACCCACGACGCGGAGCTCCAAGGTAGTTAAATTTTGCCCCATAAGAAAAACACAGTCTTTATTTTTATGGTGATGTCCCCATTATGTCGTAAAAGCCATATTATATGGCCTATCTAATCTAAAGAATCATTATAAATTATTCGATATTGATATCTTAAATTTTCAGAGCGAGAAGCGAAAAAGAAAGCTTCCAGTTCGCGCGAAAAGAAAGAAATCAAAACCTTCGGAAAGCGAAAAACCTAATGAAGCCAATTCTAATGAGACGGAAGAAACTGATGAAGACGAAACTGAGTTTCACGATGAGAAGCGATGCTTTACCTGTCGAAAGACATTCAGTAGGATGTCCGAAGATCTTGTTCACGTACTATGCGATAGTTGTCAGCACGTAAGTTTTCAATATTTTTTTTTTCTTGGCGCGAGGTTGTTATTAGTGGATTTGCGGGAACTGCGCGCCGGAAGCTGCGGATATTTCCGCCAAGGACGTCTACACTTGTGAATCCTGTGTTCGAAAGAAGGAAAAGGGCAAATCTTTAAAGGACGAGAAGATTCGAAATGATGAGCTAATTATGTTTTGCTCGAACACTTGGTGCTCGTATGAACTCTCGCTTGCTGACAAACTAAGTACGAGCCATTTTCTTTTTCTTATCTTGGATGAAAGCACAAGTTGCGACACTTCATCTATGACTTTTTCGTTACCAAGATTACGAAAATTTACTTTCTAGAGGGTAAAACGTCTCTAACCGAGAAAACTCGAGCCAGCCAAATCGAGCAGCTTACCACTCTCGTGAACAAGCATGAAGTTACCTGCACCAAAAATTTCAAGGTAAGAATCCATCGGCCTCTCTCTTTTTTGTAAATTGAGCATTTCAGCTGAATAAGCGAATGAAAAGAAACGAAATGGGGCGGGTGCAATATGTGGATATTGACAAGGAAGGGCTCGACCCTAAAGTCTCGGGAAGCATGGTGAGCAAGAGAATACTCGAGGACTCCATGCCGTATATCAAGGTACATTCGGCTTTTTCGCTTGACGGTTGTGTGACACTTTTCAGATGGAGAGAATCAATCATGAATACGAGCAGCAAATGGAGAAAATCAAGAGCCCGCCGATTGCCGAACCTTCGCCTCACGACTTCGACGACTTGTCAGATTCCTCCGACGAGCAAGAATTTAGCGACGACTTCTGACCCTCTCTACATAGTATTTTACAATTATAAATAATAATTTCGACTCATTGCCTAAACTAAACCTGATCTGATTGTATATACTTATGATGACTGAACTGATATGATATTCGAATAATATACAAACTACAGAGACGTTGAAAATAATTTATCTAACAGACTCTTTCTTTTTAGTATTGGAATCGGAAGCTCGGGTGCGTCCACCTAGCCCGGTGTAAATGGGCTGAATTGATGCCGCTGCGACCGAGCAAGCGGCTTGTCGGCTTCTAAAAAAGAACGGGCCATGTAAAAAACTGTAAATTCTCCAGTTATCATAAACAGTTATGTTGAAGCTACTGTTACCTTTTATTACGCTTTTTTCGCGTCTATATAATAAATAAATCATACAATAAGTACACACTCTCCAAGATCATTTTATATCAATAATTTTTATGCAGAAAAAAAGGGTACCAGCGAGCAAATCGAAAAAAAAACTGTTGTATAAAATTAAATCCTCTACTCTATCAATCGTCAAAGCCTCTACATGCTTGTCAGGTCAGAATAAAGAATAAGTTTTTATATTTAATGAAGAGGAATTGTTGAGCGACGCATTGACTGACTTCTGTAAAAATTCGTGCTTGCTTCTTTGCAGTTTTTGAAATGAATCTCTAACATTCGGTTCTGCTAAAATAGGGTTTCGTTGATGAAAAAGCGTTCTCGATGAGCTCACCTGCTCGCTTTTTCGACGGAGTATTTCTGGGTTTTCGATCGGTGGAATGTAAAATTTAGCGATGAGGTGCACACTGATAATTGAGAATTTAGGCTACTGGTTGCTCACCTGAACCCGATAAGAAACGGTCCCGCCGCGAGAAAGGAGCAAATAAAAACGCTTGTGCCTCATTCATTGAGTACCCTTTCGAGCAACTAAACAGTTAGAAACAGACTTAGTCGGAGGCCCACCTTTCGAGCATTTTCTCTTTGAAAAGGATACTCTATTTCTCTGTTACTATGAATGTAGCTCTTTCCTTTTTGATTTGCCAGAATCGATCGAGAACGTCATAAGTCGGTCTAATCTCGCACGAGATTTCTACTTGTGAATAATTATTCTGACCCTCGTTGCAATCAGCATTATTCACGGCAATTGATACGAACCGTGGCAACGTACTTTTTGTCTTTAAAAGAGGTGTCAACAGCTCGCGGAGGACATTACTCACAATAAGCTTATCAAGGCAACTTAAGTCGAGCATTGTGTGTATTTAGGCAAGTGAAGTTGAATTATCATCGTAATTTTGAATGGAGCCTTGCGATGCAAGACTCTCGAGGAAGGTCTTCATCGAGTTGATCAAAGAGGCGCTGCAAGAACATTTGCAAGAAAAAGAATCCAACAGAGAAGGCGCAGTGGAAACTAATAGTGCTGATCTTCCAGGAGAAAACGAAATAGTTGAAAACAACGAAGAAATTTATTATAAATGGGTATGCCTTTAAAAATTGTTTTATAAATAAAATAAAGGGAATTTAGTCGGAAGAACATACATTTATGATATTCCATCCTGCGCCGGAAATTGTTTTTACGTTTTTGGCCTTGCTCCTTTTCGTCCTGACGCTAGTACGTTTCGTTTACGAGTGTGATTTCGCCCTTGATTTCGGCTTTTACGATACTAAGCGGCCAACGCACCTGGAATGCCGCTCAAAGAAGCTGGCAAGAGATCAAGAAGATCGAATGCCCCTGTGAATAATCTGAATAAATGTAAATTGACAAGTAATGTTTATTTCAAAATTTCAAAGAGTTTCGCAGATCTCCGAGTTCTTCTGGAATCGGAGCTGACCCATCGAAAGTGATTTCAGGCAGACTTCCGCCGACTACTTTGATCCAGTTGTCCTTCGAGACTTCTTTCTCAAAATCGCTCAAGCTTGTAAAGTTCACCATTCTAAACACATTTGAAAAGTGAGAATAATTAAAACGCATACTGTTTTTGTTTTTCCGTGAGGAAGGCCTTGATAACAGCCCAAGTCGCTTTGAAAATCCAAGGCATGTCGAGGGCGGTAATCTTGAAAATGTAGTGCGGGAAGATTGCCGTTCCTTATACGCGGATTAAACATAATCTTCAAATAATTTATCCTTTAAAATTAAATATTCATTAATCATTATTTAAATAATTCAGTAAAATTCATCTCTGGCTGAGTAGTAAGTACTGCTAAGTCAGAGCCGCGCCTATGTAAATGAGATGTTTGATGAAATCGATGGAGACATTAGACATGCCAGCGCCTTTGAAGATGAGCACGATTTGCACTGGTTTGTTGGGTTCAGCTCTTTCGAATGTTTGATTTAGAAGGAGTGGTAGTACTTTATGCCTACCTAGTGATTGCCTCGAATAAATAGTCCAGGCATCGCTTGCCCTCTTCCAACTGTTTAGGGTCGTTGTACTGGACTTGGACCCACATAATCCTACCAACATAGTTCTTTATACAGTTTTAAAGATTATTTTTGAAGTATTCTTGACATTAATTAGAAGCTTGAACTACTGCCTATTTCCGCTTTTAGTTTTGCCTTGAATTGTAAACAATGGCTGCTTGAATGGAGCTAGCTTTGTAGCTTCAAGCTCGTAGAGTTTCGTCTTTTCCCGAAATTCTAGCGACTCCTTGACCTGGCCAAGAACTTCTTTTTCGGTCTCAGTCCACTTCATGAAGGCAACGAGGAGACCCGAGTCCGGGAGTAAAAGCCGCGCGCGGTCGGATTCAAGTCCACATGTACTCCACCATTCTTGTTTTTTCAGGGTTTCCTAGCCATATTAGTATTATCAATTAAAAAAAGCTATTTTATACCTGAAACTCAGCAACCGACTGTGTCTTCTTATCGAAAAATGACTTGACGCAAAGCGGATTTTCCGCCATTCTCTTTGATTTTTTTGCAGATGGAGCGCGGCGAATCTGTTAGGAGATTCACGGATTCACTGGTCAAATATTTACGATGAGAGAAGTATCATTAAAATGCTCCTTCCTTACTAATAGAAGAATGAATTTAGTTGACCGGAAATCCCGATCATCACGTACTTGATATAATTTCTATTTGTTTGTCTATCCAATCAATAGATATTAAGACTGGAAGATCAAGCGTTTTTTAGACATTTTGAAACTTGGTTGTAATGTTAAATCGGTCGTATTTTACTATTATTTTGAGTAAAGCTTGCGAAATGTATATTTTCCATATTGAGTCAAGAAAACGAAATTAAAGGATCGTGCGAGGAATTCGAAATAGTTACACAATCCGAGGCTGGGATCACCTGTGAGCCTGTTTTAACATGTTTGCGAAAGTATGCATTTTCACTCTGCCCGGGGGGAAATGCGCGCATTACTACTACAAAATCGCCCTAGAAATTTTCGGTTGACTAGTTAGTTGAGAGAGGGGATAGCAGCGTAGAAGAGAAAATGGGATCCGCTTGAAATGTGATCGACATGTCTGATTATGAGATAAACGTGATTTTTTCGATATGTCTTTCAGTAACGCTGTTGGCGCTTGGTGCAGAATTCTACAGGCTTATCAACGCTGTATTTAAAGGTCAGAGAAACATGGGCGACTTATCATAACAATTGACTTTCAGAGTTGAAAAACAACAGAGACAGAGCACTTGAATGGCCTCAAACGCTCTCGACAAGATGCATTTACTTGATTCAAGTGGAGTTTTGCTTTTTGATCTCGTTGATGGAAGGCGTCAACCTACTTTACTCCCTCAACGATGTCGCCTATGGAAAAGTTGAGTACATAGAGGATACTGCCGCTCCTGGATTATCCTTACCGTGCTTTTTGATTGTGGCCGTATTTTTCTTTTCTATGTGTCAAGGAAAGTTTGTTATCTAGAATAACTTCAGTCCATTTTCCTCATAAACAAACTTCCTACAGTCGGCTGCATCAGAGCATCACGGCCATTATCTAGATTTCGTTCCGAGCGTGAGCTCAAGCCAGCACTTGACTTCTGCGTCTGGCTCAATTTATCGGATTTACTTCAACTGTGGCTTCTATATTTCGGTATTGAAAAATTCAGCCGTATTCCGTCTCCTAGACATCTAACGACTTGTATCCTTCTGATGAGCCACGTGTACGCAGAGCTTTCCTATGACTTCAAGTTTGCTGCAAAGCAATTACACAGCTTGGCGAAAGATCTTCAGATTATCTTTGCCTTGACGATAGCTTCAAATGTTTGTTTATGTTTTCTTCACACAATACGATTTGGGTTGGGTTTTATATTTATATATGTTTATTCATTTTTTGACAACAATATCGAAATTGATTAATTGAAACTGCTGTGAAATAAATTAATGGAACCCGGAAAAGAGTACAGCTAGCAAAATTCTTCACAATAGACGATTTCTCTCAAATAGTTTCTACAACTTGCCAAAGCCAAAACGCTTACCGCTGCCTTTTCTGGTTCGACAAACTCCTTGTTGTCTTCACGGTCTTTGACCTGCTTTTTATACTGATTCTTGTCTACCAAATGAAGAAAATGGAACTCAGTCCAAAATTACTCAACCCCGTGGTTTATTTTGGACCGTCAGTTCCTCTTGGGGAAATAACTCTGCGCGAAGATCAAAATGAGTATCCCGCGAAAATGTCTCTTGAACTCGAGGAAGACCAACCGATGTATTCCGACTCGCTTAGGCGCGCTGAAAAATTCTTCAACTTAGCTTACGAATGCTGCCAATCTAACAATCCAAAGGTATCACTTGTTTTCTGAACGCTTGGGCTAATCAGTTTCAGGTGATAAGAGATATTTTGGAGAGCAATGGTGATGACCTCGATATTGAAGCTCTTATGAAATGCGCTTCCCAGTGGGTATCCGCGGATGTTATAGATGTTCTCTACCCAAAAATGCCTCGTTCTACAGATCGAGAAGATCACCTTCCACCAGTCGCTTACTTGGGACTCAACAACCAAAACGCCTCATCAATGTCTTTTAAACGAGTCCTGCTCCGCTTCCGGTCATATTTTTCGGAACCACTAGGTCCGGCTCAATTTTTCCAAATACATTAATTGAGCAAGATAAGTTTTCCCTTTCTTTGATAAACTGAAGGTATAAAATATCGAGTCCGTACTTAGATGAAGACGGGAACAATCTTCTTCATCTATTCGCCGTCACAAACAGGATCAAAGCAGCTGCAATGCTGCTCGAGCTGGATCCGTCCGTGATACATGGAATCAACTATATGGGGCTAAGCTCGCTCGATCTGGTGCCAAACGAAAACATAGACATGCGCATTCTTCTCCTCAACAGCGGGGGTCTCCATACAATTCATGGAATCGCAAGGTATATCATGTATCTGGTATATCATGTACCTGGTATATCATGTACCGTATATACTGTTATTTGATAAATAGGGGACTTCCTCGAACCACCTAGCGGATTTGATAATGTTTCGCTTTAGAGCATCGCGCAGGGGCACACTCTGTGGGGTATTATTGGTCTTTATAGGAGGGAAATCATGATAAAAATCCGGAAACAGCTGTATTCTAGCTCAAGTTTCCCCTGTATTGGGTAGATAGGCTATCTAAGATAGCCATCTGCAAAAGGTTTTCGAATAGAGGTTGCTTTTTCCAGATGTCCATTAATACTTTTTTTATTTTTTGTTAATTTTAGGTTGGGAAACATCGCTGCAGCAGAAGATATCATTCATGCAGATAAAAGCGCTGTTTACAGTCTGAATTCGTTTGGAGAGAGCGCCTGTCATGTAGCGGCCATCTTTGGACAGACAAAGATGATCCAACTTTTGATTCACAGAGGCGCAAACATCAACCATCGAAATGATGATGGTTGGACACCATTAGGTATTTTCCAGAGATATCGTTCATTGCTAAATTTTTCCCAAGATGAAGCTTATGCCTGTGGAAATCACGACACTGCCAAACTGTTGCTATCCCATGGTGCTAGCGATAGGAAAATAAGACGTTCAACTGGGAGCAAGTCACAGTTCACCAGATCTGGAACCCTCTAAATATTCACTAAACACAAAAAGACAATAAAGAAATTCATGTACAACCGCCTCTTTTGATTATTACTTATTTCACAGGTCATAAATCTCCGCGGATATGGCTTTTCCGACAAGCCTTGTCTATCTTTATCCTTTTATTCAATTTACAGTTGGATCATTCACGATGAGAATAAGTTATTCTGGATATCCAGTTACGCTAACCAAAGAGCGCCACCAAGGTCACACGCTGCGGGGGTTCGAGGATAATCATTGCTAAAGACCCTCTCTAGGGCCCTTTTTGCGCAAATATAAGCTGCACATATTCCACGAGAGTTGTATAATTTGAGAAAAAAAGCAACATACGATGTCAATCCCTCGATTTTTTCAAAAATTTCAAGAAGTATACGCCTATCGTCGCTTGGAAGCAATGAGCAACTGGAGCCAAGATTCCTCGAAAAAGCGAAAACTTGAATCACACGAAGAAAATTCCTCCAAAAAGCAGAAAATAGAGGGAAAACCTGTTGGCGTCCGCATAAAAATTGATAGAACCGCACTTAAAAGAGCCACGAAAAAGAGTCCTGCTCACGCTTTAACGAAGAAGTACCCATCGCTGCCAGCGGCAAATAGTAACGAAGCTACAGAGGCTGAATCAGACGATGAATACGAAATCATCACTACAGTCCTCGAGAAAGCTTCAATGGAAGGACATCACGCAATGGCGATTCACACGGATTGCCAGGGTAACAAGACAATACTTCGCGCAGCGTTCAAACAGTTAGAAGACGATCACTTCTAACTTAGTTAGAAGTTATTTCTAAGGCTGAACTTATCCTTCACTGCATTGATTACTTGCTTTACTTTTAACAAATTGAAAATATAATGCTGAATCGAAAATACAAACAAAAATTGAATTTTATGTTTATTCAAAACTCTGCTTGTAACTAATCAGGGCAGATTCTTCATATAATCAATTGAGAGTAAGCATCAATTGCAGGAAAATCAAAATCAAGCTCTTCATTCGTTAGTTGCTTCATAGTTTATCATCATGGAATAGTAATTGTCTAATAGTACCAAATATCGTTTTACAAAGGTAAGGACGGAAGGCTTTTTACATTTTTACAGCGCTTGATTTTCGAATACGGATTCTACTTTGAAACACGCTTTTTGACGACGATAACGAGGAGTAAGCTCAGGAAAACCATCACGAGGACAAGTGCGGCTGTTCACGGATGAGATTTTGTTCATAAAATGACCGTATTTTAATAAATTTAACTATGAGAAGATTGGTCAAATTACTAAAGTTCTCAACCGTCCCTATAATCATCCATGCAACGTAGGGCGAAAGAGTGCCGACTTCGGCGATTTGAACGGGAACAGCAACCTCATCACCATCCTCACCAGCGACGACGAATTTCGCTCCGTTCTCAGTGATGTAGATAGGGCCAGTGGTTAACTCCACCTCTTCGGAGTATTCTTCAGCCGGGCTAAAATCTCGTGTTAATTTGATCAATCCAGCAAAGTTTTAAATACTTAGATATTATTGTTGAAGAAGATTTTTTATATATTTATAAAAACCTGACACCCAAACCGCCAGATCCCACTAGCGCTCTTCGTCTCCTGTTAGCGCAAGTGTTCAACTTGTCGCATTCAGCTGGATCGCCGTTGGTGTTAAAGCAGATGCGCGCTCTGCAGTGAAGGTAAACACGGTTGTTCTCAGTTCCGTCGAACTTGAATACTTTCGATGTCCATCTCACGTCTGTTGTATCACCGTTGTTGAGAATGTTCACTTCAGGATCCTAATCAAGCTTAGATGACTTAACCGAGGATAGGTATCTTACCTGTTGAATATTCTCTACTGGCGATGCACAGTAGTCGGTGATAAGATCGAATCTGTTGACTGCAATTTCGCTTGTCGGTGTGGCCCAGCACTCTCGTGCTTGAATCACTGAATTAGCAGGGCTCTTTTTAGAAGTATTCGCACGAATAAGGTTTCTCCAACATCGATTGTTGGAGACTCTTGATAAACATTCTGGTAGTCTTGATTTTCCTGAAGAAAATAAAACATTACTTCGGCTACTTTAAACACTTTTTCTTACATAAAGAAGCATGACGACCGGGAACTCGCCTTTACCTTCGCCATCTGGGATGAGCAGAGTGATCAGCTTCGGGGTGTAGATTTTTGGAATGTAATAACCGTATTCATCACCGTTGAGACTGGACAGTGTCAGAAGATAATCCAACGGATAAGTGCAGGAAAATGGCAATTCGTACTAAAAAACTTAAATGGCGAAAATACTTGTGAAAAAATAGCACCTGAAAGATTGTAATATTTGTCGCTCCGTTTGGAGCAGTGTTCTCTACAGTAGTATTCTGTGTGTTGAGAGTCACTTGGTAGGATGCATGGGTGCTGTTGAGACTAGAAATGGGATTTTATTAAGCCGAATCGTAGTTGATTCCACTTACTTGAAGACCTTTGGACAAGTAGGATCGCCGTACTCTTTCGTGCAGACGATAAGGGTACTTCCAATAACTGTTCGGTTATTTCTGCAGTCTGGGGTGACCATAGAGATTGCGTCCGGTTCCAGAGGATGATCTCGTCGCAATGGAAAGTACTGCGTATCGATTTTGATGCACATGTTTGTTTCGGTGCAGGTGACATTGATGTAGTCCGCCACTTCGTCCTGCTTTTCGAAAAGGGTTTCACTCGTCATCGGGCCTGTTCCACTGGTGATAATGGCCGCATTTTGAGCTACGGCATTTTAGTTTGTGTTTCTTTAGAAATGAACTTACCGGTGGCAAGGGCAACAAGGCCATAAATTAATAACATTTGTCTCTATCTCCTTTTTTAATTTAGATGCTTTACAAAAGTCGACCGAAAAGTGCTTCCTCTAGCACGCGCGAGGGCAGAGGATTTTCTACGGAGATCGAAAATATCGCCGCGGTTTTAATGCTCAAAATTGGGCTCAATCATGGAGCAATTTGAGCACGATAGATGCGTTCTAATATAATCACCCTGCTCATTTGTTCAATTTACTCGTCGCGAATCCGAAGAAGTGACTCAGATAATTTATTTTCTTGAACCTGAAAATCAACCTCTGATAAGTCAGAATATTAGGTAAACCACGCGGCGTGGTCCACGCCAAAGCCAACTAAATTCGATGACAATCTTGCATTCAGGAATTGGGTTAAGTGGGAATATCACCATCTATACCTCTAATGCAATATTCTTTCATAACCCATCCACATGATTAGAACTTGTGATTCATTCTTTCCAGATTTGAGATGAAGCGCATTCGGTGAATACAACTAAAGATGTTTATGTATTCTATTTTAACTTGAAATTCGCTAAAGAAAGATTCTAGGGCACTACGATCAAGCCAGGTCAAACCGAGAATACGTCGATTTTCCGTTGGAAGTCTCACTTTTGAAGAGAAACTCGAAAGTTATGTTGCGATTTATAAAGCCAAATCATTCTAATTGATATTTTCAGGCGGAGTTCTGGCCCGCTGAACGGTGGGATTCAAGAGCGAGCGTGTCTTTTTCTGGAAAAGCTATTAAAATAATTATATTGTCATATAAGATAACGCAAACTAAGCGGAAACTAAAGCTTTTATAAGGCGTACATTTTTATTGGATTCATCCTTGCCATAGTGACAGTATTTTTCACGACGCTGAGTTGGGTAAGATTCCGTTTAGCGTGGAATAAATCTCGCCGCGCTAACATTTTTAAAATCAGGCCGATGGAGACATCCAAATTTCAAATCACACAATCGATGTTTGCGCCGTCGAAGATGAAACTACTAAGAGCCTCAGCCTCTCTGAAATAATCTACAAAAAGTACTTCAAGCCAAGATATGCGCAGTTTCACAACGGCACATTAATTTATGTCAGTCTATTGAAATTTATGACGATTACAACTTTGTTGATAGTTGCAACAGGAAGAACTTTGCAATCTCATCATCCAGTACGTTTGCCAAGAGTACTACAATATAACTTGCAACGGGAAACTTCCTCAAACGAAAATATAGCCTGAATATCTTCAATATATTCTTCGAAACCTGAAATTTTCAGCCTGAGACAAGAATAAACAATAAAATATTTTTGCAGGCTGAAATCTTTTCACTTCTTGTTTGGATAAACTAACAAGTTGAGTATTCTGGTATTTGATCTGCAAATTTAGCAGGAAAAATATGTCGGAGGATGGCGGGATAAATTTTGTGGTGATCAAAAGTAGCAACTGAACATTTACGATTGAAAGTTTTTGATTGTTTCACAGAGATACACTTATCCCTGAAATAGCCTGTGTGAAGAGTTTCGATGGACGATCCTAATATCACTCGAGAGGAATTCATAAACATTTTCCTTTGGCTAGCGTTTCAACAACTTAATCAAAATGAAAATGTTATTGAAGGTCAATCAATATTTGCAAGCTTAGGGGACAAGATCAATAAACCGATGAAAAAGTTCGACGATTCTCTCGACGCCGTATGTTCAAAGTTCTCAACGTGTGCTTGGACAGAAGCTATAATCGAGAGACTAAATCGTCATCCAATTTGGCGCACCCAAAAATTTTATTCACCAAACAAGGTAGGGATGATTATTAGTTCTTAAAGCTCACAATTATTAGTTTGTTTGCGGGGTGTGCATGAGAGTCAGCAACTGCAATACGATGGTTGATGTTCAAGGACATTCATATGATCCGTCAAACTTTGCGATCATGCGAGAGAGTGGAAATATTCCAGGATCACTATTTGTGGCCTCGGAATATTGCTTGCAAAGGTAAAAATAATCTATTAAAATGATTTATCACACGATTTTAGAGGAGCCAGATACCACCAAGCGAAACACTTCAAATATTACATGGCGATAAATTTAAAAGGATCCTCCGATTGAAAAACCCACAGGAAATGTATGCGGAGATGATATCGTTTATCAGCCGGAAATTTACTGAATATAGAGAAATATTGAACGACCCACTTATTTTGTACAAGTGATTTTTGAAATAAATGCAGACCTAGAGATGAACATATAATATGTTACATATTCTTTGATGAATAGACTATCTAAAATTGTATAAAAAGCTATTTCATTTGGCTCTAGAACACGCACCGGATATGTTATTTTTTGACTGCTTGAGATCTTAACTCCCTTGTTTTAGAACACCGGGTAGTTACTACCCTAGCGACCTTTTTCTAAGCAAACTACCATCCAAAAGAACAAGAAAGACAAAGAAGGTGCTAAAGAAAGATTTGACTTTAGCAACTGTGATTTTTATGAAAAGGAAATTGATTTTATTCAGGTGAATTTGGAGCATTGAGCCTCCTTTGCAGGAAAATTGATTTTATTCAGGCCCCCTTTTGGGAGCCTAAACAAGAAGAAGCACCTTTTCAGGCTCTTGTTCGGAGTAGAATGTACAACTGCCTCGGCAGTTGTAGATTTTGAATCCTTTTGAAGGACACGATCGCACAGCTCTTCAATCACTAAAAAGTCAGCGTTAGCGTCGAAATCCGAATTCTAAAAATTACCTCAAAACTGCGCCGATCCGGACTCTGAGAGTTCCCAGAGTGGAATGAGCAAAAATCAAAAATGCCCGCCCATTGACAGATCCCTAACAACATTCTAGAGACGGCTTTTTGCACGTCACGTGACCTAAACTCAACAACAACTTTGCTCCATTCGTAAGTCAACAACAGTGAAAAAGCATTAAAATGAGCTCTAGAATCGATTTTGTTTACTAAATGCTCTCTGCGAAAAATGCGCCAAGGGAAGATTTGAAGTGCTTTTCGCAACCTTTCTGATAATTGATTGCGTGATCTTGCATAAAACACGGATTTATCAGTATTTTTGCGATTTTTATTGCAAGTGAATCGACCACAGAATCATCAACAATCAAATATGTCTTTTGAGTGTTCTCAAATACGCTTTTAAATTCAATTTATTTTATTCCGACAAGATTTAGCAATAAAACTATCATCTGCCCACGCTTTAGGAGCATTAGAAAAGCGCCTTGGCGCAGCATTACTTTCTTCAAAAGACCAATTTTCTTGCCACTGCGTCAAATTGTGCCCAAATTTCATTTGACGACTATCTATTCCAGTTTTGAGTGATTCCAAGTCTTTTGTATCTTCCTTTAGCTTTATTCCCTTCGCTGGCTGGGTTGAGTATTGTTTCACGTGCTTTTAAAATTGGATATCTGCTGAACTAGTCGCTACTTGAAATATTTTTTGTTAAGAATCCTCTCCTTGGGCAAGCGCAAAGCCGAGTTTATCAACTCGCCAGTGGATAAAAGTCGAAAGTTTTCTAAATCGATTTCTGTCTCCGGCAAACCATCTGGCATTCGCAGGGGCATGATTGAGACGTAACTCTTCACTTCCCAAAGCAAATCGTTGACCTCTGCGGTGTTAAATTGAACAGAAATGTCGTTGATGTTCAGAAGGTTCATTTCGTGGAGGATCGATTGCACCTTGGAAGAGAATGAGACATTTGAATTGATATCAAAAGAGTACCTTGGCGGGAAGACGGTGCTCTGATTCGTAGATAAGTGTCTTTTCGTGGTCTTTGTAGATATAGCCATCATACCATCCTTGAGAGAGGAAAATAAGCCAGATAAGGACCTTCAGACGTACCTTTTCTGTTAACAAGACGGGGGTTGTACTTTGGCTGAATGCGGCGGACTATCCAAATATCTGGCTGGTCCTCTACAGGCGAGTCAGGGTACATTTCGGCCGCGCCTTCGAAACCCAGCTCCCAAGCACTCCTGTCCATGCTCGGACTTACATTATCCTAGAAAACTTTTTTTCTTTGACAATTATTTCTGCAAAACCTGCGACATGAAATGAGTGTGCTCAAATTGGCCATCAGAACCAGCCGCAGGTCTAGGTGCTCTGCCAGAAAGTGGATCCCATGTGGTTTTGGTGTAATCCTCGGCGTATTTCCTCTCCTCAACTAATATCACATAAGAGTTTTGTCTAGTCGATATTTTTCTATTACCTTTCGCGAGGGCCAGTGGTAGCTTAGAGTCCGCAAGTCTTTCGGGTCTCGTTTTAACCCAGGATTTTCCTGGTCGTGTTGGAATTCGTTTTCCTCTCATCCCTGTCCGCGATGAGACCTGAACGAGTTTCTCGTTCACTCTCAGCATTCTGAATCAAAGTGTCATAAAGCGATTTTTAATTTGAGAATTATTGAATTTACAGAAAGAAGAATTTTTAACAGTTGTTATCTTGAAACAAGCTCCGACTCAACTTTCGTGGCGAAGGACTCTACAAAGCTCAGCGTGGCAGCGTATTCGGAAATTGGAGTGATGTATTTCAACACGGGGACGTTTCTATCAAAACATCTTTCGTAGTACTCGACAGAGGCCGGAGTGACGTACACCGCCAGTGGCAGATAAACCGGACTCAACTGGCCGGCGATGATCCAGAAGACAGCAAAGCTTAACATCGCGAATTGGAAACTACTGGGATGAATCGACACAGTAGATTTATAAAGAGAAGCGCGCATTCTGTCCAGCTGAGTCCATTCTTTCGATAGTTCTTTCCCTGAAACAAAGTGTCTTTCTAGGTTTGAAATTTAGTACTTCTACCTTGCACGGTTTGCCTCGGACTATATTTGTATTCAAGCTTGGCAAGCTTCGTCTGGTATCGTTTTTGGCTTTTGATGACGAATCTTCTTCCGCCTTCTGTGCGCGCTAGCACTACTCCGCCACTCGCAGCACCAAGACAGAAAACTAGTAATTGATCAATGACTACAATGCCCAAAAGACTTACGGAAATCAATAACAGTCCAGTTGACGATGACATACGGCCCATATCTTGGATCATTCAATCGCTCGAGCATCGATGTCGGCAATTTTGAGATAAGCCAATCCATTCTAAAGAGGAGAATTGTAAAGGCGTGAACTAATACATTAAATTATCGAAGACCGGCTCCTTGCTCTTGCAAGGCAGCTCGGATCGCAGAATCTATGTGTTCGACATCTTTGAACTGCAGCCCTTTTAATGCGCCACGGTAGAAGGTTCGGTAACAATGAGACGTCTGAACATGCCTTTTTAATGGTCGAAATAAACATCCTAACTACCTTTCCGGTTTTGGGATGCGTGAATACATCGATTAACTCGACATTTTCAATAGCATCCTCAACATCTATATTTCGCGCGATATCGTAAAAATCGTGCTCGTGGAAACCTTCCGGAACCCAAAATGCTAGGTCGAATTTTGCTGGTTCAATCTTCCTCTCTGGAAGAACGAATTTGAATTGTCTGAAGTCGCCGGTGAAGTTTTGGAACTGCTCCTGGACTACTTCGGACTTCCAAAAGAGTCGAATGTCCTTGATATCGAATAAACGCATCGCCAGACGCTCCAGTCCAAGACCGAAAGCCCATCCAATTTTATCTAAAAATGTCATGCATATTTGTGACTTGAATATTGCAAACCTTCCGCTTTTCCGTTCACAAGCACTCTATGTTCCATGATACCACAGCCGAGAATTTCCAGCCAGTCGCCTTCATAAAATACTTCAATTTCAAAACTCGGATGCGTGAAAGGAAAGTACTCGTCCATCCATCGGTACTCAACATTCTCTCCAAATAAATGTTTTACCAATCCTTCTAGCGTTCTTTTCAAGTCATTTTCGACTTTTTCACTGCCTCTGATGAATAGTTTTCTTGGCTGAATTAAAGATTATTTCAACATAAAATGGGAAACGGAAACTAACCAAAAATCAGTTCGCTCTTTCCCACTTTCAAAAGAGGCAGGGCGAGATCTTCTTCAGAAAAAGTCTCACGCCTTCCATTTGATGAAAAATCGGATAATGAGATCTATCCATCGTGTCTCTTCTATAAACATCGCCGCAGCATAGAAACGAGGACTCGCCCTTGCGGAGAAGCTCGACTTGGTGCGCGGAAGTGTGCGCTCGCAGGAGAAGTTCTTCGTTTATGTAGTAATTGTCTTTCTTGTCGCGCGAGACGTGCTCCTTTGGAATAAGGACAGAGTCGAAGTTTTGCTCGACAGTGACGATCGGGCTCAGTTCTTCGAACTTGGCGAAGCTCGTGCTGCTTTGATCGAAATATTTGTAAATTTCGTTTTTGATAATCTCGATGGGGTGATTGGGAATTCGGTGCTTGTGGTTTCCCTACTAAAGTTGATTAAGATTTTACTCAAGTCTTGGTACCCACAAGATTGTTGATGATCCGTGGGGTAAGATTTGTCATGTGATCTTCCTTGTATTCCTTTCCGAAGAGAGAGGCATTTCGAAAGTGGCTTCGAAAGAGCTTCTGTCTACGCAAAATGCGCCCGAACATGATTCTGAATTGATTGAATTTACTCGTTCGTTCATCAAAGTCAAACAAAGAACAGCATCATTTAAAAATCCTCCAGAGCTCTAGCAACTTCGAAAACTGGCGAAAATGAACGACGAAAAAATGGAGCTCTCAAATTTAGAAGAAAGTCTTTCAGGACCGATTCCGAACTCTCTTTACAAAACGATAGTTTGGGCGGAAGAGAATGACATCGAACTCGCCGTTAAATTGAGAATTGCGGAAAGCAATTTAATCAACGAGCTCAAAAAATAAAGGAAAACGAAAGAAAGCTCGAGGAAACAAACCAGGTAAGCTAAAAACGCAAACAATTAGCTCGCGAAAATTTTTGAATTCAAAAATTTCCAAAATTTTCAGAAGAAAAACGAATGGCAAGACTGGTTCGATAAAGCCAATGGACAGTATAATGATCTGCTAAACGCGAAAAAATAATGGAATCGAATTTATACTCGGCGAGTGCCACGTTATCTGAAGTTCTTGAAAAGCAGAGAATGCTCGAAAACACTCTTGAAGAAGCTACCGTCGCTGTTGAAATCGCGAGAAACGACGAAAGAAAGGCTGCTAAGGAATACAGAAGAAAATCTGCTTCCTTCGGCGCGCGGAGCACTCTTGATCTAGGTCTAAAATCCGGGGTGTTTGAAATGTGGAGAAGTGGCGGGGGCGCTCAAGTGTACACGCGCGAAAGGCGGAGCGCCCGATTGCTCCACAAATGCGCGGTGGAAAGCCCTCCACAAACGAAAAGTGGAGTGAAAATTTTGAAAGTGGAGCGATTAAAAATAGGTCTACCGCGCCTTTTAGGAACCTTGCGCGCTGAGCGCTATTCCACTTGCCTGTCAAGTGAACATCAGCAATCAGATTGAAATTTTTGTTTAAGGATATAGCCTTGAATATTGAACTTTCGTAGCGCCGAATCCCTGTTACGAATTTATTCATTTTTCAAAGAAACCCTACCTAAAATGCAGCGTAGATTTCGAAAAACCCTTATTTATAGTACTTTCTATGGTGTTTGTACCTAAAAATCGCCTTCAAAATAAAACAGACCGTCGTTCTCTGAAAATTTCCATTAAAAAGGTAAATCTGGATTGATGATATGAAAAATTGAAGCCTTATCTCCAATCTAGCGGTGGATTTTGTAAAAATATTGAAGATTACGGCTTCTAGGAACTGGTTTTTGATTGTACTTCGAAAAGGAGAGTGGCGCGCGCAGCCAATGAGAGCGAGGGGAAAATCTCACTCAGCCATCGCTCAAACAGGTTTTTAAGTGTGACCAAAAATTTTCGTAACTTTTGATTGGGTTAATATAATTACGATCTGTAACTTGCAGAATGTAGCCGGGTATTGGTTTATTCATTTTAGATAGAGTTGGTGTCTATAACTATTCTGGTGGTGGAGTTATGACGTCATCAAAATGCATTATAAAAGGGCGCCTTCAACTTTGTGACGTCATAACTCCACCTCCACAAGTGCAAATAACACCAAAAGCTTATTTAACACACTACAGACCCTCTCCAACAAGGTGCAAAAGAGAGAATCGAAATATCTCGACTCTAACACCTTCAAAAATGCTCCACCATTTTTGGACACACTTAAAAACCTGTTTCATCCTATTTTACGCGAGAAATTTTGTCGACAGCTTGGACGAAATCTAACTGAGATTCTCCCTCGCTCTGATTGGCAGCGCGCGCCACTCTCCATTTCGAAGTACAATCATAAACCAGTTCCTAGAAGCCATAATCTTCAATATTTTTACAAAATCCACCGCTAGATTGGAGATAAGGCTTCAATCTTTCATATCATCAATCCAGATTTACCTTTTTAATGGAAATTTTCAGAGAACGACGGTCTGTTTTATTTTAAAGGCGATTTTTAGGTACAAACACCATAGAAAGTACTAAAAATAAGGTCATTTTCGAAATCTACGATGAATTTTAGGTAGGGTTAATTTGAAAAATGAATGAATTCGTAACAGGGATTCGGCGCTACGAAAGTTCAATATTCAAGGCTATATCCTTAAAAGCTTATTTCAGCATTAGTTATTATATTTAATTTCGATTATCAATACTTTATGTGTTATAAATTGTAGCTTATAATGTGCAAAAAACTTTTATAAAACATAAATGGTATTCAATATCTAATTTTCTGATATTTTATTTCAATTATCCAATAAATATTATATAAAAATACTATAGAAATTAATCTTTATAGTGGTATAATAATGAAATATTGGGGAGTCTCCCCAATCATCTTGTAGATAAATTTGAAAATAAGCTTAACGCTTCCGGGAACTTATTTGTGTAAATCACCCGGTGATATTTGCATCTGATTCTCGACAGTAGGTCAAAAAATCACACGCCGAGACTCTCGGCCCGAGAGGATAGGGCGCGTTAATGCTTTTTAGGCTTCCCGCCCAGTGCAAAAGCCACTCATGCAGCGACAAAATAGGGCATATCCTCGCCCATTTAGGCATGGCGCCCCCGGCAGCGAGAGCGCGCAAATACTACACAAATTGAAAGTGGAGCGCGCCTCTCCTACACCTTTCGCTCGCGTTCACTTGAGCGCCACCATCCCTTCTCCACATTTCAAACACCCCGCATTTTAGACCTACTCCCTTGTAACAATTTTAGGGTAGGGTGGGTTGCGTCATTTCAGCGCTGCGCTCCCGGTACAATACCTACCACACTGCCCGCAGCGAGCGTAAAATCCAATAGAGATGGCGCTTTTTGAGAAAGGCGCTTGCTGCGGGCGGTGTGGTGGGTATTGTACCGGGAGCGCAGCGCTGAAATGACGCAACCCACCCTACCCTAAAATTGTTACACGGGAGTAGCTCTTGATCAACTAACTGAACCAAAATTCAAACTTCCAAGACTCGAAGAAAATTAAAAACACTTTTTTTAATATGTATTCTTATTTGTTTTCAAAACTAATCAAATAAGGCAGTGATAAATGAGATTAATTCAAAGTCGTTGAAATCAAAAGAGGTCAGTTCTTTTTTTTCGGCGTAAAGAAGCTCATGATGCTTTTGGTGCCGACTGAGGCTTTCTTCAAGTCTGCTTCTTTCTTGGTTAGTTTGACTTCTGCCATTGCCTTCAGCGGTGTACCGTTTGAGTAGTCCTCAGTTGGAGCTTCGTCAAGCTAGAAGATTTATGTGAAGATCAAGTATCTACATTCGATGTATCTTACTCTTGATCTTTTCGTAGGAGGCTCATTCTCCTTCGCTTCTATTCTAGCGGCTGTCTGCTCAATTCCAAGATGCTTCTCGTACGCTTTCGTGGTTGATTTTGGGAGGGCATCGCAAATCACTCTCGCCGAATACCGTTTTAATTTGTCTACAAGCGATCGTTGTTATAAAAACGAAAAACGAGGATAAACCTTTATTGGAGTCGTCCATGATCTTCTGCTTCAAAATAGCTTCTTGGACGTTTTTAAGTCGCTTGTCAAGGTTCTCGAAGAGCTTCTTTTCGTCGATTTCTATTCTTTTGGCTTCTTTATCTGATAGATTGAACATCTCCTCGAGTCTATCTTTATTAGAAAAAGAAGCGCTATTAGAAGGCTTACTTTTCAGTTGAAAGTGATAGTGCAACAGTTTTGATCCTTTTGGGCATTTTGAGTTCCGCGATCGAAGCGGATTTCTTCTCGTCTTTAATTTTCTCTAGTTGTGCGAGCAAAATCAGACGAGCATCAAAAGGCGTCGCTTTCAGAATTCCATATGTTTGAACTAAATGCGCGTAAAAGTGATGATAAGCTTGAAAACTGGCTCACTCGTGGTTTGATCTTCGTCCGTGACAAAGGACGAGTAGTCGCCGATTCTTGGAGAGTGGTAGTGCAGCTCCAAGAGCTCACTTTCTGAGCAGAAAAAAGTCACCGGTTTGCCCTTCGGATGCTCGAACTCGACACTTGTGAAGTCTGCTGGCTCTTTTCCCTCTGGAAGGGACAACAGAAACTCTTTCATTACTGAACAAAACAATTTTGTTTAACCTTTTTTGCTTATAGTTTTCTAGTGAACAATCGACGAGTAAATCAGTTAACAGCTTGACGAATTATATTCTCCTGCGCTTGATCGTTTGTTTTTTGATGGATTCAGAATTCCCCTAAATGCGTATCCGTACACCGCCAGAACTCAAAAGAATTCAACGATTGGTTTCTCGAAACTGCATTTTGCCGAATTCAAGCCTTTTTGTCAAAAATAAAGGGTAGCCAAAGCACGAAACTCTCCAAATGACTGCCATGCTTGAGGACGACCGTATTCGTTCCTTTGCAATTTTCCCTGCTCATTCCTTTTTCTCTCTTTTTCTTCCTTTTTCGTTTTGCCCTGTCGCATAAATGGAAATACAAAACGACGGTTGGTAATTATTCGCTAATGCCTAGGAATCAGAGCCAAGGACGAGAACTTATTAGTCTTGCTCTCTCATTTTCGCAAAGTTACTTCGATCTTTTTGATTTATTTTATAATTTTCTTGCAGAGCAGAATAAAATAAAGGATAAAAAAGTGTGCATTGCAAAAAAAAGGAACACGCGATTAAACAATAAGGATGAGTCTAAAAATTACTTTTTGCAACGCTAACAATATTGCACTTAAAATGGAAAGGACGATTTCGAGAGCTATTCAGGTCAGGGTGGCTATTTTGGATTTGGGGGTTAGTTGGAATTGGATTGGATCCAATCCAATAAGGTTTGGATGGAATTTGGATGGCCAGGGTACCGGATTTTGTTGGGGAAAATTGGGCAATTGGGGAAATTGGGGAATTGGATCCAATAAAAAATATATCGCTAAACTATGCAAAGAAAGGTCATTTTCATGATAAAAATAAACAATTTCGGATAAAAAAAATCATTGTTTTGGCCATGTTGATCCTCCTTTCGGATAAAAACTTACTGTTTCGCTTCTTTTAAAAGTATTTAAAGCCTTGGAAAAATTGGAAATCCAATTGGATCTAATTGGAATTCGGGATTTTTGGGGAATTGGGTAATAATTGGATTGGGTTGGATTTTGGATGGATAGTTCCGACTCAAAATTTATTGGATGGAAATTGGATGGCCAGACCCCAAAATTTTGTCCAAAATAGCCACCCTGATTCAGGTTACTGTATCTGGCCTACTAGTAGCTTTATACGAGGGTATTGTTTAGATAAGGGTCTGGCAGAAGAAAGTAGAAGAACATAAGGAAAGAAAAAAGGAACGTTGTTTAGCGAATTGGGGGTAATCTCTCGCTTGAAGCCCATTAATCTATAGGATGATCCAAAGTGGCCCGAAATTGCACCGAAAGGGGGATTAAAGGGGATTAATGAAGACAGAAAACGGCACAAGGATATCGACACGGAGAAATAATCAGCCAAAATTATATAACTTAATTCTATTTTTATTCATCTTTCTTTTCCTCGAGCGTTTTGGGCTCGTCGCAGCTTCCTCCTCCACAGCAGCCGCCATCTTCTTCAATCGCTTCTGCTTGTTCGCCCTCGATCGCCTTCTTCTTCTTCTTTTTCTTCTTCTTGTCTTTTGGTCCTAATAAAACAGTAGATAAACGATATATACGAACGTGTCCTACCCGTGTATTTGTAAGAATAAATCGGGAAGAAGGACTCGATTGGGCCGCAGTCTTCTGTTAAGTTGGGGAAGATCCAGAGGTGATGCTTTCCGCCGGTGAGGACCCAGATAAGACAGTAGAGAATCGTCCTCAGAATTGCTAGAACGATGACAAAGCCGACGAAGCCAAGACCTCCCCATGAAAGGTAGTAAACGCCACCGCGCAGTTGCTGCGGCCAGAGAGGATACAGAACCCCGAGGAAGCCAATAATGATGACGATAGTGCCGCCAAGCCACGTGTACGGATGAGTGGGCTCATAGTCCCACATGAAGAGGGCATCTTCTGCGTCTGAAAAATGAAAATAAAATTCACGAAATGTTGGAAATGATTGCCATCGTTTTTGTTTTCGGTTTTTGAAAATTCGATTCGCTCGATGGAAAATTTTGAATCATGTTTACGAATATCATCACATTTTCAAAACTCGACACAACTCGACTCGACTCGACAATCGCCGAAGAAAAATGAGCTCGACTCGACTCGATACGACATTTGAGAGTCGAGTTGCCGATCCCTGCTTTTCAATCGCTTAAAGAGAACAGAAATGGCAAAACTATTCTTCTCAAGAGTCGGCCGTAGTGTTCTTTCAGTCGCAAGAAAGATATGTTCTCAAGCCAAAGCCTTATTGCAAAGGATTTAAAAATAACGCTTTTTACCTATTAAATAACTCAAAAGGTAATCCTAATCTAAAGAACAAGAAGTCAATCGTTTGGACAAAGAGAAGATTTTACAAAGTCCGGATTGATACAATTTTGAAGATACAGATGTCCGCCCGTCTCTGTGCCCTTGCCTATGAAAGTCCTGTTAGTTTTTTAGCGGAGTGACTTTCTATCGGAAAAAATTGTTTAGCGATGCATAAAAGAGTTGCACGCCGGCTTCTTTGACAGCAATAACGACAGACGCGTTACAGTATCTTCTTCACTCAAGGAAAAGAGCGCTATTATTCATCTAAAGAAGTTCTTCTCTAGATTTCAAATGCTGGAGTATAAGGAATGGATATTTGACTGGATGTGTGGGAAAAATAAAGTGACATGTTCTTATCCATTAACAGATAGTGAGGGACGCAGGATCATATGCTGACGCAGTGTGGGCTCGGATACCCGTGTAGAAATCCTTTTGGACTTAAGTCAGGTTCTGATAGATTTTGAAGGATATTTACACAGGTTCCAAGCCCAGGAAAAGTGTTTTGCGTTGGAAGAGAAACAAAAGTGCAGGGATGCAAGGAACCAAGAAGTTATATAATGATCTCTATTCGGGGAACTTCAGAAATTGGCGACTTTTTACAAGATCTGAAGTTTAAACAAGCTGTTTTCGACCATCATGAAAACGTTTTCATTGAAAACGCAAAAGTCCATTTCGGTAGAAAATGGATCGTATATTTATTTTAAAGAGTTTTAATTTAGGATTCATGGAGCAATACTTGGCCCTGAAAACACCTGTCTTAACTTTCGTAAAAGAATCGATCGCGAACATCAAAATTGACGAGATAATCGTAACGGGGCACTCTCTTGGTGGCGCAGTCGCTGCTATGTTAGGCGTGCTACTCTCGCAAGAGGTGAAAGATGTTCTCACTCGAGTTGTGACCTTTGGAAGTCCAACTCCTGGCGATGCAAAATTCCAGTGCCTCTTCAACTCGAAGTAAGCCCATTAACAGGGTTTGCTCTAGCTTTGTTCTAGTGTCAAAAAGCATACTCGTATTGTCCTTCCAAATGATCCCGTTCCTGCCGCTTTTGGCAGGATTTTTTACTGGTACAGGAATGGCTTGCTTCTCTGCAATTTCCTATCTCTTATCATACCCATTCAAGCCGAAAAAGACACACATGCGAGCCTGGATCGAAAAACGAATTCATCTGTTACGATGACACTTTTCTGCCGCTGATGACTCATAGTATCGATGCGTACGTAAACGGAGTCTCAAAGACGAAAGAGTTGATCATCAAAGAACGATTCAAAAACGCACGGAGCAAAGCGCGAAGTATGCTTTTGCCGCTGTCGGTGCTATTCAACCGAAAAAATAAAATGAAAATCGAAAGACATTAGTTTTGAAAGTTCACTTACCAATAAAGGTTTGGTTTTCACACAAGTCGAGTCTGTACTTTTTCTTTTTCCTCTCGCGGCGTTCTTCTTCGGTTTCAGATTCAGTGTCTCCGTTTGAATCGCGTCGCTTTCGCTTCTGCTTCTTTACCAGATACTCCTGAAGAAGCCAGAGTTAGTTAGGAGGTAGACAAAAGAAGAAACTAACCCGTTCGCCTCGGTAAAAGAGCCCGAGTCGCATGAAAAAGTTCATCATGGCGACGGCATGCTCACGGTCGGGAATGCACGGCTTGTCCGAGTCCTTGGCGTTCTGAGTCGCGAATTTTGATTCCATGATTTTGTCTACTGCTTTCTGCCCGACGAAGTACGCTCTTTTGTCACCACCTAAATTGCCTTATTAACCCGCTTAATTAATGAGAAACAAACCTTTGACGGGTGCTTCCTTGGTCTTGACGTTCCACCTAACCCACTTGGCGATTTCTTCTTGTTGCTCGCTCATTTGAGGCACAGGCTTTCCTTCGCCACCGCCGCCGCCGCAACAGCCGTGACCCATTTTTTTGCTCTAGGTGTTAAAAATCGTTAACAAAAGAAATAGAAATTAGCGTTTTTTTGTGTTTGATAAAAGAAGAACGAGCCGGCTGCCTTTATTCAAAGACACGTATTATTTGGCTTTCTAGAATGTTCTGGAATGTTCGAGAAAATCAGCTTCATAATATTCGAAAGTCAGCTTTTTTTCCTAGCTCGGATTCATTACTAACAGTTTAAAATAGTCAAATTCAAAGGTTAAAGTTTATCTGATAGCAGAAGCGATATTTTTGATATAAATCTACGTAAAAAATAAAAATAAATTTTTGATAACAATACGATGGAAAGTTGAAAACTGAAAATTTAAGCACCGAAAGAGAAAGATAAAAGTTTTTATCATTTTCGTATGAAAAGTTCTCTTTTCGGTGCTTCGTGGCAGATCACTACTGACTGGCGCCGGATGAGTCATCCTTTCACCACGCGCGCGTTGATTGGCCGCTTCCTGATGATTACTATTTCTTACTCTGCTACTCCTCTTAGTAAGTTCAAAGATCAAAGTCGACTTTTGGCGGACAGAGAGCGAAAATGGCGGGAGAAAAGTCGGAGTACAAGCCGCTGAAGATGTGGCCGATTCCGGCGAGTTTCAAACGTTCCGCGCTCTGGTGGGGAGATTTGGTCTGGGGTCGGGTCAAGGGCTATCCTTACTGGCCTGGGAGAATCGACTGTGTCAGGAAAGGAGCTATCTCTTTGCTGATAACAACAAATCTCTCAATAATTCCAATTCTCACTACTTACTTCGTAAAATTATAAGTAAAGCATCCAAAAGATTGTCCCGCTGCTTCCGGCGCAACCAACCCGATCATCCTGTCGATGAAAATACTATGTAAGTCTCCGTTTTAGTCAAGAATTTGTTTTACTATCATCATCTATCAAGGTGGCCTGTGTTCTTTTACGGAACTCACGAAAGAATGTGGATCCCTCAGCGAGATATTCAGGAATAGTTTATTCATCTAAAAAAAGTTGCTTATAAAATTCAGATAATAAATAATAATTGAAATTATAATAAAATATAATTGAAATTTGAACCGTCGTACAGTTAAAACTCGCAAAAGCCCTACGCCGTCAACAGGGAAAAACACCAAGAAGGAGCGAAAAGCAAGGCATTTCTAGGAGCACTGAAGGAGCTGGTCCAGAATCCAAACGGCGAATTCCCCTTCACGTCTGACGACAAAGAGGGTTTGATTCCCTGGCTCTTGGGCGAGCAGGAAATCGAATGGGGTCCCTGGGACGATTTAGCAGAAGAGAGGAAGAAGGAAGAACTGATTCGGGTGCAAAAGCGCATCGAAGCAAAAAAAGAGGAGGAAAAAGAATTGGACGAGTCATTTGAAGCGGTACACATTTGAAGCCCGTCGATTTATGCCTTAAAAACTATTCAGGATCCGCTGATCAAGTCCTTCAAAGACGCCACGCACAAAATCGAAGAGATGGAAGTAGGAGACATGATCGGTGCCAATTATGATCGACCCTTTTATGGAATCATAAAAGACAAGAGCGAGGCAGATGGCATCTTCGTATGTTAAAGGCAAAACTTTCGGAAAATATTACCTTTTCTAGGTTCAGTATTATACCCGCAAGAAAACCAGCACAAATACCTACATTATCAAGAAAAAAGACACCGATTGGGTTGACGAGAGACGTCAAGGCTACATCTTCTTTTATGCGAAGAAGGTAATGGAGCATTACTAATGGTATATATTTTTCAACCGGTGAATTATGAAATATTTGAAGGAAGATGTCGAAATTGTATTCGAAGGGAAAACGGAAGCTTTCGCGTTGTTGAAGCACAACAACGATGATGTGGACTTGGAGTGGCAACGCTGGTGCATTCACAAGATGGCTATGCACGGGTAACACTTATATATTACATTCTCGAAAATTAGATTCCAATTCATCAAGATCTAAAAGATATCAATGCTTTTTAGTGAAGACACCACTGCCGCTGAGAAGGAATTGGAAACGAAGCTGCACAGAAATGAAGGGAGAAAACGCCGCCAGACACTGTAAAATTTCTGATCCAAATTCTTTGATTATATTCAATCTTTTTAGCGGCAAAACTGAACGAACTGAGGATGCCCCGACCCCCGTGAAGAGAAGGAAACAATCATCGGACTCACGAAGGAGCAAGGCCTCCAGCAAGAGCTCGAGCAGAGCGTCTTCCAGACGAAGTTCACGCGCCGCGTCCCCTACGCCTGTCACCACTAAGTTCCAGGAAATCGAAACCCCCTCCGTTGAAACTCACTCTAATGGAGTCAATGAAGAAGAGGAAGTTTTTGCCGAGAGAACGACAGAAACGGCAAGCGGTCTAGCTGGCGACGAGGCGGAGATCGTGGATAATCCAGCGCAGGAAGAAGCTATTGAAGAGCATGCGAAAGAAAAATCGCCTGAGAACTCTACCAAAGGAGTTATTGATGAACCTGTCAAAGAAGAAACCAAGAACTCTCTGGAGGAGACTGAGGATGTTCCTACTGTTGAGTCACAGGCTGATGGCGAAAACAAGGAGGAAGAGCCAGAAGAGAAAGACTTGCAGAGCGAGCCAGAAAATGAGAAGACGGCGTCCGAAAAAGAGGCTCATGCCAATACAGTTTCGCAAGATGGTCAAACTGCAGAGGACGAGGATGGGTCACTCAATGGTAGCATGGACCTGTTTTCTTCAGAAGATGTCAAACAAGAGCCAACTCCCGCCGACGAGCCTATTTCCTCCACCGACCAGCCAAGAGCGGTGCTCTCGTTTGACCAGAGCGAAAACGAGCCAATGGATGCGGCATACGACGTCGACATTACAAACAAAGATCATCCTCTTTTCCTCTCTTCTGACAGTCAATCTTCTCAGGGAAGTCAAGACAGTCAATCTTCTATCCCTTCTCTTGGTAATCTAAAACTCGAATTAATAAATATTGTTTTTTCTTTTAGAAGACGTACCAGCCGACTTTCCCTAACAGAAGAGCTTCTGAAGAATCAAGCTATACTTCAATTGTCTCTTCTAAACAAAGAGACCCTCATTCCGACTCTATAGACTATAGTGTGAATTCCACACTCATGCGCACACCCTCACCGCCCAGGAAAAATATCTTGACATGTTTTCATTGACTGCCACGCCTCATGCATTTAGGTTAACAATTTAGGTAAATTATCGCTTCATTTAAATGCCTTTTAAATTCAACCCCCTGTAAATAAAAGACAGAAATATTAATTTGATTGAGATCATCGAAATTTCACTAGCTGTGAAATTTTCTCATCTTGGTATTTTCACAACGCAGATTTGCATGCAGCGCTAAATTTTCCCATGGCGAGTTCTCGCTTCTGGGCAAATTACACGACTAGAAAGGTTTTAAAAAAGTCAGGAATGTTTCAAGAAAGGGATAAATATCGCCAATTTGTTTTCAATCGTCTGCTGAAAGCAAGTTTCTTCTATATATTCTCCCCGATATGCATGTTGCTTATCACTGATGCATTTATTATTGTTTGACTGGTATCCTCAGACGCTCATGCAGAAAGAAATCATTGTCTTATCACAAGCAACCACATTTTACTCAATCATATCCCATGATTCTTGGAGCTCTTGCTTTCTTATTAAAATAAGCTCAACATCACGTTATTTTGCACGAGATCTACGTCAGTCAGAAAGCTTCAAGACGAGCCCGCATTCCTAGAAAACGCCGTAAAACTTAATCAAGGCTCTTTTATCCCTACTTTGTTGTCAACCAAAAGATCACCAAGATTCTCATGGTAAATTTCCACGAACAACGTTCTCAAAAAAGGGGATGATTTCTTGCTTGAGTATTTCATTTCCGATAATTAGGAATTTCACAGTCATCTCTCATAATGAGCACCTGTGCTCTGGACAAGTTCTCACGCGCACTCTGACACAACACACGCCCTTAGGTTCCCAGCTGATCAAACTTGATGATAATTAGTACTCATTAGCCGGAACATATCTTCTCTAAGTCGAGGATTGAATGTATCAGTCATAATATAATCTGGACATATTTTGAAAATAAGTTCAACAGAGCTATCAAGAATTACTTACGATCAAGTGTGAATGAAATAAAAACACTTATGATTTTCCGTCTAATTCAAAAGTTGACACAGACAAAATTAATATAAGTAAATAATAAGTAATAAGGCAAAATGCTTTGAAAGTTGAGTTTTGACGACAGCCCTATTATTTAGCGGCAGGCGGCAGACGAACGTGGCTGTGTGTCAGTTTCACAATAAACACTTTTCGTTCCAAACGTATTAGTCCAAGTTTATAGCAGGCCCGCTTTGATGCTTTGATGAGCTGTTCCAGATTGATGAAAGAGAGTGAATTAGCGCGCTCGGTCTAAGCTCCTCCGTCGGAGAAGCCAGCCGTATCCAAGTACTGTATATTGCAGCAAATGAGACACTTCCGTTATATACAGGCCAATGCCTCCTGAGCAATCTGATTCAGTGGAATCGCCACTTCCGATCTTTGGCTGAAATTTGTCGCGCTCTAATTTAGGACACAGCTAAGCATTGGGTGTGAGGCACGCGCGTTCCCAGATGATTGCAAATGTTGATAGAGGACCTTCATTTCGAAACTTTCAGCCGGAACGCACAATCTTCTAATGAATAGTCTTTATGAAGTATGAAACTTCTGAATAAGAAGCCTCAAATATGAATAGTACTTTTTCTCCATGATTCCATTAAACATTGATTCTTCGGTTGAAGGCGTGCATTGACAGATTTGAGAGTAATATGGCATATTGCATGTAGGATACAATAAAACGGGTCTAGACGTTATACTCCCGTCACCAGGCAAGAATGTGGGAAGAACCTGAGGTTAGACGATTCTGGTTTAGTCTGCAGGACGCGGATGTTATTACTGACGCGCTAGACGAGAGTGATAAGGCAGTTCCTTTGTTGTCGGTTGCTAATAACGGCGTTCTTATAACGCCCCATTTCTGCCAGAGACAATCAGATGAAGCCAGAATGAATCTGCTTGTCCAGAGATACAGTAAGTTTGTTGTTGATATGGCCCAGTAGACAGACAACATTATCAACGGAAAAGAACCGATTGTCCACATAAAAACACGCTTGCAGCCCCTTGCTCTCTAGAATTCAGTTTTTTAAGGCGCACTGAAAAACAACCCATGCTTTCCAGGTAAGAAACCGAACGCTCCGCATCTTTTAGTCGCCCCGAGAGACACCTATGCAGTTGTTTTTTAATTGATTCTAGTGTTTTCTAGATAGACGAGGCTGTTTTGGAAATTTTTTTAATGTAGAAATTAGTTTTTCTGTCGGGTACAGTGAGGCAGGTAAATTCTTCAATATTTTTTATTTGTTGAAATTTTGTCCTCAGCGAATCTTTTTACCTGAGAACTTTCATAAATGGCTATTTTCGGACAGTTTCCGAAGACTTATTTTACTCGCAGATACATTCCAGTTGTATAACTTATACAATGCAAGATGCAGAGTAGAATTAACCTGCTGAGAATTAATCAAAGGATAAAATTAGGCCGCTATTTTCCAAATTTTCCGCTCTAGGAAAAAAAATTTGTTCGACGATGGCGCTGCGCGGGGGATGGAGCGCGCAATATTTGAGTTTTTAAGGTACCCGCGTTGAATCAGAGATCATTACTATTATCGTTATTTCGATTCCTTATCAAAAAGTTCCAAGTTTGGCTCCAACCGAACTATATTTTTGAAAAACTCGTCCGCAGCAAGAGATACTAAAGAGTACTAGAGTTTCTAAGAAAAGGAAATATTCGAAGACAGCTAGAATTCTCTTAACGCCGAAAAACAGGTACAGCTCCAAATTGTCGACGACTCTATTTTTTGATTTTCCCGGCGATTAAATTTGCGATGAGGCGATCAGCTTTTGAGCCAGAAGCTAACTGCGAAAAATGCACCTTTTCAGCGCCTTTACGTTTTCTAAAATGTTGTTTTAGGCCAATGACACCAACCATACTCTTGTTGATCCTGGTTATCGTGAGAGGTTCTCCTGTAGGAAGCGCACCATCGAAATCATACTCAGAGAAAATCACTCCCAAAGGTAAGAAAATTCACTCCTATAAAATCTATTTATTCCACACGTTTATTTCTTTAAAGATTTTTTCTTTGCTTGTTATCTTACCAAATTTATTCAAAACTCATTTTGAAAGCTAAAAATCATCTCTTTTCTTAATATTTAACTTTAAAATTGCATTTTTTATTAACCTCAAATAGTATTTTCCAACGGTCAGATTTTATCTCTGTCTAAATTTTTCGATCTTCCTATTGTTTTCCATGAAAATAATAGCAAGGTCAATGTTGCCCTTGATTTTCAGGGTCAAGCAAAGTAAACTTAAATTAAGATAAGAATTAGTATATTTAGGCAACAGACTAAATCGGCTTTAGATTATCGAAAGTACTTTTCAATTTGTAAGTCTGGATTAGATTTTTGTGTATTTGGAGAATTGGCGCATGAAAGAGCGATTTCCGGGAGGGATTTCCGCTATCTCTGAGTTTTATCAGTGAAAGCTAGAATACAATTTGTGTATTGGCGCACTTTCTCTCTCTGGATTTTATCGCTTCCCGGACATTCCTCTTTTACGCTCAATAACCGCGATACACACTTTCTTCGCCTCCTTCCGCTCTTCCAAATCACCAAGCCAATTTTTCTTTTAGTCGACTTCGGAAGCGGAACAACTTGGGCTGTGCGATTTCAACTCACAAACAAGCAGTTCAAGAACATGTGCAACGCCCGTCTCACTGTCCCGACCGACCTTATCAAACTTGTAAGTGCACAAGAACTTGTTTCTTGCTTATTTAATGTTTTCGTCGAAACTATGATTTTCTTATTACTTCAAGCTCATAACTGTTTTTTAGTATACTGAACGCCTCGAGCTAGACATCGAAATCCAGTTTCTTTTGGACGACAAGCCTCTCAGTCAGCTTGGCTCGATGAGAGTTTCAAACTTCAAGCAATACACAAACAACCCTAAAAGGTAATTCCACTATTATCAGCTATGAACAGTTTAATAAACGAATAACTTCAGAGCTTACGCAGAAGTACATACAAGAAAGCTCGAGCGCGCAAAGAGTCAGCTGCTGCGCTCGATGCCCGAGTATCACGACGCTGTTGCCGAATACAAGCCTGTGGATGATTTGTATTTCGAATTCGATTCAAAAAGCTCATGTGCGCGAAAAATCCGCAGCAGACGATCCACTAGAGCTATTCAGCACGCACGCGCCAGACGAGATACTTCGAGGAGTTGGTCCGCTCCCAGCTGTCGCCGGTACGAGCTCGTCGTCGACATTTCCGAAATGTACCAGAGCGTCACCGTCGAGCCGAGCATCATCAACGTTGGTACGTGCATCAACCCCCAGCACAAAATGCACCCGAAGCAGCAGAAGAACAGCAGGCAGCCGTACGATGAGCGCGTGCTCCACTTGCGCTCCATCTCACAGCAACAGTGCACGGAGGACTACGACAACCAGTCGAAAAGCAGCGCGCGGGATCATATCTTCAGCTACAGAAACATCAAGGAGCACTTCGCCCACGCCAACGAAAAGGCCAGCACCGACTTCAGCCGATCCATCATCCCCGCGCAGTGCTTCCCCAAGAGCTACGAGAATGCATCTATAGGAATAGCCTACCACAACAACCCCAAAGAGCCGATGAAGCATCACACGATGATGGACGCGATCATTGTCGACTGTGGCTGCCACTAAAAACATCTCCATTATTAAATTCTATTTTTATAAAAACTAGAATTCATAAAATCTTGAAAGTCGATTATCTATTTAAAAAATGATGATTCCATCTAAAAAAATTTTCAAGCTTTTATAAATTCCCGTTTTTATGAATTAGTTTTATGTGACCTGTAAACGTTCCTCATAGCTCATTCAACATTCATTCAACACCTCTTAAATAATTCCATCATCGAACTGCCAGCTTCTTTCCACATTCTACTTCTGCTTAGCTACTCTCATCGTTGTTGTCAACGTCTTTGTACAAATTCCAAAATGCGCAAGAAACAAAGTGTGACGATCTGGTAGTTGAACAAGTTAAAGACCCTACCACAAGTGACTCAGTTTAACAATCCCTTCTGTACAAAATGAGCTCTCTCCATTTCTTGACTGATTGGCCTCGTCCGATCGACAAACTGGTGCAAATTTAAAGATCATTTTTTACAGAAATATATTCATAAAATAAATAATTTACAGAAAAATCTCTCTTTCTCTCTAGTATGAGCAGCTAATAGAAGTCTTCCGATTCTTAGATGACCTTACAATTTGCAACTAACTTACAGTTATTACAATTAACTATTGTAATTGATAAAGTGAAGACTTCATTTTTTCTCTCTTTATTCCATAAATATGACCAATTTCGGACAGCAACATGTTTATCAGGAGTCCTGACTCAGGACATTCAGATTCCCGAGTACCAGGAGCGACGTGCCAGTGCCTCCAGCACCGGGAGGCTGACTGTGGGAAAGGCCCGTTTGCGCAGGTGAGTTCCACGGCCATAGCCAGTGGGTAGTCGGTAACGCGCTTGCCGTGCGAATCCTCCAGTCCAATCAGGCGAGAATTGGCGACGTTGTGGTACTGGAAAGTTAAGCTGCTCAAGGAAGTTCCGCCGAGCGCGCATAAACTCGCCGATGCTGGGCGAGGCTGCACGTTTTGGACGCCAGTTCCAATCGTTTCCCATGCTGAAAATAGTTTAACTGTGAGGAAAATAGACAAATTTATTCCGGATTCAATTCAGGCGAGTAAAATTAATTAGTTAAGAAAGGACGCAAACCTTGCAGTCACCAACGCCAGTGCATTACAAATATAAGCAAGTCTCATTTTTTTTACGTCTCTCGTTTCTTGTCGTTCAAAATTGATTCGAAGAATAGTCGAGGGCAATGGCCTTTTAAAATAAGATGCTCTGAATATTTATTTCAACTAACATTCCATTTGAGATATTAATGCCACTACTTCTGTCCTGGCTTTCCAAAATTGCTGAACGCACAAGGTTCTGCTCAATTATTCACTCCAAAAAAACCACTCTCTGAGTTAGAATTTCCTTTTCAGAATCATACATCAGCAATAATTTCGCGCAATTACATAGAGTCGACCTAAGATTGAATATTCTTCTGCATAAGAACCAGCAAACTCATCAAAATGGTAAACTGAGCACTTTCAATTGCTCGAATTCTAGAGACACTTTTAAAATTTGAATTTCCAAGCAACAGTAGATTTTCCTAAACACTCACGTTGTTAAATTCTTAGAATGATTTTCTATAGTCAAAATGTAGATTCCCCGTCAGATTATTTAAAAAGATATTTTCCTTTTTTTCAGGTGAGTCGCCGGAATTTATGCAATTTTGATAATTCCCACCTCGGAGCGGAATCCTCATTATGACAGGTTGACGTCAGTTCTGCACTCTGAAAACGATCCCTCTCCCTTGTTCGTGTAGGCGCGGTGCTGGTTCAGAGCACCATTTCTAGGTGGAGCTATGCGCGGGCCAGCTCAGCGTTCATTTTTATAGATGCACTCATAATAGCAGCTCAATCTTAGTCCACTTGAGACCGTTTCCTTATATTTTTCGAACAGAGAGTGCATCAACAACCAAGAAAAGAAAGAAGAAGCGCCTTTATTGCAGACACATGAAGCTCGGTGTTCTATTCACACTTGCTTCCGCCAGCTCAACGGTAATTTCGGCGGATTATCGAGGAACCCTACGGCGTTTTATTCAATATCTGATTCTATAAAATATTCAAAAGATCCTTCATATTTTTTTTATTATTTACCTAGAGCTTTTTCTACAAGAAAACTGATTTTTGAAATCGTTTTATTGCCAATAAAATGGATCCAATTTAATCAAAAGCAAAATTCAAGCACAGTGGAATAATGAAAGAATAACTCAAAAATAAATTAAACGTGAGGATTACACAAATGTTTAGCTAAACTGACTCAGCCTAAATGAGCACTGGTCGAACGCCACCTCTTATGTTATTTTTTCTCGTTATCGAAAGAACCCTACTTCACGTTGCCAACAATTATGGAACTTTATTTCGTTTAGAACCTTTTCTAAATAATGATTAGTTGAATGAAGATTGGAGTCAAATCATTTGAATTTCTTAATTTATTTGGTCGAAGATTCTTGATTCGTGATTTTACTACTGATTAAAACTACGCCCCTCATCACGCTACTGCGTAAAAAGACGTGTAATGACAACAGTCTCCTAAATCTTTATCTTTTAATTAAGACACAGTCCTCCTTTCCAGAGTTTTCTGCGATAATCCTATGCTTCCGCGTCATCAGTGTTTTACGGCGTCGATTTATGGGTTTATGAGCTTTGTTCGGCCATAATCTAAGTTGAAAGTAACTATTTCTGACGCGCTCTAACAGCCTATTGTGATGCTGGATTTAATGAGCATGATTTTCCGCTATGTGGGGTCAGATTAGGAAATTACACCCTGCCAAGACTGTTGACTCGTCAAGTCTCATACGTAATCCTTACAAGTAATTACCGATTATAAAGAAGATTAATTATCATTAGGGTTCCGCACGATCGGAGGACCCAAATTTCAAAAACCAAAATTAACTATAAGAAATTTTGAGGTTTAAAATAGGATAGAGGTTTTCGACTATGGCGAAGAAACATAATCAGAATTAATTATTCTGATGAAAGCATAGTAGATTAATTATCGATACTATGCGCAGAAATATGAACGAGTTTATCTCAAGGATAAACGAATTACGACTGTACTTAACCTGTTTATCTTGTAACTAAATATGAATTCCGTGATGAATGATTCAAATTTAAAACTTGCTCAAGATTTGTACCTTGTAGAGCAGTGTGGGCCTGCGCTCGTAATATCCATCACTGTAATGATTTCTGACTGTGTTGTTCAGATGGAAGAATCTTCAGTCTAGAAAAAGTCGCTTGCGCAGCTGACCAATCAGAGCGCATAAGCCTTTTAAACTTTATATTTTTAAATAGCTTTAAAATAACCAAAGAAATGGCTTTGGGGGGAAACTAGGATTGGATAAGGATTCTACTAGTCATTTTTAGTAGAATTTAAAAATTTTGGTAAATATAAAGTCTCTGTCCGAATCGTGCGGAACCCTAATTATCATGACCACGTTGCCGTGCTGTATTTTCAAGACAGTACTACCGAGCGGTTTAGGGCACACGTAAGCCAAACCTAAACAGACAGGGTTAAGGCCTCCGCTATCGGTGCAAATATTCATTTGCAAAGTGCATTACCGCTCCGTATAAGATCGGGCATATTTCTAAAATAAAGTTCATATTTTTATTAAGTTCTTGTTTCCTATAACGGCAAACTAATTAATTAACACCCAGCCTCGATTTCTGAGGCCACGCTTATTTAGTATTGAAACATGAATTTCGGACTAGACGCATGTAAAAATAAAGTTTCAGTTATTTCATAATATTTGCAAATTTGACGACAAATAATGCTTAACCCCATTTGTCTTCGAGAATTAAACATACTGTTTTCAGGCGGAAAGCAGCGCTCATGCGGCTCTACAGAGTGCCTCTCCTGGCGCCTTAAAGTTACAGTCCGCCTATGAGAAGATACAAGCAATGTTGGCTGAAATAAACGACGAGATTCCACGAATGAAATCTTCAAGTGAGCAACCCCAAGTTGCTGGACGGTACTTAGCGAGTGGTCGATCGTCTGCCCAATCTGCCCACTCTGCTTTTAATGAAGCTTCAGAAAAAGCAGCTAGCATTCAAGCAAAGTGGGAAAAGAAGAAGGCAATGGACAGACTGAAAGGTGTCATGATGATGGCGAAAAGCACATCGTCAGAAGATGACTTCTGCCCAACGAAAATGACCGCTGCGGATTGTCCGGCTGTTTCTGACCAGCGATACCCCTCTTACGACGGATCGTGCAACAACAGAATCGACCCCACTCGCGGTCAATCACATCAACCCCTGAAACGCCTTCTCAACGCCAATTACGACGACGAGCAGGAAACAATCAGGAACGTGTTTTAAATTCATCGAAAATTCATACTTTCAAGATCAAGTTTGCACGTTTTCGGCAAGCTCTTTTTCAATTATTGATGTTTTTGAAACACAAAAAAGGAAAAGCGTTGAGGGCGGTGACCTTCCACCAGCTAGAGTTGTTTCCAACAAGATTCAGAACTCACAAGCAGCCAAAAGTGTGGAACTGACGCACATGTTCACACAATGGGGACAGTTCATTATTCATGACATAGTTCATACTCCAGTTGTCAAAGGTAAGTCTATTTTATTGTTCAACGTGTATTGAAAAATAATAACAATACAAATCAGATAACCAAAATATTTTTATAGGAAGCGATGGAAAAGAGCTGGACTGCAACTGCGAAAATCCACATCCTGAATGCATTAATATACCACTCGCCGAGGATGATATCCAATTCACCATCGAAGGAAAAACTTGCCACTCTCTCGAAAGAAGTCTCCCAACACCGAGCAAAGATTGCGACGTGTACACTAGACAGCAGCTGAATCAGATCTCGAGTTACATTGATGGAACGACAGTTTACGGAACTTCGGCGGAGCTAGCTGAGAGCATCCGAGACCCGGAATCTGAGGCGGGCGAGTTAAAAGCTGACAAGCCAAAGTCACCAGAACATGGCGAATTCGAGCAGCTGCCTAAATTCGAAATATTCGAAGAGAACAGTCCCAAAGGCTTTGCATGCCCCTTCAAGCTTGCAAAAGGAAAGGAAAATTGCTTTTTGGCCGGTGATACGTAAGTCCCTTATCTCTTGGTTAAATTATTGAAACAATTTTAAAGCCGAATTAACGAAAACTTGGGATTGGCCTCAATGCATACGCTCTTCATGCGAGAGCATAATCGAATCGCGAGAGAACTAAAAGCGTTAAATCCTCATTGGACTTCTGACACAGTCTTCAACGAAACAAGACTCATTATCGGTAAAATTTCACTATAAAGATAGATTCTTCGCGTCTTAGAGGCCGATCAAATATTTTTATTTTATTTTCAGCGGCGATGCATCAAATCATTACCTACAACGAGTATCTTCCTGCTATGCTCGGCAAGAAGTTTACAAAACGTTACAATCTCGACCTTGCAAGTTCTGGCTACTTCTACGGTTACGATGCTTCTGTTGACGCTTCTGTTGCGAATGAATTTACCACAGCAGCTTTCCGTTTCGGACATTCGATGATTTTCGACCAGCTCTCTCGTCCATCAAACGATTGGACTGATCAACAGTCACCGCTTGAAATGAAGGCTTTCTTGTTCAATCCTCTTGAATACGTCAACCAAAACGGCTCTCAAGTCGAACCTGTCCTTCGTGGTCTCGTCGTCGATCCCAGTCTTATGGCTGACACGACCTTCCCAACTTCTATGAAAGAATTCCTCTTTGCAGAAGCGGACAAGTACGGAAAAGATCTCCTCGCCATCAATATCCAACGTGGTCGAGATCACGGCCTTCGAGGATATAACGATTACCGCGAATTTTTCGGGCTCCAACGAGCGGCGCATTTCGACGAGCTTTTGGAAATCCCTGCGGACATGCGACACACCTTGTCAGGTCTCTACGACCACGTAGATGACATCGACCTGTACGTTGGCGGGCTTGCCGAGACACCTGTTTCCGGTGGCGCCGTTGGACCCACTTTTGCGCATATGATGGCGGCGCAATTTAGAGACTTGAAGGTCGGAGATAGATTCTACTTCGAAAATGGCGGTTGCGAAACGACGTTCACACCAGAACAACTTACCGAGCTTCGAAAGATAACGCTATCTTCTCTCATGTGCACGTGTACTGACACGGATTCAATTCAACGCCTTCCCTTCTTCTTCGCCACCGAAGAAGATGACTCAATGAGCTCGCCAAACCGAAACGCGAATCCGCGAGTTCCTTGCTCCGAAATTCACTCCCTCGATTTGAGTGCCTGGAAACAGCCTTACCGCAATTCAGATGACATCAGCGGTGTGCCTGATTCGGGGGTCTGGACAGCATGGCTTCCTGCTAGTGGAAACCCGCCAAGTTTGGACCTCGACGTTCTACATCGCGAGCGACCGACAGGAGTTTGTTTGAACGCCATCAGCTCGGAGGCTCGCGTTCTCGAGGCTGGCCGCATCCAAAGTGAGTTACATCATTCATCTTATCACTCTTAGCACTAACTCTCGTAAAAGCTTGATTTTTTTTTAAATTGAAGTATTTTCGAAAACATAGTAAAATCTGTTTAGTGCGATTCATGTGTCCTGCTGGAGGAATCAGCCACAGTGACGTGCCACCTGCTTGTCTAGATCGAGGTCGATGGACAAACTGGATGGACACTTCCAACCCAATTTCCGGAACTGACTCCGAGCTTATGAAGGACCTCCGAAAATTGCGACCGGCAGAGATTTGTGAAAATCCGATCTACATTCAGGCCCAAACTGTCAACGATAACACACCGGCTGGCGAGACGGGCGATGTTTTCGCAACCCTCGACCCCGTTCGTGGTCTTCTTTGTCGTGGCGAAGATCAACCTAGCGGAATATGCTCAGACTACAAAGTGCGATTCTTCTGCCCGAATGAAGAGTTTGACCTTGAACTCGAGATGGACATCGTCGTCGCTTACGACTCTGAATCAACCAAAGTCATTTCCAGCATCGCTACATTGATCGAAGAGCAAGACGATCCCGAGTTTAGTTTTGACGATTATGCTTGGACTGGATGGTACAATTCCGATTCCCCATCGCTTGATGACGACCTCCACGGAGACAATGAGAGTCTCATGGTATTTTGTGGTTGAGAATTCTGATTTTATTCTTTTTCTTTCTTAGCGAGCACGAGCGACCGCAGACATTTGCGCGAATCCTGTTGCAATTGAAGCTGTGCGAGCCATTGACGGCGTCGATGCTCTGAGCACTGGCGATGTTTTCAAGTTCTTTTCGCCCAAGAAGGGTCTTGTTTGTGAAGACAGTGACCAGGTTCGTTATCCCGAGCGAGTAGATAGGCGGATTTTTAGCTTGAACAAGTGCGTTCCTTGTAAATACCTAACATTCTTCTTCAGACAATTGGATACAAATGCGACGATTACAAAGTACGCTACTTGTGTCCTCGGGAATTGATCTTGGCTGCACCTCTTCCACCTGCAGCTGGTCCAGTAGAAACCTATCGATGGGCTCTTTCACAATCCGAAAAGCTGTGTGATGAGCATAAAGTCTGCTGTCACGTTTAAAAAGACAAACATCTTATTCCCATTTCGACCCTGCTACTTCTGTATAAAATATGACAAGTGCATAATATTTGAATATATTATGAGCACCGATGAAGATGAAATAATATTTTCAAGCTTTCTCTCTACGGTGCTATTATGAAAAAACGCTGTACAAATAAATTTCCATCTTTTCACATTTTCGTTTCTTACTTTAGGTGCAATAGCTTTTTGTCTAATTAAAAATATTGAATGGAAGACTTTGAGTAGTAAACGTAACTGAAAACTAATTGAGTATTGATAGTACTACTCATGATTTTGCTGTAGGCTTCAGCAAGCAGCGCACAAGCAAGTGATGATATTGCAATAAGACCTTCACGTTTGTAGTAAATATGAGAACGCGCCATGTTTACCGTGACAGTAAACGTGAGTTCTCATGGCATACTTCGTATTCGATTTTCAGAGCCCATTATATCACATTATTAATACCATATTAATATGATATTATTAATATGGGCCCCATACTTTTAAGGCCTTCCGAAGACAATTACCGCATCCATTGATGCGTGGACTAATATTTGATTAGAGAAATCAGTCAATTTCACTTGAACAACAAGTTTGGAGATAGCGTAAGCGCTCGAATAGACCTTGTGTATCCGATAAAGAAGAAATAATTTTGTGTAAAACATAAGTTTAATGTTCAACTGGGCGCATTCTAAAGTTGTCGTTACGTCCTGCTGTCGTGTTATTCAGATTTATCAGGTGATTGATTCAAACTCTGTCTGATTTTCTGACGTTGCGGTTCCGTTTTAATTAATTTCTAAATGCGATTTTGCTGAAAAAATTGCAGACGATTAGCCTTTTACAGCTTTATTGCGTGGAGAATAAAGAAAAAACAAAAAGATAAATTGTCCGAAAAGGTCGATATAGAAGGAAGCTGAGTCAGCGATTCTTGGAGAGTTCTTGAATGGCTAGAGGATCCAACAGACGAAGGTCAAAGTTTCTGTCCATCATTCCCCGCTTTGTAAGGCTGGATGAATGACTTAAACGCTGATTACAGGTCCTTATTGATTTCTTAGTCTAATTAAATTCGAATAGTTTTAGGACCCTTGGCAGCAGTTAGCATAGATTTAACGTCATCTAAATCCAAGTCATGGTCAAACTCTTGGGGCATATGAGTTGCTCCAAAATACCCTCTCAATTCCTACAATAATTAAAATTAACGAAATGAGAGAAAACACAAATTAATGAGTTGTTAGAGAAGAATTCTAATGATAAATGTTCCCATGCGAATAATTATAATTTATCAACAATGAACGAAAACTATTTATCAAGCCAATTTCGCCAGGCACTTCCTATTGGAGTGTTCCGTTTGTGCATTCGAAAGCTGGGTTCGAAGCTGCGTTTACTGTCGAAGGCGAAGGAGCCGTCGGGATTCATCAAATCGCCGAATGCCCAATTCCTCTTTTCACCATGGAAGTGCTCGGAAGCCTGAAAAAATGAAAATTTTAGTCTCTAGCTGAAAACTTACGGAGACCGCAGCGGAACATATCAAAAAGAAAAAGTAGATTGCCCGGGTCATTGTTCGATGGAATATCGTGCTCGTCGTTGATTTTTAAACTAAATATTGATTAAAGATTTACTGGAATTATCGGCAGTCAATTCTGGCGTCTGATTGATTTTACTTCCACCTGATCAAGCGGAGATACTCGTCTACTGTCAGACAACTGTATCAATCCGCAATTGGCTTCGCTAGGAGTCCTTCTTTACATAGAATAACGGCCAATTATCGCCGAAATTTTCCTCCTTGATTTCAATCCTTTTCGAATCAATGGCAGGTATATCTTTATGTATCTATTAAACAGTCGGTACTTCTAATTTCACTGAATCTCGTTTGTTCTTCTCAAAAAACAGTAGACTTTAAGTAAGTGGATCATGCAATAATCACTCGAGTCTACTCTTTTAGATAAATAATTGATAACATGCTAGATCGCATAAACATTGGTATATGTAAACTGCTAATCTCATCAATAAGAAATATCGAAGGAAGCTCGCAAGAATATTTTCCTCACCTATGGATACTCTCTTAGACAAAATGTTTTCCTGCTAAAGAAGCTCTCTAAGAGTTTATAAAGTATTAACTTAGTCATACGGACATTTTAACAGCTGATGATTGAGTAACCCAAACTGTAGTTTAAACTCTTAATGGTATTTTCTCAAATTCAGTGATGAAAGAAAGCTGATGCTCGTCCAATTATCGAAGGAATTATTGACAGTTTTGACACCGAAGCAATTGTTCAGTTACTGATCAGGACTGTGATCGTAATGTATTAAGGATTCTTCACGGATATTAAGCAGGATCAGGAGTAATAATGGAAAATAAATTTTGGAAATAATTTAATTAATAAATGTTTTCAGAAAAGAATAAAAGTGGAAAATTCAAGTACAGTTAGTAGTGTATGAAATGTAGTTTTCAAAAGGGCAGTGGACAGAAGTCAAGTCAGACAATAAAACTTTTAGATCTTCAGGTGTTTCTTGATGGTCTTCTTCTTATTCGTTGTTAGAAGAAGATTCTTCGAGGGTCTGATTGGAGTCATCTCTGTCTTGGTCTTCGTTAATCCTCTTTAACAACTCGTTTGATGATCGTTGACTTTCTCTCATTGCTTCCGCTTTTTCCAAGTCAAATGTGACGACATCTTCGTTGATCGGAGCGAGAAGAACTTGAATGAAAGCGCCGCCAATGGTGACACCGGGGCCGCTGAAGAAAAGCTTGTACATCACCTTCGTAGTGGCATCGTCTCCAATCTCATACGCAGTGTCGTTTGGTCGTTCCAACATAACATTCCTTCTCAGCTTGACAAGCTCATCAATGCGAGTGAGCTGATGTTCATCCTTCTCGCAGAAGACGTGAGGAGTGTCGTCCAAGTCGAGATCTATCCAATAAGAGTCTTCAGAATCGATGAATTCTCCACCGTAGATGTATGTCAGCCAAAATAAGCATTCGGTATGGTCCTCTCCAGCGAGCTTCTTTTCAAAGGTGCAACCGCACGAGAGAGAGATGAAAAACTCACGTTTATGTTCCCACATTCTCAGTTGAAAGCCGGGATTACCGAGCACTCGAGTGAATTTGAGGTAAATGTCTAGCATTTTTTGTGTTATGATTTCTCCGGAATCGATGCCCGATTATATCCGTTTTAGCTTCCAGTGGAGGGCGACACACGCGAAGAGTAATCAGCGGGAATCAGACGGTATCTCACAAGACAGGTGTTTATCAACGCAATCAAACTTAGTATTTCCGCAAAGAAGTACAAGACCGAACCAAGAGGAGACCATTTCTATTAATCATAAACAGCCGTAATAGAAAAAGACATTGTATTTCATTCTGAAGTTAGTAAAAATTTGAAAAAATCCACACCGCCGTCGCGCGCTAATATGAGTCATCGTCGCGGAGAGCGCGGCGCAAAATTGATTTTTTTTACTTTTTTCCTTGAGATTATGCCTTTTGTCTGAGTGAGAAATTTAAAAGGAATTGGGCTTTATAAAAACTGTCAGGTAAATTTATTCAATGTTTATTAATGCATTTAAAAATTCTCTCTTTATTGATCGATTTTTTGTTTCATTTATCAAAAAGAAATTTAAAAAAATGCTTTTCAAAGCTCTATCAGTAAGGATTCTTCTCAATGAAAAGGCATGATGTCTATTTGGCGGCTCTGGCGCAGCGGAATCGACTGAGACGCGAGGCCGAGGAAAAGAGCATCGAGCAGCAACGGAAGATTGATCGCGAGCGCGGTTTCTCTGCCTATGTCAACGGCGCCAACACGAGGGCGAAGTCGGCAACAGGGCCAAGAACGCAATCCCGAGTGAGCACAGCTTCGTCGTCCAAATCTCCTGAACCGAAGAAGCCGATGACCGCGCTTGGAACAAGTCGCGCAACTCGAAAGTCTTGGGCGGAGAGCATGGTGCAAGACAAGGGACCCTTCTTCGACAAAGACGATGACAGCGAAGAGGAAGAAGGAATCATGTACTCGGAGACCTTTGACGATGACGAGCACACTGGCAAGTTTGAAGCTTCGTCGAGTTCCACCCCGGAAATGCAAAAGAGCAGTTCAATCGAGTCAGTCGAGGAACGCGTACATACCCCGTCCTCATCTAGGGAGTTGGTTGTTCCTCAGGTAAGACGAATCGCATGTGATATCTTTATTCAAATTTTTAACACTCTTTTGGTAGCTATCTGCGTGCACATCTCGCTCAGGACGACGGGGATGGACGCTCGACAGCAGCATTCCCTTTGCCACTTTGAAAGTTGCTTCGCAAGAGTTCTCAGATGGGAGCAAGTCCTCGTTAGAAACAGCGTCAACCGCTTCCAGTCCGAGCCCAGAACTCGGAGGCAGTGTTTCTACTGGTGACGCCCTCCGCGCGAAAGAACAGCGACGAAACATTCTCCAAGAAAGCTGGAATCTGATCGACAACTTTGAAAGGAAGAACAAAGGTCGATCGTCGCTCATCTTTTCCGAAAGTTTTTCAGAAAACAACCCAACTATAGAAGGTAAGAAACCGCCTTTATTTGCTCTTTACCTTGATTTAAGAAGAGAGAGAAGAGTTGTACAGCGATTTCATTCCAGTGACACCTAGTGGCCAAATCCTCGACCTGATCATTCACTCGACTTGGGGCGATCAAAACTACGCCGGGCTAAATGGCCTCGAAGTCTGGAATACTCAGGGCGAGATTGTCAAAGTGAGCTCAATCACTTCCCACGATTTCAGAGAAAGCGTGCTCGATCCCCGCTCCAAATTGCAAAACATCATCAACGGAAATTACAACACTTCAGATGACCTGCACACATGGCTGGCCGAGCTTCCCAAAACTAGAAAGCCGAGAGTGACGCTAGAATTCAAACGAGTCCAAAGCATCGCCATGATTCGAGTCTGGAATTACAACAGAAATCGGGTTCATGCGCGAAGAGGAGTCAAACATTTGGAGCTGAGACTTGATCAAAAAGTAAGACAACTGTATAATTCTCTTTCTAGCGCGCATTTTTAGGTTATATTCTCCAACGAAATCGTGTGCGGACAAGGAGACAAAAGCACGCCCGCCCTAGAGCCGATCATATTCACAACCGAAGAAGAAGTGTTCAACCGAATCGCCCAGAATGATCCTGTCTTCCCGAAATAATCGTTCAACCACCGCCTGATGCTCTCTATCTTTTCATTCATTATTCTGTGTCAATTGCTTCTAACCACACATCTTTTATTTTTGTACTACTTTGGAATATAAACATATATCTTTTTACTTTTCTCTTGATTGATTGCTGTTTCGTAGACGAAATTTGAAATTGAAATGGCGGAGATTCACTATTTGGGAGAGATCGCCACTGGATACGGATTTCCGGAGAATAAGCTCTGCGTCCGATACAAGATTAAATACGGAGCTGCGTGGAAACTGATTTCTGGGTAATGATAAGCGTAATACTATGATAGCAATGTGTGTCTTCAGAAACAAGGAAGGGCAAACTCAAACTGACTGGCCTCAGGACGAAGACGAGGCGAATTTCAATCACTTTGTTGATCTGCACTTTGGCGCGCGAGGTATTCAGGGCTGGCCACAGATTATGATCCAAGTGTACCTTGTCGACAGCAATGGGCGACGCGTGCTCTACGGTTATGGCTCTAGTATTTTGCCAATAACGGCTGGCTACGAAGAAATCGAAATTGGAACATGGCGTCCTGCCGATCAGTCCATCCGTGGACGACTCAAATCTTACTTGTTGGATAGCTCCCCGGAACTGGCAGAGCCAGAGAACATTATCAGCAGCGCAACGCAACAAAGGCATGAATCCTATCAAAAAACTTCAACTGACACATTTCAGACAACAACTAGCTGCAGAAGCCATGGGCTACGTGAAAGTAAAGCTGTACACCGTTCTGCGAAATTTCAAGAAGTACGGCATTGAAACCTAGAAATTCACATCGCCATGATTAACTCTCCTGCCTCACTTTATCATTCAATCTTCCAACCGCTTGGTCGTTTTATTTTTTTACTATAAATCGGTTTTTTCTTTCTTTAAAACGAAACTTAAAAATATTATCAATTCAGACGGAAATGGAACCGGAGCCTATGTACGGCCGTGAAAAGACGTGGGAAGACTTTTTGAACAAAACGCATGTTGACCACAAGCTGATGCATCAACTTATTAAAGGATACCTGACAAGTGAGGGCTTTCACGATGTGTCCCAGATCATGGACGAAGAGGCGAAAGAAATCGGCTTTCTCAATGAGATAGAAGACGGGGAACCTTCCGACTTACAAAAGATACAACGCTCTGTAAGTAACTGTAAATTGAACGAGTCGATTTTTTTAATTGTGGTTGATTATTTCCATTTACGAATTTCAGACTAGATCCGCGAAGCAATTCTCAGCGGCGACATAAAAAAGGCTGAATCGCTGATCAATCAAAACTTCCCAGAAATGCTGGACGACGATCATCTTCTCCACTTTTACCTTCAAACCCTGCACCTTGTCGAGCTCATTCGTGCCAAGGACTTCACCGAAGCAATCAAGTTCGCGCAGGAAGATATTGTCGAAAAGGGGGATCATCCAGAGTGTCTCCCAGACTTGGAACGAGCCATGGGACTGCTAGCTTATGAAAAGCCAGAGGAATCACCATTTGGTGATTTGCTGAAGCAGGGTTTTAGGCTCAAGGTAGGTGGAAGGTCTCGTCTTCTTTTTATAATGCTCCAGGTCTGGACGCAAGTCAACCACTCGATTCATGCAAACGAGCAACATGACACTTCAAATCGACTCAGCTACAGTTACAAATCAATTTCTTTTTTCATAAATGTTGACATTTTTTCGATAAATGAGTTCGTTTATTTGTAGCCTACAAATAAACGAATTTCTTTTTTCATAACTTAAAATGATTATTAACTGATCGGCAGTAACACGATGAAATACGCTCTGTGGAACGAGAAGCTGTTCAACGATCTAAAAATTCCCTTAACGAAGCCGAATTTATAAGAAAAAATATGAAATCGATTTAAAATCACCTCAAGACCTATTCAATTTCGTTTCAATATCATTTCAAATAACTTCCTCTATAAGTTTTTTGCTCCGTTTTAGAATGGATGACGGAGTTGATCTCGGGAGGCTCATTGACGAGACGCGTAAATTAGCGGCGGAGAATGCGCAGTTTTGCGAGATTCACACCAATTTAAATCGTGAGATCAAAAGACTCAAGGACGAAAAGCTCACTTTAACGCAGGCGAATGGCTCTCTGTCAAAGAAAATCAAGCACTTACAGTCGAAGCTCGACGGTGGCGAGGATATTGTGTCGCAAATGAAGGTATTTCTCTGATTATGTAAAAATATATAGAATAGTTTCATTTAGAAAGAGCATCAACAACTGTCAAAGAAACTGAGGGAGTCAAATGAAGCCGTGGAAGTTGAAAAACGTCGCCTTCAACAAACGGAATCCCGCGCCGACGAAAGCTCGCGTCAGAAAGAAGACCTCGAAAATCGCCTGAAACTCTCTAGAATAGAAGTTGAAGGCTTGAGAAGCCAAAACGCAGCCCTGACGTCGGAAAAGGAAACGCTAGGGACTCGACTGGCGCAGGTGGAGGAGCAAAGCGCTCGAAAGCAAAATCACAATCGCACCCTTTGCGTTGAGCTCGAGCATGCAAACATGTCGAGAAACGAAGTTACGGAGAGTCTAACCAGCACGAAAATGGAGCTGAGGTAGCTCTTGTTTCTTGAAACTTTAGCATGACATCCCTTTTTTAGTGCGACATGTGAAAAGCTTGACCTTGCTCTTACAGAAATCGAACAACAGAAGGGTCTTCTTCGCGAACTAGAAGTTCTGTCTGAGCGGCTTAAAAAGTCCGAGTGCTTAGCTGCCGAGAGATTAGCAGAAATAACCAGCTTAGAAGGGAAAATCAAGTCTAATGGGCTAACAATTCGAGACCTCTCCGAAGAAGTCGAACAAGTGAATCTCAAACGGTGATAATTTTGCTTCTTGAAAGAGTCATTAAATCTTTTTTCACAGAGATAATTTGTCGAAAGCATGCGCGGACAAAGATAGGGAGTTGGCTCATCTCGAAAATGCGCTGCAAGACGAGCAGAGAACGAAACAAGAGCTCAACCGACAAGTTGAATCATCTGAAAGACAAGTCGAAAAACTCGCATCAGATGTTGAGTCACTCAAGCGTGCCAAACATGAAGACCTGATCAACATTCAGAAAGAAGAGGAAGCTTGGAGAAAACGAATTGAAGATCAACGATCGAAGGTATTCATGGAATCAATGAATGAAATTTTAACCCTTTGTTAGTTTGAAAAGACGATCAGAGATCACGAAGAAACGATCAAAAACAGCGAGTCTGAGTTGCAAGAAATCTTGAAACTGAACCAACGAAAGGATGCCCAGTTGACTGATCAGTTCAAGAAGATTGAAGACTTGATGGAACTGAACACGAAGCAAGAACTGTCGCTGATATCACTCAAGAATCATGCAGGCGAGATCGAACGCAAGTACAAGACCACTGAAGGAGAGAAAGCGAAGTTACAGTCGCAAGTGCAGCAACAGAACGGAAACTTGATCCAAAAAGAAAACGAAAGTGAAAGCCTCAAGGAACAAGTTGCCAACTACGAGGACATAAAACGCGCACTCGAAGAAAAGCTCGAGCTCAGTCAACGAAAGCTTGAAACTCTGTCAAAACAGAACCGAAAAACTGAACAGGCTCTATCTCACCTGACGGCGGAACAAGCAAAGAATGTGACGAGTTCGAGTCAATTGACGCGAAAACACGAAATAATCATGGCCGAAAAGGATGAAGAGTTCAGGGTCGAGATTGCCAGACAGAAAAATGGTAAAAAATTAATTACGAAAGTCTGAAAAGTAAAGGAATTCTTAGAATACGAAGGAATGCTGGCTGAACTAGACACCTTGCGTGCAGAGTGGCAAAAGCGCGCAAAAACGGCTGAGGCAAATCTGATCAAAGCTGTTCGCAAGTGCGAGAAGGCGGAGAAACAGTTGAAAATGTCGAACTCACAGCTCGACGAAATGGCAAAATACGAAGCTACGATGCAGCTTGAACAGTTGAACAAGATCAACCTCCAGCAGCAGCAGTTGGTTGAACAGCGAGACTTGCTTGTTCAGCAGCTAGATCATTTTGAGAAGATGAAGAAGTTTTTGAGGACAACGGTCCGAGAGATCAACAAAAAGTAATTCGTCTTATAAATAGTTGTCTATTCCAATATTTCAGAAAACTTTCAAAGACTGAAAAATGGTCAAAAGCTGGTGCGATTCTGCGCTTCCGAAAGGCCGCTATTGCTGTTTTAGCGATGAATCGACTTTCGTCGCATTCGAAGAAGAAGGATGATCCTTATGCGTATCCGCTAGATTGCAGGCTGTCAAATCAGCTGAGAAGTGGGCTGCACAGAGTCCTCACTCAAACCGACGCCATTCAATTGTATTCGACAAAACTACTCGCCGGAAATATTCAACAGGGATTTCAATCTCTCACAGGTAGTTTTATCTTGCTACTAATTAAACAAACATGAAATAGATCGTAATGTACGATTGGAAAGGGAGAAAAACTCCTTGCGCGAGAAGCTCAAGTCTTCAACGTCCTTCATGAGCGAACTGGAGGATCGTATCAAAAACATCGAAAAGAAAGAAAACCTTCCAAACCGAACAAACTCAAATAATTCCAACTCAAACGATTCCAATGCATCATCATCTTAATTAATTATCATCCTTCCTCAACCACTGCTCTACAAACTATCTCATTTTTCTATTTCTTACTTTATTTTCTTATTTTTATTCTATCTCCCGTTCATCGCATTTTATTCAATTAGAATGGTGAAGTCTGGATTTATTCGCGATCCGTCCAGTTTGTTGATGTCCGTAATTCGGACTCTTGAAGACCATTCTGATTCTAGGTTCGTAAATAAAGTCTAATGCGAAAATAAACGGGTTTCTTTGTTTTCTGAGCATTAAATTAGACATCGAGATGCGGAACGAGAGAAACTGGAAGAGGCCTTTGCCGACGTAGACAGAAAGCTGGACAAAGCGGTTGAGGCGAATTACGAAGAAATCTCAGTAACGATCCGCCGGTTCAGTGACATCAATGCTGGAATTTCGAACTGCCGCGCGCGTATGACTGAAGTTCGAGAGAAGCTTGGGCAGTGCAAGCAGTTGTTGCACTGTCGACAGGATGAGCTCCGCGGATTATGGATTGACGGCATCGAGTACAAAAAAGAAGTGACGCTGCTCGAGCAAGTGGAAAAGATCAGAGCTGCACCGATGGAGGTCGATAAATTGATGTACGAAGGCGAGTGGACACAGTGCGTTGAAAAGATCACCCAGGCACTCAACTGGTGCAACAATGACTTGGCGCTGGTAGGAGCTCTCCATGACTTGCGTGCCGAAATACAGGTTTTCTTGAATGATTAGAACCAATCTTATGAGAATTTTAAGTCGAAACATCAAATTGTCTACGAAAAGCTCATAACCGAGCTTCAGCGACTGATCTACGGCCAACACAGCAAAACGGAAATGTCAGAGAGTCTCGAAAAGATGAGAAAATTTGCTCAAGCGATCGAATGTCTTGGCAAAACAGATGCAGCTACCGAGGAACTAAGAAACAGAATTGACACGGAATTGTCTGGAATAATAAACAGGGAAACAACGCATGTTTCTGACAAGGAGTATCACAAAGAAGAGGGAGTGCAGAGCTCGAAGGTACTGAGGTAGGACTTCATTGACAATTGTATTTTAACGACTTTTAGCGAACTTCTCGAAAACATTTTCGCCCAGTTCCGTTCAGTGGCAAGAATGCATCAGACTCTTCTCGAAAGTCTTTCGCCAAAGGCTAAACGACCGTACACAACTATAGACGTGTGGCTAAAAATACAGACTGTCCTTAAATTTCTTTTGGTCGAATATTTGGAAGAAGATATCAGTGGAACTTTCAACCGTCTGAGCACGATCGGTGTTGAACTTGGCTCCAAGCGCAAGCACAAGTTATTCCGCTTCGACGCTTCTGGACATGCGATTTCGATGAACACCTACTTGCGCGAGAAGAGGCAAGAGAACGACAATTCCTCTGAAACTTACTTCTCCGCAGTGCCTGTTTGCAAAACTAGTGCAAGGAATATTACGGGAATATATCGTTCATTGAGGTAAAAATCTAAAAATGAGTCGCGGAGTAAAAGTAAATTCTAGTTCCTTTATCGCAGAAATCGAAAAAGAGATAAATATCGAGCCAGGGCGCCACATTGCTCTTTACACGTTCGTTGTTGAGCATATCGAGAAAACCTTCATCAAGCAACTTGGTCACGATGTTAGTTCTGAGCTGGATGCTGCGACGAAAGTTACAGATCCGTTGAAAGTTATCTCCGACAGCGCACATCAGAAGTCTGCCAGCTCGCCGTCGCCTATCCTTCAATCCGCTCTTGTCGTTTTCCGTCAGGTAGAGGACCTCGTCGATGTCCTTCTCCAGCTCGACGAATACACCGAAACCTTCTTCATAATGATATGTACGGTGTTACAGAAATTCTACCAAAGCATAAATGAGCCGCTTCAAAACTTGGTGACGCCCGAAGATCAAGAGATTCTCTCGAATCAATTGACAAACAACTCCGAGTTAAGAAAGCTTATTCAAGGGTCTCCTTGCTGGAGGAGAGCTTTTGGGATCTCTGTGAAGAGTGATTCAAATAAAGCCGCGCAGGTTATGCTCAAAGAAGAGGCTGAAATGATCACAGAAGTATAAAACGATCAATTTTAACGACAATCAACCCTTTTTAGGTTTTGAAAGATAAAGAAATATCACGTCAAACTATCATCGAAGATCACACAGACATTAAAGCAGTAGCGAATCTTCACGAAAGTCTCGAATGGCTAACTAACAAACTTCGAAAGACATTTGGATTACTCACCTCACAGTAAGTACTTCAACTGAAACTCGCGGTATAATATTTTAATAGTGGGCGAGATAGCGACGTACTAATGCAACTTAACCAAATTCTTGGCCGATTCCAGTCACTTTCTGAAAACTGCTTGATGTACCTGCATCTTGAACAGCGCGTACGATGTTTTCTGTTTTTAGCCCCGCTTTTCAAAGGCGCCAAATTCAATGTTGGAAACAGCGACGCCCTAGAAACGGACGTAGAAGTCGAACGACTTGAAACGGAGCTCAAGCAAATTGAAGATGTTCTACAAGGTGCTAAAAAGAAACGTAACATAATGCATTATGAGAAATTAAGGCTCTCTTCAACCTCAAAAGTACCGTTTCGTATTTGAGGGGCTCGGCCAGCAACTTCGCACTTTGCTGATGGAAGGCGCGCGTAAAATGACGAAAATAAGCGAATCAGGTGTCAAGAAGATTTGCCGCAACATTTTCACGATCCAGCAAGCACTGACGAATATCACGATGAACCGGGAGCCGGCGCTCGACCAGGCGCGCCAGTACTTTGAGTTACTCTATCAACGACCGGAAGGTCTTGTCGCCTCTGTAGAAGAATCTGGACCAAGATATTCGTTTGATGATTATATGGTAGCCCTTGCACTTTCGTACAGGTACAATTATTTCGTATTCGAATTTCTAGAGCAGGATCTATTTAATTGAGACTCCATGTTTAACCTGAAGTTCAGATCTCACGGTGACTTGAGCATCGGCGACCAGTCAAAACACAAACAGCTGGAGCAGCGTCTATCCGACGTTTGCAAATCGCGTGTGTCTGACGAGAATGATAAGACTGTAGACGACTATGATTTCTAGTGCCTCTCCCAATCAGACTAACCATCACTGCAAGTTCCTTACCTCAGAAAGCAAACAAAAAAGTACTATTCTTCATCACTTCTCTTTCTTTCTTTCCTTCGCTTCTCATTCGTTCAACTAATTTTGTGTAGATCTTGACTGCTCAGCAGATTCTGTAAACTTACCGCCAACTTACCTTTTTCCCCACTCTGTATTTCTATATATTTATTCATTCATTCGCGCCATTTTGATTCAGTTAGTTTTTTCTTCAGACAGACATGGCGCCTAAAGACTATCTGGGCAAGGACCAGCGTAATACCGGACTAGATGATAAAGCGAAGAAAGAGGACAACATTCAGACCCTCGATGCAGGGGATATCCATTTGCTTAAAACATATGGACAGGTAATTAATTCATATGATAGACATTCCTTGATATAAGAAAATTTGGTACGAAGCTGATTATTTAGAAAAAATATATAGCGTTACGTATAATTTATTATTTGTTTCAGGGTCCGTACCACAAGCAAATCAAGAAGGTAGAAGACGATATACAAGCCGTAGTAAAACGGGTAAATGACCTGTCTGGTATTAAAGAGTCCGATACTGGCCTTGCTCATCCAGCTCTCTGGGATTTGGCGGCAGACAAACAGGTATTTCAGGGTTCTATTTTCGACTCATGCACAATCTAGGCGAGTCAAAACGAGCAGCCATTGCAAGTTGCTCGATGTACGAAGATTATCGAGCCAGATTCTGCCGAGCCAAAATACATCATTAATGTAAAGCAGTTCGCCAAGTTCGTCGTTGATCTCGGTCAACAGGTGATTGTCGAATTCTTTACTCTTTATTAAAGGATCTTAAGGTGGCCCCTACTGATATCGAAGAGGGCATGCGAGTCGGTGTTGACAGAACAAAGTATCAAATCAACATCCCACTTCCCCCAAAGATCGATCCTTCTGTAACTATGATGACGGTCGAAGAGAAACCCGATGTGACATATTCCGACGTTGGAGGTTGTAAGGACGCCATCGAGAAGATGCGCGAAGTTGTCGAAATTCCTCTGTTGAACCCAGAGAAGTTTGTCAACTTGGGAATCGACCCCCCTAAGGGTGTGCTCATGTATGGTCCTCCAGGAACCGGAAAGACTCTGTGCGCCAGAGCAGTCGCCAACAGAACCGACGCGTGCTTCATCAGAGTCATCGGCTCGGAACTTGTCCAGAAATACGTGGGCGAAGGTGCAAGAATGGTGCGAGAACTTTTTGAAATGGCACGAACGAAAAAGGCGTGCATTATCTTTTTCGACGAAATCGACGCCGTCGGTGGTGCACGATTCGACGACGGATCCGGCGGAGACAACGAAGTCCAGAGAACTATGTTGGAACTTATTAATCAGGTACATTCATAAATGCGATGTTTCGTACCAACTTATCGATGCCTTTAGCTCGATGGCTTTGACGCTCGTGGAAACATTAAAGTCCTTATGGCTACGAACCGTCCCGATACGCTTGATCCCGCTCTGATGCGACCCGGTCGTCTTGATCGAAAAATCGAGTTCACAGTTCCTGACATGGAGGGACGAACAAGTATATTCAAAATTCATGCGCGAAGCATGAGCTGTGAGCGTGACATTCGATGGGAGCTTCTTGCTCGTCTTTGTCCAAACGCTACTGGTGCGGAAATTAGATCCGTCTGTACAGAAGCTGGCATGTTTGCAATTCGTTCTAGACGAAAGGTGAATTCGTTCTGAATATTTTTCTCTACAGTGATTTCAGGTTGCCACGGAAAAAGACTTCCTCGATGCTGTGCAGAAGGTTATCAAGTCATATGCCAAGTTCAGTTCGACAGGTCGCTACATGACCTACAACTAAACATGATAGCTCTGCAAGTTGTAACAAATTTCCGTTCTCACTGATATATAGTCTGTTCTCTTCTACTTCACAGTTTTATTCAATTTCCTGTTTGCATTATGAACCTCGAAACTATACATGTAGCTTAATCGTTATACTGCGAAGCTCCCCATTTTCGTCAATTCTGATAAGTATTTCTTTTAATTTGAATAAAAGCTAAACAGCAGGTTTTTGAGAATACTGCCCTTGAGATAATTTTTGGGTTTTTTAGCAGAGTCTTAGTTTATGCGGGCGTCAATTGATTTTTTATCCTGTCTCAATAAAAATCATAAATCCATTGATTTTGAATCGAGACGCAGATCGGATCAGAAAGATCGCTGAAATAAACGTCTAAGTCGATGAGCGGGTACGTAAATGAAGCAATAGTTTCCTGTCTTAGTCGTGACTCACGAAAGTCAAGAGAGAGTTAAAATCGCTAACTCAAGAATTTCAAATATTTTCGAGAATAGTTCTTATTTTACTACTTGTAAGCGTTGGTCGTAAATCGTATGTTTATTATACGTGGCCAATCGAATTGGTCCGATTCAGCTTCCGATCTATCAACTTGAGCGTTGAGGTCAATCAAATTAAGACTGAGTGTACATTGATATGCAAATCGGAGAACATAGGATACTGCTCCACAAGAGTTGACCATTGCGAAATCAGACGAACCGCCACCTGGGCCAGTGCCCCCAACGAGGTATAAGCGAATTGTCTGTTTACGACCTTGTAGAAGAGAAACAATTATTGACTTTCGCATTCAGAGAGAATGTTCATCGCCGTGAGCCAATGAAGAGAACCCCGACGAATGTCGGACTTTGTAATGTTTTCTTTTACGTTCTGTTGCCAGTGTCGCTGTGCGCGGCGATTCTCTTCCGCTACGACTTCATCGGCATCGTCTATCTTTTGCTTCTGCTAACATGGCCTTACAACACTGGATACAACACCGCCTATGCCAAGCGTTTCACGCTTACCACCGTTATCTTTTCGTGTATTTTTTCTTTGCTTGAATGCATCTTCCTCGCCGTGCTTGCCATCAAAGGTGTTGACATTCTCAATCGCGAACCAGGCAAATGTTCAAAGACAGAAGAGGTCTACCGTTTCTTGGGAATGCAAGCACTCGATAAAGCCGACCTGATCAACAGTATAAGAATCCTTGTGCCGAATTTCGTCGTTTTCATCATCTCCCTGCTGACGTATCTGAACTTATGTGCTATCAAGGCGAAAGGTAGCCATCAGGGAAGTCAGGAGACGCAACTGATTCCTGGAAATCCGGGCCAGTCCCAAACGTTTCTTGGCGAGTCTATCACAGATCAGACGCTGGAAACGAAGTCAAGATGGAACAAATTCCTATTTCTTTTCACCCTCGTCTTTTTGGCCCTTTCTGGTATCGCTTCTCCATCAGCCTTATCTTTCCCATATCTGTTATTTTTCTTATTCCTCACGACTATGTACTCGTTTCACGTCAATTTGGAGCCGCAGCGCAACATCTACAAGTTACGCCTTGGCCTCAGCGTTTACACAGCCTGCCACTTGCTCATTATGTACATGTGGCAATTGCCCAGCATCAATAGCAACAGCATGAAGATCAACACAGAAACCAATGCCACCGATCTTGCCTCGCGGGTTCTAGGCCTCAAGCGACTCGTTATTGTTGACTGTACTATTGTCAACCCATGTGGGGCAAACACTTCTGACTCAACCCCCGTTTACGATCTAGTAGTCGACAACTGTGTCCACGAAGATTGTGTCAAGCCTTTTTGCTGGCAGAATGAGACACCTGATTTTTTCGAACCCATGTTTGTCCTGCTGCTTCATTTTTGCTGCGCATACTCGTATATGATCTTTCGCGACTTCAAGTCGTCTCAAAAAGCGTATTATAGTCAGCTAAGTCAGCGTAGTGCTGCTTATATTCAAGAAGCGGACCCTCTTGTCGATGCGACAAGTACCTTCTCGGAGACCGAAATCCAAGAAAATGCATACAGCAATCTGCCCGAGCCTTCTGCCAGGTCGCCCACTTCAGCTGTTATGCATCGAATGTCGATTTTTAAATCACGATTACCGCAAAAGCGACAAATCTGGATAGCGTTGCGAGAAAAGGTTCTCTATGTTGTTGGTTTGATCATGATGATGGCCTGGTCAGTAACATACCACTCATGGATAACGTTTATCTTGCTCCTCTGGAGTTGTTACTTGTGGATGGCGCGGGATAGAGCTTCAGTTACCTTGAGACACTCGAAGTACATCACACTCTATGCAATTGTGCTGATCTTGCTTCAATTCGTTTACTCATTGAGGCTGACGGATGATGAGCTTCCGACGAAACTTCATGACAATGACAAGGGTGAAAAAGCAAGCGATGGTCTGAAAACCATTGGCCTTAGGAAAGTCTTTAATATCAGGATTCTAATTTAGGATTCTAATAACTAACTCAGACTACTATTTTTGATGACGGCCATCATCATCAATCTCTTAATTACTTGATTAATTATCCTAAAACCAACTCAACATTCTCTTCTTTATTTCTTTCTTGTTCTTCTAAGCTAGCGACTGTTAAAATATCATTTTTCGAACATATGAAAAAGACTATGAAGTCGACCAGAGGGACTAGCCTTTACAACTCTCCTCCTGCGAATCGGTTTTACGCTTGTTTTCTGGCTCATGATCCACGAGAATATTAGGCAAAAGTTTGAGAAACAACGCCCGAACGCCGAACTTCCAATGCCTGAAATCCAAGCTTGGATACTCGAACAATTAGCTCGATACTTTATTATTATCGTCTCCAGCTTCTTGCTGTTCATAGCCCTCAATGGTCAAGTGGTTGGCTATAAGATCATTTACATGTTATTTTTCTTATTCTCCGGCGTGATTTTTCAGCTATCATGGAACATGTGGCATCGCGTGCTCAGAGTATTCTGGCTTTTGCTCGTCGTATACTCGATTCTAGTGGTAGTACTCATCTACACTTTCCAGCTAAATGGCTTCCAAGACTACTGGAAGAATATAACCACTTTGAATACATCGGACTTGGAAGATATTGGCCTCAAGTACTACGAAGACTCTTCTGGCTTGATGATGTCCATTTTCTTACCCACAGCGTTCCTCGTTTGCTGCATGCTCCAGCTGCATTACTACCATGAGCGATTCATCGTTTTAACCGATGAACATACCGATGACCGCCTTCAAAACGGTCCTCTTCTTTCCCGCACTCGATTTTCTCGTCGACGAAGTGACTCTTTCTTAACAAAGAGCACTAAATGGCGTGAGCTATATGCCAAGTTCTCAGTATTCGCTGAGATCTTCAAGAGAATCATGTGGAAGCTTCTGGAAATTCACCGGTGGAAAATTTGCGCTATCGTAGTCATTATTTCTGCACTCAGTCAACCCTCCGCTTGCTACCTATTCCCTGCTCTTCTGTGGATTCTGGGACTCCCTTTTCGAAATCTCGACCTGTTTGTTTATATTCTAACGCTCGTCTGGGCATCTCTAATGCTCCTCTTCAACATGATCTACCAGCTTGAATTCGTTCATCAGAATTTAAATCAAACACTTCTGGAAAGTACCCGCTGTGACGACAAAGATCAGAGCGTTGATCTTATGAAATGGATTGGCTTTGAAAAAGTCGACGATCAGGATAGTTTCTGTGAATTTGTTCGAGGATGGCTTTCAATCATCATTGTCCTTTTGGCTGAGCGAGTTATATTCCGGCGCTCCCGTTTCCTGGAGAACCACTATCCTGAGTCGAAAGTCGCACCTGGTGCCATTTTCCCAGAAATAATTCGCGAGAATGCCGATCGCTCTGTGAAGGAGTGCTGCAAGTTCTTTGCAAATTACTTTTTCCACAAGTTTGGTGTTGAAGTGTGCTTCATTTCCAGTGTGATAACGATTTGGACGCGTAAGGATTTCTTCGGTACTATTTATGCGATTTGCCTTCTCATTCTTCTTGTCATATCTTCGAATTCGCGTCGAACGCTGGCCAAAGTCTGGAAAGGCTACACAATATTTCTCTCAGTTCTTTGGGCAGTCGAGTTTGTACTCGTTCTGAATATTCCCAAAGCTCTCTGTGTCAATCTTGCGGACAAATATTACAACAATGAAAATATGATATTCTATAAATTAATCTCCAACGACGATGAACGGATCAAATTTGTAAAGTACCTCTTTCTCCCGAAAGATGCCGGGATAGATCACACCAAAGCGAATGCCATCATTCTTGACTTCTTCCAACTTTTGCTCGCTGTTTGTCAATGCGGCGTTTTTGAGAACGAAAATACCGACACTTGGATCAAGCTTGCTGGCAGAAACGACGACACTGTTCTTGATGATGTAAAAGACAATCCTCATCGAAATTTTATCCTCGCCGAGCCGCCAACCACCCTCGATAGACTAAAGACATTTGTGTTTTCAATGGTTTATTGGGTGACATTCACTGTTGTCCTTATTGCAGGCACGAACCGAACAAGTCTCTTCTGCCTTGGATACCTAGTCGCGTCGTTTTACTTTTTATATCAAGGTCAAATGATAATTACCTGCCGACCATCAATTCTTCGACGTCGTTGGAACTGGCTGTTGTTTTATAATGGCATTGTCGTCGTCACGAAATGTTGTCTCCAGCTTCTCGCATGTGTGTTTTCGGGCACAGTTGAGGAAATCGAAAACGGGCCCGACAATCCTACATGCTATCTGCGTTCGTTACTATCACTCTCTTGCGAAGACACATCTTACTTTACAATACTGGATAAAAACAACAAACCACCAGAAAACGAATGTATTCACGAAAAAGACGTACAAGCTGTCGGCATCGCGTGGGACTTTGCTACATTTGTTTTCTTACTGCTCCAGCGGCGCATATTCCAGAGCTACTATTTCCTTCATGTACGTGAAGATTTAATCGTTCAAATCGGTTTGAGCTCTAAGGGCAATCAGTTGTTTTCCCTGTGGGTTCAAATGGAAGCTGGAAAAAGAAAGAAAAATGAGGAAATTGACAAGGAGCGTGTCCAAGAGTCAGTCGAGCGTATTCGTAGAAATGTCCGCAGCGATCTTCAAGAGCCATACGATCACTTCGACGCCTTGCGAGTCTGCGACAAGACATGGTTCGAGGGATTGACAGAAACAATCGACGATGACAACGATACACAAACGCCTCATGGACTCCCTCAATCGACCTCAGATTCTGGAATAAAAAGCACACCTGGAATGCAGCACTCGATCACAGATAATCAAATTAATGCTGCTGGAAACAGCCCAAAATTGCCTCAATCATTCAGAGATATAAAACAGGGAATCGGCAATGTTCTATTCACAGGAAGGCTTCCAGGCAAAGATATGTCCGAGAGCAAAGACACCCTATTTGAACGACCTCAACAAACTGATAAAGAACAGAGTCCGAGGCTGCCGACGGGTGGCCGTCCTCGAGTTGATTGGGCGGATGAGCATGCTGATAGGGTCTTTAAATCAGTCAGTTACGATAAATCAGATCATATTGTTCCTATGGAGGAGGACTCAACCATGTCGGAGCCAGCGACTAGCCCGGGAGAGGTATCGAAAAGTCCGGAACTGACTGTAGCCGTGCCAAAAGAAGATAGTGAGCCACAAGGAAACCTTCTCTACGATACAGTGATTTATTTTACTAGAGTGCTGAACACACGAACACAAGCTTATCGCTCGATCATCATTCAGTTGAAACGGGATAGACAAGAGTCGAGAAATACATTGCCCGTAGTAGCTGATAGAAGGTATGCACACCAAATCCGAAACGCAGCTCTCAATCGCGTGGCTCGACACGGTACTGGCTCAAACGCGGGAAGCCAAACAGGAACTGATGTGGAGACTCCTTCATCAGCATCGCGAACGCATCAAGACGACTTCTCGAACTACTTCGTGAGTCCCGATGATTTCGATAAAGAAGACCACTTCATCCAACGTTTCCTCAGCGCGATCTGGTACTTTGCTCAGTTCCAGATCGACAATCTTTGCTACGCTCTTATGATTCTGAATGGTATGCTTAACGCCTCGATCCTGTCGATTCCCATGTTGGGAATGGTGTTTCTTTGGGCGATGCTAAGCGTTCCAAGGCCCTCGAAGCGGTTCTGGGTCACTGTGATCGGCTACACCTGCCTTGTCATTACGATCAAATACATTTTTGCATTCAAATTCTGGCAATTTTATAAAATCAAGAACGCCAGCGAGAACGATCCTTTCGCCTTAGAAAAGATCTTTGGTGTTCAGAATCGTGACGGAGTCAAGTATCTGGATATTGCCCAACTGCTTGTGCTTTTCTTCCAGCGTGGTCTTTTGAAGGTCCACGGACTATGGGAGAACTATGATGAACGTGACCTGGACGATGATGATGATAATACGAATCTGTTCCAAGTTTATATTGTTGACAAGACCATTGACGGATTCGACCGGCTCGTTGGACGGAATAAATCAAAGGAACGGCAATTAAATAATCCATTCGATTTCATTTTAGTAAGAATAACACTATTTAAAAGCCTTAAAAAGCGCAAGGACAAAAATCATCGCCCGCGCACCTCAGAGCAAAATAAGAACTGCTTCCTACGTGTCATCGATTGGCTCCTCAACAAATTACTTGTTTTCTTCAAATCGCCAGGTTTTCACTTATTATAACCGCTCTTTACTTAATAATAATATTAGGTCGTTTCTACGCTCGTTTGATTCAGCAAGAAAAAGAAAAGAAGAACATGCCCACTGATATGTACATTTGGATGTTGGGCTGTGATTTCATTTGCTTTATCATCATCATGTTCGGCTACTGGGCTTTTGGCAAGCATACTGTCGGCCAGTCCCTGGATATTACCGTTCAGATTAAAGAAAATACCGTTCCTAAAAGTTTCCTTTACCTCCTCATAACCCATTTTTTCCTTATTCTCATCGGTAAGTTGAAATAACTTCTGTGAAGTGAGTATTTACTTTTTATATTAAGATCGTGCAATTTATCTCAAAAAGAATCTGATGGCCAAGCTAATTTTCCACTTTGCACAAGTACTTGTTATTCACATATGGTAAGTCTAACTGTATGTAAATTATTGGTAAGTATTTGTTTAGGATCTTCTTCTTACTGCCACAAATAACAAGCCGTTCATTCTTCAAAAACAACGTCGCAATTTCATTGTACACTTTCAAAGCGATATATTTTGCATTCAGTGCTCACCAGGTAGATTTTCACTGCGTAAACAGACACTGATAACCGTTCAGATAAAATCTGGCTATCCAACCCGCATTCTGCAACATTTCCTAACAAAACGATACAACTATGTTAACCTTTATGTCTTCATCGGATACCGCGTGTGTCCCTTCATTATTGAATTCCAAAATATTATGGACTGGATGTTCGTTGAGTCCACTGTGGGCATTTCAAGGTGAGTCACGTCTCTTTGCAATTTAGTCAACCTTCTCAGATGGTTCATGTTAACCACGATTTACCACGAGCTTTATCAAATCAAGTGCTGGCGTCACTTGGAAAAGCAGTTCCATTACCCACGTGGATTTCCACGCTGGCCCAGCTTCAAATATTCTGGAGGTATGGTTTATCCATTTGAAGAAAGCACTAATTGTTCAGAGCACGCAATGACAAGATCACAATGGATTATGGAAGCAATAAGCCGTAAACTTGAAATCTCGCATTTAATCTCAGTTATCTCGCATTTATTGCAATTTTTGTAATATGCTGAAAGCAGCACCATCCTTTATCTCATTTATCTTCTTTTCGCATTTTCGAAAGAACCAACAGAATTTTCAGGCGCATGGCATTGCCTTTTCAACAACTGATTATTTTGTTGGCCCTTTAATAGAGCTTTTCGGAAACATTCTAACTTTTATTCTAGGTGGTTTGTTAATTGTCCTATTGATTATAATCATGTGGTTCCCCTTGGCATTCATGTCAATCGTTCAAACGGTAGCTGGTGTTCCAAACGCGCCGAAGGAAGTGAAAATCTCTCTGTCACTGGAAGGATTCTCAGACATCTTTACCGATTACTCTGTCGGTAGCAATCTCATCCCTTTTACAGAACTCCAGTTCAATAGTCTAACGAACTATGGGTTCAAGGATAATCTCGGCGCACAACAAATGCTCTCACGATACGATCATGGCGATTTGTTCTTCGTCAAAGGTCGGTCCAATTTTATCGCAGAATGCTAACCTTATATCATAGTGAATAAAAACTCGGACACAATCTGGTCAATAACCGAGCCCCAGAAAATGAATATGATCCGACTGCTAGAGAAACGAGTCATACGAGAGAACAGGACCACTTGTGGGGCATGGTTCATATTCGACTACCAAATCCGACGAAATCCGAATCAGTACGAGAAACTGTGGGAGTACGCATCCGGAGAAGCGAAGCATGAGCTGAGCGAAAAAGAGTGCGCCGATTTCAAGGCTGTTCTTGAGGGCGAGAGCCCGAACCTGAGCGTCACAATTCACAAAGCAATACCTCACTACATAAGAGCACTAAACACAGACACCGCACGTGAAATGACCAGCATTTTGAATGAAGACCTGAACACGAAACTCTGGGCAAATGTAACACTCAACTTGGAGAGACGAGTCACTGTGCTTAGAGTTTGTGAGACAGCGACAGGCGCGTACAAGATAAACGCGACAGAAAGCTGTGATGTAGGCGAAACTGAACATGTGACAGTCAAAGAAGAGAAATGGTGGAAAATGACCACTCTCGGCAAAATGGTATAATTTTCCTTGATTTCACCACAAAATTTATATTTTGCAGATTCCGACCAATCCAAATAGCGATGACCTTGTTGACAAGCTGATCATCATTTCGGATAAAACTGGCCCTGAATCATTAGCCTGGCTGACTGGTTATGGAGTTATTGGACTCTATTTGTCGGTTGTTTTGTTGGCGGGTCGTTATACTCGCGCTATTTTCCAATACGACGGTGCTTATATTATGTTCCATGAATATCCAAATGTGGATGAGCTTCTTCAGCTTTGTTCAGGTTTGTTTAAGTACTGAGTATTTTCTTCTCACGACCATATTCAGACATCTACCTCGTTCGCGAACTCAAAGAATGGAAATTAGAAGAAGATTTAATGGCCAAACTCATTTACCTTTACCGAAGTCCCGAAACTATGCTCAAAGTAACCAAACTCAGACCTTATAAACCTAGAGTGAAACAAATTAAACAGGATTAAACTTGTAATAAACAGACTTTTACACATTCAAACTATTTTTTGAATGACAATTTCTATAATTCTCATCCAAAAACATCGTTTTCAAGCAGGCTATTAGTTAAGAACATTTATTCAAAAAAAAAAATTTTTACACAGGTTACAGGTGTTGTTAGATCTTTAGAAACCAAGCCATTCGCCGTGCTCGCAATCGGCATCGTAAGGGACAGAATCGCCGGTCTGCTGATTTCGCGTAGCACAGCATCGGTTCTTGTTCAGGTTGAGCCAGAGATAGGGTCGATCGTAGCCGCCGCAACATTGATGCTCAACTCGGACGCCTCCTTTGCGAGGACAATTGTCGGGGTCTCGGTTATCGAAAGCCAGAGCGGGGTCGTCATTTGACCAGAAGGCGTGGTACTGGGTGTCAAAGATTTCCTTGAGTATAAATTACTCTATGATTTCGTAAGGAAAAATATCTTACCCTCTTTTCCCAGATATCATAGATCAGCTGTCGATCGCATTCAAACAACTCGCGAGCACACGTTCCTGGATCCTAAAATACAGCTCAATTCAAATCCTAAAATAGAATTTATTAGGCAAACCTCTTGGGCGGCGAGATTTTGATTCTTCTTGCTGTATCGCCATGTGTACTTGACAAATTCGCCAATGCATTCGTTGCCGTGTTTGGCCCGTGCACATTTTTGGCAGTCCTTGTCATTTGGTTCAAATTTTAGTAAAAAAAAACTTTTTCCTTGTTGAGCATTTTTTCGAAATAAATATCCTGAAATTAGAAAGGGGTTGTTACAGGGACAGCATTTCGAAAATAAACACTCTGTTGAGCTTTAGATTGACACCCAAAACAAGGCGCAAGCGCGATTTTGATATTACGCGCCCTCCACTTGGATTACGTGGCGGTAAGCGCTACCTGTGTCACACCGTGATAAGATTTGAGTCTTATCCAACGGAAGATGATGCGTACTTCAATTAATCCAGTAAGAGCTACAAGTTTTCGAGTAGCTTGAACCTTTCCTTGTAGGCCTTGCATCTGTTATCCAACGCGTCGACGGGACTGCCAATGCCCATTTCAGTCATTGGTCTGTCCCCTAAGAGGTAGCAGTGGCATCCATATGCCCAGTATTTTCGCTCATCGAAAGCACCGCCGTTGTTTCTAGCCCACCACTTTTCGGCCATCATTTTCAAATCCACATATCTACGCTCTTGATCCATTCGGCCGAGCCCATTGAGAGTTGCTTCCACCGGCAAATTGTCAATTTGATCGCATGGGGCGACACGTCCATCTCTTTGTATTTGGTCGCAAAATTTTTATTACTAAGGTTAGTCAATACCATCAGAGCCCAAACATCTGCATTGGCGACAGTATGATTTTTTGACCTTTCCTGACACACATATCATCTTCCACTACTTCGGCCTGAGCGGCGCTGACAAAAAGCAAAGAAAAAACTTTCATTGTCTTTTGTATTCGTTGATTTTCTCTAGGTTTCTCTTATCGGGAATCCTTATTGTTTTTGCTGCTGCTGGAGCAGTAGTTTTATGCACCTCAGACGTTTGGTGGTGGCGGCTTTGGTGGAGTCTCGAGCGCAACAGCGCCAGGTATTTCTTTTCAACAACATCTTCCAAGGTGCTAGAACTTGGAAAACCTACCCATGTTTTGGCTTAATTAAATGAGCATTATTAGATACGCTTAACCCTTGCTCGACTTCGCGCATACCAAGCACACAAGTACGTTTCAATTCGATTTATTTTCAATTTTCAGTTTTTTCAGCTTGTAACATTCGCACTCGCCGTAATATTTGCAGCCTTGACACTCGTTGATCCATTTCTTGTTTCGAATATCTCGTAGGGCATCTGTTTTCCAAAAGCTGAAATATATTTTGAGGCCTAAGATTATGAATTGTGGTAAAAGTGGTCGATCCATACTTTTTCCCCATTTTGTCTGAAGATGTATCTCCCGGTCGCTCAGCATACTTTTTTTCGACCATATCTTCGTACTCTTTAATCTCCTCAAACGTGTCAACATAGCTTTCGTAGTTCTTCAGACTCATCAGACAATTAAACTCGGCTCTTTTCGCCATGAGCTGAGGCAGGGGTTTTGAAGGATCCGTCAGCTCCATTTTCATCTTAACGAGAATATATGGGCCAACAAATTCGATGAGTTCCTGGTTGTATCTTGCCAACGTATTTATCTTTGTAGGGACAATTTCGAAGTCGTATTTTGAGTTTTGGCTCTTCTTGATGATTCGTAGAGCAAGAGTTTGAAATAATGGTTGAAACTCTCGTAAGCGAGTGAGTTGGGATCGGGTCCTCGGAATTTTTTTTAAGTGAGCGACAAACCACTCTTGCTCACTGTTTTTCGTGAGTTTTTACGTGAGTGAGCGAGCATGAGCGCTCACCATTTTTTCAAACTCTGCGTAGAACAAGCACCCCATGATTTTTCATCGGCTTGGTGAATGGCGTTGTCTTGATTTGGATCTAAAGAAAGTGAGCTTTCGAATACTTTATAAGTTTAAACAACCTCTTTTCGATCAAAAATCGACTTCGACAAGGTCTCAGGATATCGACGAATCCTATTAACGATGACGAAATCCTCGTAAATACTGTACTCTTCTTTTACTGGCGCTGCATTTTGAAGAATGTGGATAATTCCACTCAAGTTTGGTTGTTTCTCTTCTCGACGAAGATAGATATGCCACCACTTTGCGATATCGTTCGGGGCTGGCAAATCCGAATCACAAATATTTCCTCTTAGAATTTTTTTATATGAAATTTTATATTCTTGTACTACCGAGATCCCTGCAAATCACTCTTCGTAAGGCTGCGCAATAGCTCTTGGCATGTTAACGTATTTAGAATATTGTCGTAGGGAGGGGCTTTGTTCCGTGGCGCCAAGAGCCCGCTGAGTTGCAGTAAGTCACCTGCATCGAGTCTAGACATTATCACTTTCGCTTTTTTCGAATTCAAAAGCTACATATTTTCTCAACCTATTTTTCATGTTATTATTAATTCATTTTGAATTGAATTCTCAGCCGTTGACCTAGTTCGTGACGCTCAGGGTGGGTTCTAATGGCGTCAAGTACACCCTGTCTATTTTTTCGCTCTTCTCTAACAAAATCAAGAACTTCGTCCATCGTTGATCCAATATTTCGCTATGATGAGCTTTCAGCAAAGTCGTGCTTTCATAATCGAGCGTTTGAACTGTCACAGTAACTCACTGGAATTCATCTCTACTTCAGACGAGTTTAGACCTGAGAAGATTATTCAACGATGATCATACCATTATTACTAATTTTGTTAGTTGTTATGTATAAATTATTTATTTTAGCTCTTATAAAATCGATTGGAACCGAATTAACTGTTTAAAATGACCATTTTCTTGATGATTATTTTCCTTGAAAAGTATTTCAGTCCTCAATAGGACTTTTAAAATTTAACTGAGTCAATCCTTCTTCAAGAACAGCCTTCTAGTTCCAGGAAAATTTCCCACAAAGCATAATTTCTTCTCAATAGCAGACCGGACGTACGGTCACCAAAATGCGCAAAAACAACTTCCACAGATCCGGCAATTGGCGGTATCCAACTTGTAACATTTCTTTTTCATGAAAATCCGGTCGTCGAGAAACGGGAAATCCAATTTTCAAAAAGCTAACAAACGAAAAATCAAATTGAATATCAAGTTCTCTCTTTTCCGTTAAATAATTTACAGTAATAAGTTTACAGTTATCATTTGGGTCGGTTTCTGACTTGGTTTGTTTAATCAAATGTCTGGCGATAGAACGGTTTTGCTGAAGTCTTTGTACTCTGATATCTTTTGATTAGGTTCAAGAATCTTAATTTTAACTGTTGATATAAGAAGAAATAAGCATAAAACTGGTTTTAGAACCGTTTCAGAACAACTTCAGGGTTACTTGCTTTGAATCTGAAATTATCGCTTTTGGTGGATTCCAGAAAGCTGCCGCGACTTATCCAGGATAAGCTTCGAAATGATTAATTAACATCTTAATTTGGAAATCCATTCCTAATCATTTGAATAATTCCGCCAAGCCAAGCAAGCCCAATTAGAATCCAAATAAAGACCAGTACGCGATACCAACTATAACTTAACTGAACTGCTTCGGTCCACTCCGTCTTGAATTCATTAAGTTTCAATAATGATCATAAATGCGGTTTAGCGTACCTGATTACAAGCAATCGGCATCCCTGTATCGATAGATTTGCTAGAGCTATCGATGGGGTCAACCAAAGCCTCGAAGCATTTTGTATCATTGCGTACGTACGTTGCTTAAAAATCCAAAGTAATTCAATTTTATCCAGTTTCGATTATTGCCTAAAACGTGATTTGCGCATTTAAGTGAAATCTCGGCAAAAGTTCAATAAAAACGCGATCGCCAAATTACGCCTAATATTTAACACCAAAACAGATTCTTGACGTAATCGTTGAAAACTCAAAACAAACTCCAGTTGCATCTCAAAACGTACCCCAGCAAGAGATTTAATGCAAAATCAGCTAGATCTCAAATTATTTAATTACTGTTGACTAGAATCTAGGAGTTCAACTTGAACATTCTTCTTTCATTTCTTATCTAATATTTCTACTGAGCTTCAGCAAATATACCTGATAGTCTTACATACCAAATTTGTTAGGAGGCAGGATAGAAGGCACGAAGTCTCCGATACCGACGGTAGTGAGCGTAATGAGACTGTAGTACATGCTGTCAAAGTAACTCCATCCTTCTATTAATGTGAGACCATAAGAAGGCAGGAAAACGAGAGCTGCAGAGCCTGGTAATGCAAAATTAATGTTAAAAGTTCTAACGGTTTGCAAAACTTACCTATAATAACATACGAAGCAGTCGAGAACTCCATCGTGTATTTCGATTTATCAAAATTGGAGGAGCTTGGGACGAGGCTGCGATGACGAATTCGAAGGGTGCCCACCCGTCGTAGATTCAAATGGATCAGCTCAGATATCACGCTCATCATGTATCCAAAGTAGGGAATTCCGAAAGCGATGAAGAATATGCAGAATACTTTGCCACTGAAAACGGATTATTATTTTCATCGAGAGTTTTGCCAAAGAATATCGAGTAATTACACGCCAAGGTGTCAATACTTACCCAAATGTTTCAGGATAAACGTTTCCGTATCCAATGGTAGATGCTAACGATCCAGCGAAAAAGAAAGCGTTATGATAGTCCCAGCGCAAGTTGCCGCCGTGGCATTGACTTTGCAGTTGTTGATAGTTGTCAATCGAAAAGTGAGCGGCTTTCGTCTGTTTCGGATAAATCATAATAAGAATTACATATATTATTTGCATGAGATCGTTAAAAAAGCAAGTTCAGAACTGAGCTAGTTGGCTACTAGGCGGTTTCCAAATCACCAAAAGAAGGAGTATTTGCGGGTCTCCGGCTAACCACGTTGAAGGAGGAATAACGCGGTGAAATTTATGAAGTTTATCCGTTCCAGTAACTCTGCTAGATCCGTGCGCTTTATGGAGACCGACTGCTCCAGGTAGTTTTTAGGCATACCGCGCAAGAAGGACTTGTTCCATAGTTTGTCGTAGTCTTCCTTAAAACCGCGCTTCGACAGATTCCTTTCTAAGGCTTTCTAGCTTATTATCGATAGCGTGTGTGAAAATGTCTTTTGGTTAACTGTATTTAAAAAAGATGAATTTTAAGCAAAATAGAAAAATAAAAAATTGTTAAAGCCCTGGTCCTAACAGAGGCTTCAAGCTTACCAAATCCCTCTCTTGAGCAATTGGTATCTGCCCAATCGCGCAAAACCCCCACTACGTTTTCGTTTCGACGTTTTTTTTCTCCAAGCTCGGCTTTGATCCCATCACACGTTAGTTCGTTTAGTCCAAAGATGAAAAAGTACTCCGTGCCTTTTCGAGTTTGATATGTTTTTTTCTTATTTTCTCTGGGAGAACTAGGGTTCTTTAAATATTGTCCGCTGTTATTGAATAAGCGTCATCAAGAGATTAAGGGATTCCGATCTTTATCTATCTGTCCCGTTAAAATGCAAAAAGAGGGTGCGCGTCAGTTAAGGCGTTTTTGCCATTTGCGTCTTTTAAGGCATTGCGTCTTTTAAGGCACTTGCGTCAGTTAAGGCGCTGAAAAATGACTATTGGAATTCTGATATCAACTAGGGTCTGCTAAATTACCTCGATTGTAACTATCCTTGAAATTCTCCCCATTTCAATCTCAAATTTAACAGCGTATTCAAAATATTTAAATTTCAGATATTTCAAATACATTGAAAACGATCTGAGAAAATTATCTAAAATTTTAGTGTCGAACCTTTATTTTTACAAATAATAAATTTATTCTATCACGAAAAACTTCAAATTCAATCATAAACCAGCGGTTCAGCTAATAACTGAATATAAAAAGATTTTCTTGAGAAAATATTAACTCTGGCACTTACCCTAGGAATTGGTAAAGTAATATTTTATCAAGAAATCTAGCAGACCCTAGTTGATATCAGAATTCCACTAGTCATTTTTCAGCGCCTTAACTGACGCAAGTGCCTTAAAAGACGCAATGCCTTAAAAGACGCAAATGGCAAAAACGCCTTAACTGACGCGCACCCGCAAAAAGATTGTCCTGGAAACTCGTGCAAAGTTCAGCACCCCGGTTTAATTTTAAAAATTTACGAGAGTTTTTTTAACTTGAGAAACGATTCAACCAAAGTTCACAAATTACAAAAATGTTTTGTGTAGGTTCTTCACTGTAGAACCAACATAATACCTCAAGAAAAAAAACTTTTATGCTCTATTCACGTCCTTTGATTGTAGAACCCATTGTAGAGAAAAAAAAAATTGTCGGGAAGAAGAAATCATTTATTGATCATGGTGCTGCGACTCGCCAAAGCCCATTCTGAATAATCCGACGGCTTTTTCGATTCAGTCGTTTTTAAAAGAACGCCCAAATACACCTTTTACACGCTTTTATAAAGACCAAAGAAGAGTCTTCATTTCCTCTCATTCAAAGCAAAAGTAAACCAGAATGGTTAGGAACGAAGTCACACGAAATTCTAACTCAGAGACGGCGAAGATAAGAAACGCACTTTTATTCATTGGAGTTCTCACCGTGAGTTGATTAATTATTTACTCATTGAAGGGTTTTTTAAGATTTTGAGTCTGAACATAAACTTGTCTTGCCCTTCGCAAGAATCAACTCAATGGATCATTGAAGCAGTTCAAGATGTTTCCGATCCCTCGAGCTCAGAAACGAATGTCAGTCGAATGGATGCTTCAAAAAAGGTCGAAGAGAGATTGCTCCGTCGTTACAATGTCAAACGACTTGCATGTTCATATCGAGAGCGTCTTTATGCGATGTCGCGAAATTCAAGCATTTCATTTGAAGACCTACTAGAGTTTCACAGGCGAATAGAAAATATGTCGATTCAGCCTGGCGACGAACTCAAAGATCCTTACTCTTGGAAGCGGTTTGATTCTATCACTGGAATAAAATGGAACAACAACGTGTTTGCTTTGCGTCACGAAGACTCGCCAAAAGTTCAAAAAAATTTCCTGATGTGTCTTCCGCCAAAATCTGGGACTTCAAACTGGCAAATCGCTCTTGCGAAGCTGTTTATAACAAAAGAAGAAATGGCCGCTAAAGGAATAGTCGTGGATGAGTCGGAGAAGAACAACTACTTTCCCGCTGCTTTGTACGCAACGGTTCCAAGATTCCATACAGTCGACCATGCAGCACTGTTGGAAGCCAAATACAACAAATATGTAAACACGAGAGACCCCTTTACTCGAGCAAGATCAGGTTAGTCTTACCATACTATTCGTAATCTTTTTTAGCATGTCAATTTAGGATGGAGGGACAAGATGCAAATCTATCCAGAAGATCCGGCAAGGAATACTTCTTACAAGATTTACGACAGCTATGCCAAGAAAGCTGAAAAAGAAAAGGGGCCTGCAGCTCCATCGAAATTTAAAGTTTCATTGGAAAAATTTCTCCGACTAGTCGTAAGCCAATTAGACGACGCGAAAATGAATGCACATTGGAGATCTCAAGATGGAAACTGTCACTTTGTAAGTTAATCTTACACAAATGAAAATGTACAAAAATTTTTAGTGTGCGATCGATTTTGCGTACATAATCCAGGGATATCGTTCTGAGGAAGAATGGCCCTGGGTCCTGGAGAAACAGAACCTAACCGGGATTCTAGAGCTGTCTCCTCGCTACGGCGGACCTGACCCAGACGGTTCTGAATGGTTCGACCACGAAGCCAAGGGATTCGTCGAAATTCCACTTGATCTATTAAAGAAAGTGTATAGAAGATTCTTCTTTGATTTCGTTGCCGGAGGATACACGCCCGAATTCGTCAAGACATTTCTAGAGGCAGTGCAAAACGCACAAAATTCACTTCGATAGCTCCTCTTTCTGCTGCCATAAGACGTAATTGAGCTCCAAACTCATTTCCTAACATGTCGACTTTGTCAAGCACACTTTTTCTCGCAGCGTCGCATTTTTGCAGCTCTTTCGGCGTCTCCAGTGCCTTTTGTAAAAATCATAAACATTTGATAAACAACAAAAAATAAACTAGACGATTGTCCAGTTTTTCAAATTTCGGGAAATTTCGTTTTTTTTTTTGGTTGATCGAACATTCTCTTACCTGGAAAACTGCTGCCCCAATAGACAAGTAAACAATATACAGAACAACCAGAAAGATTCCGAATTTGTTCGATGCTTAGAGCTGCGCAAAATTTTTTGCACGTTCATTTCCGATTTACAGGCTATGAATAATAGTCAAGATGTATGAATAATATCAATCATTAAGGAGGAAGGTGATCAGCGACCGTTTGGCTCAGCTGCCGAACTTCAGCAAGTACAATATTAATGTTGGAACTCGAATTTCGATTTTGTTGGCTTAAATTTGCTAGAAATCCGATAATCTTACGATATATAATATAGCGAGTACAGTCCGAAACTAGTCGAAATAAATTATACAATCAAATTCATATCGAATATAATTATATTATTTTCTTATAGAACTTTTTTGCTAATTTTATAATAAAAAAAAAATAAACCTATTTTAGTTTCTTCGCAGCTCTACCTGTACAATTATCTCTTCCGCAGGACATTTCTCTTTTTAATGTTTTTCTCTAATAGTTCATAGTGATTGGGTAGTTCATATAATTAGTGTTGAAATAGTTTTCGGATGCAGCTTACTGTTATTCCGTCTGTTATCTATTCTAATTTTGTGCTCTATATCACTAGATGGTGCGCGCGCCCTGTTTCTTCCTTTTTCGCTCAGCCCTAATAAATATGCTACGCTTGTTTTTTTATCGACTCCGATTTGTATTCTATCAAAAATCAATTTTTGACGTTTATTGCGAATTGTCGTATTAATTACAAAATAAAGTTATTCAATAAAGAGGGAAGAGTGTTTCTGTTTTCGAGCTTTCAAGGGTCGTTCGTTGCTTTCGGAGACGATTAATTGATAAGGATGTCAGCCAAGTTCAGGATACTTGGAACGGGGCAAATGAAGACTGATAACATTTATAAATTATAAAAAAGACGGAATATTTTTTCTTCTTTTCCCTAATTCTAAGGACATTGTCAATATCATATTTCTTTTGCCCCATTTCCTGTCAGTGACCAGCTCCATCGCAAACGACAATATGCCTTTACCGGAATGCTTCTCGTAGTGATTGCCATTAACTCGCTGTGTTAATACATGTGTCGTGGCGAAATTAGATTCAGATGAAAAACCATGCCATACATTCTTAATTAATCCAAAAGTTATTTAGAAGAGGATACGTCTGCCCAATCAACTCAATATTCAAGTAGCGGTTAACAAACTTATTCCGTTTTATAGCACCCTTTCTTTTGATTCATGAATTTATGACACCTTTTTTAGTGTAAATGGTGATGATAAATTCATTGTTTCAACTTACAAGTTTAACTGGGACAGGGAAGGTGAGCGTGACTTGATTGCTGTCGCTGCTCATGTAAAGATTGACGATTGCGCCGCTGTCCCAGACATTTTGGTACTGAAGGAAGGACTCAGAAAGAGTCTTTTGGCAGATGTAGTTCAGTGGCTTCCAGCAAGGCTCGGCTAAAGTTCATTGATAGAAGGAGTCACAACTGGACAGTTTTAATCTGATTCTGATAAGATACATAAGTTTCGTGACGCACCAAAGTAGAACAGTTTAAATATTAAAAGTAAGAGCTGAGTGTTCAGTTTCATCAGATCAAAAGGAGGTGCATAAATTGCAAGCTCTTATGTTCATTAAAAATGAAGGGTGTATATAAAGGAAACTATGTTTTAATTAGGGTTAATTTAGATCAATGCTTATGATCAACAAACCTGAGAGAGTTGCCTTTCCATTGTAGGAATAGGCCGAGCCGCAAGCAGTTCGTGGAGCTCCACATGGATTACCATATGTTAAATCACGTCTAAATTTTCGTTGAAAAGTCGTCAGAGAACAAACATCTAGGTTAGTTTAGTTTACGCATTAACGGCGAAATATAGCCAGTTGTGATACCTTGAGCGTGACGGATAACGATCATCAATGTAGTTTCGCCTGCCGCCAAACTTGTCGTAAACTTGATCAATACTAGCTGCCAAGACATTGTCCTCTGCGGTGTAAGTTGGTCGGTACGCTTTTGTGTGTTTAATATGCTCCATACAGTCGACTGAAAGTTAAATGAAGTAATTATAGATAGTCGAATAAAAATATTGTCGAATTTAACAAAGAGCGCATAATTGATCAGCGGAGAACGGTAAACGCCATCCAAGATTAAAGAAGTCTCAAATCTAATTCTGGACGTCTGTCCTCATTTGCCTTCTTTTGTGCTAATTATTGACAAATTTGGGAATTTAACAACAGATACTCACGCTGAACTTTGATGGGATCTTCGCTACCCCAGATAAAATTCTGGAAAACTGCGTTTGCCCAATCTCCATCTGTATTGTTCAGAGCGTCGTCCAAATCTAACTGCAAATTTTGGAAGCTTTCGTCGTTCAACCCAGTAATCCAAGTCCAGTTACCTAAACGCGAGGCATTAGATTAGAGTCCTTGGCTAATTGGACTAATGATAGTATTCATGGAAAATCATAGAAGATGATAGATAATCGATTATTCTTTCATGAGTCCAATACTGCGCTTGACTTACCTGGCGGAATAAATGGAATGCGATCAGAACTTCGGAATAGACCGACCCAGTATTTGGCACCGACAAGACTTTCATTTTCTTCCTCCCAAGACTGAATGAAATTGGGTTATTTGATGTCTTTCCAGTAACGATACCTTGATATGATCGACGACAGCTCGAAGGTGATTTTGATCCTTGAGAATGGCCAAATGCGCACCCACAGAGCTGCATGACTCCCTCGCGTCGAAAAAGTCGAATGTTCCCTGAATTCTCCAACAAGCATGCCCATAATACGAAAACCCTCGGTCGCAAATGGGGACACAGGTTCGTCCGTCATCAAAGTTTAAGGTTACTCTCTTAATTATTGACTTTTATCGCAAAAATGCTCTCTTCGTAAGCATTTAATACTAAATAATTAATTGAATCGATGGTCTATCAAAAAAGTTTTGTGCAAATTTTTACTAAAAATATATTCGTAAAACTTTCGAGTAACCAGTGCCTGACAGTTTTTCTTCTGCCCAATTAGAGCAAATACATTGATGTGCTCCTGGAGTGTTAATACACCGATCAGAGCAGTCCCCATTATTGATCATGCACTCGTTGACATCATGACAACCTCTATAATTATCATCCAGTCGATAGCCGGGCTCGCATTCACAATGGTGACCGGGTCCGTCAAAAATGCACCTTAATTTTTCTAAAAATCGTCTTGTATGCCGACTCCAACCTGTGCTGACATCCGCCGTTGTTGATCGAACACAAGTTAGCTCCGATCGACATTGTTGACGAGACGCAAGTCTTGAAATCTGTGTCCAGAATTAGTTCATCCGGGCATGTGCAGTAGGCTCGCTCTGCATCACTGTAACACGTATGTGAGCACTCCGCGAGCTCGCAGAAATCGGGAGCGCGACACACTTTTGATTCCAAATCATTGACGATCTGGTCGAGTTCGGAAGCTGTGCCCAGTCGGTAAACGTTATCAACGTTGCCACTGGCAATCAAGCTAAGCGTGTCATGCTCAACGTTGCCGACGCCGACTACATAAATTTCACGAGCGGAAAAGCCGTCTGGAATGATAACTTCTCCGGGAGAATTCGTTATCAAGACTATTTTCGCATTACTGAATTTATTTGTGATAATAGAGAAGGAGATTTTTGCAAACCTGGTAAGATCGCTATTGATAAAGTCAACAGACATCTGAGTCGATCCGTTCAGATCTCCGTTAAAAACATCTTCAGTTAGTTTTTCAACCAAATTTGTTCCATTTGCGCTGAATAGCACTGTCGAAATCTCCACGGACGAATCTTCAAAATGCTCGCTAATGGATGCGATACTAGCAGCAATTTCGTTAAAAGCATGAAGTTTTATGTTTTTAGATCCATCAACGAGGAAAACCAGTTCGTCGAAGTCCGCCTAAATTTTTGATGAACGTCACATTTTCGACATTAATTTAAGTGTCTCTATCCAAAACGATTAGGCATCTCTATCCAAAAGGATTGGTCGATCGGCAGGTACTGATTAAAGTACTGATGACAAGTTCTTTGACGTGTCTAGCATCTTTTTTTCGCAGCAGAATTTTAATTGAAATCAAACGCCGTATTTGAAATGAAACTTTTCTAGATTCTAGATCCTTTCCAGCGATAAATAAAAATATCACTGTCAAGTCATTAAAAAATGAAGCTTTTTGCTCTGCAACTCTTTGCATTTTTTGCTATCAGCTCTTGTGATGAATGTGCTCAAGATAACAGTAAGTCCTTTATGATTTTTTAGTATTATTAGTTTTGATAGCTCAATTCGATCTGTACGAATACGAAACCGATACGCCATTTGAAGCATTTCTGGACTTTGATTACGTCGAAATGGAGTTTTATGGACAGAAGTACATTTACTACCCAAAGTTTGACTATCTTCAAGAACTGAAGGACGAGGATACAGAAGATCCAGAAGACCCTACCGCCCCAGAAGAAGAAATTTATGAGCTGTATTGAACAATTTTTACTGATGACGATATGCTATTTTGTTGTAATAAGAAGAGTGACGAAAAACCTTAATTACTGTAATGTATTCAGAAATATTTAATGAGTACTTTGGCTGCGAATGTTTTAGGAAGCAATATTTGGATAATCAAGAGTTCACTTACCGCGCCACAGTCGTATCTTCCTGTACATGGTTTTTCTGCCCAATTACAGTGATTTCCTTGGCAACAGCATCGGCATACGTTATTAGCAGTTCCGCCATTGCATTGATGTTGATTCTGCGGCTGAGTGTAGTAGTCCAGAAGATAGCTTGGCGGATTTTGGCGGTAATTGTTCTGACAGGCAAGCCCTTGCTTGCAACGCTTCGTGATTCGTTTAACGCCAGAATGAATGCGAATTTCATTTTGACAAGAATCTGCCTCAGGCGTGCACACTTCACTGTGACGGTTGCACTCTTCGTTTGTCGCTGCGTTTATGCAACTTTAGTTGAGTTCTTAATTTGACACTGAGCAGTTTTATTCAAAGTTTTTTCGTTAATTGCTCTATGATAGTGCTCTTAACAACTATATTCGAACCCTGAACTGTAACAAACGATTCCACAGGTTCGTCCATCATCGCGAAGGACTTTGCCTTCAGGACACGTACATCGGTAGCCACCTTCCAGGTTCTCACAACCGTATTGGCAATAGTTTCCGTAAAGGCATTCGTCTATGTCTTCACAGATTCCGAGGAACGCATTATGTCGGTATCCATCAGCGCAGCGACATTGGTATGTGCCATCATGGTTTCCGTAGCAAATTTGGTCCGGAACGTTGCAGGTCACACCTTCGCATGGATCAGGAACGCATGAACGTTGGTCTTGAGCAAGGAGAGCACCTTTTTAGAAGTTTTTTTTAAAATTACTATTTAGTGAGAACATAATCTACTCTAAAAAGATTAAGAAATATTTGTGTTAAAATTCAACTGTTTCCTGGGCAAGCACACTGATACCATGGGTCAGTATTCACGCAGACAGACTCACATCCGCCGTTGTTAACTTCACATTCATCAATATCGACACATGTTCGACCATCATTCCCAATCTTCATCGACTCCGGACAAATGCACTGCGCGCCCTCAACCTTGTTTTCGCACTGATGGCTGCAGTTATTATTTCGACAGTAGTCTTCAACACAATTTCTGCCATCTGAGGCAAGAACGCGCCCGTTCGTGCAGGAGCAGTGATACGACCCGTGAGTATTGTGGCAGTGATGTTGACATCCACCATTATTCTCAGCGCACTCATCCTTTTCGCAAATGCTGCCGTAGGACTTGTATGAACTCGACCCATCGCAAACGCCCTCTAGTAACTCATCTGATATGATCGAGCTTATTTGCGTTCACAGATGTTTTTTACATAAAAGTTATATTATTCAGCATTGTTAGGGCCGACGCGCAAAAAATCAACCCCAAGAAAGCATCAACGTAGAGAGCTGAAACTTCGGGACATAATGTAGTTCGACCCAAAACCTAAAAAAGCTTGACGACCTTGAACGCCTGATCAAGGTCGATCAGCTCATACTTCAGAAGAAAGAGCTCAAAAAGTTATTCTGATAGAGCTAATAATATTTTTGGTGGTGCAATCACGTGACGCAGAAGAGCTCGTTGAAACGTCCAAAACAGCTGTTTTTGACACCAATTTTGACTAAATGAACCCATGAAAGCTTGATTTTTCCATATTTTTACCCGTTTTTTGGAGCTTTTTTCCCTTCTACCGCCTCACGTGATTGCGCCACCAAAAATTTTATTTACTCTATAAGAATAACTTTTGAGTTCTTTCTTCTGAGGTATGAGCTGATCGACCTTGATCAGGCGTTCAAGGTCGTCAAGCTTTTAGCTTTTCGGAGGCCTGTATCACGTGACCACGTGACCAGACCGAAAAATTTTCAATAGCAATTTTTTAGTTGGGTCGAACTACATTATATCCCGAAGTTTCAGCTCTCTCCGTTGATGCTTTCTTGGGGTTGATTTTTTGCGCGTCGGCCCTAAGCATTGTCAATGTTACGTTGAATAATCATTGAAAATAGCAAAGTCGAATTTTGTAAGCGCATTCCTGAGTTCTATGTAGTCATTCATCAGGACGACGTTTTCAGTCAACGATTGGAGCTCCTTGTTTGAGCTATTTGATGTTCCAATAACAAAAATCGAGTCTGCTTCGGATTTAAGTCGATCAGAAATTATTTCATCTGTGGATTTTCCATCAAGAAGAATGATTATTCTTTTTGTGTATGAGCCGGGCAAATTTCGTCCGTTCAAGTAAGATGCAGCAAAGTCAACTGCTGAGCCAAGATTATTTTCAGCGCCACTATATTTGGTCAGAAAATATGATAAAATAAAAATCATACTTAATCGATTCACGATACTTATTTTATTTGACCCATCCCTGATTGCAGGCGCGCCACGAAGCTTACTTAGTACCGAATTTGTAGTTTGTCCGCTTTCGAGAGGTACATTTACTATAGATTCTTCTCCATATGAAATAACACCGATCCGAGCCTCAGGGAAAATAAGTGGCTCGATCATTTGTTTTGCAAAGTCCTTAAACCATCCAAATCCGTCAGAAGTGCCTTGCATGACGAACAAAATAGCGAGATTGTTCTTGGAGCAGCTCTGCTCTCGATCACGTTGGCAGTAACACCGATAGTTTCCGTAAAGATTCAGGCAGTTTTGAGAGCATGGGTTATTTTCGCATTCGTCTACATCCTCGCATTGACCGTCGTTAGAAACCTTTGAGGACCAGAAAGCGCTTACTTGAGTTGTGCTCTGATCAAAAGCCCAATTGCACATAGCTTGTGATCCGCTGGATGAAAATGTTCCATCTGGGCAATCTTGTCGTACGCTCCCACCAATCTTTACACCGTTTTCGTTTCCTCCAAATACTTCAAAGCCGATTAACGGAAAGTTAATCGGACACATCGGTAAGAAATACATGTCCAATGAGAAGTCGAATCCTGCGTTACACAAATGCGAGAAACAGCAATAATGGCATGTTGAATCTTCCTGTTGATTGCACTGGGTGATTCCGTTGCCTCTCTCTGCCCAGTTTTGCGCGTAATTTGACAGACACGCTTCAGGCTGTTTGCATCCTTTGCTTATGTACTGCACGCCATTTATTCGACGAAGCTCAACTTGACAAGCATTATCTCCAGCAGGACACGTGATTTGCCCGTTCTGATTGCACTCGTCTTCGGACTCGGCCCAACTGCACGAGTAGCAGGCCACGCCGCATGTTTTTCTGTCGGGCCGAAGGTTCAGTCCTTCAGGGCACTCGCAATGGTAATCGAAATTGGCATCAGCAACGCAGTTGAACTCGCAGCCTCCATTGTCAAGATGGCACCGGTTGAATTTTTCGCATGTTCGCCCATCGCTGGCCAAGTAGTATCCTGGATAACAACGGCATTCACCGTCCTATTTCTGGTTTACTTATGAGAACTACCAAGGTAGAGCGCATTCTAAATCTTATCAAGCTTAGTCTATCCCTGAGAATTAGAAATGAAAGCTCAATTCTTATCGCTTTCTATCAAAGCCTGACCGAGTGGATCCATTTACTTCATGAAAATAATATTTCGACCATTATAAAACACAATTTTTAAGTTGAACCAGTGCCGCCACAACCTTATGTCAAATAATGTTTACGTTTTACTTGGATCATTTCTTACTTCACTTACCATTGTGATCTTTTGTGGATGCCTTTTCTTATCCTACAGTAAATTTGTTGAAAATTCGGAAGCAAAATTGGAGAAGGCTGGTTCAAAGAGAAATCGAAGCAACAAGGATGAATTTATGCGCATATCGGAAATCAGTACCTCGAAGAAAACGACTGAACGCGAGCATAATCGACACGTTGACAAAGTAGAGTCCAACAAAAAATACTGTATTTTCAAAACATTTTCTTTAATTAAGATTTGTTTTGATTTCGGAGAGTGAAGATTAAAAAGTTTCTCGGTGAATACAAATTTAATTTCACTGTTTTTGTTGGACTATACTTTTCTTCAGGAACTCAGACTATGAAGAATATGAAGAACACGGGAACGCAAACGAAAATGACTGAAGATAAGAAATATTGTCAAAAACCGACAATCAAAGTCGGCAGATTTGGATATGCGATCATTAATCTCCATTTGCAAAATGACGAGCTAACTAGAGATTTTAACGGCTGAATAGAAATAAACCATGTCCTGAGGAGAACAACCTTGCTCGCAGTTCTTTTGCAGGCAAATATTAACCTTGCATGTCCTCATGTCTTGAGAAATAACCATCCCTTCTGGGCAGGTGCATTTGTAACTCGGATTAGTATTTTGACAGCCGTGCGAGCATCCGCCGTTGAACTGTCGGCATTCATCAAGGTCTTCGCACGTTTTACCGTCGTAACTCAACTGTTTTCCTTGAGGACAAATGCAATTGAAAGTTCCACTTCGAGAAACGCATCCATATTCGCAACCAGCAGTAACACAGTAATCAGCGTCGCAGGTTTTACCATCCTGGCCTAGAATAGCACCTGGTGGGCAAAGGCATCTGTATCCATTAGGAAAGTCTTGACATTGGTAAGAGCATCCGTGGAGACCAGAGGCACATTCATCGATGTTACAAGAGATGCCATCAGCAAGGAGAGTGTAGTCCCCTGGAAAGAATATATCGAGATACTCGTCTAGAGGTGGAAGATTCGGAACGTCGCTTAGCAGATCAGGAGAGCTTATAATTTGGTAATGCTGAAGGTCCCCACTGAGCAAGAACATCTCCTCCTCGCTAATGTATGGCCCGATGCCAAGAGAATATGCGTTACACCAAGTGGCCGCCTGAACTCGCCATCCAGCGAGGATAACTTTGAGACGATCCTCATCCGAGACGCCAGATGTCAGTAAAATTGATACCATGGGAATATGTTCACGACCTTGGCGGTCTACCTGATCAAGAAGAAATTCCACTGCGTTAGCAGTTTTGCGACCGACTCCAGAGATTTCCAGGCTGTCTATTACGTTCAAGATCGCATCTAGTGAGTTATTTTCTTCCAAAGTCGCTTCAAATTTGACATCAGAAGCGTACGATAAAATAGCCACGCGAACGAAGTCGTTACCAACAGGTCTATCCATCACGATCGTTCTCATGAAATCTTTGTATGCGTCGAGGTATTCCACGGGCGTTGTGTCACTGCGATCTACAATAAATACGAGGTCGTACTTTGCGTCTCTTTGCGGATCGTAATCGTCGTAGCATTCACATTTGAAGCCGCTTGGTCTATTCACGCATTTTTGCTGACACTTTCCATTTCCGACAAGACATTCATTAACATCATTACATGCAGTTGGTTCTTCTCCCATCCAAACTGCTTCACCAGTCGACTGAGAAGAGATGACTATTTGATTTCCTGTATTGTCAACATGATTCAATTCCATAAAAACAAAAAAAAAATTTTGCCGTATTCTATTTATGTCATTCCCTGGCCTCATCAATGGAGCAGCTGAGAAGCCCAGGCGTGTTTGGAGAGAGTCCATCTTCGCATTTATATGAGCACACATCTCCGACAAAACTTCCAGTGCATGAAACATCAAACTTGAATCAGTTTATTCGGTTGAATTTGAAAGAAATAAATGAATTGGAATGACAAATTTCGTTATTCAAAAAATTTTGGCCAATCTCTAGAACAGGTCCCAATGCCGACCTTGTTTATCAAAATTCAACATTCCCGAAAATTCAAAAGTAGGGAAGGATGAGTCCGAAACAAGCGATTTTAAAGGTAAATCTATTGAAATTAAAAGTATACGTTTCATTAAATTTTCAGGCGAGAATACAAATTTCTCGAACGATTGAGCGCAGGGACAGATAAAATAAACATTGTCCCAGAAGGGATAGCGCCTCTTCGAAAAAGAAGTCCAGAAAGGGAATTCCAAAAACTTTTCCCGAAAAAGGGAATTCCAAAAACTTTCTCCAAAAAAAGGGAATTCCAAAAACTTTCTAAAATTTGTGCCAAATAATAAACTCGAAAATTTAAATACAAAAAAGTTATTGAATCATTCAGAGTCATTAACTTGTGCGTCTAGTTTTTTTCTTGCAATAAGCTTACGAGATCCGATTGAGGTCGTTCAGGGCAGGCTAAAAAAGGTGATCTAGCAGCAGCGCAGTCGGCTCCGGTGTTGCAGAAGCTATCATAGCAGCAACAGTCGCACGTGTCACCTTCACATTTCGGAGATGTCCAAAAATTAACAGGCTTGTCGCTTCCATCTTTGATGCAGCGTTCAGTGCTCTCGCAACCCTTCGAGATCAGGCTTGCTCCATTTTCACCGCTGCTTATTTTCGTTACACATGGAGTCGTCGAAGAAGGACATAATTCTGTCTGTTGACACTCTGTTAGGTCTGCTGCGTTTTCACACGTATAGCAAATAGATACGCAAGTTAGGCCGTCGTCAGATAGTCCAAGTTCTTCAGGACACTCGCATACAAAACCATCGTCGAGATCTCGGCAAATATGAGAACATCCTCCGTTATTATTCTTGCACTCATCCAAGAGAAAGATCGGAATCTTTTTTGGGTTTGGTCGTTAATTCAAAACAAATATTATTCAGAATCTAGAATCTACTTGTTTGGCTTTATTGTTAAGGGGGTAGAAACAGCTTTTGCCAAAGATGGAAACTGAGAGATTTTTTCTAAAATTCTGAAAGCCTAGGACATAAAGAATAAAAATGCTATCAAAAATTACCCCCTTACTTTGTTAGAAAGTCCTTAAAATTGCATTTAAAATTGGAGTTTTGGGGCAAATTTGGGACTTTCGAAATTTATCGAGGACTAAAATCGTTAAATAAAGGGTTGAACGCCGATTAGATTGTTTCATTTGGATCAAATGATCATCGTGAATAATTAAGGTAGGACGATGACTTAAGGGTATCACAAAAAAATTGTGTTTCAAATTCAAAATTTTGAAAATTTGAGACAGAAGTTTCAATCGGACTCTCAACATTATCATTTTTTATGATCACACAAATTTCGTTGTAGATGCTCCTAGAAAAAGGGTTAAACTATCTTATAATGATATAGAAAATTCTCGGCTAGTCATGTGACTCGAGATAATCTTGTTTAAAAATTGGCGAAAATCGGGATTTTCGACGAGATGGGTTGATGTTTCGCTCTATAGCGCTAAACTGGCTAAACAAAAAAAAAATTTAAAAACAGATGCTTTTAGATCTAAGATAGATCTAACTTAAATCGAAGAGAGAATTTAAAAATCTAAGGTTGGCTGAGCTTGGGCGCTGTTCAAAAATCGCCTTTTTCGAAAAAAGCTGTTTCTACCCCCTTAAATCGCAGGCATGAAAATTCAAACCGAATCCTGATCCATGCAGGTTAAATTGTCCGGTCCAAGAACCATTCCAAAAGGACAAGTGCAGGGAGAACTTTGACCGATTTCCATTTCAAATATTGAGAGAGCTCCACCAATGCCACCCCCGCCACCGCATCCATGTGAGCAAGGAAAGCCAGCAGGGCAGTCGTGCATGATTGTGCCGCATCGAAAGCCGCCGAATGAATTAGAACAAGTCTGATGATCAAGACAGTCATGAGTTCCCGTGGCGCACTCGTCTATGTCTTCACAAGTGGCTCCATCCTCGAGTAAAAACGTGCCTTTGGGACAGGTGCAACGCACTCCATTGTACTGCGTGAAACACTCACCATCGCATGACCCTCTTCCGGAATTACTGTAACATTGATCTGGGAAGAGCTCATTTGAGCATTGACGTTGCACGATCGCTTCAGCCAATACGTCGTCTAAAAAAGCGCCTTCGAAGTAATTCTCCTCGACAGGATCGGAAACGAGCAGCTCGACATTTTCTATACTCGAATCTCCAAGAGTAATTGCAAATATACGCTGTGACTTTTTCTTCAATCTGATGGTGTCAATTTGATTGATTGTGCTGTTCGATGAAGTGATGATGATGGTCTGACTGGCGACTCCGTTGTTGTTTAATTCTGTTCCTCGCCATCCTGTTGAAAGATCGAAACACTCGTCTTGGAGTGCAAAAAGAGCAGCCGCCAAGTCGGCGTCTTTTCCATAAAAAGGTATTGAATCAATAATTTCCACTGCATCCCCATAGCTTTCGATTTCGTCAAAGGTGTTCAAGATCTCTGGCCAAGAAGAAAACCTCATCAAGCAAAGTCTAGCGTCATTGGAAGAAATCGCTTTGTAACTTCCGATTAAATTCTTCAAAAATGACTTGATTTGGGGATTGTATGAAAGTGATGCGGTATTCGCTTCAATAAGGATGGCCACATCGAAAAACGAGTCCTTGCACAAATCGCCTGGACAAAGCTCTGTCGCGCAAGGAGTGACCTCTTCTGAGATTCCTTCGCAACCAACATCGCCTGCTTCACCGCCGATGCAATATCTGAAGCGCGACTGAGTTCCACCGCCGCAAGTCTCAGAGCACTTGTTCTTTTCCGACCAATTTGACCAATACGGATCCCCTGTGCATTCCTCCGTATTACAGTCTTCTACTTCAACTAACCCACCGGGCTGCTTATTGCAGCGCCGAAAATTCGTTATAAGACATCTTCGTTCACGTCGCTAAAATACCCTTGTTCCAGCTCCCTTTTCAAACAGAAAAAACTTACTCTTTCACCGACTCCACAGGGCGCATCACACTGAGACCATTCTCCCCATTCTCCAACTATCGGACTTTTCTGTGCGTCGACGAGGTTGAGCGAGGCCACCAAATAGCCTAGCTTCATGGATACTTCCACCTGTCTTTTTCTTCTTCAGTTTCTCTTTTTTTTTAATCTCTCTTGTTTCGTCAAAATTATCTCTAACTTTTGTGCCACTAAAAATCGAATCAAGAGTTGATGGGAATCAACATTTTTGTCGAAAAATCGGAAGTAATTCTTGATTCTCTGTGTTCTTGCGGTGATTCGCGTAATTCTGACTCCCGAGCACCACACGTTCTCTCCTGCAACGCCACCACCAGAAGAGAGAAAGGGCCGCGCCTCGCCACTCTCATCACCTGTAAGCCCCGCCACCTCTCTGAGGACTGATAACAACCCAAAACGGGCCTTATCGTATTTTTTCTTTTAAAAAAGCAAATTACTGAAATAACTTCATGTCATTGCGAAATTAAATAATGACGGCAATACCAGTCATAAATAGAAGGCTTGAAATTGAAGTGAGAAGCATTTTATTTCATTTTTTCACAGATATTATACAATGGAATCGTTTCGCTCGGATAGTGTCGATGGATCATGAGAATGGTAACTATACAAAGTATTGAATTATTTTAGTATCGATATATTCGTATATTGGAAACTTTTGGCGGTTGGTTGTTGTTTTTCGTGAACTTAAGAAGGGAAGATCTTTCTGTTAATTTCTATTATTTGGGCGACGGCGGTTGTTTAATGACTGGCGTCGGCTGCCGCTGTTAGCTGCTACTGCTGCACTTTGAGCTCGCGAGCGACGGAACACGTTCGTCGAAACTTGCCGGCAAAGCTCGATGACGTCTTCCTTGTCCAGAGAACTAGGTGGCATCAAACCAGGAACACCAGGCGGACCCGGGCGGCCCTAAAAATGCGTTTTCCAAGCGCCGGGAGATGCTCTACTTACAGGCTGGCCGGCCGGTCCTTCTGGACCTTGAGGACCAAGGGGACCCGCTGGGCACACACATTCTCCGCCGTAGCCGCCAGTCATTGCTGCGTTCATTTGTGGCTCTACAAAAAAGTAAATTTTGTTTTCCAACTTATCTTACCAAGATCTTCGCAGAACTTAAACGCAAGCGTATCTTGCAAATGGCGAATTCCATCATAATCTTCGACATGGTAAAGAGTGTCTCTAAATGATATTTCGTCAGGGCATAATTCGTGAAATCAGCTGTCAACTCGTCATGTTATGCGCTGGCATTTGACATGCTAACGTTTCCTCTACTTACGAAAATGGTGGAGTTGCCACGAGCTTCAGCTCATCCTCGATTGCTTGACCGACTCCGATCGCGAATGTTCGAATGTTGAAATTCTTTGCTGCGCGGGCTGGTGCTCCCACATCATCCTAATATTATGTAACCAAAGATTTTATATATTTAAAATTGCCTGAGACTGTCCATCAGTAAGTAAAACCATATGTTTTTTGACGTACGGCCGTGAGCCAGCTTCGACAGAGAAAATGTGCCCCATCATATACCGAATAGCCTCTCCAGTCCTTGTGTTTCCACCTTGAATAAAGTGTTGTTAAATATAATTCAGGTCGGACTACGCACCTTTGTATGTTATGGCATCGATTGCATTCAAAAGTGTCGTCTTATCCTGATAGTCTTTAAGATAGAACTCGATTCTTGGATCATCCGAGTACTGAAGCACGGCGACTCGTGTGTAGTCCCAGCCGATTTCAAACGGATTCACTAAACGTAGCACGATTTTAAATAAAGAAATGAAATTGTTGATTACCGAGGGACTTCATGAAATCTTTCGCTTTTCTAAAGTTTTCGTTTCCTACAGACCAGGAGCCATCGATGATAAAGACTAAGTCTGATTTGAGGTGGGAGCATTGACGACAGACTGGAAGCGTGTTCGTCCATTGTCCTGTGGAGGTGCATTCTCGCCATTTGGAGCCGATCAAATTCTATTGCATTTTTATTGAAAGCTAAGAACGGAATCGACAGTTACCTGGTCTGGAGGACAAGTAAAGGTGCAATTAGACCCGACTTTATTGTCGTCAGAACATGTCATCGTCAGTTCCGGATCAGGGTTCATCGGAATACAACTTTCGCGAATGCATTTCGGCGTTGTTCCGGTCCATCCGCCGTCGGCTGTACATGTTCTCGTATCGTTTCCAGACATGCTGAATCCCGGTAGACAGCTAAAACTACACTCTGATCCACACTCGTCGCCCATCGAACAATGCTTCTTTCCATTCAACGGATTCAACAAAGGTGTGCATTGAGATCTGAAGTATTAAAATATGCCCTACAGATTCAAAATACCTCTGACAAAGTGGTTCTTCTCCCGACCAAAGACCATCAGCGCGACATCGCCTAGCCGTTGATCCGACCAGAGTAAAGCAAGTATCGCATGTAATTGAACAAGTGGAATTGTGATGGCTTTCTTGGTTGCACTTCATCGAACCGTGATCTGGAGGCAGAAGCGCTGGACAACTGACTCGGTGACACTCTGGAACCGAGCCCGACCATTTTCCAGTTTCGAGGCAGCGACGAGTCGTAGATCCGTATATCGAGAAGCCAGAATTGCATTTGTACGCGCACTCGGAATTGTAGCGATCCTCATCAGCGCACACTATGCGACCTCTAGGGATATCGGACAGCACACCACATGTAATCTTAAAAAAAGACGAGATTAGATTACCATTCCCACGTTGGACGACATCTAAGCGAATTTATGAAAACATTTCTTGCTTTTTTGCTATTTCGATATGAAACTTAAAATAATAAAATTCTCTCCATTTATTTACATTTTTTTGCTGACTTTCAATAACTAGTTACCTGTTCGCAATAAGGTCTATCTCCTGTCCAGCGTCCATTCGCTTGGCACACTCTGTTATCCGAACCAACAAGCTCAAATCCGACCGTGCAAACGTAACGGCATCGTGAGTTGTAGTCATTTCCAGATGAACAGGCAACAAACGCATTTTCGGGCGAGGCAAGTGGTCTACATTGAACCAACTCACATACTGGTTGAATTCCGGTCCAAGCACCTGATTCTTGGCACACTCGGCTATTTGAGCCAACGAGTTTGTAACCTTTACAGAGTTTAAATACGATTCAAAAGACTTGGCTTATAAGAACTAGTATTGCATCACATTATAAACCGATTCCTTCATTACACTCATACTGGCACTGCGAGCCGAACTGATCGAACATGGAACAGGTAACATTTCCGTGTTGAGGAGAAGTCGTCGGTCCACAGTGGATCAATTCGCAAGTTGGTGGCAAACCAGACCAGCGGCCTTCTGCGCCACAAGCTCGCTGCCTTGGTCCGATTAAGTCATAGCCACTGTCGCAATTGATCGTGCAGATTGAGCCGAAATTCCTGTTCTTCGAGCAAATCATAGTTCCGTATTCTGAAAGAATCTAAGTAAAAGCCCTAAACTAGCATCGTCTCACCTGGTTCGTGAATGGCTTCACATTGCACCGCGACGCACTCTGCGGGTTCGCCTGACCACTTTTGATCGGCGCCGCAGGTTCGAGAAGAGGACCCTCGAAGCATGTATCCCATATTGCACGACATTGCACACTCGGAGCCGAATGTGTTGTCAGCTACGCAGAACATGCGTCCATTCGAAGGTTCAGTCAGTGGCTCGCACCGATTAATTTGGCAGAAAGGCGGGAAATCGTCCCATGAACGATCTCTTCCGCACTAATCAGTTGTACATTTAAATACTTTCAGAAATGTTGTGTTATCACCTTAATTTCTGTTGAACCAATAGGTGTATATCCGAGATCGCATTTATAAGAGCAGACAGAACCAAAAGTAGAACCAAAGCTACAGCTCACGGCGCCATGAGCAATGTTTCCCAAATCACCACATTTGACCAACTCGGCGGTAGGTGGAATCTCAGACCATCGCCCAGAACCTGCATTTTATTTATTATTTTGCGTTTGATTAATTGTCAAACCTTGGCAAAGAACCTGTCTAGCACCAACCAGTTCCCATCCAGAGTCGGGGAAAAAGGTGCAAACTCGACCGTAATTTTGTGGCTGGACAGCGCACGAGCCGGAAGCAGAGGTATGAGGCTCAAGTTCGATTGGCGGACAAGAAACCTCGACACACTTGGCGACGCGGCCAGACCAGGTACCGCTTGATTCGCAGATTCGAACTCGCGAGCCGGTCAACTGGAATCCAGAGTCACACTCGTTCGTGCAAACTTTTCAGTTGATCATATTTTTTTCAAATCTATCCAAATATGTATCATAACAGTCGATAAGAAAATTCGTTAAGTTGTTCAAATTTCATCACTTTCCTGAGCTGAACATATCCTCATCTGTACAAACTGTTTTTCCGTGATGAAGCGATTCCATTTGTCCACATCTGACTTCAATGCACTGTGGCTGCTCCCCTGTCCATTTACCCTTCGCTGTACATTCTCGGTCTTTACTGCCTTCGAGCGAGTAGCCAAGATCGCAGAAAAACTTGCAACTGCTACCGTAGCCGTCCGCGTTAGAGCAAAGAATGGAGCCGTGCTGTGGGGAAGTCAGCTCACCACATGTTATAGGCTGACAAATTGGGTGAACGCCAGACCAGTTCTAAACGACAGTGAACTTTTTGATGAGCTAACTCTGATTGATGAGCTCAGAAAGACTCTCAGGCTTATTTTAGAACTATTTTATGTTGATTCCAACCAGACGAAGAAACTGTTAAAAATGATACTCTTTATAAATTTTTATTTTTAGTTGACTTGAACAATAAAACTTGTTCACAACTGCAGTTATGAAATCTGATTAAAAGTATTCCTTCCCCTCTTTTAGTATTTATCTTACCTGATTAACACCACACGTTCTAACATCAGAGCCAATAAGCTCATAGCCAGTTTCGCAGTGGAACTCGCATTCTGAGCCATAAAAGTCCGAATTTGCACAGTTAATTGTTCCGTGGAAAGGTGCGTCCAGAGTCGAGCAGCGGATAAGTTCGCACATTGGTTCCCGAGAACCAGACCATTTGTGGTCTGCGCCACATTTTCGTTCGTTTGGACCGAGAAGGTTGTACCCTGGATCGCAGCTGAAACTGCATTCGGAGTCGTATTTGTTCCTATTTATGGTGTGAAAAATTGAAAAAAGAGACACGTTAAATCTCATTGATATAGTAGTTGGTCATTTGAAAAGAAATAATTTATCACCATGCCTATTTGTACAAGACATCTTTCCGTTATCAGGAACTGGATGTCGAGGACATCTGATGAGCGAGCAAAATGGACTTTCACCGGACCAACCAATATCCAAGCACTCGCGACTTGACGAGCCTTCCAGCTCATAACCGAGATTGCAGGAATAGCTGCAACGAGAGCCGTAGTTTGATCCGTCTGAACATCGACTTCGTCCATGATCCAGTTCCACAGCAGGTGGGCAGGACATAATCGAGCAAGTTGGAGGAGAATTATCCCATTCTCCTTTCAGCCCGCATTTTGCTTCATTGTTACCCTGAGAAAAAGGGTTGCAAACATTTCCTTTTACAAGAGTTAAAAAATGTTTTGGACCCTACCTGAAGATTGAATCCAGTTTTGCAACTAAAGGTACAGATTGAGTTGAACAAATTTCCGGCTGAGCATGAAAGGTATCCATTTGCAGGTGGGACAAGAACAGAACACGTGACTTGAAGACAATAAGGCTGAGACCCGGACCAAGCGTGGTCGGCCTCACACGTTCTTGTTTTGGATCCAACAAGAGAATAACCGGAATCGCAAGTAAAAGAGCAAACCGAGCCAAAATCGCCACCAGCGGAGCACTGTACGGATCCATGGCGGGGCTAGAATTAATGTATTCAACCCTTTAAGCATTTAAAAAATACCTTGGGCAGAAGACCACAAGTGGCTTTGGTGCAGTGAACAGGGACACCGGTCCATGTTCCATCGGCCTGGCATGTTCGCTCTTCGGAACCAGAAAGATCGAATCCAGTATCACAAGAAAACAAGCACTTTTCGCCAAATTTATCGCCTGAACAGTCCTTGGATCCGTCTTGTGGAGTTGGAAGTTCGTCACACACGATTTCCTCACAAACTGGCATTTCAGCAGACCACTTTCCATCAGTGGAGCAGATTGAAGAACGTGAGCCCTTCAGTCGGTATCCTCAAAGTTTATTTAAAAATGCCCTTATCTACAACATAAAAATTGTAAATATGGTATATTCGAAATCTGCCTCCCAGTTTAACCTAATTCTTTCTAGCAAGGTTGGAATTACCTTCGCCACAAACGAATCTGCAAACTGATTGATGACGATTCTCATCTGAGCATTTTGTATTTCCGTTTTCCAGCTTGGGCATAATTGGACAGACAATTTCGACGCAAATTGGCGCTTCCTCGGGATTCCACTTCTTGGTAGCCGTGCATTCCATCAAACTAGAGCGCTCTTTACTTGGAGCACTAAGACTCATTACGTACCTGTTTCCGATTAAGGAGTAGCCGTCGTTGCATTTGAACTGACAAATCGAGCGATATGCTCGATCAGCAGTGCATAAAACAACACCGTTTTTGGGAGAAGACAGAATAGGGCATTCTGTAGGCGTACATTTTGGCTGTAGTAAGGATAGTCCTGTTATTCATAAAAAAAAGATTTCATCGTGAAACTATTTGATCCTTTAGCTTGAGTCCAGACCAGAGGTGAGTGTCTTCGCAGATGCGAACCTCGTCGCCGAAAATTTCGTAGCCTTCGTTACAAGCGAATTCGCATTTAGAGCCAACTCTGTTGTCATCTGAGCAGTTAATCTCGCCAAAAGTTGGAGGATCGAGGGGAGCACATTGGCCGACAATGCAGTCTGGTGCTTGAGATACCGACCACTGACCATCTGTGTGGAGGCTAACCAGCCTGTCAAAAATCACTCGCGCACATGTGATAACCTAGTTTAATTAAAACGTTGAGCCCGCCGCCCTGAACCACAGAAGTTCTCCCGCGCGCCCTCAAGATTGAAGCCAGCATCGCAGTTGTATCGACAAAGCGAGTTAAAACGGTTGCCGTTCGAGCAGTCAGCATCTCCAGAAAGTGGCTTTGGAACTTCAATGCATTCCTTCAAAGAGTTTTACGTTTGCGATTATTTTGTGAACTCTTTCTTGGTGGAAGTAAAAAAACTTTAAGTTACTAAAAAAGAGTTTTGAATCGAGAGATATATAAATTATATATAATATAATGTAGTTAATTATGCTGAAAATCATAAAACGGGCCTTGATAGAGCACTTGGCGAGCTCACCACTCCAGGTGCCGTCTTCTTGACACACTCTGATTTCTGTTCCGGTAAAGTCGTAACCGACTTGGCAAGCAAATCGACATCGACTTCCGTAATTGTTCGCATTCGAGCATAGTCGTCGTCCGTGATCAGGAGAGTCAAGCAGTGGGCAAACAATTTGCGAGCATTGGGCAGGAGTTCCAGACCAAGTCGTGTCAGGAAGACATTTTCGGATCTTCGAGCCAGATGTTAGTTTAAATCCTTTTAATGGTTATAAAACTAAAACATTACATTTGAATCGAATAGATAGAGAATCAACTGTTTTAAAATCATTTCCTTCATTACAAATGGCCTCGCATTCGGTGCCAAAAAGCGCATCTGTGCCGGAGCATTCTAAACGTCCATTTTCGGGTGCGACCAAAGGACCGCATGACACTTTCACACACTTTGGACTTGGATAAGACCATTGTCCGTCCGACTGGCATACGGTTTCATCAGAGCCGATTAGCTCATAGCCCGAGTCGCAGCTGTACGAACACTTTGAGTTGTGCTTATCTCGGTTTGAGCAGCTAATGTGGCCATGCAACGGGGCACTTCGCGCCCCACAGACGATCTCCTGACAAAATGGAATGTCTCCATTCCAGTTTCCAGATGCGTCGCACTCGAGAGTGTCATCGCCACGGAGCTCCCAGCCGATTTCACAAGAGAATGAGCAAGACGAGCGATAGATGTTTCCTTCAGTGCAGTCCATTCGCAAATGCGGGCTCAGCGAAATTCGCAACTCAGGGCAACGGACAAGCTCACATACTGGTAAATCATGTGACCATCGCTCGTTCAGTTGGCAATTAGTTGTCTTCGAACCACGCAATTTGTAGCCCTCCAAACATGTAGTTCGACATTGGCTTCCGATTCGAATTCCTTCAGTGCAACTAAGTCGACCATGTTGTGGCGCAGAGAGTTCAGGACAAGTGCTTCGTTCGCAATTTGGCTGCTGGCCTGACCATCCGCCTTCAGCTTGGCATTCACGCATGGTCGAGCCGCGGATATCGTAGCCTGTATGACAGTCGAAGTTGCAACGTACGCCTACAACCGCTTGTTTTTTAGTGCAGTCCTTTCTTCCATTTGACGGAGTCAGAAGTTCAGCACATAGGACCTTGATTCGACAGATATCTTTCAGTACTTGAGTGGTGATTCCCGTAATGGCATTGTATCCCCCAACTTGGAAAACATGGTTCGAATCGGGGTCAGTTGCCATGTCTTTCAACTCTTCAAGATTGATTTCATCACCAACACCGATTGAGAAAATCTCAACTCCGTTTTCTCGAAGACGGCGAGCTGGCTCGGTAACGGTATCTTGCAGTGATTCGCCGTCAGTGATGATCAGAACGACCTTTTGAGCATTAGGTCTCGAAGAACGGCCAAAAACGTGGTCGAGAGCAAAGGTTAGGGCCTTCCCAGTAGCAGTGTTGCCACCTTTGTATTTCATACGATTGACAGCGGCGTTGAGCGAAGGAAAATCGTAGTGTTCGTTGAGACCGAACTCGAGACGCGGGTTATCAGAGTACTGGGCAATACCAATCATAGAAGCATCGTGCCCGATCGAAAAATGTTTGAGCAGGGCGCTGAGGAAAATCTTCACCCGCTCAAAGTTGGTCGGCGTCACCGACCAGGAACCATCAATCAAAATTACAAGGTCCGTTTGGTCGATTCGCTTGCATTCCTTGATCACTGTTGCATCTGGGTCAAACTTGCTCTTGTCGACAATTGGGTATCCGTATGTAGATGATGGAGTAGATGCTGCTTGGTTACGCTGGAAATTTTTGTCATAAAGTTATATTTTTCTAACATTAGCTTTTAAAAAAATAAATATAACTTTGCAGTACTTACATTGCGTGACGAGGTCCTCCTGGAGGTAGAAACTGGTGTTTGTGGTCGATAACTTCCATATGCTCGTTTCGTGCGCCTGTGAGAAAAGCTGGGCTCAGATTTTGGTGGCAGTTTGGAAATTCCTTCCACTGATATCTTGTACTCTGTGTCTGGCTGCAATTTGTCAAAGATGATATTGTCTGTGTCTGTGACTGTTTTTCGAAGGAGATCGCATCGCCTTTGACTGCTTCTGCACGGACCAGATACGAATTTATACTGAATTAACAACTTACGACCAAATAAGTTCTTAGGTCAGTCAAGGTCGAGCCCAAAATACGGAATAGAATGTTTGTCGATTCCATTCGGGCCTGGCGTCGTGAGGACGCACTTCACGCTTTTTTCCGCTTATCGATCAACCCCCCTTTGCCGCCTGTTCAATCATTCTCTAGCCTTACCATACGAGCCATAAGCAGGCCCTCCTCATGCCTTTGCGAATTCCTTGTCTGTGATTCTCTCTCTCTCTCTGTATTTAATCTAAGAATCAGTCTGAGTGTCGATCTCGATTGTCTGATGAAATTTCAAAATTTTCGCCCTAGCACCAGATAAGTGACAAGTGTGCCAAGTGATTTAAGATTTGAAAGTGAAAAAAAAGAAAAAATTTTAATTAACTTGGCTTGAGGATTGTGAGGATTATCAATAAAATGACGTCCCTAGCAGCACTCGGCGAGATTCGGATGTATTATTCAATTTTACTATTACCCGGCAGGGGACACACAAAATCACATAAAACGAGACAAGTTTTCGACCCTAAATTCTAAAATCGAGGATTTTCCCACTTTGGAATTCCTTTCCCAAGGATGCCTGGGAGACTGCATCTGGCATTACGCCTCAACAATACAGTAATAGATCAATGTGCTGTCAGGCAGCCTGACAGTGCGCGTTCGGGTACAAGTAATCGGGCGCGTAATCAAACTAGAACCTTCTGAAGGCTTGGAGCAGGAGGTGTGAGCTCTTACACGCGCCAAGCTTGAAAATATTTAGATAGCTTCCGAAAATTCTCGGCCAGTTACGTGAATGTCCATTCAAGGGCGACTAATAAAAATTAATTGAACTATATCTAAAACGTAGCAAATAAATATAGCTTCTATTTTGCAAATTAATTGTTAAAACTTTAAACTCTCCGATCAGTAATGGTCAACTTACTTGGGATCACTCGATTTCGCGAAGGAAAATTCTATTGACGTTTCGGTGGTCTTTTTAATAACAGGATTTCCAGCAGGTGAACGCACTAATTAATATGTGAGATTCGCCATAAAATCGAGATACGTAAAAAATTAATTATAACGATGCACTTACGGGTTTGAACTTTTATCTTTCCAATTGAACCTGTCGATCCGTCCCGTTCAATGCCTTTTTAACGCGTTTTAAGTTGATCTTCCATTTATTTTTATGTTTATGTCAGTTTTATAAATTATAAAAGATATCGTCCACCATGGGATGATTTTTACGTTTCGTAGTTTTATATTGGTAGTAATAAAATTAACATAATAAAGGCTCATTTTAATTTGAGCTGGTCTTAGCACTCCCTTATTTTTGCTGAATCTGTCAAGAATCAGAGCGACCTTGCACGGAAATTTCACGAGGTCGCGTGGACACAATATTATTTTTATCGCATAATCCTGTTTTTACAAGGTCAGAGCTGAGAATAAACATTTTAAAAACCTATTTTTAGCATCGGGAAGGACGATAAACCGCGGTTGCCTTGGACAGATAGAAAATACCGCCTTGCTGGTTTCGTGCGCCGGAAGCGGATCAGATTTTCTTTGATAACATATTTCTTTGGTTTCGCCCTCGAAAAGCGCTTGAATGTGACTTCGTATTCTTTGAATTGCGATTCTTTATCCCAGCTCAGTTGTAGCGAGTTTGACGTCAGCTCTGTAACACGTAGATTTTGGATCGCCCAAGTTGCTAAAAATAGAAAGTTCTCATCCTTGATTTCAATAGCGTTTTTCGATGAAATATGTCTATTTAAAATGTTAGGGATGCAATGCTATATGACCAAGGATTTGTGATTTTAATGTTCATAAAAGTAAACTCGTGTTTACTAATTATTTCCTAGTTTTCCATCCTCGAGGAAGGCGAAGGGAACCGAAGAGTCTATTTTTTTAATAGAGCAGAGTTTATTATCATTTTTGCTTTTGGATGCCTTTTGTGAACTTGCCGGCAAAAGTCCTTTTACCTGAAAGCTACAGTATGGAAAAACGAACTCTCAGTTCAATGCTAAGTGAACTGATTTGTTGACCCATTGATTCACTTTTTTGGTGACGTCTAATTAAGAACAATCAAGTTACCTGACAGTAATAAATGGCACAAATAATGTGCAGTTTTCATCTTCACTCGCTATAGCTCCATCAAGCTCCGTTAATTTTTATGAAAAAAAAGTAATTTCCTTAGAAGTCGTGCGTTTCTTCTCGGTTTCTGTCTGAGTTTTGATCTTCCTCGACTATATCTTCTTCTTGCTCTTTTTCTCGCGTCCTTGTCACTTTTCAGCAACCTGGTACTCGCGTCGTATTTTTCTTGGATTCTCTTTAAACTGTATTTTTTGTTTTCTGCTTGATTCTGTTCGTGAAGATGTTGATTTTCTCAACAGTCTGAGTACGTATGCCTCCTCCCCTAATGATCAGATAAACAAACTAGGTCGCGAGGGTAGTATTCCTTCAGAGCGTGTCCAGAAAAGAAGCCCTCTGGATCGCGCCAACAAGTGGTCAGATTTTTTTTTCAACTCAGATTTTGGGTACTTTCTTAATTGTTTGGAATTTCTCACAAAGTCTTTCTCACGCACCAGGACGGCGAAGGCTATTTAGGGAAGAAATTAGGACGACTCGCGTGTACAACGACACGGTCAGTGATAGATAACACTATCACAACTTGAAACGAGGAATTTCACCTGCTGATCAACTATTTAAGCGTTCTCAGCGTTTTTGAAGAAGTCACTAGAAGAGAGTAGTGCCATGAGACTTAAGTACGAATCAAGGGTCGTGTAGGTTTTTTTGGTAGTAGGGGGTTATCATTCGAGCTGCCCCTAACCCTAACCCTAACCCTAACCCTACGCCCCCGGGACCCCCCACCTAAGGCCTAAACCAGGGGGCTTCGCCCCCGGACCCCCCGTTAAGAGTTCCTAGTTCCGAACCCTAACCACTAGCCCAGATTCTAGAGATATTGGATGGCTCGAATCATAGGCTCGAATGATAACCCCTCTCTACGGTTTTTTATAGACGGATTCGATTCCATAAACTTAAGAATATGATCAAAATTCAACAGCTGTTAAATATATTTCTTCGATTTGAAATAGTTGATAAAATCAAAGAACCCTTCCATCATGTTACAACTTCAGCGGAGTTTGTAATTGCCAGTTGTCATTTTTATATGTTTAATACGCCGGGAATAAATGTGCTATTTTCAATCACTTGTCATAGTTGTCACTTCCGGCGGGGACACGATCGTCGATTTGACAGATATCGAGCGGCTCTTAGAGGCTCCCCGCTACTTCTATTAACATCAGAAATTTATGTTCAGCGTTTCTTATGATGTTGATTTTCTTACGAATTTGATGCAAATCAATAATTTAGAATTTTTGAGCTGAAATTCAAATGGAGTCAAATGTCATCGTTGATTCCAAATTATCTTTAGTTCGATACAGATTTTCGAGATATTGATTAATAATTTTATTTTGCAGTCACAAATGACTGTCAAATGATTTGACTCAAATCCATAAACTTCGTGGGCAAAAACGTGTCCAAACATATCCTTCTTGCAGCTAACGATTAAACTTTGTCGGGCTTCGTCGGGCAGTTCGTGATATCGCTAGAATCATAATGATTTTATATGATAGTGTATCATTTTATTTTATAATGATTATAATTCACTCACTCGAGTTTCGTCTAAACACCAAATCATAATCTCTTGCTGAAGAACTTCTGCTTTTGCACCATTTCTGAGCAGGCGGGTGCTCAATCATGCTCAGCAAATTTGTGCACGCCGATGCTCAGCCGTGCTCATGCTCAGTCAAAATTTGTGACTTTTCAGACCCTGGCAAGAGTTTCTCTAGCGGCTTCCGTCGGCTCGAAAATCTCACCACTGCTGGGTCTCAGAGATGGGCCCCGAAGTGGGACTTTCGATTTTTCCTGCTTTCGAGAATGATTATTTCGAGCCGGTGGGAATTCCGACTTTAAATTGTGAAATGATCGGAAATGCCAAAAGATAAATTGAGACGAGGCGAAGAGCATGGATAACAACTACTTTCTAAGTTAACTTCCGAATGTTAACCGTTAAAATGATCGATTATTTTTAGTGATAAAGAACCTCAGAGGCGAAACAAAACATCCAGGCCGAGAGCATGTGAAGGATGAGTAATCAAAGTCTGTCGTAATTAGAATCCAGGAATTTAATTGGCCTTCACTTCCGACATACAGGTTGCCAGCTGCGGCACACACGAAACAAGACACAAAAAGTCAAAAAAGTGGGTTGCATGGGTCGGAAACTCCCAACACAGATTGACTCGAACGCTTGATTTTTCATCCTTTTTCTTTTCAAGAGAGAAATTCTGAAAAAGAAACACCCTTTCTATCGCAGTTTTTTGGTACTCCGAGCCATGCAACTCACTTTACGAATTTCCTCAAAAGCAAGCAATTTCTAAAAATGGGTCGGCGAACCAAGCAACTCAAACCAAGACGACGAGAACCAGGTCCTCTCTATGGAATGGTCTTCCTTTACACATCTCCGACCCGGAAAGAATGCTTCCAATCCGGCAACGATGACACACTTCCTGAGCTCTCCCTCTTGCTCGAAGGAATCGATCTTACAAAAGAACTCATTTTGTGAAACACTTGATGATGTATCTCTCGATGAAAATAAACTCGTTTTCATTTACCGTACATTCTCATCGTTATAAATAATTTACCGTATCCGTAAAGAAATCAGAGCGGCTGTTTTTTTATTACTCTTTAGGAGAGTTATCAGCATCCCTCGTAGTTAACGATGCCTTGTGATATTTTATTCAGAGGGGTTTCTGTGTTAGAAGATTCCCGCAGTCGCGATATTCCGACGGGATTATCATCAACCAATGGGCGCACGCTCTTGGCGCTCTAATATTTTATCAATTTTTCTGTTCGAGAAAGGCCATTTTGAAGAAGATCATTATGAAAAATGTCAGCGATTTTTTCTGTTATACCTTTTTCAATCAAAGATCGTAGCCATTTATGCTAGCGAATTTGTTTATAGATTGGACATGTTCTCATCTGTCAGTCAAATCGGCGCCACTTTTCGCTCGGAATGGAACTTGGCGAAGGATAAGGCGAACGCCCGTGTCCAGACTTCCAAAATCAAAACTAAGGAGGCCAAAAACAACTCTTCCAAGGTGAAGAACTCGTCGACAACGACCGATTGTTCTGTCGAGCTGCAGGCGGACAAATATCCAGAAGATCAAATTCAGAAATTTCTTTTCTCTGTTTATAATAGAGTTAGCGCACAATTGGAGGTACTTTTTATCCAGAGTATTCGTTATTATTTGAGGTTTTCTAGGCAAATATCCGCTCAGTTAACAAAGTGAACCGATTGACGGGAGACCGTTCCATGCTCGAAAATGACATTTCGCTGGAATACGAAAATAAACCCGTAGTAACCGCGATTGGCTCTGGAGCGACTGTAATATCTGTCTTTGGCGATAGCCTTTGCTACTGGAATCTTACGAGAAGTCCTGTGAAGATAGACGTTCCTGACAGGGTAAGAACACTTCCTTTTGTGCTCGCTAATAGATTCTTTTCAGGTTGTTCCATGTCCATCCGCACCGCGGGTGTTAAAGACATGCCCGGCCTACCCAGAACTACTTGTGGTCGGATTCAACAACGGCGACGTACGAGTTCTTGCCAACGACGATTGGGGGATCTGTCAGCACTGCCATCGCTCCCCTGTACGAGCAATTGACTGGTCAAAGAAGTAAAATATATTGTTGATTTAGATTTAGTAATACATTTGTTCAGCAACGCGCAGTTGGTGCTCTCGGCAGACTTTGATTCTGTCGTTGGTATTTGGCGCTACTCGAAGTCGAGGCACAAGATTGAACTGAAATCGAAGATCCGCACTGTCGACAACTTCGGTTGCCCATTGGCCATTTCTATCGAGAACGATTTCGTTCTCTTTGCTTACGACACTAACTTCTTGGCGATGTTTCACTTCCCGGAGAATCCACTCAAAGCATCTAAGCCAAAGCTAGAAATGAAGAAAGTCTTCAAACGGGGCTTTGAACTTCCCTTCTCTGCCCATATGTCTTTGAAGTAAGCTTGCTTCTTAGAAGAATAAAAATAACTCGATTTTTAGTCTACGTTATCTTCCTACGATTCAAGAGCTGGCAGTAGCGGACGGAAACGGAATCATAAAGCTGTACGGGCCCCTGAAAGATAATCTCAAAGAACTGGAAAAATACGACAGCGTCGCTTCGATAGACATCTTCGGCAAAATAATCGCATTCAAAGACGATAAAATCGACATTCTTCGCTACTGAGTCATTATTTCTTCACTATTCTTCTGTACAGTTATCTGAATATATTTTTTTAACCGCGAGATCAATTTTCATAATAAACTGAAACGACGAAAGCTGACGATTAAAGAATTTATGTCTAGAATTAAGAGGATGATATGACCCTCCTTAGGGGTGTCGGGCGATGTTCGGGGCGCATTCTCAGATTTGCAAGTCGAAGGGGACAGGACTCTTCTGATCCAGCAGAAGGCAAGGATTACTATACTATCTTGGGAGTCAACAGACAGGCCAGGTAAAACCCGGTTAAACGTTTGATCAGTGATAGAAACAAACAATTTTAGCCGATCGGACATCAAAAAGGCATATTACAAACTAGCCCGGAAATATCATCCAGACTCAAACCCAGACCCATTGGCGAAGAAAGTGTTCGAGCAGGTGTCGGAAGCCTACAAGGTGCTGCGCGATGATCTGTCCCGCGCTGAATATGACCAGGACGCTGCGTGGGAGGCGGCGAGCCACGATGATTATGCGGAGGAAACAAAAGACAAGTACGAAAAAATATTCCACGAGTACAGTCCTTTCGAGAAAAATCCCCACGCAGAATGGATAAAAGGTAGGCTTTTCTACTGTTCAGCCCTTTTTTTAATTCAAAGGAATGAACTTCAACCAAACGCAGTCCGATTTCATTCCCTTGTCGGCGCAAAAAGTAACGCTCAAAATTACGTTCCAAGAAGCAGCAAGGGGTGGTAGCCGTCGCGTGCGTGTGCGACTTAGGTTAGGTCTCGAACATCTCTTTCTGTCTTCTTTTGAGGAAATGAAACCATTCGAGACTTGATAAGAGATGAGTGCGACGAGTGCCAAGGATCTGGAGCTGACCTAGACTCGACGAACGCGCATGTTCTGCAGTGTCCACGCTGCGGCGGAACGGGCAAAGAGTTCATCCGCGCTGGACCGATCTCGACGAAAGCGACCTGTCACAAATGCCACGGGAAGGGATCCTTTGCAACGCATAATTGTGCAGTCTGCTACGGGAAAGGCTGGACTGTTCAGGAAACGGCTTTGGACATATTAATGAGTAGATTCCATTGCGAGAAGCATGATCGATTGAAGTTTCAATCATTAAAAGCCGCGTAAAGATTAAAACAGTGACGGTGGCGATTCCCGAAGGAGTGTTCGATAATGAGACGGTCAAATTAATGATTGGCGATCAATTCATTTTCGTCACATTCGAAATCATGCCCGATCCAATCTTTTCACGGGACAAGTTCGATGTCATGCAGACAGTGCAAGTGCCGCTCTCCAAGCGTAAGTTTTTTTTAAGAAAGCGAAAGTATTATTGTTTTGTGTTAGTTCTGCTAGGCGGGCAGATCAGAGTACACGGAATGCAGGAAGAGACTTTTATGCGTATGACGATTCCCGAGTGCACTCAACCAGAGACGCTTTTGCGCTTGGCGAATCATGGAATCAAAGACCCACTTTCCGGCCAGCACGGCGATATGCTCATAAAGGTGAGATCATCAATTTTCAGACAAGAGCGCATTGATTTCAAAAAGAAAAGCTTCTTTACGCTGAAGAGAAATAATTTTAATAGTAAATCATAAAACGAAAATTGATGGCGTTCACGTACGCTCATCAATTGTTGGTAAATCAAACGAATGATTCAGCATACTACGATTTCAGACCGTTGAATAATGTTTTTAGGTTAAACTCGACGTTCAAAAGAATCTTACAGCGAGACAAAAAGCGGCCTTGGAGCAGTTCTCAAAAGACGACGACTACTCGGGCTCAGTCTTTGGGGCACTTAGAACGGGAGAATATCAACCGCGTATAGAGAAGTCTGAGACGAACAGCTGATCCTTAAAGAAAACGCTATTTATTGCTGCATTTTGTAACGGTCAAAAACAAGTTCAAATGAAAGCGATTGACGCTAGCATAATTTCTCGAGGCGTTAACTAACATTGAAATAATTCAGATTATGGCAAATGAGTAAGACGGAAAAATTGCGACTTGTTCTCTTCGGAGAAGGAGGTGTTGGCAAATCCGCCATCACTATTCGATATTTTCAGGTTGCTACTTCCAAAGAGGAAAAGATTTTAATTATATGTAGAGAACTTTTGCGGAGTATTACGACCCTACCATCGAGGACAGCTATACCAAATGGTGCTCAACATCTTCAGGAGCACGAGTGTTTCTCGAAGTAACAGACACAGCCGGACAAGAGTCGTTTGAGGCGATCAGAGACCACTACATTCAAAACGGCGATGGCTTCATGCTCTGCTACTCGGCGACGTGCGACAAGTCCTTCGATCGCCTTGATAACTTCAAGTAAGACTCGTTTATTTGTTCCCAAAATGCACGCGCGATTTGTAGAGACCACATTCAAAGAGTGAAGAACTCGACCAAGGTGCCCATAATGATTTGCGCGAATAAGATCGATCTCAAAGCAGATCGAGTCGTCACGCAGGAGCAAGGGTTCGAATACGCCAAAAAGGTCGACCCTGAATCTTCGGAGAAAGTCGCAAAAGACAAATACATCGAAACTAGCGGTAAAATTCTAGCTTATATTCTCCCTCAAGTTTTTCTTGCAGCTAAGACTGGAGAGAGAGTAGACGAAGCATTCCAAAAACTACTCGACATGACGTATAGACATTTGAACGGAAAACCCGAGCATAAAAGTCCTATCACCTGCTGTACTATATCCTGATATCACAGACATCCTTATCGCTTTAACTCTTCCAACTCAAAAATCTCACAACATCCAACTGCTACAGCCCTAATACAATTTGCTTTCATTCATTCTGTCTTCTTTAAAAATGAACTAGAACCTATCTACGGAGCAATCAATTGTCGATTTGTAGAATGGTGTTCAAGAAGCCAGTACCCGTTGTGTTCGATGAGCCTCCCAAAGTGTTTTGGGACTACTTTACTCAGCCAACGATTAAAGTGCGAAAGACACACAACTGTGAAACCTGCGGGCATGGATCAGACACTGTCTCTGAGATGGTTGCCCATGAGTGCGAAGTGCACTTGTGGCACCGTGGCATGTATGGATGTGGCACTTGCAAGCTGTACTACGCGGCGAAGGCCGACCTCATCCGGCATAAGATGACCGAGTGCTCGGAAACACCTGCGCGGAAGAGAAACATGAATCGCAAACGATTGGAGGAACAGGACGCAAAGGAGATGAAAGAAATGATGAAAGCAATCAAATCTGGTGCCATTCTTCGCCACCCGTCTGTTTACGAAAAGGAGTTAGCAGAAAGTGTAAACATCGACGAAAAACGAGACGAAGATTTTCAAGACGAAGTTGTTGCTAGAGCTCCAGCCCGTGCCGCTCAAAGATTCGACTCTGAGGATTCAGGTATGTTTTTCTGAACGGAATTGTCGGAAAGTATTCTTTTATAATCACAAAATAAAGATATGAATTTTAAGAAAATGTTATTAACTAATATTTCCTCTAGGAATGTGCTCGGAATAAGTTCTAGACAACTCATCAGATTGTTAGGGAAAATAGGGGTAAGGCCACAATCTCATCGCGCAACACCATCCATCTCATTAGTCATCTTGTTTCGTATTCGTTAGATATTCAATTTGAATAGTTAACGTATTTAATAACTCCATCGCATCACTCATTTTCACTCGCTCTAACTCATGTTGAGTTGACTTATATTTTTTTAAGCGCAACCTTCACGATCAACAACAAAGACAGCTAGGAAAAAAACTCATAAATTCAGCCAAATCATTGCCGAAAGAATATTCTTACAGTGCCATTTTTCAAGTTACTTCACTGGTCTCTTAATCTAGGTCTACTTATCCGGATTCACTGCAGATGCGCTTCATTCATCATTGCCGAGTTACTTTCACGTTCCTGTAGTTTTCAATAAACAATACGAGCAAAGAAAAAAAACAAAGAGTAACAACAAAGAGTACTAAGATGAGTGTTATCAGAGTATTTTCTTGAGTTTTGATGAATGATAGTTTTTATTTTATTAAAAATCGAAGGCTGGGTAAAATAGGCAGTATAAGTGCAGGAATGGAAACGAAGAGTGAAGATATCGTAGTTACGATAGATCTGCCCGTAGTTTGAGAAATTGTGTGAGGCCTTCTTGGTTGGTGAAAGCGATCTCACTCTCGTACAAGCGCGGTTCAAGATTGCTCGTATTCAAATAGATCGGAAAATCAACGTAATAACGCGGCTACAACTAGATCAAGCATTCACCCAAAACAAAATACTCGCTATTTTCAAAGCACATGCAGAGCACTCAATCACCGACCAATGTTTAAAATATTCTAATCAAATAACAGTGAATATTCTCTGCAGGCACATTGACAATAGGGAACTACCCTAGACCTTCAGAGCTTAGAGAGACGGATAAGTACGTAAAAAAGTGGAATGAATAAAGTATGGAATGTCTATTAGTTTTCAAAGCTCCTGAAAGTCTAGTCAAGCAAACTCTTTCTACACCGAATAATAAATAATCAAAATCTTTTCAAAAGGCTGGCATATCAAGTAATGACTTTTATCACAGCCTTTTGAAAAACGACTCTAAACTGCTGGCGAAAGAAGAGTACTGAAGGGTCAGTTTTTTCTCCCACCAGTAGGCTATTTCATTAACTTTGGCGGAGAAACCGAATTCAGAGTGTTCTCCTTTCCAAAAGTAATGAATTTGCGTTTTAAATTCGTATTTGAACTAGATTTGCTGGGTAAGGATTGATCACCATCCTTGAGCGTGAACGAGCGTTGCTTATCGCTGAAGGGCATCTCGGGCTCTGAGGCGGTAATGTTCATCGGTGAATGGGTTCTGTTTTGCAACTGAATAACCATTCGCCTCCTAAGAAATTCAGGTAAAATTCAACGGGGAACGGTAATGAACTCACGTTCCGGAGTCAGGCGTAACATTATCGAAGATAGCTGCAGCTGGCTTTAGCTCAAAGCTCTTCAACAGCTTCGTGGCGGCCTTTGTCTTCAAGCTTATTCGTCGCATTGTCCGGGCGAGTCCCACTTCGCCCTTCTTATGGTACTCGATCAGCCAGTCTTGTTCGTAAGTATCTGGAACACGCGGAGGGGCAAACCTGATTGTCAGCTCGACGCTTTGACCACTGAAAATTCTCTTACTGTCAAGTAAAACGGCGAAGACTTACGGCTTGAGCTCGCCATCACGAGGCGTGAGAGAGAATCGACCCTCAGGACTTGCCCCTGCTTGCTGAATAAGGAACCAAGAACATGTGTCCTCATCCTTATTCGTGAGGGAAACCTTCCTGCTTACTGCTAGCTTCCCGTCGACAGAACCAAAGTCCACGAGACTAAAAAAACTAGATGCAAGATGATTTCCAGTAGTATTACTTTTGGGAGAAGACGAGCTCGTTGCGTGGGGCCCGAAGATGTTGCACGCCTACTGATTGCGAGACCTTGTCAGTCTGGAGAAGCAGCGATTGCACCCAGCAATTGTTGTCGTTCAGGGGAATTACGATTAGCTTCTCTTTCTTTCCTGGCTTCAGCTCGAGGCGCGTGGGTGCTACTCGCATCATCGAATCGTCGTATTTGCAGCTCATAATTACTGGCTGCGAGATTCCACATGCCATAACAGACAACTCGTTTTCTTAGAAAGCAATTAATCAAAAGTTAAAAATAATAGTGCTACCTCGATTTAGGTCAAGTAAAGATGGAGTGACGACAAGGCTCGGATTTTCGTTTTGTCCACTGTGTTTAGTCGGGACAGAGTCCAATGAAGATGTTCGCGTGTGAGTCTTCTTCGGCACCGGTTGGAATTTAATTTTGATGGTGTCGACTGTCAGATGACGCAGGAAAGTGTTGAACACTGAGACGTAGTTATCGGGCAGAATTCCCAGGTCATCAAAGGCTTCAAACTTCGGGTCGAAGGCGAAATTCAAGCGAGTTATTTTTGCAGAATTCAGCTTGCCAAGTGTTTTTTTCCACGCAGCAGCCCCTGAAAGAATACGTTTTTACGGTTTCGTTAGGAAATTTTTACCTTTTTCAGTGTTCAGTATCGTTCCCATAATTTCTCTGAGTCGCGCGGATCCAGAGTACATCATGAATTCGTCATCGCCGCTCGTTTTGCTAGAAGTAAAAACGATCGTTTTCTCTTCGCCCTGTCGCAGGTTAACCACTTGTGGATCAACAAGGCCTTTCTCAGAGTTCTACGGAAATTTTGATTACTATAAAGAGTTTTGTTAATAGAAGAGTTACCTTAGTTTGCAGAAAGTGAACGAACGCTTCCGCGGTGCCAGTATTTTTCAAAAGCATTGACGACCCTTTGCCAAAAGTAACGGGAATTGTTAATTTTGAAAGATTCGTTTCGCCATTGACTGTCACTACGGGATTTCCTACTTGCGAAATGAGTGGAATGCATGACTTGAGGGATGAGTCGTCGACGGAGACCAGGTTTAGTTTCGAGTTCATCAAGTCATCATCACTACTGGCTTCGCATCTTACTTGAAGGAGGACGTCTTTCTTTGAGCTGAACTTGAGGATTTCCCCGCTCTGCACTTGTTTGTCATTCATGAACACTTTGTATCCACATCCAGACAAGTTCAAGGCATAATCACCACGGCCCCGCAGTGTTACTGACTTGGATTCCGGTTGACCAGCCGCCAATTTAGGCCACAATAAAATTGATCGATTTGAGGAAAGAGAGGTGGGAGCTCCGCTGCTCACAGAACTGGAGGTTTTCTGATGACGGGACGTGTTTGCAGCTGCTTTTTGACGTTCTTGTTTTGGACGCGATGTTTTGCTCTGGTCAAATTGATCGAGGACTGTCACGTCGAAGGGACACACAAATTCCTCGTCCGTGCCCGATATCTCTAAAATCAGCCTGTGCATCGAACGCGCAAGCCTTCTTTCGCCAACAATCTTCAGCGAGAAGACTAGTTCTCCATCTGCAGGGATCGAAGCCGTCCCAGGACTGACTTGGATGTTCTGCGCGACAGGTCCATCGATTATAGCATTAATATTTGCAGAACAGTCGCCGCAGTTGTGGATAGTGATCTGTTCGTTTGAACTTGAGAAGCTGTGAACGTTGAAACGTGGAGTGATTTCGGGCCCAGAGAGTTGAACGACGGGTGGCGGGCGCGTGATTGTGCAAAATTCTATGGCGGTCTTTTCTCGCCCATCGAGATAAACCTTTAATTTTGAGGAATCGACACGAGGCACGGCGGCATTAGAAGCAAGCTGGAGTGGGACAGAAGTTCGCGCTGGCAAGATGATATTGCTTACTGGACTTCCATCGAGAATGAGATCATATCCGTAGTCGATCTCGACTATGACCGGAATGTTAAAGTCCGAAGTGTTCTCCAAATCAATGCGGTTCTTTCCGTTTTCTTCCCAGCGATACACCCCCGAACCATTGTCGATTTTAATACAGGGCTTCACTGCCAATCCCATTACGTTGACGGCACATATTTGCTCCTGATGATTGATTCTACTTGGATTTTCCTGGGTGTTCTGATATTGACCAACAGGAGTAGACCGCAGCTCAAGAACCGAGAGGTAGCGACCTGGCATTTTTGGCCGGAAAGATATCGGAACGAAAATAGGCTGTCCATGCGTGAGGTTGAATTCGACTTGACGGAGAATGAAGGGACTTTCCTCGAACGAAATCGGCTTCGAATCGAGCAGAATACTTCGTATGCAAATGCGACATGAGACCCAATTTGTCTGCGGTCGAACATGGATTACTTCAGTCTTCGAATCGCCCGTGAATACGAAATTCGCAAAGTCGACCTCGTTAGACACTTCTACAAGCGGCGCAGGAGAATAAGGTCTGCTGGTTTCTTTGAAGAGGGGATTTGACTGATGAGGTCCCATCGGAGGAGGCTGTGGTGGAAAGGAGCTAATCGAGTCGTAGTTAGGGATGGCAGGAAGAGAAGCAAACCTCGTCGTCCGTGCGTTTTGGGTGTTCACCGAAGACCTACGCTGTTTAGTCAAAAGGCTTCCTTTCGATGAGGTAGAAGACGCAGTTTTCTCCTGGAAGACAGTGCTTTCGACTTGTGTTTGGTCACCTTCTTTGCTGCATAATGTCACAAAACTGCCGCATTTCGTTCTGCAGAGCTCGTCGATGTTCGTATTTTCCATACTATCGATTGAGTCGAGATGGAGATTCGTACTATCCGAGCTTTTGGAGGGCGAACTTTGACTTCGCGGCAGTTTACCAAGGTTCTCAGAGCTCAAACTTCCGATCGAGTATCGGTCGTTTCTATCGTTCGATCCATGTATCGAACCGAGCGTTTCATCTGCGCGCAGCTTTTCATGTTGCTTCTGGATCTTCTGGTACGATTCATCGCTCGAGTCTGACTCCATCGCTTTCAAACCATGATGGTACTTGTCAAAAGCGGCAGTCGAATCCAGCGTAGAAAAATTTAAACTCTTGACAGTGCTCACAGTGTCCCTTCTCTTATCGATAACAACAGTCTCAGACGCGCCGCCGTAGGCGATGGGGACGTTGGGTTTTTTGAATGCGCTCTTCGTCGGAGATTCCGCCTCGCCCAAGCCGAGGCCACCGGTTCCAGCGGCAAAGAACTTGGAGATGTTCCCGTCGTTTGATCGTATGCTGAACTCTTGCTGGTTCGCGTTCTCGTTTGCTTCGAAATGCGAATCCAGCCGGAGTCTGTTCTCTTCCTCGAACTCAGCCTCGTGTTCATCCAGCATTTTTAGCGCTTCTTCGCCCGAGAGAAAGTCGGAATCGTCAAAGCCAAGCTCTTCTTGTTCACTAGTCCTTCGCGAGTTAACAATGTCGAAATCAGGCTTTGGTTGTGAGTGTGTTAACTCGTCGGAAGAGCCCCCGGACTGTGTGGCGAGTCCAAAGCCGCCGAAAATGCCTGTCAACTCGGTTTCTTTCGATGCAGTTGGACGGAAGTACTTCGAATCTAACTCAATCTGGGTTTTCTGGCTTGCCTCACTTGACAATGTGCTGGACCAGACATCTCCACCCGCATGTACTACGTGGCCTTTTGCTTTTCTTATGGGCGTCATATCGAAGCTGTCGATGAAGGGAGCTTTCATGTCCGTGTCACGGTATGCGTGAAAATCGCCATGAATGTACTTCTTTTCTTGCCTATGCGTTAAAGTAGAACTGTGTTTCTTAGCAAGATCAGCAAAGTTCTCGCGTGGAATTTCACTTGCGAAAGGATTCCGGGCAAGCGGCGGCTGAGTGTCGTTCGATGCGCACCTCTGTATTCTCGAGAGCTCGTCCTGCTTTGAATCAGAAAGAAGCTGCGAGAGACGAAGCGTGCTGGACCTGTTACAGCTTCGATGTTCGGGAGTCGGCGGAAGTTCTCGGATAGTAAAATTTTCTTTTAGATCTTATTATAGGCTATTTTCTACACTTTGAAAATATATCCGAAAAGAAATGGAGAGAGCAAGCCTTTCCTGAGTTTTCCACAGTCAGATCAGAGGTTTTCTGGAGAGTATCGCCAGGGAGTTGCTGTGTGCTTCCAAAACTTAACCCGTCGAGTCCCTCTTCCGTCGTTTTCTCCACGAGATTTGTCGACTCCCCAAGTGCTGGGCGGGCTGGTTTTTTGCGCGCTCTGTACAGATGGACATTGTCTGTGCTTGTCACTTCTATAAATATAAAGTTAACAAAATTTTTTAATCATTAATAAAAATACGCTTTCTAGGTATTATCTCACAGAAAAAGTAAATTACTTATTATAAGTTTTTAAACTTACTCGGATCGAAGCATGACGATTCGAAAGATGAGTCCGCGAGGAAGTCGTTTTCTGGCGTCTTATTCAAGATCTCCTGGTCACTCATTCTCTCGTTTTCCTGAATGAACGTTTTTCAAATCGCCATTTTCAAAAGAACACTTTCAATCGAACGGCGTTCGACAAACGCTTAAATCGCGCGCCAACCAATCAGCACCGCTCAACCAAAAATCCGGTTTTTCGCAGGTTACTTTTTTGAAGACAAGATACTCTTCAATAGACTTTTACAAATATTTTCTTTCTTCTAAAAGCCTCTTATATTAGTATCATGATAAAACTAAACATGATACTATGACTTTCTTAATTAAAAGTTTACTGAAGTATTTCTGGTCGAGTTGGAGACTAGGGTCGACACCGATCACCGTCTTTCGTGGTCAACTTCGGTCGGTTTTTCTGTTGAGTCATAACTTATGACCCGTTAAAAAGCCGACCTAAACCAGCCAACAAGGACGGTTTTTAGCTTGCTCTATAGGAGCTGCTTTATTTATAGGTTATTCATAGGTGGTAACTTAAAAGCCGTCAAAATTCGGTTGAATTCGATTCTTATTTTTTAGTAACAACTCTTTACCTCGATAAAATCTCGTAAGTATCTGGTCTCTGCGCTTTCCGAAAGCCGACTGAAACTGAAAATAGATCGCGCTGCTGCAAAGCATCAGATTAGATAAAGAAAGGTCGTCAGAGTCTGAAAAATACGACAAAAAAAACGGTGAAAACATCTTCGAAAACAAGACCGAACCAAAAAGAATTGACCTTTATGAAGGATGCGAAATTTCGAAAATAAGCGAGTAGTTTTGGGAATTTATTGAACTGTGGCAGTTTATTTATTCTCGTATGCTTTGTTTAGATTCAGAAAAGGTGATATTTTGCAGTCCGTAGTCTGATGTTTTTTCAATATTCTCTCTCGTTATTATTCTTCGTATGTAGGGTATTCTCATTATCAGCACTAGAAGACCACCGAAGACGATTTGCCAGCCGAAGCCGAGTAGTGGAAAGAAGAATGTTTGAGCGTTTTCAAACATTTTGTCTGAAACAGAACATTTAACAAAAAACATCGATAGAGCTCACCTTTATAAAGAGCGAGTGTTATGACATTAACTATCCTTGCACTTTGAACGGCTGTTTCAACCCCGATCGTCAAGTGCTGCAAAGACCGCATGTTCGGAGTCGATCCGAATATCTCCAAAATCGAAACCACCACAAAGCTCAAAACAACTGCGATGGCGAACCCGACGAATGGCACCAAAGCGGTGTAAATCAGCTGCGCCTAAAATACAAAGAAAAGTAAAAATCAAGGAAGAGAAGCTCCTACCTGTGTTATGATCGCTGTCAGATAGAATTTAAAAATGCCAAGGATCAACGATGCTATAAGGCCTACTAACGCCGATCCTGCGAGGACATTGGTCAAAATTCGCAGTTTCTCGCTGAATTTTCGTTTCTAAACGCTCTTATGAACCACCTTCTCATTTTGATATTTGTACCTGTCCTAACCAGTTGAAAAACGAACCGACTAATGCAGGAATAACCAAAGCGGCGATTGTTTTCCAAATCTCATCGTAAGGGGTTTTGAGTTCATCTGCCGAATGAACAACTCTTGTCACCACGTGAATCCAGGCAGGTGTAAGGACAAGCGCTAGGGTACAGGACAGCATTGTCATCGTTACTGACAAATCCAAGTCGCCACCCATGTAGTAAGTTATTAAATTGCTGAAACTTTGATAGAAATGTCTACCTTTTTACTCTTACCTGAGCCCTCCACCAGGGGAGCAAGAATAGAGCATGATAACCAACGCCTCGTATGTACCGATATCAATTGCAGCTAGATAGACAATAGCAATGCTCGGCATAATCGCAAATTGACAAATCATCCCAATCAGTGGACCTATTGGCTTTTTCGCGTATTTCAGAATTTTATAAGGATCGGTTGCCATCCCCATCGCCAACATCCCTATAATGCCTGCCCATAAGCTTCCACAGCTGACCACGCTGTTTGGAATATCTAAAATCTCATTAAATGCTTCCTAAAAAAAGACTTGCTCGGTCGGCCAAGGAAACTTACTATGTCCAGGTAAAGTGCCATTATATCTCTGAATTAGGTATCCCAAATAAATGAAAAACTCTGTCTCATTCGGGGCCCGATAAAAACTCAACAATTTTTCTTTCTCCTCTTCAAAATCGGGCATCGAAAATCGCGAAACGGGACGAATCCGGGGAATCCAGTTGCCTAGGTTTAATGCCTGCGTTTTTGCTTCGATAAGATCTGAAAACAAGTTCCTCGGCAAAACAAGGGTCAACGACGGTCAAGCAAGAGAACATCCTTCTTGGTATCTGGGCCGTTATTTCTGAGTATTTGGAGATATTCATGCTTTTGGTAAGACTCTTTCGGGGGTAACAAAGAAAAGGACTAACTCCGGATATGATTTATTACTTTCATCAATGAATACAAACACTTAGACTGGGTGCTGCGAGCGGCCACCGTCAATAACAATCGTTTGCCCAGTAAGACTTCCGAGTTTGTCGTCGGTGATCATTAGAACAGCCTCAGCGATTTGCTCTGGCTCAATTACTCCGCCTAAAACAAAGATTTGAATCTCGCTGATTTATTTCCTAATCGACCTAGAGGTTGCTTTTCAGTCACATGATCGTAGTACTCTTGTACTTTTGCATCGTCGTAGCCCTTGGAGTAGTGGATGTCGGTTCGCACTGTTGCCGGGTTAATGGAGTTGACTTTCACACCGCAAGTCATCAAGTTTGTAGCCATCGTTCGGGTAAAATGATCTAGTGCTGCTTTCGACATGTTGTACGATAGAATTCCTAGAAGAAAAATTTTGATAAAAGAAATTTAAATTTATGATTCTGAGCTGGGTCTCGAATACGTGGCGTTTTGTTGGAGCACGGCGTGCTCTTGGGCGCCAAAAACTCCACGCGCCCGGAGCAGAAAACCGGCTGCTCCACGCGCTGGAGCAGCAAAAGTGACGGGCAAGAAAGTGAGGGGCTTATGCTTTGCGCGCTTGGGCCCAATGGGCCACTGGCAGTGGCTGGGCGGGAAGCCCAAAAAGCATTAGCGCGCACCAACTTCTCGGCGGGTGAATCTCTGACCTACTGTCAGAGATTCGATGCAAATAAAACCGGGTGATTTGCACAAACATCTTCCCGGAAGTGTAAAGATTTTTATTTTAGAATAAAAGGAAAATTATCAGTTGAATATCTTACAAAGGAGCAGTTCGTTTTTTTTGAAGGTGATCATTAGTTAAACATCACTTAGTTCGCATAAAAATTTCATTTTTTTTTGAGATCAGAAATTGATTATATAAAGCGGAAATTATAATTTGACTTTATTGAATAAAGTTTATTTAGATAGTTAGTAAGTTCGATAATAAAGTGTTACGAAAAATTATCATTATTTATTTTTAATAACATTGTTATTATAACAATTTAAAAATACTGGCAATGAAATATTGAATATAAATTGTTTCAATCATGAAAACATGATGAAAATGCACGTGATTGAGTGCTGCGCGCAAACACTTTTTGGACGCCCGCGCTGTGCCTTCTTTGTCACCGCTGCTCCGGCGGCCGGATCATGCTCCAGCCGCTGGAGCTCCGCCCTGCTCCAGCCTCGTGGAGCTTTTTTCGCACTTGCCCCGGGGCGCGGAGCCGCGGGCGCCCGAGAGCAAACCCTGCTCCAAAAAAACACCACGGATTCGAGACCCAGATTCTGAGTTCTCTAGTAATAAAGAACTAACCTTGAAAAGGGGTAAAAGAGGAGGTAGAAGAGATGTTGACTACATTTCCTTTTGTAGCTTTCAAATGCTCGATTGCAGCCTTCATCAGAAAAACTGGCGCCTTGCAATTTACAGCCATGACGAAATCGAAATCGGCGGAGGTTTGACTCTCGAGTCCGCCTGGTCTCATTGTTCCCGCGTTGTTGACAAGGACATCGAGTCGGCCAAACTTGTTTATCGCAAGATCAACGATCTCATGGACCCGCTCAGTTTCGGACAAATCGAGTTCTTTGACAATCGTCAGTAAAAACGGTTCAAATGGTGGCTTACCGATGGAAACTGCGTTTCCGCCAGCTTCAATGCACTCTTTTGTGACAGCAGCAAGTTTTTCCTTCGATCGTCCTTGTATGACAATATTCCATCCTTTTGCTGCAAAGCTTCGCGCGATTGCCGCCCCTATGCCTCGGCTCCCTCCGGTGACGATGATTGTCTAAAACATCACAAGTTTACTAAGAAAACCTTTCTCAATTGCTGACTTTGGTACTCATCCGTTGACTCTACTCAAATCTTGAGTGCGAGAAAATTGAAACCAGGCGTCATTTCATGGGTCATTTCATAATTGCTCAAATATTTAATCTTGTGCGGCTAGAAAAACTTCGTCCGCTCCGTATTTCTATCTTTGCAATAAAAAAGCATGCAGCAGCAATTAACCTTTTCAGCAAACAACGAGGCTATAAAGTAAAACTGCCATCACCGATCACCGGTCATTTTTCAGGCATTTTCCCTCATCAGAATTTTCATACATGTTAAATGCATCGCTTTTTAGCATTTTTCTCAATTTCGATTTGCAGTGCGCAGCGAACCAGAATCTATGTTAATGAAGGAGATCAAAATGTAGAGATCCCCTGCCAGATTCCGAAGAATGTTCTGTATAATCCAGACACAAAGGTAACGCTTCAAACATTCTGGTCGAGAATTTCTGGATAATATTTGGCTCAAAGATCAAGTGGGTTTTTACGCAAATGGACTATCAAAATGGAAGCTGGATCAACGAGATACAGACAATTGAAGACAAGCCACAAAGTTTGAATGAATTTTTCGAAATAGGCGCTCAGAAGCAGTTGATTTTGAAAGGGATCGCCACTTCAGAAAACATCGGTTTATACAGATGTCAAGCTTGGGGTGATAGGTAACAGGCTGAGTCCATCTAATTCTGATGATTCTCAGAGTGTCCTTCTCGTCGCAGGTCTATCTCATCCTCTATTCCCCGCCAGAAGAAGACCAACGCTTTCCAGAAATTTTCGCCAAATCACAGAATATGCATTTCGCAAAAGGCCGCTCAAGTAGCCTAGCAATGTGTATATCTGGCTACGCAAGACCAGTGCCTAAAATTTACTGGGAAGTGCTCGACGAAGACGGTAAACTAGTTTCCACACTGAGACCGACGACAGGCCCGTACTCCCCTAACCCACCGCAAATCAAAAGCTCCGATCACAACTTTTACCATGCGATAGCGTTAGAGGTAAATTTTTAAAATTAGAAGAAATTCTATTTTTCATCGATTCATTCAGCTGATGCCAGAGCACGGGTTAACTGTAAATTTCGACAAACACAGATTTCGTTGCGTCGTCGAGTACTTTTCAGGCCTTGGCGAAGAAGTTGAAGTCCTCCGTTATACAAAAAGCTACCCAACAAAGTAAATATGATTATCTTCCTTCAGTTTAAATAATTGTAACTGTAAAGCGGAGGAATACGAATTTACCACGCAGTCACGCAAGTCCAAGCATTTTACAACGGAGAAGACATGAGTGGCAAAACGATTACACTTGTTGCGGATCAAACGGCGAGGATTTATTGCAGAGGAAATGGCTTCCCAGCCGCGGATTTTGACAAGGAGAAGTTCATCGTGAATCGGAATTCTGGAGAAACAGTTGTTAGCTGCAATGGAAGAAATGCAATCAACGAGGAAATTGACGAGTATCCTTTGCCAGCTGTCGTCAGGAATGAATATCCAAATTTTAAAATACTTTTTAAAAATCGCAATATTCTGGATAATCTGAAAAAGACTAGATTTTGTGAAACTTGAGCCAGTTGTTGTTGTTGATCGCAGTCCCGATTCTTTTCCGGCGCGGTTTTTAATTATGACGAATGAGCCACTTATAGGCTGTAAATTATTGTCAATAAGTACCGAATGAGTAGCCTCTAAAACCAAGAACAGACTGTCTTCAAATGCAAATTCAAGCAGTTCGCGATCAAAGACGCAGTTGTTAACATAGCCTGGTTTTCAGCAGACTCATTAATCAGTGTTCGAAGTGAGTTTCGCTTCGATTCCAAGATCATGAGCGACTATAAGAGTCTGCAATGCTCTGTCACTGTTACTATCATGAACGAAGGAAGGCTTAGCGCGAAGTGATTAGTTCTTGTATCTCAATTATCAGTCCTCGAGCTTATTAAAGATTTCACTGAAATCTCGCCTCACTTTTCACTGGCTCCGTATCAACAGAAAAAACCTCGCATTGAAGTAGTCGTGGATGAGGCTGATTACGAAATGAAAGAAGACTTAGCGCCTGATCAACAAGTGAGCGCGGCTAATACTGGCTCTTTGATCGCCGTTTGTGCAGTGTCGGCGGCTTTATTTGGCTCTCTGACCGCCGTGGTCACTCAATATGTGCTCAAATCCCGCGCTGACCTTGGCAGCTCAAGCGACACGGCTGAGCTGCAGCCTAATTTGCCGACAACACAAGACCCGCAATTGAATCTCCGTGATCACACTATTCAGCAAGTATGTTAATTCTGGCCATACATAATAATGTAATCAGCATTAAATGCAGTTAAAAGCGATGATTCTTAGTTCTATTTGTTCAACTTACCGATTGTTTTAATACAATTAAGACTTCCCGCTCTGAAAAAGAAAGCTACCGCGCTGCCATCTACAACATCTGAGTAAATTCGTCTATCTTGAGTGGCGGCTTCTGGATTTTTGGCACAATTGTCGTGAAGCCCTGAAAGCTTTGTCGCGGATTTCCCATGAATCAAATCGTAATTCTGATTTATTTTATGTTTCAATAAACGCGCGCTCGCTCTCTTGCTCTGTTGTCTCGGCCCGTTTTTACTACGTCCTAGGATCGCTAGTTGTACTTGAAGAGAAAAAAAGAGAAACAAAAATGGTTCTAAATTTTGGCGACTTACAGAGGACAGTCGAAAGCCTCTTTTTAGATTCTACAACTATTGGATATATCTATGTGGTGGTATTCTTTATGCTGAGAGTATTTCCTACTGTCACTTTCTCGTCTGCTTTTGGTGATGAATTAAAGTTTTTCCAGTAAGTTGAAAAAATCAAGGACTAGATTTTATTGCTGATTCTTCTCTAATATACCTTCTCAGTTGCAGTTCGCAGGAAAAGGGATGCCAGGAAGTATGCCACAACGAGATGGTGCCGTTTTCCCTGGACAGGCTGATGCAGATGAAGCTGTTTTTGTTGACGCTGCCGACGGTCGTTTGGTACGTGATCCAACGAAACGAGCGCGAAAAAATGGCGAAAGCAAAGGCCTACAAAAAAGACCTGGAAGATAAAGATAAGGAAGCAGAAGAGGTGCTGAACAAGGATATCAATGATAATACTCCTTTACTTGGAACTCCAAAGACCGGTGAAGCGCTTTTGCTCACCAAATCAAATTTCTCGATTCACAGTGAGACAAAATCTACGAAAAACTCCTCCAAATCTAATGCTTACATGAGAATCACAAAAGATCCCAATGGTAAGTTCATTTTTTCCGATCCACAGGCGGATACATTTTATTAGCGCGAAGTGAGTATTATCACCGAGAACGATACGTACAACGAAACGAGAAAAAGCAGTGGCAAGAAAAGAGGATGAATATACAGAAGGGAAAACTCGAGGAAAGTCAGACGAACGCAGTAATTGTCGGCTGTCATCTGGCGCAACTCTTCGTTAAAATCATTTTAGAGCTTGTCTTCCTTTTTTCACGGATTCTCCAATATTTTTAATATTAAAAAATAGTTGATTTTAGCACTGAAAGTAAGCTAGTATTTTATGAATAGATCAGAGGTGAATCCCTCAACAGCTTATTAATAAGCGTCAGCAATATCAGCATAACGGGCAGGATTTCGACGACCAGAAATTCTTCAGCGTCAAGGACAATGGCTCGCTTTGGATGTGGTCAGTACTCAAGGTGCCTATGCACTACTCATGCGGCCGAACACGCAACTCCGCCGTGCCCGAGGAAAATGACTATCACTATCCATCATTCACTACATGTCAGAACAAGCCTGTCACTTGCTGGAGCATGAGATCTACGGAGAAAACAATTTTCTTGCGGTACATGGTTGCGATGAGCATTTTTTCGATTCTGGAAGGGATTTTAATACTTTTCGTAACATCGGCTGATGTTAAATTGAAAGTTGAGTTTTTATTAAAATAAAAATAGTTGCTGATCGCAGATTTTATCAAACTCGCTTGGAAAACGTACAATGTCCGAGTGAAACCTGCTCGACAAGAGAAGCTGGCTTTGAAATACGGCAAATACGAAGGCTCTCGACTCGACCTGAAAGCACCAGTCGTTGAGACACCAGCGACGACGACTCTAGGCAGAAATGGAGACGATACATTATCAAGTCGCTGGGCTCCAAATGATAGAAGAAGGGTCAATGGGAAACCAGCGGAAAATGAAAATTTGGTTCTAAATAATAATCATATAAATTTAAGCGGAAGAAGCGCTTGGTGAACTCAGATGTCACTGTTTTCAGTCGTGAATATTATTCTGTAAATAAATAAACCAATAAGGGTATCTACGACGAGAATTCTGACATTTCTAAACCATTACAATGCAACGATTTTTACGCCTGATCAGTACTTAGTAGTGAGAATCATAAGCAAAGAAGTAGCTTGTAGATCTAAGTGAGGGCGCGCGAGCGGAGGAGGTGGTGGCGTTTCTCCGGTGAACCTCCAACAATCGGTGGTTCAATGAGTAATCACTCGATCGAGCCTGATCCTCGCTTCTAAAATAATGTCACTCAAAGCCAACTTTTTATAAAAAAAATCAATCCCAACAAGAGATCTGCAAACGAAAACCTTCAGTGTAACTTTGAATGAGTAAGTAATGTTAAGCCAAATTTAATACGAATAAATATTTCAACCACATTCTAAATACAAAGCATGAAAACTTGAATTCTTAAGAGTGGAGCACTTATGTTCATAGGGGGCTTTAAATAATCTATATTGAAGAAGTATGGCTATATGCGGACTTTGATTGACAGGAACCGCCCAAGAAGTGAGGCCGTAAATAGAGATTAAAATTATTTAGGTCAATAAAATAATCGTACTTATGCCAACGACGCTTTCGATCTAATAAAAAAAAACGGCTCAATATATTTAGAGGAATTTATTATCGGTTGTCAAAAACAGTAAATCAGACGTTTAACTACCTAGAAAAATATTTGTTTCGCCAGTCGAGCAAGAATTAAACGGAAAATTACGTTTATTCATGAAAAAATATGCATTGAACAAAGATTCAATCCACAGCTGGCATATCATTAGGCGCCTTATCTTTTTGGTTTTTACATAATTCTTATCGAATAAACTTGCTTATTACGTATTCTAAATGAAACATTAACAAGGTCAAGAAGGATTCTAGCTAACTTTCATTAGAAATTTGTAATAAGAATCATGCTGGGCGAACACATTGTCTAAATAGACCTTGCGGTGAGAGATCCAGAAAGAAAGTTTCACGTGGCTAGAGCTTTCTCCGTAAAAGGAGAAAATATTTATTCATATTTTTATGAAAATAAGAAGATTCTTCAACGAATTGCGCAGATCGGACAGTTTGTACAAAGATGAATTATAGATACAAAATTTATTCAATTTTTATATTGATTTCGAAATTTATTCGCTTTTTTTAATATTTATAACGCGAGCCAATTTTGTTCAGGCCATAATGTGGACTGGTCCGACACGTCTGCCGACCCCGAGAGCATCTGCGACAACTTTCTGCTGCTTCCGACACTGGTCGGAATCCTCATCTGCTTGGGACGAGTTCTTGATCAGTTTTTTCGAAAATCAAAGTCGAATGCAACAGATTTCATGTAAGTTTCTACACGTTCACTTCGGGGATAAATTTCAGCCTCACCAATGCCTTAGACTCATTTTTAACATTGCCTGAGAATTTTGCCAAGCTTTCACGTGGTTTACCCTTAATGTGCGCTGCTACCTTACAAAATCGGCAGATCTAAATATCTAGGATGAAAAATGGATTACCGGGCATAATCAGTTTTTATTGGGGCTTTGAATAAGAGACTTATTCCTTTGATTTCATCCTCAGTTGATTAATACTTGACAGAACTCTTACGAAAGTCAGTTTTAAGTGCTCTTGAGCAGTTATGGAGCAGAATTTGTCAAACTTAAATTCAGGAAGAGCAGACTAGAGTTTTGAGGCTCAATCAGTTTTAGGTCAGCTCATTTTCGATTAGAGCTCCTTTCAAACACATTCGATAATTTGGGCTATTTTAAGACAGCTCACGAAAATTGGCGCGAACTACGTCGCTTAAATTTTGCGCAATGATTTAATTTGCTTGTTAGAGAACTAAAGAGTCTCAAAAGGAGGAATTAGGTTGCACAGTGCTCTTTCGCTAAGGGGATCAAGCCTGCTCAACCTGAAGTGAAATCTGAGCTAGCTGGCTCAGCCGCGCGAGCCTTTCTCAAAAGTGACGTGAACAATAAAATCCGGTGTTTATTCGATTAACCAGGCGGGCGTTAGTGATATCGTTGAACATTGAGTAGCACGTAATAAAAACATGCGCTTTAGTCTGGTCCCCAGTCGCGCGGCGACCTTTGACAAAAAGCAAATGTGGCCAGTTTGTGGAAGCTTTGCTGTAATCGCGGCAGCCGCGTCCGTTTATGGTGAGCTGGTGGTTGCCCCTCAATCCAGGATTTCAACTTCCCGCCAATCTCTGTTGTTCAATCAGGAACTGCTCTACTTTGAGACCGAAAGACTTTACTTAGTGGAAATAGACAAAGTCTACTAGACCCGTTCATACATCCTTTCATATGGCGCCATGGTTTGTCAAGTGACTAGCCATCCATGCTAGAAAAACCATCAGAACTTGCCATCTGTGAAGCGCTGGAAGGCTCTTTCCGTTGATGAAAAACGTTAGTTGAGCAGAAGTCAAGGATGTAATCACGAAGTCCCCCGTTCTATCGCCTCTCAACTTCCGTCTATGGACTTCCGCTCACGCTACTCTTGTCTATGATAATCTCAGTAAGATTCTCCCACCCCACTAAAGCAAGTTAAAATTCATTTAAGCAAGGGCGAACAACAATCTTGAAGAGCATCAAAACGTCGACCTTGACTTTTCATTAAACTTTCTTCAAACAAATACAGTTACAGGAGCTATTGCCCACGAGCGCGATTATACTTTGATAGCTTCTCGGAACGTGGACTGCCAGCAAAATTACTCAGCTCCGCAGGAAGTAACTCTTATCGATTGTAAAAATATTCAGTTGTACTCGAAGCGCTCGCTTCTGGAGCGTGAAGTTTTGCAGAAGATGAACATGACCGCCCGCGACAAGAACCTGAGCATATCGGACGTAACTCTTGCTTTCTCGACCGTCAACCCAAAGTTCACGCAAACCTTGATTTGGTTGCGGTTCGGCTGCCTGTTGGCCACTTTTTTGGCAACAATTATCTTTCTTGCCTCACTGAAGAGGCTTGAGCCAAGTCAAAGAAGCGCCGCTCACAAATGGGTACTGGCTCTGTTTATAACGCTGCTACTTTATCAGGACTCGTTCAAATTGTTTTTATAATTGATCTTTTATAAATCGTTTTATCAAAAGCCTTCTGGGATTCTTAATTCTTATTTTGAACGTTTTTCTAGGATCCCTTATTTCCTCTCTTCTTTCTCCTAAAATGGGAATCGCTAGAGCTTATTGATGAATTGGCAGGGCTCAAACGCTTCTTACTCTAAAGATACTGTCCCGTTTCGGGATCAATGCTTATAAATTGATCGTGATTGAGCCCTCATTTAGCTTCAGATATCTTTCTTCAGGGACGGTTCTTTCCGTAGCCTATTGATTTTATGAAGTTCGCTTTACTATTTAGTTGCGTTCAGCTTTAGAACCAGTGCTTAGTTTGACTTTGTTGTATTGGTTCTTCACGACTCAAGACTCGGGTCAATCAAAAATCCCGCCGAACTTCGTGATATCTTTCGTCGCGTGTTTAGGAGTTTATACGGTGAGTGGATTTTAAGTTTGTTGAAATAATTAGTTGATTGATCAAGGTCGTTTTACGGATGCTTGAGCATCTTCTTCATCTGGACTCCTATTCAATTTGGCTTCCCAGCCGTGGATTGACGTTAATTCTCAATGCAGCTTGGCTTGTTTTATTAATTTGTGTAATCGCGTCCCTGATATACAGAACCGGTATTCTGTTACATGACTCTGACCAGGAAATAAGTATTGGCGTTGTGAATACTTCAGTATTTATTGCTCTCTTTTCTTTCTTTGCTATTTGGCAATTTAACAGGGTCGACTTCAACGAGAAGCTTCCGTTCTTTTGGCCTGCAATAAGTCCTTCGTATGGCTGCTACCAGACGATTTTGCCAACGATTTACCTCCTATCGACTGCATGGCTTGAATCCCCAGTGAAGGCTTCGCGCCAATTACTCCTCCATAATGGCTCCATTGATAGATCCGATGAACAATGTGTTGGAAGAAGTCGACGATATGTCCTTTTCAAGTGACATGAAATAATTTATTTTCCAATACCAGTGGCCAAATTTGATAATGCCACCCGACGACCCTCAAATCCAGATTGTATAATTCCGACCTTGAACACTGCCGAACTTGATTTTCTTCAATTTGACTGTATAAATAAATTTGCAATAGGTTACTCAAATTCAAGAGTTTGTTTTGAAGAATTAACTAAAGAAGCACCTAGAAGTCATAAATGATAAAGAATTAATTATTTCTTTTGTAGATAATGTGAAATAAAATTTCGTTTGTTAATATAGATTTTATTCGATGACATGCCGCGTGTGCGGCGGTGTAGTGATGTTCACTATTAAATAATTAAACTGTCCCTCGCTAAAACTGAGCCTCTTCTCCCAACCCTTTTTGCAAAATGTCGTCGAATGAAGAATCGATTTCGGCCGGGGCGCTCCTCCTCCAGCCCCATGTCTTCGCAAATCGCCAATTGAGCGAATATAGTATAGTATATCAAAGCTAGAGTACATCGGCCAACCATTTTACCAGTTTTGCGCGATTCTGCTAACTGGATTATTTCTGCAGTTACATACAAACGAAGACGGATACAAAGAAACCAGTAGGAATAATTATGTCCCGTGGGACGGGAAATAAGAGACCAAAGGACTCGTCGATATTCGCCACGTTCAAAATTGAGCAAGACGAAGAGGAAGATAGAGAAATGCACTTGAGAGACCTTCAACCACCGAAAATGCCGATCCAGGGAGGTTTCAAGATTAGAGAAAAAAAATCAACAATCACGGCTGTCTAAAAGCTTCCGGTAAAAAATGCCACTCGGAAAATTGAATTAATTGGAGGCAGTCGATTTGTCGCCTTTTGTCTTTGATAGGGCGCAGGTCCGGAAGCGAATCGATAAAGGATGTCAGCCGACCATCTGTCGAACTCCCCGGAGAGTGCTGAGGATCATAAATCTTCATTATTCTTTGCCCTGGCTGCACCAAAGAAAAAAGCCAGAATATGAAGATGGCAAAAGTCCAATGGCAGTCGCAAACTTTTGATCTTGAAACTAGAGCAACAGAGCTGTGCTTTATTTTACTCAACGAATAAGGGCGAGTTCGCAAACGAGCTCATGCCTGCAATGAACAGAAGTGACGAATTCAGAAGAAGTTTTGGGACGGGCGCAATGATTCGCACTAAGAAGGCAAAGAGAAATCATTTTATGGAAAACGGATAATTCCTTGACGGGTTATGCCGGACCTTTTGAGACAGATAAATCTGAGAATGAATTCAAGATCAAATAGGATTCTTTGAAAAATATCGATTTTGAAACCAAGTATTTTAGTAGAAAGGTTTTTGCATTTATATATTTGTACATATTCTAGAGTATATTCTCGGTGCATCTTGTCAAAATATATTTGAATAAAAATCATTAGTAACGCCGCATTACCAATGCGTGGTATGATAGTTACGCGACCTGATAGATTTGCGGAATCAATAGAGATCGTGCACCCGAAAAAGACAGACGAACAACGCGTTGTCGCTCTCCTTCGCCAAACAAGCCGATCGGAAGAAGGGATGAACGGCCGCCCAAGTCAGCGCGACCGAAGCGTGTGCCCAATCGCTCAAGAAGCATTGAAACCAGACGGAAGGAACGGTTCTTTCTTCACTTAATTTTAAACGATGAGCTCGGGTCATATAATTCAAATTCTCAAGTCTGGTCATGATGCGTCAAAGTGATAAAATTACAATAAAGTGCCTAGGCATAAACTTTAGGAAGCATCTAAATCAAAAGTACTAAAAAGGCGAGCTTAGCTATGATTAAGCGTAGAGCCCGTGAAGCATAACGGACGGGTAATGCTTTCCTTTCCCTTTCTCAAAGCCTTTTCTCTCAATGAGAGCCTTTTGTATTGTATCGTCAGATTACAAACTGTCGATTTTCGACGAAAAAAGACAGATAAACACTTCCCTAAAGAGTCTAGTGATTCCTGTCGATAGTGAGAAGCACCGAATAAAGTTCGATCAGGGCTTGAAAATGTGGACAGACGGAGCTGTCTCATCCCCATCGTCTGCTCCGGCAAGCTCCTGTGGATGCGAAGAGGATCTCCGCCAATGGGTAGCTAAGGGATGAAATTTTTAATGAATTATTTTGATAAAGCTTTCCTTAAGATTCGAATTCTAATGATGACCAAAAAACACTGATAATTAGGCTTCTCCAAATAAAAAATCACCCCGATGTAGAATTACGCCGCCGGCTAAGCTCATTTGATGGCAAGGATGATCCTAGAAGAGGGTATCTGCGAACAGCTGAGCACTCGGCCTCCGCTCTCTCCGACAAAAGCTGCCATCTGATCACCTCGCTGAAAAACCGGGTCAATATGGGCGGCTACACCGGGTCGGGCAGCCCTCGTCGCCATAACATGGAATATGCTTCCGGCTCGTTAGGAAGAAAACCGCGTGTCCCGCCAAAACCATGCCCAAGTCAAATTGCGCTTGCTGAAGCGATCAAAACGTTGAATACCCTTGCAGAAAGTCTTCACAAAGAGACAAAAGTAGTAAAGCTTGAAACTCCAATCGTTACTCTTTCTACTAGTGCCTCCGCGGTGAGATAAGCGAGCTTTATGACAAATTCGAGGAAGACGATCAGACTGCGGTGACCAAGGACGAACAACAGCAACGCCAGCTGTCCGAGCTGTCCAGATACGTCAAAATATTGGAATATAGGTATATAATGTCGATTTCATCACCATTAAGTATTGATTTGGCTGCAGTACGCTTTCTGATCCAATCTTTATTGCAGTCAATTAACTTCTGGATCGGGAAAATAAGAGCCTTATCTTTCTTAATTAAGGTTGCTAAAGGCGCAAAAACTGGACGAACAATCGAGTGTAGATGTAGAAGCCCATCTTAATTTACAGAATGAAGTCGAGCGGCTGGAAATGCGCGCAAGAGCTGATCAAGAAGAAAACCGTGAGCTCTATCTACAGATTTTGCAGTTGCGGACAAACGAACGAGCACTGAAGGAAGACAACAAGCGATTATTGAATCAACTCGATCATTTGAGTTTACACGGGCGCTCGGTTAGTCCGGACCGCGAGGAGAGCCTTATTGCTCCCGAATATCGATCCGAAACCGATAAGGCTAATGGATTGCTTCAGGTAATGGAAACAGTATATTAAGCTCATTGTAAAATAACAATTTCATTTCCTAATGGAAAAATTTGAATGCGTTTTAATGTCATCTTCAGGCTGAAATAGAAGTTCTCAAGGAATCACTGCAAGAAATGAACAAGCTCAACAAGGACCTAAAAGACAAGCTGCTTTTCTATCAACAATCACGATCCTCTACTTCAGAAGAACCGATCCTCATCTCCCAGCTCCGGCAACTAGAACAGGACAACGAAGATTTGAAAACAAAACTCGATTACTTGCAAACTACAGATACAGAATTTTTAGAAGAAGAAATGCTCGTTTTGGTGAGCAATTTTAGGAAAAACCAATCTTTATAATTGGTATTTTAGCAATCTACGGTCAAAGAGCTTGAAATCGAAAACGATCGATTGAAGAGACTCAGTAATCCGGACTTGACAGACTTGCAACCTCTTCAGGATGAGCTACAAAAAGTAAGTGCTTCTTCAATTTTCTTTGTGAATGATTTCTTAGCTAAAAACGGAAAATGCGAATCTACGAAGTGGAGTTCAAAACAAAATTCACCTCAAGTCGGCGATTCGTTCGATGCTAACCGATCAGGTACTTAGATATAGTACTTAGCTAGGAATTAATATTGTTACTCCTCGTTACATATATAAGGGTGTAATCTATCTTTTCTCGAATGATTGCTGAGCGATCAATCATCTTTCCAAGCCCGTTTTTTATTGAATGAATATTGTTGTAAATGGCTTGGGACTAATCGCCAATTAAAACAAACTTATTCGTGATCACAAGATAGGTATTCAGCAGGGAAACTTTGTCTTTTGTAATAAGGTGCTAACAATTTGATCAAGACGCTACGACGGTCTTCCTCAAGCGAACGTTCTTTCATTGCTCGGCGTGGTATCTTTGAGCTGCTACCAGTGCTTTCTGTGCGCGAGGAAGTCTTCCGCGTCCAGCGACTCTCGAATAAATTACTCTCCGCTTTACGAAAACAGCAAAGCGATATTCCACTCAGTGCAATAAGTGCTGAGGCACGTGCTCTCGCGGCGGAAACTGCTCTGCTCGTCAAGAAATATGGTGTTTTGGAGGAGCAGGTAAGGACTTACTGATGTTATGTCAAACTCTTCTAACAAACAATATATTCTTTCAAGAATATGAGTTTTACAATAATTTTTTTTTTTAAACAGAGAAACAGTTATTTTTAAGGTTCAAACTCTCATCAAAGAATTAAAACAAGTTCAAATCGCTCCAAGTCATGTTTCTACAGCCGCAAATGAAATCAACGAGGACGAATTCATCGTTTAAAAGCTCTCCCTGTACAAAAATGACCCTAATCTTCAAAGTCTTCATCAGTAAATGAATGTGCAATATAAAAGAAGAAAGCAATGATTATTATTTTCCAGAAACTAATTGAAAACTTTTGCTTCATTTTCAGAAAACAGTGTTATACTACTTTGACTTGAAGTCGAAAGAACTGTTAAAAAAAGACGTTAAAAAAAGACGCTTCATAATATGCTTACCGAGGATCCCAATCTAATATGGCCCTTTCCATAAGCCTTTTCTATAACAAAAAAACATCTTTCCTGATTTTTTTTACGCTTGAAACTGATTATATAGTGGATATGAACCGGTGACGAGTCTCCAGTGTAGGGTATAGTTGAGTGTTGCCGTACACATTTAGTTATCAGATTAAAAACGTAACGTTGGCACTAGAGCACTCCTCCCATCATAATCATGTTGCATAAGAACCCATAACCAACTCAGTAAAAAGCAATCAGCGAAGACAGTTTCATTCAAACTCGCCGAAAAACAAGAAAAATGAACTTTCTCTTCCTTGTCTTCGCTTCTTTTGCCTTCGCCGATTCGATAGGCTTCAACCGTCTTCGAAACAATATCGACAGCTTCAACAAGAAATCAAACAGCAGAAACTCCCCACAAACGCTCTACAAACTCAAAGGAGACGACAAAGACTTGAAGCGGCTCAAAATACTCTTTCGCCGAAGATACGGCCGAGCTGCATTCGTCAAAAGACGGTGAATGGAACTTTCTGTACTTACTTCTTTTTGTCCTATAAAAATAAAACAGCAATCATGTGGTTAGCTCTTTTTCGTCTTTGTTCGACATTTTCAGACAAAAATATTTACCAATTAGTTTCTTAATTATTCGAAAAAGAAGACAAATTTTTCATAGGAATGAGTGATTTACGGAAATCGAGTAGCATTGTCGGAAAATTAACATATTGAGAAAAGCATATAACGCCGCGTACCCCGAAAACGATCCCACTCATAGCGAAGAATGAAAATTTTCGCCTATTTACTCATTTTTTCGTTCAGTGGCAGCGTTTTCGGCGACGCAATCGGGTTCAATCGACTTCGCAATAACGTCAACATCTTCACAATCAGCACAAACGAACCCCCTCCTGTGTCGATTCGCATTCGTTGGTTCAACTCTAACAAAAACACTTGGTCCGGCAGGAAATTGAAGAAGTTTTTCGCCGAGTTCGAAGCCATAGCTAAACGTTCTCTTTTTACTTCTCAATAAATTCAGTCATCTAAACTTTTCCCGCTTTTCTCAAAACTTTGCTTCTTTCTATGCTATAAAATGACTACTGTATTTTCTGACTTTAAAATTCCGGGGCGCCTGAATCCGTGAGATTATTATTTCTTACTTCTTGATCCCTGCATTCTTATTTACTATTTAGGATTATTTTGATTTTCCATAATCTCTTTACTCTCTTTACAAGTAGTCTTTATCAAGAATTGATCTAAAAGGCATTCATATTCTATATACTAAAGGCCCTACCTCCCGTAGAAAAATAGTCATGCTCGATGCAAAGTAAAAATAGTGCCCCGAAGCCAGTGCCCGAGATAACTTGAGCGACATCTGGCCCATTTAAAAGCGTACGGCGAGTATCAATTCAGCCTCACTTTGCTACTTTCATTTCGAAAGAAAATTCATAATTTTTTAAAAACTCGCCATGAGAGTCGTCATTTTGCTTTGCAATTTATTTCTGTCCGTCGAGGCCTTTTTAAAATTTGGAGATGAGTTCTATGGACACAAAAGTTCAAAACGCGGCGTAGACATTCGCGACTTCGATGAAAGAAATCAAGAACATTTCCGGGTTTCCTACGGCGCCCGCCCTTTCCGTAAGTTTCACTCAATCCGTTACAATAAAAACTAACTGTTAATCAAGAGCAAATACGACCTCGATTTTCGATGCAAACGCGGCGCGTTCCGATCCCTCATTCGAAGCTCGAGAACTCCTTCAGCAAATTCTTCCGATGAAAAAAGACCGCTCCTGTTGATCGCTGCTTATGTTGATCTGTGCATATTTTGCAACGTTGCTCATTTTTGTCTTACTTTGAGACCCTAATAATTTAATCATGTCATTTGAGCAAGAGTTGACTTTTCTAACTTCTCCTTCTTTCTGAAAATAAATGTAAAAATAAATAAATAATCGAACACAAATACCGAGTAGAATTCAACTTAGCGGATAGCGTCTTCACGTTAAGAAGCACCACAAACTGTTCTCTTCATTTATATGAAGGTGGTTGAATGAGGATAAACATTCCGACGTAGTGTTTACTCCTTGCTTTTTAGCTTTTTTAGAGCGCTGGGCTTATTCGCGCTATTTCCCTTATAAGACAAACCTTGGGCTCATTGCTTTCGTGGTTTTCATAAAGGCAAGAGTTTTAATAACGAAGAGAATAGATCATCAGAAGAAGCGATTTACTGTTTCTCAGAAATCTTCTGTAATTCAATTAATCTTTCAAAGAGAATATTTCCGATCAGTTCGCAAGCTGTCGAAAAGCACATCAATTATTCCCAGTAGTTTATTAAGCCTCTTATTGAACTCTTGAAAAAGTTATCGTTTAATGCTGTGGAGTAGTTTCTTTTCGTTCCTCGTTGTCGCCGAATGCCGGCTGACAGGATTTAAAATTGAGGAAAACGACGAGAAAAGCGTTGATCCAGCATTAGCCCAAGTGGAAGGCAAAAGTAAGAAGACCGACGAGAACAGCTTTTTTAATGGCGATTCACGATTCAAACCCGTCCACGGCGCGCGGCCCAATGGAAAGATCGAAAATGACAAGGTCGTCGATCTATTCGGCAAGCAAAACGCTCAGACTAATTCTGAGCAAGGACAAGTCTACAGGACTGGAGTTGCTCATGGCCAAATCGAAATTTGGTTGATTAGTTTTGTATTTTTAGTAAAAATTTTTTACCATAAAATGTTGATTGGTAGATCTTGATATTATCGGACCGAATTCACCGTGAAAAACTCAAATAAGAATCACGTGTTGGGAACAAACGAGCACCAGTCGAGCGGGTTGCATTTACCAAGGTAGAATCAACAATCCTCAAGTGTATTTTGATCTACTTAATCTTTTAGCGCCGAACGAGTTTAAGAAAGCATCAGTTACTCATTTCTGGCTGGCTTCGACCTCCCATCGAGTGCGTTGGATTCACTTCTATGATGCCAACGTGATTCCGAGCAATTCAAAGTCCTTCCAGGATGATTATGCAATCACTCATACGAATACAGACTTCGAGGTAATCAGAAATAGTTTCAAAACAGGATAACATTTATCTGGTTCTAGGGCATTGATTTCGTCAATTTCATCGTTATGTTCGAGCGAGTCGACCAGATGGCACCATCGATTCCGTCGGATAGTGACTGGATCGTCTATTCCGATGCCGAGGAGTTCTGGGACGCTGCCCTCTTTTCTTTTCCATCAAACTATGATGGAAACCGAGCTCGAAGCTACATCCAGGCTCAGGGTGGTGCGTTTCACTCCGGTAAGTCAAATTCTTTCTCGATCTACTCAAAGCTACGATTAAGGAAATGTGATTCTGATTCAATTCCCCGCTCCGGTCAAAGATCTTCACTTTGACGAGCTCGATGGACTCGACGTTCAAGAAATAAGTTACTTCCAAAATTTTGTCAGTTCCGTGATGATTTCCAACATAACTCCCGGCACAGACAAAATCTGGTTCGACTTCGAATATTTAGATGCCTTGCGGGACAGTGAGTCCAAAGACCCATCTGGAAACTGGTTTGATGCAAGCAAGACAATTGTCACTGTCTTCTAGTTTGCCAAAAGAAAACGTCGAAATGGTAAATATCGTACAATATTCTTGAAGGTAGCTTCTCATTGAGTACATACAATCAAAGATCTTTCCTTACGCTTCAAGCACCTCCGAAGATTTCAATCTCGGATAATATATGGGCGATATAATCGATCGTTACGTTCTCTTTTAAGAGTACGACTTGATCATCACGAGGGAGTGCAAATCAAGATCGTAGGATCATTTCGTCACACTTTTGGCCAATAGAAGATTCGACAGCGGTTAGGTCTGCATCTCAAATCAATTTTCAATGGAACAAAAGTCTCTTTTCCTTGCGCTCTTCTTCATCAAAACTTCTTTTATATATATTACTGTACTTAGCTTTGAGACAAGTCCCGAATTATTTTTTCGGTTACGCATAATCTACGATTATATGACGATTTCTTCCCGCGAGAAACGACTCGCAGGATATCTAATCCATAAAACTGCAAATAAATTCATTAAAAATTATCCACACGTTTTCTTATTATAAAAATATTGTATTCAAGCTCTGTTGATGAGTTAATACAGTATGAGGCGCTGCCGGCTTTTTGGATCACGCCTTGGCCAAAGGGATCGGAACTAAAAAGGGCCGGGGAGCCATGAAGTTAGAGTGAAAAGAACTTTTTTTGAACAGGAAAAATGATTAGCCATATTTCTAGGACGAGTATGGACTCATTGTAGTTGCTCCACCGTTTTCGCCGTCGCCGCCATCACCAGAGCCTCCCTCTTCGCCGCCACCTTCACCGCCTCCCTCGCCATCGAGTTTTTCGCACTCGCCAGTTGATCGTACGCATCGACAACCTCGTTCCTGAAGTTATGTTTAGTTTCTGATCGGTAGTGTGAACAATATTACCGCGCATTTCGAAGGAAACATTTCTTCGCAGTGTTTTCTCGATGTGCAGAGCTCTTGTGGCTCGCAAATTCCTGCTTTGCAGTTGCAGCTGTTTACTGGGCACATATCTGGGTAAAGCTAAAAAATATTTATGACAAGTTTTGAAATAACTCTTTAAAAGGTATTGAGCCTCACCTCTGTGCATGATTTTCTGGAAGTGCAGTACTCCGAATCAACTGGGGTCTCTCCGCCGTATCCACTATCTCCATCACCTCCTTCAACTGCTACACATGTGCCAGATTTACAGAGACAATCAGCTTTAGTTGGGCACATTGATGGATTATTAGTGACGCAATCGCCCTTATTGGAGCATTCGTTAACGACTTCCTTGGGAACACACTCTCCATCGGTGCAAGAGCAGCTAGTTCGCTCTGGGCACATGTCCGGATCCATTTTGACGCAATCGCCTCGGTTCGAGCATGTGTTAGATGGGGCTGTAGTAGTCATGTAGCCAGTGGTGGTAGTAGTCTCAACTTGAACGCACTCGCCAGACTCACACTTACACGCGCTCTTCTTTGGGCACATGTCTGGGAACATCTTTACGCAGTCTCCCTTATTCTTACAAGAGTCGCCGTAGCCTCCGTTTCCTCCTGTCGGAGCCTCGGTGGTAGTTGTAGACTCAACTGGCACACATTCGCCTTTTCTGCAAGCGCAGGATGATCTATTCGGGCAGTTATTGGGATCAATAACCATGCAATCTTTTTTGCTTTCGCACATATCAGTTGGACCAGCTGTAACGTATGGATCAACAGTTGTCTTTGGCACGCAAGTTCCATCATCACAAGTGCAGGAAGTTTTTGTCGGGCACATTTCAGGTTCCAGTTTCACGCAGTTGCCCCGGTTTTTACAACCAGAAGGAACGGTGTATTCTGGGGTAGTTGGTTCTGAAGTTGTTGTGCTGCTATAAGTGGTTGTTGTCGTTGTTGGTTTTGGTTTACATTCTCCTTTCGAACAGCGGCAAGAACTTCGTGAAGGACAAGTATCTGGGGCGATCTCGACGCAGTCTTTGGCACTGTAGCATACTGAAGGGGGCATTGTAGTGGTTGTCGTCGTCGTTGACGTCGTTGTGGTAGATGTTGTAGTTGTAGTCGTAGTAGTAACAGGAATTTTAATACAATAGTAGTTTTTGCAACGACATTTAAATGATCCTGAAGTGCAATCTTCGTCTGCTTCTCGGCATTCAGCGTTGGAGGTACAATAGCCATCAGGCATGGTCGTAGTCGTTGTTGTTGTAGTGGTAGTGGTAGTAGTCGAAGTTGTTGTTGTGGATGTCGTTGTTGTGGTTGTGGTTGTGACAGGCACTTTCACGCAGTAGTAATATTTACATCTGCATTTGAAAGAACCAGACGTGCAATCTTAAGAAGATACGGTTAATTTGATATACGTAGATGAATATTGATGATTATTAATATTTGAGAACGCCACAAGCCATTATCTAAATCCTCTAACCTGAATCGGCGTCTCGGCAATCCTTGTGACTTATGCAGTAACCGTCCGGCATAGTAGTGGTTGTAGTAGTAGAAGTAGTAGTTGTTGTTGTTGTTGTTGTGGTTGTTGTGGTGGTAGTGGTAGTGGTTGTAGTTGTTTTACTTGTGGTGGTTGAAGAAGTCGTCGACACTTTAGGTGTTGTATACTCATGAGAAGTATACATTTCAGTTGTTGTCTCTCGATTCACGCAAGAGCCACTTTTACAAGCGCACGAGTTTCTTTCTGGACACTGGCTAGGAAACATATCGGAACAGTCCTTTCGAGACTCGCAGTATGGATTGTTGGTAGTAGTCCAGATGTCTGTTACGATTTCGGGTGTAGTAGTATCAACGTAAGTGGAGTAAACGTTGCTAGTAGAAGTAGTATCGTATGGCTCCGTCGTTTCGACAGGGACCGTAGTAGTTGGTTCTTCGGTGGCTGGTTCTTCAGTACTCGGTGGCATTGTCGGGTATCCTCCAGCACCATCATCGTCTGGGCTGCTTTATGGGAAGGTTAATAAAGGTTAGACCGAGAGACTTACCAGAAAACTTCTGCGGGATCAACTTTGTTACAGTATTGAGTGATAGTTTTATCTTGAAGCTTGTCTAATCGTCCAAACTTAAAAAAATTGATTACTTTATCACTCCCTTTTTATGATTTTTCTGAAAACGTGATGCTGCTTACCAGATTAAAAGCCATGGTAGGACAGTAGATAAAGATTTCTTCACGAATCCATCGAGCATGTTGCCAGAATATCTCAGGAATATCCTTCTCGGGTTTTCCTGTAGGATCCCAAGTCTGACTACCGTCTTTCATTTTACGCACTTCAAGTCCATCATTTGATCCGTCTCGTCGTTTTCGATAGTACATCGTGGTTGGTGGAATTGCTTCGGACGTTGTGGGCTGCCAGCTAGAGGTCGGAGGATTCTCTGTTGTTGATTCCATGGAATCGTATGGATCTTCAGGCTTTGAGGGGATCTTTCTCCTTATCTTTGGAAGAAAATAGTTGTTTTTTCATTATTTCTCTCAAGAAAAAGTGAATTTAGATCCCAATCTGCGGACTGACGCTTTCCCAGCAAGAGTCTCTCTTTGTGACCATGTCTTCAGCAATCTTATCGAGTGTGTTCATGATCCCTTCGACGGCTTTTTCTGCTCCTTTCTGACTGATCGGCTCATTGAAAAAGTGATTCTCGAGTACTTCTGGGGACATCTGCCAAAGAACGTTTCTGAGCCGCTCGGCGTGGTCATCGTCCCACCACTTTGCCGATGATCCCGACTGGAACTCTTCTGAAGAATAATTTGGGAGCAAAAAATTCGCCGAGCTAGTGGCGCCCAAACAAAGGAAAATCTTTGACAAACGTCCCATTTTTCCTCTGATATGCTACTGATTTTCTCCGATAGTTTTTGACTTATATTAGCGACAGCGCCATCTTGTACCGAATGGCTGGCAATGATTGTGACATGATTTTATGCATAAACCGCTCTAAAACGAGATGATTTCGGATTTTACGCTTTTCGTGATATGGGAATGATCAATGTCAAATTTAAATATTTTGCCCGCTTCAAAATTCTTTTCCCGACCAAAACTGGACAGATCTGCAGACGTTGAGCAATTTCGTGTTTGAGAGTAAACCCTAATCACTTCGAACTTTGAACAAATCCAAATCTTTAAAATTGTCTAGAGATCAAAATTGGCATCCCAGACTTTTTTTGTAAAAAGATATTAAAATCGATATCGTCTTGACTTGAAGACTCAACTTTTTAGTAGAAAGTTTCAAGATCGAAATATCGAAACAGCGAGAGTTCATCACGTCAATACTCAACTGTGCTCCTACTAAAGAAGCTTAAATTCCACAGACAAGAGATTCACTTAGCTTCTTACTTCGAGAGAAGCAGGATAAATTCCGATATTTCGTCCAGCAGACGGCTTTCAGAGGCGGATCCTACGACTCTTCACGTCGTTCTCAATTCCGGATAGGGAAGCTTAAAAATTATATTTTCAGTTTCCACTATCAGAATAAATATAAGGATTGTGCCGCATATATCCCGAGAGCAAAGTAAACGCCGGCTGAACAAAGCCGTCGTCCCGTAGAAGGCCGGTGTCTTCTCGCCCAAAGATGTAGATGTCCGACTCAGCTTGCTCTGTTCATGGTAGCGGAAGGTGTGCGGTATTCACTTCTGAGCTTTTTCAGATGTCAAGAAAGATGAATAAGCACAGAGACTCTTTCCCTCACCGTGAGGGCCTCACGTGTGTCAAAAGGAGCAAGAAACGCTATCGTCCGTCCGACATAAACAGCTGCGGAGACACTCGTCTTTTTGAACGATGCTTCTTTTTGCCTCATTTCCGGACGTCTGCCGTGGTCCAGCCTACTAGTAAGTATTGGAGGCAAAGAATCGATTTTAGGAATAGAACAAATTGTGCTTTTGAAGGAACAATATATGACCATTGATACTTTATCAATAAGTTTCTCCATCATTTCAACGATCATCCAGAAAATTGAAAGTAGCACTTAGATGATTTTAGCTAATTTTTACGGGCAACGACGCCTGTTTTGTTGACCGCATGGTGATGTTATTCTACCGCGAATGCTCGGTCTAAGATATTCTTCAACCTTTATTCAGTCAAGATCAGCGTGCACCAATTTTCGCCTGTTTACCAAAACTTTCGGTGGAAAAATCATTTTCTAAAATATCTAAATCTTCCTTGATTTCAAAATACAAACAACTGACTTTTTTCTCGCAAATCAGCAGATTTGAACGAATTCCGAACAAAATGAGCTTGTCAAATTTGGCTAATGCAAAAAACTTCCGCCAAAGTGATTAGTCGATCCGAGCTGTCAAACTTGAACCGATTTATATCTGCGTTTTAGAGTAGCCGAACGGATCAATCTACCCAGCGAACCCTAGGCTGCCCGCAACTCCGCTTAGATATCCTATTCGTAGCCATGAATGATGATAAGATTATAAAAAGAAAATCAATTCGATTTATTGTTTTATTCTGTTCATGTTTTATCCATGAAAATAGCAGGGTCACGAGTGGATGTGCGTACTCGAAGGAAGATTTCGGTGAAACAGGAGATTTGTACAGTTTGAGTGACTTGCAAAAGCGAGATTATTTCCTAAGTTAGAATGTTGAATATTGTTCTCCGTGATTGCAGAAGTGGCTAACAGTTGTAACGGGTTCTTTTACATGATCATGCTCATTCTTCGGCATCGTCCTGAGCGTCTTCTTCGTCTTGCGGCACTTCCTCGCCCTTGTCAGCCTGCTTCTTTTTCCACACAAAGAAGCCAACAGCACCGATCAGGCAGACAACGATGATGACAATGGAGACGATAACTTAAATCAATCGTAGTAAAAACGACATTTTCTACGCGACCTTTCGTGAACTGACTTTTCATCATTGGTCAGCTCTAAAGCTCACCAATAAAGTCTCCGTAAAAGTCAACGCTGGGCGATTTACGATGCGAAATCGACGATTAAGAAAATAACTCTTGCTTACTGATTGCACGGCCGGATCCTTCTTCGGGTGCTGGTTCGGCGGTGATTGTCGCTCCAGTTGATTCTACATTGTTGATTCCGAACACCGGAGGCAAGGAGGCGGCACAGGTGAAGATTCCGCTCACGGCCTCGATCGTGTGATCGCGCTCGCCATGGTCCGAAAAGACTTGACCGTCTTGAAAAATTAATTAGTATGCTAGCGTTATGATTAAGGCGGTTCATTAAGCTACTAGCTAAGTGATTCACTACGCACGTAGAGAAGATATTTACAACCGCTCATCAATTAACTCTTTTGTTATTCCAGAATCCGATAAATATGAATACCTTTGACAAGACTGAAAGACGCCGGGGGATTCGACCTAGCACTGCAGCTGAACGTTACATCGCGCCCTTCATAAAGTGGCTCTTCATCAGTTTTTCCATCGTGCGCAACTTGGACGTCTTCGAGGTAGAAAATGTCCACAGTCTGGACATCTTCAATACCATTGGCAACACATTTGAAATCGGTTTTCTCAGTCAGACTATAATTGAATAATGAGCTAGCATTCAATTTTTGCGCGATCTTTTTGATTACGGAAAAAATAGGAAAACAGACGCTTTGAAGCTGAAACAGCCGGCGAGGAAATTTTACGATCGCTGATGTAGTTGCTATTGATTTTCGCTCACTTACACGTTATTGTTGAGGTCGAGGCCATTTGCAGTAAGATCTAGTTCAGGTTTGGGGAATCCATCAGCATCGCAGCTGACCTTTGCTTGTGAGCCCTTTGCCAGATAGCTGGAAAAATGATTTATTGCGTATCAAACTTTTTCCTAATTAATGATCCGTCATTCGCAAGCTGTAGCATTGGCTACACGCCAGTGTTACTAGAAATACTCTACCTTTTTGATTGGTATTCTTTCACGCCATCAACACTAATTCTGGCGTACGTTGTTGGGTAGCGGAATTCCACGCTTTCAATGGAGGTCATATCGTAAGATTTAAGCAGAGCACCATTAGACTAAATTATTGCTGTCAGATAAATAATGCAGTTATGTAACTGGAGTTGCGTAATCATAAACAAGTTCTCACCGCAATTTGACTGGCACTACACGTGATAGGTTGGTCGTGGATATTCTTTCCGCCGTATTGGAGCAAGTCGGATCCGGTAACATTCAGTTGTGCGGTTCCATTCTCATCTACTTCGACAACCTGTTCAAAGCCGCCGATAGAGAACGTAATGTCGTTTGCTTTTGGCAGTTCATTCTGCATGGCACAGGCAGCGACGATAGTGGCATTCATGTCCGAAGAGAGATCAGTTGTGCCGATGCTCTGCGTCAGTTCTCCTTCTTGCCAGACCTCAAGAATTGTCGGCTGGATTTCTAGCTCAGTGTCACAGTTCCACTGGAGACTGATTTCTTTCCCACTATCGTCCACAGTAAGTCCTTCGATTCCAACTTCATAAGTGAATACTTCTTTAGTGCTGTCTGTTACAATGCTACAGGCTGGGGCTGTTCCATCGGGTCCTTCTAACAAACTGCTGCATTCATCGATTTTAATGTGAGCTATGCCGTAAGGGAGCAGTTCTTCGAAGGACGAGAGTTGTCGGTACTTGAAGTTGCCCTTGTCGACCTGGGCCTCCAAGATTCGATCACCATCAATGGCGACCTGCAGTCTAAAATAAGGTTTTTAAAACGCTTTAGGGAAAACTTCTGTTTTCTGCATAAATTGTTGAACTTACGATAGTGCCCACTCTGCTGAGCATGCAGCGGTGATTCCGCCTTTTGTTTCGAACGAACCAGAAACGGTAAAGGCATCACCGCTCTTCAGTATAGTCACTTCGTCCAGTTTGTCCGCTGTGATCTTATTCGCAGTGTTTTCCAGTGGCACGGCGTGGCTCGCTCCTACCAAAAGTGATGCGAACTTCATTTCTCCACTGTTGCTTCAATTCCTTGTCAAAGTCTAAACTCTTTATTTAAATCTCTCTTGCTTTGTTTAAAAAACTGGCAGAAAGGCGTAAAGGGCAAAATATTATTATGCGCCGCGCAACACTGAGAGTGAGTCTTCTCTTTTGCCTTTTTTACGATCTTTTCTTCTCGTAACAGAGCGCCCAGGCGTGATCAAAACCCAGTTAACGAAATAGCCCCGTAACGAAGAGGAAAACATCAATCAGCCCTGTTTATTCATGGCGTCGTACAAGTTTTTACCTTGATATTTTCTCGATTGGATACTTTTGAATATCAGGGAGCAAATTCGATAGCGCGGGTGAAAAGCTCCACTCAAGTATGACCAAGCTAAGGATATAGTATTCTTTCAACATAAAATACTTTACGGATGAAGGTGCCCAAGTAATCATCAAACAGATCACTTTCTCTGAGTGCTTATTCCTATCTAGATAGTATCTAAGGAAAAAGAGGATTACCCATAGAAACTGTTTAATTAGTAAAATATGCTTATCGAACATACCGTTAACGAAAAAAATATGGAAGGACGCGTCAATCAAGCCCCATTTGAAAATTAATCTTTATTCTTCCATCAGTCTTCAAAATATTCTCTAATATCACTCTGTGTACAAAAATCATTTCCAAATCAATTGTGTGCTCTATCCATCATGTCTGTCACGCACTCTGTACTAACCTTCCAAGTACTGATTTCGTGCGACAAATTCGAAGTTGCTACTTGTTCTTCTTTTGAGACTCTCGATTTTTCTTACTTTTTACCGTGTTGTCTCTATTTCCCGCGTAGCTCTTTCTCCGACGGTTGCTCTTTCTTTTTTAAATAATTCGTCTTTGTTAAAAGTTAAAAAAAGTTTGGGGGACTTATTGTTCTTGGGTATTCATAGGATCTCGGGCGTAAGCGCGTAATTAGGGACGAGCGGTGGACTTCTCCTTTTATGGAGCAGGGCCACTCACTAGCTTCGCAATCACCAGGATTGAGAATTCTAACTCACCGTTTTTATTATCGTTCACTTACTACTGCAGTTTCTCACTCTACCACCCACAGACACCGGCGGTATTCCTTGATAGTTGACTTTTTAAAAATGATTTAGAATCAGCATGAAGTTAATTAAATACTGTAATTAACTCGAATTAAACTCATAAGACTCATAATACAGACGCTTACCTTTGAATTTATTCGCAGTTCACTTCCGTCGAACTAAAATAATTCATATTTTTTTTTTCAAAAGAAGTTCTATTTCGATAACAATTCTCTTCTATCGGTTGATTTAAGAAATGAGCGTACAATTTTATTCGAATTTTCATATTTTGACGAGACACAATCAATTTTGTGGAATACAGAGAGATTGCCTTGGAAAAATGATCTAATTATGTTTGTCTCCACCAAGTATGTTAGTGGGTTGAATCAATTCAGTGCATTGGGGCTAGCTGGACACGGTTTTGTTGAAACTCTCGTAATCACATTCGTTTCGCCTCTCCTGAATCCGCTTTAGCTATTCTAGAGCTAGTTTAGTTGCAAATATCTCAAAGCAAGAAGAATGAAGTTTTTCGTTTTACTATTATTGCTTTTTTCCGTTAGCGACAGTAAGAAAGCAGCCCGTGTGAAGCGGAGAAAGCTGAAAAAGTTGAAGTTGCAGTCTTTTTCTGATGCAAAAAAAGAGAGGGAAATTTTTTCGCCTCCTGCTGCGAGGTTTCAGAAATCGCTGAAAAGAAAAGGAAATTCTTTAGAGAGCACTGAAAAAGCGAGGATGGATTTTTTCAAAGAGAACCCTGATGCTCCTTTGAGAGACTTTATCGAAGAATTCAACATTCGAGGATTTAGAAATGCGCCACCAGTGAAGCTCAAGTCTCCAAGTGGACATTTCGGGCCCAAGATTTCGGCGTTTGGATCAACTGTGTTCAAGAAAAGGCTGTTTGAATCAAACTTTGATGATTCGTATTTTACCATACTCCCGTAAAAACTAAATTTATAATGATAATAATATCAATAAAAAGGGTTGACTCAACTGGAAAAATAAAGACTAATCAGTCCCATTCCTAGACGGTCACAGTCATCTGATCATCGCGCACAAAGGTAATGGGCGGAATACGCTTCGGACAATATAAAAATGAAAATATTGAGACAGCTTTCAGCCCTTTGAAAGACTCTTTATCTTACTGAATTTCTCGTAAAAAAGAGAGCGGTTTACCAAGCTTCAGCACGTCCTTCGAGTGAGTTTAAGTCGCACATGGTGACATTCTTCGCCGAGCCGCAACCCGGGTTCGAAAAGGAAATTCATATTTGCAAGCTGACCGACACGTTTGAGCGTTGGGGAATCATGAAAACCCCATGCGATGAGAAAAATGGTCAGTTCTATGGCTACAAGGGCTACGTTGCCGAGGAAGATTACAGTCCCGTTTCCAAAACTGATCTGAAAGTTTGCTATCCGAAATTGGATTGCGAACTCTAAAATAGACTGAAATAATGCGCGACTAATCCCATTCTTTCTTATCTCTGTTTTTTTAAGCGCGTCTAATTAACTTTTGAAAACTCTAAGAAGCGGTGTGGAGCCAACGGTTCTGGCGAATGTGGCCGGCAATCGAGCAGTTGGGATGCCATTTGCTACTCGCCTCTGGTCGATGGCTGATCAGAACGATACGACAGAGTTGACTCCGACTTGCTGCACTGGCACTGGATTCAAAGGATTTGAACCTTGTTGTCATTACAGGTGGAACAGCTGGCAAATGAGAATGCCTGCTGGCTGGGGTGAATGGGGCGAATGGGATACTTGCTATGGTCCTTGCGATCAAGGAAGGAAGCAGGTTGGCTCGTCGAAACGAACCCGACTATGCCACGGTCTTCAAGGTCAATGCAAACAAGTTTACAGTGGTCGTGATAAGACCCCGTGGGTCCAGGTCTCGGTTATATAATACCCATATATGTATTAATTGAAAGTGATTATTCGAATAATTGGTATTTACGATTGAGTGAAACTTGAATAGTCACTAATTTATTGCCTATAACCGTCAAAGTCTACGCGGTGTATTCCTGACTGCGTGACAGAAACTCAAGACAAAAGGAGCAACCCAACCACAGCAGAAATAACAACTTCAACTACGACATCAACTTCGACTACAACAACTCAACGGATGACGAGCACTCTATCGACTACTAAGAAAAGTACAGCAATAAATCCATTTCAAAGATCCGCATCCGTATCGATTCCACCTGACTTTTTCCAACAAAAGACGGGAGCTACGAGTATTGACCAAACTATAGCGTGGGATAATTGGTCAGAATGGTCTACTTGTCTAGGCCAATGTGGAAAAATTGGATTTAGGTGACAGCTTTTTTTATTTCATCCATTTATCTAAGCCAAAAAATAAGACGCCGAACAAGAGGATGCAATGGACCAAAAGGCAGCTGTTTGAAACTCTCTACGAACGAATCCAAAACGCCCTGGGTTGAACAAACTCGCTGCGAGCCTTCTTGTAAGCATGATGGATCAATTAATTTTCCAGTTATGAGCATAATGACTGGACAAAGGGCATTCTCAACAAAACCGTTATCAACAACAAAGTTTGGTTAAATTTTTGAAACTTCTTTGGTAGAAACAAATTATTGAAATTTTCAATTGAAAACCCATTATCTAACCATCATCAAAGAGACCATTTCTTTCAAAACAAAGTAAAACTTCATCCATGCCAAACAAATTCCGACGGGTACTCAGAAAAAGAAAAACTACAACAAAAGTGCCAATGACTATAACCGAGGGTTCAGTAAACACGTCAACGATAAAGACAACTACAACCACGACAACTAAAATCACAACGACAACATCCACATCCACAACAACAACAACAACCACAACCACAACAACCACAACAACAAAAACAACCACAACAACCACAACAACACCCACAACAACAACCACAACAACAGAAACCAAGACATCCAAAACAATAACTTTGGCATCAACGAATTCTAGGATCTCAACAATTAATTCCACCCCTAATCTTCCTAAAACCCCTGTACCTATATTTGCGTCACTGATTCAAGCAAGACGAATGGAAAACATTTCTTTACGGCCAAAATGGGCAGACTGGAGTCAGTGGTCTTCTTGCTCAGCAAGTTGTTCCGAGCGTGGAATGCGGAGAAGAACAAGGGGGTGCAGCGGTCCGCGAGGTAGCTGTTTAGTCGACTCAACTAATCCAAAAGAAGAGAAACCCTGGCTTGATATCCAGCGATGCCAGGGGAAGTGTCAAAATTCAGACATGATTATGCTTATGGATCAACCAATAGTTCACTTGCGAACTACAACAACGGCAACAACAACTAGCACAGTAGCTACAACACTCACTAAAGCAACAGCAACATCACAAACAATCAATAAAGCTATTACTCAAATAACGAACAGTGATGCAAATCCTCGCTGGCTAGACTGGCAAGAATGGTCGTCTTGTAGTGGATGCATAAATGGGAACACTGGCCTTCAAAAACGAGCGCGCAAATGTAGCACTTTAGGTGCGGTTTGTTTGAAACTAAAGCCGACGACAGTTAAAAAATTGAGGAAGCCCTGGCTCGATGTGAGAAAGTGCAGTTGTTTGACAATAAAAACATCGACAACGACAGAAAAAAGAACTACCACAACAGCAACTACGACTTCAACTACGACTACAACAACGACTACAGCCACGACTACAACAACGACTTCAACAAAAAGTACAACAACAACTATAAAGACAACAACGAGAGCAAAAATAATGACCACTACAAAAAGAGAAGTTTCAAAGCCAATCGGTAATCCTTTCACTATTTCTGCGTCAAAAACGAAGGGAAATTGGGGAGAATGGGGCATGTGGACTGGATGCTTGGGAAAATGTGGCGAGAATGGTATAAAGAGACGACAGAGAAAGTGTGAAGGGGCTCAGGGTTCCTGTTTACAATCATTGCAAGACATGAAAGACAGACCCTGGATGGAAATTGCTCCCTGTGTGAAAATATGTTCAACAACAACGAAAACAACACAAACGAGTACAACCGTAGAAACTTTTTCTCCGACGGAGTCTGTGTCTTTCATTTCGACTTCAACAACGACTAAGTCAACTACAATGACGGAGGCGCTCAATTCATGGGAAGAATGGGGAAGGTGGAGCTTCTGTCTTGGAAGATGTGGGCAAAAGGGAATGAAAAGACGAATAAGAAGTTGTAGTGGTGATCCTAAATCGTGTACGCCAAAAGATCATTTCGGTCAAAACCCGACGCCTTGGGTCCAAATAGTTCCATGTAAGCCGAATTGTCCCGGAGCACTTCGTACTACACAAGCTCCGAGAACTACGACAGAAAAAATATCAAGAACAGAATTGGAAGATGAAGAAACTGAAGAAGAAGAAAAGGTCGAAACTACGACATTCGAAATGACAACGGAATATTTTGCAAATAGGTGGGGAGGAAAAGAAGTAGAAGAAGAGGAAGAAGAAGAACCCATAGGGTCTATGCTAGCAGACTTTCAAGGGTTCTTAGAAGAAGAAGAAGAGTTTGAGGAAGTCGAAAAAGTAACAAAAGCGCCTAAAAGCTTAGATAATTATCGAAATAAACTGCCTCCAAATCGAATCGTCAGGTTAAAAAACTAGTGATTTTCGAATAACTGGATAATAATTTCAGAAAAAAGGTTGTTGGGTGGACGGAATGGACTAACTGGACGGCTTGTTCTCGCACTTGTGGCGGTGGGATTCAATGGAGAGAGCGTGCATGCCAAAGAGGTTGTCCACATAACCGATCAACTGGCAAAATTTTATCCTATCATCAGGAGCCGAAGTCTTGCGCAATGATCCTTTGTCCAGACGGTCAGACAAGCAGATGGGGAGACTGGAGCGAGTGGGGCTCATGCTCTAAAAAGTGCGGCCAAGGTTTCATGACAAGACATTTATCGTGTGTGGCCGGCCCTTGCAAGAATGAATCGACAAAAACATATCCAACTCAAAAAATGCCCTGTGTTGTGCGTCAGTACTGTAATTTCTGGACAGAATGGGGCGAATGGAGCGAATGCTCCGCCGAATGTGGAGGCGGAAAGAGAAATCGGCGCCGACCATGTTTCAATGGAACGCCAGGACTTCAGGGATGTCCAGGAAGTCAATTCGATGAGGAAGAATGTAATAATTGGAGATGCAATCCGCAACAGAGGCGATACAAACCAGTCAATGAATATGGCATGCCATTGACCGGTGATGGCTATTCGTTGAATCCTTTCAATCAAGAGTGTCTCGACTACCACAACTTCTTCAGAGCAATCCATCGTTTACCAGAGCTCACTTGGAACCCTGATCTAGCTAAAAGTGCCCAGGCTTGGGCTGGTGAGCTAGTTCATCGTGCAAAGCTTGGTCCCAATATGAAGAAAATCGCAAAGAAGACTAAAAACTGGCCACACTCAGAGCAAAACTCGCCCTGGCGCGGTGTAAACATCGGTGAAAACATCGCTTGGGACTTGACAGAAAACGGAAGTCCATGTAGTGAATCAGTTTACCGATGGTACGCCGAGATCTTCTACTTCAATCCAAAAAATCCAACGAAAGGAAGACGTGGAAAAGATCCTGTCGGGCACTTGACTGCACTTCTCTGGCCCGATACAACTAAAATTGGTTGTGGAACTGTTCAACTCCCAATCAAACAGGAACGGTTTCGAGCAAAATTTATGAGAAATATTAAAGACAGTTTCGAAACTATAAATTAGCCTCCGAATACAGTTCCTTCTGTTCTTATGTCTACTTATACAGTATGTCATTACACGCCTCAAGGGAATCATGTCAAGACGATGAAGAAAAACTGGCGTTTCCGTGATCCAAACTACTGTTCTACATATTCAAACTTTAAAGGAACAAATCAGTGCACGAATGCGCAATTTAGCAACTGCCAAGGACTATCAACATCATCTAAATGCGGCTGCGAGAATATTACTGACCAGAAGAAGTTCACAAAGAGAATTGTCAACGATCTTAGGTCCAAGCTCGGCAATACTGTCGAAAATCCGATTTGCACAGGTTTGAAATTATCATTTGCCGCCAATAAAAAATTAATCAAGGGCCTTGTCTCATCTATTGTGAAAATCGGTATGGAACTCGTAATTACTGGCCGAACGAATGCGTTGGAAAGAATTCCTGCCGTTGTGGTCGCTCTGGAGCTATTTGCGACTAATTCAAAATGAACACTTTTATACAAATATTTCCGCTTTACTCATTTTATATAAAAAATATCTGTACAATAAATCGGCTGGCATTTATCAAGGCGTGATGATTGAGTGATAGATTGGCCAAAGCAACTTCAAGTTTGAGCAGTAGCGCGGGAGGTATTTACTTTGGAAGTGAACCCCTTGATTTCAGCGAGCTTCTTCCTCAGTCATAGACTCGAAAAAAGGATGAGCTTCGAAAATGGAAAAACTAGCGACTTGGACGCGGAAGTGATTAAAGCACAGTTCAGAGAAATCACAAAGAGTTTTAACTCACTTAGAGAGAGCATGGCCGCGATGAGGATGAACAACTCCGATTCCGATCAGAGTGAGGACCACGAGATGCAAAAATGGCGAGGAAAGCTTTGCATCAACGGAGAGAGCGAAGATTTCGCGGCGGAAATGCTTCTCCTGCCGAAAGTAAAAGGCTACGGGGAGGATAAACACGGTCGTTTTCAAATGCACTCTCATCTACCGACAGCTCCAGGTGAGCAGCTTTAATTGCTTCCAAAAGTTGTTAAAAATTGCATTTAGGGAAATCTCAGTTTCTCTTCTATCAGAGATATGAGAATGAGCAGAGGACGTTTATCGCGGTGTATAGACGGGTTATCTTTTTTCAATTATAAAGTTATTTCTAATGTATTTTTTTTTTAATTTTTTTTTATGGCAAAATAGAGACATGAGTATAAAGTTAAAAAAAGACTGGAGAAAGGAAAAATCGTTCAGCGAAAAAAGCTGACGAATCGAGTTCGAGCTGAGATTTAGAGTTCGATGATTTATGCTCGGCATTGAGACCGGCTCCTTTCAGAAAGGGCGAAGAGTATATCAAAAGTTAACCCTTTGCCTCAGAAATCACGTAAACTGAGCGGCACATTCCATTGGCGCCGTCAGCTGGGCGAGTTTGTCCTTGAACCAGGCCTGGGAAGAGTTTGTAGCTCGATTTAGAAATCCAGAGACAACCCAGCTCGACATGAAACCGCTCTTCAATCCAATTAACTGCACTTAATCCCTGAATAGAGACAAAGGAAATGCAAGACCCCATGAAGGAATACTCACTCAAATCAACAGAAACTCAGGAAGAAGAAATGGATACAACTACCGAACAGGCAACTAGAGAAAAAGGTACGATTTCTCTTCCCAAACGTTTTTTTGAAAAAAAAATTAAGAGACTGGAGAAATTTCGGAATCAGTCACCGAAACTGCAGGCGAACTATCTCAGAAAGAAGGGGATACAGAAAAATCCGCATCTACTTGCTCGGAACATTTTCTTGATGACGACGATGAACTTGGCAAAACACGAGCGAGCGATCACGCCGATACTCAGTCACTGAACAATACTGATGTTGGTAAGGAAAGAACATTCAGTTCAATCAAATGTAATTTTTATTTAAATAAAGAAGATCAAGCTTTTTATTGAAGGTAGACTTTTTGATAATTGAAATGCTGTTTGCTTGATTATAATAATCCAGCTGAGAGAGGGTCTTAATTTTATAAAGCGATTGATAGCGGGTCATCACTGTGCTTTCAAAGTGCGTATTGATTAGGTTCAGGGCAATGAGTTTAGTGAGTTAGATGACTTAATCCAAGCGGAATACAAATGAAAGTAATCTCTTACGCGTACAGGAGTGATCGATTCGATTGATTTTTGTAAATTTCGTTTAGAACTTGACTTGGCGCAGAAATTAGCGGCTGATGCAATTTCCGCTGCTGTAGCGCAGATGAAGAACGAGACCACTCGAAATGAAGAAACACTCAAAGAAGAGACCAGCCCAGTAGAAGGTATTTTTGATGCTTGAATAACGAGAGAGTTGATGTTCTTACAAGACGACAAGGGTTTGTAAAAGATGCCAAAACGGGTGTATTTTGAATAGTTGTTTTTATATTTTTGAAGAGCTTTTATACCATAAATAGTTTATTTTATTAAGATTTATCCAAAGTTCTCATCGCATTACTTTCGTTTTCATTTCAAAGACTGAGATTCTCCTCCATGATTTCACTTTTTTCTCGGACTCCCTTTTCAAATCTCTTCGCATGAACAACACAAAGTCTATATTTTTTTTTCGAGGCGGAGCTTGTTACTATGGTCAGAATCAGTAATTGGCGCGAGTAAAACTTTAGGAGAACCAGTGCCTTGTCTGAGAACGGGAGAGGGCTGCCATAACGTGGATCTCAGAGGAGCTTAGATTCGATAAGATATTTCTTTGTGCGGGTGCCTTTAGAGGATAATTACGAAAGCTCGGCGCCGGTGATTTATTTTCAAAATAGAACAGGATTACATCACAAAGGGGGTATTGGCGAGGTATGCACATCTGAATTTATGATTCTTGGCCGGCGGAACCGCTCTAGCGTACCACGTGCCATAATTGAGCTCCTCCGTTTCACGTTGACTCGTCACTCACCTGAAAATACCGATTACTGGTAGTTGTGTTCTCCTTAATTTCAAATTCCGGAATGGGTTTAGAACTAAAACCTTTAAAAATGCACACATTTGAGTTCCTTGATTATTGTTTTATTTTACTCAATAGCTTCTGGAGGGGATTCATGCATACGAGTGGTGTTGTAGATAAATATGCATTTATTGGCATTGGTGCTTTAATTTTCATATTCACATTCACTTTTTGGAATGACTGAATCGCTTTGTTTGATGAACAAGCAATTCACGGTTGGTCAAGCACCAAAAGGGACATTTCACTTGACCCGATCGGCAGATTTGGAAGAAGATCTACCTGTTCTGATTTCAACGCTAAATATTTCAAATTCAAGAGATAAAGAAAAACAACAAATTCAAAGGTGAATTGCTCTTAATTTCAATTCAAAATTGATATATAATTTATAACAAACGGATACAAGAAGAAACGAATTTGTTATACTAAATCTCATTTGAAGGAAATGAAATTAAGAGAGCATGACAAGGCGCTTTCGAATGTCATCTTGACACTATCAGTTTACGCTGTGAAGGGGCGCGTAACGATAGTAAAAGCGCAGGGACTCCCTGCCAGGGAGGAAGTAGGTTGGCCAGGACTCAGAGTAAAATTGTAATGACATGCAAAATGGTACGATGCGGTGCCCCCGGGGGTTGAGGGGCACATTATCAATATGCCTAGGAAGAGAGCGCAAACTTTCTTTCGGAAAAGCAAAAAAGCCATGACCTGAATATCATTTTTTGGAAATGAACGCAAGCCAGCGAGTTCAGCCAGTCGAGACAGGTAACCGACCCCGGGCGTGTCATTAATCTGAAAGTAAATCCTCGGATCACCGGCGAGCCCCTCTCAGCAGGGAGCCGCGATAACTAACTCGCCGCCCGCTCCCGATCATTTTTTAAATTCTCTAATATTTTAACCCATTCTCTTTTTCGATTTATCGCGGCTTCAAAGCCCTCCCCCGCAGATTTCCGACTTTCGTCGATTTTAAACGCATCGAGAGAAAGGCGAGAGAAAATATTTTCTGTAGGAAATGGTCACAAAAAAACGAAGGTAAAGAAAAATCGCTGCCTTTTTGCAGAAACGAGAGAAATGTTGAGATTTTTAGAAAATGGAAAGATTCTTAGTTTTTCAGGTTGATAAATGAGTGCTTTTCTTCTTTGAGATTATGGGATATTCGAAATTCCTTAGAATGCACGTTTGAAATTTGTCTTGCTTAAAATATTTGTGAGAAAGCGGCCCTCTTCTATTTATCAGTTTGGGGTGACGCCTGTTGCGTTATCGATATACTATGCTCCCACCAGCAGTGCGAAATTATCGACATCTTCGCTTTCTTAATTCCTTTCATTCAGTCGCTGAAACAGAGAACGACATGGCAGCTCAGTGCCAGGACGACTCGCGCACTTCAAGTAAGTTTCCAATATTTTTATACTCTGTTGTTGATTAAATTTCTTATTCGGCAAATAATGTCTACTCTAGCAAAACTGCTCTCCCTCGCAAATGAAGAGGATGAAACCGAGCAGGAAGCCGCCGTTGTGCTTGTCGAAACTCGTAGCGAAAAAGTGCTGGATACAGTCGATGAAGAGCCAACTCGACTTTCGCCTGGTAAGTTATCAGTTTTATTTCTTACTTGTAGTTTTTAACGATATCTTTGAATTGACAAGAATTTGATTTTATTTATTAACAATTCAATCAGTGCCGACGAAAGATGCGTCAGAGTCAGTTGAAGTCAACGAGGACAACATCGATACTGAAGCCGAGAAGATGACAACAACACCTGAACTTGAAAAGCCAGATGACTTGGAAAAAGTTGATAAGGAGGAGAAGAAAGATTCAGATACGAAGGAAGATAAAGTGAACGAAAATAAATCTCCAGGTACATCAGTTTCCAGACTCATATCATAGGGTTCATTCAAATTTTAAGAGACAATTATCCATCGTGAAGAGCCGGTAGAGGTTCTTGAAGATACCCAGGCCGTCCAAGAAGTCGCTGCATTGGAAAAGCCGGAGAAAAAAGAAGGTGCGACAAGTGAAAGCGATGAAGAAGAGCTCAGTGAAATAACGACTTCGGAGAGCATCGGAACAAAAATCCAAGAACTGGCACGTATCGCTAGTCAGGCAGCGGCGGAAAATGAAGAAGAACAGCCGAAGAGCGATATTAGTGAAGAAAAGAGGAAATCTGAAACCGAGTCGGACGTTCTCGCGGAAGTGACAGAAAGTGCACCCGAGAAAAGTGTGATAGATCGTCAAGAGGAAGAAAATTATGAGCGAAAAGAATCTTCTAGCGCTGAGATACAGGAAAAATCTACTGAAGAAAACGCAGCAATGCTCGTGGAAGAAGATTTAAACGAGGTGAATGAATCCGTAACAGATGCAGAGGCACAGGAACCCAAAGAAGAAGTATCTCAAGAAAAAGTACCTGAGGTAGAACCTGTGCCAGCGGAGGTGATTTCAACAAACTTTTCAACGGAGACAGAAGTCACAGCCGCTTCTTTGATTACTCCGAATGATACTCTCGATAATGAAAACGAGAGCGATCCATCTATGCTCAATGTGGCAGACAAGGTAATTCGATGCACGTACGAAAATTTACTAACTATCTTATATCGTCATACGGGTTCATTGATCAACTCACATTTACTCATATCAAAGAGTTAAAGTGTCACTTATCCACCAAATCTCCGTAATGCATGATAAAAGAAGAGTAGTTGCATGTTGCACTCGTAGAAAGTTTAATTCAAGGTCACGCTTCATGAACGTTCCATCCAGCTCGTCACTGCTGGAATGATTCCATCACGTAAAAGCTCAATTCAGACCGACATCGCCGATTCATCCACCGTTGAAGGTAAACATCAATTTCAATTGCTTCCCTAGGGAACGATTAAATCCAGACTAGTTATACACTGAGGGTGATATTTTGACTTTTACAAATAATATGTATGAAAAGATATGACTAATTACAAAACTAAACCTTGAATTTATGCGAAAATGCTAAGAAAAACTTTCTGAGAATCAGTTTAACCAGTACCGTTTATAATATAGAAACTACAAAATGACTGCTGGCGCAAAAACTTACGTCTGTTAACATTCTTTCAGAAGTACTGCCAATCAGTACCAGAAAATCAAGGTCATCATCTTCATCTTCTAATGGGCATAAAGACGAAAATCCTGTTGAATCAACTCCAAATATCGTGGAGGCAAAAGAAGAGGCGCCAATCGAGTCTCCCGCCGAGCCAGAAAGTATTGAGATTGAGGGAGAAGCCTTGGCAACCTCTCCCGAAGAATCTCCACTTGAGACATCTGAAAAGAGAAGTTCTTCCCCTGAAGCGGCGCCACTTGAACCGGAAAAGTCTGCTGAGCACAAGACAGACCAAATTGCACCAGTCGAGAGAGTCGAGGCAACGGAGACTATTGAAGAGGAGAAAATGGTCGTTGAAGACAAGGAAGATACCAAGATGTCATCTGATGCTGAATCAGAACTAAAGGAGCCTCTACCAGAAAAAGAGGAAATAGAGGCATCGCTATCCCCTGTTTCTGACGAAACGAAGCTTAGTGTAGAAACTACCTCTTCTGTTCTCGATAATGACGATACTCAGGAGACCACTTCAACTTCCTTGGCAAATATTCCATCTCCCATCGAGCCTAACTCGCCAGCTGAAATACCTGATATGTCTGATGTCACTTCTTCGGAAGCACCCCCGATGAAGGAGCAAGATTCTAGCTCTGTTCCAGATGAGGAAATACCAACCGCAAAAGGTTGCATTTAACTATCTAACAGTGTCTTTATTTATATATTTTAGTTGTCGAATCTGATACAACAGTTACATCAGTAGAAACTCTTCCAGAAGTGCCGAAACCAGCAGAGGAACCAAATCGTAAGTAACGAGAAAATATGTTCCTCATTCCTGTATAAATTTAGTGGAAGACGATGCCACTGGGTCCGAAAATACAGTAACTGCGGAAAAGCCAGAAGCGGCGACTGATTCAAAGGAACCTGACGAAAATCTTCCCTTGGTGAAAGAATCGATCGACGTGCCAACGGAAACCCACGTCCCTTCTTCTTCCGACACTGAGTCCGAACCCACTGTCATTCTTCCCGAGAGTAAGCTCGAAATGGAGGAAACCGACTTGGCTAGTGAAATCGTGAAGGAAGTCGAAGAGCGAATTTCGAAATCTGAAATGGAAGCAAATAATCTCAAAGAAGTTAAGGCTGAGGAGAAATCCGAGGCTGACGTTCAGGTTGCTGAAGAAGTGCTCCAAAAAGATGTTTCAGAAGAAGTCGCTCCCGAAGAAGATTCCGTCGTTCAAGAGGTCGTCGCTGTAGTCGTGGACGAGTCTGCTGCGCCAGGTTTTAAGATTTTTATTCAGCATATAATTACTCTTTTCAGACGCTCCCGGGAAGCCACTCCGCTCCAAAAAGTCGCCATCATCGTCAGACAACGAGGAAACACCTGGCGCGCTCGCTGCAGAGAATGAAACCCCGAAAAATAAAGACGTCAAGGATGAACTTCCGACGCCAGAGTTAATCGACGACAAGCTTTCTGACGTGAGGAAGAAAAACAAGTCACGACGAAAGCGCGACATAGTCACCTGCAAGTGCTGTTAGTACAAGTGACTGTATTTAACTGTTCCAGCATACGACTCATATGAGAAACCAATCTCGACCCAACAAACACAAAACCCTAACCGACTTCAAACTGTTTACAGCTCTTTGGAGAGCAGCTGTATCATGCCTTTATTTAAATAGTAATCATTCTTCAGACTTTGTGCTAACCTCAAACCCTTCGCCTCTTCTTCCTACTCTACTCTCTATTTTGTTCTGCTTTTTCCTCTTTCCTTTTTCTTACTATTTGTCTTTTGTCAACTGTACAGAGACGGACACTAGTAACACGATGAAATACAATTGTAAAGAACTAAAAAATACCTAAAATTCAACAAAAAAAAACAAGTTTCACTGATTTCTACTCATTTTTACAGTCGCATATTTGAATTTCATTCATTTTTAGCAATCTTTTAAAAGCTCCCAATTATATAAAAAAGAAGTGTTTAAACGTTCGGTAATTGGCATGTTTGAAAAGAGTTCAAAAGTAAGCCTGCTTTATTTCGCTTATGCTAAGCCTGAATAGAGCGACATGATTTTTCAGCCTTCTTGTGAGGTGAAAAAACATTTTTTGAAATCTATATCTGTAAGTGTGTATTGTTGGTATTATGTTGCTCTAAGGCTTAGAGTCTAAGCTTTGCAATTTTGTCAGGAAATCAGATTCAAACATTCAATTTACTTCCAATGACGGAGTACGAATATCACTGTGGACAACATTGTTCATTTTTGTACAAACTGTATTTGCAGTCAGCGCGATAAACAGAGCTGGCCGAGAACTACATTTGCATCAGCCATTGCAGTCATAAAAAGGGAAGATAATAAAAAGCGCAATAGACGGGATTTTAAAATATGTGTTAAATTATTGAACAGCCATTTTAATGATAGAAGGCTATTTCAGGTACAACTATCTAAAACAATGCACCGCTTGTTTCTATACGCCCGTTGGGATCGAATTATGCGAACTCTTGTAAATTATACGTTATAATTTAACATTTTTATATGACGAAAAAGGCTCTAACAACTCTGTGTTTCTAAAATCTGAAATTTAGGACTCATTAATTATGAGCGTTGACTGTAGCCTTCAGAGTAGCATTCCCTCGTTCATTCTTGTAGCCTACAGAGAATAATCAACGGTCGTATAGAAAGCGCGGATGATGATAAAACTTTGAAACTTTAAACACCAAGTGAACTTAGGACGCACCGGAACTTGGAAAAATCATGGAACTTGAAAAGAGATCATGAAGGATTTGGGTTGTACAGTTTAAATACTTGTGGCTGAGAGAAACGGGGAGGTCTGTTCAGATAAGCTGCCAGTTCTGGCGTTTCAGAATTATGATTAGATAATATGTAAAGCAAACAAAACAACTAAACGAACATAACCTACATTAAACTCAGCAGACGAATTGCTGCTATTTAAATAGATAAACAGTCTACTGTTGAAAACAAAACTCAAACTCTTGGGTAGACATGATTATGAGCGGGTAAAAGTTGAATCATCGAAAAACATCCAAGTGGCAAACCGAGCCGCAAAAAAAAGCAAGATAAGAAGCTAGTTACGAAGAAAGATTAAGATTCGTTATTGTTTCGGTTTTCTTCTTCGATTTTCTTGAGATCTCTTTCGGTCTTGTTGGCAAAAATATGAAGATAGATAGGCAAGAAACCGCCAGCGATTGATGCGAGGAGCAGGGCCAAGTTAAGCTAAACATTTGATAGAGTTAGAATGTAGTTTGTCAGCTTACATAGTATGGGTTTCCATTAAGTACGTTGAAAACAAGAGATTCGAAGGGAATCATGATAAACGAGAAAGTTCCTCCGGCAATGGAGCCAAGGCCAGTTAACTTCCCGATGTGGGCCATGTGGAAAACCTGTTTTTCAGTTCATAAACTGACGTTCAAATTTGCGATCAGCATAAATTCAACAATAAGAATTCGGAACTGTTCCTGGACGTAGAGACCAGCGGCTGACGAATGAATAAGTGTTCTTATGACAGTGTGGAGGACAAATGTAATCACTTGGATATCAATGTTATCCTGGAGAAGGATTAAGTAACCGAAAACGAGTAAGCATCCGACAGTGATAAAATAGGCATCGCGAGTGTTGCGCAACTGCTGGACTCTCTTGTAGGTAACGCCGCTACTGTTATTTGATTCTGTGGCTTTGTCACTGTCGCTCTTCGCGGAGATAAGGGGAATGCCGTCGTCACGGTTGCTGGGTGAGTCTGCGATAGGTGTTGGGTTTTCTTTCGACTGCGCGAACTTGCGGTCCAAAACGTAGCCGATTGGAATAGACCAGAGAATACAGAGTGGTTGGAGGTAGCCAAAGAGCGAAGAGTTGTCGTCAACTATCTTTTTGATTTCTTGCTCATCTGTTATGTCCGACATCTTCGCCGCGTTCTCAAACCAGATTGTCATACTACCAATGTAGTACTAAAATATGGTCATAATTTCGCGATTACAGAACCGTGATTTACTTACAGAGAGCCGCAACACGGTGATGCACATAGTAATGAGGGACAAAGCACATGGGATGGAAAACAAGACGTCTTTGAAGGGTGGAATGTCTGAAGCGGAAATTAGTGGTACATCAAAATAATTATATACCATCAGCAGCTGTTTCTTTCTTGTCTTCATCTTTGTCGTCGTCGTTTTTGTTCTCTGAGCCTGGCTCAGGAATAGGCTCGACGGGGGTATCAACCCAACCCTCAATGAACGATGCGAGAGCAAGAGCGAAGTGCATAAGCATACAACCGCTAAAGGAAAGAATGCCCTTGTCGAATGCCAAAAAGAGAAGAGGATAAACAATAGCTGAAGCATTATAGGATCCGATAAGAAGAGCGCAGACGGTCGACCTTCCATTAGGGAAAAAGTTGGCAAGTTGGAAACCAGTGAAGATGTATAAAATACCACCCATGCCATTCAAAAGCACAGCAGGAGTGATAAGCCAGGCCATAGCTAGAGTAATTGCTGGAGGGATAAATAAAAAGACACGCCTCACCTCGAGGATCACTTTCAACCAGGACGAACAAGATGCAAGAAATGGCAAACCCGGCCATTCCACACAGTCGCAAAAGACGTGTTCCATATTTGTCCATGATGAGACCGTAAACCATTGTTGAACCAGAAAGGAATGAAGTACCGATTGTGTAGTAACTTCAATCAAAAAGTAAAAGAAACTCGAAGGACAAAACTTACGTGTTCATGTTAGATGCCTGCGCTGCACAGCCCATGACCCATTCCTTTTCTTCGACTCGCGAGGACCACTCATCAACAGAATAGTTGCTGAAGTATTTTGTAGAGCACAAATTCTCGTTCCAGAGTTTGTCCTGTTCATTGCCCTTCAGCGAACGAAAGTATTCGAGACCTTCATCATCTTGCTTTGCCAAGTAGTCGGATTTCCATTTGTCTGCATCAAAGTATTGACAATCCTCGATGCAGAGTTGGGACTAAATATAAAGAATGATAAGTTGGCCTGTCACGCTATTTCTTGATTGGCACTTTGAACGTTTTTTAAACGTGTGAAAAAGAGGTGTTAATAACTGGCCACACTCGTAAGTGACAAAGCTTTTAGTACTTGTAAATCAAACTGGAATAAAATACAGATATTACTATAAAGCGTACTTACGGCGCATCCGAAACTCAGCAACATGTTTTGAAGTGACGCCCAGCCAAACAGGGGAGCTGCAAAAAGCATATTCTCCACAATTGAAACGCTTTATTTCGGTTACAATTTAAGAGTTTAGGTTGAGTTTGACTATACGGCATTTAGATGAATTACCATAAGAATTTTTCGGGCAAAAAAATTTTTTTTGAGATATTGGTATATTCTGAAAGTCCAAGTCAAAATTAGTCGATTCCCAAATTTCTAGGGCTCAATGACGTCATTATGACGTCATTTATGATGAGTAAATGTCCGAAAAGGCTCCAAATTCATGAAACTTTGGAACGCTTTTTGAGGCTGTTTTTGCTGGAAATAGATTTTTCTATTGATGGCATGTTGTTCGCCATCAAAAACTACGTAGGGACCCGAGGTTTATTTTTCGAACCGACCGGTTTCAAAAATTGAACCGGTCGGTAATGGTTGATATTCAATGGTTTGATCCCGGGTCCCTACGTAGTTTTTCATGGAAAATCCGAATCCGTCGAGAAAAATAAAATTAAAAAACGTTTTCGGCTCGAAAAAGCGTTCCAAAGACAAAATTTTCAAATCAGCCCGATGACGTCATAATGACGTCATCTGACCCTAGAATTTGGTGATTCTGTATAACTTTTTACGGGCTTTCAGAATATACCAATATCTCAAAAAAAATTTTTTTGCCCGAAAAATTCTTATGGTAATTCATCTAACTAAATTAGTAGAATCTAGTAACCGTTCATGAAGACCGTCCATCGACGAGCCCGCACCGATTCAACAGTGGGAGGACTGAAGACTCCCATTAGACACGAACTCCCGTTCTTTCGATCTCTAGATAGAAAAGAGGATGAGGGGCGCTTTCTATGCGATTCGGAAGAATGAGAACGTGGACTTGTGAGAAAAAGGAATGGCAAGGGGCGTGAGTGAAAAGGAGCTGCTGTGAAAGAGCCGCGATATTCGATAAGGCAGTCCTGAGAATATATAATAAACACTGGGAAAATGACGAACGCAACTAGAAAAGATAAACTAATTATTGATTAGTAATTAATGCATTCAGGATCGACGTCAATTACATTCTAAGCTCTTCATGTTTGTGCTTACAGCGCGTATTCCAATTCAAATGCTAGTAAAAATAATCACGCCTATCCAAAAAGAGAGCTTCTCTCAAAATTCAAATCGGTCCCCATTTTAATTATTTTTAGAAGTATAAAAACAACGGTACTTTCTTATATATTATTAGTATATAATTTTGGCTATTTGTTTCTCGAAATAATTTATAAAAAATATGAAAACTAATTACCTAAGGAAGAAGTAAAATCTGCGCCAGAAGTTGACCAAGATTAATAAGCGCGCTTCTCTACTTGGCCTTATGAAGACCCATAAAAACAAAAATCTATGATGTGTGGCAATATTGGAACTTGTCCAAGAAGAGATCTACGAGACAGAATGACCTCGAAATTTCGCCCAATTATTTACTCAGCGCTGCTCAAAGTCTTTCCTCTGAACAGGTCGTTTTTTTTAAGAAAAATAGTAAATCTCCACTCTACAGATTTCTACTGGGGCCTCTGAACAGTTTGCGCCTGGGCTCGGCAATCTGACCTGAGTAAAACCCTGAGTCAGGCCTCTGAGTACTGAGTACACAGGGCCTGACCTGTGTGCCTGAGTAAAATCGAGGCCCGAGAAAAACCCTGAGCCTGACCCTGACCTGAGTTAAAAGACAGGCCTGAGTTGCTCACACAGGGCCTGAGTAAGCGAAAAAAAACACAAAAAAGGGTCAATTTGCAACGTCAAGGGGGTCAAAATACAACTGTCACTTGATTTTCCGTATTATGGGCGATTTTGTGATTAAAAGTTATATGTTATCTGCGAAAAATAAAATTGTTAAAATTTTGATGTGTGGAAAAACCCTGAGTTTTGGCCTGAGTCAGGCACCTGACCCTGACCTGAGTTCCTGAGTCTGAGCAGGCCTGACTGAGTACCCTGAGTACCTGACTGAGTGAGAAACCCTGACCTGAGTTCCTGAGTAAATATCAAGAAAAAATTTTTAACCCTGACCCTGACCCTGACCCTGTACTCAGGTTGCCGAGCCCAGGTTTGCGCTTTGAAAGTCACGCGGAATGTGTGACTTCTACCGGCGCGTCAAATAAATAGAGCTTAATTATTCTCTTTCTCTAAAATCAGATCCCTATTTCATAATTAGCAAATAAACAGGGTCAATATCGAGAGCAGATCATCTTTAGCAAGAAGTAATATTTAACCGTGGTAAGAGTGTCAAGCCGCTGCTCTTTCAATTTCTCTCTCTTTTTATCTTTTTCTCTCTAGAGCGAGTTCAACAGGGTGTACACTTGAGAGTTGTTTGTCACATGTTCTATTCTTGGAATTGTGTTTCGGGCAGACAAATAATACTCGGCTGTCCAGAAAATTCAAAAGAAGCGAAACATTCATTAAACAATTCTTCATTAGCGAGCGCGCCATTCCGCACGAAATATATAAGATCACCGTCTTTATACTTTTTCGTAGGGTCTAACTAAAATACTATTCGCCCAAAAAGGCAACAAATTGGGAATCTTACCGAGTTCCAAGGGGATTTATTTCCTTCACTTTCATTATCTGTTGATCTGAAAGACACGTGACTGTATCCGTACTGTGAGTCGTGTTTTGTCCCGTTAATGTCTTCACATAGCGCGATTTTCTCGGGAGGCAGCAATCTTTTCGAGATCGCATTAAACTAATCAATCGTAATTTTAAATTCTTATTCTGGTTCAGATGGTAAAACTATTTTTCCGTGCGCAACTCACCTCGCCACAATGAAACATGCAATTCTTAACAGGAAGCTCGACCCACTCCCCTCTTTTGCCATCGACAGTGATACTTCGGAATAAAAGCGTTTTTCGTCCATTATTGTAAAGAATATTGCTCACAAATTTGCGATTATTGACAGCTATTATTCGTTTAAAACTCGAGTAGCCAATACCAAACACGACGGCGTAAGTTGCAAAGTTTATGCCACTGTCTGCCAACGCCTGCCATACTTGCTCGATGTTGTCTGATTTGTAAGAGTGCTCTTTGGAAGGGATCTCAAATTGGCGCCTCTCAGCCAGGGTTTAAAAAAAAACAAATCGCCCTCGTCCTAGGTACTGGTCTAGTAGCTCGTAGTAGATGGAGCTCCACTCGTAGTCAGGCCGCTCCATCCATGTGATAAAAAATGGCAAGAAAGTACACACGGCTTTGATGCGTCTCAGCTTTGAATAGAAGTCCTCTCTCACTAATTCATTATTCGCCTGCAGCAGTAGCACACTTCCGTCTGCAATTTGGTACCGCTCAAAGATATCATTTCGTCGCCTCAATGTCGAGTGAAACCCACGCCCAACTCTCAAGAATGACATTCTGAAAGGAAACCCATCGTTAGCACGAATCAACTCTCAATAATCTTATCCAAGTGATCAAGTACAGAAATGGAGCTTTTGAGCGCAATCTTAATGAATGTTTCCAGATCAGAGAGTGAGTTCGAATCTCGTTTCATTAATTCCGAGTTCTGAAGCTTCGTTCGTTGATGCTGATTTATTGTTTTGAATATCTGCTTTTCAAAGTCATCCAAATCCTCTAGCTTATTGGATCCTAGCTCGATTTCAAGCTCCGTAACTTCTCCATTCACAGCCTTCTTTTTGACTCTTTTACCATCTTGTTGAATGCTGGCTTTTCCATAACGATAATCGCCAAAAGCACTCGAAATGATTCTACCAACTCTTCGTCTTTTGATACACGAACTGAATAAAAAATAATGAAGAAAGAGTAAAGACATGCTTTTACCTTCATCCATAAACCCGTGGTTCTGTAATAGCTTGATCTTTGCTTTTATTGCTGGAATTTTTGATTCGTACTCGTAAATGCCGCTTTCGATCGATTCTGGCGATAAGTAAGCATCATCCGCGTCATTTGCCTCTTCGGCAAAGCCATACATGTGAAGCAGCCTACTGTTCGACATATTTCCAAAAGTGTTGAAAATCTCTTCTCCTGATTTAATTTTTTTCGTTGCATTTATTGTGTGGTCACCAGTGTCGTCACTAAAAAGCTCACGAATTTGAAGAAAAAGGTTCGACTAACTCTATCTCGATTCTCGCATTATTATCTGCTGTATGGTTGAGCAGATCGCCAACAGGCATCATCATTCGGAATTTGTGTTCTTCTGTCTCTTCTTTCTCGCAAAACAAATCTTCCTCTTGTTCTTTTACTTCTTCAAAAGAATAGCTCATCACAACTAGAGAGTACTGTTTGAATTCTTCTTTTAGTACGTCAATGCTCTTGTTTCCAAATCGTTCTGGAAGCTTTTCCACAACTGAAATTCTAAGAGTAGAACTTTGCGACTCCACGAAAACCAACCTTTTTTAGCCAATAACCAGTCATTTTCAAGCCGTTCGTTATCATCGTCAATTTGCTCCTTTAGGCCGAGCAAGTCCAATGCATTCTCATTTCTTTTGCCCCAGTAATGAGGAAGAGTTTCTGACTTCTTCGGCAACCAATTTAAATAACCCTTGAAGTCGGAGTTTGCAGCGCATTGTTCCGCCATAATCGAGAGAGTAAGGGACACCCAGTTATGCTTTTCTACGTCGAGAAAGCGTTTGAACGCGTCCGCAAGAAGATCCGACTTACATAGGACTGAGTTTTTTCCAATTCTGTGAACTGAGGTCGGCAACATATTTTACACTAACTGAAGATTTTAAACACTCGTGCTCATTAAAGACCTCGACTAACAAGCTCTTCTTCATCCTCGATATCCTCTTTGGCCAAAAGGCCGTGGCCTGCGATACACTGACTCGAGAACTCGACTTTATTTGAAATGCTTATATCGCGCGCACGACACCAACTCTCGAACTCGACAAGTCTTGCGTCTCTCGAGCTAACCTTTGCTTTCTTTCGTCAGGATGCCCACTGATCTTTGCTTTTTCTAGGTAAGTAAGTGCACTCCCTATCCTTTGCATCCTATCCTTGCATGGAACTGGGTATTCAGAGTCAGAGTCACTCATTCTAAAGAAGCCTACGTAAAAAAAGAACTGCGATTGAATATTTATTTATAAAAATACTATTGTAACGAGTCTCCTGCAACCAATAAGACAAGAATTTACAATTCTCGATGATGTTTATTTCCCCAAGGGTCTCGAAAATCTTCGATGCCTTGGTTTATCCCATTTTTTGATTTCTTTTTCCGAATTCATAGTTATGTAAAATCGAGAGAGTTAAACCAAGAATTAAATACGCCCCAAATTGAATTTAGGGACTACGAGGAAGACAAATACAAAGAAATTTATACAATAGGAATCTTAGCTTATGGAATTAAGTTGGTCATTGAATGTTGATCGAGCGGAGGTTTATAGTAAGGTCGTAGGAATATAATTCTTTCGGAAGGTAAAACACAGTTAGTTACAATTTTCTAAGGGATGACCACAAGCTGAAGAGATCGGGAAAGTAAAATTAATGAGAAAAAAGAAAAATAAGAAAATGGGCAAAATACTTGCCATAAAGACGACAAATAGAGTACAGAAGGCGAGGAATGAACTCAACAAGGTAAAAATCATGCCACCCGGTAGATGATTTTCTAGGGGAACTGACACGTAGCTATTGGCTGAACTGTCCGGCATTGTGGTCAATTCGACTGAAGCCCGTTTCGCTGTAAGGTGACAAGCGATAAAGCACCGGAGAGGAGGGAGCGTCCTCCTCGAGCCGTGGCCGTTTGGCACACTGCTTCGGCGGGCGGTTTTTACTTTGCTTGAGGCCATCGTTTTGCAGGTAACGGTGGAGGCTGCGCGGAACTACAAGTTTGGAGACGACTGAATTCTCAGTGGATGGTAGTGAAAGACGGACACTTCGTCGAGCGAGCTCCTATAATATAGTTTAAACATTTCTGTTTCGAAAGGAAAAGCTACCTTGAGAGTAAGTGGAGCGCGGGAATAATTTATATACTTGAGAGTCACTTCGCAGTGTCCCCAAACGCACGAGACGGTCGGGAAGATCTCCCTTCCGGAAAGTCCTTCGAAGGCCCAGCCGAGCCACTGACCATCAGCAATGAATCCTAATTTACCAGCATCCATATCCAGAGCCATGTAGAACGAATCGGGTACGGTGTAAGTCAATTCCTGAAGACGGATATATTACTCAATAATTGAGTCTCAATGCTAATTAAAAAAAAACTTACGGATTCGTCTATCTTTGGGTATGAATGGTAGTTGTTGTTGACGTTGGGACTTGAAATGAGGCCAACGGGGGTGCGCTGCTGGTCATTGTGCAGCAGTATATTTCTGAATGAAACTGTAGAAGGAACAAACAGTTGGAAAAATATTACCGTCCTAGATCCCAGCCCCAGGATTCGTCGTTTCCGCCAACCAGGGCTTGATAACCAGCAGCGCGGAGTGGGGCAGATTTTGTAGCGACGCCAACACAAGCGTGCGTTCCTCGCTGAGTTGCCAGCCAAGTAACCTCCCAGAGGTGAACGCCGCAGGTATAACCGACTGCGCCTCTTATTGAGTCTGTCGACTGACTTACTGGACGGCGATGAAGGGTCAGCCCGTCGTCCTAGTCGAACATTAAAAAATCGTTTGTAGAAAGAACAACTTACCGTTATGTAAATATTTATAGATTTGTCGTCTTTGCTCCAGGAATTGGCACGCTGGACTTCGATGCTGACAGGATGCTGGTCTTGTATGTGTTGGATTCGGTAAGGGATTGTCTGAGTGACATGAGATTTCATCTTCCTTTTCAGTGACGATTTTTCCCTACCCAACAGTATTAATAACCAGAAGACTTTAGCGCACTTACCTTTTTACTTGTTCAATATATACGGGTTTGATTTGGCCTGAGCGCAACCGCATGCCAGTACTCTGTGCTGCAATTAATGCTCTATCCTCTTGTTCTTGTTGTTGATCTCCCCATCTGAGGATCCGGCGACAATCGCGACGTCGACGTCGATTACCATGACTGACGTCTAAAAAAGTATTTTTTAAATCTCTTTAGTTATCTTAGAGTGAGGGATAAATACGAGACCTCCGACTGGGCTCTGTCGGTCGATGTGTCTAAGCGGCGGCTTTCGACAAAAGCGCACCATTTTATTTTTCTTGTTTTTTTATGAATCGAGGATTTGGCTGTCGATATAAAAAAAAATGCGATTAGAAATGAGGGTTTATCATGTCATCGTGTGAGTGAATTCTTATCAGCTCCCAGCGCGGTTCTTATTGTTAGACCTTCACAACAATTCGCAGACATAGTTGAGAAGCGCAAACTGGGCGCAACTCCATTGTTGATAGAAAGCTGGCAGAGCCTTGACTTACCTCTAATAGTATCTTCAGACTGTACAGTAGTATCTTCGAGCCGATTTCGGGATGTGCCGAGGGTGTTTACATGCTTGGAAACCAAACGCTTTTTTGGGATTTTAATCTGACACTAAAACTATCAAAGGTCAAGTTGGAGATTAGTTCAAAATCCGTTCCGATGATCTCCTGACGCCCCGATGGCTTTTCATCTTCGAGGGCATCGAGACCTGTCCCGCTGTCAGGACAAAATTTCTATCTCCGCTGCAGACTCCCTCCTCCAGAATAGCTACTATTGATATAAATATCTTCCCGATAACATTCTAGAAATCACAGTTACATAATTTAAGAAGAAACAGAGACACTTATAATTACGGATGAAACCAAGCCTCGATCAAATTGAAAACGCCGTGGGAGACTGTATCAATGCGAACAAGAGCCTGTTTATCACCAATTTATTGACAATATAGTGTGATATAAAAATCGTTTTTCTGCCAATTAAAAAATGGCTGATTGGCATAAGGCGAGCTGGTATTGATGGATAGGTAACAGTGGATTTTGAAACAGAAATGCGAAGTACAGAAAACAGAAACCGGCAGTAAATGTGAAGTAAAGTTATAGTGCGTCCGATGACTCCATGGTCAAGTTGTAAATTAGCTGGTGCCCCTTATCCCAAGCATAAATTCGCTTGTCCCGAGGGTTGTAATCGACCATGGTGTTCCATTCAAACTTGTTCGTGAACGGAATGTCAACGTATTTGTACGTGTCTTAAAAGTAAAAAATCAATACCTCTGAGCTTATTTTTCAACTTGGCATGCGAAAGTGAAAAGTAGATCTCTCTCTTTCTGAGGTCATACCTGTGTGGGTATTGTAGATGTAATTCAGGGAGGTATATTTTTCATCGTATTTCTTCAAGACATAGAGCACGCCACAGGCCATGAATGCATTGCCAGACCACTGTTTACGCCAGTTAGTTCTGTGCGTTGTCTCGATCTCGAGCGTGTCCATATTCAGCTTCGAAATAACTGAAAACGCGTTACAGCTTAACAGTAGAGCGCGATCAGACAGACCTATGTCTAGCGAGTTTTGTAGCGTCGCATATATAAGCCATAAGCCGCACTCGTCGTAACTCAAGTCGAAATCAGTGCTGCCTGCCCACTGATACGGCGCCATGTTTCCAAAGGCGGCGTCACGCACTTCCACTTCGTTAACGATCTTTTTCTCTGTCGTTGAGTACTGAAGGTATGCTTACTTGCATTGTTTATATTGTTAGGGTCTCATCAAATGTCCTCCAATAGATGAATGGACACAAGGCCCCAAAATGGACTAAAATGTCATATCTCGTTTATTGGTCGTGCTTTGTCTTTGTGTGAAGGAATGTGTTGTTATGGAAGTTAAATCTGTTCTAATGTGTTTCAGTGTAAAGATGGGGAGCAGTTAAAATGGGTTAGCTACCTCACGGTGCGCATCGGGGTGCATAGCACCATGATGCAATCAAAGCGATGTAGTGTCAGGATAAGATTGATGGGCACTAGATACGACACTACAGTATAAAATAATAATACTCGCTATTGAGCATGCATTATTATGGTAGATGCTATTGTTAAACTATGATATCAAAATATTACCTGGACAATATTGGACGTGTTGAAGCGATTGAAGTAGATACAGTCATTTATAACCAAATGCCCCGTCCCACCCCAGTTATAAGGCATTGTGAACACTTTAGGTTTTGCCGTCGGCTGCCGAAACTCGTGGATATTCTCGAACTGGATAACTTTTGCCGGGGTAAACTCTCGTTTTTTTCGTAAAAATAGAAGCTTATAGGTAACTAAATAAAAACCCGCATAATGCTTAGGCGTTGTGATTGTATACTTTCAATATTTGAACAGAGAGGCCCCTCGCCTTTCGCGTTCTTGTAAAAATGTTCCATGATATAAACACGTTCTGAATTGATCTGCGAATCTGTTCCCCAGAAGCCAAACATTCTACCTGACTTCTTCACAAGCTCAGGATCTTCTACGTGACTGATAAGACCGCAACCGATTCCCATATCCGGAACATACATAGCTTGACTTTCCTCCATCACAACAAAAGTTTCGTCGTCTATATATTTACCGTTAAAGGTTTTTACTAAAACCACATTATTAAATTCATAATAGAGTCTAAATAGATCATTAATAGACTATTAATAATAGTCTATTCTATGTAGCTATGATGTTACCATCGTTAATTTCGTAAACAAAGAAAAGTTCATCAATGAGTTGCGAGTGATATGCAAAATATTGACAAAAAATGAGGTCAATAAAAGTCCTATACAAAGATATTATCAACCGTTAACACTATCATTGATAAACTTATTTAAGCAGCTCTATTTGTCGTTGATTGGGGCAAACAAGTTCTCCCGTAGAGTTCGGTCGCGCAAATATCCCAGTTCAATACGCTTACCAAGAATGGAATAGGGCGTGTGGCGCAGCTTGACGGCAGCTTCGCCCAAGATTGCATGTTTGAGTCGTTCGGAAGTGAGCTCCATGACGATCGCACGAGGTCCTTCGTGGTCACGCCCGCCAACTCTGTTCGCACGCTCGATGTCCGAAGCTTCGATTTCAAAGCCCAAGTATTCCAGAAGCTCGGAAACCTTTTCATTTAGTTTGAAAATGCCTGGACTGCCGAAAGTTTAACAAATAAAAAACGCACTTGAAAGCATTTAATATTTTTAATAACATATCCAAACTATCCTTTTCCGCCGTATTTTCATTTCCCTGGCCTTCCTCTGGAATTCCCTTGAGACGCAAGAACTAGAGTATCCAATAAGCAAAGAGTTGAAGGAGGGGAACCGGTTTACCTTGGCGCGCTGGCCTTGCTTGATCTGGCGGAGGGAGTGCGAGTGGTGCCTCGCTTCGGAGCGAAGCTCCTTGTTCAAATCCTGCAAGCGATGAGCCGTTTCATGTTCAAAGGTCAGATCTCGCTCGAGAACCCGCAGCGAAGATTTCGCCTGAATACTGTATTCTTATCAAGCTCGTAAGAGTGCCTTTATTACCCTTATGAGATATTCTATCGATTTTGATTGTCTCTCCGACCATATCAAGGTGCATACAGAAAAGAGAAGAGGCCACAGAACGAGGGCCGAAAATTGAAATAAACTAATAGTAGACATTCGACAGCATACTAAAACAGAATCTTTCTTAGAGTTGCCCAAATATTCATTCATCTGTTATTAATTGGCAGTCAAAAGAATGTACATTAGAAATATATTTCTTCTCAAGACGGTCACTTTTTGAGAAAATCGCGGACATCCGACGCTGATATTGCTTGGAGATGACTGAATGCAGCTACTTTGTCAGATCCCTGTGCCTTTTCTAGACGATCGGCAGCTTTTTTCAGCGCCTCGCGTGTCTCATTTATGCTGGTTTCGATGATCTTCATATCAGACTTTAGCATATCTTCCGCGTCACCCGCCTCATACTGTATAAATGGCGCACCTTTGCCAGAATTAGCTTGAATGTCCTTATAAAAGACGCCTTACCGAAGTTCAGCCAGACGGTTTGATCGTTGGTCTTCTGCAGGGCGCGCCAAGCTAATCTAGCTTGATCTTTTTGCTTATTGAGCGCGAGCACTTGATTTTTGAGGCTTAGAACTTCTTCCGCGATCATTTCTACATTTTTGACTTGTTCTTTCACTTGCCAGAGGTTTTCTACCGAAGCGAGTTTCGAGTTCATTTTCCCTGTTCTGAAGAAACAACTACTATCAGTCAATAACAGTAGATAAACTCAAAAGAAGGGATATATGAAACTGTGATATGTTTCATTCAACGGCATAAGTTAGTAAAATTGAAAAAAATAATTTTCAAAACTTAATCGATCTTCTAAGAAAAACTCGAGGGAAAATGAAAAAGGGTTGAGATTTCAAAGTTGAGTGAACGTGCGGCGTGGGCGAGTACTCATTTCTGCCCAAGGGAAGAAACGACGGTCGACGCGCGCGACCAGAAACCACTAAAATGATAAAAATCATCAAATTTCGACAAATAAGCAAATCTAATCCTCCGAAACCAAAGTGAGAAAAAAACCTCAATAAGGATGCATATTGGAGAGATTATTTCAGCGATCAACCTTGTCATTTCCTTCTGCTTTCTGGTTTTTGGGGCGATGGTGCTTACGTGTTTAGGAGGGATAGAAATTAAAATACTGGTAGTTAGCGAGTATTAGCGTTGATCTGAGAGATATCCTCTAAAAGACGAGCTCGAGCGCGGACAAAACTTGAATATGTGGTGCAAGGATACCGATGAAACGACTGGGGTTGTTTTAATCTTAGCCGGAATGGGCTGTTTAGGTAGCATAACATTTTCTTCGAGGCCACTATCTCCTGCCGCAAGATATACTAAAACCCCTCAACAAAAACCTTTTTAGCCATCTATGTCTACATTTCTGGAGCCGAAGAGATGATCACACAATATATCAACAAAGGACCAGCGTCCAAACTTTATAAGGTCTAATGTACAGATGAAAAAATATCCATGCACTGACAGCACAAAATTATTCATTCTTGCAAACTTGGCTTGTTGAACAATAAAAGATATTTTTTTCTATTTTACTTTTGTATGTATTGAACAGAGGAACGACGATGATGAGTTATCATGCAGAAAAGGAATTAGAAAGTACAATAGTATTAATTTTTTTAGTTTGAGAAACACTCGTTAGTTGGAAAAGCTTGTCAGTGGCAGAGATTATTTTTTGTACTTTGTGGTTGAGCAAAGTAGATTTTACACTTTCAGCAATGGTTTGATTTTAGGTCATCAGAAAACTTAAGGGAGTAAAATGGATAAAAGAAAAGAAAACAAAGATGATTGGGGAGTAAATGTTTTTTCATTGTTTCGGGATAATCAGAACTTGACGGTAGTTACAGTTGTTTGAACACCGCGTCTCTTCAACAGAGATACTCCTCGAAAAGGTGATCATGCAAAGACGCTAAGCATGAACTTTGGCAAAAGAAAAGTGAATTGAAATTGCCCACGAAACGGGCGAACGAATGAGACTTCTTGCTTGAGAAAAGATAAGACTCAAAATAAAGAGAAACTGATCGTTCCCAGAAAGCAGCAATTTAGCTTCAAGGGAAATCGATGACGTGAAGTTTAATTTAGCTTCGTCGGCGGAATAACTTTTATTTGAATAGTAGTTGGATAGAAGAAGTACCTCTGTTTGAGGATAGCCTGGTGCGTTGGATGAGGGAATGCTGCGAATTGGTTGAAAAAGCATTAACTAATCACGTTGGCCTGTTATGAAATTTGAATTGACGGTTAGGTTGCTCCGTGTCAGTAAGTTAATGAAGGTATTGTGCGAAAAGTTCAAACAATTGGAGTAAAAGGCTTTGAGCATAAGTTACATTACATGTAGAATCAAATTGAAAATAAGGATGAATGTGAAAGGAATTTCTTATGCACATTTGAGATTGAGAAGAACATTGTACTGTTTTCTATAACGTATGTTAGCTACAGTGTTCTTGAGAACTGAGATATTTCAGAGCATGAAGCCTAGCTCGTCCCGTGCGAAAGTGAGAATGCTTCTTAGACAGAGGTAGTCAGCTAGTCGATGGCAGATGCGATTTAGGAGGCCTTACTCCCGGTGAAATCTAGTGTAGAATTGACTCTCTTCGTGGACCTCCATCTCGTTTGCCTGGGAAATTTTAGAGTTTTCGAAAATGCGAACTGAAGCAAGTTACCTTGTATTGATTTAGTTCCTTTCGAATAGAAGCTTTCTCCGCAGCAGTCAGTCTCGTCCAGGGCTTGTCAGCGCGCCGGTCAACGTACTGAATCTCGTAGACATCAACGTATTCCTCAAATTTGATAACATTCTTTTTCATCAGAGTTTGAACCGATGGCCGTTGAGACAGACGCCTCGAAAGTTCCCTCTTGATTTTCTCCTTTTCTTCGCGCTGCTCTTGATTCGATTTGACTTTGAGAATACCGCGTTCTTTGATTTCGCTCGCTGATGGTCGTTGCGACAGTCGTCGAGAGAGTTGAAGTTTAATCTTAAAGAGGGTTCAGTTAGTTCAGCGATGGGATGATTCCACGAACGTTATTTTTCTGTTCTTTGTTATCGTCGCTTTGCGCTTTTTCCAATAAACTCTTGATTTCTTTCTGACGAGCAATGGTGTCGCGGCGCGCAAGTTGCTGGTGAATCGAGCTCTGCTCTTTGTAATCAATCGGCTCGTCGTCCTCGGAATCTAAATGGATTTTTCAGCTCTTTATATCTATTTGCGGTGGTTACCAGATATGCAAGCTTTTTGGTTGATCTTTTCTTGTACTCTTAGGACTGCCTCCATAACCGATCTGTCAGGCATACTGTCGCCATGATTGCCAAATGGCGAAAGAATTGGTTGTCCGGAATGGCCACTGTTGCCTAGATTGCTCGTACTCTTCTTTGTATTGTACAAAGCACGGATTTCGTTGCCTTTCGCGAAGGCAGTCTTGTGAATGATGATGGTAATCAATAGTAAATTAAATCTTATTACCTTTGAGGTAGATACTTTTGCTTGATCTCCGCCATGGCTACGAGGACTGACTGGGTTTCGATGCATTGAATTCGTTGAGTCTTGATCTTGGCTGTCGCTAGAACATGTCGCTAGAAGAAGTCAGAAATGATGGTCTTACTTTTTGCTCTTCGGCTTTCTGCTGATTTCTCGGGTGCCTCTCTCTTCTGGTGTCCAGTTTTGTGACTGAAGGAGGTTAAAGATTCAAAGAAATTCGGATAGGGACTACTTGATTTCGCTCTTTTAATTTTCGTGCCAGTTCATCTTGAAGGCCAGATGACTGCGGATGCTGGCTTAATTGGTGAGGGTTTTGCAAAGATCCGACTCTTTCTTCATGTTTCTGATCGCTTGGGCCTCGCTGGGGCAGATTCTGGTGAGGCATGTCCGTCAGCGTAGTGGAATCGAAATCGATTCCATCATCGTAATCACCTTGATCGTCTTCGTCTGGCTTCGAGGGAGTCGACGGGGCTGAAGCTTCATTATTCGCAAGAAATATAATCATACTCTTTACCGGAATCTCGCCTTTGCTTAGGCTTGCGCGAAAACCATGACCTCATTTTGGAAAACATGCCTCGTTTGTCTTTCGCTTTGAGGCCTACAGTATCAATCTCGTTATCAGACATTGAACGTAGTGGCCCCTTGGAGTTCCTCTGCTTCCCCCGACCGCGGATTGACCAGCGAGAGCGGCTCATTCATGGGTCTAGGTTGAGTATCCTCGTATGATACAGTCTAAAATACAAATATTAAACTCGAATTCGTAACTCGATTTTGAGCTTTTTTCTGTGGCAGTTTTTCAGTGGCAGGGTGTGAAGTGAGGGGTTAAAGCTGTGTCACAGCTGTGAACTATCATTAAAAAAATTTACAGATTAATGTGGACGTATTCTGTCTACTCTTCATCACTCGAAATTACAATGACTTCTTGATTCGGCCGGCGTCGTTTGGGGAGAGCTGCCCAGAAATCGGCAGCCACGGGCTCATCGACTTCTGCCATCGGCTCGTGGCGCTCAATCACTTGATCTAGCGGGACATCGTCATCATCCTCGCTGAATTCTTCGGCTTTATTTTCGTCATCTTGGCCTTCGACAGCGTGCTCTTCTTGATTACCCGCATCGACTGGTCGATCTGTCTCCTGCTTCTCGACACGCTCTCCCGCGTCGGCTTGCTTCTCCTCTTCAGCGGGATCTAAAAAAGACCGTAGAATCGGACACAGAACATGTTATTTACTATATTCATCCAACGTCCATTCTTCTCCTGGACCATGTCTGCGTTCGTAATACGCCCAACGTGTTAACCAGTGACGTTTTGCCTCCGCGCCTTCTTCGCTTCCTTTCTTAGGCCACGGCCAGACAGCCCGCTGCTTCTCAACCTTGGCCTAAAATGATATTCATATCAAGAATGAAACTCAAAGAGTACCATCTTCTCCTTGGTAATTGATCCTTGAAGAGTCCAAGGCTCCTTGGCTATCCAGGAACCATCGGACCATAGGGTCCAAACCCTCCAGTTGCTGACTTCCCAGGAGCCGTCATTTCGTTTTCGCCACTCGGGCATGCGAGAGTTGTCGATCTTCTAAAAAAATATTTTCTTTTCGAAATCCCTAAATCATGATCTTACCTCGAGTTTCGGCTCATCGTTCTTCTTAACTCTCTCTCTCTTTTTTCGCGCCATCTTTCCTTTCGCTTCCATACTTTTTCTAAAAAAAATAAAAAAAGGTTAACGAATATTCGATAAACACAAGTAGTTTTCAATGTTTTCATTCTTGTTTGGGAGAAAGCGGCAAGTGCAAAGAAAAGAAATGTCTAGAAATGCTGTCTTTGAAAGACTAGAGAAAAAAGGCTTCGGAATCCATTTCTAGACTTTGTTCACTTTCTTTCTACCTTATTTCTGGTTTTTTGGTAACACTGTACTAGCTTAGGAAGAAAGCCACCAATAAACAATGAAAACATTGAATCCCATAAATTGCTAATTTAAAATAAAAATTAATTGCAGCGGAAAAAAGTAATCATATGAGCATGAAATGAACTAGAATAAGAAAATGAAAAATTGCACAGAATCGGGTTCGGAACTTAGATAAGCTTAAAGTTCGCCTTCTCTTTTGATTGCAAGCAGTTCCACTTCAAAAACCAAGGCCGCGTTTGGTGGGATTTTGGCGCCAGCACCAGAGGATCCGTACGCCAGATCTGACGGAATCTTGAGCCGTCGCTGCTCCCCAACGCACATCCCAACAAGACCCTGAATAATGCATTCAATTGACGCGTCGCCACTTTGCAATTCGCGCAGATCGACATTAATAAAGAAAACGCACCTGATCCCATCCTTTGATCACCATTCCTTGGCCGAGTGTGAATTCGAATGCTTGGTTTCTGTCGTGGCTAGAATCGAACTTTTCGCCCGTTTCCAACAACGTTCCAGTGTAGTGCATCGACAATCGATCGCCCTTTCGGGACTTTTGGGTGCACTCATCTGCGGAAACGCGCTTTTTCACGCCGATTTGCAACTAAAAAACCCTCTCTAAATCAATCAAAAAAGTTGAAACGCAAGGAATGAAATGTTCAACAGTGCCTGTGATTGCACTTGATTTTTTTTAGATTTAAAGTCGAACTAGCTCTTTGTTGAATATTAATTTTGCAAACCTTGTCGAGACCAAGGGCGGAGGCGAGCAATGCGAAACTGAGCAACTTCATTCTGAAAGAGTCGTCGAGTTAGAATCCAATTTGAAATTATTGCACCTTAGAATTGTGTCAGAAATAGATTTAAACTACATAAGAAGAAGAAAAACAAGTCGCGTCTTGCTTATTACAAATCAGTCTTTTTGGCTCTTCCGATAACGGAAATTTTGGCAACCTCGTGGCCGAAATCATCAGTGCTTTCTACAATAGATTTTCCGCGTTGTTTAGTCTCGGGCGTGAGCAGACGTCTTTCTTCGTTGCCGTACACAACTAGCAATATCAATTTTACTGTCTGTTCTTAGGGTTGGCCGAGGAACTCTGGCAAAGTTCAGAAAAACAAAAACACCACCACGTATTGTTAAAAATTGATTCTTGCACGAGGCGTGTTCACGAAGCTGTTTGGGAGTGGATGTTTTTCCGAAATTGACGAATTTGTATTTTTGAAATTACCGAAATGCTCGATGGATGCGCCTTCGATCTTGAGCGTGAACGTTTCTGTGTACAAATAAGTCATTTGGTTATCCCTGGAAACCGTGCAGGAATAGCCCGTGCCATCTGCATTTCGACCGACAACCATGTTCCACGCCTCGTTGGTACCTCCCTGGGTGATGTATGTGTAGGTACATTTAAACTCGCCCTAAAAACTCGCTACAGAAAATTTACGAGGAGAACGAGTTTCTACCATTGACTTGGAAAAAGAGTGCTCCTCGCCTCCTGGATAGACAATAAACTCCTCTTCTTCGTGGACATCATTTGCCGACGCGAGGAATGGGAGCAAACATGCAATCAATCTCATTTCTCAATCTCTAAAAAGCCTCTCTTACGTTTGGAGCAAATCACAAAATAAAATGACGCAAAATGTCTTTGTTTATGTTAGGTATAAAAATATATTGAATAAGAAAATAAAATTGCATTTTTGAATATGAAAGTTCGTGGAGGCTCATTCAACGCGGTCAGTCGGCGTAACCGTCGAAACTTTTTGAAGGTAGAGGCTTGGCAAGTTTGGATTCCACCAATTGGTACACGACGTTCTGATCCTAAAGGAGCAAATCCTTTAGCTGGGGAAGAGGCGGTGAGCAATTACCTGGTCGGCATTGATCATTTGGGGATCGGTGTCGTTGAGTACGTCGAGGATGTCGGGCAGCTGGTTATTGAAGTCGTTTACTCTCTTTTTGACACTTGCCGAGTCATCCATTTCTCTTGATTCATTTTTAAGACGGGATTTTTTTTGGGCATTACCTCTTGACAAGTCGGTTTCGAATATTCTCAGCCGTTGCTGGATTGTACAAGGCATGATACTCTCTGCCTGTCAAAGAGTCGACCATTCTGTTCGCCAGTCGCTCGATTATTGAGTTTTCGCTAAAACACTCTTCAAATTTTGTTTGTCGACTAATAGTCGACGACCATCATATTATTAATAAAACGCTTGTAGTAAGCAACATCGTTTCTTGCATGCTCGAGAATCTATCAATTTCTAAGCAGTAGACTGCATGGGAAATATTTTTGACTTTCATAATTGGTTATTGAATCAATCAAAAATCAAGCCCGATAAACAAGTTATTTTGACGAGGCTCTAGGATAGCATCGGTGGCATGTGAAACAATATTGTTGTCTCGCTCGATTCGATTGTCTAACCTGATTTGGAAAACAACAGTTCTGTTTGGGAGAATATTTGTAGACGCCATCGCCTCCCCAAGGTCGTAAATGCACTCCACGGGATACGAAAAAATAACCCATCCGTTTAACACTGCGTCCTCTCTCTCAAGTCGACTAAAGAATTTGATAAAACCGCTGCTGTAAGCAAACAAGTCCTACTCTTTCAGAATATACTCCAATGCTCGTTTCGTTACAATACCATCGTTTCTCAATATTTCTTGGCCGATCCTGGTCTTGTTCAATTTTTCCTGCTCAATCAGAAGTTTCAAGTCTAAATGTTCGCATCAAATATTTGATGATTCATGACTTCTCAACAGGTGTATAATATTTTATCCTTACCGATTGGTACCATGCCCCAGATCTTGTGAAGGCGTTCTGCAACCAGTCTCTTTCCGGAACCAGTGGGGCCAAGGAGAAGTGCCTTCGTAACCACGCGAGCCTTCGACATTGGCCTTTGGGAGACGATTTCTGAGGCAATTTTCTTGACGTCAGTGAGTGGCTGATCGCAGTTGATCTTGTGCTTTTGATACGGTTAGAAGTTTTTTGTATGTTCTAGTGCATAAATGTTCTTCTATTTTGACTGCTAATGCGAATTACTTAACCGCGCCAGAATGTGATTGTAGGTCTGTAAAACTCTGTCTTTCTTGACTTGGTGGCAGGAATATTCTTCGGCGAAGGGCTTTTCGGGAAGTTTGATGAGCTTGTTGGCGATAACTTCATCGGACGGCCAGTTGAAGACAGGATGATAAACTGTGCCGGTGACAGGGTCAGTCCACTTGTCCTTTTGTCGAGAGCGCAATAAGTCTTCGGGCCCATGAAGATAGATCACGTAATCGAGAATGCATCCAGCCTCTTGAAGAGCGATGACGTCCTCGGACGATTCCGCAACGCCGTCCAAAATGTATCCATAACGATAACGCGGATCGTTGTTCTGAAGCTGCTGCAACTTTGAGACGATCGGGACGCCGGTGATATGGGCGAGCTGCTGTGCAATGCAGGTTTTACCAGCGCCTGGCGGCCCCAACACGGCAACTGTGACCTTCCTTCTATTGTCGCCCTCCAAGTAACTGATCAAGTAGCTCAGTGGATCTTTAGGTCGATTTAGAAGGAGCGATTCCATCATGTTGCCGACCATTTCGAATATCTCGTGCTCTTCCGCGTAGTTCTGATACCTGATCGGCATCTTCAAAGGCCGCTTCGTGGCATCGACGGACATATTCTTAAGAAAACAACCTCATAGATTTATCCATAAAGGAATTCGTAAAATACAGTCAAAATGCACGATTGAAAGTCCCACGCACTGAAAAACCGTCAAGACTGAACCAAGGCGAATCAAAGAAACACTGATGAGAATTTTCTTTCGTAGTTTATCCGTAAATAAAGATTAAGAAGATATTCTAGAATACAGTTTTATGGCAGGCAATTTTCGTTTAGTTTCGTTTTCGGCGTCGTTTCTATTTCTTCCGATAGCTTGCCGGTGACATGCTTTCAAGTGCGTGTATTCCGTCCTTCCCAACATCCGGTTTCTTTGAGTTGTCAGCGAAAGACGTTGTGTCGTGCCATCTCTCCTAAAAACGAAACGATTACAACAGGGAGATAAAGATGCGTTTTACCGCTTTTGCGTAAATGCCTTCTATCCAGTTTTGTTTTCTGTGAATTTCAGCTTTCAAGTCTTTTATTTCTTCCATCAAAACATCTTGCTGGCAAACGCGCGTTTGCTGGTTAGAAAAACTGTTAATTGTAGTGCTCCCAAACTGGGCTGGGCAAGCTGTAAACCTGAGTCGGGGTCTTGAAAGAGCTTTTATCAAAAGCCGCGTTTCGCCTTTTCTGAAAACGAAGCCGCAAAGTGGCCTCGCCATTATTACAAGTTCAATCGTTTCCATTTTCTAGGGATTGAATTCGGAAGCGGCTTTCAATAAAAGCTTTTTCTGGACCGTAAGACGGGTCAGCTCCCAAATTTATTAAAAAATATTTACCTTTGCAATTCTCTGATTAAAGAATAATTCGACGACCTGGGCTTTCTGAATGAATTTGTTGACCGAGTGCTCGACACCCACGTGAATCTCGTCTTTGTCGCAGCATCCAATCATTTCTTCCTTGGCGATGAGCCGCGCGAAGATATCTTCGGAGCTCTCGAGTAGCTCATCGAAAATGTTCCTGGGGCGGTTGGGTGGCGGGGATGGCTCCTGCGGAGGTGGCTGTGGAATTGGCGCCTGGTTTTGGACATTTTGGACGCTCGTCGGCACCTGCTGCTGGTTCACCATTTGGTTCTGATTCTGAGCCGCCATATTACTTTGCTCAAAGTTACCACTCATTCTGAGTTACAATCGTCATTTCACATGGCAAAAGTAACGAACTGGCAAATACCTGTGCGGCTGGCTCATCGCTTGCGACACTTGCGGCTGGTTGCTATTCATTTGCTGAATTTGAGGCTGCTGCCCTTGCATATGAGCTTGTTGATTCTTAACGGGGATGAAGATTGGTCGAATATCGAGCTGTACTCACCCAGCTATGCTAATCACCAAGTAAGATGAATTTCTATTAGATAGACATACAGAATCTGGACTCGGCAACCGGTGTAGAAAACCTGAGTCAGAGTCTGAAAAATCTTTCAGACCATGACTCAGGTTTTTTACTTCGGTTGCTGAGCCCAGTACAGAATACGTTTACCATACAAAAATTACGAATTTAGAAAGATATTTAACATTTAAGAAACGGCAAGGAAGAAAACGGGACATTCATTGTTACCTGATTAGCTTGATTCTGCATCGCCGGGTTCATCATGTTCTGAGGATTGCCCATACCTTGCGACGGGTCGTGGTACTGGTTCGGATTGTAGCCCATCGAGTTGTTGGGCTGGCCAGGAAAGCCCTGCTGATTGTGAGCCGGAAAACCGGTATTCGGATAACCGGTCGAGGGGAAGCCCGTTCTGATGTTCGGAAAATGTGCCTAAAATATTCATCGAGTCAAGGGTCTAGATTACGAACTGGACGCTGGTTGAAGTTCATTTGAGGATTCCTAGCCCCAGCAGCTCGGACCTGAGGGTTCATTTGGTGATTGAACCCTTGGTTGAAGTTTGGGTTCATCTGCGGGTTCATCTGTGAGTTTCCTTAGCAAGGTTCGCCACAACTCGGCTCAACCATGATTTTGACAAGACACGCGAATTCTAAGTTTAAATTTTCTTGTCATCCACAGCGACAAAATGCTTTTCATCCCTAATTCTATTTCAGAATAGCGTGTTTGATAAAAATCGTGGTGCAGCCCAGCGAATTCGTCTTCTACCCGCTCTTTGTGAATCAAATGAGCTGTATCCCTTTTCTCTTTTTGATTTTCTAGAACATATTTGAGATTTCCGTGGGAAAAATGGGTTGATTCACGAAAAGCTTGCGTAATTATAACAAATAGCTTGTTGTGAACCTTTTCATACGCATTCATCATTCCCTGATTCATCCCCATTTGATTAGGCATCATACCGCCCTGGGGATAGCCTTGTTGATTTGGGTAGTTCGGAAAACGATTTTGATTTTGACTCATGATTAATTACCACGAATCCGAGTAATTTCTAGTTCCGCAAAAAATAACTTGCTCTTGGTTTGCTCAATATTTTATTTTTTCGCTTATCAATTCCTTAATAACAATTGTGACTCCAACTGCGACTGTAATAATCAACTTCTACTTCGAATGTTTCGTATTCATCAGTTCAATCATTCAGTAAGAATCTTTATTGCTAACGATTAAATAACATCATTCTGATAAATGTTTATAATATTCTCTAATAATATACCAACTTAATTTTTCGAGAGTTAATTTACTCAAATTCGGAAAATATCTGAGACCAAGCCTGAGCGGATTTTTCCCGATTGAGCTTTTTTTCCTCTTGGCGGTGGAGAAGAAGAAGCAACGCTCGAAGGAGCTTTTTTTGGCGAATCAGCGCGCGCCTTATTTTCGCCAGACAAGAAACCTGCTTCTGAGAACACTGAAAGCTCCTTCGAAGCTGATCGTCGGAGGAAAGAAAACGAACTCTCAAATCACATTAAAAACGATGTAATTTCGAAGCGACGGGAATTTCGGCATGGAACAGCGAGAACGACTTATTCCAAGGAAAAGATTGAATAGTTTTTTTAGAAAATCACCGTTTTCAAATCTATTTCTTGATTTTGAGAAGACTGAGAAAAGGCCAACTTTTACGAGAACTCACAGATTTGAGTTTTTAACTTATCTCGATTTCATTTTCAATCTGGACACAAAGGTTCAATCGCGCGCAGCCAGCATCACAGTGCAGGTAAAGTACAGTGTATTTCTCTCGAATCAGCAAAAAAACGAGTTGCCACCTTCTTTCTTTCCAAAGAAGAGAAATTCACAAGAATGTTCAGAGCAATCATCTGTTTCTCTCTTGTCATGGCGATAACAATTAGCTTGGTTGTGATAGGTAAGCTCGGTTTGATCAAATCGTCGGTATTTTGTGAACTAGGCCTGGTGCTCACTGGACAGGCAAGCTCCGCCAGTGAAATGTGGAAGCATCACACGCGAGTGTGCGATTCCGACAAGATACTCAATATCGCTCACAGAGGATCAAGGTAATTATTCGATTCTATTCTTCCCAAACCCATCAAATGCTCTCAGCGGGATGCGTCCAGCTCACTCACTCGCTGGCTATGAGCTCGCAGCCGACCAAGGGGCCGACTTTATCGAGTGCGACGTCGCAGTTACCAAAGATCTCAAATTAGTCTGCCTCCACGATGCATTTTTATCTACGGTCACGAACGTCGCAAAGAAACCAGAGTTTGAAGACAGAAAGGTAAAACTATCACACGATTACTGACCGTTTGGGATTAATTAATTGCTTATAGCGAACTCTGAAGTACAATGGTGAAGAGCGAGAAGATTGGTGGGTCAACGACTTTACTTTCGACGAGTTGAGCTCTCTGCGTCTGATTCAAGAATTCGCCGACCGGGACCAGTCCTTCAATGGCGATTATACGATTCCTCTGCTTTCCGAATACATCGAAATCGCTCAACAGAAAAACGTCGACATCTATCCAGAACTGAAAACACCTTCTTTCTTCAACGAACAACTAAACGTCGATTTCGAGCAGAATCTGAGCATTCAGCTGCGCAAGGTCGAGGGATTTGATTCCCGCCGCGTACTTGTTCAGTCATTCGACTCCACTAGTCTCCTGAAGTTCCATGAATACGCGCCAGAATATCGTCTCATTCAGCTTGCAAAGGTGATGCCTACGGATGAGCAGCTTGAAACGCTCGCTCAAGCGGGCGCTTACGGCCTTGGCCTCGCCAAAGATCTCATCATTCAACAAAAAGACAACCGACGACTGGGCTACAGTGAGATCGTTTCAAAAGCACACAGGTAGGATTGAGTAGTAAAACAGTAATTCTTAAAGCGTTTTTAGTTTGGACCTGAAAGTTCACTCTTGGGTGAGCCGAAACGAAGGCAAGTATCTCTTGTGGGAATACGGACTCGACCCGTACAAAGAATACGAAGATTTGATTGCTGCCGGCGTCGACGGAATCTTCACCGACTTTCCCGCCTCTCTAGCTAATTACCTAACCTTGCGCCGTCAAAAATCATGCTAAGTTTCAATCATTTCCTTCTTCTGTTATTATTAGGGTCTCCGGACAAAAATTATCTTTCGATCCTCAAGGGGTTTTTGGCATTTTTATGGGCTCTATCGATAGCTTAGAAGATATAATTTTGGAAGTTGGTCAAAAAATGGATTGAAAATTAGTACTTTTGCACATTTTGGCATTTTTGACCAACTTCCGAAATTATACACCTACATTTTTATTTCATATTCTTGCTTGTAATCATCTAAGCTATCCATAGAGCCCATAAAAATGTCAAAAACTCCTTGAGGATCAAAAGTTTGCATTTTTTCTACCGGAAACCCTAGTTATTATTTATTGTTCCAATTGCATTCTAGCCATTCAGTCAGCTCCCAGCTCAATTATCATTCATTCAGACAATGCTCCGGACGGGAACGAGTGTTATCGTTCAAATAACGCGTTCCAAATCGTATCATGGAATCTACCACTCGCGCGTTTGCTGGGCGACGAATGAATCTGTAGGGCGGCATCCAAACTTCCAAATGTTTCCTGACCCCCGAGTGCCATCAGCTGCTCTTGTCGACAAAACAAGCTGGCGTCGATTCGGTGGACGCAAGTCAAAGCTCTGGCGCAACGCTCGCCGAAGAAAATATCTCTTCGACGACGAGTACAAAAAGCAGCGCTACGAAGACCTCTGCGAGTTCAGCATCAGTCTGGTTCGACACGAAGAGCTTATGCCCTCCAACTACGTGCGATTCCACATTCCTCGACAAATGACCAAGTACGAGCTTTGGGACTACTTGAATAAGCTCTACGACGTCAAGATGGCTGAAATCGAGCTCGAGGCCGTTCTGCCCGAGCCATATCAACACATGAACATCGATGATCCAGAAAACGAAAAGTATCAAAATTACAGCGACAAGTTCTTCCTCCATGATGGAAACTCGCCAAACTACTTCTCAAATCAGCGAAACGAAGGGTATGGCTGGAGAGATCACCTGCACACTACTCCAACTACTCTACGAGAATCGTCTGGCTACTGTATCGCCCACTGCTATCTTCCTGCTGGCGAGCAGTTCCAATTCCCTGGTAAAACTCAATCCATTTAGCCTTGCTCAAATTGATTTCAAGAACTCTTTGATAGCGGAAACTACGATTACTACAATGATCTAATGAGTATGACGAAGGTTCAGGAAAAATTCAGAGCGCGAATGAAAATTGACGAAAAAGGTAAAAATCAAGCATGAAGACTCGCTTTTCATTTTATTGAAGGAAACGGAGAGCATCTTCTTTCCCGGGCGTTTGCAGATGCGCCTTTGTCGTCTGGTTTCGAAGCTCCTGAACACGACGCCCAAATGGTCGACGAGTATCAGAATAGAAGCGCAGCGATTGAAAAAGCAGAGGAAGACATCGAGCATCATTGGAAAATTATAAATCAACTGGTAAAAATTCTCCGCGAGAGTTAAAAAAGACTAATTCTTTACCCTAGTCGCCAAATGAAGAAGCGGAAATCGCATTTAGAAAAAGACAAATTAACAATTTACACGAATGGATAAAGATATGGACTGAAAAAGCGGACGCGATAGGGGACGAATATGACCACGGTATTCATCCATGCCGCGCCAATCCTAATGAATAATTTCAGTTGTCCAAAGCTTCAAAAAATTTGAAGCAGTCGGCCAAGAATCATATCGAAACGACAACAGCTTCAAGAACATCTTTAAACTAAGTGGAAAGAGCAAAGACAAAACGGAAAACGTCACACTCTCTTCGCGCGATCTACAAGGCATTGTTTCTGATTATTACAACGCGAAGAGTTGAGAGCTGGATTGACGCTTTACTGATTTCAGAATGGAGGTTGACAACGCCACCGAAAAAAAGCGCTTCGAAGTAAAAAAGTGGAATGCCGTCGCTCTCTGGGCCTGGGACATCGTTGTTGATAACTGCGCTATCTGTCGCAATCACATCATGGGTTTGTCTGCTTACAAAGAGAATCCTATCGAGTGAGGAATTTAGATCTCTGCATCGAGTGCCAAGCTCAGCAGTCTTCTGCTACTTCCGAAGAATGTAATGTTGCCTGGGGCGTGTGCAATCATGCCTTCCACTTTCATTGTATTAGCCGATGGCTCAAAACCCGACAGGTTTGGTGCTACTATCTTCTTCTTTAAAACAAGAACTAAGGTCTGCCCCCTGTGCAATCGAGAATGGGAATTCCAAAAATTCGGCCGCTAATCATCCCCAACGCGCCAACCAAAAGCTTTTCACCTGTAGACTTTATGGATTAGGATCCGGATGAGTTTCTGCCCATTTTCAATGTAACGATTGATAAAATACACGTTTTCCATGTAATCTGCGTGCTCCGTTATTTGCTTGCCACAATTTCGAGCTACTTTTATTTGTTGCGTGTTAAGGTTTTTAGTATATTTAAAGGTATAAAGAGCAATGATTGAAGAAATGAGGCAAATAGCGGTGAGTAGGGTCAAGAGGAGTACAGTTGATCTTCAAGACGGAAAGAATGTTTATGAGGTTAGGTAGTATGTGCCGGAACGAATCACTCGCGCTTTTTGCGGCGTCGCCTGTTAGAGCTGTCGCCTCCATTTGTTCGCTCCGTACGGGCTCCGTTTTCACGGTCCCCTCTTCTTTCGCGAGGCTGCCGGCCGTCTCGTCTGCGATGCTCCCCCTGAGAAGTGATTTTTATTATAGCTTTTTATGCCCTTTTTACCTCTCGTTCATCTTCTCTTCTTTCGCGCCTTCGTTTTTCTTTTTCACGTCGTTTTCGACGTTCTTCTCGGCGTCGTTCCTCCTCGTCAGGGTCAGCTTTGGAGTCACGGTCCCTATCTTCGCGTCGCTTTCGCGATTCCCTACGATCCCCTTCTTGTTCAACGTGTTCACTTTTAAGACATACACACGGGACTATTTTACATAACAAAAAGTAGCGTTTTCATAAAAATCAACGAGAAAACACGCAAGCAACGAAATCGACGAAATATACCTAGTCGGAGACCGACTCTTCTTCTTTGACTTTTTCTTCCTTGATTTTCGCGAGTTTGATCGCGCACGATGTTTACGATGTTTATGTACGTAGTGCTCATCACGATGTGAGCGCGGTTTCCGATACTTGTTGTATTCCATTGATCTTTCAAGCTTACACGCCTGTACCTCGTCTTTTCGGTTTTTCTGTTTCGGAGACTCTTCGACATCAACGCTACGAATCTGCTCTTCGATGTCGGAAAAATTGATTGATGGGACTTTTCGCCTTGGTCTCCTTTTTTCTACTGGAAATTCATCGTACATATGGTATTTCCCAATGCTCTCTTGGTACAGCCTTTCTGATGTCGGATGACTCATTGCAGGCAGCTGCGTGTTCGCATATTTTTCTAGTATACTTCTGGGAATGGGCTTCAGCGCTGGACGCTGAATGATGGGCATACGGCGGCGATTGTAGACGTCGTCATCTAATTTGGAGTCACAGGGATTTATCTTTGGAAGCTGAATTGTCTTTTGTTGGCTCGGCTTGATTTTATCGCGGTACTCAGAAACGATATCAAATTTATAATTCGACGTTTTTTTTTTTTTTTTGATACTTTCCTGGGGAAAACGACCATAAAATCGCTCTCGATCGGGTGAGCATTCAAACTCTCGCGATTTTGGAATAAGCGGCTCTTTCTCTCCTTGAGCAATTGAGGATGAAAGAGGGGAGCCGTCAGCATTCTTTGCGTGGTAATTAATATTATGCTGCTGTGGTGGTGGAGGGGGGTAAAAATGAAGGTTGCCACGATTTTGATTATGATAGTTATGTATGTCCTGGTTCCTTGTTGGATCTGCAGAAGGACGATCTTTTCGTCGAGGTCGATCTCGAGCCCGCATTTCTGCACTTTCGTGATCAGAAACCTAATAATAAATTAGTGATTAACATTTGTTTATTCTTTGCGCTTCAATTTCTAAATTTTCTCTAACCTTTGTATGATGGAAACTGTCTATAAGGCTATCCATATCCTCGCCTTTGATTGAAGCAATTGATTGAGTCTCAAATCTGGAGATGGTACTTGAAAAAAATATGAGTTGAAAATTAAAAATTTATAAAACAATGAATCTGGCTTGTTTTTAATTAATTTAATAATTAAAATCGAATTTCCAGGTGATTGAAACGCCTTTCAAGTCCATTATTCACTGAAATAATTTTACATGAAGTAACACGAGCACGGAACGGACAAGTAGCCGATTAATACTTGGCAATTTTGGAGCCAAAATGAACGGCAGTGTTAAGATGTTTCCAGTGTATAGAGTGATTGCATAGAGGTGGCACTGTATTGTTTCTTTTACTGTAATTCCTCCATTTTTAATATCGTTTCCGTCACTTACTTGAGAACGAAAGAATTCCTACTGGAGGTTCGGTTGCCTCCAATATTCATTGGTGCGAATTTTTCTTGGTTCGACTTTGACTCTGATCGAGCTAACTGCTGTGACATCTCAGGTGGTCCATCGATGATGGAATTTCCTTGGTCTGAAATTAAATTTTATTTTCTTGACTAATACTCTCTCAATCAGTTCATTCATCAGTTCTCACTCACCAAGCTCGCTCAATTTCGCGTCTGTTGATTTTCCACTGCGTCGGAATTTCATCATTCCGAAATTCTGGTCTCCGTCTTCTTGATGTGGGATTTCTTCGTTTGCTTCTAAGTTATTAATTCAATCAAAGGAAATGCAACCAATCTATTCTTATCGCTGGGAAAGGAAAAACATCACATGCATATTTGACAATGGGAAAGAATCTATTACCTTCATCATCTTCTTCGATAATTACTTCTTGCGCTAGTTTGTGGCGAAGATCAGACAGCCCAGCTTCGAATTCGCGTTTTCTTCTTGAACAGAGGCTGATGTTCCTAATTCTTCATCTGTGTCACTTTCTGACGATGAGTTAAGAGGTTCTGTCGCTTCCGGTCGGGAATCCTCGTTGTCTTTTCCTTCGGAGTTGTTTTCTTTATTGATTTTATTTGATTGAAATTCTCGCATATTTTCTCGAATATAACTAGAATATTTTGAAATCATTCCTTGTTCTTCTTCTTCTTCCGGAAGAACGCCCAAATCTGGGCGCAAGGATAAAGACGACTTCCCAAAATTGACAGTTTCTTGATCCTGACCTTCAGATCCGTCTTTAGACTAAAAAGTGTTATTACAGCTAAAGAGCGATCTGTTAAAAATTTACCTCGGGATCATCGACGAGTTGCATGTTGCCAGCTTCAGGCTGAAGACCAGTGTCGACGTCTACTGTGACAACACCACCGAGTCGTCTTGGCGCACCTGATTCAGGATCCAAGCTGAAAATTTGAATAATTGCCCTTTCGCCGACACTATTCTCAACTCATTCCTGAAGGCTAACCTGGAGGAATCAGACAAACTCTCCTCATCTGATGATTTACTATCATCGGAATCGGGTGCCCGTAATCCTAATGTCTTGATAAATTTGTTGAAGCCACTTTTTAGTGATTTCATTTTTCCAATTATCGATTTCTCTAAGTTTCTTCTCGCTCTGTAAGAAGGAAAAACTGAGGAACGATCATTCGTGTGATTAACTATTCAACAAAGAAAAGCCCCGAAATGCACAAGAAAAATAAACTGGCTCATAATCACCACCGCAGGAATCTCTACAGGTTCTTGTGAAAGCCACTGCCATGTGGCCTTGGTATCTCTTTCTATAACAATAGTAGCTTACCGTCTACGCAGCTTTTGAAAGATTCTGCGTCTTCGAAGAAACTCGCCAAAGCCGACGATTGTCATGAGTGCGACAACTCCTCCGCAAACGCCTGGGAGAACGGGGCCGAAAATAATGTCAATCGCTGCAGACGATTCTCTACTGCTCGACGTGGAGTTGATAACGAAAAAGCTCCGTCCCTCAAGTTTGCAGGAGAGGACTAAGAAAGAGTTATTTTCGTTTCTTTTGAGCTTCAGTTTTATAACATTTAGTTCAATAAAAAATGTGGGCATTACTTGCACAATACTCGGCTTTGAGTCCTTCTGTACTATCTCTTGTGTAGCACCAAAAGCCAGCTGGATCGCTATCGGGATTTCTAAAAATACAAATTCTATTGACTGTACTTCTTATCTTACTTTCCAACATATCAAATAAGAAATAGTCTCACCTGCAGTAGTTGTGGTCGCCCAAGTGGCCGTTAGACCATTTGTCAGATGCGAAGGGGATATCATGCGAGTTTACAAGCCTGTCCTTCACATCATCAGCAGTCCAGCCCTCGCACTCGGAACCATCGCTTGTTCTGCTCAGTTTCCCTTCGTAGACATCATTTCCCATTTCAGCGTAGTAGCACTCGTCTTGCTCTAAATAGGCATTGTCTAATAGTCCGATAATTTAATTGACAGATGATGGAAATAAACTGCTCGCGATAAGAATATTTACACATATTCTTTCAAGGCGTAATTGAAAACAGCCTCTAACTCGACTGAAACGGAAAAAAACTTGTACGCATCGAGCTCCGCTAATAATTAGTCGAAACCACAAAGCCAGCTTACCCCAAACATCGCATTTGGTGCCCGTCCAGCCCCAGAGACATCCACAAGTTCGGTTTTGTTCCAGCCATTCAGTATTATTTACACAGTCGGATGGTTTTAGTTGTACTACGTCTTCATCTGCCGCACGCTTTTGGCAACTTTTTGAGGGATGACGAAAAGGATAAAAAATGATAAAATTAGGCTTTGAATCCCGCCTTTGAATGTGATGTAGGAGCAGGAACGGGACCAGTCCCAAGTTTGGACTCATGCCGGCGACAAGTTCCTCCCAGCCATGTATTTCGGATCTTCGTGATTCTTCGGTGGGTCAATTCTCTACGCAGCCGAACAACTACAGTGAGTGTTATGCTAGTTTTTATGAAAATCTTGGGCGCGCTATGTATTGGTGCAATGGTGGAGGAGTCATGGAATCTAAACCAGCTCCGCCCACGGGCATTTCATTTCAAACGCACGACGCGCGCTCACGAAACTCGTTTCGTAACGCGTACCTTGAAAACCTCGAAAAGTTAAGTTTTTCTTTTCTTAAATGCACTGACTGGATTTATGGAAGTCCGCCGCTTGAACTTTCTAGTTCCAGAAATCCTGGACATGCTGACACCTCGCACAAGTATATATTCTTATTTATTGAGTTATTAAGAGTATTTGTGGACAAAAAATTAAAGCTCATCGTGCTGATTGCTATTGCCTTCTATGATTTCATCGATTTCTTCTTCGGAAGCAGCGACAATCTCGTCATAATCGTACTCTTATACGAAGAAACTAATAACAGAAAATATTTTGGCCTTTTTACCTTTTTCAGCAACACCATCGATCGTAAGAGCTTTACTAGACGCATGTTCTTTTATGAATTGCATGAGAGCTTCCTCAGTTCGTTGCCCTTTGTATTGGATAGGTTGATTCTTTTGGAATTTTCTCGCAAAGTAAATCGTCGGAAATCCATTATACTCGTAAACACGCGGCGGGTGATTGAATTTTCCATCAATGGTCACAACATCGACAGAGTCTTCTTTCTCAAAAGACGCTGCCAGACGTTTCAAAGTAGGCGCCAAGGCTTGACAATACTGGCAATCCTGGGCAATAATTGCGACGAGAACATCCTCAAATCGATTATTTCCAGCGTTTAGAGGCTCCTACCTTTTCCGCGTCCAAAACAATATTTTTAAATGTCGTTCCTACGGCGACTTTCACATCGCCGGCTCCCGCTTCTGCCGGAGGTAGCTCTGATTTAATATACGGGCGCAAATTGCCAGCTTCGAAATTTTTGAGAAATTTCTTCAAATTGAGAAGCTCACTGTCCAGTGGCCGCTCCATGATGAATGATTGCCAGTTTCGGTCCCAGAGCACCACTTTTGGTGCCTCTTCTCCCCAGCCCGAATTTCCACCGAGTTCATTGAATACGAGCGACTAGATTAAAACGATGTTATCTTTATATCTGCGGATGAAAATTACCTGGAAATGACGGCGCAAACCCATCGAAAAATTATAGTTATACATAAATGTGTCTGTTCTTTCTTTCGCAAATTTTACGAGGCGATTTCGCCAATACTTGCTCGAGCTCAAAAATAGACACAAAAAGATGCAAGGATTATTTAAATTTGAGCTCTTCCTTTATTTTGTGCGGACTTTTATCATGATCATCCGAGTGTAGAACCAAAATCCGATTTGGTTCGACGTCTTTGAAATTTTTCAACGTCACGTGCGGACATAAGTTTTTCGGGTGCTCTCCTTCGAGCCATTTGCGGAACTTGCCGATAGTCAATTCTTCGTTGAAAATGTCGAAGGGCTCTTCGAAAAGACTTGTTTCCCAACCCGAGCGATGAAAAATCACACTTTCCCAGGAAACTTTCTCGCCAAAAAGCTCTTTAGCTACGTCTCTCTCTGTAATGTGCGCAAATCGGTAATTCTCGATCAATTCTTGGACGACTTTGAACTTGAAGAGGTTCAAAAACTATGTGTCAGGTGTTTTTTAAACCATAACTATGAATACTGATTACTAGCTCAAAATACTTTTTAGAACCTAAAATATTGACCTTTGTACATAAAGTGAGTATTGTCATCGTCTTCTTCTTCGTTTCCGCATTGATCTGTGCCTTGCTTAGAATCGAAGAACCCAACCACAACTGGCTGTGGATGATTGAGCAGCTCATCAAAGTCGCTCTTGCTCCGGATGTGCTTTGAAGCGACCAAACTTTTTGCCCTCACGAATTTTGTGATTTGCTCTTCTGTCCGAACCTTTGGCTCTATTTTGAATTCGCTTTCTTCGTAATACTTCAGATGAGGGTACTCTTCGACTCCTTCATTGCCGCATAAATCGTCAGTCTCTTCTTTGGCGCAGTTTACAAGTGCTAAGTTCACTCTAGATTAAAATTGAATCACTTATGAACAACCGCCAGACTTACCTTGGGCGGTCGTAAAATACCAGTTCTGCACTCAGCTTCATTTGCTGGTAGAATTCCTTGCATATTTTTGACCAAGGCGCGCAGAAAGAAACGAGCGCTTTGTCTGACCTCGCCAAAAAGTTGCGCAGCTCTAGCTCGCTTTCTAAAAAAGTGATCTTGTCTACTCCGTCTCTATTCCAGTGCTTGCTCTCCGCCTGGACGACTGATAAATGTAGTAAAAAAAGAACGGCTTTTTTATTTTTCATGTTTTTAAAAGTCAAAGTTTATTTTTTAAAAAGGAGTTATTGCCGGCGCGCATCTCGGTGCTTCATTCTTGTTTTACTACAACTGCAAAGAGCGTTTTCAAACATGAAATATTTTTATCTTTTATTGCCATTTACATTTGGGGAATTCTGCGAGGACTGCGATTATGACTACAATCCTGATTATGAAGACCCAATCATAGGTACTCGTTTTTCATTTGAGAAAATAACTTTCAAAAGTAACTTTCTTTTGCAAAGTTCTGTGTCCTTCTGAGAAAGGAAGTGATTTTTTTGTAAAACAATGAAGATAACAAATTTGTTCTGATTGTACAATATTTATCTACAGTTTACAATTGAAGATCAAAAAACGGGAAAACCGCATTTGGTTGTTGACGATTTGAAGAATATCGATACTAAGTTCCCGAAGTCGCACGATCTTCTAGGAGTCGAGAAGCCTCAGTGGGTTATTGACAAGGTTTGCCAGCTTGTTAAGAATTATAAAACAAAGTGATTCAAGGAGAAGCAAGATAAAATGGATGAAGAGGATACGAACGAGGGCATAGTCCACGGGGAGCTCTAACTGTATTACCAATTGTATTCGTTTCTAATAAACGAGCAAGCAAGTGTATTCCTAACTGCAGACGATTCTTAACCGCCAGAACCGGAAGCAAGTGTCAGCTGGTGATTAGAACGAATAAGCAAAATCCCCTAATCTTCCTGATAGAAAAGAAATGAAGATAAAGAGCAAATAAACCTGCTTTCCAAAGTGATAAATTAAAATAAATCCGAGAAAATTCAAGTTCGCATAAACAATTTTTCGAAATTGACGGTCGTCTAAATTCTCCAAAATTCTTTTGAAAAGGAGTAATATTAGCGGGCGGTACCAGATGTGAGCGATGATGATGTGGACTGTCGTTGTTCTTGTTGACTTTTATTTTGCGAATATTTGTGCAGTTGACAGTAATAATAAAGAAGAGCCTGTAGCCGCTGTCGTGAGTACTTGTCCGGGCCAGCTTCATTCCATCGCTGTTTGATCTTGTATTTGCACTTTTTAAGCTTTTCTCATTGTTGGGGAGCTTGTAACGTTTGAAAGAAATCTGCAGCTGAATAGGAGCATTTCAGACACCCCTCGAGCGCTCGTTCAGCCAATGTTCCTACTCATCTACAAGAAGTAACAAAGAGACATGGGCGGAAGAACGAAGATCTTCATCCGATACAAAAAAGCAAACTTGAACTGCTCGTACCGATTCGCGTTACTGTTCAGGCCATAAAGGTACGTTAATGATTTTCTTTGAGTGGTAGGGTCATTTGTCTTAATTTTCGCTGCAATGCCCAAAAATAACAAATCGCGCTCTTGATGTGATAGTAAATACACCTCGTAGTAACATAAGAATCTCATATTGTCGATGTGGTTTTTGTTTAAGAAAGTAAAATCACAGCGCTATTGTAAGCCGCTCGCCTTATGGCTTTATTAGGAAGTTTAGCTGCTCAAGAAAATAAATCTGCCTAATCATGATAATTTTCATTCACTACAGAGATATCAAGGAGCGGAGACCGAACATTTATGAAACTGATAAGGACGGAAATAATGATTTGAGCTCATGTCACCGCGTTGTAGTTGACATTAACGATTCAGGATAGAACCAAAATTCGGGCAATAAAGGTTTCTCATGAAGAGGTTAATTGTTAAATCGATTTCTAGGAAATACTCAAGGAGAAATTCGATCTTCGGCTTGATAAGGATGGAAGAATTCCTCTAAAAGGGTGCTTAAAGTTTAAACGGCCAGAGAATTAACAGAGGGCACAGTAGAGCCTGTATATTCAATGATCGCTCCAAAATGAGAGATGAGCTTTATTATATATACTATATTTAATATAGTTACGCTCTATCGGGGTCAATTAATGAAGTAATCATCCTAAACAAGACATATTATTTGATGGTTGCAATCTCAAGGACAAATGGACACTGAGCTCTCTAGGAATCGGCTCTGGCGAAGGTAAGCTTTGAACATAATCTGTGCTAGCGGGCAGACATAGTAGCAGAAGGCATTCGTATAATTCCGAGTAACTCAAGGTCACCACTCCAACTCGACAATTTATTTAGTACTACGAGCATTTGATCGTGAAGAACGCCGTGTCGTCCTTTACGTGTACTCTGCTTTCAACGAGCAAGTTTACCAGCTTTTTGATGAGCTTGACTTTCAAGTCTCAACTGTTGGTGAACTAAGGTCAATAGTTAGGGTTATATTATTATTTATTTCAAATGGAATGAATTGTGATTTAACCACATGCAAGTTTCCCGGGAAACTGGTCTCCCAGTTTCTATTTTCCGGCTAGTCACTGGAAGCGGAATCGAACTCTTTGACAACTTCCCGTTCACTCGGTAAGGCTTCCGGAGCATCTGTTCAAGCTGGACATTTATAGTTATTATGAACTTCAACGCGGGTGTACTCTGCGACTTGACATTTGGGATGGGTGGAAAAATTTGCTCAACTACGCCCTGAACGGTCAAGTGAAACGGTTCCTGTTCTCACTCTCCAAAATCGAAAAGCTCGCCAAGTACCAGGCAAAAGTCGGCTTGTATATCGCTGCACATTTGGGGCTGTCCGACATGGCCGAACAGTTGACGTCCAAAAAGTCGTCGACGGCGGTGAATCCAGGAGAAAGTATTGGGCTCCATCCGGCACGGGAATGGTGCAAGAACCCCAGCGATCACATCGAATGTGGAAAAGCTTCGATACATGTCGCTGCGCAGCGTGGAAATCTCCACATTATAAAAATCTTCGTCGCCAACAATATCAGCTGTCTGTTCGCTCCCGATTGGAGCGACGCAAAAGCATGGAACTATGCACTCAGATACAAACAGAAGCCCTGTGCACGCTATCTGCTAGCGAAATGCTTTGGAAAAGTCCCGTATGGAAAAGGAGTGTCAGCGAACCAGATTTCAATCAGCGTCGCGGTCAAAATGAGACTCTGGCTGCAGAGGTCGCGTGAACGCGTGTACGTTAATAAACGCTTTGCTTCAAACACTATTATCAGCAAAAGCCTCAGGAAAGAGTTTTTCTGTTCTCACAAGTAAAATTGTGGACTTTTGGAAAAATTCTGCAAGTCAACTTCAAATGAGCGGATCAGCGGTGGCAATAGATGGCCCAAGATATATGAATAATATGCGATCAGATGCAAAAGATCGAATGATGTATTTATCCGTCGATGAGCTTCAGGATACGGCTCTCGATATATTTATTAATGAACTATTCCTTCGTCTCAGATCCTTCATTTTCACGTGATTAAACTCATCGGGGAAAATCCGTGCTCAGCGCAAAAGATACTGGAAGACTGGAAACGAAAAAGAAGTTGCGCGGTTTCAAAAAGTAGTCCGTCGATATTCCGTTTTTCATTCAAGTAGTAAAATAATTGAAACTGGAGCGGCTAGGTAAAATTTCAAATAAAAGTATGATTCCACTTCAAATTTCATGTACACATGATTTTCATTAATTGAATGTAATCAACCAAACGGCACTCGTTAAAAAACCGCAACTAGGAAGATGGGATAAACTGACGCGTCCCAAACTTTCACTGCTCGTTCCTATTTCAAAGACACTCGGAATCAATCAAAAATTCAATCGAATCGGTCACTTTATCCAAATTTTTTTCTCTGGAAATTCAAAAAAACTGATGTAGATTTCGCGAAAAGAAATCTCCGAAAACCGCTCCCCGGCTGAAAAAGACGATCTCTGTTCAAAATGTCTTTCTAACGCAGCTCGCAAATCAAGTATCCAGATCTCAGCGCCTTCAAAATTTTAATGATTTTAGGAATCAGAAGAGCCACTGATTCCCGATAGTTTACCAATGGCAACCGCTGCCGAGCGCGATGAAAAGATTCCACTTCCAGCCAGTTTTTCTACCTCAGAGCCTGCTTTCATGCTGGAACGAAGTTTCAAGAAAAAGTACCTAGGCTTCATTTAAAAATAGCTAACTCTACCAATAGCTGCCGGGAAAACAATTTGTTGCCAAGGGATTCAAATTTTGACGCAGCAAACCTTCTAAGCATGTCTGTTGCATTCAAGAAAAAACCATTTTTACGCCAGGTTGACATCGCTCGTAGAATGGCGCGGGAATACCGACTAGAAGGACGCCTCCAATCAACGGTAAAAGGAAGGGTGCACGCTCGTTTAGGCGAAACGAGTTTGAACTCGTTGATGTGTTCAAAGCTAAATTTATAAGATGAGCGCTCGCACCCAGTCTAAGCTGCATCGATTGCTTGTATAAGTATAACTGAACTTTGAACTATGCTCTTTTCGCAAAACTACTGAATATCTTCCTTCCTTACTAAACTGCCAACGGTTCACTATTAGATTAACTAGAGAGAGCATTTCATAATTGATGCAAGTGAAAATTTAATTTATTTCGTTGTTTGTTTATTTCAGCATAATCATTTGTCAATATATACAGTTGGAGTAACATAAGCTGGCTAAGCTGAGAAGAAGAAATATGTGCGCTTTAGTGAGGTGAACATTGACAGTATACTCTTTAAGACGCTGCTGAGAAGCATTAATTCATCTTGATTAAGAGATGAGCGTTCTTGTGTTTGTTCTGCTCGATATTTTGGAATGTTCAACTTCAAAAAGCCTTTTCGCCTTTACAGAAAGTAGAAAGAGCAACAATGGAGTCAACAATTTAGCGCTAGGCTAAAATATCATGCATCGCTGAACTTCTTCTCGACATTTCGCGAATTTCATTGCCTTTCTTTAGCTCTAGAACACAAAATAGTTAAAGTCATCTTAATAGCTTATAAAAACCTAAGAATATATTGGTGGAAACACGCGCAAACGCAATCGAATTTCTTCTGCTTTTAGAAACGCTGAATGGAGAGTCCAGTTCAACTACTGAATTTGTTGCATATTTAAATACTATATTTTAATTGCACCTTTATTGTCAGGCCCGTTTCTATTCGCAGCTTCTTTTTTCGCTCGTCTCTTTTTGTAAAATAAAACTCCTAGAAAAAATATTTGTCCGTGCCCCTGCAACAATAAAAACATAAGCGCAATTACATACCTAGAACAAACGCAAAAATCGCCCCAAGAATGATCAAGAACCATATCAAAAGCCCTCGCACGCAATATGTCTCTCGATTCTCCAAGCACTCTCTTAAAGATAACTTAATTCGACAGAGTTCTACTGGCGGAGTTTTACTCTGGAAGGACCATGTTTAGGAGATACGGTTCGTGTTTGGTTTTTATGCGGTCAAGTGTGTTACCACTCCTATTGCGTGAATGTTAGGCTTTCATAGAGCAAGCGCGCCATCAGGAGTATCTTCAAGTATTAAATGCATGTCCAATGCAACAGAAGGAACTGTTCTCCGCCCTGCATACGCGTCCGATATAGATGATTAGGATTAAAACCCTTCTTCTGCATATGTTTCTAGTCTCTCGGCAAATATAACGAGGCTTGACTTTTAGGTCTATGAATAAAAACTAAATTCATTTGCTTGTTCAACTCAAGAAAACAGCATTTCAGTGGCTTAACATTTTATTGCTGATTCTGTGAAGCTTGTTTTTTGTCTCGCTCTTGTAAGGAGATCTAGGGAATTGTCAAAATGCAGGATTCTATCTACAGTTAAGGATCGTCAGTCAGTGGACCAGGAAGTGCTCGCGAAGTTAACAATGACAATGACACAAGGGAATTTCATCTGTGATCGCACCAGTCAAGTGAAATGAGTACAAGGGAGCGAATTTTAAATTATAAATCAGGTTGAAGCGAATGGGCTTGGACGTTTCCGATTATTCAACTTCGACGTCGATATCCTCGTCGACTTCGACGACTGAGCAGGGCAGCGTTGGAATAAATACAGAAGGCTCGTGGGGCGGAGTGGTGTGACTGGTCGGCGGCGAGGGAGTTGATTGGGGCGCAATCATGGAGGAAAAGCTACTGTTGCTACTACAGCCGGACGTGGAGAAACTGGACGTGATGAATGGGGACTTTTCGACGCTAACTTGACGCTCAAGTTGAAGCGAGAGGGAGGCGGAGAGGATCGACGAAGACGGATTAAAGATTGATCCTAAGTTCTGGCGACCAGTTTCATTAAGCTCATCACCTGAAACAAAGAAAGATTACTTCTAAAAATGAAAAAATGCTATAAATCAACATGTAGGACGCCGATGATATACACTGATCATGCTCTAAGAAAATACACTCACCAGAACTAGTAGGCGCTGAGCTAGAATGAAGCGATCCGGATTCGTATGACTTCGAGTTTGGCGAGGCAGACGAGTCCATATTCAAATCCTACAAAGTTGTTAAGACCACATGCAACAAGCTAGTAAATGAATTTGGCGAAACTGATTAAAACAAAAAGAAAAAACAGCGAAACACTCAAGTATTGCTATTCCATACCTCCTTGGAAGCATTTGATTTCAAATACATTTCCCAGCAGGTCTTTGCGGCGATTCGGATGAGGAGCAGCATCATATTCGGCTCAAGTGTTTTTATTGTCGAGCAAATTAATCTTAATCGTACGATGAGTGAGATATAACCAGCAAAAGCTTATACTTAATTTCTCCAAGGGCACCGGCTAAGCTGATCACTCTGCCGTCCCCAAAAACTGAACGAGCAGCAACACAGTAAAGCTGTTGTAGTTTTCCGACTTCGAAATTCGCGTGTTCTAGCATTTTGCTATTGTCTGAAAAACTTTTTAGCAACGTTCGAATGGACATTTATGAAGATTGTATAATATACGAAGAATATTCCAATAATGTTACCGGTGTTGATAACACAAAGTGCTTTCAAAAAAGCAAATTCCTTGTTGACAATTTGAAGTTCAATGCAGTTCTTGTAGAGATGAGCAATGCGCACGAGCAGAGGGTAAATCTGAAAATAATTTAACTTTCAAAAGAAAATAAATCTCTTACCTCGGTGAATCTGCCCATGTCAGCTGGCGGGTTTTCGTATTTGCTGATGAGGTTGTTGAACGACTGAAGCTGTTTGGGGAATCGCAGAAGACGAATGAGCGCGAGACATTGCCAGGATTGCGACAAGAGCGAAAATATATCGACTAGTCCGATTGTGTCGATTAAACCTGCTTTGCGTAGCCAAACTGTCTCGCCTTTGAACGACTAAAAATTAATTTAACAATCTTGATCGTCATGTTTACCAGCGAGATTGTCCCTACATACGTATTTTTTCGATAAAACGGGATCCAAAAAAGGCCCCCGATAAACAACTTACCGCTTCAGCAATCCTTGGCACAGCTTCTAAGAACTCGTTCTTGCTGACTTTTTCTTTCAACTTGAATTCTGGCCATATTGTCGAGAAATTGAGCATATCGGGTTCGTCAGCATCTTCGATCTTGTCAAGTATTTTGCTCAAAAAGGGATTGATGATTGGAATAAAGAAGGGGCTCATTTCGTGAAGATTGACGCCAGGAGCAACCGGTTGTTGAAATGGAAGTACAGATGATTCGTGAGCCACGATCTTGGACTTGGGCTGATTGGCAAGCTCAGACGCAGTCGACCGGCGACGTTTCTGAGCAGATCGTTGGGGACTATCCGCAAATGAGCTAGACGGTGCATTTTTCTGGAAGGAGGCTAGAGAGTTGACGGGTGTGAAAGCGGTCTGTCCATTGAAGACAGACATAAATGACGGCGCTGGATTCGATGAGCTGGTGACTGAGTCTATAGCACTTGATTCTGTTGGTTTGGATGCTTTGGTTTGGAGAGTGGTAGATTGTGAATTAGGCAGTGTGGTCTTGGGGGCAGTGATCGACGGCTTTGACGCTGGCGACGAAAGTGATGGCAGTGAAGCATATTCACGACCGGTGAGTATATTTTCGACTTCTTCTTCTGAATAATTAACCGGTCCTGTGTATTTATTTCGTCCTCCAGGCATTCCATCTTCACGAATGGCTAAATCCAAGTCAAATAAATTTAAACTTGATCTAATATATTTGTCGCCAATATAAAATTGGTATCATCCTTGCAGGAGCGACAAGAAGACAAAATATGTTTGTGAGAGGATATCGTTTTACGCTCGTGACTCAACTACTCCTTCAAGAATTATTGAGAATAGATATCGTATGTAAGCCGTAAGCTGGGAAAATAGTTTTGTTTCTAATGGAGATATTCACGAGAGTTTCAGCTGAATGATTTCTTCAGCATTTCACCACTTCTTTACGATGATTATCTAACCTTTTCGATTCATGCCAACTTGAAGGCATTTCTTTAGCCGGCAAAACTGGCAGCGATTGCGGTCCTTTCTCGACATTTTACAGTTGTCGTCACCATTCACGCAGCGGTAGACCCGCCGGTTGCTGATCGCTCTCTTGAAGAATCCCTAAAAATAGCCACTATTAGCGAATTCAATTACACGTCTCCGTTGGACTTGTATGAGAGGAGAACGCGTTCCAAAATTGACGGAAATAATTACCTTGCATCCCTCGCAAGAGATTATCCCATAGTGAAGTCCGGTAGCTTTGTCCGAGCAGACGCCACATTGGCGTGCGGGTTTTTCAGCGTCGGGTGTTGATGTTCCAAAATGTGGGTGCTTGGAGAAGTTAATTTTTGGCGAGCCTTTAGCAAGGCTTACCTGGAAAGAAGTTACAGCTAACTGAGTGATATCGCCGAAGTTTGGCCGGAAGAGGCGATGAAAGTTGTCTCCCGAGCAATTCATATCGCTGGCGACTGTTTCGATCGGCTCGTTTTTTATTACTTCTATGTGTTCCTCGCTTGAGTTCTCGTCGGGAGAGTCAGCTACCTCTAGCACGGGCGAGATAGAGCCCGTGGTGTCTTGAAGAAATCCTCGGTGGTGGTCAGTCCCTTCTGGGTCTTGTTGGTCGAGCGAATCTAAAAGAGTTGGATTGACTTGCTCGGCAGAGATGTTTAATCCGAAGCAATGAATGTGCGATAGCCACAGAGCGGTGGAACGTTCCGGCCGAAGGGACAAAGAGTTGTGTAGTACGACTATCACACACGTGATGATTTTTTCATTTCTAATGAAGACAACCGTCCAGGCATACGATTAGACGTCTTCCGCTCAACCTTTATGACAATAGCACATTTAAATTCGGCCTCTCTAAGTTTAAAAAACAGCAAACGCTCTAGATGGACGGTGGATGGAAAAGATTCTGCGATTATGTGTCTCGCTTATATGCTAGTATTTTCATGGACCCGCAGACCCTTTTCCAGAGTACGGCTGAAATTCGTCTCAAAAACACCATGATGTCTTGAAAATAAAAAAATATCACCTCTAAGTTGCCTTACGCTGTAAGCATTAGTTCTCTCTCATCTCTGCTCAGGACAATCATGTGGAATCTAATTAGACCGATCGTAAGTTCTATGAGCCTGACCCAGCAGAATACCACCCGCGCACACAGAAACACTTTTCTAACTTAACCCATACTCTTCATATTGTTTTTTACACAAAAACATATTTTATTTATTATTTTTTTCTTTTTATTTTAAATGCTAAATCTTAAAAATATGAAAATAAACAAGAGTCTCTCTTGTCGTATATGGTCAATACGAGACGGTATCTTTTACACCTAGACATGTGGTATCAATACCAATAAAAAATTCCATAGTAAATTGCCATTGATCACCATTTTCACGAAAAAAGCAGCAAACCTTTGTTTGATGAATCGGTGGACAGGGTGTTCGTGGAGGAGGTGTTCGATTTCGGCGATGACGAGGCACCACCAGAGTATCCCAAATCCTCTACGGCTGCATTTGCCATCGCTCCGATGTTGAATACTTTTGCTGGGAATGATATTTCGGAGGATACCATTGTCGCGGTGGCACTTAAGTTAAATCATAATTCGAAATAGGCTCGTGCTGAATAAAAACGCTTATGAGCCAGGCACTGAGAGGAAAGGCTAATCCCGTGATGTCTATTATTGTTCATACCTCTGGTATTTTCCATGGAAGTCGGCGGTAGTATAGTGCTCCATAAAATCTTCAGTAAATCTCTCAGCTTTGTTCGTTAGTCATGAAAGTGAGGCTCTTTTTTGGGTACTGGAGGTGAATGAATTATTCTCTGTTTCGATTTCACGTGTTAATCCAACTGTGCTGTTTTGGCCGATTGCCAAGTTCTGAGTCCAAGTCTGAGTCCAATCAAATGCTCATAATGGCACTTGGCGCCACCCGCTGGCCGCGAGCCAACGCCTGAGCGCGTTTGGTCAAGCTCAGAATCGAGGTCAATACCGTACTGAAAGTACTGTACCATACGCGACAGCACAGCACGCAACTAAACAAAGGCGCTTGACCTGAACCAAATCCTAAATCCAATTTCAACCAGCTCGACCTACTTCCCTTCAGTACTTATGAAAAGGCAGAATTCCCATGAATCGATCAACTAAGCAACAAAATCAATTCTCCTGTGAAAAAAGTTGAAGGATCAAATAGTAATTATCTTCGAGGTGATCTTTTTTAACGGTAATGATTGAGTTGATGGTTGGCACTTTTCATGTGAGTTTGTTTACCGAATTTGTCTAAAGTGACCTCACGACGGGTTTCATCCGCAGCGTAGATTGCTCATAGAAAGAGGAAAAAATAAGTCTCTAGTTGTCCTAAATGCTCTAATTGTCCAGCAATCGAGGAGATTATCCTAGCCTTGTATTCATACCTTCCTGAAACTATCCAGAAGAACTCTTATCTTTATGGTTTTTACTTTTCTAGTTTTACTTGTGAATATCAGTGAATTTGATAACGGTATATAATTGAAGCAAAGTCGCCATCACGAGTCTGACGAAATTTAGGATCCGCATCGCGACAGAGGACGTCCTCACTCCGACGTCTTCATCCCTGTGGGAAAATTCCCAGATCGCGCGCAGCCAATCGCGCATGTTGAGAATAACCGGACAGGGTCGCCGTGCGCCCTCGAAGATCAAATCCAGACGTCTTAGCCAAAGTCAGTCAAAATAAAAAATACCCGGTCTTAGATAATATCTACATATAGCGTGTATAATAGCGTCAATAGGTTTTTCATCAAGAGTGCCTCTATTTTCCATACTTGTTGCTTGTTCAAAGTTTAGTGATCATGTGTTTAGCCAGATTCTCATCGTCGATCAAAGTTTCATGTGTTGGAATTGTCGATTCTACGCTAGTTAACTCAGTAACTACTTAGTCGATTAGTAATGACAATTAGTTATAAAATTTATCTCTGAGGAAACCGCAGCTGGCTCAATGGATGTTAGATTATTTGCTTCGAAAGGAAGCACCGGTCTAGGCTTCTGATGCAGCTCTGGCGTCGGTCTAAGGGGCACGCAGTGAGAGACGCCGCCCAGTAGAGAGATGAGCTGGCTTTTCGCTGCTCTACTACAAAGCAGCTTTTTAGCTGGTAAGATTGATTAGCACTGATAAGCAAGACTAAACTGGTCGATTCGGCGGAAATTAATTTCCATCTCTCCAATCTTAGTCCTCATTTTTAAATACACTGACGCAAGATTATTTTATCCCAAGCACTACTGTTTCTCTAGGATATGAAAATTCCGAAAAAAAAAATCTTGTATTACTTTTTATGTGTTTGTTTTTTATTTAAATTAGTAAAAATGCATTAAACCTATAGTAAAAAGTGTTAATTAAGACATATTCTTTTACAATTCGACCCGATTAGATGAAAGAGCGAAAGTACCGTTTGCTTGACTTTCTAGCGTAAATTTGACGGTTGGTCGAAACGGTCTAGTAGGTTCCGTCCTTCCGTGATCAGAACGGACAATTGTTCCAGCTGGCTGCTGCTCTAGCTGCAATAAAGTCCAATTTTCTCATTTCGAATCTTTATGGGACATCTACGCCTCCTCATGCTTTCCCTTGCCTCAAATAAAAGTGGTCTCACGCCCCATATTGCAATGGATACGAAATTGTTTCTGAATAATTTTTAGAAAGCGATAGTTTTGGGATAAGCAATAAATAATAAAAAGATAAGGGTTTATCTTTAAACTTTGCGTGAAGACTCGATCGTGGCGAGAACAGGGTCACAATGGTCTCCTGCTGGCGAATGACCGGGTCACCCTCTGCCAAGGGCGGAAGTTGAGTGGAATCAGCGCAGTACGGCCTCCCGCCTAACTAGACTGTAATCGATCCAAGTACTTGATACCGCCCTACAGAGGCTATAAAATTAGCTATCTCTAGTTTTAATGTGAAATTTAAATTTAAAATCTTGAATTAAATGCCAAATTATTAAATTGTTTGGCGCTTGATGATTCTTTGAAACCGATTTCAACAATATTTGTTAAACATTGCGCCCATATTTATAACTGATGATTTTCTAACATAAACAGATGCATAAGTATTATCAATATTTCAAGAAGCTTCGACGAAGTTCTCAACAAGATTGTTTAAGATCTTAGAAAGCGCCGTAAGCCATCTTTAGTAATTGAGTGAGTCTTCTCTAGGTGGTGGAGGTGGAGCGTGATTCAGCACTGCAATTAGTTTGTCTTCGTCGCCAGGAGCGTAATAGAATGCTGTCCATACATGTTTTTTCAGAATTCAGAGAACATATTCTTCTTACTTTCATTTCTAGTCTCCAGCTACTATGGGAGCCCCATTGAAGGGATCTATCCCATTTACGGCGGCAGCGGAATTCTGACCATCTATGGCGCGAATTTGCCGAGAGTGGATGAGGTTGTCTTTCGATCTGAAACGTTGGAAGATGTCAAGTGCAATATTTTCAGGTAAGTCAGGAATTTACCTGGTAGAGAGTATTACTGAGGTAGACAGTAGTTCTACATCGATAGTAAAGTTTTAATACCATTTGATTTAGTAAAGGAAAAAAGGAAGTTAGATGCAATATAAAACAATGGCCCAGTCCTGGACGCTATCAGCTTGTTGTCGATGATGTTGTCGAAGACATCACGTATTGGGCCGAGGAAGAGGAAGAAGAAGACGGAGGATTTCGGATGGAAGAAGATGTCTCGTTCGCCTCCTCTTCCGGCAACTGCTTCAACAATAGACCAGTTATCGATCTTGTCCGACCTGCTCGCATTAGTAGACAAGCCGGAGTACTTATAACTATCGAGGGTTGCAACCTAGCTCAAAAGACGGCTCCAATTACGGACGAAGAGCTCGAAGGAATGAGCGAAGCTTCGAAGAAGCTAGCGCGAGCGACGCAGTATGACCAAACTCAATACGCAGTCACTTTTAATTCTGGACGAGATGAAGTCAGATGCAATGTTATTAGATACTACACTACAGGAAGCGGGTCGAAATAATATCCAGCATAAAATTAAGATGGAGGTCAAATTTAAAGAATTAACTGGCAAAATATTTATCTCGACCCCAAAAAAGACAGCCAGATTGTATGCACTACAGAGGAGTTTCCATCCGATGGAAGTTATTTTCTGAAGGTTTTCACAAACGGCCGTGAAATCGGTGAGAACGGATTTGGAAAACCGTGTCGTATTTGTAAGGTCCAGGCTCTCTCGAACTTTGTCCCCTTGATCAAAGAAATTGAACCGGCTAATTATGGATCCAATGGAGATATTATAACAATCAAAGGAAGAATCTTTACCGACGCATATCTGCAAGATCGTTGCGCATTAGATGAGGATGAAGAGTGCTCTCAAACAGGCAGTGTAGAAGAAGGTGAAAATTATCTTCGAAGCCAACCTAGGTTTGTCGATGCTCTTGGACGAAACGTTGGAATTTGCGAGCTTGACGATATCGAAGGCTCTCCTTCAATTTCCTTGACCAGTTTCAACGATGGTTTCATCCGGTGCAAGATCAAGACCTCCTACGTTGGAAATGTCAATGTCACCTTTTCGACGACATTCAACGGAGAAAGTACCTCTAAAACGGACCTGTATACAGCTGTGGGCAACGATGTACAAATATTCAATTTTCAGTTGACACCAAGAGTTGATAATATTTCGAAGAGAAGTGGTGGACTCATCGGAGGAAACATGATCACAATTGCAGGAGGCCCTTTCAGTGAGGAAATGACCTCAGTAACAATTGGTGGCGAAAAGGCAACAATTACGGACATTCGCAAAGATAGCGTCGTCTTGGCAGCTCCAAAAGCACCAGTTCACGATGAGTGCGGTTATCCAGGACAGAAAGGGTTTGTAGCTAAAGTCTGGGACATCGCGCAATCTGATGTCTGGGACCATCTCATAAGAACGCCGAGTTTTGTTGACGTTGACTCTTCAATGTATGAACAAGACGCACAAGAGTTTACGGTTCATTTGGAAGGCGTCTTTGTACCTAAGGAAAGTGGTTTCTACTCCTTCCAAGTGGCTGCTAGCGATGAAGGAAGACTATTTGTTTCTTCAAACGCGTGTAGCTCCAATGCTGATCTCGTTTCGCTCATTAAGAACTCACAAAGTCCAAGGGACTTCCATGGCTCATTCAAACAGGGAATAATGTCGAAAATTTTCTTAGAAGAAGGAGAGCCCATTTATTTACGAGCTGAAGCCATTCATACCAAATGGAGCTCTGGTTTCGTCAACATTGGCGCGCTTTTCCACTCTGCTGAAGGCGACAAACAGTCAACATTCGACTATGTGTTTGAGACGCAAGAAATTGAAATCAAAGATTTCGCACAACAAGAAGTCCAAGATATTTCTTTCGATCAGTCTTCTCCTGATGAAATCAGCTTTGTACTCGAGCTAGATGGCCGTCGAACAAATACATTGACGCCAACAAGTAGCGAGGAGCAAATTTCTCGAGAGCTGAACCTTCTCTCTAAAAATGAATGTGCAGATACTGGAAACATTCGAGAGGCATTTCGAAATGGCGGCGAAAAAAATTCGGTCTATCCATGGAACTGGTATACGTCAGAATCAGAGCCTTACTGTGGTTCTAAAGCAGTTGCGCTCAATACTCAGCGTCTTAAGTTCTTCGATGCGCGAAGATACTCTGATGTCGCACCCATTGACTTGAATCTGAATCCGAACATTTGCTTTGCGTACAAAGGAGCCATTGGTGATAAAATTCAATTAACTATGGAAGCTTCCAATTGGAAGGGTGTAAGAAGCTATTCTTTTGGGCTCGATCATACAGACACGTGGAAATACAGATGCTGGAATATTATTACAGAATTCATCAACAATGATCAGTTCCTGAAGAGGAAAGTGGGTTCTAACTCCGTTATTCTCTTAAAACAACTCGATTTCACTGCGAACAATCAAAATGAGAAGACCGCTTACATTGATGAATTTGTAATTGGTAAGGTCGAAGGCCATTTCCATGTCGAGCAGAGTGAAATCGGCGCACGTCCAAGTGGTTACATTCCGAAAATCCGCGCTGAGTGGACAAACGTATCCGGTCGTCCAACACTTCGCCTCTTCTTTGAGACCAACGATTGCGGGCTTGATATTCCTCTCATCAAACTTGTTGATCCAGTCAAATTCGAAATGATCAAAAACCCATTGACACATCTGTACACCTTTTCCGGATTCTCTGCAACAGTTGACCGACGATCAAAAGTAAGTCCTGGAGTAGATGGAAACTTCGATCTCAAGTACAAGAACAAAATTCTTTCCGCTGGAGTTGGGTGGACTGCAAATCACCTGAAACAACGACTTACTGCTGTTTTTGGGCACGAGTTTGGTGCTGCTACGGTCAAAAAGTTTGGAACATGCATGGACGGCTATAGTTGGGTTATTATCTGGAACTCATCTGGCGACAAAGAACAAATCGAGCTTGACAATGTTGCCGTTACTGGTATGAGTATTCGAACAAGGTCGATAACCGTTAACGATGGTGGTCTACGAATACCATTCCTAAATGGCGATTACGTTCGTCAGATTTCGCCACAGCCAAAATTCGATATTAGTGTCGCTGGAGTTTCTGCCGTATGCTTCCCAAGAACATCGATTGATTGTGACTACGCCTGGTTGGAGAAGCAAACAATGACTATCGCTAGTTTGGATAAATTAGAAGACGGATCTTACAAAATAACGGGAACAAATTTCAACAAGAATACACAGATAATCGTGGGAGGATCAGCGTCGCCACTTATTAGCGTATCTGACGAAGAGATTATTTTCAATCTCCCTGAAGTTTCGGGAAAAGTTCGTGTCCGAGCATACAGTGAACAGTTCGGGTACTCTGCTGGGGAGTTCTTCGTTACTGTTAAATCTGTACTAAACAGTGTGTCTCCTCAAGTTATTGGCGTCGGAGGAGGAGGAGTCTTGACAGTAGAAGGTGCCGGCCTCAATGATGAAACAGAAGTCAGAATAAATGGCCAACCCTGTGAACATGTTCTCGTTGAGTTTTCAAAAATCCAATGTCGAGCTCCTGCTCTGGATGCCGGAACTTATGCGATTGAGATTAATGGAGACGATACTGAATTGAGTGTATCATCTGCTGAGAATATCTCTGCTTCAATTGCTGACATTTCTCGAGATTCTGTTGGTGTTGCTGGGGGAGAGCGAATGGTTTTAGTTGGATCGAGATTCGGAAATGTCGAAAAGGTTTTCGTTGGAGATAGAGAAGCCGAAATCGTTGAATTTGATGATTCTGAAATAGTTGTTCTCGCTCCAAGCAATGAAATAGGCACACATGAAGTCATCATTGTTAACGAAAACGGAAACTCCGAGAACTCAAAAGATCTAAGCTACGTTCTTGAAGTCAGTTCTGTTCTCCCAAAAGTATCGAGTATTGCTGGTGGAGCTCTTCTTACAATCAAGGGTTTTGGTTTTGCGGAAGGCAAAACAGAAGTTAAAATTGGCGAAACCGACTGCACCATCAAGAGCGTTTCGTCAAATACTATTCTTTGTGAGACACAAAGTGGTGTCAAAGAACATATTGTTGAAAATGGCGTGGCCACTATTGCTGGAATGCCAATGGCTTCATGGACTCCACGATCTCTTGTGATTGCGCTTGGCGAGCGAGTTACATGGCGATGGAACTTAAAACTAACTGGAAATGAGACTCCAAAGTTCCGAATTCAACAGACTGCATCAGAAGGCAGAGTCGAATACAACGGAGTTGGTTTCCAATCGCCAAAATTCGTTGGCGAGTCTGGCGAGTGGAGTTTCGATTTTCTCACTCCGGGAACGTACTTTTACTCTTCAGGTTTTATCGAAAGCTCAGAAAGTCTCGCATTGACCGGCACTATCATCGTTGAAGAGCAGTCATCTAATGAGGAGTCCGAAGTGACAGTTTTTATTGGGGACCAAATTGCTGAACACAAGCTTATCGACCTTGTGTTCTCCACTTCCAAAGATAGCTGCAATGAATTATCGAGCGATGTTTTGACAGTGTCGACATTCAGCAAAGACATCGTCAGTCACAGCTTCAGTTTTGACCAAACTCCAGTTGTCGAGTCAATGAGCCCAAAAGTCCTTCGACCGGGCGGTATTGTAAAGATAGAAGCGTCAGGTTTGATCGAACACATAAACTGCATGACGATCAGCATTGGTGGATACAACTGCAACTTGGATATTAACCAAAACGACCCTGACATGGATGATTTTGAACTCGAAACACTCTCAAGAAGCTCGAAAAAATCGTCTGTAATCACATGCCAGCTCGAACACGAATTTTCTATGCCCCCTGGTGATCTTTGTGGATTGAACATTGATATTTCGCGCGTTGGAGGAGTAATCATTCGATCAAGTGTGGATCAGTGTATTACAGTTGTTCCTACTGCTAAGAGTTTGAAACCACGATCGGGATCAATGTTTGGTGGCCAAGTGATTGAAGTAAGAGGAGAAGCACTTGATTTTGCAGCTGACACTGAAGATCTAAGAGTTTTGTTTGGAAACACAGAGGCTAGAATTCTATCCGTTCTTTACGGGGGAATTATGGTGATTGTTCCATTTCCAAGTGGAGACGAGATTGATGGAAGAACACTTGTTACTGTGACGTACAAGGGAGATCCTATTGCGACAGTAGAAGACCTCGTCTATCACTATGATGAGCAAAGAACTCCGATGATTGACAGTGTAACTCGAGATGGTAACGAAATCACAATCTTTGGAAAAGGTTTCGACGGCGCAGTGATTATTGGAATCGGTGATTTTGCATGCGATAACGTCGAAGTCTCATCTGTAAAAGTTGTTTGTGAAGCAACAAGAGTACCCGCCGGTGAGTACTTTCCGAATCTTCTTTCGTCTGTTTATGGTCTTGCCGGAAGTACAGATCGCTCGAATAGTTTGGTTACCCTCAATCCAGAAATTAAAGAGATTTCTCCTTCAAGTGGTTCGGTTTATGGTGGCAATACGGTTACGATTCGAGGTCTCGGTTTCGGCGAAAAATCAACAATGCGTGTTAGCTGGGACAATGTTGGAATCATTCGTGAAACGACTCAGATTATTTCATCTACTTCAGACGAACTGGTTCTCACAATTCCGAAACTAAAGAATTCGGATGATGCCGATCTCAATGTTGCATCAATTCGTCTTACCATGGTTGCCGAAGACGGCATCGTAAACTGGCCTCCTATTCAGTACACCTACCGCCGGTCACTCTCCCCTGTTGTCACAAGTTGCTCACCAAACAAAAGCATCTCGGGTGGAGATCTTCTTCAGATCACTGGAAGCAATTTCAGATGTACGAACAAGAATCCGCAGATAATGCTCGGTGGTAGTGATTGCGAAATTGTGGAATGCGACAAAACTGTTGTAAAGTGTCGTGCTCCATTTGCTGCTGCTGGGGATCATATCGTTGAAATTTTCGATGACTTGTTTGGCCATGGTAAAACTACTGTTGTTGTTAACTTTAACCTCGATGTATCTAACTTCGCTCCTATTTCTGGAAGTATTGGTGGAGGGCAGCGATTGACTATTTCTGGGACAGGACTTACGGAATCATCCGAAATTGACTTGTGTGGAAATCCTTGCGAGTTTATCAGCCTAGAATCTGGTGAGAGTCAACTGTATGTTTGCGAAACACCTGCTATGTCAAGCTCGGATTCGTGCACAGTGATTGTTCGAAACGGGTTCTTAGAAGACAGTACTCGTACAAAATATAAATATCGAAACGACAGAACTCCAAACGTTTTCGAAATAACACCAAGTAGAGGTCAAACCACTGGTGGAACAGAAGTTACTATTCACGGTAATAATTTCGAAGAGCCAGTCACTGTGCACTTCGGTGAGTATGAGTGCGAAATCGCCTCAGTAAACTCTGATCAAATTGTTTGCGTCACATCTGCTGCATCTAAGTCGGAAGTTCTCCCTGTTACAGTTAATGTTGCTGCTCTCGGCAAACAAAATGATTTGGTCCAATACTGGTATGTCAATGAATGGTCTAATCCAGCTAGCTGGGGATGCCAAGAAGATCAAGATTTAACCGAATGCATGCCACAAGATGGTGAAATCGTTGAAATCATGGATGGCTCTGATCTTTTGCTAGACACATCTACTCCATTACTTCTGGTTTTGATAGTCAATGGAGGAACCCTCCACTTTGATCGCGAGAAAGATCTTACTCTCCGCGCTCATTACATTCTTGTTACGAACGGCGGTCATGTCCAAATAGGAAGCGAAAACTCTCCTTTTATGAAAGAAGCTCATATCGAGCTATATGGCCATCGCCGTAGTGCACGGCTTCCACTCTACGGAGCAAAATTTATGGCTATTCACGATGGATCCTTGGAGATGCACGGACGACCTATTGCCAACCCTTGGACTCAGCTGGTTGAGACTATTGTCCCCGGAACTACCTGGATAAAACTTAAAGACGATATCAGTGATTGGCCAATCGGTGGGGAGATAGTTATTGCTTCTACTGGTGGAATCGACACTGTTGATGAGAATGAAATGTTCTCTATCGTGAAAATTGATGAAAGGTCGAACATGATCAAATTGGACCGAGAAGTTGCGCACAGACATTTGGGTGAAATTTCAGAATGGGGCGGCAAGACTCTTGACATGAGAGCTGAAGTAGGTCTTTTGACGAGAAATGTCCGCATTTCTGGAAATATGGACACCTCATGGGCCCAAGAAATTCAATCATGCGAGATCGAAGCCGAAGATAATATGTTCGAAATTCAGACCTGTTTCCAAGGCCGCTTTGGAGAAGAAGTAGGTTCAGACGAGTTTGGATCCACACTTCATTTTGGTCCAGGAACTAAACAAGTTCGCATGTCAAATGTCGAGGTTTTTAACGCCGGCCAAGCTTTTGAACTCGGAAGATACCCGGTGCACTTCCATCTTGTCGGCGATCAGCAACAATCCTTCGTCAAGGACTGTGCCATTCATCACACATTTAATCGAGCGCTTACATTCCACGGAGTACATCGTCTTCTTGCTCAACGCAACACTGCTTTCCATGTCAAGGGACATGGTTTCTTCATCGAGGACGGTATTGAAACAGAAAACAGAATTTACAACAATTTGGCGATTGGTATTCGAACGTCAACATCACTTCTCTCGACCGACATTTGGGCATCTGGCTTTTGGATGACCAATCCGAATAATGAATGGGTCGGCAATCATGCTGTTGGTGGAAGTCACAATGGTTTCTGGATGAACCCACCAAAGAGGCCAACTGGACCGAGCTTCACAAGAACTTACTGTCCACAAAAAGTGCCTCTAGGTCGATTCGATGACAATGTAGCGCATTCGAACGGGTTATTTGGACTTTGGCTCTATCCAATTTTCACTCCTGTGCCAGGCGGAGACTGTTCCTTGGATCCCAAAATGTTCTTCGAACCGGCTAAGTTCAGAAGATTCACAGCTTGGGGTAATAAACGTGGCGCTGAAGGTGTTTTCGTCACTGCCACTCAATTCATTGACTTCATTGCTGCAGATAACAAACTCGCCGATCTGTCGTTTATGGAAACAAAATTAGATGTCTTTGGAGATGAAGGTCTATTGATTAAGGATTCCGTTATTATTGGAAAATCAAACATTATGACAAAAGAATGCTATAAGCAAAAAGCGGGTCTAGAGACTCCATGGAAACTCGGCGCATTTACCGTTGACGGCCTCAAATTCTTTAACTTCAATGAAACATGTATTGCAATCAATCCATGCTACCGAGCGTATAGAACTGACTGTGCAAATCAAGCGCAGTTCAGCAATATCGAGTGGCACAACTCGCCAAGAAAGGTCACTTTTGCTTGGGAGCATGAATACGATTTCCACGACTTAGACGGTACACTTACTGGTCGCAACGAAGAAGTTCATTTGCTTACAGAGTCTGGAATTCTCCCTCCGGATAAATGTGACTCCTCTGGCTTAAACGAATTCAATTTTGGAGAAGTAAATGCCACCATTTGTGATGCCAGTGTTAAATTGAAGAAATTTGGTATGAACGAACTTGCACCACAATTCCTCAACGGGGCCAATTTTATCGTTCGAAATAAATATGGTAGTTCGCTGACTCCCTGGAGAAGCCTACGCATCGTTCACCCAAGAGGCTACACTGGAATGGTTCTTGAGGGAGAAGACCATGAATATGTTTTCGAGGGATTTAACGCGCTTTCAAACCTTTCTTTCGTCGCCGATTTCTATTACTTTCAAGAAGACGATCATGTCATCATGAAACGTGCTTTTACGGACAAGATTGAACATCTTCAAGTTTCCGAGAGAATGGCGACAAACTTTGCCGATGTACTCTCAGAAGAATCGGACAATCTTGATACTAGTGTTGACACAGCAACCGGCGAAGTGGCTTTTGTTATTTCTGGACGTGGCCAGCAGCGTTCTGGATCTATTGCTCCAACAGAACTTGTCGGGCGAACAGTTCATGTTGAGTTTGAGGTCAAGAACAAGCAAGACGACTCTGCCGAGGAAGTTATCCTATCAAAACAGGAAATGTTCATGAACCAACAGACGTGTGTCTTCAGCGACCCAGATTGCTGGCGAAGTCCAACTGCTGACGGCGGGAATATTCATATTCCGGTGGATCGACATGTCTTTCTTGATAATGCAACGATTTTCGCTGAGGATCTGATAATTGATGGAACATTAGAGTTCATGCCAGATCTTGACTATACAATCAATGTCGACAATGTAGTTGTAAACGGCAAACTCATAATTGGTACTGAGCAGTCGCCGTTCCCTTGTGGGCACTCGATCGAGTTCAATATTAGGAGTAATGTCAACAACGAAGTTTTCATCAAGAACAAAATCCCAGCTGTTGGAAAGAAGGCATTTGTTGTTTATGGAATCGCGGAAATATACGGTTGTCAAGCTATGGCACAGGCTCAACTTCTTGAACCCGCCTCTGCTGGAATGACTTCCATCGTTGTTGATCGTTCTGTAACTTGGAGTGAAGGCGATGAAATTGTCATTGCCTCCACGAGCTTCGATGGAAGTGAATCAGAAGAGTGCGTTATTCAGTCAGTTCACGGAAACAAAATTGAGTTGGCATCGCCACTTGCTCATTTCCATGATGCTTCCGCTTCTCAATATGATGGGATCGATTTTACCGTCTCCGCTGAAGTCGGTCTGCTCAATAGAAATATCAAATTCATTGCTGAAAATAATCAAGAGAAATTCGGCGCTCGTCTTCTTGTCAACAAAAATGAAAACAACGCTGGACGAACAAAAGCCATTTTATCAAATATTGAGTTTGTGAATTTTGGTCAGTTCGGATATACCGATACACCTGATCCGAGGTACGCCGTTGCTTTTTATGGAACAACCGAGGTTTCAAGAGTTTCCAACTGTGCTTTCCGCGATAGTTTTGTCACAGCTATTGGTATTATTAACAGCTTCAATGTGCTTGTGGAAAACAACATCTTACATCGAACTATTAACGACGCTATTCGAGTTGCTGGTGCCGGCCAAGGCAACATTCTCAGAGGAAATATGGTCATAAACACGTTAAATGGACTTTTGGCTACTGAAGGTGGTGCTGATCTTGATGGGACTCGCTTTGAGGGAGCCTACGCTTCCGGTATTAGACTTGACGACGCTTTGAGTACTATCGTTTTTGAGTCTAACCGTGTTGCTGGCGTGGAGGGCTTTGGTATTCGTCTTCGAGGTGATGCCTGTCCCGCCGGCGAGCAATCGGTTGGTTGCCCCAATAGAAATGTTACTATTGATCAGTCGAGATTGAATCACGCTCATGGTACCCACAACGGAGTCGTTATTTGGCTTTTGTCCCGCGAAGATTGTTCACTTGTGACAAACATAGCTTCGTACCGCAATTATGACTACGGCTTCTATCTCCAGTCACCATCAAGTTTAATTATCGAGGGCGTTATTACATTTGATAATCCTATCGGTATCTTGCCAATCATTATTGATCCAGAACCAACAGAACATGAATTGATTTATAAGTCTGCCAAAATCCGAAATTCGCTCATCGGAGGAATGTCGGACAGCTTTGACTGCTCATCAAATATGGCACAATTGACTCCTGGTGTCATTCCATATTTCGACAAAACTTCTCTCCTAAGAGCGCCTCGTCATAATGGAGGCTTTACTGGATTCATGATAACTAATATTATTGGATCGAAGACCAGAGCGCCACTTGAAACTTGGAACTTTGTTCAGAACCATCCTCAAATTGTCGGAAGCTCGTGTGTTAATGACAATGTTTTTGCCTCTTTTGGTAGCAGATGCGGCGTCAGTAACATTGCAGTTCGAACCAACCCGGATATGGCTGAGTACATGCATCCGATCGTTATGGAGCGAAATGCTATGATCGAAGTCACAGATACAAATCGTTTTTTCATCCACCGCCCGAATATTCTTTCGATTATGAGCGAGGAAAAAATGCAATGCGGAGACATGGACTGTGATGGAGGCAAAAAAGTACTGATCTATGACGACGGAAGCACAAGTGGCCGTGGTTTCCCAGTAACAATGGTTGCTCAGTCCGACTTTGAGTGGAATGGAGATCCCAGAAGAGGTCTGGGCGACTATCGAATTCCATTCTCCATGCTGACTGAAGACGACGGCACGAAAAAGATGTTACTTTGTGGGCACCAAATAAGGGTATTATTCGCGATGGAAGTTGTATTCGTGATGATTCGTGGCTTTTGGATATTTGCGCTGGAATCAAGCACGAGCTCGTTGTTTTTGAGTCTCTTGACAAAGACACTACTGATCGTAGAATTGGCCCACTAGGAGTAAGATCCGATACTGGCTACATTGATTTGATCAATGGTCCTGGATCTTACAAGGGTGACCACGGATACGCTTCAGTGGACAGGCCTAGTCTTTACCACACGATTCTCGCTGCTGATCATCATTACGAAGTCGCTTTCACAGGAACTTTGCCTCTTACTAATCGCATTATTATGCCAATGGCAGATGATGATGATTTCATAACAATTTCTCTCTTTGTTGGCAGAATGCAGCGCATAGAAGTCTATCGAGGCGGTATGCTTGTGCGACCCACCAATGCGCAGCTAGATAAGGGAGGCAGTTTCACGTACATGTTCCCCGATCCAAGATTCATTCCTAACATTGACGACGGTGTTTTACTTCAACACGGAGCGAACTACTTCGACAGAAATGCTATGACTCTTCATTTGGCCATTCGGGGCAACGAAGGTAAAGTTACTTTTCAGTTTAAAAGGCTCATCTTTATTTCAGATCTCGTTTTGAAAACTTCTCAAACACTGATCATCAATATGGACACAGTCATGGAAATGACGCCGGAAGAACTTTATTCGCAGAAATCACTGGGTCCTATTCTTGCGTCTATTCTTGGAGTTTCAGACAAGAACGTCAAAGTGGTCAATATCGGTCAGTCATCTACTCGCCGTAGAAGAAGCATTGGCTCCAATGCTGCGAAGTTAACATTCGAAGTTGGATCCATGGCGTCTATGGGAGGACCAACTGCACGATCAATGGGATTCAATGATGACCTTGATATGGAAAGTCTTAATGATCTCCAGCGAAAGGTAGTCTTTTAAATTTTCATTCAATTATCAATTATTTAAGATAATTGAAGCAAAGACGGTGTGCACAATAAAATCTGAGATGAAGGAAAAACTGAACTTGGAGGTTGTTCAAATCTCTGTCAACGGTGTTGATCAAGAGGAACATGTCGTACACGATGACATGAGATCTGAAGATGTCTTCAATCCTTTTGATGGAATGTCGTCAAAGACCGTTTCGATGCCAACAGATCTGTCAATTTTCCGACAGCCCGAGCTTGAACTGAAGATTGGCGAAACATTCGCAACACAACCTTGGCTCCAAGTTCTTGACGAAAATGGAGCGCGAGTGGTTGTTAACGGATTATCAATCAGTGTCAAGCTTGTATCCGCAGATACCCAGGTTCAAGAAATTTCTAGGAAACAATTCCGAAAGGTTCGTACAAGACAATTTTTAAACAGCTTATTTAGAGAAAACTTGTAGACTCGCCTTTTTGTAAAATGCTCAGAGCATTGGGGCTAGAGTCACAAGATGCCACAGGCCAATGTAGCACGTCGAAGGTATTTTTTGTTAGAGTTCGGACAACCGACTAACATTTGGTTTGTGAATTAAAAAATGCGGAATTCGGAATACCGATACTGAGAATACTGCGATGTTTCTTGTTAGAAAACCTAACATGAAATTATTTTATCTATGTGCAGATTCACTAATGATTACTAACCTTGCATCATAAATGTTAGTTTCACGTCATCTTCTGAAATTAATCCTTATTTTTGATAGTGACCATCTATTTAGACCGCCAAAAAGAACAGAAGTGAGAAAGATGTTATTAACTCAGTCCATGGCGTTGTTTTAACAGGCCAAACTACAGTGACCGTTGATCAAGATGGTCTTGCTAAATTCACCGACTTAGGAGTTTCTGGTGCCTATACTGGCAGCGGCGAAATTGCTCTCGAATTCTTTTTGGATGGCAGCGGCATGCAAATTTGCGTAAGTAAAATTAGAGGTTTTCAAATGCTAAAAGCGCATTTCTAGGGAATGGGAACGCTAAGTATGATCAAGCGAAGTGGCATTATTGACATCAAAGACGAAACTTCAAATGCTGTTCATTGCACCAAGGGAATGGCTCGGGCATCAGACTTTTTGCGAAAGAAGAAGAAAGGCGGAGGTATTTCGATAGAGTACTCCACGGAACTAATTTTCTTCTTCTAGGCGAGTTCGTTAGCTGCGCTAATCTCGAACTTTCGGGCCTCAAGTCAATCATTCAAGACTTGCACGTTGGCAATTTCATCCGGCTGAGAACTAACGGCGACGAAGTCTCGACTATTCGAAAAGAACAGATCGCCTCTTTGAGCTTGGCGAATAACAATCTTTCCGACGGGGAGGAGCTTCGTGAGCTCTTGTCTCACTTACGAGCTCTTACGAATCTAAACCTTGCAAACAACCAGTTTACTGAGTTCCCATCTGACTTATTCTCGCAAAACCGAGCACTCGCTAATTTCGATTTCAAAGGAAACCCAACCACAACTCTTCCACCGGGTTTCTTCTCCATGAAAATAACAAAGAAATCCAAATTCATGATGTCCTGCTCCCTGCAAACGATTCCAGTGGACGTTCTACTTGACAAAAAGATTGTGAAATCATTCTTGAAAGCAGCAAAATTCTGTTAGAAGTTGTAATATATTTGGCATTCTTTGCCCCTCAAACGCTCAGTTGTTTCATCTTTGTTCGCATTCTGACCAATTTTGATGCCTACTTGGGAGAGGTTTAAATAGTTCAGAAGAAGAAGTGGGTGGTGGCGTGGTGGTGTGGGTGCAGCTCAAGAAATTATGCGCTCATTACGTAACAATTCCTTGAAATTTTCAACCTATTCGAAAAATCTACCTGCCTGGAGCTATATAAAGGAGCCAAACCCATTTTAGTTTCTAACCAAAAGAGAAAAATATGAAACTTTCGAATGTCTTTTTCAATACTATGGTCGTTTATGCGAGTCCATGGCGACCAGTAAATGACAATGTCATGGGTGGCGTGTCGGAGGGAGAAGTACTTTCTCAGGTATACGTAGTAATAAATGCATAATATTCAATTTAAATTAGAGTCAATGGCAGTCTGTAAATGATAATGTTATGGGAGGCGTTTCCGAGGGACAAGTCATCGCATCCTCTGAATGGCAAAGTGTCAACGACAATGTGATGGGTGGTGTTTCCGAAGGAGAAGTCTGGAGGTCCGTGAACGACAATGTTATGGGAGGAGTATCAGACGGCTACGTTATTCCATCTGGAGAAGTTGTTCACTTCTGGGGCGAGCTCAAGGCCTGGGTTCTTTTGTTAGCTAAATAGCTTATTCTTATACTATAGTCTAATAGTCTTATTCTATTAATCTATGTGGTAGAGTAACCTATGAAAGGCTGAAAATAACGGAGGATTTGCATCTGTACGCAAAGAGATCGAGTACGGCTCGCTTGATGGCAAAACTGGCATCAGATTCGAAGCGAAGGCGACAAACCGTGACTTCAGAATGAATTTGACCCCAAGAACTGACAACGAATGGGGAATCGCTAATTTTGAAATCGAGTTTAGTGCGTCGACTTCCTGGCAGACGTACGAAATGAACTTTGCGGACTTCAGATACAACATTATGGGACTTGTAAGTGAGGCATAAAATAAATTGATTTTCATGTCATTTAGACTCCTCCTAATGCACCATCTCTCGCAGAGAAACTCTATGATGTTCACGAACTTGGCTTCATCATCTCTGACAAAGTTTTCAACGTTCCATTCCTGCTTTCTGTAAAAAATATTCAAGCTTATTAACTGCTGCAGACGACAGAATGTCGATCTACGTTTCCTCCTGAAATAAAGCAATCACATGAAATTAATAATAACCAAGATCTTTAGATTCGATTATATAAACGTATCAAATTTCGTTTTTGGTTTGATCGATGATTTCTCTTTTTATTAACAGGTTTCAGAAAAGGTCACTTTTTGTTGAAAAAAATTGGAAATATTTCGAACGCTAAAAATTCGACTACTGGCTATCAAACTTTTTTGGCGTTGGTTTGTCAATTTCAGGATCAGAATTGTTTCGGCGGATCTGTTGGCTACACAGATGGATAAGTCTTTACATGAGTACCGAATATTTGGTGACAAAAGAAATAAGCACCGCGGAGGGAAACAATAATGTCTTGCATGATAAACAAAATCATGCATTCTGAATGCAGCATTCATGAAGATTGATAAGAAACTCCTACACTTGTTTCTGTCTATTGGAAAGCTCTCTTTTTGGAATACGAGATCAATTAGGTTTAAGGCACAAGACAAAAACATGAAAAATAAACGAAACTGATAACAAGAAACTGACTAGGCACAGAAGGCGAAAATAATAATAAAAAATAACAACTCATACACAAAATGAGGTCTTTTCGCTTCAGTTAGAACCTGAAGATGAGCTCGCATGTACATTCAATAACTAGCCATCTTACTGTGATGTTTGGCGATTGAGAGTAAATGGGTTCCGGAAACTATGTCTTTTCAGCATTTGCTTCACCATGATGAGTGTTTCCAACTTATAAAGGATTGAATAACTTTGATAACGAAACCTTACGTTTTCTATATTGTATCAAGCTCAAATGGACTTGTTCAAACGAGCAAAAAGCTGTTAGTGTTACTAGCAATTAAATAACATTTTGATCCTATTTTCCTTTGGGACTGTGGTAACGGAAGAATTAACATCTTCATCTGTGACATCGACATACTCGTGACAGCGGGCGCCAAGTTCTCCTAAATATATTCACTGTTAAGTTACTTAGCATCGATGAGGATGTTTATATCAACAAAAAGAAATCGTATTATGACTTCAATGGAGTCTTGATTACTGTCAACTCCAGCGAGAAGATGGAAGCTGCTAAAGAAAGGATGAAGACGATTAGAGGGTTGATTACCTGTTGCCAGGACCCAGTTGTTCTTGAAGAGCGAATCAGTTGTCGGTCTTTCATCCATATCGATCGATAACATTTGCTGTATGAGCTCCTCGCAGTCCCGTGAAATTGGAGGATTACTAAACAAATTATTCTAACTTGGGTAATCTCATTAAAAACGTACATGCTCGAGAAGTTAAGCGGTTGGGTCATTATTTTGTTTAGTATTCCGATTGAGGTAATATCATTCCATGGAACGGTTCCAGCTAAGAAAGCAAAGAGCGTCACGCCTAAGGCCCACAAGTCGACGCAAACTCCTGACAGTTTCCCGCTATCTTTGAGTTTGGCTTGAAACTGCGCTTTCGAAGATTTAATTCTGAGCTTCAAAGGTAGCCCTTTCCTGGATTGAGAAGCTCTGGAGACATAAAGGCGGGAGTTCCAACTTGTCCTGAGATGAGATAGGAGTCCTCCACTTCAACGCTCACTCCTAGATCGGAAATCTTCACATTATTATTCGCATCAAGAAGTAGATTTGCCGGTTTAATGTCGCGATGAATGATGTACTGGTAATGTACTGAGACACATTATTTCATGGAAAACCGAACTCTGACTTACAGTAGTCTAATCCTTGCAGTGTATCGCGAAAGTAACTCCTCGCCTTTTCTTCCGATAAAGGCTCTTCGCTTGGTATCCTCAGAGTTTCGCTAGGATTCGGTAAATCAAGGGCCTTTCTAATTCGGCAATAGGCTGAAGTCATAGAAGAGAAATTAATGAGGTTTGAGTTATTTTCTGAAATACGTTAATTTAACAGGCCACAGGCGCTGCACTGTATAAAACGAAGCCGCGGCTTAACTCTTGAATAATAGATCAAATGAGATCATCGAGTAGGGGCAAAAGCCGATCAGGAGTGATATATTATCAATTGTCTATTCTCTTATGTTATTATAAGTGGCACTTTTATATTGTGCAGCTATAAGAATTACCCATTTGGGAGGAGTTCAAACACCATGTACAGCATGCCATCGCCTGGTGCGTCAAGTACGTCAACCAGTTTCACCAAATTGGTGTGGTTTATTTTCCTCTATTTTCGGGATCAACACAATTACAGAACTCGAGCTCATTATCGATCCATCGTTGAGTGACAAGTAGCCCCCCGATTTTCATAAATTAACTTCTCAATACACGGGGTCGGTAAAACCGACCACGGCGACTTTGGCCCTCAATAACTTCGAAGTTGGTAATCTGTTTGGCCTAATTTTTGCAATGTGCACTTATATGAACAAATCGAACCACTCTGCGAAGTTTCGTGAAATTTCTCAAGAGGAATGGCGCTTTGCACCAGATTTCTCTCGCGCTCATTATCGAAAAATCTGAAGGTTTTTCTTCCTTGATAATAAGATGAGTAAATAGCTCAGTGTTCAAGCTTTCTAACAGTATAATTTTGAACTCAATACCGAAACGGAAATATGAATAAGAGGTCAAAATAGTCGGCGCGGTTTTTCACACTCCGGATTCGGCGCCCCGCGCGGGGCTGAATAATGCTTGGTGGTCGGTTTTCCCGACCCCGTGTTTTGAGCGCTTAGTCGCGCGCCCGTGTAATGAGAAGTTAATATAAATCTTCCTGAAAATTTATGCGATGTTGATCCAGTCTCAGAAGCGCGATTTCGCGGTACACTTTTTCCAGTGGCGAGTACGCGCTCGGTCCAGAGCTTGACTTCCCGGCGCGCTTCGGCGGAATACGCAAAAAGCCTGACCTTTTCATCAGACGGCGTTTACTAAATTTAAGATGTCGTTGTTTGCTCCCGAGAAGCTGCGCGCGACTTTGACAGTAAATATTACTGCTAAAATTACCTGATGATTTTCATGGCGTAGTCTTTGTTTGTTTCGGAGCAACGCACGGCGCGTACTACACCATATTGTCCACTACCAAGCTCATCCCGGAGCTCATACTGTGCCAGTCGGACGTAGTCTGCTTTCGCCTGAACACGAATGTCTATATATTTCTTTTTGATGACTCTTACATCGTCTGGCTCCGTGCTAAGCATACTGAACAAGATTTCTTTCCTTGCTGTCGATATTTTTAACGATCGCGCTGGTTTCTCTTTGGATTTTTTTGTTTCGTAGAAAATCAGGCAATTATCGAACTATTGTTGAAATTGGCGGGTAAACCGCGGAGGTAAAACACTTTTTTTAATCGTAGCTGCGCGCGCCGCTTCACTTTCTTTTTCAATTCATTCTGAACCCGTTCGAAATCGTGGCCATTCACGCGCCGCGGGCAGTTCTCCCTACTTGCCGTCTGCTATATTTCTCACCTAGAGATATCTTAACGCATGAAACGCTGCGCGGACAGGGGATATAATTGATTCAAAATAACTTATTAAAAATTTAATTGCTGAACAAAGGTTAATTAATTTCAGCACTTGAGAATGAAAGTCAAATATGCTCATAAATTTTAAATTAAAAGTGAAAATTACCGGCAAGGGAGGCTTCTCGTATTCCCGAATTTGATTTTTGATCTCTCTGAATTCTACTCCGATTTCACAACAGGCGTGGATATCCCAAGGCCCAAGGGGGTTAAGGCACGCACGCCACGGAGTTGGGCGCACTCGAGCTCATTAATAATGCAGTAAGGCTTGATTTGCGATGCACATCGGGCGTGAAATTATTTTTGTAAATTTTAAGCGCATAAAAATACACGACTTCACCTAGTGTGAAAGAGAACGTAGATTAAAAAGTAAAACCCTGGCAAACCCGAACGCTGAACTTTTGATTACATTTCAATTAAAAATTTGGTCACTGCAAACTTTTTCTGTTTAACTTCTTCCTACATAAAGGCGGTCTAAATTAAGGATCGAAAAGCGAGCGTTGGGAAATCCTACGACTTGAGAAGCACTGCTCGCTTTGGAGCTTTGTGACAAGAATAGACCCTTGAAAATACGTCAGTGACAAAGAGCTATTAAATCACGATTGAGAATGCTACCTTTCAAGACATTTATTGATCAATGAGAATGTAGACTCGCCGTGAAATTGAACATATGCATGCTTAGAATTTATAAACAAAAAAAAAACTAATAATATTTCAGAAGATCGACTTCAGAATATTATTTATCAGAGTGTGTATGATTTTTTGGCAGTTAAATGGCCCTTTATTTGTCGAAAGGGGAATGTAAAAGTAGAAGAATGTAAATGAAGAAATTATAGTGAGCTTGAGAGTGATCACTTGTTCTGTTTTATCACTGTGAAAAGTGGGTTTTTAGAAAGGTTGTGGCGAAGCTCTGTGAGTTTATGTGGCTTGTCCATGAGCCACGATTTTACAGTCTGCATTGAAGCGTTCCGAGGACACTTGTTCTTTCCAGGCTGAAACATTCTCTTCTTTCGTTCCGTCGCACGGGTAGGCCTTTTGGCCATAAGTTCGGCTCTCCTTGTTTCATTTTCGAGTCGCTGGAAAACATCATCTTCAATCTCTCCGATGTAGTTCTTGCCCGGTGGTGGTAATGGCGGACTCTTGTCACTGGAGCTTCTTTCACCTACGAACTCCGCACTTATCGGGCCAATCTTCTCGTCAAAAGTAATTTTGACATTCGGATTGTCCAGATCCCTGAAAATACGATAAGTTTACTAAAACACGATTTTCTCGTGTCGGAGCCCGGGAAAGACCGTAAAAACTCAATCTGAATAGACAAATTGCGCTTTAGAAAAACATGAATCTTACTGGTCTCCCGAGTTCAACGATATTTAATGGCATGATAAAGCCATTACTGCATAAGTGAAAGGAAGTACATGCAAAGATAAATTTTCGTAGTGGATATAAATACCACAACGACAATGTGTCAAAATCCCCGGCAAATTCAGAAACTCGTTCGTTGCATCGATCAAGCTCTGGCGCTCTTTATTAATTTCGAGCCTAGAAAGAAAACCGTAAGAGAAATGCACAGAAAAACCATCCTTACTGTTCTGCAGCTCGTACTGATTCCTCGATTATCTTATCCTTCGCTGCGCCTGTAAGTTGGATGCAGTGCAGATCCGAGAGTTGGCTATTATGTTCACACTGCACCGAATAAGTATCATGCCCCTCGTATGTCTGACCGGTTGGATTAAGGTTCGCCCATGTCTTGGGGAGCACATAACCAGAAAACCCGGGGACCAAGTTATTACTCCGAGTACTGAGCTTGACTGCATCCTCATGCACAGGAGGAGTGCTCTGTGGTCCTGCTGGTGAGGTTATTGGAGAGGCCGAAGGGGGAGTAGCTGGTGCAGCAGAAGAGGTAACCGGAGTTTTAATCGTCCGTTCCTCGGGGGGAAACGGCCCCTGGAGAGTCGGTAGAGGTCTCTCTGCATTCTTGAGCTTCTTTTCAGGGGCTCTTCCCTTTTTCTTGCGACTGTACCTGACATCAGAAGAGGATTCCGCCAAACTTCTATTCCCTCTTTTCGGAACTTTTGGCAACGGTGGGTCTTCGTCCTCTTCGGAAGAAGCAATATCCTCCATTGTTGTTTCTGCATCCAAAGAGAAGTTTAGGTTGACCCCCTTTTTGGCCTGAATATCTGCGCTCTCGTCCAAAATTTCCTCGACAATCGGTGGAATATTTTCCTGATCTTCTTCGAATGAAGAGAATGAACTGAAACTATAGTTGAAAACTGCAGTGCAAAAATGAAAAAGCTTGATCCGTGATTGTGAGTATATTGAGTGTAAAACTGGCAGTTGGTAAATGAAAAGTAGAGACATAGATTGAGTATTGTTCTAAGATTCTTGCAGCAGTTTAATCAGAGCCGCCTTTCGAAGGTTGCGATGATTTGTATGACCACGACGGGTCAGCTCTTGTCGCAACATCACAACTGTCATACTACTGTATCCTTCATCACTATCAGAATAAATTTAAGCCATGACGGTTACCGATTATTTCGTGAAATCACAAATATGAATCAAAATAATGGAAAAGTTCAATGATGGAGCTAAAGAAACGGATGAATTCTAAGATCTACCTTTCTTTTTTCTTTTCTTCTTTCGCCTTCTGAAGTTGAGCGTCTCTCAGTTCTCTCATTTTTGCTAGTTTGTCTGTGACTTTCCTCGTTTTGACTTCCTGCACTTTTTCGACGGTGCTCGCTTTCTTCCTTGTAGACCTCTTTGGGGTCTCCTTCGGGATATCATCTTCAGACGTCTCCGCAATCGTTTCTGTGTGTTTCCTATGGCCAAATGAAAACATGCGACTTTTCGAAACTTACTTTTGTTCGCTCAGATTGCGCCTCGAACGAGTCGATGATCCTCGAACAGCTGGACTACCAGTGCTAAAATAATAATCAGGAGCTGTAATAAAATCGTATTAAAAGTACCTCAATGCTTGCTTCTTTGCCCGTTGCTTAACAGGGACAGTCATTTCGGTGGAGTCTTCCTCGGTAGAGGTTTTCATTGCTCGCTTGGTCTGTCGCGATCTGGTTGCCGCTTTCTTTTTCGATGATGATGGGTCATAATCATCGTCTTCTTCCTCGTTTGACTTCTTTCGAGTTTTCTCGTTTCGAGAACGAGATCGAGAGAAGCTTATTTCCTCGTCGCTGGACTCATCAATTACAGATGTCGTCGCACGTCCTTGTCGGCCAGCTATTTTCACCTTCTCTGCTGTTGATTTGTTCGCGATAGTTGTTTTTCTCGAACTCGCTTTAGGTTTAGCTGGTGTCACTCTCGAAGGGGCCTTCCGAGGTGCAGGGGTGATAGTTCGCTGAACTTTTGGCAACTTTTTTCCAGGAACGAAACTCTTTCGTGACTTGATCTGCTTGAAGGCAAGCTTGTTTCCAGAAGGAAGCTGTGGCTCGAAGAAAGCGCGTACTTTTTTGAAGTCTACCTCATCAGAGTACTTCATCGCACCGATATACTTCATCAGCTGTTTTATCTCTTTGTGATCTTCTGAATAATTTATTAAAAGGGACATATGTATACTATCTTAATCTTACCTATACCCAGATCCGACATAAATTGATCTGAGTTCGCGAGCATTTCTCTCTTGAGCGATGCAACCTTTTCCTTCTGACTATCAGGCATGCCTTCTTTGATCAATGTCAACCAAGGGAGATCTCCAGATGCCCAGTGTGCAAGATTCCACAGGAGGATTTCTAAATCGCCTCGAAATGAAGGTTTGCAACCCGAATGAGCATCAGTTGAGCAGTATTCGATCTTAAAATAGTTCGAGTTTCCATAAAAACAAAATCTCATCTTACAGTTCCGTCATGTCGAGCCTTTGGATCGGGTCTCTCAATAGGATTCGCCGGCAGAAGGTATGCAAGACCGAAATCAATCAAATAGAGCTCCTCTTTGTCAGCATTTACTTCGTTACCGAGCAATATATTCGCGCCTTTGATGTCTGCGTGCGCATATCTTTTCCTATGCATGTACTCCAGCGAGTACAGCACTAAAGAATAATTATAAAGCTACTTCTTAACAGAATCGGGGGAACACGGATTGAGTTGGCCCACTCCGCACGTGGGGCCAAGGCACAGGCGGTGTCAAGCCGAGAGTCAATGGATGCAAGGGACCACGCCGCCGGTGCAAACTCCTGCCGAGTCCGGTTCTGGGCCAAGTTTGGAGGAAGTCTCGGTGTGAGACCTCGAAATCAAAGGTCACATTAAACTCGAGATCAGGATCAAGCTCATCCCCGTATAAGCCCTAAAAGTGAAAATGAAGACGAAGAAAAAATAGAATTTGGGGAAAATACGCTCAGTAGGGTAATAAAGGGCGTAGAATTCGAATCTTTGGTCGAAATAAACTTTTAATGTCAAATAAGCCAAGGGCAGTAATCTTGAAAATTCCAACCAATTTAGTCACTGGAATGGGACTTCACCCCAAATCACCTGAAAGATTTTAAGCACATCTATTGAAGAAAATCTCAGTCTTCTCAATTTCCAAAATATGATAATGTAACAAAGGCGATCAGAAAATGTACGATTTTGTCATTACACAAACCCATATTTTCGGTCATAAATATAAAGGTGAGCTCAAAGCTCAAAGTTGACCAATTAAAGGTCAATTGTAGACACTTTTTTCTGAAACAACCCCTGAAGGGTAGTAGTTGTTGTCAAAATTACTGCTCTTGGCTGATTTGAAATTGAAAGTCTATTTCGACCAAAGATTCGGATTGTTCGCCCTTAATTACCCGATTTTGGCGAGTTTCACCAAATTCTTATTTTTTTGGTAGTCTATATCTTCACTTTTAGGGCTGATCTGGGAATGAGCTTGATCCTAATCTCGGGCTAAATATGACCTCTGATTCTGTTCACTCAAGGTCTCACACCGAGACCAGGGTTTGAAATCTGACGAGCTCACGAGCACGTGAGCACGTGAGTGAGCTCGATGAGCATGCTCACGCGTGCTCATGCTCACAGAATTCTGGGCCCCTCGTGCTCACGCGTGCTCATGCTCACCGATTACAGAGCAAAGTCGTGCTCACGCGAGCTCATGCTCATGGATCTCTGGGAAGGCAAATTCTGCACCCAATTTTTTGAGAACAACGGTGAAAATTCAGGTGCTCTATTCGAATTTGAGGGAAACGACGTTCAAACTTCCAGATCTCTGGTACTCCTTCACGATCGTTTTGGCTCCAACCGGACTCTGCAGGGGTTCGCACCGGCGGTGTGGTCCCTTGCATCTATTGACTCTCGGCTTGACACCTTCCGTGCCTTGGCCTCACGTGCGGAGTGGGCCAACTCAATCCGTTGTCTGCCACAGAATCGTACTTTTGGTCGCAATTTGCGCATTCAGCTGTCGACTGAAAGTGCCGTTCTCATCAAAAACTTTCTGCAAATCTCGGCCAAAGCGCTGCATGACCAGATATCGCAGATCGTTCCCGTTGTACGCGATGACTCCGGAAGACATGAATTTAGGAATTCCAAGAACGCCTATCTTTTTTTCTTTTGCGAATTTGACGATGTCACTCTCTTTGCAGTGCCGATTGTAAAAGTTGATCTCTTGAAAGAGAGGACCGTTCGCTTTCGGCTCTATTTTCATCACGTATCGAGCATTGTCGATATCAACTTGACGACCCTTCGAAAAATGGTTAATTAATGATTTGTTTTTATAACTGTATACGTACTTGAACGTCCGCAAGATAAATCAACCCGAATCCACCTTCACCAACAGCTTCGCCAGTGACATAAGAAACTTTTCTCGCATCTGTGACGACAAACCCAGGCGCGATAGGTTCTGCTTTCTGATAGCCAACAACTTTCTTGCCTTTTTTGGGCGGCATTTCTGAAAAACGCAAATTCTCACAATGTGCTGCTCGAATGAGGAGTTCGGTTAACTCCAAGAGGGGGCGCCGATCGAACCATATTCTCCGCGGTTTCGGTTAGCGATCAAATCGACGGCCCCCAGCGATTCAGCGAAAAATAGCGCACAAACAGTAAGATCAGCAAAGAAACCATACGTTTCGCTATGACAGTTTGATTTAATATATTAAGAATCAAAGGGTTGGCAGTGTGAACATACAGGAAAAGCGGACGTTTAATTTTGAGTCATCATACATGTATGGAACTTATTCTAACTAATATTTCTCCCGTGAAATCAACCCTTTGAAATTTAAAGAAAATCATAGCTGTGATCAAGACAGGAAACATATAGAAACTGAACTAGTGTTTTGACGATCTTCTTACAAATCGTCATCTTCGTCAGGAAGAGCGGATTCCTAAATCGAATAAATTAATTTAATTTTTCATGATGACCCATTACCGAAGCTTTCTTGAGCTCATCCTCGTAAGCAGCAATCATCTGAGGGTCCATTTGAACTTCTGGAGGAGCAAGAGCAGGTGCAGCAACAAATTCAAGGTTGGGATCACCAACAAGCTTTCGAGCTAGCCAAAGGAAGGGCTTTTCGAAATTGTAGTTTGATTTAGCGGAGATATCGTAATACTAAGCAATCATTTTTCTATTTGACGGAAAAGTAGATGCATACTTGTAGGTTCTTTTTACGATGGAAAACGATCGACTTTGCCTTGACTTTTCTATCCTTGATGTCGACTTTATTTCCAGTGAGAACGATCGGAATGTTCTCGCACACTCTCGTCAAATCTCTGTGCCAGTTAGGCACATTCTTGTATGTCACTCGAGAAGTGACATCGAACATAACAATGGCACATTGTCCTGATGTACTGTTGATGATTGAGGTTCTAGAGAATATAAGTACCTTGGATGTAGTATCCGTCTCGGAGACCACCGAATTTCTCTTGGCCAGCTGTATCCCAGACATTAAATCGAAGTGGCCCTCTGTTTGTGTGAAAGACGAGAGGATGCACCTCTACTCCCAGCGTGGCGACGTATTTCTTTTCAAACTCACCAGTCAAATGGCGCTTGACGAAGGTTGTCTTCCCGACACCACCGTCCCCGACAAGCACCAATTTAAAGGTGGGCATTTCTTGATCAGCGGCCATCTTTCTCTAATCAATCTATAAAAAACCATATGCTGAATTGGTCTTCGTTCGTCGGTATTCTCTATATGTGCTTTAGTAGCGGTAGAAGGGGCCACACTCATTTCATAGAAACCCGATTATGGTGTTCAAATCAAGAGCATATGGCCCTAACCCCTTTTATTTTTACTTTTTTCAGGTCCGGACAGTTTAAATTATTGCTAGCTTGCAGGTCAGTATCAAAACAGTATAGAACGCACACACGCACATTTGCGTACACCTAAGTTTTAAATAATTCTCCCTATTCTCAATCTCAAGGCTTGCATCGACCAGTGTATCTAAATGAACTTGTTACACTGGACAGAAGTTCTTCCACTACCTGGGATAAAGACAAACATCACGAATATGATATTGATCGCACAACCAAGTGAGCATTCTTTCTAAACCAAGTCCGTATCCACCGTGAGGGCATGATCCATACTTTCGCTGGTCAGTGTACCAGTAATAGTCTTTGGGGTCTTAAAATACAGTCATTAAAATATTTGCGAGAGTTTTTCCTCTCACCGATTCCTTCTTCAGCATACTTCGACATCAATGTGTCATAGTCCCACATTCTCATAGAGCCGCCAATAACTTCACCAACATTAGGGATCAACACATCCACACTCTCGGTAACTCGTTCGTCGTCCTCAGTAAAAATTAGTCACTCTCACCAGCCGGAATAGTTTACCTTGCATCTTGGCATGTAAAAGGACTTGATCTCAGCAGGGAATCGGTGAAGCATGATCACTTTTCCGATTTGATCAGTCATCTTTCTCTCCGGAGCCTCAGGAATATCGTCACCTAGATTCAAATGAATAAAATTGAAAGCAATTAGATTTTTACCGAATTCGTAATAAGTGCCATCATCTTTTTTGATGTCATGCTCTTTCAAATACTTGATGGCATCTTTGTAATCCATTCGCATAAACGGTTTCTTAGGGGGAACGAAGTTTGGATGAAGATCGTACACGTACTGGCCTGCAGGTGACTTTAGCAGACGGTCAATTACGTCCACAAGCAAGTCCTCGATGCGGTCCAAAAGCTGCTCGAAGGTAATGAATGGACATTCAGCTTCGACGTGAGTGTACTCGGACAAGTGCCGCCGGGTTCGGCTCTTTTCCGCTCTAAATAGAAAATGTTACGTAGAGGTTTCGAAATCATGTTGTTGAGTTAATGGCGTGATTACAATAGATCTAGAAGCGTCATCAAGTACCTGTAAGACTCAGCCATACAGAATACGTCACCAAGAGCAGGCATGCAGGTCTCCAGGTAGAGTTGGGAAGACTGGGTCAAATATGCTTGTTCACCAAAGTAATCAAACTTGAAGAGAGTCGAACCACCTTCGCACATCGTTTGAACAAGACAAGGAGGGGTCACCTCGTGGTAACCGCGAGAGAAATAATGCTCTCGGAATGCTTAAAGGAAGACTCATTGGGCAACGGAGATATAAGAGAAATTTACCCTGCATAAGGTGAGATCGGATTTTCAGAATCTTGGATGTCTTTTCACCACGAATGACCAGATGCCGATTGTCGAAAAGAGTGTCTGGATCAGCCTCTTTGTTGACGACATTCTCAACACCACCAGGAGGAGCATTTGCGATCATTCTCCAGTAGTCGACTTTCAATTCGTGACCTCCTTCCGCATTTTTACCTTCGGGAACGGCTTCCAGCAGACCGTGGAGCTCGACTGTAGCTTCGGGCTGAAGAATGAGGGCGTCGTAAGTATGACAGAGCTTGTCGGTAAGGACGCACTGGCGCGTGTTTTAAATTATCGACTTCAACCGTTCAAGTTCAACGCATGATAAACAAATTTAAAACACGGTAACTGAAGATAACCAGTACCATCTCGAACGACCAAGAACATCAGATTATTTCCTTGGCGACGAATTCGATGCACCCATGCGTTCACAGTGATGCGTGAGTCTCGGAGGGGCTTAGCGTTGATAATTTTGACAGTGGTGGCAGCAGGAAGGGACTCATAAAGAGTAAGGCTAATCTTCTTAGCTGCAGCCAAGTTTCGTTCGCGAGCTTCCGCCTCCGCCGCAGCCTGTGCAGCCTTCTTAGCTTCGTTCTCAGCGCCCTTCTCAGTTTTTCGAACGTGTTGTTGGTACAATTTCGTCATTTTCTTCCTTTGTGCCTGTGAAAGCTCAACCCACGCGGCTTCAGCTTTCTTGTCGGCATTTTGGACCATAATTTTCGCCTTTCATATTCGGTAAAGATTGCTTTGAATGCGAAAAGTTACCTTTCCTTGAGAGGCGATAAAGCCCGCCAAGACGGTTTTCAATGGGGATTGCTCCGTTCCATTGTTCTCGTCGCTGCCAAGCTTCTCAGACACGAACAGCGTGTCCGATGCCATTCTAGAAAGTCGGATTGTGTAACTCATCGACCGGAACGCCCTACTCCACCCTATCACTCGACACAGACTCATTTCTGAGCTCACTTGGCATCAGGTGAAGATAATAAAGCATCAGTTTGAAAATAAAGTAAAACTTTAATAAAAAACAGCAACAATTCAAGACACACTTGAATTGAATTTTAGCAGAATTAAATTGGAAGAGCGATTTGTTGGTAAGACAACTGTATCAGTTAGCTTTGAATTGGGATATGAAAATTTAAAGTTCGATGAACGAATGCAAGAAAACGTGATGAAAAACAGATTTATCTTTTCGCACAAGTACAAAAATAGTGAAGAAGGCATGTAATTGAAGTAGAAGGGCACTCATAAAAAACAGAAGATTTTGTTGAAAGCACTTATGCCGATCGGAGTTTGCGGTATAATTAGGAAAGGGAGGATAACTGATAGACCATCTGATTAAACAACAGGTTCTTGGCTATAAAACGCGTAAAGCGAAATCTTCTAGTTAAAATATTTCAATACTTTTTGATGCCGGCAGGCTTCGATTTGCAATAAAAATCCGAGCCGTGCATAAAAGTTGTTCCAAAGGCGACTATACTTAGTCCCAAGAAGAGTCCAAGTGTGTCACTGAAAACACATGATCTCTTATCCTGATCGCCTTAAAAAGGTTTACCGAATCGTCATTGATGCGAATTCATCAAATAGAATGACCGAGCCAACAACAACTAGCGCGTTGGTACCAACATATTTAAGGGATCCTATTTGCGCCGCGTCAAAGTGCCGCAGCGCGTGATTCAGATAATAAAGCTGGGAGACAGCGCCGTATCCAACGCCAAGGAGAACGGCCCATGCGACAGGACTCAGAATTATGCTCATGTCGCCGCCTAAGATCTACTCAGGGGCAAAGAATAAGTTTCTAATAGATAACAAGTATTTTTCTCTGAATATTTTTGCCTCGTTCCGATTGAACTACGATTCCAATGCCTTTCGATAAAAGTACGCCCAAACTTCCCAAAAGATTGCAAATAGTGACGTAGAGATAAATATTTCGACTTCCATTTATCTTCGCTCGTCTCGATAAGAATGCAGAGGCGGCGAATACCCCAAAAACAAACAATATAAACCTAGATGTCAGTAGATAATGCTCCAGATCTTGGAATGTTTTGATTTTGACGCTTTTCGGAGCGTTGTAAACGATCTTGAGCCGGGTTTTTTGAAATGCCCCGATAATTATTTGAAAACTTTTAAATCTTCCTAATCAAGGTTGAAACCCTTCGCATTGTTGCGCCGACCACAGATAATAAGATACCAAGCTTTCCGTTTCTAGATAATCGCTCCTTCAACCAGACTGTACTTAAAAATTTCTGGCTTCTGCGATCGTTAAACACTTTCGTACCTTAATATCGCAGTAACAATTACTCGGAAAGCACCAAGAGGGGAAACAAGCACAGCAGGAGCATAAGTGAATGCAGCAACAGTCAAAACTTCACCAATAATCAGACAAGCAAGACCACAAAACCAAATTACCTTTGATTTCGCGACTCCAACCTGAATCTCGTAGTAAAGCTGACAAAAACTCTCGTATACCTTTTGAAGAACCATGGAAACGCCAGCCGATAATGCGCCAAAGATTGCAAGGGTGGCTCCGAAACTAGGCCCATAACCTGGTGGACTAGCTCCAGGCGCTAGCTCGTCCTCCATTGCGCCCTCGATCTTAACTAAGTGGTCATTGGAGAAATTCAACAAGTTTTCATTCCATCGTGTCGGCAGTGAATGAGTTTTGAACTCGAGGCGAAAGAAAGGAGGTGAAATAATAAGTGAGATCAACAATTAAGAATAGAATGAAATGCGTTCACGCTTCAGCGAGAAAGTATTTCGTAACGGCTTGTTCGAGGAAACGGAAAAGTTCAGAGAACTCTTGGATGATTTCAAAAAACTTTTTGCGGGGCCGGAAATCGTAAAAAAACTGCAAGTGCAATTTTCTTCAGCTCCTCGAGACGAGTTGAATGGTGGGTCTAACTCTTGATAACTCTAAGGATTTACCGGTTTACCGGCTGGTTACCGGAAAATACGTTGTCACCGGCCGTTTTTGTTCTAGAAGTGGTAAACAGATGATCGACCCAGGAAATTGTTCCTTATAGACAGTTCTACTGCAGGCTAAAAGATGAAAGTCGTATCATTATTCCGAAGAGAGTTATCATTAAAAACAGTAAATTTTGCATAAATTTCGTTGTCGCTGCACGTTCCTGATTTCTAGTCCCATTTCCGCCAAAAATAGTATTTTAGTGATAACTCTCTTCGGAGTAATGATACGGCTTTCATCTTTTAGCCTGCAGTAGAACTGACTATAAGGAACAATTTCCTGGGTCGATCATCTGTTTACCACTTCTAGAACAAAAACGGCCGGTGACAACGTATTTTCCGGTAACCAGCCGGTAAACCGGTAAATCCTTAGAGTTATCAAGAGTTAGACCCATCATTCAACTCGTCTCGAGGAGCTGAAGAAAACTGCACTTGCAGTTTTTTTACGATTTCCGGCCCCGCAAAAAGTTTTTTGAAATCATCTTGGCTATTTTTCTCCGGGAGCAATCGGATTCCCGCATCGGCTACTTGAAGCCTGAAAGCCATCGCTTCCCCCAACTTCTTGGGCGTTTTCCCCAGCAAAATAGCGGAAACTTGAGACTCAATATCGATCGGCTTTGCGTTTTTGTACTCGCGCTCGAGTTGCCTTCTAGTTCCTCGGCGCCCTTCCCAGAGTTTGAACTCGACCGAGCAGTTGAAACATTCACCGATGCTTTCATGGCCTAAAACAAGTTGAACATGTTTGGTAAAGCAGTAAAACTTTTAGCCCACCAGAGTCGAAAGAATCCGAGGACATCTCTTCACTCATCTTTGACTTCTTAGGAGATATTTCCATATCTTCCATGCTTTCATTGATCAGCTTTTCCGGCATTTGAACGCGCAATACCTTGTCCAGAAAGGCAAAGAACTCTGACTTCTTAGTTGAATCTACATTCAAACTGAACTCGTTGCCAGCTTTTGTAGTGCGGGAAGAGGTAACTAGACCACAAGATTGCCCAGCATCCATTCGGTTTTCGCCCGTGCCGATGAGTAACGAAATACCCCAATCTTTGGAGTCGTGTGATGTTGCTTTTTGGTTCTCGATAAAATTTGTGACTCTCTTTGTAGGCTTCAACATCGTCACCAGTTAACTTGATTCGAGTTACTTGAATAGAAAAACAGAAAAATCTAACAGGAATGTAATATCCAGTGGAAGCTCCCTGGCATCAAACGATTATGAAACAATACATAGATTTACTGTTGAGCTAGTTCTTAACTCTGAATTTGAAGCGTTGAGTCGACTGTTAAAATTCCTCTGTTACTCCGATCCTTGAATTCATTTACTATTTATGAACAAGCCTTCATTTTCCCTTTGATTGCGAAGCTTTTCAATACTTTCGACATTTTGTGAAGAGTTTTCGCGGTAATATGGCCGGTAGTATTGTGCTCCACTTCGAATGGATCCGCAATGTTGAGAACAGCAGCTTTGAATAGTTGCTCCGTTAATTGGTAGGAACTGAAGAAATCCGAAATGTTTGGATTGACATCGGATCTTATGTTGACGACAATATCAGACTCGACTGAGCTGAGCCAATGCGAAAACTCGAAGAACAATTTAAAAAGGAGCTTGACGGCTTCTTCTTTTGACGATACAACTGGCCATTCAAAAGGAACTTCATTCGGGAGCCGGTAGTCCCATTGCTTCTTGCAGAAGCCATCTTCTTCCAGACCTTCTTCGTGTCTGGCTCCGTATTGAGCAACAAGCTGGTCGATCGGTTTTGCAATTTTTTTCTCGATCAGAAAAGAGTACATGGCGATCAGAGTAGAGTAGGACGACAATCGACCAGCTTTGCTCAGCTCACCGTGTGAAAAGATAAACTTTGTCATCTTCACTGAAACAAAAATTTTTCTTTGCCAAAAAAAAAATCAGCGTACCAAGATGAAGAAAAAGATGATCTCTAAAACAGGTTTCGAAGAAACGCGTATTCACCGAAGCAGCAGTATTTCCGATGGAGATCTCAAGCTTTTTCCCGCTTAGATTCATCCGAATAACCGGCTTTCGAGCTCCAATAACGGCATGTACACTGGAGATAGGTAGAGTCTTTGACAAGGAGACAATCTTTCCGGTGATAAAAAGAACAACGGCTGTTTGATCGCGTTCCTTGCGCGCCGAATGAGGCTCGTTGCGAACTGTCTTCCGGCCAATCTCAATAAACTTCTCCTCGAGCGCAAAAGAATTGACCTTTCCAACGCGGAAATTAATATCGAAATCAGAAGACGGAGTTTGAAGCTGGTACTTCGCTGAGCCAATAAGATCAGCAACGAAGTTGACGCTCTGGCCGACTTAGTGTTGGTTCAATACTGCTATCTCAATACAAAAATAATTTTGTAAACACGATAATCACGCTAAATCTGGTTCTCTTTCTCTCTCTTGAACCATCCCTTCAGCCTTCAACCGTTCAATGAACCCTTCAAGCGTCGTCTGAAACAGCTGGATCTGGCCACCCCCATAAAAACTATCGACGATAGCGAGTTGTTTAGATAAATCTGCAGCGGTGTTGAGCTTATTTATTATCTCCAACGTCTTTGCGTTGTTGAAAGATGCTCGAAGTTTTGGATTCTCGGTTTGACCTGTATTTTATAGCCAGAGAATTCTTGCTCTTTTGCGAAGAACAGGACTCCGATACAGTCTCACTTTCGAATATGACAAGGCAAAAGTTTTCCTGGCAAATAATTTTCTCGACCTCGCCAAACGTGGATTGAAAGTATTCGCGAAGAAGAAGCTCGGCTACCGGCGTTGTCACGACTTCTCCTGTGACATAAACAGTTCGTTTTCCTTCGGCCTAACAATATCAACATCAGATTCAGACCAATAGAATTTCCGGATGGATAAAAATATATATCGTATAGAGAAGGTCACCTGTCGCCGTTTCAGTTCTTTTTCCTTCACCACATGCTTCTTACCTTCCTTGTGAGCATTCCATGAGATCGGGTTAGGAATATTCATGTTACACGCAATACAATGGTATGGCCACGTATCAGGCTCCATTCTATCAGTTATTGTTTGACGCTCAAGTTCAGCTGTATTTTTATTAGGAATCAATAAGTAAATTATAAATATTCGAACATATTCAGGCAATTGGAGGATCAATGTGGAAGTGAAGAAACTTTCAAGTGTGATGGAACGTTGAACCGTTAAACTAAAGATGAAGAAGAGTTGGATACATTGGTATTTTGATTTTATGCTGGTAATGGTCTATAAACTAAAGTGTTGATCTGCTAGTATTGAAAGATTACCGCGAACGCGAATCTCAATCGCACCTAACAGAGAAATTGCAACTTTAAATGATAATGATTCTATTCTACAGTAACGGAGATATAAAAGGTTGACTTATTTATTCTGCTCTGCGCGTCTTTTCATTTCTGCTTCGTACGCTGCTTTCTCCTTTATTTCTTTAGCTTTGTTCCGGTCTTGGAATCGTTGTCTAAGCAATAGTTAGGAGATGAACAACGGGGACGGCAATCACCTGTTAGCAATAATTCTACTGATTATATCGTCAGTATTCATGTCACTTCCAGAGAGTTTGATCTCAAACTTCTTCAATTCTTTGGGAACAGTGTAGGGATCTTCCCCTAACTCGTTAGGGAAGACTTCTGTCGAGCCATGAATGACCATATCGACATTAAAGTGCTCCATAAGATTTTTGTCGATGGTGTAAGGAGCTCCGATAACGACTTCAGATACGTATCTACAGGACAAGACTGATAGCAAGGATCACTAAATATTGCACTTTTCGGCACTTGCAAAGTGTGCTTATCTTTAAGGTAAATGTCATCTTGAGAAGCAAAGATATCCTTTTCCTGACAGGGTTCTTTCATGTAGGTTCATGATCGGAAAGTTGCCTCCCCTGTACCGGTTAACTTCTTGGTCAGTATGGAGCCCGACAATAATGTAAATGTTCTCGTACATTCCATGAACTTTTTGCAAGAAATCCAAGTGGCCAGTGTGAAATAAATCGAACGCACCGGTAACATAAACAATCTTGTCGCCAGGACTAGGGTCTTTTGGAGATGAAAACTGGACGATTTTATTGTTTGTTTGTAAAAACTGATTAACGCCCGTCCACGGAGACGACTCTGTATTGTCTTGTCTGGAGAAACTGTCAACACGAGTGCGCTGGGTTTGGTCTTCTTCCGAAGTTGACGACCGTAAATCACGCGAAGCTCTAAAGCCACTATTTATCTTGAAATAAAATCGGCTAACCTGAAGTGAGATCGAGTTGCCAAGAGCATTCTACCAACAAGATCAGTTGTCGATACTCCATTCGTTCTTCTGAACTCGCGATATCGACCGTTGTCCTTGACGATCTGATAAGTATCTATGTGAACGGTTATTTGAAACCGGGATAAGTGAAACTGAATTTACCGTTTCCATCGGCAGTCATAGTGATATCATCACCATGGGCGCAGAAGTCGCAGTTGTACTTGTCCAACGTCTCAATAGTTGTTACGTAAGGAGCGTTCTCGATAACCTCATCCACCCACTTAATTCCTTTCACGATTTTGACCCGTTCTTCCATTGTGAAAACAGGAGGCCCTTTATGAAGAGAAATTTCTTCATCTGAGTGAACGCCGACAACAAGCTTGTCCCCTAACGCTCGCGCTTGCCTAAATACTGAATTGTTTCAGTAAGTATTAACAATCTGTGCGCATAATTTTTTCTAAGATGACAATCTTACCTGAGCGCATTTGCATGGCCAAAGTGGACCATATCAAAGCAGCCATCGACCCAGACGCGAACATCTTTTCGGTCCGCCATTCTCTTGCGCTCTTAACTTGAAAAACTCAATGAAAAAGTTCGCGACTGTTGGCGACAAAGTTTCGCTACGCCTCGTCTCACAATCAACTGCCCTGTCTCTGTCGCTCAGTCAATCGTTTTTACGCATAACTGGTAATTTTTCGTTAACCCCTAGAGAATCAACAAACATGATCACCCCATCGAAGCAAATAAAGAGATAACCAAAGGTCTTTAGACTTATTTATGCGACACTGTAGATTTCGTAGATCAATGACTTTATTTAACCACGGTGGTAAAATAGCAGCAGTTAAATTACAGTTAAAAGAAGATCGTTTTTTGTTTCAGAAAATATGTCACAAAGGAGATAAGCGGGCATAAATAGTTAGTCCAGAAAGGTGAAAAGTAGATCTAGTACTGTTTTCTTCAACTATATCAAATTCTAAGCTTGGAAATGTTAAATGCAAGATAATGGCCGAAATGGAATCATTGGAGCATAAAGGAATGGCTAAAGTAAAACGAGATAATTGAAGCTGACGTGATCGATGTTAGTTCAAAGATCTTCAATTGAAATTTTGAGCAAGGAAGCACCGAAGAGTCGGAAAATAATCAATTAGGCAGTCTAGATGCAAAATTTTACTTGGACATAAGGCGAAGGGACTTAGAAGGCAAATTTTTGGTTTGACTCGTGAAGGGGCTCTTTGAAGGCCATTTCGTCAGTTTCTGGATTGGTGAAGTCTTCGTTGCAGAACCAGGTCTCGACAATGTGGACGGCAAGGCTGTAGATTTCCTAAAAGACATTGTTTGTCAAAGAGCTTACATAACGAATTTGAACTTTGAAACTTATTCACAGCGATTTTCATTATTTGAAAGAGGCAAATTACTTACGTCACTTTGGTGCATTTGAAGAGCCTCGAATGAGTCCAGCGCGCCGCTTTCTTCGACCGCGCTAAAAATGTCGATATTGTGCTGATCTGCCAGCTCAAGCATGCATTTGTAGAATCGGAGAGCAACTTCGATCAGTTGAGCTAAAAATTTTGAATGTTTTGTGATGGGAAACAAATGCTTACTATCGTTGCACTCGAGAATCGTCGCAACGGACTCAATCGACTGACACATAATAAGATTGTAAACATCGTCCTTCTTTAACTTCTTTGAGCTTGTAACAAGATTTCCGAAAACATAACAGCATTCCTGAAAGCATATTGACTGTTTATTCTTATATTCAAATTAACCTTTCGAATTTTGAACTCGGCGCCTTTTAATCGGTCCGAGACTTCTCTGAGAAGATCTGTTCTGCTAGCCAAGCGATGCTGTTGATTAGGGGTGCCAGCTGCGATATTTGAGAGTCCCCAAATCACGTCCTTGATAACACTGTCTGCGCGTCTCATTGATCCATTGAGCATGTAAGCAGCCATGTCCAAGAAGCCAGAGTTCATAATCGTCTCCGTGTTCTCGTCGTTTCCTGTCAGGCTATTTCCGAGCGCTCGGATGGCAGGAACCATCACTTTCGGCTTGTCTGACGAGGCCAGGACCATTAACTGTTTTATGAGCCCGTCCACGTTCGCCATTGCTTCGACGTATTCATCGCCCCTGTAAACAGAATTAATTATTTTTTCAGTAAAAATAATTTACCCGTCGGAAAAGTAGCTTAGGGCCCATGCTGCGTCGACATTACATTTAGGGTCCTTCCAGCAAAGAAGCGCATTGAGCGGAAGTAGGAGCGGTTTCACCTGCTCAAATTTAGGCGGAGGCTTGTTTCGGCAAAGATTTGAAAGCATCCAGGTCAAATTGGCGAGGAACTCGTTGCTTTGTTCGGACTTGATGTGTGGCATGATCAATGTAACGATACCAGCTTCGATAACGAAATCGCGCATCCTGGGTCCATCGCCTACTATGTTACCAATGGCCCAGATCGCTTGCTCCACAGTTTCAGGATCCTCATCATTCGTGAAGCAATGTGTCAACGCGGCGACGCCTCCTTTATTGACGACTTCTGCTGTTTGTCGTTCGTTTCCACAAGCTAAAAATATACCTACAGCCTGGTTTAATTTTTGTCGACTTACTGATATTGGTAAGAGCCCATGCCGCTTCTTTCTGTGTGGCGTTGTCAGTCGAATACAAAGCTTGAATGAGAGGTCTCACAAAACCTTCATTGATAATTTCGTCGATTGGCGGATTTCCAGAAGCGGAAAGCTTCTTTCGGCAAGCCTTGCAAGCTCTTCGGACTTGGGAGGGCATTCCGCTCGCGAAGAAAGACCGGATCTCGTCATAGCTCTTTGGAAGCTGTCGTTCGTCGTCATTTCGGTCAGGAGAGTTCGTCTTCAATGGCGAGGTGTTGAGATCTTCAGCAAGATTACGTCTCTTGGACATCTGGTCTTCACGAGCAGTCTTTCGGAGCTGAACCGCCACTTCCCGTCGGTTCACTCGGGCGGCATCCTTCTTATTTGAGAACTTGTGCTGTCGCTGGCGATTCTCTGACATTCTGATAAAGTCGATACGTTAAAAAGGAAGCAAAGAAGTAGCGTCTTGCTCTGCGAGAATTGTAATTTTGAAAGTCGCGCCGGGGCTTTTTGTAGCGGCGGCGCCCCAGAGAATCCTAATTTGAATAATGCGAAGTGGGATGGTTCGAACTCACCAATGTTTGGTTTGATCTGAATACAATCCCATGCTGACTATCTCTTGGAATGGCTTATTTAGACATGTTTTTATTTGAATATGCATCGACGCGTAATGGCATTCTTTTAGAAATGCAATACTAATAAAAATTACAAACCCTCTCAACCGTATAATTACGAATTTCCGTTTTTCCTGAAATGCCTTTCGAAAAATGCGCAAATAATAAATCCATAAAAAGAATTTATTTGAAAAATAATTGATCGTTATTGAGAACTTTTAAATGGAGCCGTACTGAGTCAAATCAATGTAAAATTACTAAAGATTGTTGATAGGAAGTATGGAGTTTGTTGGGACTTCGCAAAAGAGTTCTTGTAGTTTTCAGAAATAAAAAAAACGATAACGGCAGTAATGTCTTAGGACTGTCTTTTTACGTTTAAGAAGGATAAAATTCAGTATTGAATGCCATATATCAGAGATATTCTCGTGTTCAAGCTGTTGCCCGCGATATCACCCAAATTTTGATTCTTGCAGTGTAGAAATAATTTGGTCCCTCCAAACTATACGAAAATCGACTTCTCATGTTAGAATGAATCAAATTCTATTAGTAACAGATAACTGAAAGTGTAATAACGGGAAAAGTAATCTAGAATCTAGATTCTAGATGAAGGAAATGGTGCTCAGTTTTATTCACTCGAAGTTCTTAGTTATTGTCAGGACAGACTCAGAAGTTACGGAGCATTCACTTGATCTGCCGGAGAAAGAACAAAATGCTCGCAAGAATTAAAGCAATAGGAACTGTTTCGGTTTGAAAATGGGAAAAAGTAGAAGTTTGAATTATTTCTGGATCAGCTTGAATTACGTGCCATGAATAATTAGGGGCCGTTAATCGTAGTAGTGAGCTTATCATGCGACGAAAATATCAGAAGATTCGGTCTGTAGAAGAATTCGTAAGTCAGATAAATCAAAAATGAATCAGGGAAAGATATAACAGTAAGAACAGCTTATCAATGTAGGATGGTCTTTTAGATTAAAAGAGGGGAAACAAAATGAGTTTTTACAGAATAATAAAATTAGGAGAAGATAGTTTCTTTCTATATCAATTTATTGGATTTAATGAAAAATGGCTGATAGTTCCAGTTTCGGGTTCGATTGCATAAGCCCTGAATAACCAAGGAGGAAACAAAAATGAACATGTTCAGGCTCACGGGACAAACTGTACCGACAAACACTGGATTTCAAACTCAAAGCCTGCACCTGGAGCTGCAGGACAGGAATTTTGGTAAAACGTAAGAGTGGAAAACGAAACCGAAACGAATAAAAAACTCAAACAGCTGGCAGTAGACTTTTTAATTGGCGGTTTTTATTTTGTCTTTGAGGACTTTTGTAAAGTCTTCAGACGCGTTAAATATCATGATAATCATTCTTTGCGAAGGCGATTGTTACTGGTTTTGCCGGGCACCGTTCTGATTGCTGGGCTGACTCGTCATCACCATAACAGTTTGGTTCTGTCCATTTGAGTCAACGGATGAAGTCTAGTACAAATGGTCAGTTTCATTTTCTTGCGAGACAAGTTTGCGACAGTTGGAAATCACAACTTTTAGAAAAAAAAAAACAGAATAGAATTTGGTGAATCAACAGTTGGGGATCCCATGCGATTTTCAACAGTTTTAATTTGTCGCAGACTGCGACTCGCAGTCAAATCGAAAAGCGGAAGGGAGCCGTCTAGGGTGTAAAATTAATTAACGCGTACCGTCGGCAGAATCAAAGAAGCGGGTGCATTTCCGGAATTGCTGTTAATCAACCGCTGCAGATCGCTGTGATCAAGAATCAACGTCCTTTTCCCGTCGATAATTGTTTGCTAGGACAGGGGTTCCTGCAATAATTCAAAGAAAAAAATGATGATTGGTAGCGGATCAAGAAATTGAGTCTCTTAGACTTTTTGGCGAAATCATTCGCAACAATCAACCAGTTCGAAATGCTATTCAAGTGTGGCGATTTGAATGGCGACTGTTAATTTTTCTCAAATCGGGAACCTTGCCTTGACCGTGTATTGCTGACCACCCTTTTGTTGGTCAGAGCCGAGAACCATAGTTGTAGCGGTCGAGACCACGCGGGACTAAGCGAAAAAGTAAACCGCGGAAGGGCTGAAAGAGCACGCTTACCGATGGCTGTTGCTGGTTATCTTGGTGCTGGCTAGTTTGGATGAGTCTTTGCCCTGATCCAGGGCTTTGGACGATATAGTTTGACTGGCTGCCGGACTGGCCGCTGCGGGGAAGGTGCTGCAGAGGGGCATTCTGCTGAGAGTGGCCGCGTTGCATTTGGAGCGTCGGATTTTGGCTTAAATTCGTTATGCATAGGAATAAACGGAGTCTGAAGGGCTAGGTTGATTATTCTTGATTGAAAGAGTAGACAAGGACTTAAACAGGACTCTTCAAAGCCCAGAATGGGCTTGAAAAAGAAAAGAAAACGCCAACATTGGGCCAAATATTTCAGTCTTAATATTTTCTAAACTCAAACGAGTCAGAGGACAATTTTAAAATTCCAGTCGACTACTACTCTTAACGATTCAGTGTCTGTTGGAGAAATGCCAATCGCGGCCTATTTCTCGATAGAGAGCGGACCCATCGGTCATTTACACAAAGAATAATTACTTTTCAGCCGAGTCAAGCTCTAAAAGGAACCTACTCTTAGCCATGAGATCGGATCTTTCAAAAAGTCTGAGGACTTACTTTTGTCCAGGGCTCATCGGAACAGATCCGCTGAGTCTTGGCTGCTGCTGCTGTTGATTCTGTTGTTGTTGATTAGTTTGTTGAATCTGATGTCCTTGCTGCGCTACTTGCTGGCTGAGTTGTTGTTGGCTCGTCTGACTCTGTTGCTGCTGCATCGGTTGTTGAAGGTGCGGGTTCATTGTCTTTTGATTTGCACCCATCGAGTTATTTTGCCGTAGCTGACTTTGCGCTTGACCAGCAGGACTTGCCACCTGTTGCATTCTCGGCTTTTTCGTCATTTGATCGGTTTGCATTCTAGTGCACTCATTATACATCAGATCGAAGCTTGTTATCTCACCGGTTATTGACACTGTTCCCAAAATGTTTGTGCAGGTTTTCTTTGAGTTTTTGGCTTGTTCTTTTTTGCATCGTGTTACTTATAGTTCCCAAATCGTCCTTAAAGTTCTGAACCGCTTCTTGAAGCTTATCGACGTCACTGGGCATCCACTGATTGCGAGAATAGAAGTTAAAACGTAAGCTGATAAGAAGTACCTTTGACTTGTTATTTACACTGTGGAAATCCAAAAACATTGTGCATTCGCCGAGACGCTGAAACGCTTCACCAGCAACTTTTAAAACCTCCGCAACTTTGGTCGCAGAGACGATCGATGCGTTCCTCTGCATATCGCTATCCGCCGACTAAATTTATCAGTAAAGAGAGAAGTTTCTTCGGAAAGAAGAATCTCCCCCGGCTATGATGAATAAAGGAGAAGCAAGCTTTATGAATATACAGCTTCTTCCTTTGGGTCTGCTCGTTTTCCTTACCATAGAATTCATTGAACCTGGAGTATTAGGCATTTGGTTCTTTATTTCGGCCGGCGATTCCGTTTTCATACTTGCTGTATCGCTCATTTGAGGAGACATGACGCTGTTTTGATTTTGATTAATATGCTGCGGCTGCATGGTCTTTCAAGGCTTTGATTTCAAACGAACAGAAAAGCTAGTTAATCGAGTTGATTTCGGAGTGTATGAAGGCCTTTCCGGAACTGGGAGCCGCGTGGTTTGCATGTTTGGGTTATGTTCTAACTGATTATTGGTGGGGATGGTCTGATGGTATGCATGTTCGGGCTGGGAGACCATCGGGTCCCCGACGTACGACTCGTTCGAATTGTTCATAATTTCATTTCACGAGGCCCGTCCAAGTTCTTAAAAGCGGTCTTCAAATGGAGAAGAAACCTTCGACTGCAAGAGCCAAATTATCCTGCGAAATGAATCAAACAAGCAAAAACAAAAGTGAAAGGTAATTCCGGTCAAATTTTATTGAATAGAATCGACAACAGAATCGTTTTACGTCCCATGTACAGAAGGTCAAGCTTCTTAGTTCATCTTTCTGACGAGGTTGTTGATCTTGTCTTCTCGGTTTCCGAAGTCACCACCTTCGACGAAGTGGTTGGTGACTCGTCGGTAGCCGCCAACGGGGGTGGAGAGCTTGAAGGGCCAGAGGAAGTTGTTGGCCTAAATAGAGAGATTAGCGCAAGAGAGTCGAAAACACTAATTGTGGGAGAAAAGATACTTACTCGCTTGAAGTTGGGTCCGACGGTGTAGATTTCGTGGATAAGATCCTCGACGGACTGGAGTCCAACTTCTCCGAGGGAACCTTCGACGACGGCGTTCTCCTTGAGTGGGATTCGCTGGCCATTGACCTTTCCATGTCCTCGCTTGTAGATCAGCTCTCGGACAGTCTTGAGGTTAGGGTATCCCCAGGTGATGAAAGGCAGTAGATCAGGTCACGACTAGTTTAATAAATCGAGTTTCTTAGAGTTCTACGGAGACTGGAGAGAAGCACAGTAACACTAGGTTTCCGCACCTCACTCTCTCTCTTACGTCAAGCCCAAGATCGCAAGGATCCATCAAGCTTGACAGATAAAATTATGAGCATTCCAGACTGCCCAGGTGAAATCTATCGTGACCTGCATGCCTGAGCGATGTTGAGCATCATAATAGTGGCCTAAATTTTGTTAAAAGGACGAAATTAAAATTGGACGGAGAAAAAGTGGAAGATTAGGAAAGACATTTACCTTGTTGAGCTTGACGAAGGTGGAGTTTCCGATCTGTCGGAGTCGGAGGAGCTGGAGGATCTTCTTGACTCGTGGAGAGACCTGGTTGATACCTCGGATTCGGATGACGAAGGCGAGCTTGGGCTCAGCTGGGACGTAAACGTTTCCGTTCTTTTTGGCCTGTCGGGCTCGGGCGATATTGAGCTTTTCTTCGGCGGCGTATTCCTTGGCGTAGGAAGCAGCTCGCTATTAGAAAGTTTGAGTATACGAGCTAGAAGAGAATGGATGGTTACCTTGATCAAAGCTCGTCGCTTGAGGGTGTTAGCCTTCTTGGCGTTTTGCTGAGCAAGAGCTCGCTTGGCGAGAGCGGCCTGGTAAGCCTGTCGCTTCTTTTTGAGGGCTTCTGGGACGGAAGGAGCCATGATCCAATTTCAGTCTAAATAGTCCTAGATAAGAAATCTTTCTCTCTGTTATCAACAAAAAGAGGCTTGATCTCTTGAATTAACGCTTGGTCGGTCTAAAATAAACAAAAACTTTACAATGCCATCATCATTATCTCTAGTCAACTGGAATTTAGTGAGGAGTATATTGAAAAAAAAGCTCAAGTCGCGAGAAAGATGGATTCTTTTCTCCAGTCCGCCATGTGAGGTCCTGAGCCAACCAGCAAAAATGGGACGCCCACGCATCGCGGCGCATCGATAGCGCCACTACTACACTGCTTTTTATTTCCATATGATAGCCCGCCGGATGGCGCTAATCTACTTTTCTTTTTCATGTGCGGTGCTCTATTTCAATTTCTGACTCCTATTTGATTAAAATAGGGTAGTATAAATAACCCTTTAACTGATTAGCGAATCTAATAAGCTAAAGAAGTTGGTTTTTATAATTTATTCTAAAAATGATAAATGGACAAAAAAAAAAGTCTTCACCGCATAAAATAGACAATGCTAACTGAAAACAGCGGTAGGCTCGCATTCGGTAAGACTGACTATTTCATACGGTTACTTTCCGTGTTGGTTAAAACACCCTTCTTCGCAGCCTTTTCTCCCTTTCTAGTCGCGCTCTTGTTCCTCCCAGTGATGTTTTCCTTCGCATTCACATCGCCGCTCTTGAAGGGAAATCTGTAGTTGGACTTGGAGCGATGCAACTGGCCGCGAGGCTCGACCTTCTTCTGGCGAGAGCGAACGGTGCTGCTGGGCTGCGCCATTTCTTTTGGCGCCTCGTTCTGGCTCGCAAGATTTTCGACGTTTTCGTTTCGAGCTTCTTCTTTTGGCTTCTTCTTTGTCTTGACTTCTTGCCATTCGTTCAGGTTGAAGTCAAGATCTGGGTTGTAGAAGTCCTGGGCGAACTCCGAATACTCGCGGACTGAAGGCTCAATCTCCAGTGCTTTCTGGACGCTGATGGCTTTTGCGTCTTCACAAGAGTTGAGGAAATCATTTTCGACTCCACGAGAAACGACTGGCAATGCTGGAGTAACCAGCGCGCCAGATGAGTCTCCCAACCTGAAAAAATATGTTAAAATAAGAATGTGGTCAACGTAAAAAGCGACGATACGTACTTGATCGAATTTATCTGTGCAGTGATGTGTGTGCAATCAGAGTTTTCAGATGCGCTGCTGGAAGTTCCTGGTCTGAAAAAGAGTTCATGCTTTTGTCTGGGTTTCTTGAACTTACGCGGATACTGGTGAAATCGCGGATTTCTTCTTTGGGGGTACCCTTGTCTGAACAACGCGTGGTTGTTCTTGCTTTTGCTGAACTCTTCGATTCCAGGGGACGAAGTTCTTAACTCATTTTAGTCTTTGATTTTGCAAATTTACATACATCTCTCTCAACAGCTGGACAGTGATTCTTGTAAACGACCGTGCCGGTTCTTCCAATAATGCGCCCGGGCGTATTTCGTCGTGTCCTTGTTGATTGCGCGGTCACGTCTCGAACGAGAGCGTTCCATTTCGAAGAAACGAAGCTCAATATTTCGAGGAAATGCTCATCAGTGACCAGCTCCTCGGCGGGTGGGTCGGGCTCAGGCGTAACTGCTTCATCTGGAGCCGAGTTTTCTATAACTGGCTCTTTCGAAGCTGACTCTTCCGTAGACATCTGAACGAAAGAGCGGTTAGTAGCACTGACTTGCAATGCATAATAATTCAGAAAAAAAAACACGGAGAAACAGGTGTAGATTTCGTCTTGCCCAGGGGAAGATAACGATAACAATCTTTGAGCGAACTCGAAGTCAGAAAAGAAATAACGAAAATCGAGAGCGCACCAGTAACGCATTTTTCTGAAGAGCCTAATATTTGCGATTTTTGTTGCTAATGCAATACCTGAGAACACTTGTTTGAGAAAAAAGTAAGCAAAAGTCCTGGCAGTGACAGTGGGAGGGAAATAGTGAGACTCCGGAGAAATGATGCACTCAGCAGCGCACTCCTGACACGATGACTCAGTCGATGACTCAGTATTGTCTGCCAGTCTTTGAGAAAGAGTCGCGTTCAACTTTTAACTAAATTTAAAGCGGTTGCATGCAAAATTAATAGCCTTCCGATAAAAGAATTAACGTACGATCCAATCATTTTAATTTGAAAAAAAAAAAAGATTTTAGATTAAGTTTAACAATTACTTATCTTTAGAAGGATAGCCGGATGGGGTATCAAGAATTGAAGGAAGAGGATGTTTTCGCAGCCATCTTCTTGAAGAACTTTTATCAGGCCGATCGACGAGAGGATAACTTGGACAAGGACTTGGCGCAGAACTGCAAGTTGACACTTGCCTTCCACAATTTTCTCAAAAGAAAAGTGACTCCTGAGGTAACACGCTCTATTGACAATAGTATCGGCACTCGTATTCTTTGAGGATTTCATGAAGACGTTGATCGAGGCGAATCCCAATCTTCACAAATTCGTGGCGAAGGAGTTGGAGCACTGTGCTGCTGACGACATGTTCCTCAACGACATGTTCATGATGGACTTTGACGAAAAGTGCGACGAATGGGTTCTTGGGTCGGCAACTTTTGACTTTTGAGAAATTTTATTTTCATTATTTTTTGACTAAATTTATTCGTGTAAATTTTGCCGACTCCTATTTAGATTTACTCCGTCGGACTTGACAATGATCACCTAGACGCTCCATTTTCTGAGAAGCTGCAAAGAGCGTTCGTCCATTTTGAAAATTTGGACTTCTCCGAAAGAATTAAACTTGGCAAATCGACGAGAAAGTGGATAGGTCTTGGGTTCGACTGTCACATGAGAATATTATCAACGATTTTTTGAATCCCAGCGAAAGAAAAACACTTTCCCTCTCTTGCGCCAACGCAGCCTGAAGAAGAAAGTACGCTGAATGAAGAGAGTACGGCGGAAGACGATATTGATCCTGGAGAGATACTTGGCAAGTTTCAACTGCCAATGCCTGTTACGAATGAGAAGAAAGTAAGGACTGTAAAGTTTGCGAAGACGATGGCAGAAGAGGACGTAGATGGGTTTAAAGAGATGGTAAAACTTCTCGAAATTTATCAACGAGTAGCTGAGCCGCTCAACGTAAACCTTATTGCGAATATTCTCGTGGCTGATAAAAGTACCGTTTGGGATACTTTCAACAATCACTTCCATGAGATCTCCCTCTTGGCGAGCATTCACGAGGATGGACGTGGGGCAAAACCCTTGCGCGTTTTAGGTACTGTTGACAATTAATATAGCAAGATTGCGCCACTGTAAATTTTCATTACGTAAAAAATCGTTGTCAACAAAAAAGCTCTTCGACTGGGGATCGTTCTGAACTATTTTGGCTACGACAACGCAGCTAAGAAGTGTTTGATGGCAGCTCAGCTTCATTCCTACACGAGCAATGATAAGGTGATTATGAAGCAAGTCATGCTCTGGCGAGCCTTCATCACAAATGAAATCCTGCCAACAACGATCTTCGGTCAGAGCGACCGTTGGGGCACCTTGACGCAGCTCAATGCTAGCCTTTGCGACCAGTTGACCAGCCTTAGTGAACTTCAACGCATGCTTCGACTTGGGGAACCGAAAGAGAGTATCTACAAGCGCCTCTACGATTGGATTCCAAACAACAATCAAAAAGCTGCGCATTTCTTGGCGATTGCACATTTCATCAGCATCAAAAGTGTGATCTACGAATATTTCGGTTTTCGTCGGCTGTCGACACTCTGCAGCGAAACGATTATGAACATTGGAGCAGCGAAAGGCGAAGAAACGTCGTTGCTGCTGAACTTTTCGCTTCTTCAGGAAGAGGGTCTTTCATGAAATCTAAAATCGCGAGCTTGAGTCTCGAAAAAATAAAAAAGTATCCCTAGAAAGATGAATGCAGCGAAATTATTGCGGGTGAATCTTCCGAAAGCATCGGACCTTATCCGGGAAGATAAGGATATTCTCCAAGATCTACGGAGGCTTGCGCGAGGGAATTTTAATGGAATCGTCGTTGGAAAGTCTGATGGATCTTCTTGGCGCCTCGAGGAGCTGGAAGTAATCATCGATGAGAAAAGTGAAGCCAGAGCCCAGGTTACATTTGTTGACATTCTGGACTCGATGGACGTTAATGAGAAAAGTGCTTTTATTCACATTAGGCTGCAAATACTGCACTCGAAGATAAGGCACGGATACAAACTAAAGTTCGAGTGAAATTTGTAGCGAATCAATAAGTACTTTTTTGTATTCGTGTGAAGAATGCTCGAGGAAGAATTAGATGAGTCGGAGAGTAGCCAAATCAACGTGTCTTTGAAGGAAGCTATGGATCGAGCCAGGGCGAGAAATTACAAGGGGCTCGAGATGGAAGCAAACTTCATGCTAGCAAAACTAGCCATCCGAATCGGCAACTATGATCATGCCATTAACTACCTCAAAGATTCCGAGGAATATTACTCGATGAATGCAGATCTCTATAATGAGAGAAGCCATTTTCTTCAGTTGCTCACTGCCAATCTGTTGCGAACAGTGAAGAACAAGGCGCTCTACTCGGAAGAGAGCATCACTTGGATTATTAAAGAGCTTGGAGAGCTCGCAGACGAATTCGAGGGGACGTCCAGTTTGCGAGACTTGATTAAGTACGAAGAGATTCGCTCCCTTTCCTACTTAGCGAATTTTCTCATGAAAGCTTGCAATAGCATGAAGGCTAAGAAAACTCCTTCACAAAGTCTCTTGACTGCCGTTCAATCCTTGATGATGTCCAACTAAAAGTTCATTATTGCACATCAGACTTCACATATTTCACTGCCCTGTTCACCCATTGTCTTTCTAGAATCTAGTTGCTCTTCTTAGATAGACTTACTAAGTCTTATCGAATGGCGGGCTAACCATGGGCAAGAGATGTTTTCATGAATTCTTTTTAGAGAGACAATGGAAACACTTTCGGCGGCATTCCAATGTCTAGTCTGTATGGGGCCACTGCAGGATGCTCACCTGTGTCCAAAATGTTCAAAATTCTTTTGTAAAGGTGAGGCTACTTCATGACGCAGCTTAGAACGAATTTTGATCCTAGAGTGCATCATCCGCTGGGTCAGTCGCCACAGACAGTGTCCACACTGCCGATGCAACTTGTCAGAGGTAATATTTGTTAGTTGATATCAGTAACCGAAATGATGATAGAGTTCCTTGGTGAAATGCGGATGGGTGAGCGATGTTACTGCCAGTATTGCGCGATTAGAAACGACTCACGCTACTACTATTGCTCAGACACCGACACGGCCATCAAGACCAGCGACGGAGACAATACCAGAGCAAAGCGAAGGATGTCCGCAAGAATTGTGTCAAATTCACAAAGCTCACAAAGGTATCACTAGATCTTCTTAAAGTTGACCAACACTTCACCCGCCAGACGTTTTCTGTACGACATGCACATCTGCAATATGCCACAAGTGCGGCTGCTTTTCGATTTTACATCGAGGACATGATATGAAGCCGCTGAGCGAGGTTTACGAAGAAATGAAACGATCCGTCCAAGAAAAAATTGATGCCGTAAAAGTGAGAAACGAAGAACTCGAAATTCTGATCACTGATTACGACCGAAATGCAGAAGAGATTCGAAACGCGAAAGAGCAGGGCCTTGTTCAAATTCAAAACTTCGTTTCAGAGCGAATCAAAAGTCTAGAAGAAAACGCGAATGAACGAAACGTCGAGGTAGAATCCGAAGGGAAGAGCAAACATGTACTCTTTAGATCGAGCGCTATCGGAAAGTACTTCGCGATGAAATTGAGAAAAATAAAGCTTCGATTGCAAGAACGCAGCGTGAAACAGAAGCCTTAGACGAAGCCGAGCTTCTGCAAAAACGACGGGTCGTAGAATCTTCTCTAGATCAGCTAGTAGCTGAGCCTATCTCTAGCTTTGTCTACGAGCCAGTTACGAGCCAATTTAAAGATGAACTCAACCCCAAATGGAACACAGGTAATAGCCGCCTATCAACAAGGCTCTACAAATTTCAATTGGTTGGACTAACAATAACAAGGGACTTTTACCGTCGAGAACTTCGAGGAAGAACTCTCTTCAAATATGCCACTTTACTCTGGGTCCATTCATCATCACGGAATGACTTGGCAGCTGAAGGTCTATCCAAATGGGAACGAAATGGCTCAGAACTCTCATCTCAGTGTCTTCCTTCAACTTTCAAATGCGACTCCACTTCATTCCTCTGCCAAGTATACATACCAGTTCAGCATTCTCGATCGGCACGACAAGTCGATCTACGAGAAAGAGTTTACATCTGAGTTTGCTATTGGCGAGTGTTGGGGCTACAATCGCTTCCTATCGCTCCGCCGAGTCAACAATCTTCTCGTCGACGGCGATCTAAAGCTCAAGTTCTCTGTGCGACCCGAATCGTTTCCGATTGCTGTTCGCGACCTAGAAAACTACATTAACTTCATCACGCTCGGCGGCGCTGATCTAGCTGAAGAACTCCAACAGCATCCTCTAAACGAAACGAACGCTGCCGACAGATCTTTATCCGCTGAGTTATTGGCCGAATTATCTTCCGACAACAATGAATCGAACGAAAATGCGATCTCAGAATCGATTAGTCTATTCGATGCAACCAGAAATTTCGGCACATCAGACTCGGAGCCTGATGATACCCCTAGACCCAATAGCGCGCCAGTCTATCTTGTTTCTTCGAGTGATACTTTACCGCGACCACTGGATTACGATGAAGCGGACACAGAAGAATTGCTTCTGTCGTTCGCGGAAACTCAACATCGAACTCAGTTCACAATCGGTGATCAATATTGAAGGCCCTCGTTTCACATCGTAAACTCGTTTCCTTTTTCACCACATTCCTGAATTCCCGATCTGCCTTATTTTTTAATTCCAATTCATTGTACACTAGCTATTCTTTCTACTTCACAAAACACTATTTTTTCACAATTTCTTAAACAATTCGTTCACTTTAGATCGAAATGACAAAGCAAGAAAAGAAATCAGATGAGCCGCCAAAGACGGCGCTAGCAAAAACTGCCTTGTATGACAAAACAGCGATTCCTTCTCCGGCGAAAGAAAAGCGCCAGTCATCTTCAAGATTTACTTTATCTGGAAAACGAGAGCTCATCAAGCTGCCGTTACTCATCGAAGAGAAGGATCCTGCTGCGCGAGAAGAACTTTTCCTCAAAAAGCTCAAACAATGTTGCACCATGTTCGACTTCATCGCTGATCCACTATCCGACCTCAAATGGAAAGAGGTAAAACGCGCCGCTCTCGGAGAAATGGTGGACTTCGTCGCAATGAATAGAGGAGTCATAACAGAGCCTATCTTCTCCGCAGCAGTAGAGATGTTTGGTAAGAATCTTTTCAAACTATTGGATGAAATAACGCTGTTCTTAGCTGTGAATACATTCCGATCATTACCACCGAACACAAACCCAAATGGCGCCGAGTTCGATCCAGAAGAGGACGAGCCGACGTTAGAAGCCTCTTGGCCTCATCTTCAGGTAATGTGATCTTGTTTGAAGTATCCGAGCATGTCTTCAGCTTGTGTACGAGTTTTTCCTCCGCTTTTGGAAAGTCCAGATTTCAAGCCTAATCTTGCGAAAAAGTTTATTGACCAGAAAAGCTTCGTGGTTCCGGTAAGTCTCCTCCCAATGATTCCTGCCCTCAAATTTTATTCTAGCTCCTCGACCTTTTCGACTCTGAGGATCCTCGAGAGCGCGATCTTTTGAAAACTACTCTTCATCGGTAGCTTCTTTCGAGTAGTCTGAAAACTTAACTTGTATCAGAATTTATGGCAAGTTCCTCAACCTTCGAGCTTTCATTCGTAAACAGATCAACAACATTTTCTACCGCTTCGTCTACGAAACGGAGCGACACAATGGTGTTGCAGAGCTTCTGGAAATTCTGGGTTCGATTATCAACGGATTCTCGCTGCCTCTGAAGGGGGAACATAAAATATTCCTGCTCAAAGTTCTTTTGCCTCTCCATAAAATCAAGTCATTGTCAGTCTACGTAAGGATCCTTTATGAAGCGGTTTTTAACAATGATCTAGCATCCTCAACTGGCTTACTGCGTAGTACAGTTTCTCGAGAAAGACCCATCTTTAACAGAAGAAGTGGTAACTGGGCTGCTCAAGTTCTGGCCGAAGACACACTCTCCGAAGGTAATTTCGTCAAAATTTTTGGGACAATATTCAACATTCTGCATTCAGGAGGTGATGTTCCTGAACGAGCTAGAAGAGATTCTGGACGTTATCGAGCATGCTGAGTTCGCTCGAATAATGAGGCCGTTATTCAACCAGCTTGCACGTTGCGTCTCGTCGCCGCATTTCCAAGTTGCCGAGCGAGCTCTCTACTACTGGAACAATGAGTACTTTGTCAGTCTAGTGCAAGACCATACCAAGGTTATCTTGCCGATTATGTTCCCGCCTCTCTACCGAAATTCCAAGGTTTATATTCAAAAATTATCTAGGCTTTTCATCATCTGACTGTATAGGTTCATTCTGCATAGGGTGTCTTCGATGAGCCTATACAGTCAGAAATTGAACAGACAGAATAAACAAACACTTACTTTTTTTGAAGTCTCACTGGAATAAGACCATTCACGGACTGATCTACAATGCTCTCAAGCTTTTCATGGAAATGGATCAGAATCTGTTCGACGAGTGCACCACCAATTACAAGAGCGAACGCTTGAAGGAAAAACAGGTGGATAGCATCACCAATTGTGTTTGTTTTTAATTCCCTCTCAGGCTATTCAAGAGCGAGAAGAAGCCTGGAAGCGTATTACAGAGAAAGCGATGAAAAATCCACTGCGACATCAAGTTGATGGACTCGTTATCAAGAATGATGCTTTCGCTGGCGAGGTATTTTTTCAATTTAAATCGGGGTGAATTACAGTTCTAGGTGGATACCGAAAAACTGCGCGATCTCAATTTGAACGAGAAGGAAGAAAAGGGATCAGTTGCAAAAGAGCTTAAATGGGACGAAGTCAACACTGCCGCCCAACACACCGAAGCTGATGACAAATCGCGAGGGAAAGCTATGCGACGGAAATCGAACTTACCTCAGGTAATTTTCAAATTGACTGTGAAGACAACGAGGAGAACATCATTTTATTAGAAAATCGTAAAACGATTTCAAAAGTGTAAGTCATATCTTTATCAAGCCAAGCGTGAGCAAGATCCTCAGTAATTTGAGAACTTCCGGTAATTGAACGCACGACAACATTTATCATAAAGAAAGATCAGAAACTGTCCTAATCTAGAATCATTCAAAATTTTGCTCGTTCCGAGAAAACGGTTTCTGCTCTTTTTCCAATTATCTAAATCAGTTATCATCACTCCCTTTCCATAATTTAATTCTTTAATTATAGCGCACGTCCGAAATTTATCAAAACTTCATCCATGTGAATCTTGTTTAATTAAATGACTGTTTAGGATTTGAGCACACTTCGTGCGCTAGAAAGCCACAAACGCTCTTCCGAGGGCCTCAAGAAGCAAGAAGAGTAAAAGCAAAATCATTTTTTCGCCGTTCAACGACCAAACCTCACCGCCCTACACACATTTCCGTTATTTTCTAGTACATGTAATAGCAATCAATCTTCATCTGCAGCAGATTCTATTTCATTCATTCTGCCTCTGTTCAACACGTTGTGCAATCACTAGTGCTCTCAAATTTTTCCCATAGTATGAGCGAAATCATTGAGTCGGAGCTCGCAGCGAAGCGTGGCCTTCGAAAACGCCCTTCCAAAACTGTTATTCAATGCTCCGACGAAGAAAACGAAGACCCGCAAGTTTGTCTTCCGAAACGAGCGAAAAGCACCGAAGATGGAGTGCAACAACCACTCGCCGACAACGAGGACTCGTCTGAGTCAAATGATCCTTCCGAAAAAGCTCCAGCTCCACTCATTGCTAGCATGCCAACGCCGGTTCTTTTGGAGAGAACGAGAAAGACTCATGATAGGAAAGACGCCACTCCTAAAAGAATGAGGTAGCCAATAGCTTAATTTCCTGCTTGACGTTTTTCAGCACAAGCAAGAGTAGAAAAGAACAAAAACCGACGGAAAACAAAGAGGACGCATCTTTCAAGGCTCGTCTTTTTGAAGAAGAGGACTCCGCTACTGATTCCGATAGCTCGCTTTAAGGCGAACACTTTTACATTTAGGATTATAAATCTTCGCTCATCCTCACTTCTTTCATTCCTTTTCATTAGTAGACCTTATCTTATCACATTTCCAACGGCCTATTACACATTTATTCTCTTAATCTCACTTTTGACAATAAACAATTTACGAAAATGAACTGTTTATTTTGAAAGTAATTTACACTGATTTACAGGCTGTGAAAAACTTTTAAATGTTGGTTTCTCTTTTTCATTTTTTGCATTTTATCGCTTTTGGGAGGAAAATATTTGGCTGAGGCTTCGTATGGTTGTCGTACTTTCTGGTAATAGCCTTGAATTCGGCGTCTACTTCGTTGACGATATTTACTAAATAATGCTCAAGATGAATTTCAATAAGAATTTTTGGGGCGAAAAATTTTTTTCTGAGGTCAACACATATTCTGAAAGCCCGTAAAAAGTTACGCCGATTCCCGAAATTCTAGGGTGAAATGACGTCATTATGACGTCATCAGCCTCATTTGAAAATTTTTCAGAATCCACGCTTTTTGAAGGGGTTCCCCCTTAGAAATTTTATTTTTCTCGACGGAATCTTGTTCTTCATCGAATAAGGAAGGTTGCAACGGAAAAAAATTTCCGAACCGACCGGTTTCGACCGCGGTATATCGCGGTCTTCCCAGATTTTTCCCCAAAACCAGACATTTTATATATCAATCGACGCAGAATTTAATTTTCTTTTGAAATAAAGATAAATCAGGCATAAACCAACCGGTTACCATCAATAAAAATGAGTAAAACTACCGAGAAACAAAAAATGATGAAAAAAGATATTTTTTGTATACAAATGTATTATGAAGGAAATTATAAAAATACTGTTCAAACCTTACTGCATAATGCAAGAAAAAAATAAAAATACTGTTCAAACCTTACTTTTTTCCTAGAATTTGGCGTTTTGCCAATTTTATGAATTTTGCGTTTTTTCTCATTTAACCGGTTGGTTAAGGCCTGGTTAACCGTGGTTAGCTTTATTTTGAAAAGATAATTAAATTCTGCGTCGATTGCTATATAATATGTCTGGTTTTGGGGCTAAAAACTGGACAAACCGCGATTTACCGCGGTCGAAACCGGTCGGTTCGGAAAATTTTTTCCTTTGCAACCTTCCTTACTCGATGAAGAACACGATTCCGTCGAGAAAAATAAAATTTCTAAGGGTGAACCCCTTCAAAAAGCGTGGATTCTGAAAAATTTTCAAATGAGGCTGATGACGTCATAATGACGTCATTTCACCCTAGAATTTCGGGAATCGGCGTAACTTTTTACGGGCTTTCAGAATATGTGTTGACCTCAGAAAAAATTTTTTCGCCCCAAAAATTCTTATTGAAATTCATCTCAATGAATTGTCGATTTTGGGAACCTACTTCAGGCTTTCCGATAGATTTGAGATTTTCATCAACAGAGTGTTCGTTGATTTCGATAGTTTTTGACTTCCCGAAAATTCTCTTTGAACCCATTTCGCTGATGAATAGCAGTGATTTTTAATGTCGAAATGGGTTTTGAATTTAGTCAGATTTAGCTAATGAGAACTCCGAATCAACATAAAAGATCACTGCTAACAGCAGTCGTCGGCCTGTCCGTAGTCGGTAGATTGCTGCTTCCAATTGCTAGTTCCATTAATGGGCGTGGTTTCATTTTGCTCAATGATTTTCGGCTCTGAATTTCAGGAGTTTCAATATCTTCATGCTCTGCTGGATGTCCATTTATTTTTCGTAAAACGCTCTCAATAAGACGAGACGAAAGGTCGCCGTCAGAAGCTTTGGCTTCCTCTACTAATTCTGTATTGCATCTATCTTCTGCATCTGTTGATGGTTTCAATGTTTTCGTCTCGTTTAGTTTTCTAAATCGGAGTGGCCTTTGAGAATTTTCGCTTTTCTTTTCCATTTTAGCCAATTTTTTATTTTGAACACTTCTTTCTTGAACATGTGGCTGCTTCTTCTCTTGTTTTCCGTTTCTACTTGTCGCTAGTTGGATTGGTTTAGTCTTCTTTTCGATTCTGGTTCCCTCTGCCATTGACTGCTCTTCAGGTTGGGCTATTTTAGAGTGCGCTGTTTCTTTCTGTTCTAGCGCTCTGCTAGTTGAATTCGGAACTTCCAGAGTCTTGTTCGTATCCTCAAACTTAGGTACTCTTTTTTCAAACGAAGCGAGCGATTTTTCCATTTTATTTTTGGAGTTCATTGGGAAAGATTCCGTTTCAGAGCCCAACTTTGAGACGGCTCTTGTACTTTTAGAATTTGTGGACGCTTTGGACTCCGAACTGCTGATAAGATCACGAAATAGAATGTCTTGTAGAGAACCATTCTTTTCCTTCTTTTTGGATTGTTTTTGAATATTATTGAATTCTTGCTGTGACAGGCGCCCGTCGTTGAGAAGCTTCCTCTCACTCACGAAAATTTTATCTGTAGTTTCATGAGAATAATTGAGTATCTTTTGATTATCCGTTCTAGGCTGGAGCGAGTCCGGAGGCGATAGTTCTGGAAGAGGCTTGTCATTTACAGCCCTGTCGCTGCTTGAAGATTCGGGGCAGTACATGGCTTCCTCTCCGATAAAGTTGCCGAGAGCAGACGGCGAAAGATATGGGAACATCGGTTCTCGCCGCTAAGCTTATTCATACTTTTCGAAAATATCGGAATCGAATGGTCGAGAAAAATATAATTTTCACCAAAATTTCCAAACTTATTTTTTTGTTTTCTCTATACTCTAGATGTGTTCTAGAGGTCCTAAAACCCCCCTTTCGCCAGAAAAAACCACGTGAAGCAAAGAAAAAAAATCGATTTTTTCGACTCGAAAACTCGAAAATCGGAAATTTTCACCAGCCCATTACTCATCGTTATCGATGAGTAAGCATGATGAATCATACCTCATTGGATAGCTCAGAGTCTGAACTTGTACGGACCGTCGAGAAACCGGTGCGGACTTTAACCGGTTGGTCACACGGTAAGGCTGAAAGTTGGTCAATTTTTCGAAATTTCGAAAAATGCCCATCTTCAAGCGATGATTACTCATACTTCCTGATGACTAATTTTGGCCAGTATATAGCCATTTATGGTCAACTTTGGTCAAGTTCGGCCGGAGGACCCCGGAGGACCTCCCTGGTGGAAGACCATCCGCTGGAAGACCAATATTTAGAATTTCAATATATGGCTGTGCTCGGCCAATTTATGGCCGCATATGGTCAACATTGGTCTAGTCAGGCCGGAGGTCCCCCGGAGGACCTCTATGGTGGAAGACAATCTGCAGGAAGACCAATGTTTAGAATTTCAAAAGATGGCTGTGCTCGGGCAATTTATGGCCACCTATAGTCAATATTGGTCTAGTCAGGCTGTATTTTCAAAAGGTTAACTGATAAGAAGCTTAATATCTGTTTTTTCTAGAAAAAATACTAAACCGGTGCGGCAATAAATCGGTCGGTCGCAAGTGCCTGCGAAAAAAGTGTTGATACTTCAAATTTCTGCAGAACAGACCACATTCAAATTAAGAAAATCTCAATAGACAAACATATATTTATCAAAAAAATGAACAAGTATTTAAGAACGAAGATGAAAAACCGAAAAGAAAAAACAATTTGAACAGAAATAATGAATGACAATTTTGAAGTAACAAAATCCTGAAAATTTTCTGGCAAAGCACGATGTTCACGGCTTAAACTTCTAAGAGTCTTTTCAACTGCGTGAATCAAAGCCGCGACACATGGATCAGATGGGTCAACCATATTAGTTCTAATCGACTCGTGTATTGTTTTTTCAAAATCATTCATCTTAATCTTATAAGAGAAGGTTTATAGTCATGAGTAACCTTTGCGCATTTTTCCACCATAATCATTCTGAGAACGCGTTTGTAAACATCTGATGGAATACCAGTATTGAGTGCGCAGTGTTTTAAACCATCTTCAGTTCGCTGAAATAAGAAGCTCGCCGAAATCGCGGGTTTTTCGCTGATGATTGAGAGTAGAGTTGGTATTTTTAGAAGCTAAAAATTCAGGTAGCACGTTATATCAACAGAAATAACAAACCTTTTCATCATTTTTCGACGTCTCAGGTATAGGAGTGTCAATTTTCATTTTTAATGCAAATGAATGTAAAGCACTTCTTAGAGTTCAATATCGATGAATAAACGATTTTTAAAATTTCCTGTCTTTTCTCAAAAATGAAAAACTTCAATTTAAATGATATCGAACCTTCCCTAAATGTATAAATTTTGTGATTTGAAACCGTGCCATTCAGCGAAAATTGATTTGATAGAAGAATCTTATGAGGTTTTGGTGATTTTTCGCTAGGAGCTGGATGTGTTGAGCTAACGGCAAGCCATTCTGCGTAGTCTTCGTCATCAATTTCTCTTCGACTTCGCTGATTTGGTTTCTCTTTTTCAAAAATTTCTTTGTAAGTTTCTCTAACTATACGGAAATTGTCACGTTGAATAAGATAGATGGAGGCAAGCAGCAATATGAAAATGATTGCTTTAAGCCCCATTGCTAGAATGATGAAGATAGAAATCACCCGTCACCCTTTTATACCCGACTAATTGATAATTTTTTGGCACCGTTACAGTTTTTCATAAATTTAAAATCAAGCAATCGTGGCGATCCATTGTTTTGTACAAAGCGCGCAATTTGCATTGACGTCAATTCTAGCGCTCGATTCTTAATTTTGGAAAAACATGCATCAAATCATATCCTTATGACAGCGAGCTTAATTAATTTGTTTCAGAAATTTCGAATTTCTTTTTCACATTAAATCTTTATCGCTCTGGTTTGTCTGTTGTTCGATTTGTTGAGGTTTCAAAATTTTTAATCCGAATCTTTTTTGCATTTATGAATTTTAATGCCTTGACCATGACCATTTATTGAAACAAAGGAAGCCAAAGCCATAGAATACAAAAAAAAATTTCAAGCTTCAGTTCGAGAAAACCAAAAATGAGCAGTTGTGAAGACGATTTTTATAATTATTCGCATCCTGAATCCATTTCATCCGACGATGAGCTCAATGAGAGAAATGATAGTAGACTTCATTCAATAGCCGCGGCTCGGAAGTTTACAGTTCGGAACAACATCTTCACTGAGGCAAAGTTATCAATTAACCGAATCTGTGAAGACTCTGAAATCCATCCCGAACTGTGGGACTATAAGGACTAGGCTCGACACAAAACAGGCTAAGTGAAGTCTCAATCTCGTCAATCATCCATTTAAATTTAAAAAAAAAGGGAATTCGTATCTTGCAGAGCTTATATAGGGCTGGATCTCCTTTGCTAAATTTGGCAAAATAGCGTCAGTCATAAAATTCCCAAATGGACTGAGTAACTCCGAAGATTCCGTTATCACAATAGCTACCGAAGCTCCAATTCGAACAGAGACAAAAATCTTGAGAAAAATAGCTCCACTTTCAGAGCGCGATAGGTTGGGCTGCGCTGAAATGTTAGAAACATGTATGATACCTTAATAGCTCAAAATATAAGATTTTAACATAGTCAAAAAGCGCATCCTTTTTCTAAGCTCTTGGGTAGTTGGGATCAGTACCGATGGAATTGGATATGCTGACAGCGATTCCAGAGAGCCGGCTATTCTTCATACACCAACAACGGAACCAGTTCTTATGATCGACCTGGAACGTCAAAGTTCTACTCCGATTTTCAAACTTCATTATTTCTATGAGTTTTGATTTTTCTTCTTGTCGAAATAAATGTTTTTTTTTAACTTAGAACAGTCGCAAAATATGATTCTAATGTTCTCGTGACCAGAGTTTGCCGAAGATTTCAATTCTTAGCCCAGCAAGCATTTTATTTCATTATTTAATTTTGGACTTCCAGCAGATTGTCTTCCACCAGGGAGGTCCTCCGGAGGACTTTCGGCCTAACGAGACCAAATTTGACCATACGTGGCCATTAATTGGCCGAGCACAGCCATATATTGAAATACTAAGTATTGGTCTTCCAGCGGATGGTCTTCCACCAGGGAGGTCCTCCGGGGTCCTCCGGCCAAACTTGACCAAAGTTGACCATAAGTGGCCATATACTGGCCAAAATTAGTCATCAGGAAGTATGAGTAATCATCGCTTGAAGATGGGCATTTTTCGAAATTTCGGAAAATTGACCAACTTTCAACCTTACCGTGTGACCAACCGGTTGAAGTCCGCACCGGTTTCTCAACGGTCCGTACAAGTTCAGACTCTGAGCTATCTAATGAGGTATGATTCATCATGCTGACTCATCGATAAGGATGAGTAATGGGCTGGTGAAAATTTCCGATTTTCGAGTTTTCGAGTCGAAAAAATCGATTTTTTTTCTTTGCTTCACGTGGTTTTTTCTGGCGAAAGGGGGGTTTTAGGACCTCTAGAACACATCTAGAGTATAGAGAAAACAAAAAAAAAAGTTTGGAAATTTTGGTGAAAATTATATTTTTCTCGACCAATGACTAACCTGTATTGTCTTCCTTGTTTTCAGTGGTTCCACGTCGCGCGGCTTCCCGTTTACAAGCAGTGTGTTATGGGCGCTCTCTCGTTCTATCAAAGTGAGAAAAAAAACACAAAATTAAACTTGTTAGTCTTTTATTCGAGGGAAACCGAAGTTAGGATATCTAGCGATGGATGGCAATTTGGATTGTTTAAGCATAACGTTCGAGTAAAGAATCTCTTCTTCCGTAACTGGATACGTTTTAAGTGCAAGAGCTAGCTGAGCAGCTACATTTTAATAAAAATGTTAGTAAACAACAGCGGCAATCTAGTATCACCTTTTGATTTGGAGCCTTCCCTTCGACGATAACGAGCATGAAATGGATCATGAAACCTGTCTAAATGCGACAGTGCATGTTTAGCAGGAGTGTGTGGATCGTAATCAGCAGAAGCCGTGTGGTGGTGCGAGCGATCTGCTTCGCGCCGTACTGACTGGTCGCTGCTGGAGCGACTGTAACACACTGCCTCGGCCACCCTTACCGCCTCCTGATATCCGGGCTAAAATTGATGTAAAGCCAACTTATTCAGCGCATAAATAAAGCCGTTAGTCAAGTTAGCACCTATCTACCACATAACAAATCACATCAGTGCGATCAACTAGGAATCAGTAGAGCAAACGGCTGGCTACTTGTTTTTTCACCTCGTCCGGATCAACTTCATAAGGACTGACCCACATGGACGCGCTCGCTTTCCGCGGCAGCGCGACCAACCGTTTCTGAATAGCATTTCAATTATATCTGGCCCAGAGAGCTAAATATAACCAGACAAACGTGCGCGAATATTGTGCACTCTTGTGATGAAAAAATGACAAAACAGAGTTTGACATTTGGTGCAATGCGCAAACGTCATGTACCGTGGTGGTTTAATGGACCGAGCGCTTCCTCCTCGCGCTAATAATTGTTTAAAAAATGACTAGAGTAAAAAATATCTAAAATGTCATAACGAGGAGCTAGATTATTACCAATTCGGCCGAATTGCCCCGGACAAACGTCAGTGTAATGCGAGAAAGCTAAAACATTCCTTCAGTCGGTTTTTAGTCGATAAAAAATAAAGCACAAATCGGCGTCAATCAAAGTTCAATCGGGTAAGGCGGCAATCAACTAGAGCAGGAATTGCGATAGATTCATTTCAATTTTATTTGCAATAAAATCACAGCGCACTTGCGCACCTTGTCACCGTCATAGTCTCCGTCGTCATCATGTGAAGACGGTTTTTTAAAGGGCGGAATATGTTTATAACGAACTCTTTGATGCAACTTCTGTTCATGTGTCTGAGAGGGGACTGGTCTAGCAGTGGTGGACGGTTGTGGAGCTGATCGCGCGAAATTGTGGAGACGCTCGAAGTCAATTGTCTTAGTCGTGGCGGACACGTCGCCCACCGACTGAAAATCACCGACTGATGCCTTGTTTTTGCGAATCGCAAATCTGTATGCTATTTTTCATGCAAACTTGTAATCAAGAGATTCGATTGAAGTTGATTTGATTTTTGTTTTGATTGTTTTTTTTACAAGAACTTATTCTGAATAAGCTTCGAGGACTGGATATATTACTTCCGCGAATTTTGAGTGGAGGGAAATCAAAAGAATTATTTATGAAGCATGCGATTTCCAGAAACAAAAATATTTATTACGGTGGCTCAAAATGGCAATTTTATGATACTGCTACTGACTTTTACAGAAGAATATTTGCTTTTTGCAGAGACAGAATAATCATTGAAATACTGCGGTATGGTGCTGAGGTAATTGCTTGATTAGCCAGATGCTGCTGAATTTGTGGCTCCTTTCGGATTGCCAAAACTCGGATGACAGTCTTGGAAGCGATATTGCAAGAGTTCGCGAAATGTCTGCACATCGAAATGATCTTTGAAGAGCGCGAGGTCTAGCGTAGAGTTTGAGTCGATTATATCAATCAACTTTCTCTTCGACCTTAATGATCATGCATATGATATGCAGGGCATCATTCACCATAAAACTTAAATGATTGCTTTCGACTTACTGGCTAGAACTTGCCCCTCGAGTTGTTGATAGAAGCTGTCCAATTGTGATCTGCGACATGGTATCTGGAAGTGCACCCTCACTTTTCTGCGGCTTCAAGGCTTTGCTTGCATTATGAGGTCCTCGCACTTTGAGTAAGTGCTTAAGATATGTCTCGATCGAGAGACCTTGGAATTTAGTTTGACGCTGCGTTGCAAAACTCTCAGTTTTTGCATCTGCTTTTGATGAGTGGTCTCCTAATAGAAGAAATGAGATATGTATGTTGTTGTTATCGAAGTTTAAAATACCCAAACTGTGTGCCACTGTCCGATCTGCTCGCTGGATGTGTTGTTGATCGAAGATCTGACTCGACAGTGCGTTTTTCGCCTTCCAGTAAAGCCCCTTTTTTCAGTTTTAGTCTCTTTTACTGTTCTGGGGATGTTTGCTCTATCCTTGCTGAAAAGTTGCGTGGATATTGTATCTAAATCCCGTCCTGCGAGGTTGACTATTGTCTTGGTACTCGGCACTTTGGGTTGTTGTCTTGACTGATCATTATGCTCACAGCGGTGACCGTACAAGCGGAATAATTTTTATGCACTGCATTCTATAAGCTGCTACGCCCCGATTCCTGACTTGAATTGCTTCCTTGACCAAATTGCATGAGAAGCGGATTGTTGGGCTTCAATGGTACTAATACTCGTTCCTTTGCTTCTGCATTCTGAATCGAAATATACTGCAAAAATCTCTGACACCTGCATCCGCCGTGAGTTTAAGGACCCATAATAAAAAAGGCAAAAAAGCGCATACATGAAAAAACAATACCATGTCTAGGGGCGCCAGTGATTGAGACCGATAGGTGGTAGAACTATGTGTTCGTTCAGATCGGTGAGTAGTTGATATGTCTGGAAATGGACTGTTCCGTTTTGTGCAATTTGGAATTGTGCGAATCGAACGAAAGTTTTACCTTTTTTGTGCTGGTCGAGTGGAATTCCGCATCTGAGCGATTGTGCCCATTCGATGTACTTGAAGGCGTCGGTCTTGGCGGTCGAACTTTCACGTTTTTCAGCAATTTCGATGCCTTAGAGATTTCAATAAACGATATTGGTGGCAACCTTACGTCTTCTGCCGATTTCGCTCTTTGAGAGCGGTCGAGTCGCTTTGCATCCGATTTTTTTGGTTGCCGTTTTTTCCACTTTGTTTTTCTCTTCTAAAAATATTGTTAGGGGTTGACAGTCGACAATGAAGGAATAACCTGATGCTCTTCAGCAAGATGTGCTGGCAAGCCTTCGTCTGAGCTTGAATTGCTTCCGGAAGTGTCGGACTCGAAATCATGAAGGAGCTGAGGATCTTTCGGAATTTGATCTTCTCCATATCTAGCAATAAGTTTTTCCCTTAGTTTCTGCGAAATTTCATCTTGGCAGTATTGGATCTACAAATTCTTTTCCCATTTTTTAGTAAAATGAAACCTTTGCCGGATCGGGATCATAGAAATCGAGTAATGTGTCGCATATGTGTCGACCCATTCGTTCCAAGTCTTTTATTCCTAAATGCGTGCCAGCCCGGCTCCCCAGTGTTGACCCGCCAAAAGAAGCCTCCATTGTAAAAGAATTCTTTACACCAAGTCGATGCATAAATACGCGCCCGGTTCCTTCTTTGTTCGCCTAAACAAAACTCATTATAACGATTATGCTTAGAGATCTAGATAGATTTGTTATGACGTTGATCAGACCGCATTGTAAATAGATTTTTACAAAAATGTTGAAAAATCAATCGGAAACGATCAATGACCCTCAATGAGCGAGACAGTATCAAGCCAAATAGGCTTTTCCGCTGTCCGGACAAAAGGACGCCCCATAGTTTAGAGCCACACCTGTCGCGAACTGTATTTCGAAATAAATTCACGCGCACCTGAGTTTTGTATTTGCAAGATTCGAATTTGAAGATTCCCGGGGCATTCAGCGACATCATGTATGGGAAAACTTTTTCGAGACCAGGCTGCTCGACAGACTGACAGCCGTACATAAAGACATTGTGCTTCCTCGAGTGTCCGTGCAGATCTATGTAGAACGCCACTTCATGTTCTTTTTGGAAGATTTGAACGTTTCTGGTGAGCGCGTAAATCGCGGGAAAAGCCTCACGCAGCGTCGTTTTGTAGCGCCTGTTCAGGTCTCTTCCGGCTTATGACGGGATATAACTGTACGTTTTTTATCTGCTCAGTGATAAGATATCGTTCTTCTGCAAATTTACTTTCGACTTTTATCGATGTCGTTCCCGAATCCTAAACTGCAGCGATAGTTGCCAACAATAACTCCATCTGGATTGAGCATCGGAATCACTTTGAATATAAAATGCCCTCGCAAAGTGACAGCGTCAGGATCCATAGATGTGATAAAGTCCAGAAAACCTTTCATCATCCAGCTACCATTTGTTTCACCTGGATGAACTCGAGCAGAAATCACAACTACTTTCTTCTGCTTTGCTTCTAACGTCTCATGGGGATTCGTTATCGTAAGAATATGAACAAAATTCTGGGCAAGACTTCTGCATAAAATTCTCTTTTGCGATGAACCAAAGTCATTTTCAGTGAAGAAATACTTATTTCAGGATTTTTTAACAGTTGCTTCAACGATTCCTAGTTTTGATAAAGCGCGACTTTGAAGTATCGTTTGTCAGCGTGTCAAGATACTGTTGAAGATCCGTATACGTATAGGGATAGTCATGAGCGAGGTAAACAGTGTCATCATTGTGAGGAAATTTCATTGTCCAAGTCAAACAGTACTGTGATCTACCGGATGGTGTTGGAATCGCACGCCTGTAATAGCGGATGTTTTCGCCGTTTCTTATCCACCCTTTTCCACGTGTTTCAGCAAGATGAGTTGAGTACATCAGGGGTCTGAGGCCATTATTGTAAAGCGAAGATGGTTTCGAGAAATTTATGATGGTGAATCTGTAGTTCACATCAGGGCGGATGTTTTTGATCTAAAAGTGCTGTCAATTTATGATATTTGGACAAACGATCTCATAGAAGAATTATTAAAAGGTCAATGACTACTGCATTAAATTTGAGAGCGCTATTGTACTAGCTCACCTGAAAATAAAACCACTGTGTATGACGATTCGTGTACAAGTCAGTCCGCAGTTCTAGCTCATATTCGAATTCTCCAACTTTGCTCGCTCGCAGAAGATTACCAGATTCAAACCGAGATTCGAAATGAAGCGTATCTGCACCCGTAGGTACGGGTAAATTGACCGGTTTTTTGCCACGCGCTCGGGAACGCATGAAATAATTGTCTGGTCCGGGATCATTGTAGTAAACGCATTGACTCAGTGTTGCTCTAGGTTCTGGCTTTGGCTCGTCACCTCGATTTTCGTAAAGTGGCTGTATTGAACGGAGTATGAATTTCTACCAAAACGTTTGAATTTACCTCATTGTGAGTTTCCGGCTCGCAATTGAGAGTATCTGGCGTATCTAATGCCACTTGAACGTGATTCGGAAACCTAAAAGGTTTTTTAACAGGTGACAACATTTACGTAACCGTCAGACTTGCTTAGTCCAAATACGCATTTCCGCCGATTAAAACTATCTCCCTAGCGACCGACTTCGATGCCTGTAGTAATTCTTTTATTGGTTATTCCAAAAAAGTAATAACTTATTGCCAAATCGAAACTTACTTTGCTTCTTGTCCATAATTTCCAATCGAGTAAAGGCTGCGAGGTTCTTTCAGACGCGCGCCTAAATATTTCCAAAAGAAATTTTATAAAAGCAATTATTGTGAACGATTCTCCACGCAAACAATACTGTATTACTGTATTACTGATGCATTAAATGAATTATTTGTATAGAAATTACCTGTGTCTTGATCAACGATGATTTGTTTAGTTCTTGTAAGCAAATCGTCGACAGCTACGGAATACGGGTAAATATGGCGTTGTAAGGGTCCCACGCGAATCGGCATTCTCTCTGTCATTAGCCCTCGAGTTTTTTCTTTCTCTCTCTTTCAAATATTGCAAATGACAGTGTTTTCTTTCACTACTGTTTAGTTTTTATAATCAAAGGGCGCTATAAAAAACTGAAAGTGCGCTAGCGCCACACTCAATTTATGCCATTTTGTTTCTTTTTTTTTTCGGAAAAATTTAGGACTTGGAACCTTAGACTCTCAAGTCGGTAAAGTTCATTGTGCGCAGAGGCAATTGTGTGAGCTTTCTGTGCGAGCTTGGATCCAGAGCCCAAATAATAACTATATCGAATTTGACCACACCGAACAGCACTGGCTAGTGATGATGGTAGAATCTCTACTGCGCAAATATTCACAATGCCAAACACGCATCCACTTATTACTACAAAAGATGGATAATCTGCTTTTGAAATGAGCGCAAAATATTGGAAGAGCGGGAGAGTAGCCTTTCAAAAGACTTACATGAGGCGATGTCTTGGTAATTCGACGCTTCGAGCTTGCTCAGTCCGAAATCCTCCTCGTTCCCTCGATGAGTAAAGTCCTCTGTCTCGTTCGCCCCAAGTCTTGGGTCGTACTCGCAGTCGTAGAACATGCGCCGAGCTACGAAAATTTTAATAAGTTTTCCTTGCTAGCGAAGTTTCAAGCGCGGCTCTTGAGAAACTGCTCAAACAAGATGAGACTGAGATGGTTGAAATTTAATTCAGCACAATAGCTTTAACTCACTCACTTGAACTTTTACTCGAGGTACTGTAGTATCCGAAATGACTGAGGTGCTTTTTCATAAAGCTTTCGTATGAATTCACGATATCCACTTCATCCTGCTTTTCCTTTTCTTTAGCAAGATTGATTCCACTGTTGAGGTGATTTCAGAGATGATTTCGGACAGAATTATCAAACTCGAAATCCTTTCTTAATGATTTTCTCAGAGTTGTTATCGATGCGGCTGATTTCGTTCCCATCAAATCTTGGATTGAGTTCCTCTTAGTTCGAGTTTGAAATAATTCGACAGATTTTATACAAATGTATACTCTATACCATATTTTATTATTTATCCAACTCTCCTTCCTTGGAAAATACTGCGTGAGATAATTTTGCACACGTTAAATTTTGATTGTTTTAAAAGTAAATTCATTTAAAAAAATGTTTAGAAATTAATTTATCCCAATCCATGATGAGTCGCAGCTAGCACCATCAGATGCAGGTCGACTCATTTTTTTCTCGGAACTCCTGCGCTTATCGTTTTCAATGTTCAACAAAACTTTGAAACCGAATTCTTCTAGAGATTTTTCGGCGCACTTTGTGAAAGAGTTAATTATGGAAGTGATTAATTCCCCGAGAACCTATCCTGCCATTGTTCAGATTAAGCCGTGTCAAAAGCCCTTGTTTCCCGCGTATTCTCAAATCCTGTTCCGAAATTCATTAGTCGTTAAAAATCACTGAGAGAGTGGCATGAGAAGTCTGATTAAAATTTTCGTATTTTGTAAATGTAGTAGCTCACAAGAGAGTTGCGGAGGTCTTGTGCCTGATGGAAACGGGTTGATTAGATCACCACCAAGCTCGGCTAATCCGAGTATTTACGCCGACAATCTGGACTGTAGGTGGCTCCTTGGACAAGGAAAAGGCTCACGAAATAAGAAAAACATTCAAGTTCGCACAACTAGCCTGATATAGAGCTTGATACAATTGTATTAGGGCTGGATTTATTTTTTAACCAAGACAATTATTTATTATTTACAATTAGAAATCGCAAGAAAAAGAGTTTTCTGATAGTTTTGCAATTGAGCAGGCACCAAGCTGCGACTGGGACTGGCTTCAGTTGACGATTGCTGGCTCCGTTGGTGATAAATATTGTGGCGATGGCGCAGGTAATTTTTTTGTAGATCACATTCAGCGTATGAGCTATTCTAAGATCTTCCTGGTAGCCGATCTGTATTCAATGGACCGGTAGAGATTCACTTCCGAACAGATTCTGGCATTGGTCAAGTGAGTGTGAAAGCGAAAGGGAAATTTAAAAAAATCGTTAGTCAGGCTTCGAGATTCTGTACGAAATTATTCCACCAGATCCCTGCGAGGGAGTGAACTGCAACGCGGGCACATGCGAAAGGGGGCTTTGCAACTGTCCACCCAATTTTATCGGCCAGTTCTGCGAGAGTGACTTCGACGAATGTGCCAATGGACAACCTTGCGGAATCAATGGTGTTTGTATAAATAGTTTTGGCGGCTTCGAGTGTGTGTGCGAGTCCGGATACAGAGGCACGCGCTGCCAGGAGAACGTCAACGAATGCGCATCCGATCCGTGCCGAAACGGCGGAACTTGCTTGTAAGATGTTCTAACAATGCTTTTTCGCAACTGTTTATTTAGGGATCTAGACGGTAGCTTTCAATGTGTTTGCCGGGAATTTTTCTCTGGAGAACTCTGCGAAAATACAGTCGAAAGAATCGAATGCAGCCCCAATTTATGCTCGAACAAAGGGACTTGTCAACAAACAAACGAGTCTCCATTTTACAGGTGCAGTTGTGAACCTGGTGCTTCTGGCGAAGAAATGTTAAGAAAAACTCGAATTATTCGAAATAATTTATAATGATAGAGTTGATCTTATCAAAAGATTGTTCAATAACAGTTGGATGTTTTGAACGCTTTACTGGGCAAGTTGTGGCACCCTTGACAGTCGTATACTTTAACTGCTACGGGACGGAATTCAACAGTTCTTGCGAAGAAAACGGCGAATGGTCGATTCCACTCACGTGCAAAGAAAAGTTTAGGTCTTTCAATTTTTGCCGTTAGGGGCATACGTATTAAGATACTGAAATTGTAAAATCACGTGTGCGGGCATAGGAATGTTGCAAAGCCCTGCTGAGATTCCCTCTGTGGCTAATTTGTTTTCTCTCGCTGCTGCTTGCGTGATCGCTATTGCTCTTGGTTAAATTAGCTCTGATTTTCTTTTCTCTCAAACATAATTAAGTGTCTTTATATCTGGCGTTCATTGTACTGAGGGAAACGTGGATTCTTCCGAGCGGCAGCGAATTCAGGGAGGTCGAGTAGATCCGCTTCAACACGGCACTGATCCACCCTACATCTCCGAATAAGCGTTTCGCTGGAAATAAACTGCCGTCGACATTCAAAGTGTATTCAATTTCTTTCTTTGATTTAAGACAGCTCCGTTCGTATATATACGGCTACATTTTCATCATCACGTATTTGATAAATCTCTTAGTTCGCAAACTATTGCAATCTCGATTCGCAAAAAGTAAACAAAGCTTTGGTCTGCACAAACAATCGTCACCTACTTGCAGGAACACAACGCACGGAGGAGCAGCGAAAGACAACGTGGGCCATGGCCACCCATGCACCTAAAAATAGCGCTTGAAATGGCTCACGTCAACATCTGACTTATCGTTACTCACAGTCTACCGCCCTCGAGCATAGTGCCTGGCTTTCGGCTACTTGAAAAAATCTCTTGAGCTCTATCTCTCTCTCTCTAATATACAGGCGTATGTGTGAGCACAGAACGCGCTCTACTCGAGTTTAAATGGCTCGAGTAATTAATTTGGGCCCAACTTCGGAAGTAGGTTAACATGATGCTGGCCTCTGTAAAATCGAAACACACGCTTCTGGCTACTCTTGCCCCATTTCAAAAGCTGTGTTGCTAAACAAGACTTTCATCTTATGATCAAAATGCTCCAATTTTCAACAAGTTTGCTCAGGCTTATTTTCTATTTCACCAGATCAATAGCGAAGTTGTTCTCGACGAGGATATGTTCTTTGGTGTCTTTTATTCATCATTTTGTAAAAAGGTATTTTTTTATTCACTGATCAATAAAATTTTGAATTTTACTTTCCTAAACTCAAAGAAAAAGATATAATTTTGTCCTGCAAATGAAAAAATAAATTCATAATAATTGGAACTTTTTTTATTGAAAGCTCGACTATCAGCTCGAAAACAGAAAAATGAAACCGCTTCGTCTTTGCTTCACACATCGAGGACTTTTTGCAAAACATTCCAAAAAGCTTGAAGTAATAAATAATATAAAATTTTCAGTGGATTATAAAATCATGGAAATGATGAGAGCGATGAGTGAGGAAGTGATCGCAACCGCACTTGAGTCGCCGCCTTGGGGACAGTCGTTGCCCTCTTCGTGGATGCATGGTCGCACATGACCCTATTAATGAATATAAGGCCTTATTCTCTAAGTTTAGGAATCACCTTGTTGCAATCAGGACCATCATTGCAGAACTGTTTGCAAGCACCAACTTCGTAATCGTTGCTGTCCGGATTCTCGTCCCTGTAGATGATTCCACAAAGTCCAAAGTCGTCATTCATAGGAATCTCGAATGCAGAGCATCCTTTGTAAACTTCTTCGACACTCACACCTTCGGTAGTCTTAAAATTTTTTATTATTTCGCGTCGCTGTCGATGAATATTTACGTAATGTGCGTTAGTTCCGGTGTAGCAGCCAAGATTATTGTATAAGGCGCATTTTTGTGAGGCATATTCGAGTTTGTCCGGCTCATCAGCGCAAAACTGGTTACCAAAAACAGTTCCGTCATCTTTCTCTCCATACTTGCAGGTGAAGCAGCTTTCTTGAGTCTAAAAAAGTATCTAACATGGCTGTTATTCAGGTTGTTTCTTACGTAAGCGATTCCAGTCATGAATTTCTCAGCGGCAAGAGAAGTATCACTGTTGCAAGCAGTCATGTTACAGTAGCCAGTACAATCTTTGTACATAAACAATTGGTTCTGTGAAACTGCGTCGCGGCATTCTTCGTACATTGGAGTCTCTTCCTCTGGAGGAGCACAGCCTCTGCGGATTCGTGTCTGTTGTTCACCATTTTGGAACCAGTCGACTTCGATATCAACGGCGCAGTGAGTTGTTCCCGAGGGGCACATTTTCAGATCGTTGATGTCTTGATAGTCTCCGAAGCAGGAAGGGTTACCGAATCCAACTGTCTGATTGTTAGAGTCGACGGTGACTTCACAAGTGTAGCAATTGATGATTCCACAGTCATCTCCAGCCCCGGGCAAGCAAGGTCTTTCATGGAATTTGTTACAATTGTCGCCGTTGCATGATTGTTTGCAGACGCCATAAGTTTGAAGTTGCCCTTGGCTCTCCATTTCAAAGAAGTTGTTGTTGCAAACGATATCTGGTGCCTCCATTTCGAATGTTGAACATCCCTTGTAAACAGCTTCTTTTACGACTCCATCATTGTTGTAATGAACGTTTGTACCCGTAAAACAAGCTTTTTGAGCATACATTGGGCAATCAACTGATACATCGATCAGATCTGGCTCGTCCGCACAATATTTATTGCCTTGAACATCTCCATCATCGTTTTCAATGTATTGGCAGGCGTAACACTTGTCTTGCCTTTCTTCATCTTTTTCAATGAACATTCGAGCTGCATCATCGAGGTCTCGGTTACAACCAGCCTCTTCACATGAAACACCGCAGTCTTTGAATTGGGCCTGGCTGGTCGGATTTCCAGAAGAACGGCACGTTTCACTCATCGGGTAGGATGAACAACCTCGTCGAACTCGAGTGGTTTGCTCGCCAGTGATATACCAGTCAATCTGGATGTCAACGATACAATAGTTCTGGCCAGGAGCACAACTTTGGAAATCATTGTATGATGGGAAGGCAAGACAATTAGGTGAACTGAATCCAACGGTGTTGTTCATATGATCGTAGGTTCCTTCACAAGTGTAGCAAGAGAGAACTCCACAATCTGAGCCTGCTCCCGGAACGCATGGGCGTTGGTGGCCTTCGTTACAGTTATCATCAGTGCATGTTTGCTTGCAAACACCAAAGACATCTTCGTTTCCATCTTCATCGACGTTCTCGAGAATAGTATCACAAACAGGGTCAGTCTCGTGTAAATCAAAGGTAGAGCATCCTTTGTAGACCTCTTCGTGGCCAACGCCGTCTTTATCATAGTGGAAAGCAGTACCAGTGTAGCAGGCAAGCTGAGCGTATGGTGGACACATGGTTTTTACACTTTCACCGCCGTTTATTTCAATCAGACCTGGATTGTCTCCACAATTTACGTTGCCATCAACGGTTCCATCATCGTTTTCGAGGTAATCGCAAGTGTAACAAGATGCGACAGTTGCGTTCATTCCTTCTGCGAACTTATCGGTTGCTCCAGCAAGGTAGCTATTGCATCCATCATATTCGCAAGAATCCGCACAGTCCTTCCAGTAAAATTGACCGGACTGACCTTGTGCGCAGGTTTTCATAGCTGGTGTCTTGGAACAACCACGTTTTACAGTGTACGTTTGTTTGCCATGAATAGACCAATCTGATTCAACATCGACGATACAGTAGGCTTCATCAACATCGCAGGTTTCCAAGAGATTTCCGTCAGGGAATTCAGACCAGCAGCTTGGGCTTCCAATTCCGACGGTCGCATTATTTGAATCAACTGTGGCGGTGCAAGAAAAGCAGGACTTCTTTTTCTGTGGAGTGTACTGGTTGCAGTTCTCGTATTGGCAAGTTTCTTTGCAACTGTTATGCGGCTCACCTTCGATGTCCACAACACTGCAATACATTTCCTCTTGAGTAAGAGCGAATGAGGAGCATCCTTTGTAATCTTCTTCAACTTCGATACCAGCTTCTGTATGCCATGTGGCAGCAGTAAAACAAGCAGCATCAGCCCATTGAGGACACTCCATTTCGAAATTATGGTCATCAGGATCAAGCTTTTGGCAATTTTCATTGGAACCTGGAAGGAAGTTTCCAAAGCGATCCTTTCCAAACTTGCATGTGTGACAAGAAGTCGTATTTCCTTCGGGAAGAGTGCTGAAGAGTCCCCACAAGTGAGCAGTAGCACTGAGGCCGTTGCCATTCTTTTCAGGCGTGTAGAAACCGCAATCTTTAGCAAAGTTTTGCTGATTTCGTTGTTCAATACATTCTTGACCTCCGGGATTAATGATAGGCTGCCCACATCGACGCTGGATCGTTGCCGTTTGTGCGCCTCTTCGAGTCCAGTCGACGATCATCTCTGCAATACAGACATCATCCTCGTTCGGACATGTGTAAGCCAGATGGGGTCCTGGATTAAAGAAGCAAGTTGGATCAGCAGTTCCCAAAAGCATTCCAGTGTGGTCCTGAGTAGCAGTACAAACGAAGCAAGTGAAGCTCACGGGCGGTGATCCAATATCAACAGGTTTTTCGTTACAATCTTCACCAACACAAGTTTCTTTTGAAATAACGTACTCAGTTCCGCCAACAAGTGTAGCATTATCAAAGATAGGTGCCTGGAGAGCGAAGGTTGAACAACCTCTGTAGACTTCTTCTCGCTCACCATCAGGACCAGTGCTGACGCTGTGTTTTGCAGCTCCAGTAAAGCATCCGTTTTGTGCCCACTTTGGACATTTTCCAGTAAGTGCACTTGCATCAGGAACTTTAACGCAGTTTGTGTTTCCATTGACATCTCCATCATCTTCTTCTGCGTAGAAGCAAGTAACACAGTTTTCCTGGCCAATGCCATCATCAAAGAGATCCGCTACTTCAAGACCAGTATTGCAAAGCATATCTTCACAAGTATGGAAGCAGTCTTTGTACATGATTCGTTCTGTTGATCCTTGTTGACAGTCACCGGCAGCTTTGGAAGCACAACTTCTTCGGATTGTTACTTCTTGTTGGCCGCGTCCGTACCAGTCAGTAATCATTTCGGTTTGGCAAAATTCAGTTTCGAAGTTGCATTCTTGGACCTCTGTTAGTTGCGGGTAGTCAAAGCAATTGATATCAGAGACACCGACGAAGAGTCCCTGAGCGTTCTTAGTGGCTTGGCAAGTATGGCATTGTAAATGACGAACGACTTGTTCAGAGTTGCAGCCATTATCAGTGCATGTTTCTTTGCAGTTAAGATGATCTAAACCAGATATTTCTCTTCGCTCACACTGGTTTTGTCTTGTAAGCTCGAAAGCAGAGCAACCTCGATGATCTTCTTCTACTTCTGTTATTCCGTCATTATAATCTCTGTGAAAACTTGCAGCCCAGTAGCAAGCTGTATCAGCATACCGCGGGCAAGAAACCTTCGGATAGTTCCCAACAGCAACATTTTTGCCGCACTCTGGATTACCCACGACAGTGCCATCTTGCTTGACTTCCCATTCACATTTGAAACATTCGTCTACTCTGTTTTCTCCAGCAGTAAATTTGTTCGCGATTTCTTCGAGGTCATTGTTGCATCCTGGTCCATCAACCATTGGATCGCAGCTTGAATAACAGTCCTTATACTGAATAAGACTCGATCCACCCGAGTAGCAAGTGTCGGGGACAGGATTTGATGCACAATTCCGATAGATTCTGTATTGCATATTTCCTTTGGCGAACCAATCAATTTCCATATGGGCGCTGCAAATATCTCCGATAGCACACTCTTGCACAAACTTCATGTGTCCACTAAAGCATCCCGAAGAGCCAGTGCCCACTGTCGCATTGTTTTGGTCAACGGTTTCTGTACAGACCAAGCACTGTGGTCCTTTAGGAATCGGCTCGCCAACAGGGGGTGGTGTTAGATGCTTATTGTTGCAGTTTGGACCTCGGCAAGTGGTCTTCGTGATTGAATAATCTACTTGCTGGCCGGAGCTAGACATGGACTGATTGTAGATCTCCTGGTTTGTGCCACCGATGAAGAATGAAGAGCAAGATTTATAAACTTCAAATTTTTCGACACCTTCATAATTATGGACCGCCGCTGAGGCCTGGCAACCCAGACTCGCATAATCAGGACACTTTTCTTTGAACTGATCACTTGATGCAAGGTCTTCTTGGCATATCTGGTTTCCGCTTACGTCTCCGTCGTCTTCTTCGACATATCTGCAGTTGTGACAACTGTCTTGCTGGTGAGATGGATCAATGAATTTCTGACCGACATCTAGATTGTCATTCTTAGCATCGCCGTAAACTTGCAAGTAGCAATCCTTGAATTTAATCAAAGAGCTACCGCCTTCTGTACACTGTGAGGAAACGCTGGAAACGCATCCTCTCTTGATCTGGACAACTTGCTCTCCTCGAGGCATCCAGTCAACAAGCATCTCATCAGCACAGACTTCGCCGTTACCGCACTGTTGGAGCATAGATGGCTGAACGTTGTCAAAGCAATTCAAATCAGTGACTCCAAGAGCTTCACCAAGGCTATTTTTAGTCCCAGAGCAAGTGTAGCATCGATCTCGGAGAATAATTTCATCCCTTGAAATTCGTTAGTATTAGTATGAGATAAAGTTAAGTTACCGATTACAATTGTTGTTGTCATTGCAAGTTTCTCGGCAGTTACGATGAAGAAGATTGTTTATATTTGATTCATAGCAATAGTCAGCACGGGTCTCTATGAATGGAGAACATCCTCTGAACTCGTCAGTGAACTCATTGTTGTTGTCAAAGTAGTCAACATGAGTACTCGACGCATGGTAGCACGAGGTTCTTGCATACGCTGGGCATCGGTAAGAAGGAACCGAGCCTGCCTGTCCATGGATGAAAATGTTTCAATATTTAGATTTTATTTTTTATAAAATTTGAAAAAATTTTCAACCCATAGTCTGAACTTGAGATCCGCAGTCTTTATCACCAATCACAGTACCGTCATTGTTTTCGTAATACTGGCAGGTGTAGCAACTGTCAACTCCCTTTCCATCTTCAGGGGCGAAAAGTGCTGATACTTTTTCAAGTCCAGCGTTGCATCCGCTGAGCTCATTGAAATTGCGAGGGTCACAGGAAGTCTTGCAATCTTTGAAACTGATTGTGGCTGTTGAGCCTTCCGTGCATTTATCTGTATTGGCATCAGTTCCACAGTAACGTCGGATGCTGTAGGTGTGGTGTCCTCGGGCCCACCAGTCAGCCTGGAGATCGGTGACGCAGTGATCATTGGGGTTTTCACAAAGTTTTAAATAACTTTTCGAACCATCAAAACATCCATCGTTGCCGAGACCAATAGTAACATTGAATTGGTCAACAGTTTGGTCGCAAACTTCACATGCTGACCAGAGACCATCAATTGGTAGTTCTGGTTGTTCGTGCTCTTCGTTGTTGCAGTTAGTTGTTGTACACTGTTTTTTGCAGACGTTGTATCGTGTATTACCAAGTTCAGAAGGATTACACCATTCTGAGTCTTGCGCTGGAACGTGGAATGCCGAACAACCTCTATAAACTTCTTCCCGCGCGGCACCATCGTAAAAGTGGATTGAGGAAGTTGTAAAGCAGCCAGCGTTCGCATGAATCGGACACTCGTCTGGTTTGTTTGGTGTGTCAAGGCAGTTTGTATCTCCCTCAACTGTTCCATCATTACGTTGAATGAATTTGCAGACTTGGCAAGATGACAGCTTTGGCGCTCCTTCCTCCTCGAGTACCTTTTGGTGGAGAGCTTGGACATGATCCATCCCAACATTGCACTGAGGACCATCGCATCGTGAATGACAGTCTCGGTACATGAAGTCTCGATTTTCAGTTTCTCCTTTTTCGCAGAATTCGGGCTCTGTCTGATCAGGATTAGGAAGAGTACAACCTCTTCGGATAGTTTGCTGCTGAACTCCAGTGGTGAGCCAGTCGACTTCAAGCTCTGTTTCGCAAACATGGCTGTTTGATTCACATTCTTGAATGTTGAGATTACCACCAACTAATTCGAAGCAATTGTTGTCTCCGACACCGGTTCCTTCGCCATTAAAAAGTCGGGTTCCAGTGCATGTAATGCATGAAATTCTCTTTTCAAGAGGACCAGTATTACATTTGCTTTCTTCACATGTCTTCTTACAGTCAGAATATTCCCCAGTAGCAGACAATGAGTAGATGCATTCTTGATTCGGGTTTTCGAAGTCGAATGCGGAACAACCTCGATGGTCCTCTTCTGACTCTATGACGAAGTTTCCTTGTACCTCGCTTACCCACTCAGCTGCGGTGAAGCAGCTATTTCCCAAGTGACGAGGGCATTTTTTGACGGGAACAGTGCTTTCTCCATCTCGGCAGCCTAGATTGCCGCTGATTTCACCGTTGATTTCGCTCAGTTGACAAGCGTGGCACTCGATTTCCTCACTGGCTCCAATATCTTCAGCATGAGCATCAAGAGCGGATTCGTATGAATCTGCGTTGTTGCAGCCAGAGTCGCTACATACACTCAAACAATCCTTGAAAAGGTTGAATGGATGAGGAAATAGCTGATAATTTCCAAAGCACTGCCCTAAAGATAAAACATATATTGATAAAAATCAAAAGTATCTTACCATTTTTTTGTAGGTCGTCTTCGGATTTACCGCATCTTCGTACTGTTGTAATGATTTGTGTTCCTTGCTTGATCCAATCGATTCGAACATCTGTAACACAGACATCCTGATCTTCTGCGCAGTCAGTCAGGTAAAGATTATCGACGAACGATTCACCACAAAAAATATTATTTTGACCAATTGGATTACCCAAGTGGTCTTCTGCTGCCGTGCAAACATGGCACTGAAAAGCCTGATCGCCGGACATCTCTATGACATCCCCTTTGGCCAGAAGGCCAAAGAACAACCCAAGCCACATGGAGTGAGTCTTGGTTGGCCTCAAAAAGTAAAAAAAAAATGGTTTGTGACAAGATTCCTAGGGGTACCCGATATATATAATATTTAAGCAAAGGGCATACGGAATTTCCGATTCCGTTATTGCGCTGGAAGCGGCAGATTGGGATAAGGTCACTCCCATCTCACAGACGTGAATATTCAATCTTCGAAGAAAATTATAGACATCGAACGTTCCGGCGCAAGGTCGATTCTTCCATTTCTGCATAGGATTCAAAATGATATTTGAATTACCTAATATTACTGTCTATTACCCTATTTATGATATTGAAATTATGCCGTAGTAGACCCGCTAAATCTTTATTAATTGTTCCCCTAAAAAGAACAGATGAAAAGTGAGAATTATTATGAAATGACTGAAATGCACAAATTTCTAAGGGTTTGAAACTTTTGACACAACTGGTTTTCTCGACCCGGACCGACGTTGGATGAAGATGTTCTGTTGATAGTATACTTGCTGCTAAATGTTAATTTTGCAAATAAAAATATCCCTGGCTACCTAGGGTCGGCGCCGACCATCGACCAAATCGACATTGTCGGGTGTCGGGTCGGGTTTTGGTCGGACCGACCCGACCCGACATTGAGATTTGTCGTTGGTCGGTCGATGGTCGGGTTTTTGTCGGGTCTGTGGTCGGTTTTCGCTCATTCTCGGGCATGTTTTCTGACATAAATTCACTTCTGTTATTCGAGAAGTTTTTCATATTTTAATTTCACTAGCGCAAAACCATTTAGAATTTAGGACATTTATAAAATCGAAAGTTTCATAACCCCCATCTTTCGATTTTGAAGCTTTTTCATCATTCTCATTGGTTAAAAAAAACCGACCACCGACCCGACCAAAAGGCCGACTCGACCCGACCCGACCATGATTTCGGCCATTTCAAAGTGGCCCGACCCGACATTGAAAAAGGGTGGTCGATGCCGACACTAGCTGGCTACCTGCATAAATCAGACGTTCCTGCCAAATAAAAACAAAGTCATTTTCTTTAATCAATAAGGATTTCTGAGTGAAATCCTGACCCCCCTTTTTTATTAGCTCATTGAAAAGAGCGTAAAAAATTATCCCAGATTTCCCCGGAAAAGGATAAAATTTCCGAAGAAATAGCGTCATGGCACGTGACTGAAGTCCCAAAAGTACCAAAACTTTCCCGCCCGGGCATTTTCGACTCGTCTGAGCTAATAAGGCTTGTAATAGCTCAAAATGATCGTCTCTGCGAGCTCTTGCTGGGCATCATGTTTTCATCCCTTTTCAACCCTTTTTTTGAATTTCTATTTTTCGAGCAATAGATAAAGGGTTGAAAAAGGGTTGAAGAGGGATGAAAACTTGATGCCCAGCAAGAGCTCGCAGAGACGATCATTTTGAGCTATTACAAGCCTTATTAGCTCAGACGAGTCGAAAATGCTCGAGCGGGAAAGTTTGAGTTTTTTGTGACTTCAGTCACGTGCCCTCACATCATTTTTTCGAAAATTTCATCATTTTCCGGGGGAATCTGGGATAACTTTTTACGCTCTTTTCAATGAGCAAATAAAATAGGGGGGTAAGGATTTCACTCAGAAATCCTTATTGAAAATCGTCTAATAGCGATTCAGTACTTTCTGTGCGGAATCAATAGTTATTCCTTGCGATAATTGTCTTTTATTAGCAGAGTTAAACGTTCATTATGAACAATGGATTTGCTCGAAAATTTTATCTAGGTATTCTGCAGGGGCAGTGCAGGGGAACGTTGAAGTGGTGGCTTCTTTTGGAATCAAGGAAGATTCAACTTGATTTCGACGGGGCAGTGATCGGAGCCTTGAGCTTTGGAATGGATGACAACATCTTCAACCCATTCCTCACAGTCCTGAATTTTCCACTGAAGAATTGAACCAATAAATTAATCACTTACCTTCATAAGGAAGTAATCAAGTCGCCAGCCGACGTTTTTGGCGCGAGCGCCTCCCATGTAGCTCCAGAAGGTGTAGCAATCTTCTTCTTTTGGGTAGAGCTTGCGATAAGCGTCAACGTACCCGAGACCGAGAAGTTTCTCGAGCTCGTCAATCTCCGCTTGCGTATATCCGGCCGTCTTGTTGTAGTTGGACTTGTCATTTGTCAAGTCAATTGCTATAGAAACATGGATTAAGATTACAGTAATGAGAACTCTTGTCACAAGAGGTTTATGAGTTGCTTACCAGTGTGAGCAACATTGAGATCACCACAGTAGATGACTGGTTTCGTTTTGTTTAATTTTGTCAAATAATTGCGGAGGTCACTCTCCCACTCCTTCGTTCGATAGTCTAAGTTGACTAGACCTCGTCCAGAATTCGGAACGTAGCTGGTTACCAGATAGAACTTCTCAAACTAATAATATGCAGTTATAGGGAAAAATATGATATTTCAATATACCTCAGCGGTGCAGGATCGACCAAAGTCATCGTGTTTTGACTTTCCGATTCCTCGTTGGATGCTCAACGGCTTAAAAATATGTCGTTAACTTTAGATCTTGCATCAACTGTACCTTTGTCTTAGAAAAGATAGCAGTTCCAGAATAGCCGGCCTTCCCCTCAGAGTTGGCGTAATTCTGGTATTTCCAGTCTTTAAGCTCGCTTCTAATCTCTGGGGGTGGTCCCTTTTTCAGAGAAAGCTTTGTCTCCTGAAGACAGATAACATCGCAATCAAGAGTTTTGGCCGTTTCGACGAATCCCTTCTTGATACAGGCATAGAGACCTGCGACATTCCAGGTTGCAATTTTGAACATACCAGTTGATTCGACTTTTTCTGTCGCCGACTCGTCTAAAATGAAATAATATGAAAAAACAAATACTCAACAATATACAAAAATTATGTAGAGGAAAAATATGAAATGAGTTTCATTTTGGTTACATCAAAGCCATACCGTCGCTGCCTGGTTTCTCTTGCGTTGCGGGGCCAAGGTCTGGTACTGGTAGGCCATTCGTCTCTTCTTCAGCGTCTTTCTTTCGTTTGGGTCCTTTGGCCTCGTTCTTCTTTGGAGGTGCTTTCTTGGCTTGCTTCTTTTTTGTTTCTTTAGTTGCGGGTTCCTCTTCATTCTCAGCAGCAGCAGGCGCTTTTTCTATCTTAGCCTGCTTCTTTTTAGCGGGCTCCTTTTTTGCTTGCTTTGGTTTTGCTTCCTCCTCAGCGTCCTTCTCAGTCTCGACAGCCTCTGCTGGTGCATGTTCAATTTTTGATGGCTTTTTCTTAGCAGGCGCTTTCTTAGCCTGCTTGGGTTTTGCCTGTTCCGGAACTGGTGTCTCTTCGGACACTTTCCGCTTTTCGAGGTTTCTAGCACTGCGTCGAGGCGCGACCGTTTCGGTTTCATCTTTTCCAGCCTTTACCATGACGATTGCTATCTGACTATCTTAAATGAATACCTATATTTTCACTGTAAAAAATAGAATTCAATGAGAAGTTTGTTGAGAGAGAAGAGGAAGTTCTGGCCAGTAAAGATTAAGTCAATAAACAAGCTACATTAAGAATGAAAGTTTGAAGTTGAAATAGAATATATAGCAATTGCATCCAGCGAAGCTTTCAGGGGAAATTCCAAGTATGAAAAGTGGATATCAAAAAAAAAAGATTGAACGAAGATATTGTATACCGATACATTAAGGTAGTTTTCAGGCTGTTTCTTACATAGCACTATCTCATAGTGTGTCCATACGTCGACGTTTTCGTGATAACTCCAGGACGCGTCAATGCACACTGTGGGGCAGAGTCTTTCCAAGTGTTATTCGCGGGTTTTTTAAATTTTAATTATTAACGACTATAACACAGGCCTGAAGGATTTGGGGGCATAGGCTCATGGAGATTGTGGGGTCCCGCCTGTGGTGGCTCATTTACTGAATGGGAGTTGGACATTCCAGCTGACACTGCCAACGGAGAAATCGGAGTGTTGTCGTCGTCATCTTCATCCACTACAAACTCGTTACAGGAATGATCGTCTAACTGGAGTTAAACCTGTTATTTCTATTTCAGGATCAAAAGTTTCTTCTTCAATAGAATTGTTATCACTTGCCAAACAGGTCTGAATCAGTTTCCGACCAGGGGTAGAGTTCAAAACAGGCTGGAATTTCTTCGTTGCATATGTATAAACATGGCCGGTTTCCGAAGCAACCAAAACCATTACCTAAAGATTATTAAAAAAATACACTAGGGCATGTAACATGCCGCATGTACAGACAAAACGGACAATTCCGGAACGGACAATTCAGGAGATTTGAGGGAAATTGGTAAAATTATGTAAGCGCACAATTCCGAAAATTTCAAACAAAAAATTCATCTGAGAGGTCTATTTTCTATGTTGGACCACCTTTTTGCGAAAAAAACGAATAATTTTCAGAAAGGTAATCAGAGAAAAGCCAAAAAGCCATCGACAGCACTTAAAAAAGCCTATTTTCAGGTTGACACCTTTAAAAAAAGCATTTTGGAAGAAAAAAATTTTCAAGTAGAATTCGGACAATTCCGGAGATTTGGCGCTTTTCCCCATAAAAAAAAAATTTTGGAATTGTCCGTTTTGTCTGTATACCTGTGAGCCCGTTAAAGTGGCTAATTCGTAGGATTTTTTCATCAGCCCTGACTTTCTTTTTGAGAACGTAGTGCACCTTTTCTGCTTGTCTTTCATGAACTTTATTCACTTTTAAAACTTCAAGTTTGAGCAATCTCGCTCACCTCTATATCAATCTTAACGCGCCCTCTCGTCTTTTTCTTCGTTTCGTTGCAGGACGAATTAGGCTCTTGTTGGTCGAGAAGGTTCGAATTTGTGTCGGCATGGTATGTTTCTAGTTTTGTTATCTTTGGTGCAATATGCTGCTCAGACGAGAGAGCATTTTGTCGTTTCAAATTCATGTCATTTTTCTTCGAATTCATTAATATCTGAAATTGCATAATGTCAAATAATTTTCGGAATTCAGAGAAATTTTTAAGGCACATGAGATGCAATCAGACAGGAAATAAATATCGGAGACCTTGAATGATGACAGACACGATTTGAAACATAACAAGCGTTGCGCACTGCTTTTGCGAAAACTTGCAATCAAGGAAGAATAAGAAAATGCTTTCAAAAATTTAAAATGGATTGATCAACTGTTCACGAATGTGAACTTGATAAGCAGTTACGTCGACTACAGACCACACAAACAGACAAGAGAATCACACGGGTCACCTAAAATTGACAAAAATCCAAGAAACAAAGGGAAGTATATACAGTTTTGGGATTTAATAATAAAGTCGCAAAGCATTGAAGTAAAAAAAACGATTATCGATTATCACTCTGATTTAGATACGGCGCAGCTTTGAAGAGTTTTGGGCTTGCAGGAGCTGTGATTGTTCGGTGAAGCATTGGATTAGGTGGTGCCTGGTGGTCGTTCTGTGGCAGATAGCTGAACTCTAGCGAGTCGGGGTTATCTCTGCTGAAATAGAAATTAGCTTCTTTGATAGAAGGTTTCACTTACTTGAGCCTTAGGGAAACAGGTACAGACGAGATCGTTCTGTACTCCTCTAAATGGCGAGGTGGGCCGATGCAAACTTTCTCGGGATTCTGAAGCGACTGCGGGAAAATATTCGATGATTGAGCAACCCGTCGACGTAATTGCGAGGTCACGAGTGGTATATTTGCGACCGGTTGATCACTACTCTCAATTGGTTTACGACTTCTTGGATACTTGTCTACCTATCGGAAATATTCCGGCCAACAAGAGCATTGATCGATTTAAAATTTGGTCGATTTTGAATTTCAGTTGGTTCTGTTTGCATGTTTTTAATTGGAAGGCTTGACTCAAGCCACTTGAGTATATTAAAAGGTTTCGATTATTAATTGAAAACACCTTCCTTCATTGACAGAATCATCGGACTCGTGATCAGTCCCTTTATCGATATTTTCTATGATTTCGATGGCAGGTGCTTCTTCTGGAATACTCTCTGCCATGTTCATTTCCCCCTTGTCACTTTCAAGGCAAGTTTTGATAAGCTTTCGTCCCTGCTTCGAGTTTAGCATTGGTTGGAACTTGGGAGTCGCGTGTGTATAAATATGCCCAGTTTCGCTAGCAACCAGTACCATTACCTAAACTTAATTCTGTGCTCTCCATTATATTACAAAGACGGGCTACCTGACTGCCAGTCAGCGTCGCTAATTCGTGTGATTTCTTCATAAGTCCAGCCTTGCGTTTAGAAAACGTCGTACATCGTTTTTGTCGATCTTGGATGAGCTCAATCTTTATCTTCACACGACCGCGAGTCTTTTTATCAGTAGTTTTCTCTCGATTTGTCGGGCGAATCCGCTTCGTATCGCCCGAAAATTCTTCTATAGAATGTCTTTTATATCCCGGGATCAAGTTCGACATCTTGTCGCTCTTATTCTAAATAGAATTTACGTTAATAAGCTTCTTTAGATATACACCAGAATTTTAACGATCTGAACAGAATTCAGGAATAAATATTGAATAGTCGGGAATTGCCCTTCACAGAAAATGATAAATTGTTTGATGAATTAAAGTCGGTTCTTGTTGCTTAGCACAAATTTTGATCTCGCTTACTCGAATGGTCCAATGACGGCGATGGCTTCGATTTCAACGTTAACGTCTTTTGGGAGGCGAGCGACCTCAAAACAGGCCCGAGCCGGATACGGTTGCTTGAAGTACTGGGCGTAAACTTCGTTAACGAGAGCGAACTCGTCCATGTTTTTTACGAGAACAGTTGTTTTGATCACTAAAATCTAGGTCATAATTTGTTTTTGGGATTATGTAAGCCACATAAAACATACAAGTTCAATACGCCTCTTTTCACAATTACCGTTGGAGAAATCGCAGCCAGCATTCTTCAGAATTGCCTCGAGATTCTTCATTACTTGGTGGGTCTCCGCCTGAATGTCTCCATCCACTTTCTTCATGGTAACAGGATCGAAGGGGATTTGGCCTGAAGTCGACGTTAATGGGTATTCGGATTGAATAGAGTTACCAGAGATGTAAATTGTTCGGTCGACGCGTACTGCCTGCGAATAGGGACCAACAGCGGCCGGCGCTTGGTCAGTATGTAATGCTTCTCGCTGCAGTTTTGGAAGAGAGGACATTTTAGCTTGCTTCGAAGCAGCTACGCTCGAGGATGAACTAAAAGAAATATACTTTGAGATGGTTAGAAGGCACAGTTGCTGAATGGAAATATTTTAATGTTCAAAAGAAAGGAAGAAAAGGTTGTTTCGTTGCTAACCTGAAAAGCCTAGAGGAAGGCATTCGGGAAAGTACTTGAAGTACTCTCATTTTCCGAATCACTTTCAACTGTTTTCTGATAGCAAGAAAATTGAGCGCCGCTCGTGAGTGAAAACTTCAGGAAACTCAATCTTGAGCATTTTAAATACACAAAGTTTGAGCAGAGTATAAAAGTGCAAAAATGTTCAGTAAGGTTTAGTCGAAAAGCATCAGCAAATGGGCGATCACTGCCCAAAGCAGGAGCAACATCCCACCAGAAAAGAATCAACAACTCAAACAGGGAGCCATTGGTAAATAAGCAAACACGAACGGGCACACAATGCATTCAGTGTCACACCCCCGAGGGCAAATTGAAAAGTGTGACCAAGAGTTATCACCATTATTGAAAATACCTTTTTCGCTTGCCCATGGGTTAAATATTTGAAGACAATTTATTGTTGTTTTCTGAAATCGAAAGAATTTGTCTCGACGCTAGGAACTTTATGGAGTGGTGTTGGAGAGCGAGATAGAATCTGCGGATGAATTAGAATCCGCGAGCTTGAATGTGAGAAAAGGGCGGAATGTAATAATAGCGAAGTGGTCAAAATTGCGTCTTCTTCGTGTCAGCAGGAACGTCGAGACAACTTGGTGAAGAGGGCGACGAGCGTCGACGAAGAGTGCCCTTTTGCTGCTTCTTCTTTGCTTCGTTTTTTAAATACTCCTCCAAAGCAACCGCCCTCGCGCCCTCCGTCTAAATAACTTTCATGGAGAAATAATATAAACTTTGACTCTGCAAAAGGAAAGCACCAAAAGCGATTCCCAAAATGTCTCAAAACCAAAAAGGGGCAATGGTCGCGTGGTCTCTGCGTCTTTGGACGATTAGCTCGATAAGGACACTGGGTGAAGATTTTAGGCGCATCGGGCCTGTGAAGGACGCCCAGGCACATGTCCTGTGAGGAGTGCTCACGCACACACCCAAATCAGGGAAATATGCATCTAGTACTCGAGTTCGTTTAAAAATCACAACAAACCTGTTTTCAACCTCGAATGACTTTTTTCTGTCTGGGAAATAACGAGATGAGCACAAATAAATAAAGATAAATCATTAAAAATTTTTATTCTGCCATTCGAAATTCAAATCAGCTTCTTTCCAAAAATATTTTAATCTAAAGTGCATTATTAATTTTGAAATATGGCAGCTCAATTTTTGTATTAAAATTATTTTCTCATGAAATGGCCCTTCTCTATCCCAAAAGTGACTTTAAAGTGAAATAGTAAGATTAAATTTCGATTGAAATGCTCTTGAAAATAATAAGCACGCGTGTTTACGTCTTGCTTTTACGAAAAATGTGACCAAGAAGGCGTGGCCATGACGAGCGAAAATGGCTGATAGTGACCGCCACGCCGTTCATTTAGTTTTAGCGCAGAAACAACGCGCAATTATCACGAGTTCAACAAGGGAGGTATTTCTCTATGCTCGTAGTTTCATGCGCTCACCTCGATCGGAGCGGCTAAAACATTTTGTTCAAAAAAGAGCACTGACATTGTAAGGGAGAAAATAATCGATTTTATCACTGAAAATTACGGTATCAAAATCAAATGAAAAATATCGTAGTTTTCATTTCGCTAACTGGCATTCATCAAAAAATAAAATCGCAACAGAAGTTAAAGTAAATCTCGAACCTCCAAAACTTGTTGACGATTAGCCAAGTCATTATCGAATTGCTCGATTCGTCGCATTTGGGACTCATGTTCCTTACAACAGTCGTTCGCTACAAAGGAGTTAAGAAAAAACATAGGACAGATGAAAAATTACCTTCGCGATTGAGCTGAACTGAATAATGGCAAAGTGACTCATATTCTGGCAGTTCCCTGTCTAACTCTTTCTTGGAGGTTGACCAGATTGAGGTTATACTTCTGGAGAAACGCGGATTCGGTAGTTTTGGGAAGCAGCTAGGTTGAAAATCATCTGTCGGAGCTGAACCCAAGTTAGATGAAACAACCACCAAGAAAAATCTTTTGTTGCTGGTCAAACTTACCAAGGGCAACATGATATCCTGAGTCCCCGAAGTTGGTTCCCTCTGAGATAACACTCGATTGACTGCCGATCCTTTTAAAGTGTTAATTCTAAGCCGTCATTAGTATCGATACCTGCGGTCAATAGTTTCTCCTAGGGACGGAGGGGCATTTAGAGAAGAGTAGTCCGATCTTCTAGAGCTTTGTTTCGTATAAAAACTGTTTGAGCGGTTGAAGCACTCCTCCCGCTGAATCTCTTGGAGCAGGTTTGGCTCCGCTGATCTTGAGCGGACATGCTCTTTTCGCTTCTTTGGTGCCTCAAGCATGTCGTTAAAAGCCGGGTGAAACTCTGTTATTGTTTTGGCATCTTTACTTGGCTGATATGCAGTGACTCTGGGAACAAAGTTAATGCCTCATTCTTTTTATCGTTAATTTACCTCGACATATTGCTATCAAAGTTATCGGTGGACTCTTTCTCTAAGCTTGGTTCATATTTATCCTCGAGAACGGCTATCCTCTTTGGCTCCCAGACGAATTTAGTGAATTCTTCCATGTATTTGACGATAATTGGGGCTTTCAGTCGCTCCGCTGGCTCAAACGCGAACGACTTTTCCATCACATTCCATAGTACCTCGGGGATGCCACTGATCTTTGCCGGCATTTCCTTCTTCTCAACCTTCCTAAGAATGATATTCATGTAGTTTCCCTTTGCGTCGCAGGTGTAACGGCAGTTGTAGAAGGGATACATCCTGGTTAAACATTCCCAGAACATGATGCCCCAGCCATAGATGTCAACTTCGGGTCCGTATTCATTCCCAGTGCTGCACTCGGGCGCCATCCAAACTTAACTAATTTTACCTAATTGACACAACAGTTTACACCAACCTGGTGTTCCCATGGCGTTCGTCTTGTTGATATCATCGTCCTCTCGGGCGAGACCGAAATCAGCGAGCTTTAGACTGAGGCAATCGTCGAACAGAAGGCAGTTATCGGACTTTATATCTCGGTGAATTATGGGCGGATTTCGAGAATGCAAGTAACGAAGACCCTCCGCAGCATGGAGCATCCAGTGGATCGCGTGTCCAAGATGATAGCTGAGACTCTCGTGCTCTTTCGAGTGAAGAAGCTGACCAAGACTAATTTGTGCACACTCCAAAATCATGCCTGCATCATTTTGGTTTACGTACACTCCCTTCAGCTGCACAATTCTGTCGCATTTGATACTCCAAAGCGCTTCCACTTCCCGTCGGAATGTTTGTTCCATACTTTTTCGCTCATCTGGCCGCTGTTTTGAAAACGCAAGGTTTTTAGCTACGTAAACTGTTTCATCATCGGGATCTTGGTTTTTTAGCGCGCAGCGATACACCTTCCCCCATTTTCCTTCGCCAATTTTATTAACACCATGAAGCTCGGGACACTGCTCGATAGGTATTTCATTTACAAGGTCCCCCAGAAGTTTTGTTAGGTCTACCATTCGAACATCCTGCGATCTAAGAGACTAGAGTTCAACAATGGACCGTTCATTTGAGGATAGCATTGCATTGAGTGAGAAAGAAAGAATGAAATCACTGATTTACAGTCATTAAAGAGCGCGGTTAAAGAGGTCACGAAAGTATAAAAAATTAAAAGTTAAAACTGATTAACTTGATAAACGGAACGGGAAGATAGAAATTTATGGTACAGTATCATAGTTTGCGATTTTTATTAGGCACGGGGAAGTCATTGAGTGTTGTCAAAGTCGTTTGGCGGGAGTCCTGGATCGATGGCTGGGTCTATCGGATCTTGAGTTCCGATGAATTCGCTGGAATGTGAAAGACCGTCCACGGTGTCCATGTTTATTCGGCTCAAGGAATCGCTGATCGAATCTAATGTACTATTCTCTTCGGAAAGAAGAGAGTTGCTATGGACGTAATTGATTGTTCGTGAATTCAGTAAGTTGGGTTGATCGTCAATATTTTGGAGGCTGTTCTCATTCGGGTACTCGTTGATATTGTACTGGATTGTCAGAACGGTATCGCTATATTGATTCCAGATTCCCAGAAGGACCTCAAGGATTGATTCCGCGTCGGGTCTTTTGTCAGGATCCATTGCACAGCATATGAAGATCAGATTACTCAATTTTTCTGTTATATCTTCGTTACAAAGCTTTGGGATAGGTCCGGGATGACAATGATGTCGCTTCTCGCGCGTTACTTGCCAGTCATCCTTTTGGCACTCTTTCATCTCTTTATTACTCTTTGAATTACCACAGAATGGGTACTTTTTCGTCAAGCATTCCCAAAGTATCACTCCAAAGCTGTATATATCAACACGCTCGTCATATCCATCTTTTTCAAATCCATCCATTTCTGTAGAATGGATAATACGGAATAAATAATTCAGCTCGATCTCATCACACAGTTCTGTATGTAAGTCGATCAACCTTCGCGAGGGAGGCGTTTGCACACCTTTATCCGGGATCTAGGGGCGCGCGACTTACACACTTAACTGTGACAATAACTACCAAGGGCATTTTATCCTTTCCTGGAGCCTGCCAAAGAACTGTTCCAACCTGCACGGTCAACTGCTCGGTGTCTGAGGGGAGAACCCGAGTAGAGCCGAAATCTGCAAGTTTGAGACTGACACTCATGTTTTCATCTCGAAATAGAAGACAATTTCGAGGCTTGATATCACGATGAACAATGCTTTGCTCGTGAAGATAAAGCAATGCCTCGGCTGTAAGACACATTAGATATGTTTTTTTGTTTGTTTATTTTTACCGAGATCGACAAGGAGGGAAATAATGTAGTCCAGGCGATGAAGTTCAGAAATAAGACTCATTGATCCATGAATGTACTCGTCGAAGTCTTGGTCAGCTTTTTCGAGAATAAAACCAACGTCGATCCCACAGGAGCTAACAAACCATCCATGAATCTTTACGATCAATTCAAAGTCTCTCGCTAAGTGAAGCATCTTTGCCTCTCTTATGACGCTCTGCTTTAGGTCAGCCGGACCATGTCGAATGTCGAATAGTTTTACAACCATCTGCTCACCATTGACTAAAATAGAATTCGATGATAGAAATAGTCAGAGATCTCACCATGAGCATTATAGATTCTCCCAAATGCGCCAAATTTCAGAAGCCTCTCCACTCTCACTTCAGCAGTTTCAATCTGGGGGAGACCGAGGGTCACAAGTTCGTCCATGTTATGTGCTTTCTCTTCACATATGTGCTGATCAGTGATCACATCTACTGCACCAGTCTAAAGAAGACGCAATAATAGAAGAGATAATAGGTAGAGTATATTTTATTTCATTGAGGTTTGCCGACTTTTTAGCTAAATTTTCAAGGCAACGCGTACTTAAGGTCATGGTGAACTTTTTCGGCCAAAGAAGGTGCCTGACTGAGCGATATATTGGCAGAACGATTAACGAATCTTCCTTTAATGGACATTTCTTTCCGCAACTGCTTATTTTCACGATTAATTCGCGCGTTCTCCTCTTCCAATGCTTTGTTACGAGCCTCCAGCGACCTCATGTAGAGAACGTAATCGTTCATCTTTGATAAGTAGTTATCCATATCGTCGATTGAAGGTTTCATTTGAGGAGTTTGCGCATGAGCGAGTGCGTCATTTACAGGCGCAGGAAGCTGATGGTTAGGGACAAGCGTCTTTGTAACAGTCTCTTCTGCAGTTGTCTTGAGCGCAGTTGCTGGCTGTAGAAGGAATTAATAATGCTTTTCAATGGATATTAATCGAAGTTATTTTGGGCGCATAAACTTTTAAAATAATTTTAACCCCACTCAGAACATTGACATGATCAGAAATCTTCGTTGTTTGATGAAGAATCTTGTGATTATTCCTACTTTGGCTCCCTTTGTTCGTTAGACGGAACATTCCTTAGTTCTTAATTTCTATTGATAAGAAAAAAAAATCAATCAAGTTTCTGGATTCTGCTGTATTAAATTGAGTGAATTGTTCAGTTTGAGATTGCTTATACGGACCAAGAACTAAGTCACAGAAGGCGACAAAGAGGGTAAAGGGGTCAGTTGTGAAATGGGTCAACGGTGGGCTGAACAAATGTTTGTTGCGCTCCTTTTCAACCGTGACCTAAAAGGCGCGGAAATAGAAGGTAATAAATAGTGGGTAAAATAACAGTAAGAATTCACTTGAACCATTTATCCAGCTTCTATATCGGATCAGATGTTGGCCACCAGGCAGATTTCTACATCGATGTGTCCGAAATACTCATCAGTTCTAAATTGTATACATGGTTGACAAAGGTATTTTCGGCGTTTCGCCTAGATTTTCGTGGAAAATGAAGAGTGAGGTCAATGGAAGCATATTGTACTAGATTTGAAGATACTATGTGTGAATAAAAGCGACTCTTGCGAGCTTGCGGAAGAAGCGAGACAAGGTTGAAGATAAGATTCGTTGAATTCGGAAGAAAATATATAGATTCTGAACATTTTTGAAGTATTCGAAGAAAGAGATTGGGTAGAACAAAACGACCTTGTATTCATAGAGTACAATTTTGTATTATTACGCGCATGAGCTAATTGTGATGATGCGAAACTGATATGAATACATCAGGAAGAAAGAAAAACAGCTGTCCTAGGTCAGGTAAAAGTGACAGACTTTCTTGAAGAGTTATTTGAAAAAAGGAAGGGATTGGACGGGTAGTAAGCAAAGGAAAAGTGCATAAATGAAGATTTAATTGTCGATTTAGTTGTTCGAACTGAAGAGAGCTGCAAGTTTGGAATCCAAGTGCTCATCGATTCGCTCGATTCGTCGCAATTGCTTCTGTCTCGTATGATTGAAGGGCTATCACAGAGTTTATGAAGATCTCTACTATCAATTTTTTAAAACCTTTTGCGGGAATGAAAATCCACTTTTTCGGCGATCTCGGATAAGAGAGGGCGAGGAAACGCCCCTATTCAAAGGAAAAGGTCAATTATAGAGACAGTACTTGAATAACAGATGAGAATTCAACAAACGTAAAATAATTATGTGCCAGGCACAGAAATTATTTTGATGAGATAGATTTACACAGACATTGATGCGTTTAATAAGGGGTTCGTTCGAGAATTTAAGGAGTCCAACATATTTAAAAATTATCTCGGATAAATAAACTGTTTTTAATTGGCTATCTTCTTTACTAACGGCACTTTTTCGGCATAAGCTTAGTACCACAAATATTTATATTATAATTTATATCATGAGTATCGCGTAGTCAAACTCCTTCATATGCAACAGCGGGCAGATAGAACTGTAAGTAGGGAATAGCCATGGATCAGGGTACAATAAAGAATGATATTTAAAAATTTACAAATGAAACAGATATACAGAAGATAACAATGATACCAGGAATGAATGAATAAAAATAAAGCACCGATTCGTTAACGGCCTTTTTAGATCACAGAAGAGTGTATGTTTGCGGGGTAAAGAGGAAATATTCGGCGTTTCTCAATGTCTCGATAATTTTTATAGAGACATGTATTCGGTAAATAATTATATAGCCAATATCATATTGGCCAGGGCTCTTTAAAAACCTTCAGGGAATGGTCTTAAAATTCTACGATGATTCATTACAGAATAATACGACATTTCTACGAACGATGAGCAGTGTAAGTGCACCTGCGAGTCAAACGTCCTGCGTTCGGCTGAACTTTATCAAGTCTCTCGGCGATCCATTCACAGTCTGGGCGATTTGCGGGGGATCTCTCGACGCACCTTAATTTCATTTGTTTAGTTCAATAACATAAAAGTGCCCCTTCCATAACCATAGCGTGATTCATTCATTCCTACTCTAGGACTCCCAGAGGTCGCAAGCCTGGCTCAAGCGAGAAAGTAATTACCTATTGATTAGGCAGCGTGCTTGATCCTGAATTGGATCAGGAACTTCTATCTTTCTTCCTAACCCGGCGTTGAAAAGTTTACTTTCGAAATTGTCAGTAGGCGGCGTGTTCAAGTCAATTCGCAGCTCCGTCTTCTCAACTCTGCGGGACGAGTTGAAGTCATTTTCTAGCATCAGGCTAAGCGGGGCTGGCTGCGTAGATCGATGAACGGCTTGCATAAGCTCGGCCCATAATACTCCAAAGGCGTAAATATCCGACTTTTTCGAATAGTTTAGCTGTAAAAACTATAGCTGTTATTGAAGAAAGAACCTGCTACCTTGGGAATGATGGATGATTTTTGACATTTCTCAAGGTCAATCGTGGCGAGCTCTGGTGAGAGACGATGAATCCAATCTGTAGGCACATCAATATAATATTTGTCGGTTGCAGGATTCTTCTGTATCGAGCCAACACCAGTTAAAGCAGACACCGTTGCCAGACCGAGGCCCTTTATGACCGCCTTAATAAAATTTATTACGCTGTGGACTATCTTCTAACTATGTTACCTTGCCGACGAGATCATACATTATATTCGCAGGTCGAAGATCTTTGTGAAGGATATCCTTGGCATGGAGATATTTGAGTCCGTTAATTATATGATCAGCGAGAAGGCGTGCGTTTTCTAGGTCAACAATATTTTATTCCTTAAAACTATGTAAATTACCTAGCGATAGGGATTCCTCCTTTATCTTTTTATCAAGTCTTGGTCCTTGGTAGTATCTTGTTAAAATTGCAAGATTTGGTGGAGTTAAACAGGCGCCAAGAAATAACTCCACATTATCATGCCGAGTTTTTTTGAAATGATGAAGTTCCTGTTTAAATGCTTGTACATTTGGATTTTCTGGCTTGAGATCAACTTTCGCGACGCTGAAGAGGAAACAAATGAACAATCACTATTGAATGGGGATTTTACCGTATGACACATTTCCCGTGCCACTTGCAAATGTGGCATTTGGTACCGAAACGACCGCCTGGAAGTTCTCTTTCCAGGATAAGATCGTCAAAATGCACCTCCCAATCAACAAGCATTGATTTAAACGCAGTCTTTTTGTTTCTGAAGGCGGAGGTTCGATCTTGGACTTCTTGAGAGCGGTTTCGAGTTCGAGGAGGGTTTTTTAGCTCCTGCACAGAATCTGTCTCTGTTTCCGTATGATGAAATGTATCATAAGAAGCCTAGAGATAGAGAAGTTATAGTGGAAGAGAACTTTTTTACTTACCAAACACGATGGTTTATCATCATTAATCGAGTCATTCATCGAGAGGTCGTTGATATTGAGTGGCAAAGGACTTCTGTCAGTAAATGCCAGTTTCGGATTTCTAACATAGGGCGTCGACTGAGCATCTGGATACGAAAAAACACCTTCTTTTCTTTTAGCACTTGATTCTACGAAATGCAATTAAGACGTCTTGTTGTATTTTGAAATATTATAACCTGCAAATGGATCGATGATACTATTTTCACAGATTCTAGATGAAGATGGAGAAAGTCGAGAAGTGTCTTGCGATCGTCGCAGACGCTTTGAGAAGCTTTTGAGCTGTGAGTCTCCAAGACCTGAGTCCCGTGCGTATCTGGAATGGCTCGATTCTGGCGACTTCATCTTCGGAAGCGGACTAAATACGGAACTGGTCGACGTATCCTGAAGACCTGGTGAGTGCGCACTTGCTTCGGAACTTTCTGATGAACTAAAAAATATTAAACGAAAATGTACAATAACAAAACCCGTACTATCGTCTATCACCAGTATCAAGTTGACCTCTATCTACATGCTTCCAGCTCGACCAAAAATGCTAAAAGCGGTTTAACGATCTTATTCTTTAGAGTTGATTACTTCTTTGATTGTGGCGTCATAGCCATTTTTTCCAGTTAACTGTCGGACTGCCGAGAAAATACAGTAGTCGTTGCTCTGCTCCAGAGCATCAATTAAATGAGCGAGATTGTGATTGGCATGCCAGAGTCGTCGGACATCTTCCTCCGAAATTCCCTTAACGCATGTACTAAGTTCGTAACGATTAGAAAGAAATACTTTTATAAGAGTGAGTTGTTTTCTGAAACTCTCCTCGCTCAATTCAGCGTGCGAGCCAACCCCCGAACGGCCCCAATTTGAAAGTTCCAAAAAACCAAGAATGTCGGTTTCGAACTTCTGCACGATCTTTGCTCCGCCTCTTTCAGAAATCCCCAGGGCGATACACCAATCCCTAAAACTCATTTCTATCAACATTTACAGTATGCGTTACCTGAGTGAGAATGATGCCAGCTGGAGTAAGTACGTAGGAAGAAGTTTAGTTTGCGTTTTTACAGAAAATCGTTTCTTTAGGACTATAAGCACGGCAATAGTTTCTAGGATCTAAAGCGATGTGTGGTTAGCAGGTTTTTGTCTGAAGAGCTTACATCTTTTTCGGTTTCGTGAACATCGTCAACGATATCTTTTAGGTTTCCTTCGTCTGTCAGCTCTCTAATTTTTCGCAGGTGTTTAATTTTTATCTCAAGCGTCGTTTTTGTAATTTCAATTAAATTTTCATCTTTCTCATGCCTTTCTATCCCATCTCCATTGTGCATTATCTAAATGAAATTTCTTTAATGACAGCTATCATTTATTCTTCTTGAGAATGAAGACAGAAAGAGTCAGTCTAGCTCAGTGTTACATTAAATTTGGCAGCATGTCTTTTAACAAGATAAAGTAATTCAGCAGAATCAAGTTTAAGAGCTCCCGACTTTGCGCGGCTCAGGCATTCTTTCACTTGCTTCTTTTCGCGGTCTCCTTCGTGTATGATCGACATATTAACTGAATGCATGGTTATTTATCGCTCTATCTCAGAAAAAAGTATTAAAATGAAGTAAAGCATCAAAACGATAAAAACCATTCCTAATGCTTGCACCGCTGTCGAGTCCATATCTTCCGGATTTTTAGGGATAAGAGTTTCTTAAAAAAACACAATAACAATCAAAAGATAAACCGTCCAAACCAAGCAGTGAAAGAGCTTCAGAGATTTCGCCCAAGTCTACGAGAATAGAAGACATGTTGATAGTCAAGACGCCGATACGTTCTTTGTTTCCCGGTTCGATTTCCCTCGCTAAATTAATGCTTTCTCGAATAAGTCCCAGAGCTTCTTGTTGATGTCCGGTCTTACATTGGATAAAAGATAGTACATCATTAAAGGGGATTTCCTTTGGAGTCCTTCTATTCTACCCAGAAACTGATAATAAAATCGACCAAGTGCGTCCAAAGCTAAACCATACAGAGATTTTGCATTTGTAGAATTATCAGAATCAAGGATTTTCTTCGCTTCATCTTTGCACCAGTGAAAGCCAGATCTAGCCTTGGGAAGATCGTTTCGATGGAAGAAAACATGGCTTGATAAAAAACGTGATTGCTAGTCAGCTAAAGCTCTTTTTACCTTAGTGAAAGCGAAATGTGAATGATTTGCGGCGACTTCGGCTCTAATACGGATCTATAGTAATTCACTTTTGACGGCAAATCCTGCGGATCGATAGCAAAAAAATTATGATTTTTATAATACACCCTTTCCTATTCCTGCTTGTACATATCGATTAATAGCAACGAGTGGGTTAGACATATTGTGTATATATAAATATTTAATGGCTGACTAGAGACATATAAGGGGAGCTGTATCGATTACTATTACTTGGTTCCGCGAGTTACTTGAGCGACAATGCAATTATAAAACATAAATTTTTTATGCAAATCTATCTAACCCAAAGAATCGATAAGGAAGTACTTTTCGGCAAAGTCCCAGTTTTCTCGCTGGTAGTGCGCGTTCGCAGCCATTTCGTAAAGTTTAGCTTGATGTCCGAATGGCATTTCAATTGTTTCCGCGACTTCTACTGCCTGTGTCATAAGAGTGGCCCTCTCAGATACATCTGCCGACTGATCCGCTTTCGCCCTAGTCATTATCATGCAAGAGGAGAACGTCGATCATGGATCCCAAAACTTGCGAATTATCAAATTATGTTTTTGACTAGTGCCTTTACGCAGGATATTTTCTAACTGCTTTTCGCTCGCGTCTTGGCGTAAATGATCTGTTGCCCGGAAAGAGCGCTCAGAGGATTTGGCCAAAACAGTATTTCTAAGTGATGCACTCTTCGGTACTAATACTAAAACATGAGGAGGTATGGAATTAAAGACCAACAATTTACCAAGACTAACAAGAAGACCTGATGATCTGAGTATTCTAGTACGAATCATTCTGAACCAATTCGATGGGAAAAGAATGAAATCGACGTTGCTTGTTTTGGATCGTTTTGTATTTTTGAAGAGAAATGGCAAAGTGACACGATAAAGAAAATTTAAAGACAATGAAAAAAAATAGAGATTAAAAATCAAGGAAGAAGTCCATTATTTTTGGAATAGAAAGTAGAGTGAGGATCCTTAGTAGCGTTTTGAGATCAATTTTTAATTCGCTAGAAGGAATTTTGGTGAATGTGAAGTGTTTATCCGTTTAGGAATTCTAGACGTAGAAAATCGAGTAGAACATGTGTAATTTCTATCTTCTGGAAATCCTATCGCCCTCTGACGGCGAGTGAGAGTTTAGGAGGCTTACTCTCGTCAATTAGACACACATTTTTATAAACAGAAAAGTACTTGCAGATTCTACAAAGTAGAGCACAAGTTATTGTTGTTAAATTTTGAGGATAAAGATGACGAACTGAATTATTTCGGCGTTTGATTTTGATATTCTGGTTGCATAAAGAAGAAAAAGACGAAAAAGGAGAATCTCTGAAGAGCTAGATTTCTTGGTACGCGATGCGCGTTCTCTTGCGCCCAATGATGTAAGTCACCTGAATAAAAAATTAATCACAATAAATGATTTAGGGGAAGGAGAATCAAGTTAAAATAGCTCACCAAAACGACGAGAACAAGAACGCCAAGAATTGACCCGACGATGGCGGGGATGACGATATTGATGTCTGAAGCATAAAATTTTAAATGAAATTCTATAACAGAAACTCTTGCCTTCTTCGCAGATCACGGGGTTGGCAAATGTATCTTCCGGGACTTTGTGCGGCTGAATTTGAAGACGAGCTAGATTGATTGTCACAAACTTGTCCTGATCTTCATTCCAGAGTTCAACATCGAAGCCAGCGTTGCACAGGAACGACTGTAGATAAATTTTAATCAAGTAATTTTTAATAATAACAACCTGTCCCCAAGTACCAGCAAGAGGTGCGGAAATTCGCTGCATAGAATCATTTTTGAATGTTCCAAGATCATTTCCCTCGGTATCGTATCCAGTGTAATTGATTTCATTGACCTCCCACCAGTCAGCTCCTTCAGCTTCTTCTCTGATCTTAATAAAAAATAAGAGCTACTTCGGATGATGATCAACTCACATTGATGTCGATTGCCAAAGAGAAGCTTCCACCGCTTTCATTGGGGATATTATCTATTTGTAATCGATCACAGTTGGAGGTTATGTTGTTGACATTATCATTGTTGAGCCCGAGAATTGGCTTGATATCCGTGAAGTCGACTGTATCTCCCCCATTCCGAAACTGAATAATCGTCATTAACTGCACTCACTTCTTCTTACCTTTATGACGAACTCGGCTCTGAAGCAAGGTTCGACTGGATCAGTTCGATTCACCAAAAATTTACCGAGTGACTTTTCAGCATCGGATATCGCTGTGGCAAGCGTGAAAAGCGATAGAACGAACGTTCTCATTTTAACCCTTAGTTCGAAGTCTATAACCAGAATAAAATTATTTTTGCACCACCAGACAGACAAAACTTGTGAGCCGTCTCATCGGTAGAATTTTTATTACTTCAGCAGAAAACTTTCGAATTCAGGCTTGAGACGAGTCGTATAGCAGTGAGCTTGTCTTTGAAGAAAAAGTGGTCAGTGATGAAAGTGTAGCCTGGTTAACTGAATGAACCAAGGAAGGAAATTTTAGGCAGTGTATCAAGTAGAAGAAGATAAAAAATCAGTAGTTTTCAGGACAGAATAATGTAAGCTAGTGTTTTAATTTGTTCAAATTGACGCCCCTCCGAAAAAGAGGGCACTCTTCACCTGGGAATTCTCGCTGAAATTTAAGTGTTAGATTCGATTAGCACGATAGAGCATTTCCGTACCTCCCAATGGTACTTGCCGACTCTGGCCCGTTCTATCGCTCTTTCCCACTTTGCATAAGCTCGTTCTTTCTGGCGCAAAATTTCTGGAGCGCCTTTTTGGAACGTTGCGTCAGAGATCTGGATATCACTTGGGTAGACTGCAAGGAAAAGAATTTCGTCGGTCCAATGCGCTTTATTTATCGGTTAGGCAAGATTCATTCGATGAAATCAAATACCTGGCGCAATTGATAGAGTATATTTATTTTCACGATATGGAGTGTAGCTCAAGAATGTTATGAAATGTTCATCGTCCACGCAGTCCTCATATTTGTCAATGTCTTTGCCCGGTTCAAAGGGGCCCTGAAAGATGATTTTGAGAACTCAGGAAATATTTTTTTTTTGGGAAATACCGATACAGAATAGCTCGGAAATCCATCAAGTGATATAATCTTGAACTTCTTGGAGTGATTATCTGGTTGGTGCCACCTGGCATCTCTGACCAAACATGGATTACCAGAGAGTCGCATATCTTTTAGTTTTTCTAGATCAGATGAGAATCCCTCAAATTTGCCATGAACTGCGAAGAGCGTCTGATTAAAAGTTAATTATCAGCTGAGTAACTGCGAATATCTCACCAGAAACATAAACGGCCTTAAAAATTCAACCGGCTCAATCGTGAATTCAAAAACATTTTGATCGCGAGGGACAATTGTTGTTGAGTACAGAAGCTTATCGTGCACCGTCAAATTTGCCTTTCCAAGTGTCTTCTTTGCGAACATATAGACATTTTCGACTATCGTATAGTGATATAAACACAGAAGGTCAGCAGCAGATGATGTTTCCGCTGCATCCATTATGTGTTTGTCGATAGCTGCACCCGCACTAAGGAGCATTTCCACGCACCGAAAGGCGTCGTTCCATTCATTTTTGAAGTCTTTCATATCCGTCATCCTATAAAAAAGTTTTTGCATCTAGTTCCCTAATCTTAAAAACTCACTTGAGGTAAAGCTTCTCAAATTTAGTTGCGCGTTTGACAGCCAGCAACAGAGCCGACTCTTTTTTGTTATTGCGAGTGTTGATAGGCGCTTTGAAACTGAGCAGTGTGGCTACGTTTCCAGGAATACCATTCTCCGCGGCAACATGCAGTGCCGTATTTCCACTCGAGTTAGTTTGATGCGTATCGGCTCCAGCGATTTGAACAAGCGATGTTATAAGAGAAGGGCCTCCCTTGGCAACTCGTATGGAAGCAGCTCTGCATAACGCACTCTCTCCAAGTTTTCCATTCACTTCGTCAGAAATAATGAATTTTCCTTCGTGGCCCATTGTCTTCATCCCAACAAGTTTCCGCGCGAATTCATTTACACCGTTACACCCTTTACTCACGGCTTGCTCGATTTCTTGAATAAGTTGTCCAGGAATATAGCCAGTAGGCTCAAGCTTGTCGTGGCCGATCTGCTCCACGGTCTTATAAAATTTGATTCGTTCACTGATGACGGGTACGGTCTTCTTTGCCGGCTCAGGCTTACTAGTTGTTTGGGATTTTTTGAGGGGCGCTTTCAAATTTGAGTTGAGCTGTGGGGGCTCCTTCGTAAGTGAGGCCTTTCGGGGTTGCTCCCGCTGTGGTGATTTTGCTTTTGGAGGTGGCATCGGAGGATCTGGCTTGGAAGGAGTCTTTAATCTCGCCGCATTGGAAGGCTTTTTAACCTTATCTAACGACTCTCCGGGCATCTTGATTTTGCTAACACGAGGCCCTTCGTCTTCAGAGGAGTCCGAAGATGAAGGTGGCTCTGATGATTCCGTGTCTGAGCCGGAGGAGGAACTTGACGAGTCTGGCATTAGAATTGGCATCGGGAAGTTTTTCTTCTTAGTTTTCGCTGTTTTCGCCGCTGGTTTGGCTTTTGGTGGTCGACCAAGCTTTTTCCTTGGCGCTGCTTTCTTCTTCGGCTGAATTCCTTGGGCCTCCCTAATCATCTCCCAGTGAGTAAACGAAAATTTAATAAGACTTACAATTCCTTCTTTCGCTCTTCTATCTTTTTCTTGGTCGATCCTTTGGGCCTTCCTCTCTTTTTCTTTACGGGTTCTTCTGGTGGTTTTGCAAGCTCCACTGGTTTCGGAGGCTCTTCCTGTCTTGTTTTTGTCGACTCAACTATCGAATTCTCAAGTGGAATCGGTATTTCATCATCAAAACTATTGTCCAGTCCGCCTTCAACAAATTTACAAGCACGCAGTAACTCGTCCACTTTGTCATTTTGCACGTAACAGTCTTCTGCTACTTGGATATCTTCCTGCTTGACAACATGCGTTTCGGCTAAGTCTTGAACCATCTCTTCAGTTGCATCGGTTTCTTGCTTTACAGCCTCGATTTCATCCTGCATCCAACGATCATTTTCGTTCTCTACTTCCTGCTGCTTCTCCACTCGGGCTTGTTGAACATCGTGCAAGATCTTAGGCGCAATCGGTTTCGGCGCCATTTTTCCCGTTATTAATGCACCAGAGAAGCCGGCTACTAGTTCAGTTTTTGGAACCAGTGACGGAGATCCGCTACCCCCAGGTCGAAGTTCATTGACCGGTCTGGGAAGGATTGGGGAGAATTTTTTCACGGGCTGTTGCGGCAAAATGAAAACTGGAGTGGCTCCCTACGCACAGAATGAAACTTTTTAAAATTTAAAAACACGTACAAGTTGTTGAGGCTGGATAGGGGTTCCAGGATCCGTCTTCAGAACGAAGAATCTCGCCGGTCGGTTGACAGTCGAACAGCCACTACCAAAAATAGCGAGTGCTTTAGTTGCATCTTCTCCGTATTTGTTGAAGAGTTCCACTGCATTGGCCACATTTAAAAGTTCATTACCATCTTCGTTTCCAAAGCACTTGACGTAACTTATCCGGCCATTGTCTTCTTTATTAATGATTTTTATTCGGGGTTTCTGCCCCTCTGCCGATTTCATTCTCTACGCCACTCTGCAAAGGAGAAAAGTCAGTTCAATGCGTCGAATGCAATGTCACACAGGTTGGTATTCGTTATTTAATAATATTTCTAATGAATTTGGTTGAATGCATTATTAAGTAGAATAACAATTTTTGAGAACTGAAGATAAATGTGTTGGAAACGTAATAAGAGCAGGTGAGGAAAAAGGTTTGCCTTACACGAATACGATAACCATGACGATGTTGGCTTTTCGCATCGAAAATAAACGGAACTGATGTTATTTCCAAATGCGAAAAGGTTCTTAATTGGCTTCCTCCTTTTCCAGTTATCACTGACTACTGAAGACGACCCGGTTCAGAGCCAATTTAACTCTGCAGGAAATAGCAACTATTTAGGACACTTAAGGGGGTCGACGAGAATCGGGATTTCCGTGACCAAAAATGCGGGAAAACCGGATAAGATAGGGAAAATCTGAGTATACTGGTGGATAGAAAAGGGTTGAAAAAATCAGGCGGCGAAAACTAGAAAAAATTTTCGCCAGAAAAAATCGGTCAAAAATCCCCTCAAAGTAGGGGCATTTTCGCGAAAATGCACCAAAAATGGCCATTCTTTTTACATTTTTCATAATTTCACCCCCTAAATCTCATTTTTATCAAATGTTTATAGGCTTAACGGATTCGGGAGGATCTGACAATTCCAAAAATATAAGTTTCATAGCCAGACTATGTGTACAAGAGAAATTACGATCACCCCTGAAAAAATTCTCGTCGACCCCCCCCTTAAATAGAATAAGAAAATTCCATCATTTCGGCACATTTTTAATTACACATAATGATAATCCATGCGCATTTAAAATTGTCGATGACGGTATTGTGTTCTGAATTGTCTTCTGAATTGGGCCATAATTTCAGAAATAACTGGAGTATAGTACTTCGTAGAAGAGTGAACCAAAAAAATAGAGGTTTTGAAAAACATCTGACATCGTGAAGAAAGTAAATCGTATAAGAGCAGCAACGATAAGACAAACAAAGAAACGAAAGTTGCGAAATTTTATGCGTCATATTATATTTTCAGAATAAAAAGAAAAGTTGAAGCGGAGCAACAACGGTTAAGAAAATATTCAAAGTAAAGAAAAATATGTAAAAAACGGGTAATAACCAGCGGCAACAAATTGCCAGTTTCGTGAAGATTCTTTTCCAAGAAAAGCGCAAGAAAGAGTCACTAAGAAAAGCAATCAGTGGATTTAATTAAATATTATCAGGTGTTGAACAGCCTGTTCCAGATTTTCGAAATTTCATGAATTAAATATAAAACGTTCGGATAGCTTAAAATATCTAATATTTTCGCACCAGGCTAAGACTTCCGAACAAGAAAGATTAAAATAAATAAAGGAAACAAAAGGAACTTTTCGAACAATATGTTGAACGTTTTCGAAAGTAATGATATAATATCATTATCGTGGGTAGAGGTGAACTGATTCCTAATTTTGATCCTAAGTAATAAAACGATTGTGCTTGATAAATAACGATTTGAACAGTAGGACGAATTTTCTGAATTAGCCAGGATGATACTGATTAGAGGTCAGGTTCATCTCCAAGGAAAACGCGTTGAGACGATGTCGCTTGATCAATGATTTCGCTGGGTTGATTCGCTCGACTATTCTCACAGCGGCGGGAAGCTGCGAAACATTCGATCAGGCAAAAATAACGAGAAGCAGCGCAAAAGTTGAAGCAAAGTGTGGACGAGCTGGTGGACGTGAAATTTCTTGCAGCAATTTTTTATCGTAGACAGGGTTCTTTGCGACGGAGTTTTTTTATACAAGCTCATCCCAAGTGATATTTTCTGGCCAATAACCGGGGTCATCTATGAATACGGATTTATCGAAGAGCGCACTCTATCAATCCACCTTTGTTGACCGTTTGGTTTGTTTGTGGATTGATTTGCTGTTGGTGGCTTTGGATTGGTGCCAGTTGCATGAGTTGGTGATGGTGATTCTGCTGCTGCAAGAGCGGCTGAGAGAAATTGAGATGTTGCTGATGTTCCCGTCGTTGCAGTTCAGGTAGATGAATTTGCTGACTAGCTTGAAGCTGGCATTGGAACGGCTGCTCGGGGAAAGTGATCGTGTTGACAGATTGCTGGTGCTGTGCCATTGGGGACGAGACCGTTTGTTGTGACATGTAACTTTGTTGATTGCTATTTTGGTGTTCGTCAGTCTTCACCTCCATCATCGTTAAAAGATGCGTCTCTTGATCGTTTGAAGAAATATTGGCATGGTTTTCTATTGGCTGCAGCTCATAAGTTTCCATTTCTTCAATCTGGGTAGTCTGTTGTTGCTCGGACGGATCTTCGTAATGGATCTGGAGCGAAGTGGAAGCTTGCTGGGAAGGACGCATTGCAACAGAATGCTGCCGGGGCGGCTGATGATGCAATTGATGAGAAACGGAAGTCTGCGAATGCAAACGCATAGGCAACGGTGGGCATCGGAAGATGTGAACTCCATCTTGCGAAGTCGATGGCTGTTGAACTGGTCTTCGATTTTGAGCAGCAGAATAGCTTAATAGCAAGGGTAATCAAAAGAACTCCAGGGTTTGAGTGAGTCTGACCTAGGACTCTGAAAATAAACTTGAAGTTCTTACCACGAAGATGAGGTACTAGGAATGGAGCTTTGGTAGGTGGGGCGCTGAATATTGGATGCTGGTGCTGTATTGGGATATTTGAATACTGTCGGCTGAGTCTGCGGTCGTTTCTTCTTAACTTCCCAGAATTCAGAGTCTTCCAGAGCTTTTGAATACATGTAGTTATTAAAGAACTCAATATAATTTGGGGGAAGGTATGGAGGTGCGAAATCAGGGTCTTCTTCCTTGACAAATTCTTTTCTACTTGGCTGTTTCTTGCATTTCTTCGATTTCTTGGATTTAGATGCTTTTTTAGTGGTCTCTTTCTTGCTTGACTCGTCGGCTTTCGATGCTTTCTTGCAAAACGTCTCCTGCTTCACGAAAGTACTAGCAGGAGGATTCTGCGGGAGACAATTTATCACGAGCGGCTGGTTTTCGTCCTCTCGGGAAAGATAATCTTTTATCTGTCCTGCATCAATGCCAGGGAAAGTTGCGTTCTCATCATTTAGTTCTGCCTTGGGTTTCGCCTCCTGCATTTTACCTGGGTTTTCATTGCTTTGGTTTGACTTTCTTGTTGCTGACTTTTTACTCTGCTTGTTAGGGTATTTCAACTTGACGGAAATGACTCATCCACCGCGAAACAATTCTCAACCCAAACCGGTCTTTTAAACCGGTGAGTATCCCATTGCTACAAAAAATGTTTTAGATCAGACTTCTTTTCAGGATCATGCTTAACTGCGACGACGATTTGAAGATAAATGAGGAATAACTCAAACGCACATGCAATTGATAACTTTTGATAAATGGGAGGAGGAGATAAGTGAATATTAATTTTGATGACTTACAAACAGCTTTGGAGTATTGTCGAAGTTCTCGGTGATTTTTGGGCAAAATACAAATATTGTAATTTCCCTCCCGATAAAGACGAAACGCCTCGTACGGTACCCGCACCTGAATTGTTACTTGCTCATCGCCGTCATCTGGGACAGCTATGGGAGGCCGCACTGAGGATGTGGCCACTGTAGATGGGTGTCCCATCTTGAAGAACTCACTATTTAATTCATTCATTGGATTGTCGTCGACCTAGACGCCTGTGAATGCAAATAAAGATAAGAAATTTACCATTGCTGTGTGAGAGCTCTTTTTAATTGAAGAATCATTGTAAGGTGTTGAGTCGCGGCGCTGTTGACCGGTTTTTGTAACCTTAGATTTGCTCTTACGCCCTGTTGGCGGTTTGTCCGTCCGACGCACTCTAGCTGACTGCAAATCTTGCATTGGTAGAGTCTTCGCTCGCCCGCGTCCTTTCGCTCTATCTTTTGAACGGTCAATTTTCCAATACGACCCAATCGAACGTGAACCGCCCTTGAACAAGTTAACTCACAAATACTAATATTCTAAGTACATACTGTCTGTGGTGGTTCCTTTTGGAAGATCGGATGAAGTGAAAGATTGTGGCGAACAGAATTTTTCCAAGCGACAGACGAATTCGTGTCCGAATCGTTTTTGAAATATTGGATGTTCTTTACAATCCACTCGTAGATTTCGTTGAGCGTCATTTTCTTCGAAGGACTGAAGATTGTTGAATAAACCAATCTATCGCTTTCAGACATGAAATGCGTGAGAGTTAACGCCGCTAATTCTTGGCGACAATATCATGGGAAATTACGTCAAAATCGATAGAAAAAATAACGTTACCTGCTTTCGATCGCAGCAACGATCAAGTCCTTGTACGAGCAGTTGCCCCATTTATTTTGCCTGGAGAATTTTCGTCGCTCATTCAAAAGCTTCTTGATTTTCTCCTTCTCCTGTAATTCCTCTTCTTTTATCTCTTGTTTTGCAGGTGTACCGGCAGTTCGATTCCCTTCGATCTCAGTAAATCCCGCGAAAGTACCAGATCGCTGGCGGATAAGAGGGTTTCTTGCAGAGGGAGCCTATGGAGAACGTCTTTGACGACCGAAAACGAATAGATTTACCTTAAAAGTCAAGTGACTAGTTGAGCAAGCCTCTTGAATCTGGAACTCCTGGTCATCGGAGGAAACGATTTCCATTCTCTCCCTTTTATCGAATTGCCGGTTTCTGTTCTGAACAAAAATTGTAAAAGGGACGAACTTAGCTCTAGCAAGGCTAATATATAAACGAGAGCCGCCAATAGAGCGTAAAAAGGTATCTCAAAATACTATTTTGTCCCGTAAAAATTCAGTGTCTGTCTCTCATTCAATTCTGGTCCCAAAATGGAGAATTTAATTCAAGTAAAGCAGGATTAACTAAAAATATGGCAGTCAAGAGCAAGTAAATTGGAAGACAAGCGAAGGTATAAGTTGATTGGGCGATTTCTCAGAGATATTTCTGCGAGGATACGATCGTGTTCACCGAGCGTGCGATTAATATAGCTGACTCCAGAGCACTGCTGTGGCGCAATGGTGGCGAAAGACTGTCGGAAGAAAGAAGTATATCACAATAGTTGAGTCTTAGATACAGAAATATTCGACAGGATCATAGCTTGACAAAGAGGGCAATTGTTAGCGATATAAGTTGGATAGGCCTGGTGGAAGCACAATTTTAGAAATAAAAAATGAAACGATATTGTGTACATGGAATTTGAAAGAAAATACAAAGAAGAACATTACAATCGAGTATGAAAGTGGTTGCTATTATACAAAGCTTTCTTGATCTGTTGCCTAATATCCTTGCTGATGAGGAGGATAGTAGCGTTGCGATGGGGCGCGGTTCGGTGCGTTCATCTGATTGCTGTGCGGATTGTAGGAGTTCTCTGTGCGCATGCTGGCACGAAGGGGGACCGCCATTGGATCTGCGTGTGCGGCCGTTGAACTTGTGCAGGAAAGGAATTGCTTCCAAGACTGAAAATCATGTTTGCCGGGATAAAGATTAAGCGTGAATAACTTACAGCAATAGTCTTCTCGCCCCAGATCCAAAAGCCACAACTCAATCCAACAATAAGCATCATGAAATAACGTAGCATGAAAAATGTAAAGTTAGGTTCTCGATGCCCAACAGCTTCAACTTCCTGAACGAAAATAAAAATCGACTATTACTATCTTCAACTTACCTTTTTAATGTCACAAGAGCAGGTGAATCCATAGGGAGAGTCGTTTTCATAATTGCAGTATTTGTTCAGCCAGGATTTATTCCAAATGTCATTGTACATGTATTCGTAGAAGTAGCATCCGAGAAGGATTGAACCAGGAATCTTAATTTTTTTCTATAAGTCGCGTTTATACTCGTTGCGTTACCAGATAAATCGACGAAAAGATGCCTATCTTGAGCATTAACTTCTCGAGGCCTTCGTGTTTTCCAGGGTGTTCATTCTTTACAACTGCTCGTATTCGATACATGGACAGAAATCCGATGATCAAGAAGATGAATCCGATGCAGAGGAAAACTTTAAGAATATCATTCAACCCTTCAAATAATAAACAACGTACTCAGTTGCGGCCATAGGATGAAGATTTGAAGACTTGTTGTATCATATTGACCCGTATAGCAGATTCCCGAGAGAGGGTCTCCTTCAATCCGACCAAGCGCTGAAAGATGTTAATCTTTAAAAAATCAAGTCTCTTGTACCTAAAACAGACATGGTTGCGATTGCGGGAACAGCCCAGGCAACAAGATGAAAGTACTGAGCTTGTGCTTCTATCGCTTCCCCAGACCACTTGAGCACGGCTGCAAGGAACCAATTGACGCATAGAACCAACCACCAGATACACGAAGCCATTGTGGAAAAGTATAATATCATGAATAAAATTGTGCACGATTGATTTTTCGTGCCCTAAGTTGACGATAAAATAAACGAGTTTTGTAGAGCGCATTACCTGCACGACGATAAGTGTAGGATGTTTACTGAAAAGGCGGTCGTTTGGATTTTCGTAAGGATTGTTACTGGTGCACGCAACATCGTTGTCATTGAAGTATCCGGTTATATAAACGATGGAAACGATCAGATAGCAGGCTTAATTATTAAAATAATGATTATGGCGAGGGAATTGTTTTACCTGCTAGGAAGACGATTGGCCTTTCGGGATACTTAAATCGTTCTTTGTCGATAACATAAGTGAGGACAGTGAACAGGGTGGATATAAGACACAACACTGACCAGGCCAAAATCCACTTCTTCGCCAGCTCGATATCTTTCTTACTCCAAAAGTGATCTTGACATGGTGCGCTGCAGTTGCCAAGACCAAGGAAGTTATATTTTGACGGGCCGTCCGTAGAACGAACTTGAAATTCTGGAGGACATTTCAACTCCTCAACGCAGTGGTCGTTTTCGTAAGCTGCAGTAGAAAGCGAAGACAACTCGCGGTAGCTGTCGCTTGGGTCCTTTTGAACTGGGTTTTTGATACATTGGAAGCCTTTGGAGTTCTGACTGTCTTCTGGAAGCTTATCGCACTCGAGCTCACTTAATTAATTAGTAAGGTAGATGAAGCTAATTGAATTTTACCTTGGCCACTTAGGAACATATTGAGTAAAACGTCGCCAGCATGAGTCCTTGAAATTTCTGCACCACTGTCTACACGGAGGCACGCTCTCCAGCGCACCGCTCTCGTGGCAATACGGCAAGTAATAGAAGCAAAGAAACATCTTTACTTCTTGTTTGTCCATATTGTCGCAATCCATGCCGTCGAGCGACGCGTACTGCTCTAGCTGCTTGGAAATCAGCTTCTGATCCCTCCACGAGGCGGTGGTTGCAGACTGCCCAGACTTGATAAAAATTTCACTGCAAAAGTCGACAACATCGAGGTCAACTTTCTTGCAGATCTCGGCGCACGCGGCAGAGACGAACCACAAGAGAAATTTCATTGTGTTTATTTGTTGTCTCCCTGATGTCTTTTCGAATTTTCTATTAATGCATTCTAAAGTGTTCGACTGAGTAGTTGTTTATTGAAGTAGATTTAGTCAGACAGCTCTTAAAATGCGAGAAGGTTTCAACGACATGGATGGAGAATAAATGGAATGACTGAAAAATCTCTTGCTTTCGAATCGATTGATCAGAGCCCAAGAAAACATCGAAATTAATAGCTACTTCGAAGATTAAACGATTTATTGACTCGGTAATTGAGCTCTGAGAAGCGAAGGGTTTAGATTAAAAAGAATACTTTGGAATCAGTAAAAAAATACTTTTGTGGCTTACAGGAAAGGCATTAAATAAAAAATAGTTTGGAAGAATATGGTGGAGAAAGACAGAAAAGAGGCCATCTGTGAGGTCTAAAGGGTTTTCATTTTTGTTACAAACACTTCTTCTGACCCTAAATTTGGCCACCACTCGTTGCGCCAGTTGATAATGACGAGCATACCAACGGCGATGAGGCTGGCCTTTATTTCTTGCAGCATGTGCGAAATGTTCTTTGGCAAGGGATACGTATTCACGGCGAACCAGACAAAAAGTGACCAAACCACAATCAGAGCTGCCTTCAAAAGTCGTCACAGAATGCGTTACTTTGCTTTCTTTACCTTGATCTTGCGGCGACGGGATTTCTCTTGTGAATAGGAAACTTGTGGGATTTCAAAAGTAACATTGTTGATACTTCTTGCGCGTTCTTTTCCTCGTTTCTTAAGAATCTTCGGGGCTCGTCTCTTCACGCCTTCATCCGCGCCAACCTGATTTCCAGCAAAGACAGAATGCTGCCGGAAGTTTTCTTCGTATCTATTAGCGCCAGATCGCGCCATTAACCTTCGGAATTGCTCTAAATGATGAAATAAGGAATGCTCCTTGCTGTTGACTTTAAACAAATATGTCTACACAACTCTGGGACAGAAACTCCCCCTCAATGCCAAAACAATATCATCTCAAAGTGGCTTTTACTTACGCTTATTCGATATTCCTGCAGTAAAAATATACTTATTACGCACAAATAAATATGCTTGGACAAGCGTTATTCTAGAAAAAAATCTAATACATTCGACCTTTCTCACATTATCTCAATCCTTACCGTTGAATTCTTCAGTCTCCTTCTCGGTTTTCCCCTTTCTGTGTTTCAAAAGATATGTGATCGCCAATGCGGGACTAAAAAGAAAGTTGGAAAACCTTTTAAAGTTCTTAATTTGGGGTTGATAACGAGCTGCTTAACTCTGTCAATCTCTCTCTCGCAGGTTGGCGGCCACAAAATTTGATATATGGGGTCAACTTCACCTTTGACAGTTCTATTCTGTTTCGAAACTCAACACATCTAGATTCAATATCTCCCTCTAATGCCACTTACTTTTCGTGTTCACAGATTTGCGCCAGCAATTTACAATCTTCCTCTTTCTCCTCCATCTTCGTGGACTTCGCTTTGATAAATTCTGTGATAGAATGTCATTTTATGGGTGAAAGAAAGAGAGAGCCTACCAGAGCGATTAATGAGAATCTGTTTGAAGTACTCGTTTTCACATTTTTTGAAAAAGCGACGCTGAGGCTCGTCGTCGATTTTTTCGCAGAGATAGTCGCACATTTGAAAGATATAAACGATCAACTCTTTCTCTGGCTGCTCGTATGCTGCCTACGAAGGGGAGTGAAGGGAACATGCACGGATCTCTTACGGGCTCTAGTAAGATCTGCTTGCAAACATCCAACGCGTCGCCGTACTTTCCCGTCCTTTCAAAATAGATCGCAAGCCCGTGCAGCTCCTCGCATTTTTCGTAAGTGCGACCAGTCCCAGCATTTATGCTCACCTCCTCTGCCATATTGTGAGTCAGATAGCGACCCTTCTGAGAAAGAAACGTCAATGAATCAAAGAGGAATATCTTTTCTTATTCTTTTTTTTCAATTGAATTGGAGCGAATGTCTCAAGCAGATAAGAAGAATTTCATTGTTGAAGATCAAGAGGGTGAAAAGGGAAATAATTGAAAGGCGATCGCAAGAGAATGATCTAAACTCGGCGGAACTGAACAATAGCGAAATCAATAAGCAAAAGAACTGTGTTTTTTCTTGTCCAGCTAGCTGAGCATCAGCGTGCTCGGGTCGATCCCGAGTTCTTTGGTCAGAGACTCGATTTCGCGAGAACTCAAGACGCGGCAAGACTTCCACGCGCGCAGCAACGAAGAGTCGTTTTCTTCTTCGCATGGCGACGAAGGCTGCTGGAAAATAAATGATTATGCCCAGTTTTCGCTAGTGTAATTTACCGAGTTCACTTTCTCCGGCTTATTGACTTGAATTTTGTTGAGCGATTCGAGTTTTGGAGCAGCATTTTGCCTCTCGCGAATCAGTGAAAAGTCGATTTTTAACGGAATAAGGCTATCTCGTTGAATTTTCGCATGTGAGCTTGGATTCAGTGGCTTTTACGGTCAAGATTAGTTTAAAAAACGCTGAGTACGCAAGAGGTTCTAGACCTTTCCTTCAATTCGGGAATTTTTCGTTTCCTCTTGTCTCGGATGGGGACTAATCCAGGAACCCTTTTTCGTTGTTTGGGAATTTTCTGTTCGTCCATTCTACTCTGCCAGCATTGACGCGATACTCACAGCAAAAAGGGGGACTTTCTTTGATTCGCCAATCAGCACTCGAGATGAGCGCGCTACTGCGCACATTCACCCCAGATAGCGCCATTTCCGAAAATGAAAGAAACGAGAATTTTTTTTCGACGATGTGGTTGAATAGAATAAATTTATTTGACGTATTCATAAGGGTTGAGTTATTCGAAAATAGTAGGAGTCTTTTGGCAGTAAAAATTTGAAGTCGAACTCATTGGTCGTGAGAGCAGGGTTGTACCTCTTGATGAAGCCTTGTTGGAGCATTTGATGAGGTTGATCTTTATTTTGTACAAAAAGCAGAGCATGTAGGAGCGATGATGCGGCAAGAGATAATGATGAATTCGTCCAATTTCTGATGAAAAATTAGAATTGAGGAAAGGGCGAGGGAATTTTTCTCACTTTTCTGAATTTTCTAATCGTATGGCCTTCTGAGACTGATGAATGCTTTCGTATTTACATGAAGTGAGAGGCAGGATGCTTTATTTTCTATTCATAGAGTGGAAGCTAGAAATTCACGATTGAGTTCGACTCTGTGAAAAATCAACTTACCTTCGAGCTACTTTCGTGATTTTCGAACGGCCAAGGGAGCTTTCGTCTTCTTTTCTTTCAGAGATGTTTGGGAGAAAAGTGCTATCAATTCCGCATCAGTCAAAGCCGGCATTTCCTTCTTCTCGTCGGGTTCATGGTGCTGTTTTGAGTTTCTCGTCTTCAGAATTCTCTTCTCTCTGGAGTCTCTTGGAGTAGGACATCTTGAAGTATTTTCGAAAAATGGGAGGAAGAACTTGGTTGCGATGTAGGTGTAATCCTTCTCGGTTCGTGGTTTGTATTTAATTGTCCTGATTGTAGGATTGGTTCCCGTGTTCTTGCTATGTTTTCTTTTCTCGAGCCAACTAGAAGTGATGGCCATACGGAGATATTTTTCATTTGAAGCAGCAACCATCTCAGTCAATTCCACCGTCAGGTTTGGATCTTTAGGGCAGCAGATGTGAGGAGTCTTCGGAAAGTTTGTATTGCTCCAAAGGGAATCTCCCGGCGATATTCCAATAGCACTAAGAGATTTCGAAAATATACCACCGAAGAAATTGCAGAAGGTCTCTCTAGGATTTGTCCATAGTTTGGTAGGTTTGTCGACTTTGATAGAACATCCACAAGAAAACTCGATGATATCTGCTCTTGGACACCTGGCGAACTTCGTTTGAAACTGAGTTCCTGATGCGGAATGCCAATATTTGCCGTAATATACCATAACCATGATTCACGAGACTCTCTTGTGATAAAAGTTTTAATCGAGTTAAGTTAAAATCGAGGTTTTTTTTTGTCGAAAGAGAAATTTTTCTAACTGATAAGCTTCCCGAGAGGAAAACTTTCCGCACACCGCCATCATGCTGGCGCGTAAAGGAGGCGCCCTTCCGCCAGAAAGGCAGGGATTATCAGCTTCTCGGAGTAGTCGGGGTGTAATCGACGGTAGTTTTTGCAACCAAAAGTTCATTTTTATCCCTACTCAGCAGTAGTTGCGAAAAATCGATCGATATTCATGTTATTTTCAACTCAAATGGCTTTCGAAGTCGAGCTATCTATGTCAGTTCGAAAAAAAGAAGGGATAATCAAATGATAATCTGAAGATTATCATAAAGTCGATCTATTAGTTCTTTTTCGTTGGCTTCAGTCGTAATTTTGCAGAGAATGCTGGTGACAGTAAAACACCTTACCTTCAAAGGGCTCAAATTATTTATGACGAAAAAACAATTGCAATAGAATTAGTTTATTTGAACTATTCACAGTTTTATCATACTGTGTAGTATACAGGCAGAAAGAAGACAAAATGTACGGGTATGAAATGAAGGTGGAAGCGTCAGAGAGAACGGATAGAATTTTTGGGGACGAAACCTTCGCCATCAAGTGACCGTACGAAAAGCGAGTCTTCGCGGTTGATAGGTGAGGCGAAATTCACAACGACAATCTGAAATACCGTTAGTTCCAGAAAGATTCCGCTTGCTTACTGTATTCTCCTTTGCCTTTAGCTCCTTTCGCTTCGAGTTTCCGTAGCAATGTTTAGTTACGATAAAGGGCTTTTCGGTTTCTTCTACTTTCATGACAAACTTAGCTGGAAAGAATCCAACTGCACCAGAAGGCTCTTTTTTACCCTAGAGAAAGTCATCAGTGTTGGAAGATAAATATAATTTTGAACTTACGAACCACCAGTTGTCGTCCTTCGAATCACAGACATAAATTTTATCCCCAGGTCGAAGAGAAATATCCATTTTGTCGCGGGGCTAAAACTCTTCTTGTCAAACGTTCTTATGGTCGTTTATTACCTTGAAGTCGTAGAGAGCACAGTAAGGCTCTTTGTCGTGATTTTTTGGAACTTTGTAGTTTCGTGACTAGGAAATATTTACAAAAATCAAATTTGGTTGATCTCACCCCCATCAAGCCGCCAAAAAGACCCTTCTTAGGTCTTCTGATGGCGTCAAGTGGGTCTGGAGCGATGGAGCCTCTCTTGCTCGAAAAAAGGCTTTTCCAAAACACTGGATCGGCAATAGAATTCTTGGCACTCTTTCCAGCGCGGATATCTTCTCCAGTATTAACAAGTCTAAGTGCTTTCCCTTGTTTCAGAACTTTGTAGGAGTCGTCTATGTTTTCCAGCGCTTAGATTTGTTTACAGAAATTAGTTCGTTTATCATTACTTACCCATATTGTCCATTTGAGATACTATTGAGTCCCTGTGGGCTGATTTCGGTTCGCATATTGAAAGATGTCGAGAAAAGTTAAAGTTTCCAATCTGCAAGAAAAGATTTACGGTAAGTTCGACATTATAAAATTTACCCCTTCTCGAATAAAATGTGATTGTCCTGAGCGAGGATCTGGTCTTCCGGTACATGTGTGTGCTAAATAATTGATAGAAAAAGAATTTCAAGAGCAATGTTTATTTACCGATTGAACTTTCTTTAGATCGTTCGAGACAGTCGCTGTGTATATTCATTAGGCAGACTTGGCATCTTAGTCCAGTTCTGCTCACTCCAGGTCCTTTTTTTAAAATGAAGCTCAAGTAGGATAAGAATTATTCTCGCGGGAATTATATTTTTTCAAATTCAAATCCATTCCTGTCTGCTGGTATTTCTTCTGGACACTCTCCAAGAGATGAAGTAAGCTTTCCGCAGACCATACAGAAAGTAGCATTTTTGAATCTACACGGTCTCCATTTGTGCTCGATCACTCTGCCCGGAATATTGTCGAAGTCATCGTCGTCGTACATGCTGTCTATGATTTAGTTACATTACAGTCAGGTTGTCTAAACTCTCACCTGTCTCGAATTGGGAAGCCATGTCTTCGTCAACAGCTTCAAGAGCGTTGTTCTTTCCTTGCCGTAGATTCTTGCTAAAGAAAGTGTTGAAAAGCGCATGCCTATGAGTGTGAGCTGAGTTAATTCGAGTTCTACTCCGATCCCCACTGGTTGTCTTGGTACTACAACTTCCCCAAATACTTAAATCGCGCTGAGCTGTTTACGATTGTCTACGCAAATCGCACTTACTCCGACTAGGCTCATCGCTACTGATCGCCACAAAAGTGCACTTTTTGCCATAAATCTTATCTTTTTGCTCTAGGCCACAGTTTCCTTTCATTGCTTCATAAACTTTACTGTGCTATGCTGACAGAACCAACTCAACTTTTCTGCATTGCTTTTGACACATGAATCATATGACAAGAAGCGTTTTGTACGTAAGTTAATTTTTGTATATTTTTGGTGCTATTTAAAAAAAACTTTTATGTATTAATTTAGATAATAATAAGACTGTCTTCTGCTACGAGTTAAGCATCATTATGTCTTGATTTTAAAAATGTTCATATACTTAATAAATAAAGTTATGAAGACAAAAATCTTAATACTTACCCTTTTAGAATTTTTCTACGAAGTGTATCCCCTGCATCTGCAGCAAAGTCGACGACCGATCTTCTCTAAAAACAGTCAACCATTGTGCTCGTTATTCTCGAGTCAAGGTTACTTCGGGAGTCTAACCTTGAAAGACGTAGCAGAGTCTATCGAGTGTCGTCTACCGTTGCTCTCTCTTCGTTGCTGTCGAGGCGAGCTCATTTTTCTTCTAATGCTTCAGACAAGTTCCTCTCTTATATTTCTGATGTTTCTCTTCGTAGTGGCCAGAGTTAAAAAATAGGAACGAAAAACGCGATTTGCAAAACGTGTTGAATGATTTTGATTTGAAAAATGGTCCAAGGGGTTGCGAGCCCAACTCAGAATATACTCGTACTTTGACCTACACACACAGCTACACACAGGGCGATTTCCCCTCCCACTGAAGATGAGATCGTTAACACATCGAACGCATATTTCGAGGAGCTCGCTCTCTTATTTGAAAAAAATACGATTTCATGTGGATGACTTATTTGCTTTCATAGAGAATCCAAGAAAAATTGATGAAGCAAGTTTCGTTGAATTATTGAAAAAATGAACATTGTGCGTTCAAAATTTTACAGAAAACTTGGAAGAAATTTATAAATATAAATCATCGTAAATGTTAAACTTCCAATTTTGTTGTAAGCTTTATTTGATGATGTATGTTTTCAGGCTTCGTAGCAAATAAAGGTGAAATATTCAGTACATTTATGATTTGGTTGGCAGCTCGTTAATCTCCACGTATCTCAACGACTATGCACGATAAATTGTCGGCAGCTCCAGCAGCGAGTGCACTTTTGAGAACATTGATTGATGGGCTTTCTGGCTTTCCCTGCACAAGACCAGCTATCTGTTTGAGCGAAAGCACATCTGTGACGCTTCTCTAGGGATAAAATAGCACAATATTTTTTGAGCAAGCTGAAGAACGAATGCGATGAATTTCGAAACAGTTCAAGATTGACATGCTCTCTAGTAGCACATCATTATACTCGTGCATGGACACTTCATCATTTTTATAGAATATTAGCAAATTTGTGGAGATGGTATACAGCAGCGTTAATGACGTGGTTTAAATCAGCAGAGGTTATACTTTATCCCTGCCCATCAGTAACCAAACAGATCCATTTGTATCTATCCTTGATGACACTGCTGGAAAATTCGCGCACTGAGGGCTGTTCAGCTGGGGGCACCAATTTTTAACGATTCTTTGCAAAGTGCGCTCCCGTTTCCTTTGCGGATATAGCAGGTCTTGGCCCTGACTTACCTAGGGCACGAGCAACTCCAAGCTCTCCATTTACTCTGTAGTTTCCTTTAGATCCGGTGATGACAGCCCCATTTTTGGAAATACTTTCGCGCATCTCGCTGCACTATTCTTGGGATTTTCAATGTTTTATTAACTCTCAAGTTCATCAATTAGCAGATCCCGTGGCTCGAGCGTATGTGGCTCTGTCAAAAGTTCAGCTTGTTCTGATACCTCGTCAATTCCAAGTATGCTGCTGTCGCCGACCCAAGAGAAAATACTTTTTCCACGAGTCTCTTGAAATTCAAATAATAACGACAATCGCAACTGCCCCTTTTAAACCTATATAAAGAGCAGCAGTTGACCCAGATCTATCAGAAATTGAGTCTTCAATCATTTTCTGTAGATTCCCAAAGGTATTAATTATTTGATCTTCTCCGTGACTTGAGGCCAATTGATTTTGAACCTGAGGAACAAGAAGGCAGGAGGCAAACTCTGCCGCAGAAAATCCTCCGTGACCATCTTATGCTGTACTGAATGCGAGAAGGCCTAATTCATCTTACCAAAGATAGCATAAATCTCCATTTGATCACTCTGCTTCACATTGAAGTAATCCTCATTTGTCCGTTTTGAGCCCTTTTTGTGATATTTTTTCTATTCAGAAACTCCGCTTAGCTTACCAAAAATATATCACCCTTTCTTCCATGATTCCAAGAAGTATTTTCGATATGATTCAGGGCGATTTTGTTGATCGACAGAATCAGATATTTTTTCAGACACACTTGGTAAAATGCAAAGACAATTTTCTTAAAAATAATGAATTTTTTTTTAAAGATTTATTTTACTTAGCAATATCTCTGGATCTTTTTCCTCGATATCAGCTTCTTGAATGCAGTGTTCGATAATTTGTATCACCAGTTGATGCGGAAACTCTCCAGTGCTTATTTCCTCCTTTGTTTGGAACTTTGAAAAGTTTTGGTAAAGATGCCTGTGCTTGAATTCATATTTTTTCAACGAGCTGATTACAAATTAATAATTCGAAATTATATATTCGAAAACATTATATTAGATAGAAGACAAAAAAATAAGTCATTATAAATTCTACCGGAAAAGAAGACCACTTAGATATGTTTCTTTGATTTGCTCGTCCACTAAAATGAATGTTGCAATTAAAGAATAATCTGCATTGAGTATCAGGCATAGACTGCACATGTATTCAACTCCGCGCTTGAAAAGTTTTGCCAACAGAAGTGCTTATTATCGGAGCGCAACTTATCCCGAGATCAAAATATTTACACTTTCTGATCACTCTCATGCTCGATGAAGTCTTTAACTCACTGATGCGTCTCATTTTATGTCATAAAATTTATCTAATTCCGTTTGAAATATACTGGTAGAAACTATGGTCGAGTCAATATTACGCGATCAAGAATTTAATTGAGACAGAGATAGAAAGAATTCCACTGTAGGATCAAGAATCAGTGATGCTTTCGGCCGATCGAAAACGATTTACTATTCTATCACTGAGCCAAATATTTACTCTACCAAACGGCTCGAAAAAATGACATTTGCTAATAAAAAACTGAGTCAGAGAATTAAATGCACACTTTTGCTTCTTACCGTATTGAGCTGCAACGACTCGTTTCTGATAGCAGGTTAACCTGTGTTAACCTATCTTATATAGCCTAGATAAAATAGGCTATTTAATTTAAGACCAGTTAATTAATTTGTAATAACACTAAATAGAAGGATTTGATTCAAAGAAAGAGTGTGTTACACTGTGTTAGGAAATGTTAAAATAAAGCAGATGAGGTTAGCCCTGACTGACGGCGACGGAGCTTTGTCTGACCAGTCGATGTGTCGTCATTGCTGTGTGCGTCGATTAAATTCTGGAGAAAGCGCCTTTCACTGTCCATTCTCTTACCCCTCTGTCTTTTATGCGGCTTTCTTTTTGCTCGTGATTGGCCGCGGAAAAATCACAGAGTCCAAAATATTGAGCGAAAGATTTAAATACTTCACGGTGCTCTTATTCGGCCTTAGGTGAAGTTTTTAAAAGCGCGCAAAGACGCCAATTTCAGAATGTTGGACGACAAGGTGCCATTTTACAGGCCAAAGGTAATACTTAGCAAGCGATATTCGTAGAGCGAGCTTGTTTAGCAAAGTCCATTGCCATTAGGGTGGCCTCTTCGGTATAGGAATGATGGGGCCGAATCGCCTCCTAGATCACCGCCAAAACCTCTTCGCGGAAGTGATATCCTCGGCGACGGAATACCTGTCAAAAGATATAGCCAGGACAAGGTCCCCCTTTTTCTCTAGCAAACTAAACAGTCTCGGCGTTCAGGGTTCTACCAAGATCTACGAGCAAGCTGGATTTGAGCTCTCAAGATCAGAAGACCATCAAATAGTCGCGAAATTGAACACTGAAAAACTGCCACGCATAAGTTCGCCCTCAGATCCACGATACCAAAGAAGCAAGAAGCTCGATGGAAAGCTTTCAACATCAAGAATGCTTGAAGAAGAGATAGAGCGGCTTTCATATCTTCTGCAGGAAGAGCAAGAATCGCACAGGCGTACAAAAATGGAGCGTGCTGATGAGCTTAGGAAGCGAATAAAACTAGATATATTATGAAGATATGTTATGATACGATTTATATTGACAGTTTTTATATCTCTGAAAAAGAGAGCTGGAAGAGAAGATCCGAGAGGAGTATGAGAATAAAATAGTCTTACTGAATCAGGAGTTTTTTGATCAAACTCAACAGCAAAAAGACGAATTCCAAAGGGACCGTGCTCAAAAAGCTGAAGCATCTCGATTACGAGAAAAGTAAGTCATCGATTCAAGTGCACTCACTAATTTATTATAGACAAGTATCGGAGCAACTTACGGATACACAAATGGCCTTTGAACAGTTTCAGGCACAATGTAAAGTTGAATACAATAAAAAACTGGAGGAGGAGCGACGAATCATTCTAGTGCGAGTTTCAATTTCATAGTTTTTTTATAGCTAGTTTTGTTAATAAACTCATTCAAGACGAAGAAGCGAAAAAGCGAGTGGAGCTTGAGAACTCGTTCCAAAAAAAGCTCAGCTCGCGCTTGCGAGATCAACGAGCGCACATCGAGGCAGAAACTGCTGAAATGCTGGCTGAGTTGAACAGTAAGCATAAAGCGCAGACCGACGACCTTGTAACACAAATAAGGCGAGTGAAATTGAACATTAAATTTAATTCTAACGTTGCGTGATAGCTCCGCGAGTGAAGCTGCGGATAGACTGACAGAAAGTGAATCCAAAATGTCTTCATTGACTCAAAAAGTCACTCAACTCAAACAAAACTTGGCTGATGCTGAATCTGCTATTCAGGAACGGTTCTTATTCGGAAACTTTCTTGTAACTCGACGAGTAAGTAAACTTTCTAAAAGGCGAAACGAGTTGAATGCCGCGCAATGAAATCAAAGCTTTCAGAAATTGAGGTAATCGCAGCAAATTTTCAAGAGCTTGAAGGAGCTTTTAGTTCATAATTGGCAAAAGCTCAAAAGTGTGTTTTAGGGGCATCACAAGCGACAATTACAGGCTCTCAGCAGCTACCATAACACGCAAATAAGTAATTTGAAGGAGGAAATCGCACAGCTTCGAAATAGACTTATAAGAAAAGCAGAAGTCGTCGGGGAGATGGAAGCGAGATCAAGGGTAAGAATTCAAGTCATTATCAGTTATTGAAATCATGGAAGAGATCTGGACAAGTAATTTTGAAATAATCAAAAATGAGGCTCGTTGATCACGTTCAGAATGATTGATTTAAATTTCTACGTCCTGAGAAAAATAATTGCAAGATATCGATAGCTATCAAATAAGGGTAATAACAACGAGCTAATCTGTTTGATCTTGCGCAGTCTGAAGAGAGTAAGTTCTCATGCTGTAGCTTTCAAGAGCACCTCTCAAGAGTGCCTTCGCTAAACCAAGAACACATGGAGCAAACAAAAGCGCATGTTCTGTGTAACGTGTGCCAAATCCAAGAGCGCGCTTCACCGAAATAGTTTCGATAAGAACGATAATAAAATTCAATGTCAAATTTGAGGCACTTTACATTTTTTGTCCAAAATTCAAACTCATTTTAACGAGGAAAAGGAATCAGCGGCAATAAATCATTCTGAAAGTCATCTTTCTTCACTTGCGATATGTTTATCGCGGACTCTGCCGCTCTAATCCACCCTATTTTTGCCCAATGCTGTCATCTAAGTCCCCTACTGTTTTGTTATTTCCGCCGGGTGCGGATCACTCGGCTCTCGCCAGATTAGCCACTCAGTCTAAGAACTTATGAACAAATACGGGCCAAGAGCCCGACCGGGATAGCGGTACCCTGCTGCTTGAGATAAAAGGTGCGCCTCGCCTCTCTGAAATTTGATTGATCTTTCAGATCAAGAGTCCATCAAATCTGGGCACGTATTAACGATGATCCTGCGTTATATCCGCCATTATTTTCGCCACCACTGTATGAAATCTAAAACAAGTCTTCTTTCAGGGCGCGATGAGTCGAATTCATGGACCAAACTCCCGGAAGTCAGCACCTCCGCTCGAAGAGATTCTTCAAATCACTTCTCCAATTTAACTTGTTGGCAGTCAATCTTCTTTATTTTTTTTAATAAAGTTCATTTTTGCATAAAATGCAGTGCGCTTGATTCCACTTATGTAAATTAGCGCCTAGATAAGTCATTGAATTAATGCGATAAAACATCTGGGACTCGATAGGTTTATTGAACTCATAAATCGCCACGTGTCATTTTAAACCGTTTTTCGAAAGCCGGCGATCTCGGAAGAAAGTTATTTCCCGATTTGATGATCACAGATCCACCAAAAACTGTTGTGTTGACAACGGCGTTGGCGAGCAGCGTCTTCTACTCTTTATACGGAAGCAGCGCACAATAGGGATAATGGTCGAAGGTAGAGGAGAAGACCGTTTCATAAATCTTATGAAAGAACAGGATTAGGTCTTTACAATTCTTCTAACAAAACAAAAGCCGATTTATCGAATTCAAGTCGAATGGGCTTATGTTTATAGAACATCTCGTGATTAGGGACCATCGTTTGAGTTGCTGCGAATTGAATTGATTATTTGTATACGGCACTCCTGTAGGAAGTGAATTTGCTGGGAGCCTACTCAGTGCGCTTGGATTTTGACAAGATTAGATAGTCTCAATTTCCATGCCCCCGGTCCACTTCGGAAGTTTAGAGCCTATGTTATCGCTCTCTTCCTTGCGTAAACAAATGAGTGAAATCCCATTTGAAAATTGTTGACTGGACTGAGGCCAGCGTCTGCAGCGCATGTTGCTGCAATTCAAAATTCAAGCAGCAAAAAGACGCATGTCAATTTTAATTTCAACGCTCTTCGAATCGCTACAAACACGCTGGGCTTGCTTGTGGCACTTTAAAAGTAAGTACCTCCGTGATTACTCTCATAGGGCGACAGAGCTCCTTGCACCGCGACAAATACGACCTTGAAAGCATCGAGCGAGATTATACGGATCGTCGCGGTCTCAGCAGGACATAATGAGCCTATCACTTTCTCCCAGGCCGGATGCGGAAAATCGCCGGGAGTCTGGCCTACCCGCCGCTCTGTATGTATTTTGCGCATGCAGCAGCTGCTTCTTTTTTTAGTCAAAGTCGGCTCTGTCAAAGAGATGCGCCGTAGATATCGCATAACTCCAGGGACGGCTTCAACGCACTTGACGTCACGCAGTGATAAGGAAGCAGTTTTAGAAATAAGACGGAGATGATATATTTTGCAGCAAAGTAGTTTGGCAGATACTATCTTGGGATTGTTTTGGCCTAGATCTGCTCAAGTGGCTCTAAACCAGGACAGGAATTCACGGCTGAATAAGTCTCCCCATCGAAAATCTGAAGGCGCATCACTGCCGTCCCTTCCAGAAACGCGATTGTTTGTTTGATAGCCAGAACTGCTCTACTTATCTGCTCCCTTTCCAGGTGATCCTATACAGCATTAATTACAGTAGATCGGAGAAAAAACACTGCCCCACGTTGTGACAATATCAAAAAAAAAAAAAAATTAAAATAATCACTCGGCTTTAACGAGCAAACGAGCCGGAGTGAGCGCTCGTAAATGCAGCGTCGAATATCAGAGTACTCCAACTGTCAATGATATAAATTATTACGCACAGGAAACGTTTGTGTATCCCATCATCTGGCCCGGTCCAGCTTCTCCCCACACAGCCAGGTACTTGATGATGATTTATGGGATTGACGGGCGCGCGGAGCCCGATCCAGCCGGCGACTCACCTTTTCACTGAAACTGCACTTAGCATTTGAAAATCTGCTGTTAGACAGAGGTATTAAGATAAAGCAATTAAAAAAATAACGAAAATGAAGAATTTCCGGACGGAAATCATGAAATTCAAATAGAAACGCTCGGAAACAAAATTAATACGTCCGGACAAGTTTATCGCCACTACGGTTATTCTTATTTTTTCGCGAGCGCGTCGCTTGAGAGCTTGAACTTGGCCTCAGACCGATAAAAAGTCCTTGAAGCCAGAAGAATAAGGGTACGATCGCCTACGCGGCCACTGGGGGTCTTGAGTGCGTTGAGTTGAGTTGCGCTATGTGAGCGCGCGCGCTGGGGCTCGCGGGGGGCTTTCTTCGTTTCTTTTCAAAACGACCTCGGGCAGAGGAACCTCCTCGCGCAATCAGCCTTAAACTCAAATACTACCTTGACTGGGCAATTAATTAGAGAATGTTTTCAAGAAGTAAAGAGATTAGGAAGGCGGAAGATAAGAAGTTTAGTTTGCGGAAGACGGGACGCATTGACGGGGAATTTGACATAGGACCGGAAGAGAGCACCCAACACCAATCTCGCTTGTTTGACAAAAGGGGACTTATCGCATTTTATGGACAAATATACGAACAAAGATTGAATATTTGAGCCCAGCACTGTAAAGATTCACAAATGTATTTCGCACACGAGGCGAGCCCATTGATCCAACTTTTTTATCTCGTCTTTTTTTAGTTTTGAAAGAGAAGGAAAGAATTTTGGCTGTACTTCGGTATTTTAGGGACACGCCTTTGACATTTGCTCTTTTCTTTTATTGAAGTAAGTAGATTCCTTCGAGTAATTAGGGAATGTAATTCAGAAGTGCTTTTGCTGACAAATTCGCGGCCGTAATAATGTTTGTCAGGAAGTATCCTACGAAAATACGCGTCAATATTTAATAGAGTCGTTTATTGATTACGGCTAGTTTAGGCCACACGCAACCTTGCTCGTGCGAGCCAGACAAGCTGGCTAGGGGTTGGGTTGACACGAATTTGTGGTCGCTTTCCCCAGCCAAGGTTGACGAGCACTGCCAACTGTATGTATGCCAACAACAGCTTTTTTCGAGTTTTGAGTTTTTTAAACACTCATTTTGAATTGAAAGAATTCTCCGCGTCGAGAGTAAATGTACCAGCTGATCGCCCCTAAAGCTCATTTTACGGAGAAGATCGTTTGATGTGTTCATTGTCATCGTGCGCATTTTTTTGTCGTTTTTGAAATTTTACGAAGCCGAACGAACAACAACGTCCGATGCTCATAATATTTTCTCGACAATTTCGTGGCGCAATTTTAAAAGCAATGCGCAAACACTTCTCAAAAGTGCTTCTCCTTCGCAATTTTTCGCGCGTCTGGGAAAATGATATTCTACTTGAGTGCATTCTTCGTTTTTGGAATATTTTTGGCGGAGCACAATTCCATCGCGAATATTAATAAGGGAGAGAACCAATCCAAACACCCTGAAAGCTCATTCGGGTCACTTAGGTTCCACTTCCGTTGCCACAACACGGAACTGTACTGTATCGAATTTTTTAGTATTTTTGGTCGTTTGCACGGCGTCGATCAGTAAACAGATTAGTAAAGCTCTAGCTCAACGAGACTCCAAAGGGGAGAACTAGAGCACGGTTGACCCTTTATCCGATTAAAGTCTAGGGCGAGCAAATTTGCGGAACCCCTTTCAACTGATTTATTCAATTTTGAAGAATTCTTTCAACTTCCAAAGGCATAATTCAATTATTCTTTTGCCTCGAATCTCTTCGTCAATTCAAACATACTCAAGATTTACGCACGCTTTATTTTCCTTTGAAGGGTGTTATTAAAGATAATATTGTAGATCAGCAGTGGACTTGGGCTAATATTTGCGCGAGAATCAAAATCGTGACATAAAGAGTGCCAGGACAATTTAGCCGTCATTTGGCGACATTGGTGAAGTTAAATGACCAGCGCAAATATACCCGCCGCTGAATACAGTGCACTACAGTTACTGAGCCACTCAATGGGACAAGAGTCAATTAAACACCGTTCGCCAAGTTCGAATTCACTCGATTCGAGAACTAATAAAGCAACCCTTATTAGATAGTGAAAATTCGAAAACTGACTTAGTCACGGTCAGATATTTTATGGGCTTATTTGATTTTCTGGCCAGATTTTGACGGGATCGCTCAGGGCTGGTTTTGCCGCTGTTGATGGGATTATCGAGATCGGACGTGTTGAAATTGCTATTTCCGAAATTGTTGAGGAAACTTGCGAAATCGCGCGTCGACGGGATGTTTATACTTCTAAAATTGTGCATCCAGCTGTGAACATGTTCAAGTGATAAGCGTGAGTGTGTGCTTTAGAATGAAATCGGTACCGATGTGAGACGTTCCAAGCCGTGCGTTTCCAGCCATGCATCGAAAAGTATTTCAACCTGGCCTGGTCCTTCTCGCCGCCCTCGTGAGCGCAGAAGACCTTGTCATCACCAAACCTCTGAGAGATAAAACCTACAAGCTCTTTTCTTCAATCGAGCTCGAGTGCAGCATCCACGGGGCAGAAGAATTCACCTGGGAAAAGGATGGCGACTTCCTCGACGAAGAAAATGTTCAGAGCATCATCAACGATTACGTAAGTAAATTTATATATTTCTGGCTCTTACAAGAATCAAAAGAAAAAATTCACCTCAACTATAAATATCGACTTTGCGACCACGGTCGATGGCGGCAAGTACAAATGCTGCGGGCGGTTAAAGTCCACGAATGATAGTAGATGTACTTCGGCAACCATAAATGTCGCCGTGGACCAAGACACTAATCCAAAACTGCCCGACACTGGCTCTGATGTCCCCGTCGACAACTATTGCTTCAAATACCCCAATGAGGAATGGTTCATACACTTTCATACGTGCTTTTCAAAGATTTTTTTTTCTTTGAAGTTAATTGAATAAAAGGTGTGTTTACCTAAAATCAGCACCCTGGAATATGCGGACGCTACTTGAAATACAAATCAGTGCATATTCAAAGCGAAGAGAGCATCCCGTTAATGGAGAACATCATCAACAATGCTTTCGAGCAGCTGAAGAAACATGGCATTATGACAGAGCAATGTTATGATTACGCACCAAAAGCATTCTGCCACTATCTCCTCCCAGAATGCACTGAGAGCGGGTAAGTCGCCAGCGGATTTCTTTGCTCTGTAATACAGAGTCTGTATTAATTCGAATTCAGAGAAACAAAACAACTCTGTCCTGCGGACTGCGAAATGATGCGCCACTCGTACTGCGCCTCCGTGTTCGAAAACTTGACCATGACAGAAAACGAGGAGCTTTACGTCGTCGCGAACGAGCTGCACAAGTTCAACTGCGAGAATCTCGCCGCAAAGCAAAAGTCACAGGATTGCCTATCGATCGGTCTCCCCGCCGTTCTCAATACATCGCAGACTTGTTACGAGTCGAATGGAATCGGTGCGATCGACGTTTTCGTATCAAGTAGTAACAGTTGATATATTCAGGCTATCGTGGCAATGTAAACAAGAACTGCGTGAAATGGGAAGACGTTCCCAATTTAGCCGACAAGGAAGAGTACAAGATTTATGGGCCATCAAATTTTCCTGAGCTCTCTGGAGGCCATCGTTACTGTCGCAATCCTATAAGTCAGAATATGGTAAAGCTAATTTAAAATAGTGATGAGCCTTTACCTTGATTGATTATAGCACCCAGACCCATTGCTTCAAGAACCGTGGTGTTTTGTTCAAACCTCGACCGGAACCTTAGAACCTCAAGCTTGTGAAGTGCAAGAGTGCCCCAAAGAAACACTTCTGACTAAAGAAGCGTTAATTATCCTCCTGCCATCTGTTGCTGTTTCCCTTGTCCTCGGGATTCTAGTGATTGCCTGGATCGCTTGTCGTAAGCGAAATCCAAAAGCCGCCGCGAAAGGCGACCATCTCAGCAATGTTGATAATCGACAGTCGTCTGAAATCCTCCAGCAGCAGGTTTGATAAGATGAGCATGTGCATGAGAACTAAATTTAGAATTATCAGGAGACGCGAAATTTGAGCAATGGATTGGGCATGCCCAGGCGGATTCCACTTCCGGAGCTCCCCGCCGGCTCTGTTCACTGCCGAAAGGAACTGGGCGAAGCTTTTTATGGGACGGTCTACTTGGCCGAAATTGCGCCAAACCTGCTTTACGCTCCAACACATCCTGTCGCCGCAAAGGTACGCGACTTTCGATAAAAGTAAAATACTCACACAAGAATTCAGTCTCTCGCCGCCGGCTCCAATACGCAACAAATTCACCAGTTCTGGCGTGAAATCGAAATGCTCCAGGAGTTGCGGCACGATCGTATTGCTTCGCTTCGCGCTGTTGTTATCACGCCAAGTTTCCGTTCGATGATATTTGAATACACTGATCTTGGGGATCTCAAGAACTTTTTGCTGAGCAAAAATCCGAATTCTGACATTTACTGCGGCTCGCCAATGAACGCTCAAACTCAGCTCCATATTTGCCTTCAGGTTTGTTCAGCGACAAAAAACCAAAATAATCAACTGTTTAGATCGCTGAAGGCATGGATTATTTATCCTCTGGAGAACGGCCATACGTTCACCGTGATCTCGCAGCGCGTAATATTCTAATCGATTCGCAAATGCGCGTCAAAATTTCAAATATCGGCATCGCGCGAGCAGAAACCGCTTCCGACTATTTCAATCCTCAGGTTGCTGCTGGCGAAATTGGCTCTTCCTGTAGCCCGCAAACATTGATTCCCGTTAGATGGATGTCTCCCGAATCGCTTCTAAAAGCCGATTACACAACGGTAAGGGAAGTTTATCAAGCCAAGTTTACAAGAATCGATTAGGCTTCCGACGTTTGGAGCTTTGCCGTTTGCTGCTGGGAAGTCTACAGCTATGGCACACAGCCATATCTTGGCTACACTGACGAAGGAGTCATGGAACTTGTTATCCATCGCAAGCAAGTTTTGCCATGTCCTGATGGCTGCCCGCTACCAGTTTACAACCTATTAATTAATTGTTGGGCTTACAACGGCCAAGCACGGCCCGTGTTTTCCAAAATCGTTTCGCAGCTGGAAACGCAACATCGAAATCTACCTCAGACCAGACAATTCCACCCAGGTCCACGATCGGTGAGTTCAATCTTTTTCTCTGTGATAAACACTCATTTATTTCAGCATTCTTCTTCTTCCACATCTTCCTTTCAATTCCAGAGTTCGAGGAACAAAAACATCTCTTCCAATATCGATGCTCGATCTCACATTTCACCTTCAACAGAATCTACCACAGTGTCAAATACTCAATTTGTGCCAAATCCGTACGAGAACAGCTGGAAATCATCCGTTCGTCCTCATCCCGCTCCACCAGCAAGCCCAGCGAGGTAGAAAAGCTCTTCTAAAATCGGCCGTAACTAACAGAAATTTAGTCACTCAAACAATCAGCTACGTTATCCCACTGGTGCGCTTTCTACGAGCTCTTCAGCTGGCTCTTCTGCAGGTCACATGTACAATCCGCCCGAGGAACTGCTGCGCCCCCTTCTACCAAATAGCCAAAATTTAATGTACAAAGAACCTCATCAGCCAAGATAATGCCCGCAAATAAGACGAAAACAATTAAAAGCTTCAAGTTCATCCTCATCATTGAATCTGTACATATTTCTTTATCTGTCAATTGTTCGCCAGAAAATACCTATTACTGACCCTCTCACTGGTGGTTCGCTTCATCATTTTCATGAAGCAATGGTTCCATAAAGGTTCACTCACTGTAAAAATATAAATATACGCTGGAATTTCTCTGTGTTTTCGGTGGGCCTCGATCGGAAATAAACAAAAATAAATATTCAAAGACCTAAAAAGTTGTTTTGTTTTCATCACTGAATTAGGCTAAAATTAGAGATCATCCCCTTTTGCCACATCCGCAGCCGGCAAGGTGGAGGATGAAAATTGCCCTAATTATCGGTCGGCTTAAACCGCCACAAGCGTTTTACTTGCCTCCCTTCGAGATATTTTATTTAGAGATACGAAAAGTATAATACTCATTCTGTGGGTCGCCTCTTTTCAATATGTGGGCAGCTTGTAATTGAGAAAACGGCTTAAAATCATTTGTCAAATATTTGATCGTAAATTGCGTTTCTCTTTGCCAGCTGGGCTCAACTCACCGTTGTGCTTTTGCCATTCATAGAGATTTTACGTGACCTGAATGGACCACTACAAAGCCGCCGTTCTTGAACCTTTTTTATCGAACTTCTGGTCCTTTTATTCCGCAGTTATTGTTATCACGTCAAGCGCGAGAATGTTATTGTGCCGAAAAGGGCAGATACGATTTATAACTACAACACGCATTTTATGATCGCCTCATTGATGAATCTTTGTCCAGAAAAAGATCGAGAGGGACCTGGACGGCGGGCCCTGCCTTCGCGTCCCTTTGATTTGCGCCGACGTACGAAAAAATATTATAGCTCCGCTCTTCGTTTGAAAAAAGAGCGCGGGAAGAGAGTCAGACAGAAAACACGCAGAATGGCATCTGGAATACTAAATATTTGAGCAAGATTGCCCTATCAGCTAATATTCACCCGAAGTCACCATAAGGCGTCTAAAAACCCGTAAATATTGTCTTAGTCGTTTTTTTCTGAGAACTAGAGGCCAAGTTCATAGAGAAATCTCTAAAGGCGTTTCGAGTTTTTATGTGGATGATTCAGCGAGACGCGCACCACGCCGAGCAGTAAAATGTGTACTCCCCATGTGAAAATACCTAAAGAGCCCGATAAGAGAGACCGGCCCGCTTTCCCAGATAAAGGCAATGCCAGGAGAGGTAACCATCTGGGGAACCAGGCCATCGCATTACGGTGTGAAAACCAAGTCAGCCTTTATTCAGCCTTTCGAGCTTTCCAGTCCACCAAAATGGACGCCAAGAGCAAAGAGACAGTAGCCAATTATTCTGATCCAAAGATATTCGTTAATCCTTTTCTTTAAGTTTTATAAGCGTCACACCACAGGTCTCCCCACTCGAGTCTCCAATTGCCACAATAAAGCTTTGGACCGATTCAAAAACAAGGAAGCCCCATCAGTATTGATGATAATGCGACTTTTTCTGAATGGGGCAATTTGACTCCCAGAGACTGGCTGGAAGGACTGCGAGGAATTTAATTCATCCCTTTCGAGGGTGTCTGTCCAGAGATTGCGCGGCGGCAGCCTTTCTTTTTACGTTCGATTTTTTGTTAAAAAAGGTCTTTTAGATCAATGTATCTCGAGAGAAAATTCCTGGAGTCCTGAAAAATAACTAGGAAAGAGATGAATAATAAATTGATGAATGCGACAATGATTAGGAAATTTAAGTTGCAATTTTCAGCTCTGCAAAGATAAAATTCTGCTCACGACTAGAGAGTGGCGATGAGGATAACCGTGGATATTGGCATACAGGCACAGCCTAAAATTGCGCCGAAGAAATTCAGATTTATCAAGAACTTTGAGCTTGATAGTTCCAGAGAGACTTCGTGAGTTACATGTTAAGTTACAGGTTTTAAAATGATATTCTAGCATCTGTATCGAAACAATTCGTAGCGCATGCATTGACCAACTTCGCCGTAATGGCGCAGATCCTGAGGAATGTCAGTACTTCGAAGATGTCGCCAACAAACGCAGATTTGGCCTTTGGCTGCTCGATGATCTCTCCGAAGAACTCAGTTATATGATGAATTTCAATGGCGATGATATCTTTCCACTACAGCTACCGGGCAAATGGCTCGATGATAAAATGACCTTGGACAATCTTCTCATTCACGACGGCTACAAATTGTTGTTCAAGAACAAAATTGAAAGACTCCCTATCAAAACGCTCAATGATACCAAGAGTACCCAGCTGGTTGATTTCTCCAAAGAAGTAAAGAAAGTTGTCAAAGATGCGTGTGATTCTTTACGCATAAAAACCCAACTGAGTATCTCTTCTGCATAGATGAGGATCAAATCAACGCACTAAAAGAGACGGCCGCAGTGAAGAAGTATTCAGCAAAAACCGATATAAGTACACTGAAGACGATGAATTCAACGATGAACTCGACAATGAATAGAAGTCAGTACAACACGATGAAGTCTAACCAAACGATGAACCGAAGCAGAATAGACAGCACTATGAGTAGAAGTGGACTTCACGACGGAACGGCCCATAAGAACAAAGAAACTATCGTTACCAAGTCTAAAAATAAGCTTAAAAAGATGGCGGACCGAAATTACACCAAACTGCAAAGCAAACTCATCACCGACGATAAAATTGAATGGCTCAATCCCTCAGAGACCCTCGCAAGCGAGCTTTATCGTTATAGGGAATTATTGAATATGTTTAATGAGAATGAGCATAACCAAATTGAACCAGTGGTAGTCCTAAGAAGAAGGTATTTCTTCAGCGATGCGAATGTAGAAGAGAGGGACCCAACGCAACTGAGTCTTTTGTACAAGCAATGCGTGAAGTCTGTTATCTCTGGCGAATACTCAGTGACGAGAGAAAAAGCTCTTCAGCTAGCGGGATATCAAGCAAAGGCAGATCGTGGACGATATTCTAACGCGACCAAGCAAGATGACAAAAAAGAGTTCGTTAGCGAATTTATTCCTGCTGAAATCATTAGCAAAGGAAAGGTGAACAAATTATATGCAGAGATCATGAAAGAATGGGAAAACGAGCAAATAGGAATAGAAAAGCAAGACAGCCAAGAAGAAGAAGAAGCACAGAATTTCCAATTAAAATGGAAGAAGCAATACATCAAAGTCTGTCGAAGTATGCCTACGTATGGTGTCACTTGTTTCCTGGTGAAGGAAAAAGAACGCGGTAAAAATCGCATGAAGCCTCGACTGTTGGGTATCAGCAAGACGAGTGTGATCCGTTTGACGGAGGACAAGGAAATAGAATTCGAATACCCGCTCGAAAGCATTAAAAACTGGGCGGCTGGGACAAACAACGTCACACTCAATTTCGGGGACTACAAAGGTCTAGAAGGGCTCGATGCGAGCTCGTCCACTTACTCCGTGAAAACAAAGGCAGACGAATCTGAGAAGATTATTGCTCTTATCAATGGCTACATTCAAATCATTCTCGAGCAACGTAAGGGCGGAGATAAATTCGACGACGGATCTGCCAACTGGCAAAAGCCACACATAGCCAATAATGCTCCCAGCAAAGCAAAAACCTATTCTGAGGGACAGAAAGCCCAAGCTGGGGTTCGAGGCGAGCCCGCAATTCCAGGAATTAGCTACACTGGGCATGATCCGAAACAAATCGTCAAGGGAGAACTCCAAGGCGCGAAGAGAGCAATAATGAATCCCAATGATCCTAATCTTCCGCAAGCCAAACAATCCCGACTTATTCCATTCCATACGACTGTACAGCAGAATCTCGATGAACTCCCAGAAATACAGATGAAAGTTATGAGAGCTGTCGAGAGAGCAGACTCCGATGACTATAGCGACGAGGATATTGAATTCAATAAACATAAAATTAACGCCCACTGCGAGAAAGTTGCCGAGTCAACCGCCCAAATTGTCAACAAATTTCCTAACGACAATGATCAAAGTCTCGCCCCAGCAGTTGATGGTCTTGTGTCTGAACTCAAGGAACTTCCGGAACCGATCCGGGCTCTCGCTGCCCTCAGCCTTCCAGATGAAGAAAAATCAGGTTCAATTTTGAATGCTGCTAACGACCTTCTTCAGGCTGTCTCAAAGCTTCTCAAGTCCTCACAGGAGACTGATCAAGATCTGTCAGCAAAGAAACGATCTATACAATCTGCTGCTATCGAAGTGTCTGAAGCTCTCGGGGATGTTCTTAACTGTGTCCGTTCTAGTTCTGACGACAGTGGACAGCGTCTAGTGGAACTTGCATCTAAGGTTCCATTTGCCACACAAGAATTAGTCAAGAATGTACAAGAAGTCATTCAAAGCAAATCAGATGCAGATCTATCAGACATTAACTCACCAGAATCAAAGTTGATTGTCGCTGCGACAAAGACTGCTCATGCAGCGTCGCAACTCGTGACCGTTGCGAAAGTAACTGCACCAACTATTCACGACACTGGCTGTCAGAAGCAATTAACAGATGCAATGAAGGACGTATCATACGCAATCAATAACTTAGTTATGGAAACTGACTGGCTCGAGTCTAACGATCGTAACAAATTGAAAGACGCGACGGGCAAGGTATCACTCGCGCTCGAAGCGCTCATCAATCACATGAAAAAGATCGTCACTCCAAGTACTTCCGCGGAAAAGTATAGCGATCTCTCAGGGCAGGCGCAAAATCTGCCAAACATTCATGACCCCGAAGAGCGAATTGCCGCAGTCAAGGATTTAGCTCAGCAGTATGTTGGAAAAGGTGGCCTCGTGCATGCCCTCAAGCTCGAAGGAGATGATGCTACTGATTCAAATAAAAGAGACAGACTGCACGCTGCTGCCAAAAATCTTATGCAAGCTACCCAGGGAGTTGTAGAAGCTGCGAGATCGATGAACCAAAATGCTGGCTCTGGTGACCTGGACCAAGCTGCTCGAGAGCTTGCTGAGGCTACTGAAGCTGGAATTCGACTACGTGAAAAGCGAGCGACTGCAAAGAGTTTGATCGATGCTGCTAAGCATGCTGCCTCTGCAGCAACTCAAATGGTAGCACCCGTTCGTGCTGGCACCAGGAGCAACAACAACGCTATTCAAGCGAATAACCTTAACATCCATAACAAAGCTATGCAGAAGCAAGTTCCTGAGCTTATCAAGGCAACTAAGCAATTGGAAGAAAAGCCAGAGAGCTCAATCGCCCTGAACGAACTCGTTGAGGCAGCAAAGAAATTCGCACCCCCTGCTCAGAGAACCGTCGGCGCTTCCAAATCCGCCCAGCCAACAGTGACTGATCCCTCGGCAAAGGCGTTGCTAAGAAATGCTACTGAAAAATTAGCTACCGCGATTAATAAGCTCGTTGCGTCTTCTCAACGTGCAGCTGAACTCTGTGAATCAAGTCCACTTGATAATGCTTGTGACAAGGTCGGAGATGTTGTGAAGGAGTTGGGCAAAATGAGGCAAGATGCGGAAAATGGGAGACTCAAGCTCGGACGTGTACCTGCTCACAATGAAGACTTGGAACTTGGAAAGGCTGTTAAACAAAGCATCGCAGTGGTTCCACAAGTTCTCTCTGCTGCTGCCAACTCCGATGAAACAGCATTGAATGGTGCTGCGACAGCGGCATCGGATGCAGCCGTCCAGCTCAAGGACTCTGTGAAGTATACAATTGCGAACGAGTCTGCTGTAAATGCGGACACCGTGGACACTATCAAATGTGGACATCAAGTTGCCGACTCAATCCAGCGATTGCTCTTTCTATGTCGAGATGAGCGTGAGAACGACTCGCCAGACAAAAAGAATAAACTTCTCGATATGGCGAAAGAGCTAACTTCAGCGCTCTCGGACATGTTTAATTGTATCCCTGGTACGTAGTAGTTTTATCGTTTCTATTGATTTTTTTGCTTTGGGTGGAAAATAGTATTTAATTTTATTTTAGGCCAGCGAGAAATCGAAGATAGTCACAGAATGATGAAAACTGCAACAGACAAGTTCGATCAGCTTGCTGATCGTTCTCAGCCTGTTGGAACTTATTCCGCTGCTGCGCGCGATCTGAAAATTGCTGCAGAAGATACCAATCAAGCTGCTGGAAACGTTGTTGGAGCAGCAAGTGGAGAGTTACAAGATGTCGTTCTTGCAAGTCAGGAATACGCCCAAGATTATGAAAGACTCGTCGAAGCGGGCATCAAAGTTGCAAGCCATACAACTGGCAGTGATCGTCAAGACGTTATAGATGAAATGCGCGAAGTGTCTGCAGCTTCAAGCAAGTTGCTAAACGCTTCGAAGGATATCGCAACTGATATGGGAAATTCGGGCTACCGAATAGCTCTTTCCTCTGCCGCAAAAGGTGTTACGGATGCTATTAACGATCTCATCTCGAAATGTGTTGCTGCTGCTCCTGGCCAAGCGTCGTGCGAGTCAGCTATACGCAAATTGAATAACGCCAAAGCCGCGCTCAATTCTGACATTCTTCCAACAGGAGCGAAAAAAGACTATTTTGCGATTTTGAACGATATCATAACGGAGCATAGTCGCTCACTCGGCAACTCCATGAAGAGCCTTTACCAACATGCCAAAGAGCAAAACTCAGAAGCCTTCAGCCAAGATGTTGACGCGACGACGAATACTCTGCTGAAGTTAACCGACGAGGCGAGTGCAGCTGCATACATCGTCGGGGTTTCTGACCAAGGAAGTATCCCTGGAAAAGAGGGAGTTGTTGATCAGGTGCGTTTCCAGGAATGCTCGAAAGGGCTCTTCCAAGCCCTTGATGATATTGCATACGACTCTTCTCAAGATAAGTTGATGGCAGCAGTTACAGCCGTTGCTAAACAGACAACGAACCTTTGCTCGATGTGTGCTACAGCGGCAGATAAAGTTAACCGGCCCGAACAGCGTAATCAATTCAAGCAAGGGGCACGGGAGCTCGGACAGGCGACAACTGATTTAGTTGCGAAATTCCGATCTTACTCTCAGGATCCAAATGAAGATAGGATGGGAGATATTGGAAGTGCTTCCGTCCAGCTCAAACAAGTCACGAACAATTTGAGTGACTTTGCATCGTCGCCTGAATTCTCCAACGTTGCCCCGCAGTTATCTTCAGAGGCAAAAGAAGCTCAATCACCAATTATTGATGCTGGCAAGACGATGCTAGATGGAGGCTCCGAAATGATCGACATTCTCAAAAACTACATTCAAAATCCGAAAATGGGAGTTGAAGTCAGCCTTCACGCCGCAAGTCGAAAAGTGTCTGAGTCAATCAAAAAGATGATCCAGGCCATTCGAGAAGCGGCTCCTGGTCAGAAAGAGTGCGACGAAGCGATTAGTTCCATCAACGATGCCTTCCGTGAGCTCAACAACGCAAGTATGGACGCTATGTCTCATGGACTTGATGGAGAAACCTTCCCTGGAACTTTCCAATCACACACCAAAGAGCTTAACCATTTGATGAGCGAACTCGATTCTTCGATTTCACCTGTTGCTAAAGCCGCTAAATCAGAAGCGGTTGATCTAGGGCGCGGAGTTACGCAGATGGCTTCACTTGTCGGAAACATTTCTCTCAGGTATTTATCATCTAGCAACCTCAATGATAAATTTTAAATTAGCACCGTCTCTGCTGCTAGTAAACTTCCGATTTCTAAACAAGATGACTTGATAAGCTACGCTAAAACGGTCCTTGAAAATCTATTGCAACTTGTATACAGTGCTAAGGAATCTGGAGGAAATCCAAAAATCAAGACTGCTCACAGTGAAGTCGACAAAGCATGTACGATGCTAAGGGAAACAATCGTTGAATTCCAAGAAGAGATCAATGTTTCACCTGCGTCTACGGCCAACAATTTGATTAACGTCGTTGAGCAATCAGTCAACGGTTTAACTAATACTGGTAAGTCATCAGTGATAGTGGAAACAACAAACCTTGACCTGATTAATATATAACATTTTTAGCTGATATCACAAAACTTTCACAAAATCAGCTTCAAACGAATCTGACGAAAGAATGCCGTGAATTGGCACAAATTTCACAAAGTGTTAGCACTGCATCTCCTGCTGATATCCCAGAGCTTCAGAAGGACTCTGTCGCCATATTCCAGCGACTCTGCAGTGTTTCCACGCATGCGCACAAGATCGCTGATAGCGAAGTAGCTGCCAATTCTATCCAAGGGAAAACTAGGTAAAGAATTTTTTTAGCTTTTGATGGTAAATGGTCTCTTAGAACATGTGGAAGTTCACTCATTGATATGATAAACGCTTCTCTTATTTACTCTGAAGATCCGTCTGACTCGAACAAACGAGATCTGCATGAAAAATGTCGAAGAGTCGCTGACGCTGTCAAGGGTATTATGGAAGTTCTATCGGTCTCTTCTGCCTCCGCAAAAGCTACCCAAAAGCTTACATCGAAAATCGACTCTATTAGACAGGACGTCGAAACAGATATTCTCTTTGCACAATCAGGCACACTTGCCCTTGATATCGGCGAGAGTTTCATGTTCGAAGATCTTATGTGCGAGGTCGCCAAGTTTTCTCGAATGCTCACTGAGGACATACGCTCTCTAGTTCAAGCAGTTGAATCGTCAGATAACTCTCAGTTGACGCAAGCCTGCGAGTCTTCTGGAGAATCAATAAACAGATTGACAGATACTATCCGTGCTACATCCAAGTTCATCGCTAAAGAAGGTCCAGATGCCCAGGTTGCGTTGCTCAACGTGACCAAGGGTCTTGTAGCCGCCTTATCCGAGCTCATTAATGCTACACGAGTCATTAATGGACAATTCAGGTAATCGACCGAAGATCACTTTAAATAACTCAATGCTAATTCTAGCGAGGAAAATGTTGGAAAGCTGAAGTCTTCATCAACGGAAACTGTACGAAACGTTACTCGTCTCATTCAAACAGTTCAAGTTATCCGAGAAGATCAGTCTAGAGGACCAGCGGAACTTATGGCTTCGATAAGCGCGATTGAAAACTTCAGTGCGGTAATAATGTCATTTTCTAAGGATTACAATCAATATTCCTTTAAGAAACTCAAGCATGAGAACGTGCAAGTCGTCCAGGGTGGATCCCCTGAGCCAGAGGCCGTGATCGCAGCGACGAAGCCATTGACAATGGCGGCTAGTCGCGCTGTTGCCGTTGGCAAAAAGGGAAACACAACGGAGATAATTTCTTTGTGCAGGTAGAGCCGTAGTTTACAACTGAATGGATTTTTGATCACTTTTTTCTAGCGTCTCGGTTGATGTTGTAGATGGACTTGTTCGGTCTGTGGTTACCAACGCTTCCGTAACACCATCCGAAAAGTTGCGATCTGAATTGCTCGATGAAAGTTTTAATATCATTGGAGATTATAAATGCGCTTTGACAGCTCTCCACGATCGCTTGGTCAATGGTAATCGTAGCTTTAAATGCGAAGTTTAAAGTTGTTTTAGCTGATGTTGCACTTGAGTCTGACATAAGTCACTACTCTCAGCGGGTCGCTACTGGAATCGCTAGGCTCTCCAAAACAGCTCTTCGACTCAAGGGCGATGATTGGGAGGATCCAAACGATCCCAACGTCATTGCTGAAAAAGAACTTCTCCGTGCTGCCAACGCTATTGAAGCTGCTGCTTCGAAGCTCTCAAATCTTACCCCTAGAAAAGAAGCTAACTCGAAGGTACATAATATAATTCTTTTTCGTGTCATAAGTTTTCTTAGGCCGATGAAAATCTGAATTTCGACGAGCAAATTCTTGATGCAGCAAAGTCGATTGCTCTGGCTACTAAGTTGCTTGTTCAAAAAGCATCAACCGCCCAGAAAGAACTCGTACTGGAAGGCCGGTTGCAAGTCACTGGTGTCTCAAAAGACAAAACGGGACAATTTAGTCAGGGTCTTGTCTCAGCTGCACAGATGGTCGCTCGAGAAACAGGTTCTATGTGTGAAGCTGCAAACGATCTTGTCAAAGGAGAGGCATCTGAAGAAAAGTATTTTATTTAATCGAAAATTGCGATTCACAATATATTTTAAGGCTCGAAGCAGCGGCTCAAGGTGTATCAACGGCTACTGGTCAGCTTCTTATAGCATGCAAAGGTAATGTGGGAATTCGGTCTTCGATAGTTAATCTCTTTTGTAGTCAAAGCTGAGCCTGATAGCGAAGCGATGAAACGACTGGATCAAGCTGGTGCTGGAGTACGAAAAGCTGCTGAAAACCTTGTGAAAGCGTCGACTGCTGCACGAGAAAATAAAAACGAAGAGGTAAACTTTTCAGTGTTATCAGTTGATAATAAACAATTATGAAGATGGCGACGAACTTTCAAAACAAAAGCGACTTCCAAGTCAAGCGAGAAGAGCTCAAAGCTCGTGAACGACTTCTCAAGGCAAAACGAGAAATGGAAGCAGCCGAAGCTGCACTGCGCCACGCGAACGAAGAACGCTACCGTCGCCAGACAGCCGAAGAAGAGGAACAAGCAAACCAAGAATAACATTCTTAGACAGTACAGATACAACGACAACGTTTCACCTCAGAGTACATTCAACGGCTTCAGCTCTTTCCGACTTGCATAGCATGCCTTTCTATGCACTGCCTTCTCCCTAGAAGAAATATTTTCTCCTCTTCTTTTATTTTCGACGACATTCTTTGTCGTCATTCTACTGTACAAAATTCTTTGATAACTGTAAATGAACACCTTTATATTTGTATGCAATCAGTTTGTTCAATCATTTTCTGACTTCAATTCCAAGTAGATATTCAACCGACATGTAATATTATAAAATAACCATTCCGCCAATTTATTTCTTTACGACTTGTCAATACAACAAATGAAAAAAGCAACAAGAAGTATTCACCAGTCTTGCATTTATTGATCTTTCCTTGACGGCCTTCCAAGCCTCGATTTTTTCACCTTCACGCCTTTTGCTTCTAACTACAGCATCAACTTTACTTCAAATTACCCTCGTTTCTTTATCCCTTCATTTTACCATGCAGGACATCAGCTTGATTAACCGTTGACCCTTGCAACTGTTCTCTACTGTTCAACAAAAATGAAAAGCATGTGCTAATTATTTCCTATCAATTTCCTTTAATAATCTACAATCCTTTCAATTTCCTTACTGATTCCTTAATATAAGTTTTTGAATAAAACATTCTTTACGCAAGTTTTTTCTTTCAATATCGCAGTGATATCAACGAGGAGTTTTAAGAAAATATGGGAATAGAGAATTATGAAGAGAAAATCAAATTAGTGAAGAAAGTTGGAAAATGTAAATTCAAAATCGAAAAGGGCTTCGTGCCAAACATGAATGTGCCAGCTTATTTCTTTTGCAATGGGGCGCTCGAGCCACTAATGTTCGACGAGTACAAAAGCTCGTTTTCACGCGCTGACGGGGGCGGCGGTTTTTTGCCTGCTATGAAACAGCTGGCAAATGTTGCTGCTCTACCGGGAATTGTGAATGCTAGGCAAGCGGTTAGAAAGCCTTTTTCAATTTTTCTAAATTCGGCATTAGTATTGGCATGCCAGATGTTCATGCTGGATACGGTTTTGCGATTGGGAACATTGCAGCGTTTGATATGTCCGATCCAGAGGCTGTCGTATCTCCTGGTGGGGTAGGCTTCGATATTAATTGTGGTGTGCGTCTTGTTCGTACGAATTTGCACGAGAATGATGTCCAGCCAGTCAAGGAGCAATTAGCGCAGGAATGATTTCTGAACAGGCGTCGAGTCACTTCTTTGAGAAATGTTAAAATAGAAATTTTGAAAAGGCTCTATTCGATCATATTCCTGTTGGAGTGGGCTCCCGTGGTGTTATTCCAATGAAACCAAAAGACCTCGACGAAGCGCTTGAAATGGGTCTCGACTGGTCATTGAGAGAGGGCTACGCATGGGCTGAAGATAAAGAGCACTGCGAGGAGTACGGACGCATGTTGGGCGCAGATCCGAACAAAGTATCGAAGAAGGCTAAGAAAAGAGGCTTGCCACAGCTTGGTACACTTGGCGCGGGAAATCATTACGCAGAAATTCAAGTCGTCGACGAAATATTTAACAAAGAGGCTGCAGACAAAATGGGAATCGATCGAGTGGGCCAAGTTGTAATTATGATCCACTCGGGATCAAGAGGATTTGGTCATCAGGTTGTGAATGTCTTTTTCATTCACTGAGCATAAATTATCATTTTAGGTCGCGACAGATGCCCTTCTCGAAATGGAAAAGGCTATGAAGCGTGACGGAATTCATGTCAACGATAAGCAGCTCGCTTGTGCACGCATCAACTCTACCGAAGGACAGAACTATCTTGCAGGTTCCTTACCAGATTTCGATAGGGTTTAAATTCCTCCTCAGCAATGGCCTGTGCTGCGAACTTCGCCTTTGTCAATCGTTCGACAATGACCTTCCTTGTTCGTCAGGCATTTGGAAAAATATTTAACACAACTGCAGATGATCTAGACATGCATTTAATCTATGACGTGTCTCACAATATCGCAAAGGTGGAAGAACACGTGGTTGATGGGAAAACAAAAACGCTGCTTGTTCACCGCAAGGGAGCCACTCGTGCATTTCCACCACATCACCCACTCATCCCTGTTGACTATCAGCTCATTGGGCAGCCGGTTCTTATCGGCGGAACAATGGGGACGAATTCTTATGTGCTCACTGGAACACAGAAAGGCTTTGACGACTGTTTCGGGACAACATGCCATGGAGCTGGAAGAGCTCTGTCAAGGTCAAAATCGAGACGAATTTTAGATCACAAAGTATGATCGATCAAAACTCAGGTGATCACCGAATTTTAGGATGTGTTAGCGGGACTCCAGGCAAAGGGGATCTCCATCCGAGTTGCATCTCCCAAACTTGTGATGGAAGAAGCACCAGAAAGTTATAAAAATGTGACGGACGTAGTAGACACTTGCGATGTGGCGGGAATCACGAAGAAAGCAATCAAACTTAGACCTATTGCTGTCATTAAAGGATAGACATTTATGAAACTTCATTAGCTAACTTTAGTCTTTTATCGTTATACAAAAGTTCATTTCCACTAAAGGATACACTTTCGCTCGTGAATCTTTCATCTATTCAGATGGCTGAATGCGTTTGCGACGACATAAAATACCTGAAGAAAGTAATTATCGAGTTGAAAGGTGCAGAAAATTTATAACAGAAGTAAAATAATTTTTCAATTAAGATACAGCATCGACACAGTCCTGCCCTGATCGTTGCCCAACAAAAAACTCAAACACAACTAAAATAAAAGCCCCCGAGAAGAGAATTATAAAACGCCGAAAAGTTTCTTTCGAAAACAAGCGAGAATATGACCCCAGCCTCTACTAACCTAATGTTCGTACATGTAACATGTCTGTATTTCTTCCTTCTGTTTCCTTGAATTACCTCAACATTCCTGAATAAATAACTTCGTCTATCCTTTTTCTCATTAGAATGACCGAAATAAGACCGTTTTCTTGTTTTGATCTTTTCAAATTCAACAAGGTGAATTTGGATCCTCTAACAGAAACGTACGGACTGCCGTTTTACCTCCACTATCAAGCCAAATGGCCAGAATATTATTTCACCGCGGAGGCGCCTAATGGTGACATTCAGGGCTATATAATGGGAAAGTCTGAAGTAATGTACTTTGTTTCTTAAATGAATTGTTGAACGTAGTTTCTAGGGAAAAGATTCGATGAGGCAATGGCACGGTCATGTCACTGCTCTTACGGTGCAGCCTACATATCGGCGACTCGGCCTCGCTAGAAAATTAATGAACCTTTTGGAAGAGGTGTCAGAAAAGAAAAATACTTGGTTCGTAGGTAGGGAACTCTCAATATTTATCAATTTGAAAAAGATCCCCCGTTAGAGAAAGTCACCTTCAAAAGAAATAATCTGTTTTATTCCATCTCGATAAGTTATTCTAGATCTTTTTGTCCGCCAGACGAATACAGTAGCTCACGAGCTTTATAAAAACTTGGGATACACTACGTACCGACGAGTTCTTAATTATTATGGCGCCTCTTCGAAAGATGGACTGGAAGAAGACGCGTACGATATGCGGAAGTCAATGTCAAAAGATATTAACAAAGAGACGACAGAGCCATTGAAGCGTCCTGTTCGGCCTGATGAAATCGAGTGGCATTGACCGTTAAATTGGCTTTCTTCTGCATCTTTTCCTGATACTCGCATTGTACCGCGAATCGGTCCGCGATTGTCATTTCTGACTGACTAAATTTCCAGAAATAAGCGCATTTGATAAAGATAGGGCATTAGTGCTACTTCTCAAGGGAAATAAAATTAGTTAGTCAGGAGTGATAATCAGAGTTTAAATTTTCCTCATTTTGTGATATTATTTTCGATTTATAAAGATATTCTGAGAAATAATTTTTTTCTGATTTATAAGCTAATTCTGGATGAGCTACTTGATCCTGTCTTAATTAGAAATGACTCGATACGCAAGATACAAAGGCAATAGTCATCGGCATGAGCACAAAGGAACAGACTGGAACGATATGAATTTGAGCAAAATGAAGGCTAAGCTTGAAGAAGAAGCAAAAGCAGCTCACAAGATTGAACGATCCGAAAATCGTCGCCTAAAACGACAAGAAAACAAGAAAAGTAGGGATCGCGTTTGTCGGGTATACTTACATGTACTTATTAGACAAAATGGTCTGCTTTAATTGTCGGAGACCAGGACACGGCGTCGAGGACTGCCCCGAGAAAACAGAAGGCATGGGAAAGAAACTAAAAGACAGAGTGTGCTTTATTTGCGGAGAAAAGGACCACAGAGCGCTCAATTGTCCGTCGAATCCAAGAGGACTTTATCCAGAGGGTGGAAGTTGCAAATTTTGTGGAGACGTTACACACTACTACCATGCTTGTCCGAAGCGATTAGGTATTTTGAGATTGGTACTAATTGCGTATTAGCTTATTTTATAGGGAAAGAGGATAATCCAGAGACGGGAGAAGTCGCGACGACTTTCAACCCGATGGAGAACACCGAAGCACTCGTCATAAAAGAACGCAAAAAAGAAGTTGTTACTGTTAAAAAGAAACCAAAAGTAGTACGCTTTTAATCAAAGTCTGACATGTGTGTGTTAAGAATGGAGGGTCCTGTTGTGAAGCACACAAAGGCGAGATTCCGATCATATGCTTCCGTGCAGCAGGCGTTGAGACAAGGAGAGTTAAGAATTCTGCATGATTCGAGTCTATGAATTATACTCTCAAATCGAATCTGTTTCTTTATATATTTTTCTTTAATTCCAAGAAAGCAGGAAAAGCGTGGAGCCAGTACGAGTGGACTGACCCACCAGGAACTCAATATCCAACAAGAGAGAGGAAAATGGTCTGAAATAGTCTATTTCGCCAAGGGTTAAACGCATTTCTTTTTAAAATATGTTTGTTTCTTTGTATTGAAAAAGTAATGTTCTAATGTTCCACTTGTAAAACCCTAACTAGTCAAGAAGCGGATGAGTGCGTCTTCATGCAGCAAGGAAACATGATATTTACAAGTATGTCTTTATGTCTAGCTCTGATTTGTAATTTTCTCAAGACATGGTTACTGGCGATAGATATAACGTGGAAGCAGGGGACCGCTTATTCTTACCAAGGGGAACGCTTTATTCAACCATGACTCATCAGGTATTCCCTCGTTTATGATTCATGCTGATAGTTTTACACGCACTAGGGGGCGTCCTACTACTGGTGTAGCAAGAAAGTCGAGCCAAAAGCTGCCAACGACGCCGATGAAGTACCTGCGAACGCTTTACCTGCCGATTCTGAGACTCCGTGGTGACTTTTATGACTCTGTGCAATTTAATCTTTCCAAATCTGATCCTCTCTCATTTTTCATTGATTTAGAAATCGGTTTTCTTAAATGGTTTCTTTCCAAAACCTGCACAATGAAGAAGAGGAGTCAGAAACGAACACTGGTGACACGGAAGATGAAAATCTCATACAGGTGCATATTTTTTACTCTTTTTTGTATTCTATATAAACTATAATTTTTATTTCTTTAGTCGCGATTTAATTTTGCGGACAAAATGAAGGAAAAGAACTTGCCTGCTGCTCTTGCCACTAGTGTCTCTATCTCTCTTCTCGTCGCCGCCTGTTTTGATCCGGCGGTCATCAGGTAGACCCGATTTGAAACTCTAATCTTAACTTCAACTTTTAAGTTTACATGGTGTCGACCCAGAAAAATGGCCCCTGTCGTATATTGGCCTATCAAATGTCTGGAGTAATGAACTGTATCTCGACGGTATATCCAAAGGTATGCTTTTGTGATAAGAACCTATGCTAATTCTTACTATAGTCGCAGTTTACGGCTCCTTGCTTATGATCTTCGCTCTCGTGCTGGAAATTAATTGCTTCATTATCGAAGCAGGTGGTTTTACAGTTCCTTTGTTCGTCAAGCTTTTTCGTCGCTACAGTGTTCTTCATTTCTTCAGCGTCTCTTTAATTATGATTTCGGCGGGCTTGTGGTTCGCTTTCTCCGAATCGCTTGTTCAAGACCTCTCTTCTTATCCACGCTTTAGAGGATCAAAGGTAATCAACCCATCCCATCCTTTTTTGCAGTGGTAATTTAGGTTTCCGCCGATTTTTCGCGTGCTTACTGGTACATGATCTCGGCGGCTGTCACTGCCCTGCTAGGAGCTGCACTCAACGTCCTTAGAATCTACGACGACTCGCTTGAAGAAGACGCGCAACGACTTATTCCAGAAGAATTAAGGTATTTCAGTTCGAGTTGTCTCCGTTTAAATCGCATCCAAGGCATTCTTATTTCATCATAACAAGACCTCCCGATAACCCTCAGCCGCCGCCCTACTCTGCACTTTAGCATCTATCTCTATCCACAGCGGTATCAAGAAAGTCCTTCAATCGGTATTCTATTTTTCTGTCCCTGTTCAATGCTGGAGTTTCTTTGTGCAGTCTCTTCTATCGAATGAACTAACCTGTATTATTATTACTATGTTCAAAATTGTACAAGTTTTCAGCAAAATGTACATAATTCATATAATTCTCCAAAAGGCTTTCCATTGACCTTCACCCCAATTTAGACCAAGTATAACTTTGCTATGCCGAAATCGCGACGAGATAAGACCTATTCTCTCACCCAGACGAAGAAGCAAGTCGGCCTTGAGCACAAAGAAAAGGTATTGTGCCTTATCAAGTCAATTGTGTTCCAATGGCGATGTTCAGATTGTGTCACAGATCCAAGACTTCGTCAACAGTTACGAGAGAATATTCATTTATTCGCTGGAGAACACTCGCAACAATCACTTGAAGGAGTTGCGCACTGAATTCAAAGATGACTCTCGATTTTACCAAGGCAAAAATAAACTTTGCCAAGTCGCCTTTGGAAAGTCAAAAGAGCTTGAAACCGCAGAAGGCCTTCACAAGTTCTCTCAGAGCTTAGGTAAGCAATTTTAACTTTGATAAAAGTGATGAATATTTCAGTCGGGGAAACTGGACTGCTCTTTACCAATAAAAAAGAAGAAGAAGTCGTCGAGTACTTTAACAAGTACAACTCTGCATCCTTTGCTAGAGCTGGAGAAACTTCAGAAGTAACTGTCAAGGTACGCAATAATCAACAACTCTATTTTCTAAAAAATACCCAGGTTCTTGCTGGGCCATTGCCCCAGTTTTCATTTGCGATCGAGTCGCACCTTCGTGAACGACTCAAGCTGCCCACGATGCTTAAAGACGGAGTTGTAACATTGATGAAGGATTTCTTCCTCGCGAAGGACGGAGAGCCTATCACTGCGATGCAGTCTCGTCTCCTCAAACTTTTTGGTTCGTTTATTACGGAACTTTTTGTATTAAGACTTTTCTAGGTTGTGCAATCACAAGCTTCAACGTCAAGCTAACGAAAGTGTGGAACAAAGAGACCGGAGAAGTATCCGACGTGAATGCCGTTTCATCGTGGGACAAAAGAACGTTCAATTCTATTGTCGTCGAAGGAGACGATCAAAGGTACTTTTTATTTAAGCATTTGATATCCTATCACTAGGGCTTGGCAACCTTTGTATAGGCCTCAATCAGGTTCTTGAAAGAGGTTTAATAAAAGCCGCGTCGCCATAATTACAATCTCAATCTTATTTTTCGTGACTCCCTTCGAATTAATTTACAAAATTTAAATTAAAATTAAATTTTATTTCCTCTCAAACTAACTTAATCAATCTGAAAAACAAGCCAGTAAAAGGGAGTTTACACAGGGCGTTTTGGCAAATAATTGATGACATGATAATTCCTAAACGACCTTGGCACTATTTAATCTTAATAATATTTTTCAGATGGGCCTGGTTAGAAGATGGTGAGATGAAAGAGCTCATGAAAAAATCGAAGAGAGTCGAAGCGATGGATATCGAAGAATCTGATATGGGCATCGGAGAGATGTTTTAAAAACATACACGAGTGAGAAGCAAAAAAAAAAAGAAACTGTCCCCCTGAGCGAAAATTCAATTGATCACATTGAATAAGATCTGTTCTAGAATGGTCCCTAGAAATTTTGTTTTTTCTCTTTTTCAGGCGAAATTGAATTCAGATTGATTTGACCCCGCGCGCAGACACGACCTTGTATAATTTTTTATCGATTCAGCAGAAAGCGCGCACTAAAAATTCTCTACACAGCGTCTCGTTACATCCATCAAAATTATACGAAAACATGAAGTTCTTAGAAAACCACAATTTCGATACTTTATCGTCCATACTCAGCGTTTTCGAAGAAGATTGTCTCGATGGATCGAGAATTGATGCACGACTGGAAAGCTACAGGTACACTTTGATAGTAAGGCGTTTTCATCATTTCTGATAGCTGCAAACTGACGTCCGAGGACAAAAAACAGTTTGGACGAAGCATACACAAAAAAGGCGTAGATCCACAAGAGCTGACTGCACTTAGCCCGCCGTGCACAGGCGCAGTGACTCCGCCTTCTCGCGTCCGAACTTGGAGTCAAAGGTAAAAGGAACTCGACCTTCTGAATCGTTCTAAACCCTTTCTAGTTCCAACGATGGTGTGCAAATGGTCGGCGCCACTTCACGAAAGACACTCTGGTATCTAAAATCGACTCTCAATCATTCCTACGGTCTCGACTACGACTTTTCCACTACTGAAGCGGATGACTTCGCGGTCGAGCCCAACTTCTTCTGGGTCAAGAATTTCATCGATTCGACTCTTACTGCAGCACTTTCCTCTAAATTCAATAGCCACGTTCGACAGCAGGTAAATCCACGTCTTTTTTTATATATTGAAGGGATCCTAGCTTCTGCTGAATCTCCCACTTCTAGCGTAGTTTGCCTGCTCTCTATATCTGGACGAGTGAAGAAAACGAGTAAAGTATCTTTGACGTCTGTATTTCGAGCTGGAGTAAAATAGAGGTTAATTCACGAACTGCGTGAATTACCGAATGAAGAGAAATACACGGCGGCGACCGAGCAAAGCTCGATCTAGATAAGCAAGTGACCTTAGGGGACGAGGGAGTCTAACGAATCTAAGATCCCAATACCCCCCATGAGACTGAAACGTCCTCTAAGGCCAAAGTGTGTGATTTTTGCAGGAGTATAAGCGTAAGATGAGTAACATGGCAGGTTCGAAACGTCGAGGCAGTCTGATTCGCGTTAAAAAACCCTTTTTTGGGAAAAAGCTTGAATCAGATGCGAAGTTTTCGTGATGTCCGAGCGGTGATGACATGAAGGAGTAGCTGCACATGTAGAAGAACTCAAAATACGTCGGCGACGGTAAACTGTGATAATTTCCGTACCTTTTCAGGCCCCGGTCGATGAATAGGGGACCTGAGTGGGGCAGTACTTGCGCTTAGTCGTATGACTGACCCGAGTTTGTGCCGATGTTTAGAGGTTCGACGGGCCTCGTTTCACGGTGTGCTCGTTTTGTATGTTTCGGGAGATGAGCTGCTCCAACTTCGGTTAAAGTCGCATTCGGATCGGCGCCGGCTGAGTATTGACGATCTGGTGAAGACTTTGGACGGGTTCTTTTCTTGCTGTTTTCAGTTGCTGAGCCCTCAACTACTGTTGAATTATGTTTATCGACTGACATATGGCTATTGTCGGGCGCAGCAACCTCCGAAATCACTGTAGCATCAGCTGACATGTCCTCGGCAGTTTCATAAAGAGTACCACCAGAGTACCAGCGATCTGACGGCTCGGCTGGAGCTACCGACGAGTCCAAAATAGATGTAGCGGTTGTATCTCCCAGATTTTCCATGTCCAATCGGCGTCTACTTTCCAAAATAGGTGATAGAGATGATCTTGGCGGTTTTTCCATAGCAACCATCGGAGTCGACGCGACCTGAGAAGATTTCCTCCCCCCATGCGACTTCGACCCGGACTTTTCCATCGGTTTGGAAGTAGGAACAGGCGATTTTTGTGGGACTTTCGACTTAACGATTTCGGTTAAATGTGGGAATACGTACTCGGCCTCGTAGTAATCAATCCAGCGTAAGTCGTGATTTCGTTCTGCGGCGTGAACCACGTGTTCTCGATGGATGAAATCACGTTGTCCTTTTTTATCTTCGACCATGACGACCCAGTCGTTGCTCGAAACGGCTTTCAGGGGACCTACCCAGCGTTCCTTCTTGCTTTTAGCGTCGGTCAGGTTTTCTCGCTTAATGTACACGACAGCGCCAGCGGGGATTGGTCTCGGCTTAGGCTCGTTTTTCAGCCTGTGCTCCATGGCTCGGTCAGCAGCTTCCATCGCAGTTTTCACAATGGCTTCCGCCGATTTCGCTAAAGCTCCCACATTGAGACCAAACACCTGAGGTGTTTCCGCTGTCATTTCTGCGCCAGTAGAGTGGGTGAAAGTACTTTTTCGGCCAAACCAAACTTCTCGCGGTGAAATTTTCGTGCTTTTGTTTTTCACACTATTGAGCGCGCGCATCACGTGGGGAACGCAGTCGGCCCAAGTTTTTCGACCGGAAGATGAGTTGACCATGCAGAATAGACTGTTTTTGATAGTCCGATTCGCTCTTTCTGCGAAAGCGTTTGATTGAGGGTGAAATGCGGTACTTATTGTATGTTTTATCTGGTTAAGCTTACACATTTCGTCAATCACGCTTGCGCAGAAGTGGGTACCTCTGTCACTGTGTAGATGTTTCGGCAAGAAATCCATGGGAAGGAAGACCTTGTAGATGAGCGCTTTTGCAGCGCGGATAGCAGTGTCGGACCGCGTCGGAATGCACCAAGTGTAGCGAGAGAAAGTGTCCGCCACCACCAAATAATACTTGAATCCGCCAGCGGGAGGCATACAAGCGAAATCGATCTGAATCGATTCGCCAGCTGTTTTTCCACGACGAAGGGTTCCAAGTGGCGGTTTGGTACGAGTTCCAGCAGATCCTTTTCTGCGTAGGCAAGGGACGCAGCTGTGGACGTAGTTAGAAACATCGTCTTGAAATGAAGGCCACCAAACGTCCTCTAATCGCTCTAAAGTCCGCGGCTCGCCCAGATGACCGGACAAGTCGTGAGCTAGAAAGAGAAAGTGACTTTTTACCGCTTCCGGTACCACCGCCCGCGCGCCAGATTTGAATTGACACATCAAGCACCCGGTAGTGTTATCCAGGAACAGAGCTTTTTCCATCTTGAGTAGAGACGATTGTCGGTGGTCGGAGTCCTTCACCAGCGATTTTATGTCCAGTGGCTCCTTACCAGATTCCAGAAAAGTGATGATTGCACTCAGAGCAGAGTCCTCCCTTTGATAGTCCAGAATGTTATTATAATTCGCTGACACCAACGGAATCTCCATTGGCGCCGCGATAGCCTTGACGTTTACCTTATGTATCTTCACCTCTGATAAAGTGATTTTCTCCGGAAACTGATTTTCGTTCCAGAAAGGGACGAAGACACGTACTGGTGAATTCTTGTCGATTTCGTACTCGCGACCAACGGGAAACTCAGAGTCGTATCCAAGTGATTTGTCGTCCTCGCCAGGTCTGCGGCTCATAAAATCGGCGAATTGATTTTCTGATCCCTTGATGTAGACAATGTGAAAATCGAATTCTTCCAATCGGCTTTGCCATCGGCTTATTTTAGAATTCTTGAACTTCTTTTTGTGTAGGAAGATCAAAGATCTGTGGTCTGTGTGAATCTGAAAGAATCTACCTTTCAGGAGCTTTTCCAGTCGCTCGCAGCACCAGACAATGCTAAACATTTCCTTTTCTGAAGTGTTCCATTTTCTTTCAGCTTTGTTGAAGGTGTGGGAAATCGCGCTTACTAGGTGCACTCTCCCGCCATACTCTTGTAGCAGAACACCACCCGCTGCGTACAGGCTCGCGTCTGTGTAGAGGTGAAAAGACTCGTCAAAGTTAGGAAAGCTTATGACAGGAGTCTCGGAGAGTCGTCGTTGAATTTCCTTGAGCGCCAAATCCGCTTCTTTGGTCCACTTGAAACAATTTGTTTCGTTCGCCGAATTTCGAACATCGTTTATGGGTTTCATTCTGCTCGAGAAGCAACCGGATGAAATAGCTTCGCCCATTTTTGTTTCTAGAAAACCTCGGATCCAATTCAATGACCCGATTAATGAAGCTAACTCCTTTTGGGAGCGTGGGGGTTTCATCTGACGAAGGGCGGAGACTTGCGCAGGGTCCGGTTTGATTCCTTCTTCGTTGATGATTCGGCCCAAAAGTGAGCTTCTGATTGTAGGAAAGAGCACTTTTCGCCCTTGAGTTTAGCGTTAAACTTGCGGAGCGCGATGAATAGGTTTCGGAGAGTGTTGTAATAGCAGCTGAAAGACTTCCCAAAACATACTATGTCATCGATATAAGAAAGCATCTTCTTCCTGGTGGGGCTTGAGTCGAGAATCGTGTTTACGACGCGCGAGAATATATTCCCCGAGCATCGATAACCGAAAGGTAATCTGCAGAAGGCGTAAGATTTCCCACCCCACTGGAAGGAAGTCTTATACCTATCGCTTTTCTTAATAGGGCACTGCCAATATCCGCTCCGCAAATCAACTGTGGCGAAATACTTGTTGCCCGGTCCAATGTTCGCGATCGTATCCTCCATGCTCGGAAGATGATATGGGTCGGATTTGTCGGAGAGGCATTTGTTCAAGCTGTTCTTGTAGTTGATGCAGAAGCGCATTTCCCCAGATTTCTTAGGGATTGGCAGAACGGGGCTATTAAACCCTTTCTGGTCCTTGATCTCTTCTATTATTTTCGTATCGAGCAGTTCGGAGATGTGATCAGTGACCTGGCCATGAAAAGCTTGCGGAATAGGGTGTTGACTGATGTTTCGACTCGTACCATCAGTCGGGATTTCGATCTCGAATGGGAATTCACCCATTTTTTGACCGTCGCAGCCGAATCTGTCGTCGAAATCCAAACACAGCTCGGCGACCACCTTCTTTTGCCCCGGGTCGGCGTTTGCTGGTAGGGTAATTCCGAGTTTTTGCTTCGCTAGCTGAATGGGGCACCTGGCTGCGTTCTTGTTAGGTGCGTCCAGCTTTGGGACTTTTGGTGGCGGTTGAGTGCGGGATCGATCGCTATCCTTGACCGCTGATCTAGTAGTCAAGTATTTCTTGATTTTGGTCCGCTTCACTCCGTCCAGCTTCACCACTTGAGTCTCAGTTTGTGTGAAGGCTTCGTTGTAGCAAAATGAGAGAGTACGATTCTTATTGTCGACTGTGAAGCTGTCCGTCATCGCATTCTCTAGTATATCGCGGCCCAGTAGACTTGGGTATTTACTGCCTGGCATAATGGTGAGATTCAGGGAGGATGCAGGGCCACCATTGAATGATAAGCGGCAGGGAAGGATACCCATCGGCTGCTCGGCGGGAATATTTGGGCTGAAACCGGTGACCTTGAAGGGACAGGGCTTCAGCATCTGGAGAAATTCGTCGGGAACGTAAGCAGCGGACAGACAGGAGGACTCGGCTCCGCTGTCGACTTCCATCGATACGTCAAAACTTTTAGAGCCCGTAATGATGGTAGCCGAAGCGAAATAAGCCTTTCCTGGTCGCTTCTTCTTCACTGTGTAAAAGTGAACGTCGAATGGTTGGAAATCTTCAACGTTCTTAGTCGTATTTATCTTCTTGGATTCTGGTTGTTTATCGTCTTTCCCATCCTTAGAATCGTTGCTGGCGCGCTTAGCATTCTTCTTCTTTTTGTTCTTATTTCTGTTGAAGTGCTGGGAGACGGTCGCGCTGTCAACTCGATTCTGTCTTGTGGATTGGGCGAGACGGCAGAGTTCGTTGATATCGTAAACTTTTGATAGGCTTGGAAGGATTGCGTTGAAAACGTCTGGTTCTTCTTTCCTAAGATTCAAGTACAGCATCATCGTCGAGAATATGTCAAATATTTCATCGACCCCGGCGTCGGCTGACTTCTCTTGTCGGTAAGAGTTCAAAGTCGCTTGCTTCGCCTCGTTCATCTTTTGCAAGACGTTGGCGGTGTAGTGTGCAAACGGCTTCGAATGGTCGTATTCGACGTCGAAAACTTCGCTTAGCTTCAGTAAGTAGTGACTCTTCGCGGCGAATGATTTCTCTAGCAGCGCCTTGGCCGATTTCCAGTCTTGACAATTCAGAAATTCGGTTCCAAGTGAGCGTTCGATGTTCAAGTCGAAGTGGCTGTACACTGCTGCGATGAAAGGCTGTTCACGTGAAGGTCTGTCGCGGACGTAGGCGCGGTGATAAATGTCGGCTCTGCCCAAGAAGGTGTTGAAAGATGTGTTGCATGCGGCGTCCAGCTTCGGCAAGTCTTGGACGTGACGAGACCAGGTAGTGGCCACCCATGCTTCTTCTCTCATTGTCGCATTCGTAGAGTCTTTTCCTTGATCGAGCTCGCAGGTAAGAAGCGTTGTACTGAGCTGTTCTAATTTTACTCTGCTTTCTGTGATCAAGGGCTCTAGGCTTGGCTTTAGTGATTCGTCATTTCGCACTTGTTCTTCGAGGTAGTTTACTCGATCGTTTATGCTTCTTATTTCGGTGACGGTTTCTAGCAGTGATTTGTTCGCCGCCATAGCTCGAAATATATCGGCAGTAAGGGTTTATGGGCCTTGGATTACCTTTCAGGCCCTCAGAAAATACTGCGACTAAAAGTCGCAATATGATGAGCTGAGGTGCCTTTTGCGCAAACGCCCGACGATTTCTCTGTCCAGCGATTGTCGAAATTTCAAGGTCTGGTCCAAGGGTCGATTCTTCGTAAACTTCTCTCGATTTTTGGTGAAAAGTGGCGAAAGAATTATGTTTTTCTCAGTATTTTAGGTTTTCCCCGGCGTGCGTGCGTGGTTGCGTGGGCGCGACTTTCGGCGCGTGGGTCGTGGTGGCGCTCGTGCGGTGGCGCTCGCTCGGGGTGGTGTTGGTGTGGTGCGGAAAATTCTCTGAGTGGAGTTTCTCCGGCGGCGCGGTGGCGGTTGGTGATTCGGTTCCCCTCGACTCCGCTGACGGCCAATCAGCGTCCAAGTTGCGAAACTTCGGTTGTCGATGGCGGAAAAATTTATCTTTTCTCCAACGGGACTACTCTGATACCACTGAAGGGATCCTAGCTTCTGCTGAATCTCCCACTTCTAGCGTAGTTTGCCTGCTCTCTATATCTGGACGAGTGAAGAAAACGAGTAAAGTATCTTTGACGTCTGTATTTCGAGCTGGAGTAAAATAGAGGTTAATTCACGAACTGCGTGAATTACCGAATGAAGAGAAATACACGGCGGCGACCGAGCAAAGCTCGATCTAGATAAGCAAGTGACCTTAGGGGACGAGGGAGTCTAACGAATCTAAGATCCCAATAATATTTTGATGTATTTTGTAGCTTTGGGCATCGATCGAGGCAGAAATCGTTCCTCAAGAATGCGAGATCTACTCTTACAACCCTGATTCGTCGCCAGAAGAAGAGGTAAAGCATCTATCACTTCGAAAATATAATTGTTTTGGAAAAGCCCACGATTTGGTCCTTTCAATTCTTCTTTTTCAACAAACGACTCAAGCGAATCGTGTTTTTTAGCGCTCGCTCCGTAGCTGCCGCATTCTGCGTTATCGACGATAACGCCAGTGATGACGAGAGCTACGAGTACGCTTCTGGTAAGCTCACCGATTAGCCATTTCTTCATCGAATCAATATTTTTCAGTCGAGGTTTACTAAACTCGCTCCTTTTCCTGTTTCGCGGGCAAGTTCCTACTTCAGTTATTTCTACCACACAAAAGCCTGCATTGGGATCTTTCAAAAAACTCATTCACAAAAGAATAAATTCTGCCCCTTTTTCAATTTTCGTCGTTTTCCATGAGTCAAAAACAAAAGTCATTTTCGCGTTTCTTTTTTTCAACTTGCTACTTCAATTCTTCTTCGATCCCGATGCAGGCGAATGTCTTCTTTTCACCGTTCCTGGAGTTTCTTACAATTTTGACTGTTTCACATTCAATCAAGGAAATATATTCATTCTGTTCAAGAAAAACACTCGCAGTTAATCCGTCTGCGACGGATCGTCTCTTTATGCATCCACGATTTTGACGACGCGTATCGCCATTCTTGCAGGGCGAAAATACGCAATGCAAAGCAGGTTTATTTAAATGTACTGCTAATTACGAAAACGGAACGTGTATTAAATTGCATATACTCGAGCTCCCATTGTTCCACCTGTTGACTTTGCATGTTGTTTACTACGGACTATTCTTTTTCCAAAATATTTACGTTCTCCAAGTTGTTCTATTTTCACTCCCGCGCAACACCACACTTATAAAGATAAACGGATGTTTTTGAGGAACAAGCTCAGTAGAATTGAAGGCAATACAGTCATCGTGACTGTCTATTGCCCATCTTCTCGAGCTTATTCCCGAAGCTTTCCGTTGCCCGCCGCCGAAACTTTTTCAATGTTTGCTTTGAATAACCGCTTAACTCTCGTCGTGTTTTCAATATACTCATTTTAAAAACCCCTATCAAGGTTGTCGCTTTTTTGCCTGAGCTCCTGAAAAATAGCTCTTTCTGAAAACTTCCAGCTATTATCTAAATAAACCTTGACTTTCATTTTCCTTTTATTTGAATTATTCAAAGTGGCCAACTGATGCTTCAGAGATAGTCTGGTTATGTCGCGTCAAGAAATCCCGCGAACAGCCGTTCGGTCAACTTCCAAAACCACTCTTCATAATCGGTTTACGAAATTGATGATGCTCAGGCCAAAGGCAGACGAAAACAAAGTGAGTTTTTATGAAAATTTTGATTATTTTTATTGTGGAATTGGCAACGTTCCATGTTGATGATATGTTTCAGTACACAGCTGAGCCGTCGAAGCAGGGTTCAAATAAAAACAAACAACTGGCTGCAGACTTCGAAAAGAAAAGCTCTGTCCAGGCAGGCAATCCTATGTAGATTATTTATTACTCTTCCTTTCCAGGCAGCTCTTGCAGAAGAACGAAAGCAGGAAATGCGACAACGACTAGGCTATAATTCCTACCATCAGCGTGGTACGTTCCAAAGAGGACGTGGTCGAGGTCGAGGTGGCCGCGGCGGCTACTCAATTCATCACACAACAAATGGTGATCACAGTAAGTTACATTAGAATTATCCTGATGACTGACTGACTTGACAGAAGTCCAGGGGAAAACGTCGTTTTCGCGAATTCCGTTGTCGCAAGAAGAATTAGATCAAGAGCTGGACGCCTATGTGCAAAAGCGCAAGGCTCTTCAAGAGCAGAAAGAAGTTGAAGCTAAGAAAGCAAAAGTCGAGGATGAAAATGAGATCAAAGAAGAAGTTGACGTTAGCCAAAAAGAGACTGACGAAGAAGAAGAACCAACGAAGAAAGATGCTATCAACGACCAGGTTGATAGTCCTGATCAGAAAGTTGAAAATGACAACGAAGAGGAATAAGTCTTCCTTACACTTAATTACTGTAGATTAATTTGTTGTACTGCCTTTTCCGAGAATATCTTGAATTAACTGAATGGTTGTAAATCGTAAGAGACAGTTACAGAAAAAAGGCTCTGATGACTTCAAGAAAGAATACCGACAAAGAAATCTATCTGGGCAAAGCAAACTTAGAAATATTTCACTTCATTGTAAAACTGTCACAACTAAACCATTTCAGAATTTTTCATTATTTTTTTCGTTTCTAGCGAATTTGCTATGATAAGGGATGTCAAATCTTGAATCACATATGTTATTAATGTATTTTGATCATAATGTACGCTAGGCAGTTTCCATTTTAGATCTCATTTTAGAATGCATTGGGATGACATATTTCATTCGCCGAAAGATCCAGCTCTTTTCGGAATGACAAGAATGCTTTTTGGCTTCTTGATGACTTTAGACTGCTTTGTTGAGGTAGGCCGAGTACTAAAAGATAAATTACTCTGTGTTTATAACAAGCGAGGACTTCATTACGCAGATCAAAGATGGAGCGACGAAGGCTGTCAATTTCCACTGATCAACGGGCTGAAACAAATGGACCCAAATGTGATGATTATTCTACAGTTCATTCAAGCGCTCGGCGCTCTTTCAATATTCATTGGTTTTCGTGTGAAGCTTACTGGTAAATGGTTATTCATAGCATTTCATTTTTACATTGTTTAAGGCTGGCTTTTCGTGATACCTTACTGGTATGCATTTTTACTCGACAAAACGCACTGGAACAACCATTCCTATCTCTTCGGTTTAAGTGGTTTGATGTTCACGCTAACCGACTCCGACAGAGCGTTCGCGCTCTCGGCAAACAACAAAATGATTCAAAACTGGAACTATCTTATCATTCGCTTTCAAATTTTCATTCTCTACTTCTTTGCTGGACTAAAGAAGACCGAGGAAGACTGGCTGCTTGGCTATTCGATGGGACGATTAAGTAAGCACTGGGCTTTTGATCCATTTCGCTCGGCGGGACTGTCCAATGAATTCATCGACCGCTATATTGTCCACATAACGGGTTTTATGATTGACCTGCTGGTTGGACCAATGTTGCTCTTCGATTGCACCCGTCCATTCGCGATATTCGCCCTTACTAGCTTTCACTTGATGAACTCGCAAATGTTTTCAATCGGCATGTTTTCATACGTCTGTCTTGCCACAATGTGGATATTCTGCCGGCCAAACTCACCGAAGATTCTATTTGGAAAGATACCTATCCTTAAGAAGTTGGTGGATACAACACCTGCAGTCAAGGCTGAGGAAAGGTCTAGTTGGCGAGTCTCGTTCTTTTTGCTCTACACTGCTATTCAGATATTTTTACCGTACTCTCATTTTATAACGAAAGGATACAATGGTTGGACTGAGGGAGCATATGGATACTCGTGGGATATGATGATTCACTCCTTTCAAGAGCAGCATGTGAAAATATCATACAAAGATAGACTCACGGGCGAAATTGGATATCTCAAGCCTAATGCATTTTTGGGTTACGCTCGAAAAAGATGGACCATGCATCCTGACATGCTAAAGCAATATGCTGATTGCATACACGAGAGATTAGAGGCGAGCAATATTACTGACCCAGAGCTTTATTTTGATGTCTGGAAATCGATGAACCAACGATTTGTCCAAAGAGTATACGACCCAGATATAGATATTGCGCACTACAATTGGTCACCGTTTGAGAAGCCGAAATATGCCCTGCCACTGCTCCAGGATCTATCGAACTGGCGAGAGAAACTGAAGGTGAAATAAAAGCTCTTCGAAGCTTTACTAACTTAATTAAGGAGATGAAAAAAGAGATACAGGATGATGAGATTGATATCAGTTTCATCGCCGACTTCCCGGGCCTCAGTCTCGAGAATTATTTAGCGCCTGACCTGGACAACACGACTGTCGAGCTTCTAGGCGGAATGATTGAGATAAACTATGACGACCAAGAGAATGAAGTGACGAAAACAGTGCCAAAGTACTCGCCGAAGATTGGTGAACGAGTAAAATTGCCAGCTGGCGAGTTCCACTCGATAAAAGTAACGAGCGAAGAGCCTGCGATCTACATGTATATCTACCAAAACTCTACTGACGTGCGAGTGAGAAAAGCTTACAAGGCTTTAGCTGAAATCGACGATCACATTGCGAACGATCGCCCCCTTCCAGCTAATCTTACTGACTATTTCACTGACGAAGAAGAAGAAAAGTGGCGTCAATATTTTTTCCCGAATCAAAACATTAGTGACCATCATAACTCGCGAAAAGAAGCCGTCGTAGCATTCCGCAGGAGTTTCTATGCAAGCGCACTCGCCTGGCTAGACAAGAAATCAAGAAATGTGTATAAGGGGATGATGGTTGTCTCCTATGCGATTTCAGATTTGATGTCCGGCGAAAATACTTTCGCCGATGAGGTTACATACATAGAAAGGCAAATGGAAATGGATGCGTGGCGATCTGCCTTCCATAATATTTATCGGGCTGAACTGGAGAAAGTAACAAACCAGAACAGTCAAAGCCAAAGTGACAAAAGTGAACTTTAGAAAACCTATCCACTGAAAAAAATTCTGTACTTTCCGACTGCTCCTGTCTTCCTTCATGTCTTTCTAAATGAAAGAAATCGTAAATACTTATCACCGACGAAGCTTAACCATTAATTTTATTGATTTTTGTGAACAGTCTTCCTTGATATCAATCAAGAAATTCTCCCAAATTTTATCGTTTTCCCTACTTAATTAACACCATTTACAATTCTTTCATTTCAGGAGACTATTTTTGTGCAATGATGATTCTTCCAGTACTTACACTATTCGATTAACATAACTTTTATATTCAAACTAATTTTCAGATAAAAAAGGCAATGAATAGCGGCTGGACGCTTCTGATCGAGTGCGACGTCGACCATCGTCCAGGAGAAACCCAGCTCGATAAAAACATCAAATTCGAAAAGGCCGACGACTTCGTTTCCCCTGCTTCGAGCATTACTATTCCTCTCCAGAAAAATCTTGATTCAAAGCTTTTGCTAGCAAAAAGTAACGAAATATTTGTGCTTTTTTGAATTCACTAACGACTGCTTTCAGTACCCAAAGCGGATGCGATTAATCGTCCGCTTGAAATGAACCGCGCCCTCAGCGAATTGACTCAGTCGCGCAAAATATTCAAAATTCTGTACATTTCTTCCAGTGCAAAAAGATGATATTACCGTTTTATTTTAAGGTCAACACTCAATAAAGTATAAATTGACGGCATGTTCAGTATTTCATACTCGTATGAACTGAAAACTAAAATAAGGGGGATCTCGCCTTTCCATATTATATCGAAGCTAGTACTTTTCTTAATACATAACAAACTGTGGATCTTTGTGCAGTTTGAATACTGGCTGAATTTAGCTATTACTCTGATTTAAAACTTTTGATTCAAATGTCTTGATTTCAAGATCAAGCCATCACTTTAATTTATACAATGAAATAGTACCCGATCTCTTTACTCATGGGTGAATGATCCTTGCTTCTTTCTGTGCAAATGACTAACCAATATTCTTCCATGTAATTTCCTCTCGCGACAAGCTGCAATTTGCAGTGAAACTTTGAACCTTGTTGATTTTTACCTTCTCGTGTTTTATGATTATAAATAAAAAATTCATATCTTGAAAGCTAGAAAACGCAATCCTAGCCTTGTCTGCGCGTCATGTTTATTAGCCACCTCATATGAGAGCATTCAGAAGTGATATCTTGACGCGCTTCGGGTTCTCTTCTCATTCTGCGAGAGAAAGTGATGTTTATTCCGAGCAAAAATATTGAAAGGATGGTTTGGTTAAATTCTCTTTATGATCAAGGTTATTTCGCATTTGCAATTTTAAGCAATGCAGTATTTTGCATCAGCCTATTTTGAAAATAGTATTTTTTTGATTGATTTCGAAAGTATTTCTTTCCAAAACTTGGCAAAAAGTTTTTCTGGCAAGCTAATTCTTGCAGTTCCTTCTGAAGGATGCATCGGGCAACGCGCTGTTGACTCAATTCTTTCCGACGAGGGAAACAACTTTGAGTTTTACGGATCCTTCGATGCGACATCAATACAGCCCATGGTCGGCCGCGTGGAAAACGGTCGCGTGGTGACATGTATGGAATTATTTTTCTCGCCGACGACGGAAATCGGTCTCGTTCAGCTCAGAGCGCCGCCGCTATCGAATTCCAGTTTCTGCGCCGAGTTTATTCCTTGGTTCCGCGCATCAGGTTAAGAACTAAACTTTTGAAAACTCAAGAATTATTATCTTTTTCTACGAAAGAGATTCCTGACGATTTTATTCTAGGCTTCGAGAAGTTGATTTTACTCGCAGGAGTCCAATGCTCATTCCCACTACCGCAAGTAGTCGTCGTCAGTCCTGAAGATCATGAGAATGTACAATACATCACTGAAGATTTCCTCAACTCCTCGATTCGTCGAGCTGGCTTCTCAAAGGTAGTTCTTCAGACTCTTTGTTTTTAATCATACGTTTCAGAAAATGGTGGCTCAACTAAACTCTGTCGATTTAATAATGTCGCCAAACATTGCAGATCTTTCACATATCTTGCGAACTTGCTCCTCGCTGTATAAAGTGAAATGCGCGGATGCACTTTCTTTAGAAAAACTTTCTGTGCAAGATTCGGTCTACTAGAATACCTGCCATTCTTCTTTCACATTACAAAGATATATTGACAAATCCACCACCAATTGTATAAGTTCGTTTTCAGATGACAAAAATGGTATGAGGTCGTCGGACAAGATGCAAAAGCGGATAAACGGCCTGCTCAAAGTGTTCTGCTGCGGGTCGATGCGAGAGGCGAAAAAGGGAAGCTCGAGTGAGCAACCGCTTGTGTTGAGCACGTCTGTCTCTGGCAGTCAAGATACCGTCTTTGAAACGAGCGAAAATAAGACGAACCTCTCTGACAAAGATAAAAACAGCGCCTGGCTATCACAGAAAAAGTGGCACGAAGTGCAGCGAGGATTAAGACAAACGGTAGAGTCAACAGTGGAATAGACCCAACAAAATTTAAATATTCAGCCATCCATTTCTCATCAAGATTTGACGACGAATGGAGATGATTACGTGGCGGTAGACAGGGTAGAGGAGAACCAACGGGCACCTTCTTGTCCAGAAAGATATGCAAACTCGCCCCCTGTTCCGGACCGCTCGCTCAAGCCGAAAATAAACTCTTCGACGCACACACCAAACTCGCCTATCTCTCCACCCGGCACAACTGGCAGTCAGTGCAGCCCCAATGGAAACGATAAATTCTTCCCAGACTACCCACTGATTATCAATAAACCTTTTAGGAACGGTTTTGAGTTTTGGACGCAATTCAACATTTAATAATATTTAAAATAGCATTTTAAGTTAAAATTTTAACTGTTAATCAACCAATACGGAATACTTCTTAACCAAAAGCAGTGTCAATAACACTTCCGATCAGCCTACAACTTGCGCGTATGTGAAAGTAAACGGTGAAGCCACGAGCGACTTACACCGATCTCAAAAACAGTCACGCGGCTCAAATTGATTTAGCTCATCAAAAATTCCACTGAAACGATTTTTTCGCAAACCTCTTCACCAACCTAAATTGGTGCTACATCGGATTTGATCCATCTTCTTCCGTCAAGTTCTATTCATTTTCAAATGAGCTGTTCTTTCTTTTTTATTATTTCAACTTAAAAGGTATTTCATTTTTCCTAGAAGTCTATTTGCACATAATTCAGTTATATCTCAGCTGTACTATTTGTTCTTCTTTATGAATCCATTCGCACACCTTGACAGAATGCCAAACACTTTTTTATCTGACTTTGACTTTTAGTGTCGCTTTCTAATTTTCATTATTTTCGCGCTTTTCATTCTTTTGTCGAGCCCAATCATAAAAAGTTTCAGAATCACTTCTCTCTATCAGCAGTCAAAAACAAATATCATTCGTTACTAAATAACTGCTCATTTAATTCTTCCCACAAGTTCCAGGAACCTTTACTTCACTCCTTCTACGCTCGGTCGATTAGCGTCTCCGAATAAAAACTATCAAGCTATGCGTGTTGGTTTAATTGAAAGAGATACAGGATAAGCACTATAAAAAGTCAGTAAAATCGAGTTACAATGTGGTGTAGTTGCTCGGCACTTGGCAGTTCACTTCGAACTTCGAAATCCAAATCGAATCTATTTCGGTTTCATCCGCATTTTACTTATGCCCATAAGTTATGGGTCTTTGTAATATCCCGGTAGAACCTTCCTTTGATGTACGATTCCGCCCAACCCGTTGTCGTCGACGCAGTCTGGACATTTCTCGTCATATTCGTTTTCGTGAATCGAACTATAAAACTAGTCTCGTGCAGTTTGCTGTTGGCATACCTGCGGTCGTGCAGTTGGGACTCATGTTATGCGTCGTTATATTTTTGTTGATCCCGTTGTTGCCGCAAAGCTCACCAATGCAGCCGCACTCTCTCATTGAAAAAGTGTAGCTAAGCAAGGCTAATGATCATTTGCATACATTTAACTAATTGACTATCAGCAATTTAACACTGTAGTAAGTTAATATTGAGCAGCCAAGTCCCATAGCAGGCAATTATCGCAAAGAGGAATACAAAATACAGGACAATGATAATGTACTAAAAATTCATATCAAAATATTATCTTCCATTTCTTCATCATAAGACCATTCGGTACGTACCCAAACATGAACTTCCCATCGCTTTTGTCTCTTGAGATGTTCTTCTAATTTTTCTTCGAAGAGACCGATCTAAAATGTATCCATTCTTAGTAGGCTTTCACGCTCTATTAAGAAAGTATTTCTACATACTGTCATGGGTTGAAATGACTTTCGCCGCTTCTCTTCGTTCATCTCCATCAGCTTTAGCATCGGTATCTTGCCGATGATAAAACTGAGACCTTGGCCTCAGTTTTATCGCTATCCAAGCTTGAATTTTTCCCGAAAACAAGTATTGAAGTCAACATCGTTCTAGAGATCTTTATTGGGAATTTTCCTATTTTGACGCTGTATTCGAAAACAGCATCATTTCGCACAAAACGCGTAACTGAAAAATATCCGTTTTCGTTCAACGCAGGTGCAATTGGCTGTCAGGAATTTGAATCCGGCCACACGGACCCGGCGATCTCTCGACGAAGCCAAAAGTAAATTTTTCCTTTTTCAGAGAATGGCAGAGAATGATGAGGATGTATGGCGGAAATTATCATCTTACGACAAAGTTTGCCACAAAAACTGGAAGGCTAGAAAAGCGGGCTACGAGGAATTGCTAAAGGAAATTCCCTCTTATGCACTAGGTAAGACAAAATTAATAAAATTATTTGCGAAGGACATTTTAGAACCTGAAAAGGCAAAGAAATACTGCCCCTTATTGAAAGGCTTCGTCACCGAGCAAAATGAGCTGAGTCGGATGATTTCATCAGAAGTAGCCAAATTGGTGCTCGATTATGCAACGACAAAAGATGCGGCAAAGTATGATCTCCTTAATCTTACTATTTTTGATATTTTACTTTAGGCATGTGTCGGCAGTTTGCGATGGTATCATTTCGAAGTGCTTCAGCTCGAAAGTATCTTACAACCGGAAAAACATTTTCATTGACAACTTTATTTTAGCCCAAAACCAAAGAAAACGCGATAGAATGCTGCCAACTGCTTATTGAACACGAAAAGGCCGATGATGTGTGTTCGAGTTTGCTTTCGGGGACTCAAAACAAGAACCCAAAGATTGCCGTTGCCTGTGTGGAGGCCCTCACTGCGTGTTTATCTTCATTTGGATCGAAAATCGTCCAACTGAAAGCGTGCCTCGCGGAGATGCCAAAGCTCTTCCAACATCGAGATAAAAACGTGCGAAATGCAACGAAAGATTTCTTCGTTGAGGCTCATTGCTGGATTGGTGCACCTGTTAAACACGCTTTGGAACGAGTTCCGAAGATCGAGCAAAGTATAAAAGAGTGCGAAGACGCTTGGAAGGACCTTAAATCAAAGTCTAAGCAGAAAAGGTTCTTCAAAAGTCAGCAAGCTGAGAGAGAAGCCGCTCAGGCTGAGTCGGAGGACGAAGCCGAGGAGGATGATAATGATGAGGAGGAAGTGGAAGTCGACGCTTGGGAGTTCGCTGAAGAAGTCAACTTCCTGGCTGAGCTTGGAAAAGCACGCTTCGGAGAAGATAAGATCGACGCGGGAGCAGCGATGGCTTCCAAGAAATGGAAGGAGCGCGGAGAAGCCCTCGATAAAATGGCACTCATTTTAATGCTGGAGAAAGGGAATCCGATTAAACTTGCATCTGGGGAGTATCAATCTGTCATGACTGATCTGAAAACGCTCATAAAGAAAGACACAAATGTTCTGCTGATCATCAAAGCGTTCAAAATCGTCAAACGAATGGCAGAGGCAATGAGAGAGTCCTTCAAGAACTTCGGGCCGTTAATTCTACAGGAAGTCCTTGCTCGCTTCAAAGAGAAGAAAGTAACAGTTCTTGAAGCTGCTCGGGAGGCTGCAGACGCTGTTGCGAAGACCATCAAGTTTCCTGATGCTATTATGGACCGAGTGATGGAGTCTTTGGAGGATAAGAATCCAGGAGTACGCGCCGAGACGATGTTGTTTTTGTACCGCTGCTCAAAGCCGAAAAAGGTTATCTTCCCAAAAGCCTTCATCAAAGAATTCATGGCGAAGGTGACGAAAAACATCGAACACTCTGATAAAAATGTCCGAGATGGAGCCTATAAAATGCTTGCTGTAATGAGCACTAAGTTAGACGTGAAGATAATGAACACGTTCGTCAGCGATTTCAAAGAAGATAGAATGAAGCTTTACCAAGGCGCTGTAGAGGAACTCAAAGGTGCCCCTAAAGAAGCCCCAGAGAAAAGCCCTGTGATAAAGAAAGCTCCTGTTGCAGAGAAAAAGGAAGTCAAAAAAGAGGCACCTAAAGGCTCCAAGACTGCAACAAAGGCCAAAAATCCGTCGAAAAAATTTACAGCGAGCAAAAAGGAAGAAGTGACCGAAGTGTCTGGTCCACCAGCAGAAGCAGACATGGATGAAGATTCCGCTGTAGAAGCTTGCAACGGCTTATTCGGAGAAGAAACCGTCAAGAAAGTCCAAGAGAAAAACTGGAAAATTCGACTTGAAGGCTTACAAGAGGTTACGGATAAACTTAACCGATTTGAACCCCAGGAACTTAAAACGCAGGCCATTTATAAAGTCTTATCGCTCGCCCCTGGCTTCAAAGACACCAACTTCCAGTGCAATCAGGAAAAGTTCAAAATCATACGCACTGCCGCGCAAAACCCCAAACTCTCACAAACTTCTATCAACATTGTTTTCAATTACTGTCTCGACAAAATCTCGGATGTCAAGTGTGGAGTGCTAGCGAAGGAAGCTTTATCTGGTATGGCCGACATCGTTAGCTTAGCTTACATGGCAGAACGAGTGTTACCTGCTGGAAATAAGCTGAAGAGCGTGAAAAACGTTGCAGAATGCTGGGCATGGTTTGCAGACGCTTTACCACAGTTTGGCTTCGGAAAGTTGGATATCAAAATGTTCATTGATCAATCCAATATCGCCCTTGCTCACTCAAATGCAGGAATAAGAACGAAGGCGATTGAAGCAATCGCCTCTGTTTTGCGCTTTGTCGCACCTTTGAGAGCCAAGTATGATGACCAAAAAGATGCGATCAAGGTTTGTTCTTCGTTAAAATTACTAGATTCCTAATTCTAAACTTCTAGACACAAATCGACGATGCACTCAAAGCCTTCGATGGACCTCCACCTCCGCCAACGAGAGGTCCAGTGCTCCAGGCCGCTCTGAAAGTAGGTCCAGGAGGTGACGGAGAGGCCGATGAGAATGCTGAAGCTGATGAGGATGATCAAGACGATCTCATTCCGCGCACCGATATTTCTTCCCAAATTACATCCTCCCTCCTTGAAATGATGGAGGACAAGAACTGGAAAATGCGAAAAGAAGCGCTAGACACAACAAAGGCATTATTTGAGAAAAATAAATTCATCACAGACAGTCTTGGAGATCTTCCTGCATCGTTGAGCAAGCGGTTCACTGATGTCAACAAAGTCCTCGTTCAGACATCCTTTGACATCGCAATTCTTATTGCAGCTGCTCTCGGCAAAAAAGGCGCAAAGACTCACATTAAGTCCTTCGTTGTTCCTCTAATTGGCGCATTAAACGATTCGAAGGTTCAAATCAGAGAAAAGGGCGCCGGTGCACTTTCGTCTTGGCATGAGCTCGTCCCACTCAGATTCTGGTTTGATGATGAAGCAATTGCAGGTCTTCTGGTCGATGCCAAAAAGATTCACCTGCGGTACACGTTTCTCGGTTGGCTAGCAGATAAGCTACCAGACGAGAAAAAAATCCCAAGAGCAGGCATAGAGGCTTGTCTGCCCCATGTGTTGGCGTGTATGGAAGATCGTGACGGAAAAGTGAGAGATGCTGCTCAGAAATCGCTTCTTGGTTTCATGATTCACACGAGTTATCAAGCTATGGTTAAGTTGGCCAAGTCTCCTAAAACACGCGATGAGCTTGACAAGGCGAAAGAGTTACTCCCGAAAGCACCAGTACGCGTTGTTCAGGCGGAGGTTATTGATGCTGGAGATATAATGTCGGCGGCATCTTCAAAGCCTAAAAAAGCTAAGAAAAAAGCCCCTGTTCAGGAAGCCGTTGAGGATGAACCTGTTGTCGAACAAGAGGAACCCAAGAAAAAAACTACTGTTAAAAAGAAAGCACCTGCTAAGAAAAAGATCGGCGGTAAAAAGGTCGAGGAAGAAGATTACGGCGATATTATCACTGGCACTGAAAAAGCAAAGAATCAAAGAATAAAAGAAGACTCTAAGCTAAAGCTTCTAAAATGGCACTACGATCCCGGAACTGCTTGTCGAAAAGAACTTATCGAGCAACTTAGCAAGCAAATAAGCGAAAACTTTGGATCTAAATTTGCGCCCTTGATGCAGAAGAATGACTCCACTGCTCTTGCAAAAGTGATTGGCATATTAGAACCCCAGCCACTTGAGTCAATAATTCCCGTACTTGATATTATAACACGATGGATGACAATCAGGATGAATGAAAAGAACACGACTATCTTGACAAAAGTTCTTTCATGGCTTTCTGACCTGAGCGAGAAGCTAAAAGAAGCAGAGTATGAGATGACTCCTTATGAATCTGTTGCGTTCCTGCCTCATCTTATCAGCAAACTTGGTGAATCTCGACAGGAAATCCGCTCAGTAGTGCTTTCTACGCTCGTTGCGTTAGAAGACAGCTGCAACGACAAGAGAATCTTCGAGTACCTTCTGCAGGGCGCAAAGTCTAAGAACTCGCGACAAAGGACGGAGTGTCTGAATCAGTGTTCGAAGATGATTGCGAAAAGTGGAGTCGAGGTAGCAGGACCGCCAAAACAAGGCGCGTTAAAAGAAATCGCTGCCCACATTGCTGACAAGGATCAGAATGTCCGCTCTGGAGCTATGAATTGCTTGGTAGAGGTTCATCGCATTATTGGCGACACTGTCTATAGTGCTAAAGTAATAGGGCGCCTTGGCGACAAGGAGGAGTCATATTTGAAGGAGAGGATAAAGCGCGCTGCACCTGCACCTAATACAAACGAGACTGTGACGATGCCCCCTCCGCAGGCTCCTCCCAATTCTAGAAAGAAAGCTCGGTCACCGACACGGCGAGGAACGATAAACATCAACCCAGCTGAAAGTGCTCTTGCACTAAGAAACGTCGAGGAGAAAAATGCTCAACGACCAGTCGAAGTTAATGAGAACGCCAGATTCAGACTTGAGCTTCCTCCGGCGGCACCAACTCGTATCTCTCGCGTAAGGTTGAATCCGGTCGAGTACGACGACATTGCTGATGACATTGAGCCAATGACTACACGGGACTCATCCAATGTATCACCTGAAGACACTATAACAGCCCTTGATCATCAACTAGGAGTCCTTTGTCTGAACGAAAAACTTCTCGAACATTTGATCTTCAGCTTTGGCTCTGAAAATCAAATGATCATTTCTGAAGCTCTTTGTGTGTTCGAGAAGTTTTGCGACGTTGGAAGCAAAAACATACCTCCAGCAAAACTAGAAGAAATCATTCTCGCGTTGTGTCAAGCGATCCAGAGAGCACTTCTTCCCTCTTTGCAAAATAACAATACAAGTTTGTTAAAAGACTTCATACTATTTAATAATAGTTTTCTCAGGGAGTGTTTACAGTCTCGTGACGCAAATCTGCGTCATCTTTCAGAAGATTCTGCGGCGAAAAGAACTCATAAAACTTGTATCTCTTTCTGCATACTCGAACATGATCATGACAATCTTCGATGTCAGTTGTGACAAGGTATAAAAATGTCTAAAAACATAATAATCAAAAATTAAGTCAATCAACAACAAGGGCGAATTCAATCTTGGATCACACTTGAACCAAATTATCCTGGATATCAACGATTTTGGTTCATACGTGAAAGTTACATCGGTAGGACATCATGAACATTAGGCATTCGTAACATGGCATATTTAAGGCATACTTGGAAGTCATGTCTATCAACCTTCAAGGGGAAACAAAAAAGCTTCAAAAGATCTGTCGCTGTTTCTTGAAGTTCTTCCAAAATCCAGAAGCAAATCCAGCAGATGGAGATGCACTCGTTTTAGTTATCAGAGCTCTAAGTAAATTCTTCACGAAGTTTCCGAAGAGCAATTCGGTTTATCAACAGAAAGCTGCCTTCGAGACTTATCGGTAACCTTATTTCAATTTAAATGAAATAACGCTGTTAAGCCTTCTTTGTCTTTACGCTTCTCATCTTGCCAAAACCAACGCTAGCCACATTCGACTCCGACTTGATCAGTTGCGCTCGGAAATCTACATTCCACTGCATGATATTCTCCGACAACAAGTCGCCAAGGTCAATGCTTTCGACGACAAAGAAAACCAGCCGACGCCGTTATTGTACGTTACTCTTTTTAGAATCCTAAAAATTCCCATGGTTTCTTAGCACTCAAGCGAGTCGAATAACTGCGAAGATAAAAACTGAGGAAACTCATGATGTGGGAATGGTGGCACTGGCGGAGTTTGTCAATCAAAATCCGAGTTGGGACATCAAGAAGTTCCTAAAATCAGAAAGTAAAGGACTTCAAAAGTATATAAACATGAAACTTTCACACGGTAAGTCGCATTTCATTGTTACTCTTGCCGTTTTTATGATATTCTTTCAGGACAAAGCCTGACGAACCCACCGCCAGCGGTAGAGCTCAAGTCAGACAATTTCGAAGAGCGAGTGGAAGAACTACGTGAGCGCTTTGGATTGAACAAGCACGAGCCCGAGTCTGTCGAGCCTTCATCTTCTGAGCTCGAGAGCTTTGACAAGCAACCGGAGCTACTGAAGACGTCTCCCGTGAGAAACCCGGGCATGAGTCCCGAACGCGTCGCCGAGTTTCGCAAGCGACTGACCGAACTCAAAAAGAGCAAATGAAGATATCCCTTGTAAATATGGTAGGTTCGAGCGTATTTGTCATGTTTATAACGTTTTAAGTTGAATGCTTTCCATGTCTTCACTAAACACAAACAGTCACATTCCAATTATTCTCTCGTTCAACCCCCCAAAAAAAAAGAAAACTCATCAGAAAAAAAAGAACTATTACTTCCACTTGCACCTGAAAAGTTCAGTCACTGCACCTTTTTAATAAATAAACTTCATTCAAATACACTCAAAATCTTATTTTACCGATACGTGAATAATAAGATATTTCTCTTTGTATTTTGATTAAAATCATTGGGTAGAAACAGGACTGTAGATGTCCCTAATTGATTAAGTTCAAGTCCGATTCCGTCACCTAATATTGCGTGATTAATTGTTCCTTCCTAAGAGTAGCCATTTAGCTTTTTTCGTCAAGTATTTTCAACAATTTCTCATGCTGTATTATTTATTGAAGTTTTCTGGTATCAATAGAAATTTGCTGTGGGTTTACGGTTGTTGTTTTGAGAGGAGGAAGGAATTTTCGAGGTGCATCTCTGCATTTTTGAAAAAAGTGTAATTTGGTTTTCTGGTATTCAGCAAAGCACGCTATTCTCTTGTGCTGAAGGAAAGAGTAAGCTTATTAACAAAATGTGCAGAAAAGGAGTGAGGCAGCGTTATCTCGTTCGGGCGGGAAAGTGTCAAGCAATTACCATCGCTAGTTATAGGTCTATCTTAACAAGCAGCTCGGTAATTTTCTTGTCCAACTCACGAATGTCATTCTTCATGTTATCCATCGCTTTTTTATTCTCGTTCGCTTGCTTCAAATTGGTGTTGAATATTTGCCACCAGTCCCTAAAATTTAATCATCCAACACTGTCTGAAAGGAAGAACGCTTACTTGAATCTTTTATCCAGGCTGTTGTACTTCTCATTCAACAGATTCAAAGTCTCACTCGTGGAATCATCTTTACTCGGAATAACGATTTTGTCGCAAGATGCAAAGAAACTAATAAAAATAAAATCCTTTTCCTACGTCGGAGTAGTCCGCCTCTCCAACGAGTGGCTTGCTGACTGCCTCGTTCATAATAGCTTCTAATTCTCGTTGCTCGCTTTCAATCTTCCGCAGCCGCTCATTGATATTTTTCGCGCCTTCTGTCAAGTGCTTGATATCTAAATTGAATACTATTAGCGCAGTACGAGTGTAAGCAGCCGCTCAAGAATCCACAAGGTTCAAAACGCAATAATTCAACTCATCAAAAACCTATTTTCAAGGTCTCAAAAATAATGAAGATTAAGGAGCAGTATTCCCTAGCGTGTCAGTGCTGAGCGACTGAAAGATATTAATTACCGTCGTGAACGAATTCCGCATTTGCGTCTATTCGATTTGAAAGCTCGTAAACATTGTCGTCTGTCTAAAGTTTCGAATAACTATTTATACAGTCAAAGCAATCCCTTACGAGTATACGCGCTCTTTCCAGTTCGGCATTCTTGTCATCCAGTTTTTCAAAGTGCTCTTTCACCTGTTTCAGGAAATTTTTCTGCCACTGAAAACATGTTTTTTCAACTAAAACATGATGGCTAACACTTGAGTTTTAGCAGTTTTATTTCTGATTCACGAATCCATGCATTATGAAAACATGAAGATCAGCACTCATTACAAATCAAAGCCCCGATCCGTTATGCACAATAACAGTAGTGTCACGCGTTTGTCGAAAATTCCAGTGAAAAGATCATTAATCAAAGGCTTATGTCGCCGTCATGGAAAGCTTGTTTTTCTTACCCTTCTCTGTGCATTTGCAACGTTTTTCACGATGAGACTTCGACGACGTGTCGATTTCACATTTCTGGTGGCATGCTCGACTTTCTGTTCACTGAATTAAACAGATTAATTTCAAAGAGCTTATTCAATTGACAATTGTTCTAAGTCTATTTTTAGTGAGCAATGGCGAAACCGCTCAAGGCAGAGACTTGATCTGAAACATTTAATGATAATGGATCAGCCGGGGCGGTTCGAACATTTTTTGCTGTTTATGATCACTTTGCGGTTGATAACGCGATCTTAAAATAGCATGGTACTTTTTAATGTCCCGTTAAAATCTAAATGAAACTTACAAAAACTCATCCAGTTCGTCTGTTGGAAAGGGCATGCCTTCCACGAGAGTCCTTTGATGCGGTTAAAAATATTAATCACGTTCTGACTGTATCGAGAAACTGATCTTCTAATGAGTATCTGATTGAGCGACTAGACATGAGTTTGTCTTTAAAGTGCACTAAGCGCAAAATTCAGCCCCAGTAGAAGCTGATTCTAGTAGAATTATTGTTCTATAATATGTTCTTGTTCGAATGTCAATTATGACTCTTGATGATACTGAACTTAGTCCGCGCGAAGGAAACTACATTAATCTTAGTCAGACGGTTCCGACAGAAATGGTTATGGATCAGAGTCTGATCATCAGACTTTGATTATTTGAACCGGCTTTGTCCTTAAAAGTATGGGAAAGAGGAGAACTTTCTTCATCATCCTGGCTGTGTGTCTCTCTGTTGCTCTCTGAGGATCTCTTTCTTGTTGAGGAAGGCAAAGCAAGATTTGAAGGACAATTTCCGGGAGTAGTACTTTTGGTCTCTTTGGTGGAGGTCCCGCTCCCCAGCGCCCTCGCTCCTACTGATCCTTCTTCGGCCCCAAAGGAAACAATCGCGGTCTTTCTTCTATGTTCTGGTGGCTTGGTGTTTGCTCACAAAATCCGACTCTGAAATAGTCTCTCAAATGCGATCTTCACGCTCTGCGCGGTGTTATGGTCAAAGGCAGCGCGTTTATTTACTCCGTAACACGGTTAATGAATATCGAGCGGGCTCTCCATCAAGCTTTTCTCAGACTACTAGAAACTTAACTCTGCGGACGTCAACGGCAGAGGAACTTCTGGTAAAAGGTTTCTTTCTCAGCAGAGAGTCAGGGAAGGAGTGGGATGCCCCCGCGGCCCGAACGCCCTTTCAGAAATAAAATGCTCAATTCCGCAAGATTATTTTCTCTCGCGTCAGGCAGGCCCTTGATAAAACCATCCTCATCGGCCCAAGGTGCGTGGAGCTCCGACAACCTCCTTGCAATAAAAGTTTGGCACTTTAACAAAGCAACTTCTCAAAATTTTGACACTAGAGATGCCTATGATTTGAGTCTCTCAAATGTGGCTTATTTTAAATGCTATCATTATGTTAACATAAGGAGGAAAGAGTTTATTCTGTATAAATTATACAGTATAATTTATACAGAGTAAATTTTTATATACAGTATAAAATTTGAAAGAATCTTGACTCGTAGTTGTCAGTGTGTCCTTTTGATAAATGATTACAAATTGAATGTAATTATTGCGAGCATTGGAAGTGATCATGCCCCGGTCGTTCTCACATTAAAACAATTAAATGTGACAGCTTTAAATTTTTCCGCATTCCGACCGTCAGCGCGTTATTTTTATTTAGAAAAACGCTACTTACGGTAAAGAATCGTTATATTCTCTCGATTGCGACAAGACCACCAGGGCAGATTCAACGTCTCATTCGACCTTTGGATTTTCTAATTCTAGAGTTTACTCTCGTTCTTATCGGCCGCACTCTAACTCAATTTTTCAAAATAGCCACTTAATAATTTACCATTTTGGATTAAAAGTATCGAAATCAGTTATTACTACAGCTGTGGATTTACGAGTGTGAGAGTCGATCGCTGACTGCTCACTTCCTCATGATAAACTTGTCAAGTCAACGAATTCTTAATTCAGGAATTCGTTATTTAATTTGATTCGTAATTTATTGGGGACGCGTTTGGGCTAAAATAAATTACGAATCAAATTATTATGACTCATAATTTATGAGAGGTCAACACTGATCTAATTCGTTATTTATTACATCGAATAAAACCATTTGTTTTACTCGCTATAAGGTTGAGACTTTGCTTTAGAAATTTACTTCGTCCTTGAGAAGGTGCATGTGTTGCCTTTTTCATCCTTCAGCCAAGTAGCTTTATCCGTGAATTGCCGAATCTGAAAAGTCTAGAAAGACTCTGCTAGCTGTTTCGTGTTAGGGTTACCGAAGGTAACCCTAAGTAACCCTAGACTAGACCCCGGCATTTTAGGACCTAAGGGGCGAAGCCCCGTGGTCAAGATCACTTAGATTTGATAATTTTCTGCGGATATCATGGAGGAGCGGTTCTGGTCGAGCAGAACTCTCGAATAACGTCGCGACGAAGCTGCCAGTTCAATCGAATTGGCGACTCTTACGAATGGACCGTGAGAGTTGTCACCTTTTTTGCCGACTTTCTTGTTGCTCGATACAGGGATTTTCATCTCTAAAAATAGAACCCGGTGGCAAATTTTCAAACCGGGGGAATTGTCTCTCCATCCGAAAAAAAGAGCTCCGATTGCAAAATCTCGATTTAATTTCAAAACTACAAATCGCAGATAGAAGAAAACCGAAAAGAGAAGGAAAAGATGACAGACGAGATCAACAAAATCGTCAACAAACTGGTCGAGGACGCCACGAAGAAGACCGAAGAAAAATTCCACAATCAAATAAAGCAACTCAAATACGACCACTCTCTAGAGAGACTTCGAGACGCGGTACTTGCTAAAAACAAAGCCTTCGCAGCCAAGGCCCTTATGATCTTAAGGGATCCCCCCTGCTTTTTCAAGTCTTTCATAATTAGGGGGTTATATCTGGCATATTTAGATTCCTCGTGATCTGAGGATCATTTTGTGTATTACATGACCCCTTTACGAACATATATCCCTGAAATTTTTGCCCTCGAAAATTTCAAAAATGCATGTAATTTATACTAAGCGTAAAAATCGGAATTTTTTTCGACTTTTCAATAACATCGAAATAAGGCTTATAAGCGGTCTATCGAAAGCTAAGAATGTGCTGATCAAGAATTTTGTTACCGCACTAGACTTTTAAATGTTAAAAGACCGTAAATGTTAACTTTTAGCGTCAATACGAAACACTTCAGAAGAACTATGTGGAAATGAATAATTCCTATGAACGTCTCAAGAAAGAGACTAATATTATCTCCGACCATGCGGCGTCACTAGAAGCACAACTTCAAGCCTTCAAGAAAGAAACGTAATTTAACTTTCTTAGCACTAAAACAAAAATAAAACAACAATTCTTTAGTGCCACTGAAGCTACTCAAACGAGCTTCGAAGATATCATGGACTCGTACATAGAACAGTCGAAAGAACAGCGAAAGAAGGCAAGACTTATGGCAAGTTCCTTTGAAATCTGTCAATGAATTAATTAAGAAATTTTAGGACGAGGAGAACGCCCAGTTGAAGGCGGAGTTAAAGCGAGCATCGCAGAAACGACGAGTCCGAATTCCAAAATAATAAATTGGAAAGAAATAGAAAATAAATTGTATCTGTTCACAATTAGAAAATAAAAATATACTCAAATATTATAAAGTATTATTTTATTGCAGTTCGAGTGAAGAGAACTTTGTATTCCTTTACGAAAGGCTTCTTTTCTTCAAGAGTCCAATGGTTATTTACATTCTTCAGGTTTTTCTTTCTAGGAGCATATCGGGACCGTTGTTGATTTGTACAATTAATATTTACATAAAGCGATTTTATCATATTTTTAAATGAATTCACATTATAATACTCGTTGATTTCCCACGAATAGTTATATAAAACTCGGGAAATGAAATCTTTGCACACTCCCGTTCAACTTGCGTGACTAAATTCGCAGCTGCTTTGATAATAAGTTTGACATGTCTATCCTCGGAATCTGTCGAATAAAATATAAGATGCAGGTCTCTGCAGCTCAAAAGTACTTGTTGCTCTAAGCAGTCTTTTTGTGAGTCTTCTATGTAATCAAGCGCGTCGAAAAATCTACGCCGGACTCTATGAACTATTCCGAATGATATGAGTCTGGTACTTTCTAGATAACTGCTCGTAAGACCTTCAAAATTCTCACGAGCTTCCTCGAACGGAAGATTCTCGGGGAATGAACATTGATATTCTTCCTCCTCTTCTTCTTCTGATTCTTCAATTCCAAAAACGTCTAAAAGCATCACATTGCTCTCTTTTTTCGTCTGTCTTCGTTCTGAGATAAGTATTATGGCTTTGAAAAGACAGAAAAAAGTACCTAAAAGGGCAAAATTCCCAGCTTCAGCAGCGGCAACAGCGATCTTTAAAGCTTCAAGCTTCTCCTGTTTTTTGTTTACTTCAAGCATTGCGGCCTCGAGCCTGTTCGACGCTAATGTCTTTAATTTTTCAACTCGAACATTATGTTTCTCTTGTTCACGCTGCTTCTTTAGCGCTAGACGGGAAACTTTCGCATCTTCCCGTTCTTGTTTCAACTGTGCTTTCGCTTCCGCCAGAGCCTCCTTGAAGTGGTACCCGTGTTTTTTCTTGAACTTTTTGGATAGCTTGCGAGTTTTAGTAAGCATCGCTTTTTCATCAATCCCGTCGGAACAAGGACTTCCGTCGCTGTTTTCAGAAGATTCGATGAGCTCATCAATTATCTGAATTGAAAAAGGTTCATTTAACTCTACATTTTTTTTATTACGTTTCCATAGTACTGTCTCCATTCCAAGTCGCAGCGTTCGCTCATGTACTCGTAAACCTCCTTTGCTCGCAGTGCAAGCTGGCAAGCCCTTTCATCTGTCGGAAAGTCCAGAAGTTGGCATGGCATCTTTCCTGCGTTCGCTAGGTCGCATTTACGCTTTCGTCGTTCCAGTTGCGCTGTTTTCTTTCCTACTTTGCCGACTTCTTCTGCAAAAGATTTAAACCTGTCGATAGCAAGTTCAGGATTTCGGATGTCAAATGCTCGGGCTTTGAACACGACGGGAGCAAGTCGACCGAAGGATTTCGCGGCGCAGAGACCGTCTTTTAGTGTAGTGAATCCTAAAATACTTAACGTCGGAAAAATCGAAGTAAACTTACGATTGACAATTGGTCTTGGAGTAGCGTGATCAATGGTTTGCATTTGAGCACTTTTTTCGGGTAACTCTGAAAAGTTCAAATTGTCGAACTCTTCTTCGCTTATGTTGAAAGTAATCGGCAAGCTTGGACATTCATTGTCTCTGCTTTCGTCAACTATAGCAAGCATTTCCAATAACATCGGCAACAAGAAGGATTTTAGATGATTCTTTCCACATTTTTCTAATGCCCATTTTTTAAGAACATGGATCAGTTGATAGACAAAATCTCTAATACTGGAATGTCAATTTGATCTTTACGGAACAATCGTTTTTTCATGAGAAATAAACTATTTTAAAATCATAAAATTAACATCCCTGTCTTGTCGATTTCGTTTGCTTAAAATCGAGAAGATGACAAGGAGCCTCGTGGATTGAATAGAGACAAGTTCTGTCAAAATCACCAGTAACTGAGACTTCAGCGACTTTTTGAACGACCATTTGAAAGATTTCCAGCAAGCGTTCATTATGGCAAGCGTTTGACTTGAGAACTGTTTTGAAAAGCGATTCAGAACAAGCTGGAAGATTCGCAAAGAGGCACATTTCTTCAGTTGAGTGCAGAATTGAATTCCACGGGTTTTCGTCAGCAGTCATCGGAGTCTTTTGCCAATTTGAGGGGCATGTTGAGCTTACTTCCATTATTTTGAACAAACTTTCTTGCTTTACAATTTCCGTTGTTGCTTCAAGCTCCGCTTCTGTCGATGTTGTAGTAGTAGCTGTAAGCGTCGTCGAAGTCACTGCTGAAGAGGTTGTCGACAACGTGGTGGTTGAGGTCGAGCTACTCTCGCATTGGTAATGATCAATTGCAGCATCTCCTCTGAAAACTTCGCATCCGTCGTTGGGATTTCCGTTTTCGTCGATCCACTGGTCTGCGCAGACGCACTTCTTGGTCTCTTCCGAGCATTTCAAAAAGTAATCGCTGAATGATCCACAGTCAATGTCACTACTGCACGGACCACAGAGCTCGGCTTTTGTATCCTCTGAGACGGATACAACTGGAATTTCTCCGCCGACGTGATTTTTTAACTCTTCCAAACTTGCTTCCCAATTATGTCCAAAGCCGTCTTCGCAGTGGGGGAGAATAAATCGTATTAACCCTTCAAGGCTCGCAAATATGTCCTGTGCCGTTATTTCTTCATCGTTGGCTTCCCAAAAGAATTCGCAGGGCACTTGGGTTGCCATTGATGAGCAGAACTGTGAGAAGTGTGAATCGAAATAGTTCTCAAAGCCAGTCATCGCAGCAGAGAATTCGCTCATTCCTTCTTGTGCGCTCTCTGGAAACTCTGTTTCAGCTAGAATTACTGTCATTTTAAAGCCGAAAGAAATATAAATTGCGTTATATCTCCTCAGACGTGCCGTGAGTAGCAAAGTCTACAATTTTGCGGAATGTCCGGATTTGAGGCCGGCCACTGTTATTCTTGAGATGGAGGCTGTGGAAAGGAAATTCCACCATTTTTTTGAAATCTGTAGTACGGGTATCAATTTGAAAACTTACACAGTCTTTTCGAAAAAGCCACAAAATAGGACGGAGCGAAGTGTCCTGGACCGCAGATTCCCTCTGATGGCACGTAGATTGGGGAAGTGGAATTTGAAAAGGCGACTCCCGGTGCAGAAATGAGCTCCCATTCGAAGTTGAATTTAAAACGGAATTTGTATCCGTTAGGTGCAGTTATGTAAATGATTTCTGTTCCTTCCGATGGATGTAATAGCGGCACGTCAACCTTTAAATTTGTTTAAAAATGACTGACCAAAGGTTCTTCCAGAGTCTGGACTCGTAATAAGCGTGTATTAGGACATTGCATAATCTTGTTGGAATTTTCTAATCGCGCTGTACATGTACCTCATACTCGGTCGATTCCAGAGTCGGTCCACGTCTATGTCTAGTATTGTACTCATCCTTTTCCCGATGACAAAAGGGCCCAATAATTTCTTCGCCATCAAGCATGATCAGCTGATCCTCATTGTCGGAACACTCACTTTTAATTTCGTAAAACTTGATGTGACGCCGAAGTGACAGTTCTTTAGGCACTTCCCAGCGACAATTTGTGCTTTCTTCGAAATAAAATTTTCTTTAAAATTGATTTAAAATTGAACTCATTGAAAACAATTTCCATTAAAATTCATTTAAAATCTTGTCTGTGTTCTCTCGCGATGCCACGTTCACACTTTGGCAATTTTCTTAGTCCTTCTACACTAAAGCCTTCGCTTGTCTGCGCTAGCAGTATCACTCCAAAGCAAAGACATTTAAATCGCATTTGCGCTGTCTTTTCTCTTTCTTCTGTTTTTTTTATCTCTTTCTACTGGAAACAGGCGCCTCTCAACTGGATTGGGAATGACAAAAAATTCAAGGTCGCCAAAGTGTACGAGCGCGCGGTTATCGCGCTTGCTCTGAGGGCGCAAGAGGCATTTTTCCTTTCGCTTGTCGATAGGAACCATATTTGAATTCACCTCTTCACTGTGAATCCAAAGAAATTATCCATCCAGCTATGATTTGACTACCTGTAGAATCTTTAATAAAAAGCTTCTCATGATAATAAAATAACATCCTTATTGTTGAGATATACAGATCTGTTCGTTATTTGTTTATTACAAAGGGTCTGAGCCGACTTTTTCTTCCTTTCGAAGACTTTCTTCCTCAGGTACGCGTGTCCACCATCCATCTCTCGACTTCTATGTCTGGACACAAACCGAAGCCCTTCCATTTGAGTTCTCGTCTTTCGATTTCAAAGATTAAAACTGAAGTTATTTCAATTTATTTTATGCTTTCATCAGAAAAATCGTTCACAAAAACTCGTAAAACTCATTCCTGGCGTACTTGACCACGAAAACAGCTCAAACAGTTACATGATGACTTTTGCGAGATTTCCTTTTCAGTAAAAAAAATTCTATTTTTTTTAAGAAAATATTTTTAAAAGAGTCACGTTTTTTCAGTCTATTCGGAGTTAACCGCAGAGAACGCAAAAGTGGGGTCAGCATTGATAAGCAAGCGGACACTTGTTGCCATGTCCAAAATTAAGGATCCGAAGAAAAACAACTTAGCTGTATACTTGCTAAAAATTATAACGATATTTATATTTAACTCCTTTATTGGAATATTTTTTAAGTCTTGTGCGCTGAGAAAATCTTATTCCCTTTGCCTCGTAAGCGTTCGAGCTCATGACCAAATTCTGTGCTTGCCATATCAGTCGGCGGCCACATTCGGAGATGACCAGTATGCCGAATACTATCACGCAGCAGATAATCTGAATGGAATTTTTAGGTCGACCCTTTTTGTTCCATTTGGAGATAACTCCATGCCTTTGGAATTCCATTAAAACGTTGCTTGAAATCTCTTACCGAAGAAGCCACAACGACAGCAATATACTCGGCTTTTTTCAACCATTCATCTTCTGGATTTAACGTGGAATTCGTAAACGCAGTGTTAGCTTCTGTTACCGTCGAAAAATCTGCGAGCTTCTCATTATCAATTAGGCGTTGAAGTTAGCGCTCTTGTAAATTGGATTTGAAAAAAAAGCCTTTGATTTTTATTTTTTTTATTAAAAAAATTCACTTTGATTTAGGTTGAACTGTGAAAGGAAAAATCCAAGGCCGAATTAAAATATGATTGAAAAGCTTTCCTGTCTGTGAAGTTACAGCGGTGCTCTCTTCTAAGCTCTGTGTTGAAAGTGGATATCGACTGTCTGGAAATACCTAAGGAAAAAAAGAATGAGTTCGATACCCACTCCATGAGATTGGCGGTGCTTTCATTAATTTATTTCTCTGGTTTTTAAGATATCTTTCGATTCTAATAGCGAAAATTCTTGGCCATAGATGGTCAAAAACTTGCGAAAAAAGTAAATAAATTCTAGTTGTATTCTATGCTGAGGCGACTTACCCTCTCTACGCTCATTGCAGACGACTAGTTTTCATTGTTGGCGGGATTGGATTGCGCGTATTTTCTTTGATTAATAATTTCGCTTTTAATCTCTCTATACTTGGATTATTAAGGATTCCTATTTGATATTTCGCGGCTTCTTATGCTGCTAGCTGATCTAACTGATAATCTAAGCAGGTCCCGTCCCGTCAGGCTCAATTATTTAAAAACAAAGCAGAATGCCCCTCTTCCGCACCCTTTATTGATACTACGAATTCATCTCTCGCCCGTTAGTAGAAAATCATCGCTTCTTTAATCGCTCAATAATCCAACATACACCCCTTCCATCACTTAATCAAGACCAAGGCATTACGGTTCAAACATTATTACACGACCAAAAGTTAACTACAAGTAGCAAAATGCTACGTCGAAACTACGAATCGAAAGACAAAGCTTCAGTAATTCGTTCAAAAATTGGTGCACCTAGTTTGAAAGATTTAAGGGATTATATATCCGCATGGAGTATTTTAAATTCCCCGCATCTCTTTGACGTATTTTAGTAAAATGATTCTATTTAGCTACGTTTCAGCTTTCCATTTTTTATTTCAGCATGAAAAAGGAAGTCCAATTTTCCTGAGAATTATTTTTTCATTTGACGTTCCATTGACCAAATCTCATTTTCAAAGAGATTTAGAATTCAAAAAATTCAAGAGAGTCTTTCAAAAAACGATGTTTACTGTGATAATCAAAGTTAGGAAATGTACAGGAGTAGAATGAACTTAGGAGCCACCGTTATTATTATTCTTCTTCTGATAATAAGTATAGTCGATGAGAAGTGTCTGTCCGATGAGAGCCAGTTTCTCCGTATGGGAAGCAGTGGAAGGGAAGTCAATCACGTGTGTAGAAGCATTCGCACCTTGATATTTCTTAGAAATAGAAACCCTTCATTCCAAACCTTCGATGCAGCATCCACTGCAGCCCTTCTTCCCACCGGCCCAGTATTTGGTGATACTGCCGACTTGCTAGAATTCAAGTTCACAAACATAAAACGAACCGTTCTAAGCTGATAAAAATATTTTGAGCGAAGTGTCGAAGTCGACAGATTTTAGTTTAAACTGGGCGCGTCAGAGGAAATTTAACAAATTTGGCTGGGAGAACAATTTCCACCGGAAAAATGAATGATTTGCAAGTTCATTCATTACCTGCCCTTCCGGATCCAAAATTGGATAGACCACGTCACCGCAGTCCCAGGCGCAGACGCAGAGCTCGGGTCTTTTGATTTCGTAAATTATTTTCTTGTTGACTTCATCAGTGATCACAAAGTTCGCGCGGCCGCAATTGCCGCCATCCTTTTGAAGAATCCAATGAGTCTTCTTGTCGTTGAAAAACGCTTAATTTAGAAGTTGAGGAAAGACGTTCTAACTCAAGCATTCGGTTATTTATCAAAGATTGAGTAACGTGCATCGTTTAATGCTTCCGGAGTAGGGACTGTTTATTATTTCAGACTTACTCGAGAGGTTTGCCAGAGGTTTGGAGAAGTCGAAGCCGCAGCAGCCACAGCAGAAGATTCGATGCCAGAAATTGCAGCAGCACGTGTTACAGCAAGGCTGCAGCGCAATGGCACGGGGCTTACTCAGTCGGTGCATGTCCCCGTCTTTATCTTCTTAACAAACAAAATTATGGTTTGGAGTAGCTCGCAAGATTTTGAACTTTCACGTGCATTTTTGCTCCAAAAAATCAAAGCTTATATGATCGAATTTATTCTTTTCTCGTGATAAATTACGATTTATATGATTGTTCAAATAATAATTAGTATACCTTTGGTCCTCAGAGGCATTTCGAATTCTCGCTCCCCTTGAAAGCAATTTCTAGCGCAACAACCAATGTCTCCTTCCGTAGCTTGAAATCATACTTGCGCGTTTCTTTCAAAAATAAAAAATACCTTGAAACAATGTCTCTCCAGTTTTTCCATCCCATATCCTGTATTTATTAATGACGTCGTAGCCAGTCATGAACTCGACAAGCGAAAGATCCTGCTGCACGACAGCCTGCTCGACACCATCCAAATATTCAGACTTGCAGCGCGTTTTTAAAATGAAACTTTTTAAAAATATTATTTTTAAACTTTTTCTTATCGTTCACTAGGTTTAGAGTGCAAACATTACGTCAACGCGACCTTCGAATCGCCGCCATCTTCTCCCTCGCCTTTCATCTTGTAGTCTTTCCAGCCATTTTCCTAAACACTCAATGTTGGTTTTCGATGCACAGCAGATTTTACTGAAGTCGCAAATCGACGGCCAGAATGTTCAACGAAAAGAGTTCGTTTCTTATGAGTTATTTTGAACCAGATCAAATATTTGCCGTCTCAGAAAATGCGACGAGCTTAGCGAATCTACCGCAAAGATTGAAAATCGTCACCTCATTGTCTAATTTAAGCCAATCTGTACTCTGGTCGGAGGTTTACGGGTCTCGTCCGTAACCAGTGCATCTTTTTTGTAGAGTTTGTTAATTCCAAAAACCATAAGAAGCTGATTTTGAGGTTGATTACGAGACAAGATCCATGGAGCAAACGTTTAGAAAGTATATGAAAATGTTCAAAAATTTTTCATACGTTTTTTTTATGAAATTTCCAGTAATGCAAAAATATTCAGAAGATTTCTAAATCAGTTGAGCATTTTAGAACAGGGGCTCACTTTGACTAACTAATGAAAATTAAATTTTGGTGACAGATGCTCCTTAGCGTCAAAAATTCGAATGGTCCCAATAAAATATCACTCTTACATTTGGTTGAATCGTAATGACGGGTTTGCTCATTTTTATGTAAACGCTGAGTTGGTTGTTTTAAGTCTCGAGTTTGTGCGTGTTCGCTAGAGTGTGTCTGCGGACGATTACTACTCCAGTCATTGGATTCACAACGTGCCCCTCAGATCAATATTTGAGTCACAAAAGATAAAGCACAAGAAAAGAAAATGAGCGAAATGGTTACGCTGAAATCACGCGGAAGCCCTAGAGCCCTTTGTATGTCCGATGTACTGTTGATAGCCCGTCAGTCAATATTTGACTCCCTGTGTGATCAAGAGTTCATCAAAAACTAAAGATCTTTGCAGTTAATATCGGGAATAGCTAGAAAGTTCGAATTCCAGTAGAAATTTTCCGTGACTAAATCATGCTAATAATCATTAATACTTTAGCTACTTCTTTACCTGTAATAGAACCTCTAAAGAAATGAGCGGTCCGCTGACCGTAGCTACGTGAGAAAATAAATTACTACAAGTCGGGCTCCAATCTTGACAGCGTTATCACTCACGATATCTTATCTCTTCGTCCAACTAGAACTATTTAAATAAACAATTCGATCAGTTTCTTCCCATAATTATTGCTTGCAAACTTCTTCAGAAATAGATAAGTGCGAATTATTTTTTTAAATGCAATGGTAGACATTTGCCCAGGTGCAAAAAAGAATGCATATCTCGATTTGAAAGCAAAATCCTGAAGTCTTCCTTGCTATCAAAATGCTAAGTGACTACTTTTTTCTAATTAGCAATAAGTGATAGCTGACAATAGTTTACAGTAGTAGGTCGTTGAAAATATCATTGACAAGATAATTTATCCTTTCTTTAGAGTAGGCCGTATTTGGAAGGACGAACTAAACGTATCAGCCTATTTTGTAATAGAATAGCAGGTGTGCCCTGTGCAGGTCTCGCCATTTTCGCAACAAGTGCGCACACGTCAGGACGCTTTTTTCGGTGCTAGGATTCCCAGAACATTTCACTTTCAGTTTAGATCCTTTCAACGGTCGAACTTTTCCCAGTGACCTGATTTTTCTAAACTGCAACGGTTGCAAAAATTCACAAAGAGATCTCTTGAGTGACTCAAGTTGAGTCCTAAGAACGATTCAAACATAGAGAAGACGCGTTTTCACTCAGATAAGTTTGAACTATTCGACCAAAGATTCAATAAACAAGTCGGCGGCGGAACCTTAATTTTTATCTTGCACAGTTTGCTTTTTTCTCTAAACCAGAAAGCCGTGCTTTTCTCTGGACAAAACCTGCGAATTGGGAAGGAGAGATCAAACGCCTAATTCAACAGCTTGCTGATGGATCAAATTTGGTGATTCCATTCAAGCAGTTCTTTTGAGAAGAACTTTTATGTTTTTTATTTGCTTTTTTATCTGAGAATATCAGAAACAACATTTCTATAAGGAGCTACATGTGAGAGGTTCAGTAGGACATCGTCCAGAAGGCTTGGAAGAAAGAAAGGCGGATAATGTCAGTAAATGAGTTTTTCGCGAATTCGTAAAAGAGGCAGGACGAGTTTACTTCCAGATGAATCGAGGTTTAGCTGTTGAGGAGGCAGTTTGAGTCACTGGCGCAGAGCTTTGCGCTTTCTTTTCGTCTTCAAACACTTTCGCTAACTTTTGCGCGGCCGTTGGAGCAGATGATTTCTGCGGTGTTGGCGTTTTTACAGCTTTCTCCGCTGGCGAAGACTTCTTAACTTGCTCTTTCATTTCTGGCGCGTTCTTGCCATCGATCAGTTTTCGGTAAGGATTCGTTAAAAACTTCGACTAAAGTTATTTTAAAAATCCATGCTAGATCTTTTTTCTCACATTTGTGTAGTAACGATTAGGTTTCTTGTGATGCTGGTTGATGAAGGCAATCGCGTCTTTTGATGTCGGCAGCTTGGCATAGACAGCCCCCTCGAAGCCTTCGACTTCCTTCATCAAGCATTTCTACGGAGATTCTCTTTTACTCGAAAATATAAAGAAAAACTCACTTGGCTATGATAAATGCCAGGATTACGGCCGACAGCCACCGCATAGTAGAAAAACTTCAAGGGCCGGTTGATAGTCATTCTACAAGAGTGAAAATTAATGAAGGGTGAACAACGAGCGATGAAATTTAATCGTTTCTTCTGCTCTGCCAAAATGAAGAAATATATGATAAGAAGGATTTCGTTTTTTCTTGAATAGTTTCGTTGCGAATAGCGACCATGAATAAAAACGGTAAAATGACTCGTTTAATTGCTGCTTCCGGCGACTTAAAATCAATCAGTCTTGTTCAAGCGGTGAAAGCTACCTTGGTAATTGAATAATAGGAAATTGGGATAGAAATAGGCGTTGAAAGGATAACTTGGTTTGATTGAAGTAAGTAGCTTAGTGATAACATTAGACGATTGTGAGCAAGAAGGACTGGGTTTCCCGCTTCATCCGTGGATTTGACAGCATTCTGAAATTAAATGTCAACTTTGGAGTCAACCTCAAAGACTACCTCGACATCGGGCGATTTGACAGTAATGGCGTCGATGATATCAGTAATGGTGATCTGGTCGAGGGAAGTTTTCACTCCATGTCTGATGAACTTGACAGAAATCACGGGACTTATGCACTCCCAAATCATCTCGAAAGAAGGATTCTGGTACATTTCAATCCAGTCGGACACACTTATCCTCACTAAAGGCTAGACATCGAGTTTAAGTAAGATCAATGGACTGCTAGACGAACCTGAAGACTCATGCCAAGAAAAGATCCTCCCTGGTCTGATTTGTATTCGAAAACAAGAACTTTCGAAAAGGGACAAAAAGAAACAGACGACTTCTTGATTGTCATTTTTACTGGTGCTTTGATGATTATCTTCGATGGAGTGCGAGTCAGTCTAATCTCGTCCATGCCAAGAGAAATGTCTAAACTACATAATAAACTTGACTTTTGAATAGAACAACTGACCTTTCTTGAAAACGTAATTATGATGAATTCTCAATTTGCATCCAGGATTTAGGATAACATTCCTAGTAAATGTGTCAAGGTCATCTTCGTCTGCCAAGATCGACCTCATGTCTTGCGTAAAGAAGTCATGCGTCGTGACAAAAGGCTCGATCTAAAGTCAAGTTACGGTCAAGGTTATCATATGAGCGAGATTTACCCTCGCGACTGGATGTTGAAAATGAGCGGACATTTTATAGATGGACAAGTGATAGTCGTACAAATTCCCAAAAATAGACAAGTTCTTTTCGTTTTTCCTTTTGTAACCTTTGTGTTCGATATCGAAGCCATAGAAGAATTTCTTATTGTTGTACATAAAGTCATCGTCAAAACCAAAGTTTGCGCCTGTAAACTTATCAGCCCTATGAGGTGGTAGCTGTTTTACCTTTAACCCGGCAGAATCCCCATTTTGCGGAGCCACTAAATTTCTTCCCATAGGTAAACTGCTGCTCCACAGTAGACTGGTCAACATGGATAATTGTCTTTTCCAGTCTTACTCTCGGCTTTCCAGTTTTCTTATAAAACCGGAACTCATCGAAGCGGCGTAAAAGCTCGTCAACGGAGAGCGAATCGAACAGCGTGTGGTCAGCATCATTTGCTTGCGCTACATTGTCGAGAAACTCGCCCAACTCTTCGTTCTCCAAATGAATTTGACAGATCTGGCGCAGCTTTGCATTGCTCAAAGTTTCGTACGCTTTATTGATTTTGATGAAGGTTCCATTGTCTTGCCCCGAGTTTCGATCAGGGTGATAGACTCGTGAAAAATGCCAAACAAGGGCTGTTACAATTGCTTTAGAAAATACGGGGCGTAATGCATTTTGAAATTGTTTCAGCCTCTGCCTGAAGCTTTTCTTAATTTCGTCGTCGCCCGCACTCGTCGATAGATTGAGCGCGGAGAAATAGTCTTTTCCAGAAAAGAACCGAAACGACATCTTTACATATTTTTCTTTATTAAAGATTCTTTTAATTAAAAACAGATCATTTCCGTAAACTAATAAGTTCACATAAATATATAATATGTCAAAAGAAAAGCAGGATTGAAAAAGATCACAGACTAAAATCGGAGTATTTTGAGAATCAAAAACGTTTTGATTGAAACGCAGACTCGACTAATCTAATTCAGTTAGCCGCATTGGAAATTATTGAGTTGATGGAGTTGCTGGTAGAATCACTTGAACGAGGATTTAACTAACTCTTCGTAGTCCGGACTTGAACATTTTTCCACGGCATTCCGAATGTCCTGTTGAATATCATCTGAAATGCAAAAAATCAGCTAAAATTAAATCTAACTGAATGCAAACCTTTTAAAGCTTCCAGCGAATCGTAGTTTTTCTCTGGCCGCAAATATCCACAAACCAAAACACTCAAATCGGCTCCGTAAAAATCTTCAGGAAACTCGTGAATTATGTGTGTCTCGAAGCTTCGTTTTGTGTTTTTGTAAAATGGATTCCATCCGATAGATGCAACCATTTTGTGGACTTGATCATTATTAACTAAAATAGCCTTCATGAGCATACGTTTTTTCTCATCAACTCACCTCTAGCGAAACCATAGTAGATTCCATTGTCAAGGCCTTCAGGCAGAGTGGCGACGACATCATCGGAGAAATTCGCCGTCGGACATCCCAGTTCTTTTGATCCTCGACCGAAACCCTACAATTTCAATTTTAGTAACCAAACGCAGAGAGAGAGAGAGAAACAAAAATGAGCGTTTTCTAACCTTGCATACAACTCCGCGAAGAAAAAACGGAACTGCTGGAATTTTTCCGGCTGCCATCTTTAACGTAAGACCGATAATCTTGTTGCAGTCTAAAAAAAGTCAAATTCAATCATTTGTTCAATTTCCCAGAAAAGTTTTTATGCCATTTCATAGCAATATTTAAAGAATTTATCAGGATTGCCACCAGACATCTTTTCTATTAACTGTTGAGACATTTCGTTCTCCGTTCTTCCATAGATTATATTCTTAGAGGGTTATTCGGAAACATTCATCTTATTCGACAGGTGATTATGCTTACAAATAAAAAGTTCGTAAATATACAAAGCGGAGTATAGCCCTTTCCTTAGAATATAAATACTGCGAATAAGCATCTAGCTCATCTCGATCAAGATCTTCTAACCTGACAGGGATAAAAGGATGCCAGCTATCCTTAACGAAACAAAGTAAACTTCTGCGATGATCTGAAAATAACCAACCTGGAAGCCTTGATCACCGAGAACATCATGTAAATCTTCCGTTTCAATTCTACTTCTGTCATTGTGTCGACCAAGTTTCCACGAATGGTTTCCCATTATCGTCTGATAAGTAGTTGTTGCTCCAACGACAAACCCACCGGCCCAGTCGTCGTCCAGGAGACTAAATAATTTATTCGTGAATTCGACAGAAAGTATTACCTTTTAAAATGACGCATTAAATTTAACCGCCTTGAGTCTGTGACAACTTCTTCGAACTTTGCCCTGATTGTCCAGTGAGGAAGACCTCGTTGTTCCGGATGAGAACGGATCTTCTCTGGATCGTCATAAACAACGACGTGACATCCCTGCGTTAGGTAATTGCACTGGTCCACACAAACAAGGACTGGATTTCCGGCCTGATGGATAATGTGAATCATTATCTAAAGAAACAACCGACCTTGGCCATTTCTGGCGCCAGAGATTTAATTTCTTCGATGATGAATTTGATTCCATCGCAGCGCTTAATCGAGCGAGATAAAGCTTCATTAACGGCTTGCAACAAGGTGCTAGAAAGTAATCTTTGAACAGAGGAGATAATGAGCGCGGTCGAACCTTCCGGCGGGGAGCGTTTCTTTGACTGAGAGCTGGAAATCTCTGGTTGTTTTGTATTTTTCGAGGATGTGCGAGTTGATCGCTTTGAGATGTTCTAGCCAGATTCCGGCGGGCTCAGGCTAGAGGTAGAAATCGGTAACGATGATGGTTTATTCGAGAACATTCACCGACCTGGTCGTAGGTGATAACGCTCTTGAGCTCAGGGCGGTGGCTCCCCTGTTGCATCAAGGGGTCGTAACGAGACTCCCACAGATCGCGCTTCTCCACGCTAACGTAACCCTGCGTTGTGATATCTTTCCTAACATTTAGTGGCTCCGTCGCATAATTTTTCGTCGCGACCCTCCATAAATTTCCAACGTACAAAACTAGCATATCTTTCGTCATCCCATGGTGGGCGATTTGATGCAAGCTCATCGTCTTGCCGACACCTTTTTCGCCATAGAGAATCACCCGTTTCGAGGGCTCCTGGAAGGTTTCGTTGTCAAGCCACTTGATGATCTTTTCAGCTTCGCGCCGTCGTAAGATCTTGCTTTCGCCAGTTGCATTGAACATTTTCGTCGCGTTTTTGTTGTGAAACGTCTCACGCCTGAAGATGGAAAATGTTATATTTGAATCATTCATGAGAGAAATCACTTAGGGCCATGAAAAACAGTCTCACAGGCAAACGACAGCATCTACGTTCTCACGATGTTGATGAGTATCATTATGATACGCATCGTTTGGTGTCGTTGAATGATTATTTATTAACGACCGAGTCCCGGTAAAGAGTTCAGGGTTCACTGGGATGATCCGCGAGCTCTTTCCTTGCAATATAAAGACTATTACTGTCCAAGCACAGTCAAACCTTCAGTCAATACTAAAATGCGCTTTTTTCTTTTATTTTTTAACGTTATTTTCGCTACAAAGCTTGCAGATATCCAAAAGTACGAAGAAGCCGACCCGAACCTAGAGCAAGACGAATACAAGGTGAAGATACTTTTACTTATAAAGCTAACGAAACACTTTCTTGTTTAGCATCTCAAAGACGAAATGAGATCGCCCGTTGACTTTTTCAACGACCCGCTGGAAGACTTTATTGACAAGGAATTAAGAAAAGCGAATCGATTTTACAACGTCTTCCAAGTTTAAGACTTCTTTCTTTATCCCATCAAATTACCGTACCCGAGGCAATAAAACCTGATCCCAAGAATTTTCAATTTACCTTGTGTGTCGCAAGTCGCCCTTGAAAGGCTGCCTTGCGTGAGTGGGCGATAGCTTTTCCAAGTCCGATTCTGGGATCGTATAGAAACGATCTTTCAATTGAGCTCCAGTTAGAGCCCGTCCCTGCGAGTAACGAGTGTTCATAAAGTGTTGTCGCTGGAGATTCTGATGCTTTGCGTTTCGCTTTTCCAACTCTTCCCCAATTTTAATGTGATGAGCGTACATGGATGACTCCACGCTGGAAAATACTTTGACTGAATATTTCAGCAGAAAATAACTCTTACTTGTTAAAATTGTAGGGTCCCTCGTCGTATTTATTTGCTGAGTCGACATTAGAGTTAAATTCGTATCCGGAAATCGCTTCTTTCAATTTTAAATTTGGCACACTCTCAGTCCGCGTTCTCAAAGTGCGCGATCGACCGGCGATCGACGCCAGTCGCGGTTTGGTCCAATTTAACATCTTGTCTTCAAAACACTTTTGGAGGCTTTTTTGAATCAGAAAGAATCATACATATATTGATCAAACGAACAGTTGAAGCGAAATGAGGAAAGTGTAGTGATAAAAAACAACGGAATAGTTCCCCGAAGTTGTTTTACAGTTACTGATGGTGGAGTTTAAGTTTGACTCCCTATTGCTTTATTCAGTTTTCTAGTAGTCACGAAGCTGTATATACACTGAAAATCGTCTACTCTTTACGGTTCATAAAGTAAGTTCCGAGCCTCAATGCGGGGTGGTACAGTAAAAGTAAAACAACTTTTTTAAAGTTTTCGAGAAAGAGGATAGTTTCTTCATTTTTTGAAAATTTTGGTTTTAAAATTCATTAAATACACATGAAATTATTGCGGAAGGTAATTTGGAGCGGCAAGAGACATTTTACGATAGGAATATCCACACGATGAATATCAAGCCTATATAAAGAAACACCTTTGATAGGAATTCTTCGTCCTCTGTCGTTTGGCCCTTTTGATAAAAAATACGTTATGACTGTTAGTTTCAACTGCTGTTACCTGGTTAGGAGCTTGAGGTGCGCCGAAGAACCCACCCCCAGCTGCGTTAAATCCGATTCCGAAAAGTCCAAAAGGAAAAGCGCCGATTCCAAATGAGAACTGCGTTCCTCCGAGCGGGTTTCCAAAAGATGCCCCGCGACGATCCGGTTCTGGACGCGATCCTTGAGGTCGGGGAGGAATGTTTTTCGTTCGCGGATCTGTTTGTTCTAATAGGATTTTTAATTACCTGCGAGAGTCGTGCTAACTTTACCTTGACCATGTCCATAAATTGGCACCATTTTGTCTTTTCCGATTCCAGCTTTGCAAACCGGACATTCTTGCTTCTGTGGTCTCGTTTCTATCCACTGATGAATACAGGGCCAGCAGAATAGATGCCCACACTTGAAGAACACAATCAGATAACAACTTGAAGTCGTTACGCTTACCAATGAAACAACTGGATCTTTAGCTGTGTCGAGGCAAACATTACATTGATAGAAAGTAGCAGGATCTGGAGCTTCGTCTGCTGAGTTACTCCTTCTCCCACTATCCGTCCCAACCGACATCTTAATTTATGTTTGTTAAAGCTGACATTGAACAGTAGATAGAATTTTGAATAACTTTTGAATCAATGAAATCACAGAAATTTTAATCAAGAAGAAGACAATCTGGGGTTTCATTTGAGCGGATTGAGTTTTTCTGTTGAATATTGAAGAATTAGAATGAATAAAGTTGAACTTATTTGGATATATTCGAAGTGAAGTATTATATTGCTGCTGGCGCGTTGACACCGTTTTCTGAAGGAGGCAGACGAGTCGTTGGGCCCTCTTCCGAAACGGGGTTACCAGTAAAAAGAGGAGGCATAAGATCTATTTGGTCCATATACGGAGCAGGACTCGGATAACTCGGAGTTGGATGACTTCGTTCCATCGTATCATCCCTGACTTTGCTGGACTTTTCTTTGAATTCAGAAGATTGACTGCTCCTTGATTCGCTCTCATCTGGTGTTATTTTAGAGCGAGTCCCTGGAAGACAACAAGTTTCTGGAGGAGGAGCTCTATCTTTTTTCGAATTTTTCGATGTTTTCTTTCGTCGATTTTCTTCTCTTTCATTTTGTCGTTGTGCAGATGGTTTTCTTTCATTCGATCTGTAAGTGGTACCTCCACCGTGACTTTTTCTATCATTCCGGCGGCCCTTCTTTCGAATTTTTTGGTGGTTAGGTGGCGGAAAAGCGTGTTGTGTATTGTGGGAAGGATTATTAACTGGAGGAGGCTGGGAGTAGTTTCCGGGCTGAGCATCTTTTTGATTTTGTTGTGAGCTTCCATTAGTAGCTGGGTTTTGGTGCGTCGTTGGTGAGCTTGCATCGGTTGGCCATTTGCTTCTTCTCGATTAAAATAGCGAATGATTGGAGGAGGTAGCAAAGTAGACAACCTTAACTGCTTCATATAGGCTTAAGAAAATAATTTATTTGGTGATTTCTAAGTTAGCCGCGATTCACTTATGTTAAATCGGTATTTTATGATTAAAAGCCCTCGCTTAGACTTTTGATTTCGGCATTGCATGCGCCAATTTTTTTCGAGATATCGAGAGCTTGTTCCGTCCATCCTTGCTCTTCAGCCATTTCCAGTCCAGTCATACATTTTTGAATATAATTTGCGCAAATCACTTTGTAATCAGCCGGGTGCGATCTCGCATATTCCCGAGAACGTGCCAATTCGTCTTCAAGTAATTTGACTTGTTGTGAGAACTTTTGGAACTTTTCTTGATCTCTTTTTTGTTTCGCGATTTCGATCCCTCCCTTCGCAATGGCAATATCATGTTTCAGAGCGCTTTTTGGTTTTAATTTTGGCAAGTTTGAGTTCCGTTGCTGAGCTGCCGATTGTGATGTTGGTTGAGCTCTGGTGGCCGGCTTCTTCGCTTGAGATTTTTTTGCAACAGAGTCGAGAATAGCCCACTGCATTTCTTCTTCGACAACTTGAGCCTTCTCCATCGGCTCTCTCAGTCTTAGTCGCACTTGAATTTTCGCAACTGACTTCTTATTTGCGACGAGGGGAAGGACTTTTCTGATTTCACATTCAGTTTCGAAATCTGTCAACTTTATAGCGCTCTTCATAAGAGATCTAAAACGATTAATACGAAGCTTCGAAACAATGCCGCTTACCTGTCAGAACTAAATATTCCTCCTTTTTTAAATACTTCAAACTCGACAGGCTTTCGTTCAATCGCTCGTTTGAATGCATTCTTCTGACGATCGATTCCAACAACATGTTTAAATTCAAGGTTGATGTTCGCACTCGATTTAACGTATCCAGAACGGAAGATGCATTCTGGCTCTCTTGGATATGGAAAGTGCACTATTTACAGTTCAAATTATTGTCTCATATTCCTACGATTCGTCTTTAGGATTCATGTTTGAAATAAGCATTCGTTATAGAACTGTTCCTTGAACAAATATACTTTCGTTGTGGAGATCTTTCGGCATCTCGAGCAAATTCTCAACTTTGATTTCGCATTGATTGGGCTCGATGTGCGTAAATAACTTGATTGATTTCACCCGCCGCGTTTCCCAAATTACATCTGGTATTGGTCGACCTTGCTTTGTTAGAATGTCTACTGCAGAAATATCTCGGAATGTTTCAGAAGCCCATTTGTCCATCATACTCGCTTTATCCAACATATTCAAAGCCGTGAATGTTTTTGATAGAGTTTTTGCTTTCTTCAGTTGTTCTTGCAGATCTTCAAGCAGATTTGAGTGAGCTGGACTGCGTTTTTGTGATCCCTGAATCGTTCCAATCGCTGGGCGAGAAGGAATAGGAGCAGCTGGGACTTTACTAGAAAAGTAGTAAATAACCGAACAACTCCCCGACATGCGCAATAATAATAAATAAGGATTACCTGATATCACATGGAAGGCCATTTTTGGTATGCTCAATCATGTTCTGTAGCGACTTCATGGTCTTCATAAAAGTCATCGCTTCTTGCCTGTTCCCATTATCTCTGGCTTGAATCGCAGCTTTCTTAAACTCTTCGTGTCTATTTTGAAGAAATTCCAGTTGTTTTGCGCATTTTGAAGTGTTCACTTGTTGAGGCTGCGCTGGGGAAGGCATTTTCTGCGGGGAGTTAATTGGCGATGGGGCAGCATGATCTCCACTATCGTCGGCTTGTTTCATTCTGTGCCGATTACACAAGCACCTCATCTATCATAATATATCAATTATCGATAGAAAACTAGTAATAATCGTTCCTTTGATGCAGCGTTAGTTGCGTTTCGCCAGGCATATCTGGTGCCCCTGGAGGAACCACTAGCGATGAGTAGTCTACGGCCTTTCCGCCTCTGTACGATTTTATTACTGCATCGTATTGTTTCGTCTGTCTTTCTAGTCGTCGAGCTTTAGCGCCAGTCTCTGCTTTCACCCTTATTGATGTTAATTTTTACTCTTTGATTCGCAAAAATAGTAAAAATTTAATTTGCGTAATGATATAAATATGAGATTAAACATTTCCTTGTCTGCATCATTTCTCGACGCTGGAGAAGACCTTCAAGGACAGACTTTGGAGGATCCAAGGTTGTCGAAGAAACTGATTCAGTCGGCTGCTGCATAGCTGCTTTCTTCTGAGGTGATTCTTGTTGAGGAGGGGGCTGTTGGGGTTTGGCAACAGTCGGCTCTGACTGCGTTTCAGGACGACTCTGTTCTGGAATGCTTTCCGTTGCTTCTTCAGTAGAAGGTGAAGGGGCGACTACTTCTTGTTCCTCGCTAGGAAATGGCGGAGCTCCAGGCATAACGGGCAAGCCGGAAACATCCACATTTTTACCAGCTTCGACAGCTTTGATAGCATCGTCAAATTGTTTCAGCTGTTTGGTGTATCTCCTCGTTTTTGACGCGTTTGTTTCAGCTTGAAGACGCACAAAGAATAAATGACGATGTTGTCGAAGAACATCTAAAAGGGAACCACCAGAAGAAGGAGCTGCGGTATCGGATGCAGTGGAAGATGAATTCTGAGGCGGAGGGGCTTGGTTAACATGAATGCCAGAAGGAGGTCCAGGATCAACGAATCCTTCACCGTTTTGTGCTTATGAAATATCTCAAGACAAGCAAAACTCGAATTATTGTTACCGCACTGTTTCAGCGCCTTGAATGTTCCCATTAACTTGATTGCTGATTCTTTGTCACCGCGATTTTTTGCACTAATGGCAGCTGTTTTATATTCTTCCATTCTTTGTGTAAGAAGACTCGTCGATGAAACGGCAGGCGTCGCAGGAACCTGCGCTGGCACTGGAGGAGGAGGAGCGGCTACCTTTCTGGGAGGCTGATAATATTATCAAGTTGACCGTAGAATAGAAATTTAACATACAATTGCCGGAGGCTTTTTAATCGGCTTGGGAGCGGGCTCTTCCTCGTCTTCGGCAACATCCATTAGCTCAGCTAGTAGGTCTGGATCATCAATATCCTCATCGTCATCATCTCCGATATCGTCCATGCAACCCGCTACCATTTTGTCAAAGTTGGCCCACTCCTCGACCGAAGAAAACGCTTTCTTCCCGCCTTTTGCTTTCGGCTTTGGTTTAGGTCTATCCTCCCCAAGAATATCACCAAGCTCTGCCTCCAGATCGGCATCATCAAAGTCCATCTTTATTAACAATTATATTTCTTTGATTTCACCACAAATCTACCTGTGGAACCTCTCCGAAGCCAGCCATCCCGCTGAGACCGGGTATTCCAGGATTACCACTGGAACGCTGTTTTTTACCCATTCTTCAATTTTTAACATGAAATCACTAGCGCTGCTACTGCCTCCTGCATGCACCAGAACAAAACTTGCAACAGGACGAATGAAATTGGGGGAGCAACGTACATGTATTTTTTCAACGAGTTGATTCTCAACCTGCGATGATTTTCTTGGCAAGAGCAACATAGGATGTCTCCTGAACTTGGCAGAAACGAGACTGCAAATAAATAGTGAACTTAAGAATATACAGGCAGTGAATATGTGAAACTGAGGTTAAAACTTGAAATTGAAAGAACTAGGGAATGATGAGTGTACTTTTTCGCGAATTCGTCGTTGGTGCGCCGATGGATCAAAGGGCAACTCGACGCACAGCTTGTGGATAGAGACGATCACGTTGTCAGGCTCGTGCACAGTCAAGAAGACACGCAGCCGCCAGTTTTCGCTTACAAAGAGATATCGCAAGGCATTTTGCTCGCTGGTATTGAGAATGTCGAAATCCTCCACAATGAGGATTTTCGGCTTGCCCGATATCTGACAATACAAGCTGAAGGGAACGCTACGAGCCAGAAGCAACGCTTGTCGCTCAATTTCCTTGGCTCCTCAAATTAAAGTTCGAAAGTTGTTTCTTTTTCAAAACTAACGATAGAGAAAAGTCTTAGTGAACTATTTCCTTGTTTAGCGTTGATCTGGTAGTACATGCTTTCTGAGTTTTCGCCGTGCATTTCTTTGACGAAGTCGAGAAGCGCTTCTTTCTTTCCACAGCCCGGCGGCCCGCTGACCATCAGAAGATAGTTGTTGTCTTGATCGAGCATCTCACGGAAAACGGCTTTGTTCTTGTCGATACTGAGCGGTCCAGCACCGGCGACTGGACCATGGGCAGAAATCGCACCCAGACCAGAGAAGTTCTGAGGACGATATTTTTCCAGCCATGGTTCAAGCCAGCAGTACTTTCCAACAACTTCTTCTGCCATCGCAAACCGTCGAAGCGCTAGCCAATCTTAAAATTTTACAGCTGAGAAAAAAAGAAGTGATTTCATTCTAGTCAAATGGTGGAAAAAGTGTTTATCTCTCTATCAGAGTCAAATTTACGCTCTCTACGCCGACCGTGAAAAAGTCTGAAATCAACAGCTCGTGATTGGCGGAGCGCCGCAGAGGATCGCTCTTTCTCAGCTCTCGAGGATGCTCATCACTGAGCGTTCTGCCTCCGCAACTGAAAAACACGAAACTGAAGTTAGTATCCCTTTCTGCTGGTTCTAGAAAAACTTTACATTGTCGATCAACTCCAAAACAGATTGGCTTTGTGTAGAAAATTAAACTTTATTTAGTAAACAGTAAAAAATGAGCAAAATAATTCAGTAGCAGCCGTCAGCTGGCCATTTTAATGTCTTGTGGATTGATTTCTTTGGAACTCGTTGCCCTTCGAGTTTTAGCTTTTCGGGATTTATTCAATTGGAATCAACGAAGACTAAGGGTAGGTCTAATTATCGAAGATCCCTAGCAGAAGTTTACTCGGCTGCCTTGATCCGTAAAAGCCGGAGGTAGTTTTAGGTGGTGGTTTGAGATCTCTTGCTTCTTGCTCGCCGTTAATTTCTTTCTACAAGACGAGATACTGTCATTCTCTTTCAACGTGGAACCAGTTTACCTGCATATTCGAGTAGAGATCCTTCGTGAAGCCCCAATTTCTCTCCCAGAGAGCGAGACTCTCGTTTTGGTTCTAAACGCATTAGAATAAATATTTGAGAGGAATTAATTCTTGGAGTACCCTGATGTGATTCTTCCAGATGAGTTCATCGTGCACGATGTTGACGTTTCCTTTCGGCATTTGCAAGCCCTCTGAATTTATTTTTTATTTCGTAAAATAGATTATGACCCAGAATCATGAGAGCCCGGAGAACAAAGGGACAATCAGTCGGATGAAGAGCAAACAGACTGGCTCTGTTCTGGATCGAACTGTTGTTGTACTAACACAAGCAGTGACACTTGATTATCAAAGCTGTCACCATTAGTGACAGAGCAAATACTTTTTCTACTGTTATGATTTGCGAGTTACCTCTTGGACGGCGAATAGCATATTTAAACCTAAAAATAGTCGTCAACTTTGAAAAAAAAAGAGGAAAATACTTCGGATGCGAAAAATCGTGCATATTAAAATCGGTAGCCATCTTCTATCTCTTTTTAAATTTGGCCAAAAATTGAATATTTATTTTAACTTTGGCTTGGAAGGCCTTTGATACATATGTATCTAGTTTTATTGTCCTTCATGTCTGTATCTATTTGAGAACTGCGTCATGCTGAGCTCCTTTTTATTCCTAGAAGACCTTTTGTTGGAACTTAACAAATCAACGAGTGGTTCTGTTTGTTTCTGTCATCGTTTGTGGACGGAAATTAATATATAAATAAGGGATTTTCACATAAGAAACAATGCTAATAAATATTGAAAAAATAAGTAATTGTACAAATTATTCTCGATAAAAGATTGATCGGAATAAAGGCCGCGATCATTTTTATCCAAGTAGAGATGAAAATTGGAGATAACTAGAACAAATTTAAGAATTACAGCGATCAAAGATATTGAAAAGCAAATAAGCCTCTCGGTTACTACGACAGCAATGCTCTGAGTGTGTATTTTGCTTCAAAAGGAAAAACATAAAAAAGAACCCAAACGCAGCGATTAAACTTTTGAAAATGGCAGAAGAGAATCCTCAAGTTCGTTTTGCAGCTATCAAAATTGGGCCTAATAGATTTAAAAATGTGGCAAAGGTTGACCCGTTACCGCCTTTGAGGAAGACTAAACAGAGTATCGGCCAGGTCTCGATAAATGTAGAAGGTAATTGAAGAAAATTCATTCTCTATTTTCATCATCATTTAGAAGCTACACTTGAAGTGTCTAGATCGACTGAGAATCTCAAGGCAGATCTATCAAAGATTCACGAGCTTGATTGGATTCAGTATATTACGCCACACAAGTTCAAATCAGACCTGTATGATTTACGAAGACGAATGTTTTTGAGCAAACGGAGCAGAATCCGCATCTATAATTGTGGATGCTACAACACTCATAGGTACGCGTTTGCTGAGAAATCACAAATTAATAGCGTTGCAGGCGCAAAGGAATTTGCATAACCGACTATTGGTATTGGCTTTTATTTTCTGTGACGTTTTGGCCGCTAACTGGATACATTATTGCTTTGTCAAAGGGGCTGGACTTTAAAAGACCTTGGATCTTTCTTCTTTTCGGTACAGTCGCCTGGATTTCTCAGGTTAAAAAACTATATAAAAAAACCAATCACCAAAGTATTTTCAGCTCGTTTGCGTCTCTATTTTCCTCCATGATTGCGTTTTCGAAAACTGCTCGGAAAAGCTTTGGGAGGGAAAGTATATTGCTGGTTTAGCAATAATTTTGTTCTTTCATATCGTGGCAATTCTATTATTTACGACACTGCGAATTCACTTTACGGAAATTTATCATCAGCAGAAAAAAATATTTCGAAGTTTCCTCGGTACGTTCTCGGTTTTTATTCGAAAATGATCAATACTAAAGTGACCCTGTTCTTGTGCCCATGTTCTGTTGCTCAGATCGCAACGCAGTTGGAAGAAAATCCTTTCTCTCAAGTTCAGACAAAGGTTTGAAGTCGTCAATCACGAAAAGATGGCATTCAGAGATAATAATATCTATGCAAAAGCTGAATATCTACATTCGTTTACCGTTCTATTTAATCAAGTTATATTTAATCACTGCTTCATATTTTGCAAGAAAAGCCCTTTCTTTCTAACCCTGACTTTATTGTGCGTTTTGAGCTCTGTGTAAAAGTGAGAGTGATAATTAACGTTCAAGTTTGTCCATTTTATAGGGTCGAAGTGTTTATCAAAAAACTGCTTTTTGAACGAGTTAAATAGTTTATGTACAGTATGACAGTAACGTGTAAGTTGACAGAAATATTCAGGGAAAGGTAAAATCGGCAGTTGTAACATGCAAGTTTGAATTATTTTTGGTTGAGTATCATATTCGCGCGAATGGAGAATTCGAACTGACTATTTTACTGAAATTATTTCACAAATTAAGATTCGCTTTTGGAAAGGGTCTATTTTCACAGAAGTGCTGTTCACAGTCTCCTTGAAAATCTAGCAAGAAGTTCAGTGGAGGAATTAGCGTTTTCAGTATTTAAGACTTTTTACATTATACAGGGCTTTTGGTCCGGTAGTACCGACGAGGGGGTGGAGTACTGCGGGTATTGGGAGTAGGCACCAAGCGCGCTACCAGGGTAGGAGAGGCCAGCCGCGCTTGCCACTGATGGCGACTTCCCTGCCGCGGCAACGGCCGCTACAGGAGCAGTCTGCGTCACGCCGTACTCAGTCTTGAACTTCATCGAACCTGAAAAGAAAACATTAGCATTTCGGTCATGAAATAATCTTAAATGAGAGGGAGAAAGGGGAGTAGAGAGTCGAAGAGAGGGGAATGTAAATGTTTCCAAGGAAAATCATGTACACAGCGCGCGTTTTAGATTTGGTGGTGTTTTATTGAGGCACTGGACGGCCAGGTTCCATCCGTATTATCGCAACTGTCTAAAAATAGTGGCGGGGGAGCAGCTGCACCAATGTTACTTTAAGGAGATAGCCATCGCTGCTCCTAATGACCCGAGGGGAGGAATCTTCTCTAATCGGCTCGTGTTGAATTGATCCCCAAATCGAATTGGCTATTTAAAACAGAGGAGAGATTCACGAAATTATTCGTGCGAAAATAGAACTTCTGGATTTTATTTTCATAGCTAATTAATGTCACTGAATGGCCCTTAATTGCGCGAGCCGGTTAAATAAAACAAAATTCCCTCCAACATGAGAATCGCAAAAATCGCGAACATAATCCCCGACGATAATTTTGCGCTCATACCTTCGCTCTTAGAAAAAAATGCAATGACCTATCCTTTGAGAAAGTGACTTAGAATCACTTGAACTAAACATTGGTCAGCTAGGTTTTTATCGGTTTGAAGTCTTTCAGTTGACGTTAGGAGTGATTTTTGTATTCTAAGACTATCCTAACATTTATTTTCATAGGGCTGAAGGTTTTTGGTGGGCGTGGAGACAATTCTTATCCGATTAGAGAAGCAGCTAAACAACCCGACTCATAAGTGCCAAAGGAGTATGGATACTGAATTTGAGGGAAATTTTGAAATCTGTGTTTGAATTTATGCATTTATGATCTTATGGGTATTTGGGGAATCTAAGTTCGCGCCATTCGGTCTCTCCCGGAAGCTGGCGCCGGATCAGCTCGGGTGGTGTCAGAGCCTCCTTTTTTTGTTTATTTTAGGCCTTTCGAGTTTTCAACCCTTTTTTTTGCACGCGCGCGCCACTAATCCGGATCATGAACACTCCGGATCAGACAGAAACATATTTTCAGCAACTTATTGTGAAACGATAATCAGGCGCCGGATTAGTTATAGAGCAGATAGCCTTAAGAATCTGCTTTGGAAATTTAGCTAATTTGCCAAAAATATGCCTCACGCCGGTACAAAGAAAAAAAATGAAGCTTCTCAAAACAATCATGAGGATTATCTTTCTTCTAGCTTTTGCTGTGAAAAAAATTCTCTTAAAATACTGTGAATTAATTTATCTAGAAGAGTAAATTAGCGACTACTTAGACGAAAAACTGGGGTACACTATTTGAACGCTACTTCCCAGTTAGCGGTTGAAAAAATGTCCGAAGCAACCACCGACGACAAATTGGTTAACTTGGACATTACCGTACACACCAGGCCTCATTTCATGGTTCATTTTCAGCTTCGAAATTTAAGCGCTCTAGAAGGAGCCCTGAAACGGCGAAAATAATCTAAACATTGTATAAGGCGATCTAGTTAGGGATAAAGATCGGTAAAGAATCTATCTTCGTAAAATACGAGAAACTTCAAAATGAGTACCCGTCTTAAAAAACTATTTGGCAGGCGAGGGAGCACATGTTCCAGTAATAGGAAAACAAAAGTGTCCACATAACGAGTAAGTTTTGTTTAGGTTTATGCTTTTGTGAGCTGCTATGTTGGATTTTCGTTGTTTGATCATGCTTTGATACACGTTTTTGTTTTACAACTAAAACGAGCTTCAGCCTTTTTTCATCGAGCCCGCGTGTAGTGGCCATTTTTGTCATTCAAAAAATGGGTGATTATGTAAAAAATGTTTTGCGGTCAGGGACTGATTTTCGTCCAAGAAAATCCAGAAAAAGTGCCCGACTGGCCAAAATAATGGAAAAAAATCCAAACGTGGACTCGGATTACACAAACTTATTCGCCACTCACTGGAGGACTGCCTAACACCTTGATTATCTACATTTAATGCAAACCGAAAACTACACCACGCCTTCTGTTTCTACTCCATGCTAAATCTTCCATGCTTCTCAAAAAATATGATATTGGGAAACGATTTCCCATTATCAAATACAAACTACTTGAAGTATGATCTCCCTGATTATTTGTGAATCGGTTGTATTCCAGAGGTAAACAAGAGCAAAAATAGGGTCTAGATCTGTAGCGATGAAGGATGAAGATCAAATATTTTGAATAATAAATGAAAGAGCATAGAGAGATTTTAGGAGAAAGACACCATGTTCTGATGCTGATAAAACGCGGGGTAGAAAGAAGAGAAGTTAGCCGCAGCAGGATTTGCCGTGGAAGGGTAGAGCAAGGTGGGAGAGGGAGTAGAAGTAGTAAAGGTGCTGTTGGTGGGAGAGTTGTTACTGGACTTACTGTCGAACTCGAGCTGATTCGCATGGGCGGGATTGTTGAGAGGCGAGGTCGATTCACGGTTTAGCGTCGACGTCGTCGACGAGTTCACAGGTGACGAGGATGAGAGAGGAAACGGCGTCGGCAGCGAAGACGCCATCGACGTCGAGGACATTGAAGTCGCTGGGTAACCGTAGCCGGCCATGTTTGCGAAACCGTACTGAGGATATTGAGTGAAGAATGAGGACTAAATTCAATCGTTATCTTCAATTCAGACCAGAAGGAGGTAATAGATTAACAACTATTTTTAATAATTACCTGAGAGGTAAAATCTGTGTATGAAGAAGTGTCGATGCCAGTCGATGACAGAGAAGATCCATCAAGGCCGGGCGATTTAGAGAGCGAGTTCGGAAGTCCGTGCTGAGGAAGACCAAAGTTCTAAAAGCAAAACGTAAGGAATCAAATCTCTAATCAATCAAAAATACTAAAATACAAAAATTACTAAGCTTGTTTAAGCACTTACCCCGAATTGAGCGGCTGGATTGTACGAAGCTGGGGACGTGAGGCCCGGTGAGCTTGGGACGCCTGATGGGAACATTTCGACTCCGTATGGGGAGAAACCGCCTCCAGGGAGCATTGAATATGGCTTCAATGCTTGGCATTTTCGACTGAAAGTATTTATATTAGAGATGATACATCAATAAAAGTTAAAAATAACATTCAATTAAATTGAAATCAAGAAATGCAAAAAGTTTGTTTCTTACCTGAATCCTCTCGGTCTTCTTCGAAATGATCCTTCTTCAAACATGAATTCAGAAGCGGGGTCAATAGTCCAGTAGTGGCCCTTTCCAGGTCTGCCAAGTCCCTGAGCATGAACAGTTACTATCTTAAGAGCAAATGCAAGAACTTACCTTAGGCAGCTTGATGAAACATTCGTTTAGCGATAAGTTGTGTCGGACGGAATTTTTCCAGCCCTAAACAAATGTAAGATCTCGGATGACCCTCGCGCGGTGTCAACGTTAATGCACATTCCCGAAATCGCGAAATCGCGAAAAATTCAAAATATGCGCCTAATTGCTTTTGTAGTAAAGAACTAAGGAAGAAACTAGTGGAAGTACAAAAGACCATTCCAGAGGAATTTCCGCTGAAGCTTAACCCGCTTGGACCGGGCCGGGGCAAACGGCGCCTATTCAAAAGCGAAACAATCTCTCTCTATATATGTCGTTCTCTGGTGCGAGGTGTCACGCGCCTGTTTTAAAATTCAGCAACGGAAAAACTGTTGAATCATAATTTTGAAATGGGGTTGCCATCTCATAAACAAATCATCATCTAACGTTCCATTTTGTATCATAAATTCAAAACAAACTAGCTCTAAACACTTTCAAAGACACGCGAATAGATTATTGTTTTTTACCTGATAGCTGCCGCGGAAGAATTCGAATTTATTCTGGAGGAACTGGTAGATTTCGGAGAGGGTGAGTTTCTTCATTGGCGAGCTCTGGATGGCCATAACAATCAAGGCGATGTAACTGTATGGGGGCTTTTCTGGGCGGCGGGAGCTCTTCGAGTTGGAGTCCTTTGAGGTTGATTTGGAGTCAGTGCCATTAGTAGCAGAAGGATTAGTGCCTGTGGAATCTTTAGCGGGGGAAGTTTCATCTGTGGTGGTATTTTCCGGCGAGGAGGAGTTTGAGGAAGTATTAATCCCTGTTGAATGGCCGGAAATCGACTCCTGCGCAACCCCGTAATCTTCCAGCACTGGGCTCGAGGTTCGCAGTGGCTCGTGCAGGGAGCTCAAAGACGGACTCACTTTTTCGACGACTGCTGGATTCAGTGCCCCTAGATGGTTCAGAGGAGGACTAGCAGAAGTCTGACTGGGGGAGAAGGTAGTACCACTGATGTGATCAGTGTGAGCACCGTAGAGGCTCTTGTGTGATTCGTGGTCCAGCATCGATAGGGTCGAGGTCGGATAGCCGACCTTGCTTTGGAGATCTGGAGACGCCAGCTTGATGATTTTTGTTTATCTCTTGATTAATCGGTGAGTCTCTGTCTGGATCGTTGTAAAGGATCCGATAAGTTTTTCGTTTGTTGTGTTTTTGACAAAGTGTTTTGTTTTGTTATTTTCGAGACCTTGTTTCGTCGCTTTTCGTTTCTTTTCGTATAGATAGAGTGTGTTGTTAATAAAGCTCTTGGGAGGTTTGGTTTTGGTGAGAGACGGTGGCTAGGGTTCTAGATGTGGTGGGAGAGGGCCAGCGGTGGCGCCGTCTAGCGAGAGCGAAGCGCGGTCGCGCCACCTTGCGCCGATTTTAGAACTGGCGCGGGGCTGCGGCACCAGGGCTGCCTTCGGCCAATCACGGCGCAAACTTTGACGTGATAACGTAAACAGTGGTAAACACTCTGCACCAGCGAGGCCTCCACCAACGCCACATCCACCGCCAAAAGATTCATCCAACTCAATAACATTCAAAACCTTGGATAGATAAATATTTATAAACGGCGTATACCGCCCTTGCGCCTAAACCTAGCAGTAAAGAAATAATTTACGATTCCAACAAGTAATCGCCAAATAGCCACTGTAGAGGCGGAACAACATTTACGCGTTGTATATTTTCATAGAGGGTAGAATGGAGCTTCGATGGGATTAATTCGTGAATGCCGTTTACAACGCAAATCCGGCCGCCTCCCGGGCTCATCATCAGCTTCAGTTTGTAATTCAGACAAGCTCATCACTTTTATTTAACAAACTCTCACAGCGCAAAGCTTGCAGCCGATCTCTGCACTATAATTGCTCCAAAGTGAATCGAGCCTAATTTGTATATTATTTCTGCATCACTCTCGATGCCCGCGCCGTCTTTGATAGCTCTTTTGTTAGTTCTGGGACTGAAAACTTTATTGTTATCGCTAGTTTTGGTTTGTTGTTGTTTATTTCCTCGTCGCGAGAGTGCAGTCTTCATCGTCGATTCTCCTCGCTTCTTTTGATAAGTTTCACTTTGATTATTGATTCGATTATTGTTTAGGCGACTTTATTTTGTCGATTTTCTTCAAGGTTTGTTGATGTTTGGAAAACGTGTAGAAGTCAGAACGGAAACGGTGTGAAATCGTTGCCTGTCAGATAGTTGTATAATAATTGAAAGTTGCTTACAAACAAGGCGGAGCACGGGGCACGCGGCAAGTATAAATAAACTGCCACTAAAGATACACAGGCAAAACAACCATAAACTATTATGAACAAACAGTTAGTAAATAAATGCGTCAAGGTTATGCAGGACAAAGTGAGCCCAACACAAACACCCAAAACTTTTAGGGATAAGCTATCCAGCAGACACCAGCACTCAAGTGAATCCTCGACAGTTATTTAGACGGCCAATAATGTTTACTTATCTAATTGAACTGAGAAAAAATCATTTAGTGAAATCTCAACCAAGGGACGTCTTCGACGCTAGACTGCCTAAAACACATTGAAGAACAGTACAAGCGACAGTAAAGAAGACAGACTCCGTATAAACGCGCTTAGCCGATTCTAAACGGCTTTGGGGGAATTTTCGATTCGGGTTGGACATAAATCGGGCGCCAGATTCCGCAGGAATTCCCTTTCGATGCAAATTTTTCTCCTCTTAAATTCCGAAATTTCCACCTGCCGCTCTCCGTTCCGTGGCTCTGTTTAAATGTCGTTGAATTCTTCTTATCCCGCTCCTAAATTCTTTTTTATGTCTAAGCAAAGCACGCGCGCGCTAGAAAGTTCAAAAACATTTTAATGCCATTGACTTGGATGAGAGCTCACCTGAGCAACTAAAGACGCGCCACAGATACTTGACTTTTTTGAATCGCCAAACAGGAGTCAGAACCAATGCAGAAAATCATTCGCAGTGCAGGTCTTAATCGACAGGTCACTGGAGTGGTTTATTAATTACCTCTGACCTCATTTAGGACTGTGAGGCGAATCGGCGCACCTGCTGATCAAAACTGCCGCTCGGGCAGAGACACACGCACAGACGCGCGGACAGAGCTTGGAACTAATTAGCCGACTCTATGAAGAGGAACCGGAAAATCAGCAACCGACCTTGGGGTACCTCGTTATTTAACGCGAGGCCATTTTGGGCAAATTTTTGGAAATAATCAAAAGTCTACTAATTAGTTACAAAGCAGACACTTTCTTTCGAATTCCTCACATGAGAGCCACTGTAAAACTTTTATATAAGGCTCATCGCAAACAAAAAAAAATTCTGTTGCGTATTTTGATCTTTGAAACTAGGTTTGAAAAGGCTAATTTGAGTAACAATTTTCAAGCTGGCTAGTTTCAGCAGCGTCCTGGCTCGTGTGGATTTTCGGAGAAGGTCACAGTTGATGCGGAAGTGCTGCTTAATCCGAAATCGGATGAGATGAAGTGTGACTTATTCTGGCGCGTGATACTTCCTTGGTGGAATTATTTTATTTTTATTGAATGGTTGAACGAGCCCCCCCGAGCTGGCGGAAACGTTTTCTTATCGTTTCCACAGGACACCTGCAGCTATAGGATTGTTGACCTAACCTGATCCTAACCCGTGTCATAGGCCAACCGAAGAAATAAAATAAAATACACTTACACGCATAGTATCTTTCACAAGGTCGTCCGGCTGGATACACAATTCACGGAGAATATACTGAAAGCTAAATACGCCCATTGAGGCGCTGAAAGTAGCCCTCGTCAACAAGCACCGTTTGATCTTGCTTATTTTTCGGCTTTCTATTTTTGTATACAAGTTGTTGAGCGCTGGGTCCCGATTCTAGTGATGTCGCACTGAGCTACGCAGCGCCGTCGGCTCGCCCTTTAATTTATTATTTTTACAAAACGGCTCAACAAAATGTTTTCTTAGAGGGAATAGAGGGATCATATGTATCCGTAACTCAAGTTTTGGAAGTTTTGGATATCTTGGGAGGCATAAAACCCGCGGATTATAAATTTTGTGGATTTACGGCTTAGATTTAGTTCGATAGAGTGAAGGAGATGTGATCAGCCAGGTCTAGGTGAAAATCGCGATGGATTCTAGCGATGGTTCAGCTCAGCAGTTTTACTCCATCTGATAAGCGCGCAGCTGAAAATCTGCAGAAATTTGAAATTTTGAATTTTGTGCGAGCGCACTCAACCAAAAAATCGGCGAGATATCTGGGGCAGTATCTGATCATTAATCGAGGGATGAGATTTTGACCAAGATTTTCCATTCAGTCAAAGCTACAGTTGGCGAGTACTGCTCAATTACAAGCCAGGGATAAGCAATTATCAGATCATCAGTAAAATTGCTACTATTACTGTGAGAGTGCGGGAAAGGAAGCTAGTCAGCGCGGGCTGTCTCGCGTTGAAGGGCGAAAATTTGGCGCCGGAACAATGGTACTCCGTTAGTGATAAGAAATGGAAACGTACGTCTCCTATCAGTGCACGGGAGCACTGTTATCTTCTCGTTTCAGGGCCAGGGCCATAACGATTTTTTCGACTGCTCTACTTTGCCATCAAACATCGTTGAATCTTTTACATCGCCACATCAGTTAGAGCCATCAGGCACCAGTCAATTGATAGCGAGTTACTTGTGAAATGCGTACAGAATAAAAAGTGAACTTGGCGAAATAATTCTAGCTACGACGGGCTTCCGAGGCAGCCACGCCAAAAATTAGCAAAATTACACCCCGCCAATATTGCAGAGGCTTGACCCGCTCTGGTGCAGCTAAATATTTGGATAATTACACCAGTATCTAGCACCACCAAGTGCAGCTCTCGCTACCGAGGTCATGTGAGCCGCTCTCTAAATTACTCCAACACAACAAAATGCAAAATACCAATCACATGATTTCCTATCTAATCGAGGGGCATAGTCCGGACTCGCGTGCTTCAGAAAAAATCACCGAATTCTCGTCGACGAATGCAAAGCGTAAAATGAGCACTTGATTGCCAATTGTGGAGTACCAGCACTCAGACAGTAAGGTGCCCAAGTTAACCAGGCGCTCGCGTACTATCAGAAAGAACGTAGATTCATTTATGCTCAGTTTTTGACGCGACGCCCCTTTGATAACGTCACCCCGTCCTCCGGGAGACTTAAAGCACTTCTGACGGCAGATCACGCCAGATTGTGCCACCAGCACTGAGCACTAATGAGCAAAAGACGAAAAAATTATTTTCAAATCACTCTTTGCCCTATTCCAGCACCCTTTCGTGAAGAGCTCGCGGTTTATTTCATTTTCTGAACAGATAAAATCGTCGCCTGCTTCGCCTTATCTTATTAGGTGATTGGAAGGCTTCTTTTGCTTCGTGGAAATTTGGATTGGTTTCGCTCGGGCTGCGGCACGCGAACATATGATAAGGTACTGAGACGGAACGGGATTGACGGGATCGGATTGTGCACGCGAGTCCTTCCAACTGGGAGATGTAATCCGCCAGCTTTACTCAAATACATTTACATATACAAACCCAAAACACCGTTACCTGCCATACTTGCGCGCCTTCTGAGCTCAAACGCTCATTGCGCTGAAATCAGTACGCTTAGCATCGGCAAACAAGAAGTAGTTACAGCCAATGGTTAATCCTTTCTTCGGGTCCTCGCTTTCCACGGAATCCGCTTGTCTCTCGAGAGGAGCAGAAGAAAAAAAAAGTATTTTTTGGAGAAGAAAGTTTATGTTTTGTTTGACCCAGCGGGGACACTCAAAATAAATGTGAAACTAATTTCAGGATATGTCGTTTATTTTTGAATTTATTATTTCACTTTGCCCGTTATTTTTCCTATTCTAATGCTTACGAACATGAAACATGCATTCAAGACAAATGACTGGGACAGCACGTGACCACTTCGATCGTTTGTGGTTAGAATATCTCAGCTTTATTTTCAGACTGTCGCCACTCTTGTCAGGCCGCAATCTATTAGGATTTTTGATCTCATAAGGATATTGTTGCCGATGAACGTTGGGTGAGCAGGGATGTGCCGAGGA